AAATTTGGTATAATTTTAGATATTCCCTTTCCTTTAATATTATCTTATGATTATATTAATTATATTCTGATATATCCATATCTATATTTAGATTATCTTGGAATAATTTAAGAAATATTTTTATATATTTTTCTTTAATTTTAATTTATTTTTAATTATTTAATTTTTTAATATCTATATATTATATTATAAGGTATAAAGGTATAAAATATTCCTTTATAAGATTACCTATTTATATTTATTATAATTATTATTTTAATTCACTTAAATCAGCCTTTTTCCAATATTTAGAGGTTAAATCTTTTTTTAATTTATTCTAATAAAATTAATTTTATATTTAGTCAATTCTTAGGTTATTAATTCTAAACCATATTTTCCTTAAAACTAATTTATAATTTATATTAATAAAATTAAAAAATATTAACTTTTGGTATCCTTGGATTAAGATAGAGAAAACTATAGTTTCTTTTTTGATTTTTCTTCCATTATAGATAATAAAGTTTTTATTAATATTATTAATTTAGTAAGATATCTTTTTTTTTAATATAATATTCTATATATATTAACCAATCTTATATAAATCAAATTAATTATATATCCTAAATTAATCAGGATATTAAATTTATATCTTCTTTATATTATCTTTATAATTAAATAAAATCCCTTAACTATTCTTATTGAATATATTAATTTAATCTTGTTTGATATTATTTATAAGATCTTTAATAATTTTTCCATTATATTCTATTATTTATTAATTATATTAATTATTTTTTATAATAGATTTATTAATTATTTGGTTTTTTTTTAAAAAGTTATTATTTTATTTTCTAAATATTATATTTCTTTTTGAAATTGATTAATTATTTTCTTATATTATAATAATATTTATTTATAATATTTATCTAAAATAATATTTAAATATTAGATTATTTATTTTAGATATTTATAAATAGATTTAATTAAAATAATTATATCTTATTTTTTTTTATAAAATATTATATAGAAGATTTTATATATATTTTTATAATATTATTATATAAATTCTTAATTCCATTTATTTTTGATTATTTTTTTATAATCTAAATTTTTAAATATATTTAAGATAAATAATTCTAATATTCCTTATTTTTTAAATATTTTTTTAATAATGATTTTATAGGCTTTTTTATAATTTTATTTCTTATATTTTTAGGTTTATATTTTATTATTTTTAAATATATATTTTGGATTTATTAAATTATTAAAATTATAATAATAATAATTTATTTATTTAATTAATTATATATAATATATTAATTCTAATTTAAGGATTTAATTTTATTTTTTTTTATTATTAAAATCTTATTAGTTTTATATTATTTATTAATATAATTATATTTTATTAAAATATATTAGAATAATGTTTTTATCTAATAATAATATAATAGAAATATTTTAATTATTAATTTATATTAAAAATATTATTTTTCTTTTTATTTTTCCTTCTATATTCTAATTTATATCCCATAATGGTTTTTATTTTTCCAAAGAAGAACTAGATTTTTCTAAAAAAGTATTTGTTTTTTCTTTTTTAAAATCCTTTATGTTTATTATATTAAGATTCTATAATTAATTTATTTAATCTATAAAACTTTTCATTTTTGTTTATTAAATAATTTTATCATAATCTAATAATAAACTTTCCTGTTTTTTTTCTTTTTTAATAATGTTAAATATTCTTAAGGTTAAAGATTTTAATATTATTATTATTATATTAATTAATCTTTCTTTTAGGATTTTTAGTTATTTTTTAGGTTTTTTATATTGATTTTTATAATATCTTATTTCTTAATAATTATAATATTTGATTTTATTTAAATCTTTTTTGGATTTCTTATCATTATTGATTATATTTAAGTTCTAAATTTTGGCTGGTTTTCTTTTTCCTTAATTTTTTATTATTTTAAAATCTTTTTTTTTTATTATATTTCTTATATAATTTATTATTATAAAGAATTATTTTAGTTATATATTTATTAATAATAAAAGATTATTCTTCTTTAAAAAATTTATTCTTTACCTAAATAATTATTCCTTTATAAAGGTAGTTAAATTATATATCTTTAGATAATTATTTTATAATTATAAATTATTTAAATTCTATTATATAAAATATAATTTATTTTTTTTATTTAAAGTAATAAATGATCTTTTATATTTTCTTTTTTTTTAAATAATTTGCCAAATATTATTCATATTTTATTTTTAAAATGTTCATATAATTCAAAAATATATTAAAATTTATCTAATTTTTCTTTAATAATATTGAAATAATTTTCCAAAATAGATTAAAATTATATAAATATAGTTTTATTTAAGAATTAAATAATAATAAATATTTATTATTCTTCTTATAATAGATTTTCCTTATAAAAAAATAGATAAAGTTTTATATATATAAATTAATATTTTACATCTAAAATTCCATTATAGATTAATAAATTTATTAATTTATATTCTTTAATAAGTAAAAAAAAGATTATCATTTTTTTTTTTTTTAGTTAAGGATCTTTATTTTTTTTTTCCTTCTTATTTTTATTATTATTATTATTATTATTATCTAAAGGTCTAGGGGATGTTAATTATTAAAAGATTCTTGATAAGGATCTTTTAAAGGCCTTTCTTAATCTGGCCTTCTTTAAGGCTAACTTATTTTTAAGTTTTTTAATTTTCTTAAAGGCAATCACTATTCTGGCTTGCCAGTTAAGGATCTTTTTTTCTTTTTAATTATCCCTTCTTATTCTAATATTGATTTCTTCTTACATCTTTAATTCCAGGATTTATAAATATGTCTTAAGAGATATTATTTTATTAATAAATTAAAATATTTCTTTTATTAATGTTGGTAGGTACGTACGTAAATGAAAGAACAATATAACAAGTAAAGCAAAGTAATGGGGGTGAGACGATGTGTATTATGATGTCTAAGGAAGAAAGGTCTATCTACTTGAGTAGGCAAGAAGGTAACCTACTTAAAGGGAATTATGATGACTAAGTAGATCACGTGTCCTTCACCTATGCAACCATCAATTAATAATAAGTTTTAAATAATATGAATAAATATAGATATTTTGGGTAATAATAGATTAGACTATTATAAATTACCTAAATCTTCATTTTAAAATTCTTTTTTATCTAATTTTTTTTTATTTTCTAGGTTAGGGTTTATTAATTTATTCCATATTTAATTATAATATTTTTTAAAAGATAATTCTTAAAAAATATAAAGATTTTCTATTTTATCTTTAAAAATTAATAAAATAAAAGAAGATTTAATTAATAATAATAAAGAAATATCTTATAGATGGTTTATATCATTTCTTAACCTAATATTAATATTAATTAAAAAATTATTAAAATATAATAAACCTATATCTTAAAAAGATATAATTATTATTAAATTAATTAATCCAGGGTTTTCTTAATTTAAAGATAATAATATTAATAATAAATTAAATATATTTTATTTATTAAAGAAGTTTAAAATTTTTTTATTATATTTAAAAGAATAATTTTAGATTAATAATTAAAAAGTTATAGAAAGAATGATTAAATATATGGGAAATATCTATAATTATATAATTATTTCTTTTTTCTTTCCCTTTCTGAGATTATTGTGATATATTATAATATGTTGTAATGTATTGCAATGTATTGCAATATGTTGTAATATATTGTGATGTATTGTGATGTGTTGTGATATGTTGCATCTCAGTATATCAAACCGGAGTTTAGCCGTGATAGGTTGCCTATGCTCCATCCCTTGTGGTCCGATAAGGATCCCTCATGGCTGGTTTGTAACATTATAATTAATTATAATATTTCCATTTCTTAAGTTTTTAAATAATTATTTATCAGTTAATTTATTAATTACATTATTTTAAATTATTTAATACTTTATGTTACATTTAATCATCAAGTAATCATTAAATTAAAAGCCACGGCGTTACACGGCAGAACGGCCTTAAGTTTACCCGGCACTTACCCGGCACTAAGCCACAAGTAGTAAGGCATTGACATAAGCCATTAGGGGGGGACGTTCCCTCCCAACTGACCCACAGACCTATGGACCGGATTTACAATAACCGGAAACTTCTACTACCTTGATTGGCTTATCGGATCGGAAGATCCTCTCTCCTCTCTCCATTAAACCCCCTGCTGTGGCGCTTCGCGCCCTCTCATTGGCTGTAAAGGTGGGGACATACCCAATTAGGCATGTAAACACAGATCAATTCAATTACCTTTAGAATTTTTGTCAATGCTTTTCGGCCAATAGACCCACCTATTTATGGCTATGTACCCAATAAAAACGATCCCGACCCCCAGTCGCATACCCACATAACGAGGTCCTGCAGCCAATCAGAGCTATGGCACAGGCCATAATGCGCACCGGGATTTACTTTCCTATTTGGGACGAGATCTCCCATAGAATTTAAATTTTCGTATAATAACCTTTTGTAAACTCAAGGCACTCAATCCAACACCCAGAGTAACAAATCACAATCAGAAAAAAACCCTCGCAAGTGCTACAGACATATAGGAAATTATGCTATGGGAGATGTATCTGACTAGCTAACCACCGAATGTTGCTGCCCGTGAATGTGACTAAATCTTCCTCCTGCTCGGCCGATACGTTGACCTACTAAGATGCCACTGATACTATGAAATAAGGAAAGGGGGAAAGTGGACGTAATCGTCCTAACATCATGAACCGGGACTGCAGTAAAGCTAAACCTTCCGTGATATCCTCAAGAGGCCGTGCCCTCTTTCATTAATAACCCTGCGAGAAAAATCCGTACTCCGTTGACTTTGGTATGAACGCCGTATCTAGTATGGTCCGTGGAAAAGATGGGAACTAGAGAACATGTTAGTAATATTCCATGTGAAAGTAGATATCGATGGAGGAAACTTACAATGCAAGTACTTTTGATGGTGGTGGTACAGGTAAGAAGATCGAACTACTTGAAGATCTTCTTGAGGCCGGAAAAGATGGACTTAAAGAACTTCTTGACCTTGTTCTTCTTCTGAGTGCCGGGGAAACGGGTCAAGGAGATGCCGTAATGGGCCTCGAGGGCTGCAATGATGGGCTTGGTAGAGGCGTCGACGATTCCGGGGAGCTGTTGCTCAAGGACTTCTGCAATCATACGCGGGAGCATGTTGACAATAGTCTGAAGGAGAGCGACTTGGGCGGTCATTGCGGTGATGTTGCCGTTAGTGGAGTTCAGAAGGGTGCCCATCGAATTGAGGTTGTTACCGAGAGAGTGAACATGGCCGTCGATGGCGTTGACGTGCTGGCCGATGGCGTTAAGGTGCATGATGTGACCGTCCATATCCTTGATCTGACCGTCCATATCCTTGATCTGACCGTCCATATCCTTGATCTGACCGTCCATATCCTTGATCTGACCGTCCATGCGCTTCGCGCGCCCGTCCAAAGTTTGATCCATTGCGAAATCGATCATTCCGAAGACATCCTCCAGAACAGCCTCAAGGTCAACTCCATGTGCTCCACCTGCGAGAGTACCCTTCTCGCCCATCTCCTTGATAACACCTCGGATTCCGCGAAGAAGTTCTGCCATGTTCTGGCCAACAGTCTGAGTCGCGGCCGAATCAGCAGAACTTGACTTCACAGCATAGGCAACGGCGTGCTGGACTATGTTGTAGAGCTTAGCTTCGGCACCGACCCCCTCCATCATGGAGGAGACGTGAGACTGGACACGTACCGCCTCGCTTTCATCAGCCGCGATCTTATCACGGTCTCGAATCTCGCGGGCGATACGAACCTGAAGCTCAGCCACTTCAGGTTGTTCGGTCCAGTTCTCACGGGGCGTGGTGCCACGGGCTTCAGTTAATTCGCCAAGACGGAAGTAGTCCTCAATAGTAGCTCTGATATTGTGACTGGCAGCCTTGGTACGAGGGAAGATACCTTCGGCACGAGCCTTGGCTAGTTCAGCTCCCATCTTGGTGATCTCGTCAAAGGTGCAGGAAATGGCGATGCCGTTGTAGTCAATGACAATACGGCCATCCTGGACACCACGAGTCGCTAAATGGCAATAGTTAGTAATGCTATAATTCAATCGGGGCAGATTGATTGGGAGGTGGGACTTACCGGATTCCATGTCGGCGGCGAAGGTAGCATCACCAGACATATCAACGGCTGAATCGGGAGCCTCGCCCGTGTTGTGATTGTAGTGCCTGTTTGCGTTGGTCAGCATCGGCATGGTCAAGAGAAAGCAGGCAGGGTGTAATTTTTTTTCTCATTGAGGGAAGAAAAGAAAATGAAACCACGAAGAAAAAAAGAAAACTTACGACATGTTGTCGGAGTCCAATCGTCTGCGTACGCTACGAGTTGGTTCAGTGATTCTAAATACCTGTGGTGTTTGATTAGTATTTGTAGATGAACAATTTTTGGGTGGGCGACGAGGCAAAGAAGGAAAAAAATCAATTGAAGTATATGAAGGAGGGAAAAAATAATGGAAGGCGAAGAGGGAAAAATTACTGAGACAAAATATTTTTTCCTTGCTGAAGGATGGCGCGGGTAGAGTCTGGGTGTTGGTGAATTGGAATGGGAGAAGTGTATTACGAGAAGAGAGATGATTAGAGAAGTAGAGCGATGGGTGGTGCTTAAATGAAGAGGAAAAATAGTAGTGATTTGATCTTGTGAGGATGTGTGTGATTTTTACCTTTGGAGAGGGAGAAGAAATAATAGATGGACGTGTGTGTGTGTGTGTGTGTGATGGAAAGGAAGGAGTATTGATGGAGAAGTAGAGTGGTGGACTGTTGACAAGAAGGAAAATAGTAGTAGTATGATTTGGGAGGGTGTGTAATTTTTTTACTTTTGAAGGGGAAAAAATAATAGACAAATTCGTGTGTGTATGTGTGAAGGTAGGAAATATTTAGAAGAGACGAAGAAGGGAAGAAGTTATGATGATGGGTGGGCAGAATTATCAGTGGGGGGAGGGTGTAGTGGTGAAGAGGCAGTACCAAAACAATGGTCGGGTACGAGGGTTGGAAAAAAATAATGGTGGGCGACGAGTTGAAAATTGGTGGGTGACGGACCATAAGAAAAGAGAAGTTGGGTTGAAAGTTGAAGAAGATGATGGGTGAAGAGTTCGAAAAAAAAATATGAGTGACAAAAGTTGTAAGAAAATATCGGTGGGCGAGGAGAGTTGTAGAGAAGGTTGACTGGTGATGGAGATGGGAGGAGGATGTGAGTAGAGAGTGGGAGAGATTGTAGAAATATTTCTCGTAGAGAAAAGTGAATATGTTTTACTTACTGGATCTGCCTGACTACCAGGCGAGGTGTCAATGGGGGTGGTTGTAGAAATAATGTGAAGATGTGAGGTGTTGAGAAGTAGAACTTGTTATTCGAAAAAATGACAACAATGGTGAGGGTAGAGGTGGACTTGACCAAGTACGGCAAAACAATGTAATAAAATATGTGTGAAGGGCTGGGGACAATGATTTTTGGGAAGATCAAGAGTCCATGATTTCTGTGCTGTGCTGTTCTTGGTTGTGGTCTGGGAGGAAAAAAAAGAGAGGGAGGGCAGATATTTATATGTGAGAAATATGAGGGAGTGGGTCCAGATATTTTGAACTGCGGTGGGCGACGAAGTAATTATGTACATACCTTCCTCTGAATTTGTTATTGGTTGGCTGGTGCGTAATTCGCGTGTAGTACCTGTCGTAATGGTACTGGAGTGCGGGTTTGATTTCTCGAGGCAGGCAATAAGGCCAGAGTAACTTAAAGTCGATTTCGTACGAGAAGATATTCTGACCTGTAGAATACTGTTAAGTTGGAGATTGTATGAAGATCTGAGTTGTAAAATTGAAGTAGAAAGCCTGCGCAGGTCGATGTTTATATATTAAATTCCGAATCGAAACGACCTCACTAGGTGGTCAAAGCTACCAGTCTACCGATATCTACTAAATCTGGCCCCGCCGTGCTCTTTCCTTTATTGAGTATCCATAATGAGCATCATTGGATGTTTAAGCCCTTCAGTATGCCGGGATACCTATGTTAGGCAATACTAAAATATCTACTATTATTAATTCCATAATTGCTCCAAGGCTAGTCCCCTAGCTAGGTATCCACGATAGGATAGAAATAGATCTCCAATTTGCGCCATTCTTCTATGACATCTTTGTTAAGCATCGCACGTAAAGAAGCTATCGTATCCGAAAGTTCTACCTGTCTAGACACGTTAGTTGAGGACACTGGACGAAGATATTCAAATCTAAGAGTTTGCTAACCGAAAGAAAATTAAAAAAAAAAAAAAAAAAAAAAAATCAACCATAGAATACAATGAGTCATCATCCCAATGTCCTATTATTTTGATCCCAAAGATTACTCCATTATGTCGATTCTGCTAATAAGGTTCTCAATCGTGTACCTAGTTGCTCCTGGAGGGTTGCGGCTCAATTGGTGGACGTCGAAATTAGCGTAACACTCCACTAAGACAGTTTGCTAGCCTGTAACCTTCGATCTGACCAACCACGTACGTTCTAATTTACCCCAGATCCCGCCGTAGATAGCACTGTAGATCTCTTGGCAGCCCGGAAGGTACGCCCTAAAAGCCTACCGTTAGGTACCTAAGTAGGTAGGTACCCGCCTGTAGTACCTGCCCATAGCACTTGTGCATGGACCATATATCACCCGCGCGTCGCACCTTCCAATACATCTACGTGAATACATGTGGGGCTAACATTATGAGGTAAACCCGTTTCCATCCTATGACTCTTTCCTTCCATAAAATTCAATACCATCCCTAAAATGGCAATTGGACCAATAATATCTCATGGAATAACCATATCATAGTAGCAACTGCCTAATTCTCACCGAAATAGACCGAAGCCATAGCAGTGTACCTTGTGTTAGTGGTAGCGCATTTTGTACTTCTGCTGCTGGTACCTAAGTATGCTAGCAAGAAATGGGATCAATTGAATGACTATTTTAAATGACTCGATTAGAACTGTATTGAGCATAGATATTGTTTGGTGGAGGCGTCTATCTTTGTTCTCTCCTTGTCTCCGTTTTCAAGCAGCATCGGCTACTTGTTGCGTACTACCGTCTAGTTCCACGGAATCGGATCATATAATTTTTTTTCTCATTTTCGTATGTTTCTTAGAGCCGCTAAGCTATGGGATAACTGTTATGAATGACGTTGTAGAGACCCAATAGGTTCTAAACAAATTAAGACTCAAGTCTATCCACTAGAATCGATGTGGTGGTGGGAAGCTAACGGCTAGCAACAAGAAAGAAGCTATTGTGATTACCATCCAAAGAGTATGAAGCCTTAGTGATGTAAATTTACTTGGGAAGCTGGGTCCCACTACATCTATCCCGAGTACGTTTGGTGTCGTTCGAAGCGTAACAATGGGTGCAGTTTACTTCTGTACACTATCTAAATATTCTAGTGGCGAGACCACAAAGCATGGGATGGATTTCGTACTCTCTTTCTTTCAACTTGATCAACTTGAAGAATCTATTGTAGTCTTAGGGCAATCAAGAAAAGTTCCTCGAATAAACTGTGAATAAGTCAACTCACAAGGGTATTCTTCATCCGACTCTTGGTAGATAGGAACTATGCTACACAAACTTTGGCATACCTCTTGATGTTCTGACTCCTAGATACGCTATTGTATAGCAAGGATTGTGGGTATGAAGTAATGTGCTTAGTCTAGTGTCTTTCTAAACCAATGTGTTTGCTATTGTCATAAAAGCGGTAGGTAGAGCATATGTGGTTCCAGAGAAGCAACTGCTTCATCCCATACCTAGGCTTAGATCCCCGTCCACAATGCGAAATATTCTCAGAAGCTAGGAAGACTCCGTAAGATCGCACAACAAAGAGTCATAGAGAGGAGGCAAAGATAGATATTATGGTAATAGTGGCACAAACATCTGCCCACTCGGACTCCATGAAGGCGGCACATGGCCGAAGGAAATAAGACACCGGTCTCAATGTGTGGAAATATTGTGTATTGCGAAAAAAACGATAGAACTAGCTTTTGCGATGGAAAGTCGAGCAGATATCCTCCCAATGATTTATCCCCAACCTATGTACCGAAACCGAACCTGCCTACACTACGTTAGCCCGAGTAAAATAACATAAATCCCAGTGTAAAACATACCACAAATGTAGAGAAGTAGAAACGGCAATTGTACTTCTGTAGATGTTGTGATATGTCGAGCTTTTCCTAAAGATATCCATGTGTGTCATGTGGGTACATCCAGGTGGCAGCGGGGAATCCGTAGGGGAGGGTATCATGCGACGTCGGCATCCTCGTCGAAGGCGCCGTTAGTGGCATCTGCTGAGGGAATCCCAGGTTAGCAGTGTAATCAATCGAATGGATCCCCGGGATCATCGGAGCAGGCGAATGTGAATGCGAGTGCGAGTGCGAATGGTGGTGGCCGCTGCTACCGTATGCTAGAGTATTCCTGTCATCGCGCCTCTCCGTAGCACTAACAACGAAGACTTCATCATCATCGTCATTTTGAGCATTGGTAGAGGATGATGTGGTAGGTTGGTCCATTAGGCCTGGTCCAGTAGCGAGCACGGCAGCAGTTGCACCGCTAACATTCTCCTGCTCCACTTTCACGGCGATCGAATCTTCGGTTTTGACTTCACCTTTGACCTCAGTCTTAATTGGCTCGTCGATGTCACCAGCATTCTCCTCGACAGTAGCAAGCTTGCGCTTCTTGTTCGGAGTGCGGGTCTTGACACCGTCCTTGGAATCCTTGGGCTCCTTCTTGAGGCCACTCAAGCCACCAGAAGGAGTGATTCCGTGGGCCTTCATTAATCTCTCGTATCGCTTGGCTCTAAAAAAAGGAAGAATAATGATTAGTGCGTGTATTGCTTTTTATTGAATGATAAGTGGACTTGGACTTGGTGGCGCAAATTAGCGTGGTGGGGGGTAAAATGGGAAATACATACGCAGCACCCTTGGAGACAATGTCGCACTCATTGGCAACTTCCTGGAAATCAACCTATTTAGATCAGTAAATATCTATAATAAATACATTTATGATAAAAAAAGAGGGCTAGGGGTCTTACTTTTCCTGCGGTTGAGTGCTTGATGCACACGATGAGGAACCTAAACTGAGAATCGATGTCGAGGGGTGGCATCTTGATATGGAAAGGGATAGACGATAGAGTCGATTAGATTGGTTCAAAAGTTGAAAGAAGAGTGGATGTGCAGATGTGAATGTTATGGCTGACACCGATGAAGTGTATGTTGTGGAAGTAAAACTAATATGATTGTTGGTCTAGAGAGGATACACAATGTGAAAGCCACGTCTAGTTTGGTGGAAAGGTGTGTCGATATTAATAGGGAAAGCCTTGATTAATGTTTTCTCCAGATGGCAGTTGTAATGCAAGTCTAGTAACAGAAGTAACAGAAGGGCCAGGGTGGCAGATCAGATCTACCGCTACCTCAAGTTGCCTTTTCTTTTTTTACTACCTAGGCAGGGAACAGCGAGAAGTGGGGTGAGAACTCGTGGGCTGGTAGGGTAGGAGTCTCTTGAGGCGTCTCTGCATGTAGCCAAAGCGAGTACTACGCGAGATTACGTCGGGATGTGGACAGGTCCAGGGATTCTGCAGACGGCCGGTGTCATGGCCATCTGATCAAATACGAAAATTCCTTTTACAACATTATGGCTATCTGTCAGAATCTGGTCTTTGAATGTCGTGAATAATCTAAGATAGGATTTTAAGAATAGCCATAAAGACAATCAGTGATGTTAGCCCTAACCTTTTTATTATTATCACATAAACTACCAAGGACTCTCTAGTTACCACCTTTATGATTAATACAATTACTTCTTGCATATTAGCAATCTTAAGGAAATAATATGTTAATATTTCTCGTGGCAAACAAACAGCTTACTCGCATAGCTAGGATATGACATGGCTAGAAAACGATTAGGACCAGGGTGTTTCTAAGCCCTGGTGGTGTGAACCACTTTGGGGGCCGGCTGCATTGTCTATCGTAAGATCTACCAGGATACCTAGGTATTTGGTATTATGCATGGGCTAGCGGGAGACGCAACTCGCAACGGTTCTCCAAGGAATCAAGAATCAGGCAGCCAAGTTCCCGTGCTTCCTGGCCATGTTCGTGAGATCCCGAGGGACAGCTAATGTCCTCTCCCAAGGTTTATAATGGGGCTATTTTCAAGGAGACGTCGCCTCTGTGGAGTTTAAACCCCTACGCACTATACCAACACACCTAGTAGATACCGTACAGATATTGCCATATATTCTTTGCACTCACGACTATTTCATGAGGTTGTTATTTTCAGGTGTAGGGGCATATCCGATATTTGATATATGATACCATTAATTCATCGTGTAAATGATCATTAGCTGCCCTTTAAAGAAGACCCATATCTATCATAGAGCTTAAAAGCTCGAAATCATCGTGGTAGGACGTTGTGTTATCTGACATGAAAGGAAAAAAAATTGAAAATAAGCGCAATCGTAATCATTCGTCCCAAATCCCTTCTCAACCTTGATCCCTCAAACTCAGGTGATAAGTTAGACAGTGGCGGAAACACCATGGCGCTTCATTTTGCCGTGGGAACTATCGGTCTCACTCTCGCTCTTGAGCGCATTTTTGACCTCGTCATCCGAGTCCTTCTTGACCCCCTTAACGTCAAAGTCATCATCGTCGCTGCTTGCAATCTTCTTGGGGCGGCCTTTCGCGCCACCCTTGACCTTCTTACTCCTTGGAGCCTTGGTGATCTTGGAAGGAGACTGCGAAGGGGTACCCGTGGGATGGCCAACACCAAACTTCTTTCGAACCTGGCCGAATCTCATCTAAAACCTGTCAGCTACATATCGTGGTTGGGAGTCGGACATGATACTTACTTTGGCAGTCGATACGTCGCGATACTCCATCTCAGCGGTAAATGCAGCCCAGTCCACTTCTACGCTCCTCGGAAGATGCTTGGATAGAGTGTAGAAGAACTTGTGATCAAATCCGGTGGGGTTTCCACCCTCATTTGCATCATTCTTGGGAGCCATAATTAATGTTTTTCGTAGTGGATAACCGACTACTTGTTGGGTATTTGTGCTATGGCAAATTGTTAGTCGTTGTTTTAGTAGGGAGGTTGCAGTGGGTAAATATCGACGTAGTTTCCGACTCGTGCTGTACACACAGCGACTTCGCTGGCTTGGAAAAAGGATAGAAGGGGTGTTGGTAGGAAATTATTATGGGTTAAATGAAGTGTAAGTGTATGTTAGCTCTCCTTATGGTAATGCGATGGAGATTGGTATGTCCGAGAGACGGAGAAGGATCTCAGGTAGAGATACCGATACACAGGAATGGCTATCGGAATGGTACGACTTACCTTGAAGATATTACGTTTCTGTTCTGCTTCTGCCGATTGGCACGACGGTTAGACAGAAATAAAAGAGATGTAGGAAACAAAAGGCTCGACGTCTTTTAGGCAAGGACGAAGAGTAGACCGCTGGAAGGTGCTTAGATATTTGCGCCTAACAAGCGCTACTATGTAGAAAAATGAGAGTAAACGCAAAAGAATCTAAAACTTACCAAGTTAAGGTCAAGCTGTGGTAATGCAATGGTTGTTGGTTTGCTTGAAGGTGCTTGGACGCTTGGGGCTGGTTATTTGGTTCGTTGTACCGGGGGCGATCTGAGATAGTAGGTTAGGGATGAGATATAGGTGTGAATATAGAGTCGGGAAATAGTGGTAGCAATGATATTGGTCAGGTATGAGCTTCCTCAACTATTAGTCCATAATATGAAGGCGGTTGCCATATGACTACGAGATAAGCAGGCAAACTTCACTATGTGAGTTGCTGTGGAAGCTGCCGTGAGCGCCGATGTATACGAGCTTGCTATGTAAGATATTAGCATGTAAACTTTTGCTATATCGTGGAAGTTACGATATAAGCTTGAATATCTCCCTCATAGGTAGGTACTAGGTAGGTAGACAGGCAGGAAAGAATATAGGGGGGCCACCTATTATCAGGTAAGTCACCCCAACAAAGGGGACCACTGTGTAAGCGGATGAGGACCTGCCTGTTCCCAGGCCATATTGCTGTGACTCAGCAACTATATAGAGAATAAATCAAAAAGATTTGACATACGCTTCTTCCCGTACACGACACTTTGACCAAATGAGAAAAATTGTGGCGTATTGTTGCACGGTCTGTCTTCAATATAGGCGTACTATTTCCGACCCTCTTAGGTGCCTAGGTTAGTTGGAAGCCACCCCCTATATTTTGTATATAATATCAATATGTTGGTACTTACGCTAAGAATGTTAATGATCACAATTTCTTGTCACTGAGAAATCTCCTTCAGCTTAATATTCGGCCAAATATGAAATACAAAATCATGATCCATGGGAGCACCCTCACAAACCAAACCACAGACAATCTATGTCCTTATATAGGCAAAAATCAAACTACAGACGATTCTAATAATTCTGCAAATCCAAGTACCTTACTATGTGTTCAGCTATATCTGCAAATTCAAAGAATCAATTTCAATTTAGGGCGCGTAATATGCGACTGGTCACTTCGTCAACAATCGGACACCCACATAATGATTAGCTTATCTAACCCCTTGTCTCTACCATCCCTCCCTGCCGACTACCCCAGTCGTAAGCCCCGGCCGATCGTCTCTGTAAGGATGACGGAGTACGATCAGAGCCCTAATAGCTGGTAGATCTGGTACTCGCTAATGAGCAGTCCCCACGGAAAAATTCGCCTTAAGCTATGGCCAAAACCTGGCCAAATCCGTCGCCTCGCAGCAAACCCATGTCGAAAATATTCTTTCCCATTCGGAATTTTATTAAGAGTACATTTGATTATCCTACACACCAACCTTCTTCTAGTGTTTACCGTAGTTTTCGTTGACCAGCACGTATCGGTACCGAGCCTTTCCATTCTCCATATCAACAATAGCCTGGTTAGCTTCTTCTAAGGGCCGTTCCTGAATCCAAGATTTGATTTTCTTGTCCGCTGCGAGTTGGAGCATCTCTCGGATTTCCCAAGGCGCGCCGGTCGCACTACCACCCACTTTGATGCCATTCCTGATCAACGTAAATGCATTAACGGCCGGTAGGCTGCCTCCGTCGGGAGCGCTGCATAAATGGTCAACCAAAATCCATTTCAATCATTTGGAAATAATCAACATACCCGACTTGAATGAAGGTTCCTTTCGTTTTAAGGAGAGAAAGGTAGTTATTCAGGGGCATCTTCTCGCTAGACACAGTGCAAATAATCAGATCCAGCGACAGTGCATGTTTAGCATGCCAGTCCCTGTCCTCGTCCGTAGCGATGTACTCATCGGCACCCAACTTCAGTACATCGTCTCTCTTGTCCGACTTCCTCGAGATTCCAACAACCTTGTCGACCCCCAATGCCTTAGCAAAAAGCACACCAAAGTGACCTAGTCCACCAACGCCGACAATACCCACACTCTTACCTGGCCCACAACCATTCTGCTTCAGGGGCGAGTAGACAGTGATGCCTCCACATAACATCGGCGCTGCAGTAGCTGAATCCAGACCATCCGGTATAGGGAAGACCCAATTGTTATTCGTACGATTGTAATCTCCATAACCACCGTAACTCTTTCCTTCGTTGTTGGGGTAGATACCGCCATAGGTACCCACCATCTCATTATGGCAATAAGACTCATTGCCACTACCGCAGTCAGGGCAGCTCTTCTTCAAACAAGTTCGAGCTTGCGCTCCCACTCCAACGCGGTCGCCAGTCTTGATACCTTTGACATTCTTCCCCACACGTACTGCCTTACCAACGATCTCATGACCCACAACACAAGCTGCGGAAACATTAGAATAAACATGAGTAGCCCAAAACTTGGACATGAACCTTACGGTATGGTGTTGGACTCCAACCAGACCTCAGTACATGTATATCAGAACCGCATATACCACAATGTGAGATTTCTATGTCTACATCATCTTCTGTCCATTTCTTAGGCTCATACTCGCCCCATTCCCTGATGAACGAGGGATATTAGTAATTATAACTTCATACAACATATGGGCATGTCCAAAAGCTGAGGGGATCCACGTCAAAATTTAAAAGGGGTAGTGATATTACGTACATTTTTCCATTGACAGAGTCCGGGGACTTCCCCAACCAGCCCTGAAATCTGGGAACGACTTGTGCTGTCATGTTGATATTTCAATTACAGTGGTTAGAGAGTATGAATTAATTTCAAAATATGTCAGCTGACGGTAGTCTTCAATTTTCGATTCAAGTGGTGGTTCAACAGACCTCTAAACCACCCCTATTGTTATCATAGATTCATCCCGAGGACTCAATATGAGTTTTTCATCCATGACGCGACCAACTTAGGACATTGGTAGGAAAATCCTCGTAATTATTTGAGATTATTATCTAGTCCAAAGTTAAATAACAACTATATTTATAAGCGCCAGTAAAATATATGACACTACTGAGTCGTTGAACCATCACCTACCTCATTATCATACAGATAATCGGCACCAACGTCTCTATACCGGACCTAAATCCGGGACGTTCTATAGGAACTCGCAGCAAGTGGATGAGGATAAAGTTCAATGCTGAACATCTCCAACTATCAATCAGAGTCCGGAAAAAGGAGCGCTGAATGACCGTATGAATTAATTAGCAACGTATAGTACGGCGGAGATATCGAAGTGGTCGACCAGAATATTATATACGTAATACTTCCCGTCAAGACGTTAAAACGTGGTTATACCAGTTTCAATTACTTACGGCTGCAGTAATTTCCTCGTGTAACCATGTAACGACGAGCTATGAGATTATTCAATCACCTACTTAGGTACTTGGGTATGCAAATTTGGCCAGTGAATGGAACTAGGCTGCCCAAGGGATGTAAATTCCATCAGCGTAGGCCTAATCATCATAATCAGTGCGACATGCATCCCAACGTTTCTAGGAATAACTTAACTTCGTCCAGGACTAATCTCAGTCTAGTCTGGGGTTTCCAGGTCCCTGTATTGAGATCACTACAAGTTCACACACCTGTGGGTACTAAATCCAAGGTACTATGTTAACAGCCCAATAAGTTACTTGGATGTTAATATCCCTCACTTGGATTTTCACCTTCACCTTGCAATGCCATGTAGGGCCTGGGATTAACAAAGCCCTATGCTATGCAACTGTACAGGCAGTTACATCCCTAATGCATGACCGCATGAACTGATTAAAGGCACATGACCTTGCAATTTTTTTCTATTGAGGTTGTTCACTGAGATGTCGATGAACTTGTAAAGTTATGCAGGCTGTGGTGGAGTACCGGACAAGAGTGTTGCGATTACGGAGGTCGTCGAGTTCGTAGCTCTACAGTACACTGTAAAATAGATAAGGAAATCGCCACAGAAGATCCAATATCATGGCGACCTACGTACATGGAAAGAAGCAAAATTTCCGGTACTTTCATATTGTGGTTCTCAAAACTTGGAGTGAATAGCTGGTGGCCGTATATACGGCTAAGTCGAAACTACTAATTTCTCGCCCATGAAGTTGACAATAAGGTCACATTCATCCATCCTCATGATGTGATAATACATTTCTCATGGTCTGGAAGTGCTATTCACCGGATGTTCCCCGAAGAACATTCATGTCGCTGTGCAAATCTAGACAACTGCCAAGAATGAGTCAGTTTAACACCCTCATGTGTTGAGAAGCCCCGCAACGTACTTGATAGGACTTTGTGACGGTGACATATCGGTTACAGGCAGTAGTGCCACTGGTCTACTGGTGGATATAACTGATATTGTGAAGAATATGGAGTGTAGATGCTTCTTGCCTTGTAACCCCCACGACTGCACCTATCCACTTCATGCAGAATTACGATACTATGAGGGCATCCGGTCGTTGGAGACATCGGAGAGATGCTCACTGATGGCCTAGAATCATAAAGAATGCTCGGTGAGATAAGAAGGCAAGGTTAATTCGGGGGGGAGAAGACTCAGCTACACCTCCTTAACAGCAATGTCGTACGTTATGGAGACTCATTACGAGGCCCAAGCTCGGCTAGAAGGGTTACTCTAATTAACAACAGTATATGCAAACTAAATAAGCGCACGTTCCCACACATTCTGTTAGGGCCTAGCCCCCATGGAAGTTATTATAACTTCCGCGGTTGTTGTCGTTTCCGATATATCGTAATTTACTTGGTTAGAATCCTGAAGGGGTATGGCGCATGCTTAGGTACATATAGCCCTATAAGTATGTAGAATAAGTGGAGAGACATAAGGGGGATTGACAAGGTGTGACGGAGAAAGGAATAGTGCATACACACCCCTTATGCCTTGTATGTATCTGCGCGCCCGGTGAGCCCTGCATAGGGTAAGCACTATGCAAGCCACTTATCCAGGTATGACCGCAAATTCCTCCGTCGTAGGTACTTAGTAGGCCAATATCGGTGGCCGTATCGGGTGACATAGCGAGGGATGGGAAGTATGGAAGTACCCGGGATCCCGGGTAGGTGCAGAGCCCTACGTGGGTGGGTGTGTATACTCCTTCAACGGGCCGCTGACGTCAAACCACCGCCCATTTTGGGGTTACAGTGCGCCCCCATGAATCTACCTCCGGATCTCGGTTCCTTCCCTAGTTCCTCCGGGGTAATGCATAACCTGCATAAGTGCTGAGCCGGCATTGTTCGACTTCATTATAACACCTGTCGTATGGATGGTAAATTGGATACCTCATGCTATCGGAAAAATTCGACACAATACCATGCTGGATACCCGCGGAGATTTCGTATAACCTCGCAAGACTTAATCATGGGATTTTTTTTTTTGGTAAAATGACGAGTCGAATTTCGAAGAAACGAGTTCCACTAAAGTTGGGGGTTCTAGATCATGGATAGAACGGGAAGCGGAGTTGGAGAAATAACGCTGAAGAATTACCATCGTAGGCAGCCATGTCCAACTCTGTATCCTCATATCCCTCTATGCCACTTTGAAGGAAACGTTGCTGGTTTCCATTGCGAGTCTCCTACATCCAATGTTCATACTGAGCGGAATTGGCAGACTTGTGATTGCGAATTCACCCGGGCAGTGTGTGTGGAACAAAGAGTCCTCAAGTATCTCAACACATTCGATTCAATTCGTGTCTTCATCAGACGTCGCAATCATGTCACTAAACAGTAGTCTTACAAGGCGTCTAGAAATGCAAAGTCACAAGAACACCAATCCTAGAAAACCAAATTTTCATTCCCCAAACGCCCAAATCCTCCTTACCAATCGAACGGGAAATAATCATAATACATCATTCCAATATGCTTCCAACCAGTACTTTGGTAGACATAGTTTCCTGATGCGATTGATAACCCACGAGACCATATGATTTGACAGAAGAGCCAAAACCACACCCCCGACCATATTCCCATTCTGTCCATCAATTGTATTGACCCACATCCTCCCGTTTTATATGAACGTAGTCCGCTTCGGGCGAGGGCGAGAGGCTTGTGAAATCGGCGCGCATGTGCGTAGTCTGATACATGTGAGGGTGGTCGCAAGGTCTCATGCCGTAATCGTCGATCGAATAACTTGGTGGATAGGACGTGTACGATGGAACGGCTGACCACATTGGGTCGGGCCGTTCAGGACAAGGTGACCCGCGAAAGTCGAAGGAGGTATGGGCACTCATCATATCGCCGACAGGACTAGGTGTGAGCGATGGGGAAGGAGAAAACATGTCGATATCGCTGGCTGGCGTAAGATATCGAGGTTGAATCATCGCGGGAGTATTGGGCACTACTTTCTCAATTGGACTCGGACCCGGGCCAGGCCCGGGAGTGAGACGTGGCGTAAATCGGTTGTAGTTGTACGGAGAATTCTCTTGTTTGATTTCCGGGGCGGGCGTTTCAGTTGGTTCCCGGAATACTGGTGAATCCGGAGCGGGTTCCAGTTTGACGAGTTCTGTTTTCTTCATTCTTGGCTCCTTCTTGGCTTTCGAGACTCGGGATTTCGGTTGAGTAGTTCGATTGCGCCGGACAACTTCAGTTCCTAGCATGGTGGTTCGGAAGCGCGAAAACCTCATTCGAGCGGCATGGCCGTTGGTGATCTCCTGACTAAGGACTGGATCATGGGCGACCCTGTTCCAGTCAATCTGAACCACAAGTCAGTTTATCTCCGTTGATTCAGGCAAACTGAATCAACTCACGTCCTTGAGGTTCTTCTGTCGCAAAATGGCGAACAGGAACCGAGTCATGGGAGTATCATTGTTGGCCGCCGACATGTTGATGGTATTCTTCTAGCGTTCTGGGCTAGATGAACATAGAGGTAGGAATTAGAAGAGGCGAGTGGTCTCAATAAGAAGTGAACAACTAGGTGTGTAGATGTTGGAGAGAGCCCTTGATTTCAAGTAGAGTTTGAACATGTGGTGTTGAAATGTAAGGAGTGAGTCACGAGCAGAGTAAATGTGAAAGTCGGTGAGGGAGAAACAGTGGAATATATGTCAACGCTTTTGGATACAGCTCCTAGAAAGCTTAGGAGGTAGTTTGGAGGATCACATCTACTTGCCAGTCGTATATGGTTGAGGTGAGAGAGTATGACGAAAGGTGGAGACAAGCAGAAGTATCAGTGGCAAGGGGAAAAAACCGTTTGACGCCGAAATAATGAAGTTAAAAGGGATTTATCTTTTCAATTGTAAAAAGACCTAAGTCTAGGACGAAAGAGGGAGAGAAATCTATCTAGTTTCATTTTGCAGGCCACGTTGTAGATAGAAAAGGGCAAGGATATGTCGTGATAAGGCTGCTTTAAGTGCTTGCATGAAAAGCACGCTTACTTGCCTACTTAGGTACATCAATTGTCATGTTAATAGAATCAATTGGTATGGACAGTACGAAGGACACGGTTGCCTAGCAACTCCTGTTCCAATGAGGCGAGCATCGATGATTCTGTCTTGGCTGGAGTAAGTTCAAGGGAGTTCAAGGGGTAGGAAAGCGGGAAATGTTAGTGGGGTCGGGGCACGAAAGTGGGATGGTTACGCGATACACCGCGTAAAGTGGTTTCTTACCCCCTGCAGGTTTATCGTTCTTTGCCAGGGTCCTTCAAAGAACTGCATTAGGTATCTCTCGACTTGGATCGGCTGGAGGGGGCCAAGCGAGGACAGCCCAAGGGAAAGCGAGAGTTACAACGTAAAATTTTGAAATTTCCCATCAAGCCACAAATTGCTGATATGCATGATGACTGCAAGGAGCGTTCTATTGAAGCTGATCCCTCAGGTGCTGCAAGTTATGTACCCTTTTTCACGGTGTCGTATCGATGTAATAGTATATTAGCAGCCCAACAAACACCACACAGTCTTGCCTCAATCGAAGGAATTCACAAACCAATCAGACGAGACCAACAAGAGGGGCGTAACACGAAGCTAGCCCCAGGAACCGATTCCCCGAACGATAGGTTGGCATCATATTCACAGAAAAAATGCCGGAGAGGTGGAAAAGGTGTGGGTAGCCCCAGATATTTGGAGGTGGGACGAGGGGTGATAAAACTAGTGAGTCATCAGAGAAATTAAGGTGGCTGGGGATCTGGACTCGGGTATGCTCGATCAGTTCAGGATTGAGGTTGATGATTGGTCTGTATTTTCAGACTCTCTTTTCCCATGTCTAGGCGACGTATTCGATTTGTCAATTGGTAGTGAACTCGTAAAACCCCATTGATCGCCAGTTGGGTGCCTAGCGACATTCAATGGATCCCCTAATCTAGGAACACTTGCTTCTAGTTTGGGACAAGTGATAAATTTGCAGCCAGTTCGGGTCCACGGGTATGGACCGGAATCGAGAAGATCCCGCAAGAAAGACGGAAGACGAGCGAAGAACCTTGGAACTGTTATTTTCTATTAGGGAAAAAAGGAAAAAGAAGAAAATTACCCATTTTCAAGTTAACAAGATCTGGTTGTATCTGTTCCGGACGGGTGATTGCAAAAACCTATGAGGTATTTTGTACTTGTACGGAGTACTTCCTCCAATTTTGCATTGCTTTTTTTCTTGTACCTACGTAAGTGATGGCAAAATTGCTGGGTAGAGTTCAAGTACACCGGACTGTTGTAAAATAAATAAATTGGGGGTGTGGGACTAGTATAGAAGAGGAAAAAGAAAAAGAAGAGGTTGGGATCAGGGACGCGCTGGAGTTGAAATGGGTCAACACTGTGTGCACGGGGCCCTCACGCTAGAGTCGCCATCTCACGTGATGTTTCAGGATTCGGTACACCTTTCCCGTTTTAGGGTTAAGTGCGTGCATGCGAGGCAGTAAAGACATCAGAAATAGGAAATGTACATGTATCTAGTACGTACTTGGGTATGATGTATGTACTTAATCTAGAAAAAGCAAACTTGTTGAATGATGATAGATTACGGAAAGAACGGAGACTCTCCCGTTGACACTACATGAGGATGAGGAAATCGCGATTGTACCTAGGAATTAGGTTAATTGCGACAGCATTAGTAATAATCTTAAAACTTCTAATGTATGTACCTAGGTATTCACGTATGGTTTTGATTAATGTGAATCTTGCAGCTGCAATCGCCCCTTCGGACAGCGAACCCACGTGATCGTCGTCTCCTAGTAACAATGTTTGGATCGACTAGAGAACCGTGCATCGGGGGGACGGCCCCTTCCTCGATTTAATCCCAACTAGAGACTTTTATGCTCTGCCAAGTACTGGACCCACTTGTGCCTCGACCGCGTAATTCTGGTAGCTCCAATTCAAAGCTCCCCTACCCATTCTTCTCAACCTCTCAAATGCTCTCATTTCTATCAATTTTCTTAATTCGCACGTGGAAAGAAGCGTTCTAAGGTTATTGTGACAATTGTTCCCACTTCGTTTATCTTAGTATTGTTCTCTTAGCTTTTAGCCTCGAAGGCTTAGAGCCCTACCAAAAGACCCGAACCATCCAACATGAATAAAAATTGGAATGACAGAGCTGACAAAGATCTCTTCTTCACCATTCTCTCTGTTAAGAATATCGGTGTAATAAGTGGCGCAGAATGGACTACTATTGGTAATCATATGCGGTCCCTTGGCTATGGCTTCACCAACGAGGGATGCCGGTGAGTAGTACTTGTTTCTTTTGTCTACGCCATAGTTTCCAAGCACCTGGTTCAGATTGAATCTTCTTATCCAAGCTGTTGGTGTTCGTCCGAGCTTGTATTATGTATACGGGGACTTGTTAAGGAACACTTGTGCCGCCTCCCGTGCCCGCTCCCGCGCCCGCTCCGATGGCTCGGAGCTACCCTTCTGGCAGAGTAGGATTCAAGTCGCATGCTATCTACAAGGGTGAATCTACCTAAGTAGCACCGTTAAGACTTAGGAATTTTCGATGCGATTGATATATGACGATCACGTTGCTTTAGTGCGCTGCAGTCGGGGCAAGGTCCACGGCGAGCGCATCCATGGTTATCTGGCGATACCTTCTATCTTCAACCTGGGATGGCATGCGGGGACTAACTAATTGATACTAGCCAACATTTTCAAGGCCTTCGCCGAGCTCAGCATAAGGTTGAATCGAATGGTGGTGGGTTGGACAGTCAACGTAAAGCCGATCCTACCCAAAATCCCATTACAAGGCGCCCAGGACCTGGTCGTGGACGCCCCAGAAAGCAACCACCCATACCCATTTCAAATCTCGACGACGACGATGGGGAAGGACCCACTTCCGGGGCATCAGGACAGCTGCAGGACGCCCATTCCGATGCCGCAGGTACTTCCGGCGACATTTCTCTGCATATCCCGGTTGAAGAAACTGATTCCTTGAACCTGGTACAAGACGACTCGGCTCTTGATGATGAACAACCTTCAAAACGGCAACGCCTCGACGAAAGTGACCAACAAGAAAATGACGAAGTCGCCGTTCTCGCCTTGACAGCAGATGGTATAACCGAACCTGATGATCATTATGGCAGCTCAGCAGAGTAGGTTCAGCATCGTTCTTTAGCAAATCCTACGTTCCTATTGAAATACTAAACAAACTCTATAGGTTTTATGGCGAGGCATAGGTGTTACCATACTTCTAGTACTAGTAGTGTCGTACACTGGTTCATTTAAGCTGCTTGATTTTCAACATGAAGCTAATAGAAGACGAAGACTCACGTTTGCTTCTTTTACGGATGGAGAACGAGAGGATCATCTCCAGGGTGCTTATGTACAACATTTGCGGCATCGCGTTGATCGGTAGTCTGGAGTTATGAGCGGGCTTTTAGGTATGATGGGGATAAAATTCGTTTTTGATAGCCAATAATTCTAGATGCTTTATGAATGATTGGCTAGTTGATCCCCCTCGAGTGAGGATGATGAATTCACGTAATTCACATAGTGGCCCCCAACGTGCCGAGGCTGCATTCACCATGCATATGCACCGATCTTCACATCTATTTCAATGTTGCATCCTCATCCTTCCCTGTTCATGTACGACTGGTTGTCAGAAGCAAGTCTAGATGCATGGGTCAGAGCAACTACTACCTACAGTTACATGTACAACGACTTGTTTCCCAAGTATCTACTACCCAACTACAAACATGTATGTCCGGAAGGAGGGAAGATCATAGATGTCTTAAGTTTAAAGCAGGTTTGTTCAAGTTTCCCATCTAACCAACCCCCTCTGCCTTCCCGGATTGATATTTAAACGCAGCATACAAGCCACCCTCCTGCTGTACACCATCACACTTTTCTCGCCGTTTGACATGCAACTGCCCTACCTCTCCTACCTCTACCTTTACAGCCTTTAACCCTCCTGGCTCAACAATTATTTAGTTTGCTTCCCATCCATCATTGCACACTTCCGTCTTTTAATACGTGGCACTTCCATTCCGAGAGCATTTAATTATTCTCCTAGTTCAATAACGAACATACTGACTCGTCATCTGCCTACAGCCTGGTTCCAACCTCTATTCACCGCTCCTTGACAACCTCAGTTGCAGCAACCTAGTCTCCCGTTACACACGACCCCCCACTCAAATCAAGCCACAATGGGGAATTCACCATGGGGTTACGAGGCATATCGTGATTTTATGATGTGTGTTTGGGAAGTTGGGAACTTCTCAGGCAGCCAAATGGACGAGATCGTCAAGAAGTTGCATACCATGGGTCATGGCTTCACTCGAGAAGCAATGAGGTATACACGATTTCTTTATTTCAAACTACCTAAGTAGTCATTCATTATATGCTAGCTATCATTATGCGAGCACACTTCTTACATCACCCCCACCCAATACAATGTGGCTTCCTTCTACACTTGGTCAACATGGATTGGTACATTGCTGTTTCTTCCCGTGGTTGCGGTCATTTTAAATTGCCCACCCATAGATGTTTTCTGAAATACGTCATTACATCACTACCAACACAATATGTCACAGCCCTCATTAGGAACAGCCCATGCCATCTGGCAGAGGCTCCTTCCATTGAACCCTACCTCGATTTCATTCTTGTTATGATTCATGCTAACTTTCATTCCTAGGCAACATGCCCAGAAGATGGTTAGAGAAAAGAATAAAGGAACCAATCCCAAGACCGCTTCTGATTCTGGAAACTCCGGATCTCCAGCCAAGCCACGCGGCAGGGGTGGTCGCCCTAAAAAGTCCGGCGTCAAACCCAAAGCCAAGCCCAGTACCAGAGCTGGTACCAAGCGTGACGTCTTTATGAATGATGACGGCGAGGATGACGAGGAGGTTAAGACTCTCAGAAAGCGTGTCAAGAAGGAGTAAGCATAACCTTTATGTCCCTCTCATAATTCCCATTCCCTGATAGCTTCAGTAAAATTAATCACCTAAGTAGGAACTCCACCCCCAACACGAGCCAGTTGGATGACGAGTCTAAACCGTCACCTATGTCTACGCTCAATTCCCCTTTCGTACCCTCCACCCAGAGCAAGAACGACATTGGATCCCCAGCTATGACAGAATACGAGGTCTGAAGAGATGAGTCTTCAACATCTCTTGGCGAACGCGAATTGGAGCGATGATTTGCTTTACCATGCGGCGTTTTATCTACTCACCACACTAATTTGGAGGCTGAATGAATCCGCGATATCTTGAATTTGCGAGACTCAAGATTTGTTTTCCTTCGTCTTTAGCGTTGACTTTGAGGGTGTTTCGGTGTGTTCCGTTCGGCGTCTCTGATTTCCAGAATGCCATATGGCCTTGTCAGACAATGATTTATCGATGATTTCTTACGCCATTGCGAAGATTTATCATTCACTACCTACCTATATGGTAGATGTATGCAGATGCGATTGATTTATACGTCCTCGGACTTTTCAATTGAACATGCGATGATTTACACATGTTTTCCCGATATGTTTTTATCTCCGTTTCTATTAAATTGTTCCACCTATGAGTAGTAGAAGTTCCTCCACGATAGCCTCGTTGGTGGAATATACATTGACCTTAATCGTATCGCCCCGTCCCGCGCATGCTAGCCATCAGCATGGATCTAATTCCTATTCCCCAATTAGGCTTTCCAAGTGGCTCTGACTCGCGTGTATGGGTCCTGAACTAATGCCGTGATCGTCATATCTAGAAGTTAAGCTTTTCCCAAGCCTTCCTGAGAGGGCAGTTTTCATTAAAGGCTTACTGCCCCCATGTGGGGAATCCGGGGTGATCGTCTTAGAACCTTAGCCTAGTGTCCCGGCGCCTCGGTTTTTATATGACTATCCTAGTTCATCTTAAAACCTCGAGTTCAAAACAGTAAGCTCGAAGGAGTGAGGTTATAATCGCCCCATAGTCTTTTTATCCTGCACTTGTAGTGGTGGAAATATGTTTGCGCTACTACTTAATACTGAAACACATTCGTGTCCACACTATTCGCCGAATTGCTCTCGGGCATGAGATAACTGACCAGGGCACCCCCGGTGGGCAAATTCATGGGTTCGATTGGTGATCCACTCAACCACCTACGTAATAGATTCCCTGCAAGCCGCGTCTCAACTCTAGGAATCCACCTCGGGGGATCATCATACCACCTTTCAAAAGGGGTAGTTGCTCATCATGGTATAAGTCGTCGTCGACGACTTCTAGTATTTTAAATATGGCATCCCGTCGCAGCACTTTGAGGCGTTTTCGCTCCACTCCTCAGGCCATTCACTCATTCCCGCCTTGAATCTAGGAGCATTTTGCTTCTTTTACGATCTTTTCAAAATGCGCTCCAATTCAATCGCTAGCCTTCTCACCTACGCCCCTCTTGCTTTGGCAATCCCAAGCAAGACTATCAAAGACAGGGCTAGTTGCACCTTCACCTCCACCTCCACCCTATCCTCCGGGAAATCATCCTGCTCCGACATAATCCTCAACAGCATAACCGTCCCCGCGGGCGAAACCCTCGACCTGACGAACCTCAACGACGGAACCAGCGTCACTTTCCAAGGCACGACAACCTTCGAATACAAAGAATGGGAAGGACCTCTAATCAGCATCTCAGGCGTTAATATCGCTGTAACTGGGGCCTCGGGACATGTCATCGATGGTAACGGGGCAAAATGGTGGGATGGGAAAGGTGGGAATGGGGGGAAGACGAAACCTAAGTTCTTCGCTGCGCATAAATTGAACTCGTCTACTATTACTGGGTTGAATGTTAAGAATACACCGGTTCAAGGATTTTCGATAAATGCTGCGTATGGTCTTACGTTGGATAAAATTACAATTGACAACTCGGCTGGGGATACCGGCGGTGGACATAACACGGATGCTTTTGATGTGGGTGCTTCTGATGGTGTCAAGATCCTTAATGCCAACGTGAAGAATCAAGACGATTGTCTCGCCGTTAATTCCGGGACCAACATCGAATTTACCGGTGGTACATGCTCCGGTGGCCACGGACTGAGTATCGGATCCGTTGGCGGACGCGATGACAACGACGTTAGCAACGTAGTGATCTCATCATCCAGCATCTCGAATTCGCAGAACGGTGTGCGGATCAAGACGGTCTCGGGGGCTACTGGGTCGGTTAAGAATATCACATATTCGGATATCACGTTGAGTAATATTACGAAGTATGGTGTTGTCATCCAGCAGGACTATGAGAATGGTAGTCCGACTGGTACACCCACGAACGGGGTACCTATTACAGAACTTACCTTGAATGGTGTGGAGGGCAGTGTTGCGAGTGATGCTACCGAGGTGTACATCCTCTGTGGTGAGGGCTCGTGTAGTGATTGGACATGGGAGGGTGTGAGTGTGACGGGTGGGGAGGCGAGTGAGGATTGTTCGAATGTGCCGACGGGGGCTTCTTGTTAGTGCTATGAATAGTTCCACCTACTTGAGTAAGCTGTGATAGCTCGAGGTATTATTCAATAGGACATAGCAAGCTTCATGATACCAAATTAAACCATCTATCCTTCACCGGCTTAGACGCCATACTCGTTTATTATCCAGATTATAATTCGTAGCATATATTCTGAAGGAATTTCCTATGTGTTCATAGGATCCCGTAGATGCATTCACAATTCTCCTTTCGTTAGAGAATAATACCTACTTGCCCATAGTAGAACAACATGAGACCGTTCTTCTTCGTTCGCTTTAATTCTACGCCGGCTTTATAACCTAAGGGTTATTTCAAACAGTACCCGTCGAGCCAAGGCATCGACACCATCTGGCGCGATCAAATTGTCATATGGATTTGGAGTGAGATTTCCACATATGCCATCAGACAGCGATATAAACGACAGCTGGTTTGTATTATACATAGAGCCTAGCACCTTAAGCTTAGACTAACAACAAGGAAAACCATGTCTAACCGCAACTAATGAAGTGGGTGTCCTAGAAGTATGAAAAGGAGGGCTTAAATTCGCCTCATAGGTTAATAGCTCTATCTCTTTGAGGTGACTCCATCTATCGAATAAGGCGCAGCGGAGCTTTCATTCCTACCTAGCTGCTGAAGATAGAAGAATAACCTGCTTGACGAGGGCTATGACTGACCTCGAGCTCTATATACGTGATAGATGTTCCGTTAGATAGAGCATCAGTACGACCTAGGCGATCCAGCGATATCCGATAAATATATCATGATCGCATTAGGCTAGCTGGCACTATGGCAATATAAGCTAGCAACTCCCCAAACGCCCAATTTATATCATGTCTTTCTTTGCCTGTTCATATCCCTATATCCATATCTATTATCACGCCTTTCGTCCATCAAGTCGGTGCCCCTCACTAGGCTTCTTTTCGGGTGCTTTTCCTTTATCTTCGCCCTCGCCCTTCCGCTTAACAGCACCTCGAAGGGTTTGACCTTGTCCCGCAAATTGCGGCTTGTTCGCATTCTCTTTCTCCGCCTCCTTATCTGCATCCGTCTTCACTGGCTTGATCTCATAGCCAAAGAACAGTTTGTTTGGGGGTAATCGAAGGGGCATGGGGCCGTTCGTTCGTCTTCGGGGGGCGGTGGCGGTGTTTGTGGAAGCGCCTGCAACGGGAGTCGTCGGTTTTGGGGTTGGGGCCTTGGAGCCCTTCTTTGCGTTGAGCTTATGGCCCTCGTTTAAGAAATGAGATGAAACTGCTCTGGCTCCGACCGCGGCCGTAGTAGCGTTGGGGGCGATAGCGTCGTAGTTGATGGATTGGGCCATTGTGCCTTGGGGATGCATAAGCCCGCCGGCGGGTAGGCCACCCTTCGTACTTCTCGGTGTGCTAGTACCGCTGCCCTTCTGCGGCTCGACATATCCGACCGGAGGTGCGAACTCGACTGATACATCCGTCTCAATCATACAAACACCCATCTTATCGGTTTCTGGCTTCACCTCCAGGACGGCCACCTCGTATACCTCGTCGTTGTACTCGAAGTTGAACACGTCGCCTTTTGTAAGGGTTGCGAAGTTACGGAACGCTTTCTCTAGGACGGCCTTGGGGTCGCTAATGTCGAGGAAATTCGTAGATTGGGGTTGTAGCTTGACCATCTTGGCCAATTCGAGGGATGTCGATTTGATCTGGATCATATCACCGACGTCTAGCTGGAGCGTTTGCATCATCTATACTCGGTCAGCCATACTATATACCTTTGACGAAACTCGAGATAGGGACCTACCCATTGTGGAATGTACGCTCTGCCCTCTTCCGCCACGAACTCCAGCACACCAGCATGAGTCTGACGCTCCTTCTCGCCATTCACCAACTCCATCATAAGCGGCCATTGTACGTGTAGTTGAGAGATCTTCTGAAGCGCAGACGGGGGAAGAAAGATCTTAGAACCGTAGTTGAGTTCCGGTCGTTCGGCCCCGGGGGCCATGATAATCGGGTAGCAACGGAAATACTCGTCGAAGCGGCGCATGGCAGGGCCGCGCATCCCGGATCGGGCCATGTACGACATAGCGGCCGGATCGTCAGCGTCGAACGGGTTGAATCCACGGTACTACGAAAGAAACGTTCGTGGTTAATAGGAGAACCAAAGAGTTTGCGAGGTTCGGAGTAGAGAGGCCGGTTGTGTAACTAACCATAATTGACCGATCGACCTGGATGGTTAGGTGGGGTTACTTTAGATGGATAGGTAAAGGTAAAGGTGTTTGAAGTTTGTTACTAGCCCAGTGTAGGTACCTAAGGATATGTAAATGTTTAAAAAAGATAGTACATGTAGATAGTATGTTCTAGTGATAAATAGAAATAAAGTAAATAGAGGGACGTTTGCTCTTTCTTTGTTAATAAGCTTCCGTAACGCACCATGCCATCAGCTGAACCTTCCTCAGAGCTCCAAATACATCCGCAGGCAACGGTACATGATGACGAAACTCCGGCGTTGTTATTAATCCGCTTAGGTCTCATTTAATGCCTAGACACAATGATGCACCCAGCACAGCCAGGGGTTACTCCACTAACAATCACCCCCTAACGCCCCTAGCTTCGGCCACTATTCAAGAGCTCTATTCCCCACCGATGAGCTGCAGCTATGCTATCACCCACCATACCAAACCAAACCAACAAGGGGCAAATTTCAACGTCATTGTCGTATTCCAACCAACACATACCAATGAGGCTCTACTCTACTATGTACAAGTACCCTACTTCAATCCACCTCTTCCCATAATAACATCCAATCACGCACACACATAACCTACCTCACAAGTCACAGTCGCATTCACACTCACCATGTCCTCCCGCTTCAGCGCCGCGCGCCCCAAACGCGCAGGCGAGAACTACGCGCGAGCGCACCACGCAGAACCCAACTCGAAAAAAGTCAAATTCGACATGCGCAACCCATCCGCGCTCGCCCCCGACGCCGGTGAAGACGGAGACGAAGACGAAGACGGTGATGCGTACCTAGAAGCCGACGCGGACGTGATCCGCGGTAGCGCCGCGACCAAGCGAGGTGCCGTAAATATCGACGGTTACGATTCCGATTCCGATAGAGAGGAATTGGGAACGCTACATGGAGGCAAGGCTAAGGAGAAGGAGGATGAGGATATGGATGATATGTTTGCGGCGGATGAGGATGGTGATGAGAAGGATGATATGGTGGATTATTCTACTGGGAAGAAGAGTAAGGAGGTTAAGTTTGTGGATACCGAGGATATACAAGGGCAGGAGGCTGGGTCGAAGTCTGGTGGTCACGTACATCTAGATGAGGAATCGTCCGGTGATGAGGATGAAGAGACGGTGGAGCTTGCGATACAAGAGGAAGGTATCGATGAAGAAGTTGGCGCGGGCGGTTTGAAGAAACATGCTCCTAAGGTTGAGGCTTTCAATTTAAAAGCTGAAAATGAAGAGGGTCGTTTCGATGAGGCTGGCAACTTTGTGCGCAAGGCTGTGGATCCAGATGCAGTACATGACCGGTGGTTGGAAGGCGTCAGCAAAAAAGACATGAAGAAAGCAGCGGAGGCCCATGAACGGCGCGAAGCTGAACAACGGCAAAAGCGTAAAGAGGACGACAGCGTTCTTACGTCAGATCTACTCAAGTCCCTAATTCTACATCTAGAGCGCGGCGAGACAGCATTAGAAGCTCTAGCGCGACTGGGCAGAGGTCAGACAAAACCGAAGAAAGTTCCTAAGTGGAAGCAGAAGAAGCAAAAACCGGAGGCTATGGAGGTAGATGCCGAGAAGACGCCTGAGGACCCGGAACAGGTCCGCATCAAAGAGGCTATAAACGCGATAACGGATGCAGCGGATAAGCTGCTCGGAAGAGATCGTCCGGATATCTACGAGAGGGAGAGGGAACTTCTGATTCGAGAATACACACGCGAAGCAGATGAACCTTGGGTAGAGCCGCAGAAGAAAGAGGATACCGTAGCGCCCGCAAACAAAACGTGGGAGTATCGATGGATAGATGGTAGAGACAATGCGGATAAGCAAGGTCCCTTCGACGGTCCTACGATGAAGGCTTGGCAGGACGCGGGATACTTCGGAGAGGGCGTTGAGTTCAGAGAGTCGGGCGACGATGGCTGGACTCGCATTGCTGATTTTGTATGATTATGAGGTCTTGTCAGGCCATAAAACGAATGATACCAACGGCGTGTTAAACGATCACGCTCCGATTATGAAGGCGATTTGTGGCAATTATATTGATGTTCCACATCCACCAAATAATAATATGAATTATTAAAACACTTCATAACTACCTATGCATTGTTGCTGTGTGATGCCTCATCCTTCCATCGTTGTAGCGCTTGGCTCTGGATTTGTTATACGTCAATCTGAATACTATTCGTACCTGTTTGTCCCAACCTGTTGTTTGGACTAGAGCCGCGAAAACGGTCGGGAATGGTTATTGATGAAACACATTTATGCTTTTGTAATAGAAAGTATGGCGTTCTCGCTTCGAAGGATATAATCGCGAGTTTCTCATGAGGACTAGATATTTGTCGGACGAAACGGCGCAAACCACTTGATATTGCTTTGAGCGATTTATAGGTATGACGGCTCTCGTAGTCTATTACCGGCGGTTATAAACAAGCTGAGTAGAAGGGGATTCTAGCAACGTAGCGCGCTTTGTTTTGGGTTGTCTATTCGAAGCAGTGGCTGGTTCGTGCGATAGATTTCTGCAGTCGGGTGCCGTGCGGTATAAGTAAAGGATGCTTTGTTACTCCATATCTTGTAATGGTACCTAAGGATGTTGCTTGCTTCTTTATCTTGAGGAAACCAAGTTACTTATCTCCGGATAGGTTTAATACAGGCATTGATTAAGATGATATTCATATGTAACACTTCAAACTACAGGACATATATAACCATCTTAGTCGTGAGGAACCCAGGGCGTCCCTAGATGGCACGGGGAAAGAATAGAAATAAGAGACCCGCCAAAGCTTTGTATCAGGGCATAGGTTTAGTGATATATAGGGCAGCTGGTGGCTGAGTGGCGTTTCCTTGCGACGCATTACGAAGCACCACGCCCGCTAAAGGCCTTTATTACAGGCGGTTAGGAGCTGTTCACTTTCTGCTAGCCAACTGAATCTCGTTACTTGTAGCAACATGCCTCAAGGATGCTTGTACCTATTGCTTCAGGCGTTTTGCTCCTACTAATATTTCGATCCCTGCTGTTATCTAAACTTGCAACTTACCGGATAGCTTGCTTGATATCTTATTTCTCTATACAAAAACGTCGCAATTCACAAGTGATCATGAAATTATTTGAAGTACTATTTAGCATTTAGCTCGGCCGTGCCGGCGGGATATCATCTAGCAGCCATTCGACTGCTCGTTACTGAGGGAAAAATACAAAAGTAGCCAACACCAATGGGGAGTCCAAATCACCTTCCAGACTCCCGCTTTCCAGTAATGTGCTATACGGAGCTCTTAATTCAACTAGCTCCCCCCTTTTTCAACTAAAAAACTGCTCATGACTTTAGGCCTTTTATTATCCTAGGCCGTATTGACCAAATGGAATTTCATATGAGCCCCTCCTTTAATCCGTCCGTTCCAGCGAGACGCCGCAATGCCATTTCCGGGTCACCCTCGACCCTATGTTCTCAACCTAAACCATCCGAATTATGAATATGAAAGGATTGTTTGCTGTGGGAGTCGAAAAGGTAATAAATATGGTATCATGTCGTAGGAATCATGTTCATAATATACATTTCAATGCAGGTAGCCGCCGTTGTATGCGTGTTCCTCCGGTGGCGTCAAGCCTAGTTTTGGCTTGAAGCAGTTACCCCATTCGTCAAAGAATGCCCGACCTTGGCCAAGGCGTCAGCTGGTCTCCACGAACTGTTCGGCGGCATAACTTTGCGTAAAACTTCTAGGGTTACCGGTATAGCATCTTCGGGTGTCGACCACGGACCGAGTCGATCAATTAGCTTCCCAACTGAGCCACCATCATCCGACTTAGAGCTTCCATCAAACACACCCAGAGCTTTACGCGCGTTATCGGCAAATCGCCAAGTCTCCTGTTGATCTTTTGAGTTGGCAAGTACCTGGTTACCAAACTCAGCATCAAGAGGATATGACCACATTATGCGACCAATATGTACAAGGCAGATAGCTTGAAGACGCCAAACCAACGCAGTCAGTCCTTGGTGTCTAGCGCAATCCGTTCTCGTAACTCGGAACAGCATCATCATTTCCCTCAGTGACCGGGTAGAGGCAGGCTTGCGCTCTAGTTCTGAGGCATCGCTTTGCAGCTTAAACCCGAGTAGGAATGAAACCAGACACTGAATGCCGGCCGCGATAGCAATTTGGCGATCGCGTTCCGAAGCCCCGTCCGGTGGCTTCTTCAAAACCCCGTCTCGTTCATGCTTTAACTTGGTGCCAAGCGCAATGAAATTCGATGCCTTCAATTGCAATCTCTGTATTTTCTCGGGGTCGACGGGAGGTCGACGTCGCTCGGGCGGGGGTGCGGCGGGGGTGAGGCCGTTTGCAACCCCTGGGGTACCTGCTTGGGAGCTATTGGAGGCAACGCGCGTCATTGCGGATGATTGTCTCGGAGGTGTTGTGGGACGAATGGTATCCGCGGTTCTCGGTCGTTTGGACGCTTCGCTAAAATCCGTCGCGGGAACGGGTCGCTTACGTGCAGTGCCGGGTTCCAAACTATCGGTACGATCGCGCGAAGCTCTATCCTCCTTCTTCAATAGACTAGCCTTCTTTCCGCCCGGAAGGGCTAAAAGTCGTTCTATAGTTTTCACATTTCGCTTTTTGTATTTCAATGTGACCATGAGCGATTCCCGCTGCCCTTTGTTGCTGTCAACATGGATCGTCTCTTCGCGCTTAGAGGGTTTCGTCGCTTTCTTCTGTCCATTGGCAGAATCCGAGAGTTGTCCGCTTTTCGGACCGGATTCCTTTGTCGTCAACTTATCCGCCTTGGCTAATTCTTCAAGTACAAGCGGAGGAAGTGTAGGAGATAGAAGGGGCGGGATCTTCCGCTTCCTGGGGCTTGGGGACGGCTCGCGATTTTCCCGACCTTTCTTCAGCGGAGGTTTTAGGCTGCTTGAGTCTGTCGGTTTCTTCTTGGGGCGCGGTGCCTTTGGGTCGTCATCCACGTAGTCCGATATATCAATTGGCGATAGCAGAGGCGGTACATAAGCCGCCTTAGAGTTGGAATTACTCTCTGTCTTCCTGTCCGCCCCATCTTTGCTCTTGACTGATTTTTGGGAGCCATTTACCTGAGAACCGGGTCTAGGAGACACGCCTTTGTTTCCTGTACTGCTCGGTACCGACTTGCCATTAGTAAGTTTTTGGTCTTTAGTTAATTTCTTTTCAGAAGGGACCTGTCGCTCGGTCTTTTGTGGCGTGTGGTCTTTCATATGGCGTGAGCCCGTAGAATTAGGGGTGGCGTTCTCGAGCTTGCTCCGCTTCGCCGGCTTAGAATCGTGTTCGGCATCTGCAACTCGTTTCCTCCTATCTGGTGAAGGGCTACGATGGCGACGCGCGTCGGGCTTCAAGCTGTGCTTCGTATCAGGAGTGACTTTCTTGGAGTTGCGATGGTCCTCCATATCTTTTGTTACCGGATCCGGCAATGTCTTTGCAGGCGCATTCGCCTTCGTGGGCTGCGCAGCCGATTTGGGTGGCTCTTCGCCTTCAGGGGTCTTCGTCTTATTCTTATTCTTGTAGTCTTTTAAGGATAACTTCGTCTTGGGTTTATTGGGGTCACTCTTCTTGGGAGCCGGGCTGTCGCTTGCATTGGCAGGATTCGCGGGCTCTTCCCTCACGTCGAAATAGGCGCGTGTAATGAGAATTCCTCGGTCCGCGTCACTAACAAATGTAGAATATTGGAGTGGTCTAAATGCCTGTTCTTCTAATCTATTCTCGTCTTCTGGTTGCGGTCGATATCGGCGCGTCGTGTCGAGGGAGAGGTAATGTTGGTGGTATGGTAATTTATTGAGTATTTGTTTAATCGTCTGTGTCGCCTCCTCCATGATTTCCTTTGTTCATGCAACTTCGCAAGGTTGCACACGAACTTGGTGCTAGGATCATCAAAGAACCTTAAGGCGCGCGCGGTTGCGGGTTGCGGTGGCTGATGCTGATTATGTGGGTATATCTAGGTACGGCTTTGAAGGTATCATGAGGTTCCGGGGATGATGCGATAAGACGGGAATTTCTGCAAGTGTAGAATTTAGCATACCAGTCTTACTCGAGCGAATGGGCGATTGACAGAGCGCCGTAGGATCGGTAAAAGACTAAAAACATTTTGATGTACGATATACAACGTAATTAGGTATAGAAGACGCAATGGTGGAAACAATTGTACTTTTTTTGTACAAGCATTGGCTGAAATGAAAATAATCAAGAACAATAAATTTAGTAGTACAGTAAGAAAAAAAAAGTAAGAGGGACGACGGTATGGTATCAGAAGTAACCTAATGGGTTACTGGCTGAACTTGAACTGAACCGGATTCAATGCACTGGATTGTAAGTAACTGACCTGAAAGGTTGGGTGGTGACCGTGACGGCTCGCTTGGCCTTGCACACCGCAGTCTACAGTCCCGTAAAGTACAGTACAATACAAAATGCAATAGGTAGGCACAGGCTATTGTTGTCGCGTAGACATCATCTGCTGTCTTATCCAGCCTCCAATAGATCCTCGTAACATTCGGCCCGGCGCATCGCTCATCAAAATGTAGCTCGCGTCGGCGAATACTTAGAAGGGAGGAAACCAAAGATAGGAAGGGGAGGTAGACATCAAAACGGACAGAGGCAAGGGAGGAAAAATAAACGAGAAAGGGGAAAGAGGGTGAGGCTCGTTTCGGAGAGAGAGAGAGAGAGGAAACTACAAGAGGATGGATGAAAGAGTCAAGATAGTGAGCAAATGTGTGTGTGCCAATGGATTGTTGTTGCAGATGATGCGTGATGATCGACAGCGGGAAGATGTTTTGGTGAGGTGGGTGAAGACCGAGGCGTCGATGGTAGGGTAGTTTGGGTAGTTTCGTAGTTGGAAACGCAAGCGCAATAGCGTGTCGTAGTGACTTACAGCAGTGGTGACAGCGGTGGTGGTAACTAGCGTTTAGGGGCGTTAGGGATGGTAACGCTAAGTAATACAAGAAGCGCCCAGGCAATTAGGTAGTGAGGTAAGCAAGTGCGCTACGAGCAATAAAATTACAGGGATATTTCTAGCTTGGGTGCTGGGTTGCTGACCTTGAGCCTTGAAATTTTGGTGAGGGACCGGATAGTGACAGAGATGGCTCGGATGGGGCAAGACCAGGGCGGGCAAAGATGGACCCCCAGTTTCCCCCGTAGCTAGGTACCTGCTAGAATGTTTGCTACAGTGACACACCGGCTGGCAATTTCCTTCTGACAGTTTGATGACAGCCTAAACTTAATACATTCAATCCTCATAGGTCTATTCAGATGTACAAAGGAATGTGCATACATAATCTAACTTATGTAAGAACAGGTACATAATCACTAAGATACTTTGGCGCTAAAGAGATCCACTGATGGACGTGGACGGGATTTGATGTGGCTTAGGTATACAATTTTGGGGTGGCTTATCAGCATCAGACTTCGAGGATCCCGGTCAAAGATGCCTAGGTTCCCATGCATCGGGATGATTTGATAGGGTAGGACATTGAGATGAACCACTAGAATCGCATCATTCGCACCCGACTGCGACCATATCTGTGTATCTACGTGTACCTAACCGATTGCGGATTCAGCACCTATGTACAGCAACCCACGCTGCCAGACCAGATTGAGAAATGCGCCCCCGTCCACCCCTTCCCTCTAGCCTCCACCGAACTCTGCATGTCCCGGCCATGCACGATAATTCCGTTAAGCGAGAAAAATGTCTCTAGATGCGGCAGTACAACATAATAATCATCTTCTACCTTGTATGTGGCTTCGAATCTGGGTGGTAGAATTCGCTTTGTAAGAAATGTTCCACATTCTGAACTCTACTAATCCTTAGCGTATATCTTAAATACCTAGGTATCTAACTGGAGCCATGTCTCTAGCGATAAACTCCGGTTAGAGCCGTGTCGGGACAAGGCAGGCACAACCGCGCGACCACAAGGGTTGCAACCTGGAACTTTACAAGGCAGGTTCAAGTCCAACATGGGAATAATGCAAGGCTGACGTGGGGTTGCCTTCATATTACAAGCTTCGCCGTAAGATCTTTATCCTAAAGTTATTTATGTATTTTTTTCTTTATTTATCAGCTTAGCCCTATCGTCCGTAAATACCTTCTTCCGCGAAGCTTTAGTTGTTTGTCAGCCTTATCCTTTGACAACATACATGAACTATCTAAATCAATCCTTAGCTGTGGAAATTCTGAAAATCCACCTTATTCAATTTAATTCAGTTTCCCAGTTTTTAAGTGGATAATTTTGTAAACGGTGAAACTCAAGCTCGAAAAGAACGGACCTCTTAAAAAACCGTCGTCGTTAAGACGTACAAGCTCCAACCTACGCACGTGTCTACCTGACCTCTAAATCACAACTCCGACTCTCAGCCCATTCATCCAAAATGTCAGACAAATCCGCCGCCCTCGTAACGCCGGCCTCGGTGCTCCTCTCCACCAGCATCGTAGCCTTTCTCTCAGGCTTCATGTTTGGCATGTACTCGATCCGAGGCTACTTCTTCGTCTCCCCATCTCTAGAATCAGCACGACGAAGCAACATCACCGATCCTATAGAAAGCGATGAGTCCGATATAGACGATGACACAATCCTCGACCATGCACCGAACTGGGCGAATGGAGAGGAAGCCGATGTACGGGATGGGTTAAGAGCTCGTAAACAGGAGAAGAAGAAAACCAAGAAGGCACCCAAGATAGAAGAGGAGGAAGAGGACGAGGCAGACAAAGCTTCCCGAGCACACCCGCAACAGCCCATAGCCGATGGACCAGCGAACGAGGAGTGCAAGCTAGTTCTCGTCGTGCGAACAGATCTAGGCATGACAAAAGGTACATCTAATAGCTCCTTTTCCCTTCCTCGAGTAAAGTTCCAAGCTAACTAGTGCGCTTTCTACCTCCCAGGCAAAATCGCAGCACAATGCTCCCACGCCACCCTCGCCTGCTACAAAACCCTCAGCCGCGCCGCATCCCGAAACCCCTCGTCCCCCGAAGCCCGACTCCTCCAACGCTGGGAGCGCCGAGGACAAGCCAAGATCGCCGTCCAAATAAAATCGCAAGACGAGCTCCTGGAACTACTAGGCAAGGCGCGAAGCCTCGGCATCACTTCCGAAGTTATCCAAGACGCCGGTCGAACCCAAATCGATCCCGGTAGCCTAACGGTTCTAGGAGTCGGGCCCGCACCCAAGAGCCTCGTTGATAAAGTCACGGGAGGACTCAAGTTATTATAAGACTTATGATAATTGAAACTCTAGAATGAATTAGTTGCAGGAGGGGCGTGGTCAATACATACAGCACATTAGACATAGATATGGGCATTTCACGGCGTGTATACCGGAGTTTAAAAAGAAATATCCACGGTCGTCATATTTGCAGATCACTCAAAAATCATGAAGTACGACTAGCGTAAAAAATCAAACGATTTATTGGCATCCATAAATGCTTTTGCATGCGCACTCGGCGTGTATCTATGCCTCTAATGTTTGTGGGACTCATTTCGTTGCTCGAGGCCAAGCCCTGACCGAAGTATGAGTACACTCACTACCTTCCTCGTTGGCCAGACCTATTTGACGCCTTCCGAAACTCACTCCTCTCCTCTCCATATTTTTGGTCCTTTAATAGATACAACTAGGATGGTTTCATTTCCGAAATATCCCAGGCAACGCAAACGCGAAAAGGGTATTGTAAGAATGCGTCTTTCCTAACGCAACAACTCAAAAAATAGATCCCTTAATGACGAATCCACTCAATACCTGACGACCCTGCGAAGTGAGGTGATGGCCAGGACGTGAGTATAATGCCGACGCATTTTCAAAATAGTAAGGTTCGCCAACTCGAAATCACTGAAGGCTTAGTGCCGATCGAGTCTTCTATCCCCTGCCGAATATCCATTACACCACGGAGGTGTTAATTGCATGATGATTTTGGGGCTCTTTGGCCCTGGTGTGATACCACATTTTGGTATCATTCTATCGGCTTGCATATGTAGCTTGCACTCATAAAATCCCCCCTAAGGTGAGAGCAAATGACAGTCATAAGCTCAGGAGGCAAACTTGCTATGGCGAGAATTATAAATTAGTGCTGTTGCTACGCAGCGGGGGTGGCTGCGGAAAGGGCCTGCCGTTTGGCAAAAGCTTTCTTTTCTTCGACGGATCATCGATGGGTGAACTCGGGGAAGCTTGTCTTTTCCCACCCTTCTCAAGAGAAGCCTTTGCAATTTCAGCTAATCTCATGCTGTCCTTCGTCTGTTCAACTTTTGAGACTTTGTCTCTTAACAGCGAAATTTCCTTCTCTATGGCCACAATACGCGTTTCGTGGGGCCGAGCATAAGGGTCAAGTTGGTGAATTATCAAGTCCGCCATACTCTTGGTACTGACGTTTGCCCATTGCTTGTCTAAAGTTCGTATAGCATGATCCAGCGCATCGATCCTCATTCGGGCATCTTCGACAGCCGGTTTGATGGCGTGGGCAAGTTGATTATAAGCAGTGGAAGTGGATCCCAAATTATTGATGCTTTCCTGCATAGTCTGTATTTTCTTGTCGATACTACCGAGATTGATACCAACATTCTCGAACCTTTGGTTGAAGTTTTGACCCTCGAGCTCGCCAATACGGGTTTTCATATCCATAGCATCCAAGTTTTGCTCTGCTATAGATTGTTTTAAGGGGTCGACTAGTGCGGCTATGTCAGTGTCCTTCGAGGGAGGTTGTTCTAGACTTTTAACCATTTTCTCAATTTTGTCAATACGAATTAACACCTCGTCGACCATGTCGGCGCAAGCATCCCCAGAATCGGCCACTATCTTCTGGACAACCTTATTAAAAGCATTGATCTTTTCATCTACAAATGCTTGCTGCGGAGGTTGTGCCTCTTCTGGCGTTGGATAGCTTGGTGGAGGAGCAGCATGTCGCGAATCCTCCATTGCTTCAAGGCTTTTTCTCAAATCCTGAATGAGCGGGTCATTCTTGCCGACTTCTCTGCTTATTTCGTCGGCCATTGATTTCCTGAGGTCTCTGAGGTCATCGTGTAAAGCCGTGGTTCGTTTGTCATTGGAAATAACTTTGCCCTTCAAATCATAATCGATCCAAGCCTCTAGGATCTCATTATACGTTTCCATGTCAAGATCTTCAACCTTATTCATGAAAGCAGTTACTCCTCTTTCGACGTTGTCAACCCGATTTGCGATGGATTGGAGCTCCTTAGATAAGCCATCCAGGGTTTCTTTTGTAGATTTGAACTGCTTGATTTGCTGCTTGAGATCATCGTTCTCGGATTTAAGAGCAATAAAATCAGCCTTTAACCCCTTGAAATCGTTATCTAAGTTGGTAAGGGCTTCTGTCGTCTTCTCTCGGTCATTCTGGACGGATTGAATCTGAATCTGAGTCTCGGCAATCTCTTTCTGTTGGGCCAGTATTTGCTCCTTCTGCTCTTCAATATGTTCTTTCTGCTCGGAAATTTGCTGTTGCTGCTCGGAAGATTGCTTCTCAAAGTTGGCAAACTTGGCTTCTAGGGCTGAGATGGCAGCATTCTGTGTAGTTGTTTGCGGATCTGCAGATTTATACGCTAGCAGGGAAGATATGCCTTTCTCTAATTCCTCTCTAAACTGCGATTCTTTTGCAGTAAGCTCCTTAGAGAAATTATCGCGATCCCGTTTTTGCTCGATCCGTCGTTGAAACTCGGCGAACGGCGCGTAATCATCGATTTTACTTGAGATTTTGTCAACCTCAAATTGACGCCGAGTATCCTCACTGGAGAGTTTGTCCTGACGCGATTTTAAGCGTAGGAACTCTGTATATGACGCAACCCATTTGATGGCATCTTCAACTACCGTCTGCATTTTAGGATCCTTAGCTTTTGAGGTAGGGGCAGCTACTGCAGAGTTCGATACCTTGTTCGTCTTAGTAAGTCTATCGGCGGCTGTGAATCATTAGAATTTTGACTTGATAGACCATGATGAGAATAAAACTTACCGGGTTCAGTCGGAGTGGGACGAGTACTTGGAGCAGTACTCAAAGCACTAGCTGGAGAATGAGTAGCTGAAATTGAGCGTCTCGCGCCTTCTGCAACCTTGGTGTCTATATGAAGACCCTTCGACGCATTAGTATCGTCTCTCATAATGTCTCTCCTGGGACTTCGGGCAGGCCTAGCCCTGGGCAAATCTCTCGTGTCTCCCGAACCACGTGGACCGAATTCCATGTCGCGGACCCGGTCGCGGTCCGAGTCATAAGGTCGTCTAGGTTCATTTGGTCGCCTTCGATCGTCGTCATACGCCCTCGATGCTCTTCGTTGGTACGCCGACATTGTGGGCTACCAAAGTTTGTTTATTCCGCTCGCCAAGGCGAGAAGAATGATATGTTGCTTCCCCAGTCGCTTAGGTTTATGATGTAGCTTTCCGATAAAGCAATGATTTGAAACAGTAGCATGGCCTTAAATATGGTCACTACCTTGTGGTTATGCCAGGTTGAACTTCTCGAGAAGCTAGAAACTCTAGCTGAGAGGAACAATCAGAAGATTCCCTATTATCAAGTACCTAGGTAACCACCCACGTAAACATCCCAGTTTACATGGTAGGTACTTAGATACCTAGGTAATCAATATGAAGTAGACCTTGAAACCGAAGAAAACGCGATTTCCACGGTGGGAGTGGCTATGAATCGTAGAATGCTCGAATAACTATATTGGAAGTCGTACTTCTGGGATCGGTTGTTTAATGACGTTTTTTTAATAGAATCTTGGTGGGCAATGAGTGACTGCGGATCAATCCAGACCAATCACAATATTTTTAAGACCCCAATCCTGATGCGCGATACCGTGAACAGGAATCGCTACTTCTTTCCCTCTGAATCAAAAAGAACGAACGACTTTTGGGTACTTTAGGTTTCCTTTGGATTCTGAGCAAGTACGAGCAACCTGGTTGTATTTTTACTCGCATAGGATGAAATTATCGACAATCACAGTAAAAAAAGTGCTGGTTGATAGCACCTATCGAACTGCTGGACTTGCATATGCAGGCGAACGAACGAACCCCTTGCTGTTTTGTTTATTGGCGCTTGGGGTCTAGGAAGGTATGTACACGTAACTACCTCGACTGCTCGTTAATAATTGAGCTCTTTCCCTTCTTATATACATGTAAATGGATATGTTCAAGGGGAAAGAGCTCTGGAAGTATGTATACGACAACTAGTGGCTAACGATAAGTGTTGTGGTATAGTAGGTACGCCCTACCTAACTAGTTGTTGGTCCTGAAGCAGATAAATATAAGGCAGGTGTGGGTCATTAGAAACGTAGACCTATACTCCCCCAGGTGGGTACGGAGCAAACAGAAGTAACTCTCTAAAGTTAGTAGAAGGAGAGAACTCCCGTTCGAATATATACAAGTAGAATAATATTTCTACAAAAAAAAAAAAAAAAAAAAAAAAAGGAAAAAAGATAGAAAGGAGAATTAAATATTCAATCACATCGTTAAAAATAGAAGACTCATTAATATGCCCATGTCTATGCCCATGCTGCTGGGTGTGCATTTGAAAGATACACGACAAAACGTGACGAAGAGACCGGGGGGGTAAGGAGGCATATTAAGAGTGGCAAACGGGGGATAAAATTAATGTAACTTAATTTTAGCGGCTTTTAAGCGCCTTCGTTCAAATACTTATATTTTATTACTCCCTGGGTATTTTATTTGATATTTTATTTTACTGCTAAACTTCATATCGTAAGTAAACAAGTGGGGTAAAGACAGCAGACAGACAGGTCAGGTTTCACTGCATTTACTATACTAAAGTCTTAAGCCGATGTAGCCAATGAAAGGAGTCAAAGTGAGTACAGACTGTGACCTCTTATTTCTCACCGCTTAGAAGCCACACGGAGCACTTCCTGCGCAGCCGGTAGGAAGCAGTGACTAAAAAAGTGAGCCCATTTAATTAAATAAAGCCACACCTATCCGTTAGCTTAAAAGCTTCGAGTCCGTAAAGATGCCAAGATAAATCGATAAGGTAAGATAGCGCTAGCATGTACCCGTACTCGCGAAGTACATGCACATGATGTACTGTACCTAAGTACCTAGGTACATTAGCGCGCGTCCAAATTTCTAAAGCTCGGATTTGCTCTTCGTTCGAAAGCTTCAGAATTTCAATTACCTGCCTACATACACACTAGCGAGACTGGCAAAAGGTGATTTAGTAACGCCGACCAGGGAAATAATAGAGTTGCGATTGCATATTTCCTAAGGGAATTCCTAAATTATTTTCAAGATGGCCGCCGTAAGTAATTATTTCAAGCCAGGGGCTGAAAAATGATAGCTTAGGATGCTAATAAACATGTAGACCGTGATGACCGTCGGCGAGACGAAAGAGCTGCGAGGCCTCAACCTCATTGCAGCGCATTCGCATATCAGAGGTCTCGGTGTAGACACAGACACGTTAGAGCCTCGCGCGGCGTCGCAAGGTCTCGTTGGTCAGGAGAAGGCGCGAAAAGCTGCAGCCGTCATATTAGAGATGATCAAGGTTGGCAAGATCGCCGGCAGAGCAGTGCTCATCGCTGGGCCACCCAGGTATGTCAAAATACTATCTCGCTATATGAGATCGCAATGATTGAAACATTACTAACAATGCCTGTTACAGCACTGGTAAGACAGCTATAGCAATGGGCATGGCCCAATCCCTCGGACCCGATGTACCATTCACAAGTCTCGCCTCGTCCGAGATCTTTTCACTCGAAATGTCCAAAACCGAAGCCTTGACACAAGCCTTCCGAAAGTCAATCGGTGTACGTATCAAGGAAGAGTCGGAAATAATGGAGGGCGAGGTCGTTGAGATTCAAATCGACCGCAGTGTCACTGGTGGTGCCAAGCAGGGCAAACTCACGATCAAGACCACCGACATGGAAGCCGTATACGACATGGGAGCTAAGATGATCGATGCCATGACTAAAGAGCGTGTTATGGCTGGCGATATCATCTCTATTGATAAGGGAAGCGGAAAGATTACGAAACTCGGCCGAAGTTACGCTCGCAGCCGTGACTACGACGCCATGGGCGTAGACACCAAATTCCTTCAGTGCCCCGACGGTGAACTACAAAAGCGCAAAGAAGTCATCCACACCGTCACTCTACACGAAATCGACGTCATCAACTCGCGCACACAAGGTTTCCTCGCCCTCTTCAGTGGTGACACTGGTGAGATCCGCAGCGAAATCCGAGATCAAATCGACACCAAGGTAGGTGAATGGAAAGAAGAAGGCAAAGCCGAAATTGTTCCCGGTGTTCTCTTCATCGACGAAGTCCACATGCTCGACATCGAATGCTTCAGTTACGTCAACCGCGCACTAGAAGTCGATCTAGCCCCCGTCGTCATCATGGCGAGCAACCGAGGCCACTCCAAGATCCGTGGCACCGACTACCGTAGTCCCCATGGTCTACCCCTCGACTTCCTCGACCGCGTCGTAATCATCCAGACGCAAACCTACACCCCAGAAGAGATCCGCCAAATCCTCAGCATCCGTGCGACAGAAGAAGAAGTCGACGTATCCCCCGACGCGCTCGCCCTTCTAACAAAGATCGGTCAAGAAGCCGGACTACGCTACGCCAGCAACTTAATCACAACCTCCCAACTCGTATCCGCGAAGCGCAAGGCCCGCCAAGTCTCCGTCGACGACGTCCAGCGCAGTTTCAAGCTCTTCTACGATCCCGCGCGCAGCGTAGCTTTCGTCAACCAATCCGAAAAACGCCTCATCGGCAACGACGGCGCCGTCGATTTCGCCGTCGCCAACGGTGTCAGCGGTACCAACGCCGGTGCGGGAGACGCGATGGAAATCAGCTAGGGGTGTAGCATAGCGTAAAAGAACCCCCAAGCCCAGGTGTTTTATTTTCCGTGTTTTCAAGATCTCTTCTACCCCATTTCTAATGGGTGGCGTTGGATGGATACCAAAATTAGGTAGTAGGAAGTTTTCGGTAGGACAGACACCAAGCAAGTTACTACAATTATTAAGTGATTGAAACGAGGCATAGAAAGAAGAGGAGTGTATCATAGGTTTTCATAGTGGCGTAGGTGGATTGCAATTACAATGCTTTTTCAGACCCTATAAGATCAGTTCACTTCGTGATATGCAGAACTTACGTGAATACGGATACTTACACGGGGAGTACGGCTCCTTATAAGACTACCTAGGTATGCTACCGATTTTATCACAGAAAGGACTTGAGGCTCATTTATTTTTGTTTTTTTATCTAAATCACACTAATTCACATAAGACGTCACTGCCCAAACCAGACCCCGGCCATGCTCCTAAGCGACTATTTATTTTCAGTGTCGCCTTTGCATCGAGACTATCGTAGCAGCTTAAAAGTAATTAGAGTTTAGAAATTTATTTGCCAGCATCGACCTTGGAGATGTAAGACAAAAGGTCGAGGACACGTCGGCTGTAACCCCACTCGTTGTCGTACCAGCTGACAAGCTTGACGAAGTTCTTGTTTAGGGAGATACCGGCCTTGGCATCGAAGATCGAAGAGTTGGTGTTACCGTTCAAGTCGGTAGAGACAACATCGTCCTCAGTGTAGTCGAGGATTCCTGAAGCAAAACGTTAGCGACTGGCTCAAATCTGCAATTATATAATGTAGGAATCAAACTTACCCTTAAGAGGACCCTGAGCGGCGGCCTTGATGGTGGCCTTGATGTCATCGTAAGAAGCATCCTTCTCGAGACGGACAGTCAAGTCGACAACGGAGACGTTGGAAGTGGGGACACGTAGGGACATTCCGGTAAGCTTGCCGTTTAACTCAGGGATAACCTTTCCGACGGCCTTAGCGGCACCAGTGCTGCTGGGAATGATGTTCTGGGCAGCGGTACGACCACCTCGCCAGTCCTTGTTGGAGGGACCGTCGACGGTTTTTTGTGTGGCGGTGTAAGAGTGGACAGTAGTCATGAGACCCTCAATGATGGTGAACTTGTCGTGGATAACCTTGGCGAGGGGAGCAAGGCAGTTGGTTGTGCAGGAAGCGTTGGAGATAACGTCGGCCTTGCCGTCGTAGGTCTTCTCGTTGACGCCCATAACGTACATAGGGGCATCAGCAGAGGGGGCAGAGATAACGACCTTCTTGGCACCACCCTTCAAGTGGGCCTTGGCCTTCTCAGTGGTGGTGAAAACACCAGTTGACTCGACGATGTACTCAGCACCAGTCTCGCTCCACGGGATGTTGGCGGGGTCACGCTCTTGGTAGAACTTGACCTTCTTGCCGTTGACGATGAGGCCATCGCTCTCGTGGGAAACGGTTCCCTTGAAGATACCGTGTGTCGAGTCGTACTTCAACATGTACTCGGCGTAGTGGGTCTCAATGAAGGGATCGTTGACAGCGACAATCTCGATGTCGCCGTGCTCGACGGCATTTCGGAAGACGATACGGCCGATACGGCCAAAACCGTTAATACCAACCTTGACCATTTTTATGCTGGGTCTTGAAGAAAAGTATATTGTTAGTTGATATTCGGAATATGTGGAATTTATGTAGTTTGCAAGACAAAGAAAGTTTGTTGAATTGGAGTGATGAAGTTCTGTAAGACGGTCGGGGGAAACGAGGTATTTCTATTCAGTTGAATGAAACACAGCTATCCAGCGATCGACAATGCGGAAATTGCCACTGCAGCAGGATAGCTATTTTTTTTTTCCAATTGTTGCCTTATTTTATCCAGACACTGCAGAAACAGCTTTTGAGCCCCAAACGAAGCCAAGAGCTCCAGGTTGGCGGGGCGAGAACTGAGAGCTTCGTCGATGTTACGATGCCCATGCAACAATCAATGGCGGGGTAATAAGATGAGCTGTTAGGAAGAGGGGAAAGCTAGGGAGGGTCTCACCTGTATTACTAAATATGATATTTTTATTGGCAGTTTTGGGGAAATCCTTGAGAGTTGATCAGAAAACTTTTCAAGAAAAAAGAATTGAGGTAGGTAGGTCAGATTAAATAGAGAGGAAGAGGGATTTGGAGGGGTTAGTTAATGATGGCATATGAGCGACATAAAATAAAAATGGTTGAGAGACAAATATACCAAGAAAAAAATATGATGCAGCAGAGGGGTGGATAGGTGGGGTGCTCGATCCCTCCTCCCACGGAATTGGCCTTACGGGTGCCACTTGCCTTACCAGGGTAAGGTTCTATTCCCTAGAAGGTCTAGAGGGGCAGAGGGGTAGAGAATTCAATATAGGTAGCCACCATCGGAGCTTCCCATACTGTACGGTGTTGTTAAGCTGTACTTGGAAGTTACATTCGCAATCCCCCGCCACCCTCTCAACACTCTCCCACTAACAATCACGTCTAAGATCGGATGTTTCTTTCTCGAATACGATGTCCTGATATGCCTATATATATGGCGAGAGAAAAGCATGAGTCGACCCAAACATCAAACGAGCGAACTCGGATGATTAATCACAAGATAAAAGAAAACCTATCTTGATTGATATATTCATCCAATACCCAATTCGAATACTTCCCTGTTTTTATTTCCTTTTCTTTGATTTTCTAGTTGATGTAATACTACATCTCCCTTTGTTTTCTTACATTATACGCTACTGCCGGACGGAATACACGGACAGTTAGCTTAGGTGGAAGTACTAACCTCGTACATCCGGCGGGCTCCTAAGCTCCTAAGACAGGAAAACAGTGCGCATTCGACCTCCGTTGACAGACCCAATCCCATGCCCATCTTATTCTGTCAGTGTCAACCCCCCGTTCAATAAAATGCGTCTCATAGAAAATAACTCAACCCATAAGGAAGAAGCTATTATATTCCTTTCCCAACTGAGAGCTCTTGGTCCGTTTCACCACCTCTCAGGGGTATCAAAACAAACTCCATCAATCCAGTAACCATGTATATCTAAAGTCACTCTGCTACACCCGAGAAACGCCTTCGTTACTGTGCAAAACGAAAATGGCACGAATGTCTAACGGGTTCTCGGCCAAGGCACGGGAAACAATTCACGATTCTATCCGATAGAGCTCGGCTCTTACAACGTAGCCCTATTGGTCCAAAAAATACTAAAGTTAGAATGGACTTATCCCGATTCTAATGTTGAATATCTTGAGCGAGTCAGATGAATTGCGTTTTTGTTGTTTCTAAGCATGTTAGCATGGGATTGGGATGGCGAGCGATTTACTACCGTTGCGGCGGTGGGCGGCGGCGGACAGCGGCTCTATCAGCTTACACATTCCACATGCGGACAGCGAAAGTCTTAACTTAGTTCAGGGTCGCCCTACCTTCAGGGTTGGCTTTCAGGGTCCCCTCCATTACTCGCATCCCAAGCAACCGCAGGGTCTCGGAGTTTGGAAACGATCCCACTCCGTATAACCCACCGAGATGCTACTACTACTACATTGCATTTCGCTCATTAAATTGCTATCAGCGCTTCCCAATTCACCTTTCTACTGATTATCACGCTCTATCGTGTGACCCGTGAGTCAAGAAGTATTTTCCCAACCTATCAATCCGACATCGCTAAGGTGTGACAAAACCGTCAATCTGGCTGGCCAGGCACCCGATCCAGCCAATGTGGATGGGCAGGGGCCAAACGTGCCAATAAAGCATACGCAAGCTCCTAAATAGCAGTAAGCAAAGCAAAAAAAAGCTTACCAGCCAAAATCCTCCCGCTAATCATATAGGTTGGATATATTTTACCTAGTGAAAGCCATGGCAACGCCACATCCGACAAGGCTGGCAAATAGGCCCGATCGTTGGTTTGACCCTGCTCCCAGCGAGATCCCTCAGACAAGGCCGTTCACTAGCCTAGACGGGTAGTAGTCAGACTCTGCTATGCATTGCGTCGTGTCATCTTCTGGACGAAGTCGGCCTTCCGGGTGGAAATTTGACTCCATCTAGTTGTTTGATTTCGGTAATTTCGTGGGTCTAGGCCCCGGATTCCGGAACCAATCATATTGACACTAGTGCTTTCAATTACATGTTTCATTCGTATACCTTACTAACATTTTAATATCTTTACACGATTCAATAACGAACTGGTATACGTGGGTTATACGACTTAGCTCTATTACGAGAGTTGTAGTGCGAAGGGTATATCAAAAATGAATGCGTTATTTACGTTGCTATTGTTTGTTCCCCGTACGGTTTATGCCAAATTGGAGAATAGCTAAAAGCAAAAGGTTTGTACGACGCTAAGTACCTAGGTACCTAGACATTATTTTTTATACCTAGGTATATATCACCACCAAATTCTTCAAACATCATACTATACAGATCCGATCATTTTGAACAAAAAAATAAATAAAACCACTCTCCATTTCAGTTTATACAGCTCATAATGGAGTATAATTCAATCGACCAATGCTTTTCTGACAATTTAATATTTATGCGCGAGTGCTATTATATCGAAATAGAGCGTGCGTGTACTTTGGTGAGTTGGAGGCAGCCTCCGGATTATTATCCTAATGACGCCTCCAAGCACTACTCAAAGGAGCCGCACCGATACGTCTCGGAGTTTGAGATATTAGTCAGATTTCTCTAGTGAGTTCGTTCATTTGGAATTCATAATTGGGATACGGAAGTATATGTAATCAATTCTGAATAATCAAGTTTTAAAATCGAGATTCTCAATAGGGTGTATCCTCTGATCTTTTAGTTCATTGCTCAAGAGTACGATATCTAGCTCAAAACGATCACAAGTTGATATTCAACCGGCCTTAGGCCGAGTCTACGAAACTACCATATGACCAGTATCTTAAAACATCGAGTCACGCGCACAATTGCCTCATCAGCAATATAATCAAGTTAATCTTCCAAATAGTACATGTAGGAAGGGCGCGCCCTTCATGACTGTAGCATAAGAGGTATGATGAAATCTCACAGCTTAAAATGTTATAAAGGATGTGGCGTAATATCGCCTCCCCAACAGCTATCCTCCGGGAGCGGATGACAAATTCGTATTAGAGTATGTTACTGATTCCATATCAATACGGACCCCCTTCTCCTTCACCTACACCGCCTCCCTTTTATCGACCCCTTAATAATGGTAGATCGCCCCCGAATGTAGTGGGGTTGGGGACGGGCGCTCGCTTCCGGAGTGCAGCAGCTCATAGGGGTACCTAGCCGGGCGGATACCTTGGCATTGCTGTATGAAGCAAGCCGACATATTAATAGCTTGCACCGACTTCAAAGGCTCCAAAAAGTTCGTACATCAAGTTTTCATTCGTTATTCGACATGGCTGCTATATACAGCGAGCAGTAATAATACAGCTAGTTGGGTATAATCTGTGTGAACGCCACTTGGCTTACAGGCTTCCCCTCGCCTCCTGGGCAGCGCTGCGATCCAAGCAACCGGGTTGGCTGTAGCAAATGATATTCCAATGCCTATCTCATGAGTCACCCCGGCCACATTATCTTCCCGTGGTCGTTCGAAGCCCGAAAAAACGCCAAAGCAATGCTGTCATAAACTTACAACCCAAGCTCACTTGAGCCCAAAACCTTCGCTCTCGTTGACCGCCCGCCACAGTGACTTCTCTAATCTCATTCGCGACGTGTAGCGATATAGTGACAAGACATTAAAGCATGTCCTTGCCGAAGGGAATCTCCCTTCATCTTCGCCTAAAAGATTTATTCTTATAACAAGGGATGTCGCACCCATAGCGGGGATACGATCACTTCCGGTTATGAATGACAATAACCGTCGTTGATCTATGGGCGAAGCCTTTTCGAATGTATACCAGAACCACTGCACCGTCGGCTCTCTCTCGGGGTTTATGTGTTTTGGCCAGCCCGTATAAACTGCGACTCCCCGCAACGAGCTGATGTCCAATGGTTCATCAGAACCACGGATAAGAAGCTCAATTTCCTCCGGTCTAAAAAGTGTCAATGCATTTCCAGCGCATACGGTAAAGAAGCCTCGCTTGAAAGGTTCAAATTGTCGGGTGACCGAAGTGTCCAGTAAATATCTGACGTAAAGGTCAACGTATTCTCGTCGATTGCTATTTGTTACCATCTTGCTTTCGCCTCCAGGGCAGAGAGGCACTCTAACCCTGGTACCGTACCTCTCGGTTTCGATTACGAAGTCAAGGCAGAAAGTGGATTGAACATCCCCCTCGAAATCCAAAAGTTGTCGGAGACCTCTTGCGAGGGCTGGACGGAATTCGGCCAAATCGTCCAGGGTGTAGTTCATTGTCGGTCGTGAGTGGGCAGGTGCGCCAGCAGCGGGTGGAGGAGCGGATGCAAGCAGCTTTCGAAAAGCAAAGGGTGGGAAAGCAACATCCAAAATTGTCGAGTTATATATAGCTAACCCGAGCACCACACCGACGAGAAAGTACTGATCGGATGTCTCAAAAGTGTTCGGGTTGAAGTAGCAGAATCGCGAATCCTCATCATACACGAAGAGTCCTGGAATATAAGTATTAGAGGTGACTACGATACTTTGGGTAAGCCACTTACCATGGTCTGGATTAAACACCTCCCTTACGAGAAGAAGGAACCACTCTTTCCGGAGTCCTCCGCCGTCGACGCCTTCTTCCCCTTGAAATTCAATTCGTAGACCTTTCTTGATATCCTCGCTACCACTGCCGACAACTTCACTCACCTTTTTGAGACTGTCCTCGACCAAGCACTCTCGACGAATATTAAGGACCAAGTATTGCGCATAAATCTTATGAGTCAAAATACTGTCGAAGAAGGCCTCCCTTGCCTTTCCAGCCATTTGCCTTTTAGCGTCGAATTCCAATATTCGTATCTTCGCCCAAATGCTTAGAAAGAACGGGTATTGACAGAAGGCAAACCTGCCTCTTTTTGACTCCCATAGTTCAAAATCGGCCTTGAAGTCCAAGCAGTCGACTAGCGTATTATAAAAATCGCTTGTTGACAGTAGATGACCATAGCTACGCCCATCTGGTCCGTCATTATGTCGGACATGCGTCAGGCTATTGGCGGAAAATAGAAGGGCCATTACTTTCGCGGCGGCCTTGATTTGCCAATCATCCGTGTACGCGGCACGATTCGGTTCAATGGGTTGCTTCTGCTTTTTAGACTTCGTCGCTTCCAGAGCAGCATGCAATGTTGCTGGTGAATTGCCGGCACGGGAGTTAGACATTTGGGGAATCAACCCGCCAGTCACATCAATTTGAGGTTCCACCCTCTTCTCGTTCTGTCGGTTTAGACGATACGTCACAAAGCCGCTAACAAGGTCCTTCGTTTGAAGGAAGAGGTGTTCCGGTAATCTGGAAAGCCATGTGATTAAATGATGATGGCATTGTTCCGATGAGTTCGCCAGCAGACCGAAGATCCTTTTTATGATTCCAGAATGCCGTCCAGAAGTAGATTTGGGTTGAGCCTCTAGATCCCGGTCTGGAACCAAGCCCTTGCCCTTGCCCGCAGGTTGATATTGGCCGCTGTACGACTTAGACCCGGACACGAGGAGTGGATTAGTTAGCATCAAGAGCAAGAAGCGGACATCCTGAGGCTCCTTCAATTGTCGACCAGGTCGCTTTAGCAGAGTTTCCGTGCACTTCAATAAAACCCGCTGGATGTGTTCTTGAGCCGTAACAATTAGTGATTCGAACTGTTGTAGCCTTTCTTCTGTCAACTTCTGAGACGGGTTGGTTTGTAGAAGCTCGGCGTAGATGCCTGGCCACGCCTCGGCCACATTAGTCACCGCATAATACCACTCAATAATTGCACCCCAATCAATCCGAGGGGATTTAGCGGTTACAATCGAGGGAATTTCATCCTTCCGCCGCGCCGGATTCCTTGAAGGCAAAGATTCTTCTTGGCTTCCCGTCCACCATGTGCCATTCTCCGCAAAGTCACCCAGAAGCAGCAGTTTGGGATCGAGTTCCGATATAGGGGTGTCATCGCGGGCTGGTTCCTTCCTAGTTTCAACATCCCGCCTCTTGACAGGTTCAGAGGGTAGTCTAGAATTAGCACTCATATGTCGAGTGACAAATGAATTGTTGATACACGAATGAGAGCTGAAGCATAAAATAAGATATTCTTCTAGTTTCTTGAATATTCTCTTGGGTTCTAGCTCTGGAATAGTGGCATCTGGCTTAGGGGTACGCCCACTCGTCTGAGCATTTGGCGGGAAAGTGGAACTTCTAGCATCGGGGAATGATGAAGAGTAAGATCTCGCCATAGACATGTTATTATTGAGTGGATTCGGTTCGAGGTTGAGGTCGGCGAAGTCGTCAAACACCGCATTATAGATAAAGCCAGGCGGACTGGTGCTCGAAGCGGGAGGATTACCCTGCTTACTTGGAGATCCATAGGGAGCTAGATACCCATTCGATGGCCTAGAAGGGGTTCGACCGTGTCGGATTTCGGAGCGCTCTGGAGATGCGGAAGTCGTCGTCCAAAATTCTAAGGAAGAACGTAGACATTGTTTAATGATTTGTCTCGTACGATCAAGTTGTATTGAGTTTGCTGGGATGATAAGTAAAGACCACTCTTCAGGGGATAGACGGACGTACGAGGCTGCAATGGAGGCCGTGAGGGGCCGAGCTCGGTTTCATTTGGCTGTGAAGCATGACTGGTGCTAGGTTGAGCACCCGTAAAGCCGGCAACGAGCTCGTATGGTTTGAGATCATTTATTGTCAAGCAGATAGTACATCTGAAGACGTTGAGTTCCTTGGGCCACCTAACCAAACTAGCACATGTCATACAGTTCCCTGTCGCAAAGTCTACAGGCCCACGTGGTGGTGCCCTCCTAGGAGCTACATTTTGTGGTGGGACATTCTGTGCTCTCCGCTGAGGGCTAGTGCCATCGGAAAAGTCATCATTCCCAGACTGTTCGCCAATCCGGGAATTTTTCCTCTTCTTGCTTGAAAATAACGAAGGAAATGGGTGGCTCATTGAGCGAGAGTGTTGTGAGGGTCGCTTCGACTTAGAGACAGGTATATCGTCGTCAGAACTTGTCTCGACTTCAACCGGTGGAATTCTGATAGGTTCAAAATCGGGAAATCTTGAATTGGCTCTCGGACGACGTAAGGGTTCATTTGTAGGTGGATCGCGAGGTGGGAAGTCATAGTGGTTCATGGATGGTCGGTTAAGGTTGGGGCGGGAAGACATATTGGTTTGATTCGAATGGTTCGTAGTTGCGAAAGTCGAGGAAGGCCAGCTTTGAGAGAAGGGACGATATGTTATCTCTGCATCTGAACATTCGTACTACCCTATATGGTTATTAAGGCAAGAAAGCAGGTAGGACCCAACGCAGAAGAGTCAGGCAGGTAGGAACTGGCGGAGTCTCGTGGACAAGTGCACCGTTTGAAGACGGCAATCCCTACCCAGACAGATCTCGATGGAGCCACCACTTGTTCGGGACGTTATAAACAATATCCACCAACAGTCCGTCATAAAAACCCCTCGAAGAAGACATAGATGCAGATAATTACTGCGAAAAAGGGCAGGACAACAAATACAGAAAGTGGGCTGGGTGGGTGTTATCTAAAGAATGAGAAATTGCCCAAACGCCTCGTATCACTGTAATGTGTAGGTACTATAGGTACTGTAGTAGGTACCTAGAAATTGGAATGTCCTACAGAAACTAATGCAGCCAACCACAACGCTTGCCGCTTCCCGAAACCCCCTTGAAATCAAGCTTGATAAAAACTGACAAGCACCTAACGGCCCCTAGCATTACCGCATGGCCCCACTTGTCCCCGGTCCCCGCGGGAACTTGCTACAGGGGCCCACTATCTTGTAACGATATTAAAATGTGACGGTACTTATCTTGGGGGCAGATGTTGCGCTTCCTTTTTTTTACTACTTTTTTTAGGTTCGAGAGACAGTGACAGAGGCAAAACTTAAAGTCAGTTACCTCATCAATCATGAATCGAATTTTAACGACATGGCAAGAGCTTTACACTCACTACCTAGGTACCTACGGAAAGAAGAGTTGGAAACGGTCTTGGCGAAAACCTGCTCACCTCTCATGTTACTCAAATCGACATGATTCGATGCCGAGGATTCACTTTTCCCCCTCAACTCGGTATTCACGCACCGATATCGCGAACTAAATGGAACAACACAGATGCATCAATATACCTAATTATAGGTAACATCAGCTGAATCTTGGTGCTTATATAAGATTGCTCATCAGCTTCACTGTCAGTCTGGGGTAGAATATTGATGACAGGTAATGAAACCCCCACGATGTCTTCAACTACCTAATTTAAGTACTCAAGTGCCTCGTCACTATCTCTTCCAAATCACGCAAGAGCATAATATTCTCGGAGTTATTATATGCCCGGAAATCGTGGCTCATCTAGAGGTACCTAGGTATTCAAAGCGTATATATAATTCCTCTGGACTCACCGGTCCACTGATTCAACACCCCTCTCAACTTGTAGCTAAAACAGTCAGGGTAACACAAGCTGAATATCAATATTGCACTTTCTTAACGCTCAAGCCGCCGGTCATTATATCTATATCTTCACTAATTGTACAGGTCTCACGTCATCTGGTCCAAATGGAAAATAAAAGGCAATATTCAGCGCTATGGAATTATCGAGGTCAGAACGAATCCTGCATTTCCAATCTCAATGGTTATCCATGCGTTCTCTTGATCTTATGATACGCCCTTAAAATTCTGCCTAGAAGGAACAATGCGACCCCATTCGCATTATGAATCAGGCTACAAGGCAATGATGGCAATGCTTACCCAGGCAAGACGGCCAAGGCAGTTTGAACATCTCCAAAGCACGCCACCAAGCCCAGGGGCAATTAGAGACACCACTTCAGCCCTGGTTGCGTCTTGTCTAGGGTACATTGGAGGTGGATAAAACAGAAACTTCTTCAGCCGCATAGGCTACGTTATATACTAAATTCAAACATTCCGATTACTCAGGTGCAGTTGAAAGGAACACTGCGAAACTGCTTTACAAATTGACCGCCAAACTACCAATAGGCTATACCATGAACCAGGGGATAGCCAATTAGAAGATTCATGTCTTCTGTTTGTTGGAGAGGTTATAGGTTGGCTAGGTCCATTCAATTTTGAGGGAATTTGGCATAGGCTACTCGCCATCTTCAGGTTAGTCTTCGTTTCCACCAGGATTGCCGTTTCTAAACCTCAAGGTGCGTTTTTACCTTCATATCATGTTTATATGGCAGCCCAACTCACTTATTCCTTATCTTTGTGTGAATCGAGCCCACACAAGCTATACCATTGTGGCCTGATGAAAGATCCCACGGCAAACTCTAGCAAGCATCCAAATTCGCAGGTACAAACGCCAGCATCGTCCTTCCGGGAGATTAAACCATGCTCGTGCTTCTTTGCAGCTCGACGATATCCGGGTTCATAGCTATTCAATATACTCAGATAATATATCTTCCCCCCTAGAATCACTACTTAGCTTATATGAGAGGATATCATACTATAGAGATTGAGTTTCTTAGGCTAAGTTGAGTATTACATAGGCGTACTTACTATAACAGTAGTTTTACGTAAGCTGTACGCTGATTGAGAGTCTAATAGAAGTTACTTACTCTTAAAAGAGACTATACTGCTTGTAATATCTGAGCCAGTACATTCAATTGACGCTACGTTGTTACATGGGGATATCAAATTTAACTAATATAGCTCTTTTACGCCCTGAAGTAGTGTAGTTTACCTGGATAGGAGCTGAGTTTCTCTTGGTCAAGGAAGAAAAGGGACGAAAGGCGGCAGCGGATTCTAAAGGTTCAAAGAAACAAGCGCTTTAACAATACCATTGCAATCAATATAATCAAGTTGGATAGATGTATATATATGTGTGTGCCCTGACTTCGGTGCCGTATTCAAGGAAGTATGAGTTTTGCATACAAATCAGGAGTTTCGATAAACTCGAAATGCGTAACTTGGGAGCTACACTCACTGAAAAATCCGGTGTCAAGTTACTGGGCGAGTAGCAAACTCAGCAGTTCGCAGTATTTTGATAGACGCATCTTTTTAAGCCGCGCATATAATGCGGAGCACGATCTTTGTGGAAGGACCACATCGTCATCCTCGCCGTCGCAGTAGTGTACAGAGTAGTCAGCGCCCCGGATACGAGAATTCCGGAAACCTCTTTGACCTACTTCCTTCCATTACTACGTGAAAAGCTTAGAAAAAGTTCGTGAGTAACACTAACTAGTGGCCAATCCATTCGCTCCCACAGCCAAGGTATGCGCATGTGTGCACATGCAATCACCTAAATCCAACCAAAACCGCCATCCATCCAAGCACCATCCACACGATTATGGTTCTGAGTAACAGTACCAAGCAATCCAAGCCCACTTAGCTGTCGTTCAACCAGCCAAGATGACCAAGAGAGGTCATCGTGCAAGGATTCACAAGCAACATCTTTCTACATCATCTTCTTTCACACCTTGTGGCTTTTTCAGACTCGTACTTCAGTATCGACAACGATACATCGACAACATGGAAGCCGTTTTGCAGCAAGCTATCAACGCTATCTTGAAGCGTAGCAACCTTGATGTCCTCTTGATCCGTATTAGCACTGTAACTGAGGAGTAAGTTCCTGCCCTCCTAGCCTACCCCTAACCCCTTTTCTCTCGCCTCGATTTACTGACCAAAATGTCAGCTCTTTCCATGTCACTTTCGAGGCTCGAGCCTCCAACACCGGACCGGCGAAAGCTACTATCTCACCTATGACCCTCGAACTCTGCGGACCAGCCGGTACTTTCGGCACTATCGCTCTCCCTGAGATCACCACCGCCCATGGCGGAGCATACATTCTGGTTGAAAACCAGCTAATCGAGATAACCAACAAAGCCGCGCTGCAAGCTTTCATCAGCACCGTAATCAGCAACCCAAGCATCCCGCTCTCGCTCAAGAACGGACAAACCTCCATCTCCATCTCCTCCTTCGGCATCAAGCCGCGCTCCATCATGTATCAACAAGACATCACGATCCCGGGCCTCAACGGCCCCGAGATCTTCGTCAAGTCCGCATCCAACACCAACCCGAACCTACTCCCCAGTAGCACTCTTACTAGTACTGGCTCTAGTAGCAGCCCACCCCAGACTCTAGATCCCGACCAAACACCGCTAAGCGTAACCTTCCACATCCCGAACCCCAGCCCCGTCAGCATAAGCTTCGGGCTCTGCGAATTCGCCATCCTAAACACCAACAACGAAGTCTTCGCCCAACTAAAAGGCCGTCTAGACATCAAGCCCTCGCACTTCGACGCCGCATTCCAGGGGACCGCGGACAAGCGCGTGGCGCTTCTACCCAATCCCGGCGCGGGCGCAGGAGCCGATGTACAAGCTCGTTTGGTGGGGAAGCGATGTGGTGGAGCAGGATGGTGCGATTTGGCGATCAAGGAGATCGATGTGCCGATTAGAGATGCTTGGAAGTTGTTACAGGCACTCGGACGTGCGTACCATGAGCCGAGAGTTGAGCCCCAGGTTTTCCGTTGGAGAGGCGTTTGGTTTAAGAAGGATAGCTGGATTTAGGGGAGGAGAGGGGAGGAAAAGGAATACCTACCTAGGTTGTTACTTAGGTAGGGCATGTTTTCGGGCGCAGGAATAGGGAAAATGGACAAAAACCGGCGTGATAGAGGTAAACGCATAGATGGTAATAGAAATCCATCTCATTGACCAAATCAAGCGAATCACTAAGTTTTTCCTCATAAGTCGTAATCCAAACCCCCTTCATCCTCCTACCTACCACTCCAACTCATACCCCTCCCTATGCCAAAACCGTCCCGTCTCCTCTAACCCCTTACTCTCAAGCACCTTAAACAACTTCCCCGCAGCCTCCTCCGGCAGCACCGCCTCCGGATTCGTCTCACCCCCCTTCGGCAACAACGGCGTAATCACAAATCCAGGATGCAGAATCACCACCGTAACCCCTTTATCCTTTAACTCCACCGCCAGATTCTTGAACACGCTATTCACCGCAGACTTGCTAGCGCGGTACGCATACGACCCGCCGGAGCTGTTATCCGCGATACTCCCCACACGACTAGACATAACGGCCAATTTCGGTGAGTCTGACTTCAGGAGGTTGGGGAGGAGAGCCTGAGTTAATAGGAGCGGGCCAAAGGTATTCACGTTGAAGGTCTTAGTTAAGATAGGCAGAGTAACAGTGCCCAGTGCATCATCCGCGGGAGGTGCCATTACCCCGGCGATGTTAAGAAGTAAATCCAATGGCCCATCGCCGAACCACGATACAAATGCAGAAATTGAATCCAGGGACGTAACATCTAACTGCGCCGTCTTGCATCGGGGTGCCTTTAGCCCGTCGCCGACGTTGATATCTACAGCTGTGACATCATAGTCCTGCACATGAGAAACCAGTCAGAATACATAGAAGCTACTAAGAGCAGCTTGCACCTCAAACGAAGCCATTGAGGATATGCATGCTCCGGTATGATGAAAACAGGTAGACTATACCTCTCTGATAAGAACCTCAGCAAAAGCATAGCCAATGCCAGAGTTAGCTCCCGTGACTATCGCAGTAGGCATCTTAAACTAAGACTTCTTGAAATAAGAATGAAAGAGGGTGGGTAGGATTAATAAACACTTGCATAAGTGGTTACAGATGAAGTTGGGCCGGCCATCAAGGTCGTGGGGTCGTGGATTCTTATATCAACGACGGGATCGCCAGCCTGACAAATGACGTGCTCGTTCTCTTTTAATCATCTACTCCGCTCGGAGTTCCGCATCCCTATTTGGGGAGAAACTTCTCCTTTCATTGGCTCATCTTTATCGCAAGGGTTTCGCTTCCTCGTCTATAAACGGGGGAGATAGCCTAAGGGGTGGGACGAATCGGATTTTTTTTCTTAATTTAAGAGGGAAGTTTGTTTTAACTACATCCAGACTACCAAAGGGCAGTGGCCGTTCATACTTCGTCCTTTTCCCGAAATACACTCTCTACAGTATTCCAACCTAGTCGAAAACGATGGCAGCCTTGATAGCCGACTTATTCCGGATGCTCTCCAGAGCCTCGCCCCATTGTTCGAGCTTGAATACTTTATTTACAATACCCTTTGTCTTAACCTTACCGCTGTCTAGGTAGTCGACGGTGGACGGGAACATGTAAGTCTCAGAGAAGGAGCCGATGATAGTAATTTCTAACTTCAATCAGTTCCAGATCCTGATAAATATTTACGAATATTGAACTTACCATCACCGAAAATCTTGGATGGTGGCCAAGAAACGCGAGCAGCGTTGGGGTATACACCGTAGCAGACGAGCTTTCCTCCTCTGCGAACATAGTTGATGGCATCCTCGAGGACCTTGGAGCTACCGCTAGCTTCGACGACTATATGACTTATTAGATTTTTGTTGACAGTCGCAGATATGTCTCTCCTACGTACCAATATCGAAACCATACGGGTTGTCCTTCTTAATTTGTTCCCATTGGGGAGCCGGGTTCGATCGGGAAAGGGGAACGTATTTGTCGGCGGCGTCTAGACTCTTAGCCAATTCCATCTTGGAACCCTCGGGGGCAGCGATCGTTAATTGCGAAACACCGCTGAGTCGCCTGTCGAAAAGGGTTAGCAATGGCCTTGATTTAGAATCGAGATCTATTCTACATACAGGAATTGGGCCATCATGAGACCGGTTGGACCAGCACCGATCAATAGAGCATGAGAACCGGGCTTGGGGGCGATCTTCTCCAGACCGTGCATAGCACAAGAAGCTGGCTCGATTAAAGTGGCGTCAACATCGCTGATGTTGTTTAGCTTGAAGAGACGACCTTGTGTGTATGAAGCCTATGTCTCGGCGTAGGACTGTCAGCACAAATGAGGAGTAGACAAAGGATTGGGAATACACACGTATTCAGCGAAACCGCCGTCTAATCCGGTAACACCGTGAGCCTTGAAGTCCTCGCAGAGGAGTTCTTGGCCTCTTCGGCAGTAGAAGCTTTCGGAGCCATGTCAATTATACTTATAATACGAAAGAGGAGGGAACGTGTCGACTCACCAGTGACCGCAAAGCTCGGAGTTGTCGGCGGCAACACGGTCGCCAACCTTGAAACCCTTGACGTCATCGGCAAATGCTAACAACGGCCGTCAGTATGCTGCTACGAGATGCGAATTATACCCATTGGATTCCTTACCGACAACCTCTCCGATTGTTTCGTGACCGGGAATGAGGGGGAACGTGGCAATGAACTCTCCCTCGTGAATGTGCAAGTCGGTACCGCAAACACCGCAGGCCTGGAATGATCTCATGTTATTACAATTGAGGGGATTTGGGATGTCAGGCAGGGCGACTTGCCTTGACCTTAACTAGAACGTCACCAGGTCGCAGCTTAGGGAGAGGGACCTGGACGATGCTCCAAACTTCTGGCTTCTCATATCTACAAGAGACATTGATGTTAGTGGACTACGTAAGAGAGGGGCAAACACAAAGAAGCTCCGTCGAGCTTCTAATCTTCTCAAATCATCGAATGAGCGGAAAAGGGAGACTTGCTGGAGAGCCTTCATAGTCTGAGGAAGTGAAGCCATCTTGTCTTGTCTTGCGAAGGATTACGGATTATCGTATGATGAGGGGTATTTTAAGAGAAGGGAAGAGTGTTTGCAACGATCTTGGAACAAGAGAAGTAGAGGAGAAGGGAGGTCGCGTGTAGACAAAGGTAGGCGGGATAAGTTAAGGGAAGCTTATCCGTATGTTAGAGCTGAAGCAGTCGGTCCTATTGTGATCTAATGATCTAATGATCTAGTTAAGAAGGAAACTTGAATGAAAATAAGAAGATTCGGGAAGTTGGTCTTCTTATTAGGCATGATGCGGGAGGAGAAATGGAACAAGCCCCAGCGCGCGTATTCATATTTTCTGATGGGATTGGCTGTCATAGGGAGTTTGCCTGCAAAAGGTCAAGCTATCCCATGCCAGGCTATGCCGGCCATGCCACCATGAATTGAAGGAGGGCAGAGGAGGGGCAGAATTGGGAGGAATGGTTCAGACCTTACGCCCCTGCGCCCCTGCACCCCGCCATGAAGATGGAATGCGTTCACCTCGCATGTAACTTGACAAGCTTAACCCTAGTTGATTGGCTTGTCTCTTCCGAAGTTAAGCCCACTTTAGTATAGTTCAAAATGGAAAAGTATAGGTACTTGTAAAGCTAGACAACTTCGCGGGTCTTGCTAGTGCAGGTCGAAGTTACGAGAGTGTCACCGACCCCACTGAAAAGGTTGAAGCTGACTAGCTTGCCTGCCTTTTGGTGAGATACAGTGTGACTGTGAGAAAGAATGGCCTGATAAGATTGTGACTGAAATTTGCCTATAAAATATCCTAGTGGATCTAGACGTCATCCTGCTTGGCCTTTCTTTTTAGCGTCCTCACGTTTTCTGAAAAGGGAGCATTCCGTTATAAGCGTGCCGGCGTGTCGTTTGTCGGTATACCTTTACTCCGCGCTGTCAATGACAATTTGCTTATAGTAATGTTACCAATTGTCAGGCCAAGTTGTCAAATACCATTGCATTGGTGTCACCTGCTATATCTTGCAGTCAAATAAGATTTAATATTGATCCCCGGTCGGATGGCTCGGTCAGTCAGCCTCTTGCAGTTCGAGGGGTTCTCCGACTGTCACTTGACGTCCCCCGCGGCCGAGATATTTGTTGGAGATGGGATAGGGTTTCACTTGGGTGTATATAGTAATAGCCCCTTAATCAATTGGTCATTCTGGAACAGCACCGGTGTTATGGTTGAGTGGTTGAGAGATTTTTGTCGAGAACATCCCACGTCGAAGATCAATTGACTCAATTTGATTTGAGATGCGTAGTGGGTAACACAATGTAGTTGTTAGGCGCTCCGATGTCTTGGGAGCATTACTACAGGCGTACGTAGGGATTTCGTAGTTCTGCTTGATGACGAATCTTCGGAATCAACTGTAGTACTAAGCATGTGCTGATTAAGGCACTCGTTGAAACGTGTTGCAGTTGGAGCCTTATGTTTTTATATACTGTAGAAAATCATGGTGATGCTCGAGTGAATATCAACGAATATCACGCGAATATCAGTGACTATCATTGTGATTAAATGCTCCATTGTTGAAGATTTTATCGAGTAGGTGTACGCGGGAGGTTGGATACTAGAGGAATAAAATTGAACCAATCTGCGCGTGTAACGCCTTTGGCTCTTAGTAACTCATTACGCAAGCCGTCATTTCTTTTGGTCGAGGTTCGTAGACGATTGGCCGATTGACGAAATGTGCAGGAAGCAGTCGGTCTTGGCGGATGAATACATTAGGTACGTACGTATATGTATTGTTTAGTTGATGGTCAAGATGTAGAAAATGTTTATGCGAGGTCTCACTAATTCGGATTCAGGTAGAAGGTTAACAATAAAAAGTCCCAAGTACAATTAAGTTGACCGCGGTTTCGTAAATTTAATTGGTGAAACCTGAAGCCGGCGGATATCCTCGGCGTGCGGAAGTGGGTAGGAGCGATGAGCGAGTTTGCATATGTACATCCTGCAAAGCCACCTACGCGTATATCTCCCTATCCCTATGGATTACTCACTTAAAATGATAGGACTTGCTATGATGGAGGTTGGCCAAATACGCGTGATCGGATCTGCTCGAAAATCCTATCGGAATGCTTTCTAGACAGCGAGAAACACTATTCCTCATATTAGCACGCCAGAGCCTTTCGTCGTACCGGTCACAAGAACAATGCCCCAATAAGTAGGTATCTTTTCGTCGATTAACTTGTTTCACCGAGCCAGTAGCCTCATTTTAGGAAATAAAAAGATGTTTTCTTTCACGGCAAAAGCATGTCCATAATTCATTGATGACTTCCGAGGATTTGGCCTCCTAATAACTCCCAACCGTGCATCCGAGATTCCTCCCACGAGTTTCTATCACGCGAGTAGAGGCGAGACTATGCAGGTGCTCCATTCCCTAGAGTACATGTCCATGCCCGGTAATCATGTGTGTATCGAAGGGATTTTCCTTAGAGTAGTAGTAACTTCCCTTACGAAGGGGGAGCACCACGGCCACGACCGAATCCACCACGGCTGTGAATTTATGTAAGCATATTATTACCATATAAATTGTGTGCAATATCAGGGGAAAACTCACAATTGGGGGTTGAATTCACCAGGGGCACCGCCCTCCTTACCCTCACCAGCATCACGTCTTCGGTATCCACCCTCACGGTCACCACGATCTCCACGGTCGCCACGGTCACCACCACGGCCACGGCCGAACGGTCGTCGTTCGCGCTCACCCTCACCCATCATGCCTCGGGGAGGAGCGTGCGATCGTTGTTGCTTGATGTGTGTGGCAGGAACGATCTCGGCGGGGAGGTGAAGCCATTCTCGGAGGTAGTCGAGACCCTCGGGGGTGAGGGTGTAGTAGTAGTATTGCCAGGAAAACTGAGTCTTGACGTAGCCGCGGGAGTTAAGGGACTGGAGGGCCTTGACAACGAAGAGGTTCTTGGTGTCGATGTCGGGGTGCTTGGGAAGGTTGAAGTCCTTCTTCGCGACGAGTACACCCTCGCGGAAGAGGTACTACCAAAAATATAACTGTTAGCATTTTATTCCGTTTCGATGTTTCTAATAATTAATTTGAGCAATTCTTCTAACCTCGTGGATCTTCTTGCGGTCAGCCTTCGGAATCAGCATCTTGGCGGTTGTTTATGGTGACAAGATGTTGAACTGGTGGATAAGGCGTGGTGGTTGAGAAATCGGCAGGCTGATTGACACTTTGCGATGTAATTGAAGGTCAGGGAATTTTTGGTTGTGCGCAAAAACCCTATGGTGGAGAAGAAGCGACACTACGGAAAAATTGGTGGGGGGCTTTTTGTGGCTAGATTTTATTCCAGGCAAGGGTCGGAAGGGGCTAGTCAAGGTTTCCGATTTGTGGCTGAGTTTCTCTTTTGTATTCTTGTACTGGTGGGTCGCATTTTTAGATAAGAACACCGATAAGACCCACTCCTTCTAGCCATCTAGATTCCTCAATCCCATTCACCTGCAACCTTACAAACCCGGCCTCTCTTTCGCCGCCTACAAACTAAGGCCTTTGCGACAACCAACAACCTCAGTTCATATTGCGAAGATCTTGCCAACTTGTTCATTCATTCATTTCCGGGCAATACAAAATGGCGCCTCAAAATATCAATATCTTTGTCACGACCTTTTCAGGCTTAGGCCTACCTCCTACTCTGTCCTTTCCCGTTCCTCCAACCACAACACTCTCTGACCTACATCATCGCATCGAAGACCGATTACCACAAACCGATGCACGACTTATCCTAACCACTCTATCCAATAAACAACTCCTATCCACATCTCGAGAACTAGTCTCCGATCTCTGCGACACCGATGATGCATTCGTATCCTTGCGATTGTCACTTCCGCTATGCGGTGGCAAAGGTGGTTTCGGGTCCCAGCTTCGAGCTGCCGGAGGTCGAATGTCATCAAAGAAGAAGAAGAACCGGGGAGATGAGAATGGATCTAGCAGGAATCTTGATGGACGTCGACTAAGAACAGTTAATGAAGCCAAGGCCTTGGCTGAATACCTAGCCATCAAGCCTGAGATGGAGCAGAAAGAAAAGGAGAAGCGACGTGAGCGATGGCAACAGATCGTCGACGCTGCGGATGAGAAGGAGCACGAGATCAGGAATAGTACAAAAGGCAGACTGGATGGCAAATGGGTAGAGGACAAGGAGGAGGCTAGTGAGCGAACGCGCGAAGCGGTACTTGCTGCGATCAAGGCAGGGAACTACAAGGACAACCTACTCGGCACATCGCATGGTTCCACATCTAATGAGGATATCGAGGAGGAAGATGAAGAGGACTCGTCAAGCGCGGAAGAAACAGGAGCATCGAGTAGCTCTAAGGTCCCGACGCCGCCGACAAATTCGAACTCGAAGAAGCCGGTCACGAGAGCATTCGCCGGATTTGACGAGGACGATGAATTCATGAGTTCATCTGAGGAGGAAGAAGAGAAATAATTATGGAAGCGACTGTATAATACCAATGATACCCACGAATACATTATAATTAAAGATTGCGTTTAAGATGGAGTAACTTCTCAATTGCACGCGTGCGTCAAGTCTTATTATGTGGAAAACTATTCTTGAGTCTGGATTGCTACTAGGATTTCACGAGGATCGATCTATTTCACGAGCTTGGCCATATCCTCAACTTTATAATCCCCCATCGCACAACTAACATCCTTAAACTCCTCCAACTCCTCCTTCACCCTCTCAACCTCGCTCATAACAATCCCCCAAGCATCCCGTCCCATCGGTATCCGAACCGGAATCCTCCGTCCACTCCCTACAACACCATAAATCGCCTGCGCGACTTGCTCCGGCGACGCAAACAACTTATGTGTCTCAGTATCATCCATGAACTTCAACAAATCCGTCGTCGGGCCCTCCAGATACGCCGGGTGTCTCGGCATCCTCTTCAAAGAAGTCGTAGTATACTTCGTCAACACACCACCAGGCTCCACATTACAGATATGAATATTCCACTCTGGAAGAACCTCCTTAGCCACGCTCTCAGCGAACCCTTCCAATGCGTATTTACTCGCGTGGTAGAACGAGTTTCCAGGGGAACTGATGAATCCCCCCATAGATGTGATATTCAAGATCACGCCGCCCCGTTGTCCGGTCTTGGGGTTAGTATCTCGGAATATGGCGAGTGCACGTTTCGTCACGTCAACCGCTCCCCAGAAATTAGTATCGATTAAAGTCCGCGCTCCTGCGTTGCCTGGCTCGGAGGCTTCGGCGTCGCCCATTAGGTTGTAGCCTGCGTTATTCACGACTACGTCCACGCGCCCGAAGTGTGCGACGGCTGAATCGAATGCTGCGTCTATGGATTTGTACGATGTCACGTCTAATGGCAGTTTAAGTACATTAGGCCCATCCGGGATCTCTGCGAGGGAGGCTGGGTTCCGCGCCGTTGCGACGACGCGCTGTGGTGGCGACGTCTTGGTCGCTATGTGCTGGGCTAGGGCTTGGCCCATGCCTGAGGAGCAGCCGGTGACTTGGGGGTGTGTTAGTGGATTCTGCTGAATACTAAGAGACTGTAAAAGCAAGACTTACTAAACCAGACTGCATCGCTCGGAAGGTTATACAGTTGGGGAGCTGGTGTTGTCATTTTCCTCAATTTTTCAGATGATTCAATTTTTACTTAATTCCTGAGAGATCGCATTCGTATGCTCGCTTCACCTGATGCTCAACGTCCTCCATTTATAGTAGAAACCACCGAGACATCTTTATACCCAAATTCCCCTTACCATTCGGTGAAACAGCCAGATATCAACAAAGAGACACCTCCCAACCATCCTCTAAAAAGGTACAGCACTACGCAATACGATATGTGAGACGAGGCGAAGCCAAACATTCATAATTGTATTAATCGGGACCGAGGCCCAACTTTTATGCACGATCGATCATCTTATCCCCTAACACCCCTTACCATGCATAAACTCCGTCTACCTCCGTTGGAACTTTTGTCTCTTACGTCGGCGTTCACTGATTGAGACCCATCGTGATTTATCGGCTTTATCTTCTTTTTATAGTCGATTTTTCTATCAATTCTATAATGAGTCAAGGTAATTGCTTATATATCAGTGTCGGGAATCAATCTATTTTCGTCATAACACCAAATCCACATTTACGATTGAAGAAAGGGGATAATATGTTGGCCGGTTGGCTAGGAACTCGAAAATAGTTTAAGAACAATACACCAAGTGTTTTGACTTCAGCGGCTAGCCTATCTATGTAACTACACTCTACATGCACTCATCAACAGTTTTGCTACTCCATCGTTAACCGGTTCTCGTCGTGCTCCATGAATCATGAACATACCAAGGCGAGATGCAGGCCGTCAATTTGGCAGTCACATTAATCTTAATTCGTAACCTTGCTCATTTGGACCAAGCGTTTAACACCGACCTGAGGTTCTATTAGTAAAATTGATCAATTATTCATGTTGGTGAGATAAACATACCATCCAATTTCCGCATTCATCTGTCTTGTCTCGCTGGATCTCTACCTGGAGACGTTGCGCTTCTGGGTAATCCTTGGTCTCCAACGCTTGAGCTAATTGAGTCAATTGCTCAATGGTATCCGGCTTGACTAATTCTTCATTGTTGAGATGATCGAAGAGGAGACCAAGTCGCTTCTGTGTATCCTTAACCTGGGGCGCGAATGATGCTGGGGCTTTACTGGCTACCCGTTGCATATCACGGCCGAGCACGTCGAGTAATTGTTGAGCATTAGGAGGGATGTGAGATCGGTCACCTGCGGGGTGTCGGGCCTTAGGCGGCGGTGCGGCTCGTGGTGGGGGCGGTGCTGGTGAAGTTGCCGCGGGAGGTGGGCCACCGCCCGATGACGGGGGCCCGGTGGAAGGCGGACCTTGTTGTACTGGCGGAGCACCGTAAGGGGATGGGGCATATTGAGATGGGGCTGCTTGAGGATGAGGAGCATATGGGTTTGGTGGAGGCCCTCTGTTGGCTGGGGGAGGGGGGACCATGCCAGCTTGCTGGGGAGGGTTGCCAACTGACTGAGGTGCCTGTACGGGGGCATAACGGCTAGTAGGTGCAGCTCCTTGCGGTGGTGGGTTGTAGGGCGATGCCATTCTAGGAACAACATGTCCCATTGGGGGCGGAGGTAAACCAGGACCGCCGACTGGGTTTTGAGTGGAAGGGGGCGGCGCGTATGTTTGCGCTGCAGATGACCCAGGCCTAGGCGGTGGTGGTAATTGCCCAGCTTGCGGAGGGCCACCCAAAGGAGACATTACTCGTCCAGGAGGAGGAGGGCCTTTAGGAGGAGGCGGGGGTGTTGCTGTCCCACGCTGAGAGCCGTAAGGGCTTTGTGGCGGCGGTGGCATAGGTTGGTTTACTTGGTTAGGAAATGGAGATGTGATGGGGGCTGTGCTCGGCGTGTTTCTCCGGGGAGGCGCTTTTGTTACCATAGGGACATCATTCCAGTTTTCTGCATTTGAAGCTCTTGGGGGAGGAGGTAGCTTCGATGACGGGGTTGATGACCTCGGAGGACCGAAAGAAGGTTGCAGAGGACCATACCCTGGATGCTGAGCTGGTTGGATGGGTTGCGGTTGTGGCGGTTGGTATCCTTGCGGAGCATAGGGGTTACTGGCGATCGGTGGGGCGTAAGGGTTTGCCGCAGGAGTCTGTACAACCGAAGGGGCATATGGATTGACGGGGTTGGCGGGATTGATAGGACTGATACCAGCAATTGGTTGGGGTGGCTGATATCCAGGGACTGCAGAGGGCGTTCTGGAAGCTACGCGTGCTGATACTGCAGGCCTTTGGGCTGGCTGTCTTGCGGTGGCTTGTGGCGCGGCTTTTTGTGTGGCTAGTTGTACACGCTCGCGAGCCATATCGGCAACTGAATACTTGGCTGGCAAAAGGCTCAAGTACTTTTGAGCTATTTCGAGTTGTCCGTGCGCCGCGACTATGTCCGCGTACTCGATGTATTTATCATAAAGGGAGGAAAGCTTCCAGCCAGAAGGAAGTCCTATTTCGTTATCTTGGAACTTTGTCACATGACGGAATACTGTGACCTTCTCGATGAACTGCTGTAGAGACCTTGCGTGGATAGAGAAGGTAGAATCGTTGGCCTCTGCCAACCCAGCCTTCTCGGATTCCTCCAACTCCGTAACCCAGATGTCGACGACCTTCTCAAGCTTAGATCCGACCAGGTAGCAGAAGGATGCGTCCTTTCTGGAACCCGATTCAAGAATGCGATCGCCCAAGGCTTCGCAGAGGTCTGGGAACTCAGCCGGATCCGCGAATGTGCAGAGCGTCACCATAGTCTCCTTCCAATCAGCCAAGTCAGCATTATAGACAACGTCCCACAAATTCTTAACAATGACAGAACCCAAAAGTCGCAAGTAGCTCGGCATTCCGGTCTTCTGGGATAAATATGTTGACTGGACCTTATCGACAAGTTCCTTTCCACCGCAGTTAGCGATAATGAAGGCATCTGCCATACGGCCCTCTTTCAAACAGATCTCAGTTGCTGTTTCAAATTGTCCTAGCATTAAAGCTTTTGTGATCTGCTTCTCAACGGCAGTATCGCTATCGGCGAATAGGTGGAATGGGTTGTCGGTCTTGGCACCCTTTGTAGCTGAGAGGCTCGCTAGGAAGTCCTCGCCATCTCCTTCGACTCCATCGGAGAAAAAGGTCGAAATACTCTTCTTATGTCCCTTAATCTTCGACACTGGCTTTTCCGGCTCGGCTTCCTTAACATCCTCAGCTGCACCATTGGTTGATTCATCCTTAGATTCCTCTTCGCTAAATCCTAGATAGTCAACGATTTGCTTTCGTGGGTTCTCGGCGAGCAGGGTTTCCAAAACCTGCCAGTCAGCCTTCTCTTCATCCGACGCCGCCGATTCTATGTGCGATTCGCATATGGCTGTAACATCTCCGGATTTTAGAGATTCTTCAAATTTCTCAGTAGCAGATCCAATGTCCGAGTCAACGGAGAATTGAGATATTTGGATCTTGGAAGAGCGCTTCTGGCCAGGCTGATGAGGACTCTGCTGGAAGATAACAAGTTTGCCACCAAACCCAAACGAAACTCCGACAGGTCTTTCAAGCCATTTTGGAGCTTTCACTAAAGTAAAAGCAGCACCTTGAGGTTGTTTCTGGGCCTGAGTAAAGAAGTCTTCGCCATCTAGGCTGTTTTGGGTTGTGCTCTGTACAGCCGAGGGATTGGTGTTCTGTAATGTCTGAATGGTAATCTTCCCATCAAAGGATGCAGTCGCCGATAGGCCAGGGTTATGTGGGTGAAATCGGGTAAGGAATGTCCAATTGGTGACCTCGGGGAATTCGCCATATTGTTCGCCCGTCTGAGGGTTCCAAACTAATGTTCTATTATCTTTACCACAAGAAATCAAAATATCACCATCTTGTCGGCACCAAGACACTGACAAAACGCCCTGCTCATGACCCTGGAGTGTTCTCTCTGGGGCATTGGAGTTTCTTAGGTCCCATAGTAAGATGACAGGAGTAGTATCATCAGGCGTAGCGGTCAATAGCTTCGTCGAATTATTAGGGTCCCACGCAATCGAACTAACAGGCTTTCGGTTGTTGTTCAGAGTCAACGAGGCCTTTTTGGTTTTTAAATCCCACACAGTGACGAAACCACCAGATCCTCCCGTTGCGAGAATATGGGCGACTTTGATGTTCCATGCCACGCATTCTAGATCGTCTGACCTAGCTGCAGCAGTACCCAGGCGGAAAGCGTTTGAAGGGTCGTCGACATCGTATATAAAGAGCTCTCCCTTAGCACCAGCGGTGGCTAGGATATGAGGCCTCAGAGGATTAAATTGTAACGACTTAATAGCCCCGGTATGTTTCGTCGTTCGCGATATTAGGGCGTCGGAGTCGCCAGAAATAAGCTTCTCGGCATCCCAGAGGTCAAGTGATCCGTTCTCGAGAGCGCCGGCGATGATACCTTGAGGGTGGTCTTCGGAAGGTTGGCCCCAGGCGATATCGTAGAACCTAGTAGTGGTCAATCAGCAAACTTCGTAGACTCACTACTACGATTCTAGGAGTTATTTACCTAGAGTCGGCGGCGATACTCGCGATGGGTTGAAGTTCAAGCCCCTGTTCTTGGTTGTCGAGATTTAGATCCCACAACTCGAGCTTTGTCTCGTCGGAGAAATCGGCGTCAACGGCTCCAGCTCGGGTTCCAGTAACGAGTAACGGTTTCTCGGCACCAGAGGACCAGGCGAAGGCCGCAGTGCGCGAGATCTCGCGCAATCGGACCATAATGACTTCACAAGGTAGAGGGGTAGTTTATCCCAGTTCAAGGTCGGTGGGATCGTGCTGAATGAAAGAAGATAGAATAGGAGGATTGTAAGGGAGACTAGCTTAAACGCCAGCTGGCATTGAGCTCTCTAGGCCAGCTAGGAATGTTGGCAGTGGCTCAAAAAACCAGCAGGATAGGTTCGTTAACTGTTGCCTTAAAACCACAAAGGCCAAAACAGCATCAATTCATTATGTTGCCAGATAATGCAGTCCAACGGTCTCTACTAGGGGCGAGGGAGGTGTGGGCGCATGAGCTCACGACCAAACCGAATCAAGGATCGCGCACAATCTGTTCCTTCGACCAAGATATGTGGAGACTTGCTTTTTTTTTTTTTTAATTCTACTGAGCCACACTTCTTAGTCAGGGTGGATTTCACGTGATTGAATACTTCTTGATGACGATATAAACTCATGTTCGGATTTGTATATTAGGATTTCTGGGACATTGTATGCTAAGATTTATCGGATCATTCAATCCCGTTGAAGGTTAACCTTAAGTTTAAATTAATTGTGAAAGAAATCCACGTTCAACCATATGTGGCTTCGCCGAACACACTCGCTTATATAATCTAAAGAAGCTTAAATTTCAATTTAGAGCTACCTTAAATCGCTGGGCATCCCAGTCTCAGCCACACACCCAGCTCTCACTCAAAGCTGCATATCATTCGCTATAATCCAAGCACCTTGCAGCAACGTTCTTGACTCAGACACATTCACCACCACACAATCTTTTACTTACTGGGCAACATGACGGACGCAGCTCGTTGGAAAGCTACGGTTTACGTTGGAGGCTTAGCGTCAGTAGTTACTACCGGAAATATCCACGATGCTTTCATACCGTTCGGTGAAATCGCTGATATAACTCTACCTAAAAATGATGCGCCAAACGCCACCGATCCACATAGAGGATTTGCATACGTGGAATATGAGGACGCCGACGATGCTAAAGAAGCAATCGACAACATGGACCAGTCAGAATTGTTCGGCAGGGTATTAAAAGTCTCAGCAGCTAAGCCTCCTAAGAGCGTAGAGGAAGGACTAGGCAGTAAAACGGCAATATGGGAACAGGTATGATCATTCTTAACTATATTCCAGTATTACTACTTAACTAACGATAAAATAGGAAGGATGGTTGGCTGAGCATGCTGTGAGTGAGGAAGATAGGGCCGCTGCATCAGCACCGAGAGGCAGCATAGATGACAGACCGGAGGATCCCATGCAAGGACTTGAGGGGCTTGATGTTGCCGGACCCAAGCCGGAATGAGGGAGGTTTCATGGAATCTACTTAAAATTTGATAGCATAGCGTTGGCGTTAAGAAAAGGGCTCATAGGACGCGGAGGGAGGTGTTTTAAATAAGGAGTTTGCGACTCAAGTCTATACCGCGCTCAATCTCCCATATTTGACATTTCCACTTCTGGTGGCTACGTGTATCATATACAAGTGCTGTGATTTCTCTAGGAAAAGATAATGCGCCCTTCCCAACTATACACCCCATGCCATATCGCTTTTATTTAATGGCCTTCACCATGCTCACCGTGCTCGGCGGGCTCGTCCTTGCGGTTTTGACGGCTAAGTCGGAGGTTCTTGTCTACCGCGAACTTGCGGAAGCTTGAGTATCCCGCGGCGAAGACGGCGAATCCGACGACAACACCTAGTCATACACCTAAATCAGCAAATAGCCCTATCCACCTCTGTATTATTCGAATCGTGCGGATGGACTAACCGAGGGGAATCAACTCTGCCGGAATTTGTCGCAATTTTCGTAGGCGCTGGGAAACGGTGTGTGCTGCATAATTCGTTAATATTTCTTATCTCCTTTCAATAATATTCTAGTAGGGATTTTTCGGCGGTTCGAGAGACGAGTTTGAGTTGTCAATGAGTCGCGATGGATGAGAACGTACCACTCTGGTCCTCTTTCTGTTACGGGGATTATTAGCAAACGTCATAGGTATGCGAAAGGAATAGACAAAAGTCGTACGGGAATAGGGAATGCCATGCGCCTCGTGGGCATCATTCTCAAAGCTCGAGTAGCATACATTTCGGAAATAATTGAGAGGAGATTTCTAGTAATTGGTGAGAAAAGGGAAGAGAAGAATGTAACCGAGACGCTGCGGCTTTGAAGCTAAGAATTGAAAGTTCTTTGGTGGTTAGTTGGATTTGGAAGGTTTTGGGGGGGAAAGGAAGCTACTTGCTTCGGTAACTTGGCTGCTTGGGTCAAGCCACATCAACCAGTGAAAATGAAGAAAATAATCATAGTGGGGCATATTACCCCCAATTGTGCGCTATATCAGGCCACCAAGACCTGAGCCACCTAAAATAACGCTGTATGATTCGATTCGGCAAGAACCCAGTGACCCGAGAGCTACTCCCAAAAGCTGCTGCACTCTTTCAATTTACCTTTACCTACCCAGTAACATCACATCATCACCAACTTTTCCAACAACATAATCGCCAATTGAGGCCGTCAACACCCTTCTTCCCCCGATTTCAATCAAAATACCGCCAAAATGTCCGACGAAGAACGTGAGACGAAGCCCTTCAAGTTCGTCACTGGTAAGTTTGCGCCTCCCAAATCCCTCAGGCCTTGATTCACCCATTCCTCCGTTGTCCCGCGGTTTGGCTGTATAACTAATGTCTTGATGTTTAGCTGGTAAGAAAATTATCCCCTTATTCCGATTGAACCGAATAAACGAAACGAGACGATGAAGCGACGAGATGGGAACGTAGAATCAGTTCATTTGCGCTCACTATTAAAACCAAATCGAACCAAACCAATCTGACCCGCTCCACCAGGTGTCGATGCTCGATTCCCCAACATGAACCAGACCAAGCACTGCTGGCAGAACTACGTCGATTACCACAAGTGCATCAACGCCAAGGGCGAGGACTTTGCCCCATGCCGCCAGGTACCATCACCATCCTCATATGCGAAACATATACTAATGAACCAAGTTCCTACTTGCATACCGATCTCTATGCCCTAGCGGATGGTACCAACGATGGGATGAGCAACGAGGTCAGTATTCTATTATTGAGCATGAGGATAGAGGGCTAATACAGTGCAGAGGCTGGAAACTTCCCCGCCAAGTTAGATGCTTAAGTGTACCCTACGATATCTATAGTCATCAGGCGAATCAATAGAGTTGGAATGCCATGATGTAGTATATAACCTAAACTCGAGCAAACCAACAATTTGAGACTACTACAAGTCTTGTGTGTGCGTTGTACTTATCTCTGTGATCTATAGACATGTCCTCTTGTTTCAACCCTGATGATAGGAGGTACAAGGCAGAAAATACATACCACATCTTTCTCATAGGCACCTTATGACTTTACGCTTCCTCAGGCACCACCAAGTAAGTGACACAGAAAACCTTTATTTCTTGCAAAGAATAACATCTCTCTGCCTTAGATCGTCATCAACGACCAATCAATCACAGGCAACATGTCAGCAATCCTAGTATTCCAATTTGTGTAATACCCAGCATCCTACTCTACAACTGTTACCTCTACCTGTACTACACCCACCCAACTTGAGTCAATTGCACAATGGCTTCCTCATTCTTCAGGTTCACCAGTCTTCCCACCGAGTTGCGCTTACAAATATGGGAAGCAGCTCTCTATGATGAAAGTGAGGACCGGCTCGTACCCATGTGTATCGCTGATCTCAAGCTCATCTACAAGCAAGAGGTCTCACGCGTAGATACCCCTCCTATCCGTCTCTGGTCCGGGAAATGGCTCGCGTCTCCTTTCCTAAGCGTCAATCGGGAATGTCGGCAGACAGCCAAGGCCTTTTACAACTTCATCGATGTCCATCGCATTCCCCTAGATCGCGATCACCCGTTTCTAACATCTGCCGGGCTACTCTATCTCAATCTAGATCGGGATATATTCATCAAGCACTATAACTCTTGTCCGACCGAACCAGCGTGGTCGTTGTTAGATGACTTCATCACGGGCAGCGTGAGCACAAAAATCAAGTACTGCACAAGCCCCATGGGCCAGGTCGACTGCGAGCGCGTCCGACGCATTTGCACAGCTGTAAGTGGTCACCAGGATGGTATCAGCCCCTATCCTAACAGGGACCTATACTATCCTATGTGCCTTTGCTACTGCAAGCGTAGAACCCATCCGTGTGGGCTACCCTACAACTACCATTACGCCATTTGGGAACAGCAATTGTGGCCATTCTCAAAAGCTACAGCGCGCTTCGATATGGAATTTGACTATGACATGATGGAGTGGGGGTCGCGCGATGCGGATCCCGGTTTACACGCCGCGATGGTCGAATTCAATACAGGCAAGGCATCCACGCTCCTTCGCAACTACGCAATCTACTCTTACGTTGAATCTGATGAAGATTCACATACACCAGACTCAAAGAGGCGATGGCGGAGTGAACTTGATTATCAGACATCGGCATGACGATGTGTCCGTTTGACGCTCATGCTCGCATATAGCGAGGTGTCGGCAATGAAGTGGCGATTTGACAGTCGGGCCGCTACGGCTACAGACAGAATTTTTAGATGGGTTTAGTACCAGACTAGGTATCTGAGTCTAGACACAATGAAGACATCAAACCCCCGAAGAATCGCTAGGCGTACAAGTGAAAAGGGATAAAAATGATTCCTTGCATTTCTTTTCAAGAGCCTTCTATATTACACATCAAGTGATGTTTCTTTCTCATGTTATCACAACTACACCTAAGTTACTAAGTTTCTTCGCTTATTAGGTACTAAGTACCCGAAAGCATTCTTCATTCAAATCTCACATATAAGGACTTCTAAAACAAAAGCGCTTACCGACCTTTTTCTACCTTCCCTGCCCGAAGCATCAACTTAATAATTGGCGACCCAAGGGATTTCTTGTAGATCAGGACAGTCTGACTTCGGGACGCGATATCCGAGTTGACCTTTTTCTAACAAGTCTACTAGCCCTTTTATCTTAGCATCCAAGAAGTCACGTACCTTATCGAATCGCTTCTCGTGCGGGCCACTCTGTTGGAACTTCGGTGGCTTCCATTGTGGGTACAGTTTAAGGGAAGATTTCCTCATCCTAAATCTCGATGTCATGTATTTTAATACATGGTAGCATAACCAACAAGGCCCCTTGCTGCACCCTATATAGTTGAAGAATTTCTCTGGATGCTCGTCACACATTATAAGGTCAAAAAGTTGCATTTCGCAGTGTACCCAGGGCGGTCTTTGTTCCCGCTTGCTTTTTGACGAGTTTTTTGGAGGACGTACAGCGGTCCAACCGCTGTCGACTAATGTCCCTGGTTGGACCAGCTCTATCTGTAGCTTAGTTGAGTCAGGACGCGCCCGGAACCGAGCCATATCATACCACGCCAGGTAATAATTCCCAATCAAGTATATCAGCCGTCCAAAGCCCCTGCGTGATGCTTCTCTCATCCCGCATTTCTTAAGCACTACACCCATTTGTCCCCGGTAAACCACCAGCATCTTGAAACAATCTCGTGCAGTCATGTCTAAGATTTCCATAAGTTTATCGTGATCATGTGTTCCACTAGCTGGAAAATTTTCGTGGAGGTTAAGTTCATTCATATAATAACTGCACAGATGTGCTAAGATCTTCCGTAGGCTATCCGACCCTCTTGGTCGCGGGTCTATACGTTCTAGGCGATCAATTTTCGTACTAATCCACACCTGGGCGTTCTGGCCTTTCCATGCTTTCTGTATTGATTCACGGATGCTAGGGTAGCAACATTCAAGAATTCCCTTCCAGAGATTGTCTTGAAGGGTTGGTTCGCCAAATTGGGAACATTTGAGTTGCTGCCGACTTTCAAACCACTCGCCTATCGTCTCGGCAAGACTATTGGTTGACACATCGAACGGCTGGTTCTTGGCTATCAGGAGCTTGTAAGCAGTACGTTCGTCATCTACGTACCTCAACGCAGTTGCAGCAACCCCTGTGGAGCCTGGTTGAGAGAATATCAAAGCGAAGGAGTCAAGTAAGTTTTTCGCTAGGGGCTCTCTATATTTGGGCTCATCGATATGATCCATCAGCAACCCAATCTCATATGCACAAGCTTCCTCTTCAGGTTGGACGTCGAGACTTAAAGATTCAATTTCGTCTTGTTGTATTCGCCTATAGTTGACTCTGGAGGCATCGCTGCCGTCGCTCTTGACATTCCGCCTAGCTTGGTCGAACATACCTCGTTCGGGGCCGTTACTACCTACTACGGTATCCCGTGGAGACGGCATATCCTCAATTTCAACACAAGGCGTTCCTTTAATACACCGATACTTGTTATATAGGAACTAGAATGTAGGTTACATAGCCAAATCGTTGGAGATGGTAGATTCATGCTCCTTATATAGTCGTTAGTTAAGGTCCCTTACACACTTATCAAGGCTGTCCCGTCATCCACTTCTGACATGTCCATCGCCTATTCTGAGTTGCCACGTCTCAGTGCATATGGTGACTTGAGCTGAAACAGCCACGGTGGCCGGCCGGAGATACTATTCCCAAATAACGTAATATTCTGTAGGAATATATTGATTTCTTTTATCCCAGCCCTAGTATTATGGATTATGATATGTATCGTAGACACGATACTATCACGGACTAGTATTGAGAAAATTACTACAATCCTCAATACATAGTTGATGATTCGGCGCTACTGTGGTTGGGTTGGCTCAAGCCAACCGTAACGTTGACTTGTCTTGAGTGTCATTCAAAGATGGCTATGGAAGCAAAGACAGTATAAAACCTACAAGTCATATCATATTGACACGACAGAGATCGAATTAACATTGACGTAGCTGCTCGCTTTGTTGTGAGGCTAGTTATCGATAAGCTGTAACTTACTACTATTGAGTTAGACTCTGATATTATCATGGCTAGAGCTTGAACGAGATTTGGTTGTGTCTCCTGTTCCACCAGCTATCCGAAGATTTTATTGAAACTCCATCTGAATATCTTCTGGTATATTATAATTGGTACGGATGTCTCCCGTATCTTTTCATACTGAGAAAGATACTTATTGGCGGACTTTCGCATTCCTTCATTCTTGCAAAAAAGGAGGTCCAAGGCTTCTTTAAATAGGTATAGAGGAAAATAATAGGTACTAAATCTTAGAAATATAATTATACAGACTAGGATAAAGTGTGATTAAAATCTCGGCATGTTTGAGCATTTCTGAACTACGTCAAGTAGGTCGAAAGTAATATTATTTATATGCTCACAATACCACGGTAGCTTAGGTTACCAAACTTTTTTTTATTAAACATCTAGGTGCTTGGTTGGATATCCAAAATATCGTGTTATCCGAGCCTCATTAGTAGTACATCAGTAAAGCATCCCATTATCAACTCCCACGCTTATCGCCATCCACAGATTCGAGGTGAAGCATCGATCCAGTCATCGGAGACTTAAAAACCACGGCCAAATCAGGGCAATCTGATGTAACCTTCCGAGGTTCGGCTCTTTCTAGTACCGTTGCCAGCTCCTCTGTCCGCTCATATAAAAACCTCAACACTTGAGCAAACTGGTCCTGACGTTCGTGGCTTCCTTGGAACTCCGGAGGTATCCAACTATATACTTTCAAATGAGATTTCCTCGTTTTAAACCTGGACGTCATATACTTAAAAGTATGGTAGCAAAGCCAGCAAGGCCCCTCGTTACATCCAATATAGTTGAAAAACGCCCCTTTCTGTCTGTCGCTAAGGATGAGATCAAGTATTTTCATCTCACAGTGTAGCATGGGTGTGCTTCGAGATCTTGAAGGCTCCATGTCGTGGCGAGACGGTTCAGCGGGATAAACCCCCTCGCGATCTACCTGCAGCTCTTCAGTAGTCTCCGGTAGGATAGCTGCATTCATAGCGCCTATATTAGATACGTACAGTATCCTCAAAGCTTCCCCCCTGTGATGACGCTTGAACCGAACTATATCATACCACGCTCGACGATAATTTGCAAGCCTGTATATAAGCTCCTTTAGCTCATCCCACCACGGCCTTCTTAGTCGCATCCCTCTCCAATCCTCACGTACCTTCGCGGAGAAAGGCGGATCTGAATCCTTTGCGCAATTTCTAACTATATTCCCCATTTCTGGTTCATATAGTCCTATCAACTGGAAGCATAATCCTGTAATAGTATCTAGAAATTGCAACGGTATGGATCCTGTATTAGCGCGACGTTGAGAACTGCGGTTAGGATCAATTTCCTCCGAGTTTGAAGTTAGGTCGTTGGCATTGCCATCTGACTCAGTAGAAAAGTGCGTCGCCAAATGCTCTATGACTTTTTGTAAAATATCTGTAGCTGCCCCGGATTCGCGGGTACGATCTGGGGATCCACCCGGCTTTTTGATCCGCCCCTTAGCTTCTTGGAGATTTTTCCAGACGTCCTCCTGTTCGCCCTTCCACGTCGTATGTAAGATATCGTAGACACTAAGATAACAATACTGGAGGATACCTCTCCAGTAACTGTTCCTAAGGCTAGCCCAATCAATAATAGATTCATCGGCATTCTCCCGGCCTTCTTGTGGTCACGCTCCTATGAACCAACTTTCAATACTGGCAGCGAGATTACTGACAGACTGGTCTCTAATATCATTCGTGGCTACGAAAATTTTGTATTCGTCCGGATTTTCACTTGTCCGCTTCATGGCAGTCGCAGTAACCCCTCTAGGCCCTCGTTGTGCGAATATCAGAGCGAAGGAATCTAAGAGGTTCTCTCCTAAATTAAGTTTCTCCCTCTCGTCGTCCATATTTTCAATGAGTAGCCTGGCATCACGAGATGGTTCCTCAGATATAAGTTGGGGACCATCCTTAACCTCTTTTAGAAGCATTTCTTGAAGAGCGAAAGTATTGTCATAGAACCTATTACGATCTACACCAGCAGACCGAAATATGGCCTCGGGAATATGGCGGTAATCCGACATAGTGTGTGCAAGTGGTATTGGTATATCTTCAATTTTGTGAATGTTAATAGTTAAAGTACTGATTGGTAATTTGATTTGAAACTGTAGATTAAGGAGTATGCCGGAAATGACAGAGAGATCGCGTCTGTAGTTTTTATATATATATTTCTTCATCGCACTTTTCACATATATTGTCACTATCTTAGTATTTAGCTCTGACGTATCTTCTTGTCTCTCTGAGCTGGCAAGTTCAGTCACTAACATGACTTAAGTTGAAACAACCATGATGGTAAGTCAGACTTGGTGTTCCAAAGACACGCGGCTGACTTAACGGCTGAATATGCTCCCCTATTCCAACGTTGGGATTGTCATCCAGAATACATACCATACAGAATACAAAGTTGTTTAACATCATACAATGAAGGCCACGAGGAAATACCTGGCTCTAAACATTGAGACCGCCCACGTACATCAACCACGAACGATTAAATCGGCAACGACGTGGCGATCTTGCATTGTTACGGACTCATTGAGTGCTGTCAGTATCTCGTGGTCATCGACATGTTCCCCGGCCGTCAGGCAGTGTAACCTGGGTGCAGTTTGAGTGTTGGAGAGTCCATCGAGAAGACTTTTGACTGAATCTCCTATTATGGGTTCGACCTAGTCGATTGGAATGCCTTCTGGAACGGCAAGATCCAACATATTCACCTTCAAATAATTATAGCTTTCCGAGTTATATACCTGAGAGATCCTTCTTCGTAAAAGAATTAGCATGAAAAGTAAAAATATGAGGGGTTTTCCGGTTTATCGTGGCGTTGTCTACATGCAGAGTACTTAGAAAGCCACCTGATAAAGGGGGTGATAGCTCCACTTTAATGGTATACATACCGGATCATTAGTCGGGCCGCACTGACCAGGGTCTGTCGAAATTTCAATTGCACGGGGTACCCAACCAGCTTAGCTTCTTGTTTTTTTGATCTTCGCGCCGGCCACTATTGAAAACTTGAATGCGAGCCAAGTCAAGCTCGCAGGACGGTCGTCAAGATGGTTAATCCAGGAAAGAGGATGAACATATTGCAAGCCGTAAGTTTCCCTTTATCTTCATTTTATTGAACAAGTCTATCTTGAGGCAACTATGCTAATACTACACTATAGAAGGTATTTCGCATCATTAACCCGACTTCGAGCACCTCAGCCCTAATCTGAATTGAGATATAGATATTGGCGTTACGGCATGGCCCAGGGGCGGCAATATTACCACCTGAAATCACACGAATACATATGGATTTTGCAATGAAGTGGAACAATGGACACTTTGGCCCTAGGTATGCGGTTTTGCCTTATCCCATGCACCATTCCAACACTCTTCCCGAGAATTCAATTCACAATCGAGGGAAACCATTTGTGACTGACTCTTCCTCTTCCTCTTCCTCCACCTACAGGAAATTCTGGAAGACATGCCTTCCCCGTCTTAAATTCTGGAACCCAGCGATTCCAATGATCGTAAACCGAACACTAGACCAATCAGCACCAGCAAAAATGTCGATATACTTCCGACAAGCAGCACTATCTTCTGACGCCCCATCGGCGCTTAGTACTAAGTTAAGCACATTACCACTAGCCCAACAACCACGTTCGAGCACGGAAAATGAGCACCCAGCGCCCGAACCCGAGGAGAACGAACGTGTCGTCACGATTGATATGAAGGACGTACACTCAGATCAGATTCTAGCCGAATTCCTGTCTAAAACAGGTGCCTCGCTTGTTCAACCCACGCCTGACGAGCGGTCGGAGATGCGCCAGATTGAAGAGCGTACCGAAAGGGCGGCTATCGACCGCGCTATTGTCAAGAAATACATTGATGATAAGAATCGTGAGGAGCGAATGATGGCCATGGCACGCCAAGAGGCAGAAGCTATTAAGATGGCGAATCAATGATGAAAAATGCCCTAAAAATCCAACTCGAGGAGACTTACAATAGCAGCAGAAAGAGAGGAGGCCAAGGAAAAGGAAAAAGGATGGGAATGAATGATAATGACTTACCGAGACGGCCTCTTTACGTTTGAATCGTCGCTCCATTGCATAAGACGTGTATCATACGAAACAACCAGGCGCATATAACCGCGGATGGAATGTATATGAAGAAAGGAAGTATATACCAGGCCTCCTAAAAGGGAGCTTCGCCTGAGCAGGATACCTGCACACCGGGACCCGAATGAAAAAAGGAAATGAATAAATTCAACTTACAACGAAGACGACATATTTTTTGTTGTCCTCTCCCTCCTCTCCCTTACCCTACTTCAACCTCTTACACCAGACGAAAGTCACCTTGCATACACTCTGAGATATTCTGCCCTGATCCCCATGGCTTATCTCAATTTTGCGTCAAGGAAGATTGAATTCAGACCACATTCCTATTCACCGTGGCCTCCTTATATATTAAAGGTGCATGGTTTATTTTGTTGGCCTACATCAATATCTGCCGTAATTGAGCGCTATTTTCGATGATCACTTCTTACATGAGAACAGAAAGATGTGAGCAAGTTACACTAGAAAACGCTGCAAAATGAGTTGATGTACTTTGATTTCGTAGCTCACTCTATACTAAAGTAAAAATAAATAAGTATACAATATTATACCATAGTTCCATGTCTGTTGGGTATCTTTTCATACCCTTTTCCCTCATTTCCTCCCTTCATCCAAGTTAAACAAAAGAAATAATTTACACCTCCGTCTCAACATCCGGCTGTCGCCCACTAAGCGCTCCCATATGCGTGACCCGACGAATGGCATACTTAGCTTCGTCCTTAGCAAACTGCGCGTTGCGCAACGGTCGCCATTGCATTAATCCGCGGTGTTGGCGGTGTAAGTCCCGGCTCTTCTCTCGATAGTCTTTGTACTGCTTAATTGGGTTCTTACTACTCTTACTCCGCCCCGAGTCCGTAGTCGCGGTCGTGGTCGTAGTAGTAGCTTGTGTTAAAGCACTTCCATTCGCACCGCTGCTAGTCGCAGTGCTAGGCCGTCCATCAGAACTCTCACGCACAGGAGAAGAGTTGGTACCATCCTGGATCCCGAGATCATCCTTGCCATTCGAGGGTCCATCCTCAGAATCTTCATCAGATTCATATTCCGTCTCCTCTCTACCCTCACGGCCCGTCATTAAATCCGCGGGGTCCTGACCGAAAGCACCAGTCCAATCCGTTCCATCTTTGGAAAGCCACTTCCTCCTCTCCTCTTCAGGAGCGTTGGCTAGGACATCACGAGCGTGCGTGAGGGAATCATCATGTAATTTCTGAATTGCAGGCGGGACTTCGCGACTAACATCCTCACGCCTCACACCTTCCGCATAACATGCTTCCCAAGTCTCAATTGTCTCGCGGGAGTCGTTATCACTAACAAAACGCAAGTGATCCCTATCCGTGCCAGCCTTGAACCGGCCTCTAAACTTCAACCTACCAACTTCTTCGATACGTAAATCAGGTACCGTGTTGAAATTAGTGGGCGTAATAAAATTCTGCGAAAGTCGGGTTGCATTATCGCATTTCCACACTGGGATGTCGAAATCGGAATCTTCCCCATCGACCAGTTCTTGCAGCCAGACGGCGGCGAAGTACTCCACGTGTCGCTTGCCCGGGAGGTGAAATTCGAAGAATACAGGGGAGCGGTAGCGGTATCGGACGGGTAGACGAGGGCGGGGGTTGTTGGTTATGCCGTTGATACTCCATTCTAGGGTGTCGTCTACGGCGGCGCATTGCTCGCGTTTTACTGTTGCAGAGCTACCGCCTGTTCGTAGACGTAGTTTAACCTTGCCTTTACCGGAGCCGGTGAAGGTGGAGGTAATCTTGTCTGATGTGAATTCGAATGTGCCGACGTCCCAACCGAGCTGTGATGGAGGGAGCTTGAGCTCGACGGATCGGAATAGTAGGGAGATGCGGACACGACCGAAGCCAATGCCACCGTCTAAGGGGTACCATCGCGTGACTTGGCTGCTTGTTTGCATGAGGTCGGAAATCTTCAGGGGGACGACACCAATGATCGGATCATGCTGTCTGTTCCTCGAGTCGCGAACCGTAACAGTGACAATGGCGGACTTCCAGTCTCGGACAAATCGTTCGGTACCAGCGTTGAAGATGGGCTTGGAGGAAACGACCTTAGTTCGGGTTTTGTAGACCTGGCGACATTCATTAGCAGATGGATACCAAGTCTTGAATGGGATGAAAACTTACCAACTCATCATTAAGCAGCATAGTGCAATAAGCACTTGGCAACCTCTTGCTCGACTCCTCCTTAATCTCACCAGCATCACGAGCGGGTTCATACTCCTTCCCACCCTTCCTTTTACCACCTTCGGAGCCCTTTACATTGGCCAACTCCAGGTTAACGATCTGGTGCACAACCACACTCAGAATACCAGAAGGCCATAGCGGGTCAGGAGGCGTATGTACCACAGCATCTTCCTGGTCATTCTGAATCGCGCCCTTATCATCCTGCAACTCCTTATTATGTCGGATCTCCTTCGGCAAGCCAAGATCCTTCCCATCAGTCCTTAGCGCAGCACGGAACTGTGTCTTGCCGAAATATCCAACTTCCCAGTGCAATTCGCCCGGCATACTGCTATCAGCCTTAACACCGCGCAGTTTCGAAACTTGCTGGTACATCTTGCCCGGGTGCTGAATTAATTTCTGCAGCGACAATTCGACCTTCCCAACAACATCATCCGCACTCGAGCGATCGCTGTCCCAGAGTTCCATCGACAGCTGCTCATCTGCTTTTATCAGATCCGGCGTAACAGACAGCGCACAGCTCTCCTCAAACACAGGGTTTAGATCATCCTGAATGACCCGTGTGCAATACATCGGCTTGCCGAACTTCGAGAAGCTAACCGTGATATACGGATCCGATCCTCCTCCCTCTGAACCCCGTCTATCTTGCTTAGATAACCCGACAGCTTTATGAATGCGAATAAACAAGATACCCAAAGCTTGCGTCTCCTTCTGAATATCGTCACCAGATAACATCTTCGCGAGGTCGAGGGTGAGCGATTTCGGCGCGACGTACATACTAGCCGCAGCTTTGATGGCCCAGTTGACGAAGTTGGAAATCACAGGGAGGTTGAGGATATTGACACCGCGCTCGATCATAGGTGTGCAGCCTGCTTCGACTTTGGGCACGCCCATGAGGGTTATGGTGACAGCTTTGAGAAACGGGGGTTCGGGTGTCATTTGCAGGCGTAGACGGACGGTTCCTACTAGGCCGATTAATTCGACCCCTGGATATCGTTAGCACTCATCTCGAAACCATGCACGATAGATACTCACAAATAGGTAACGGAATTCCGAATAAACCCTTGATACCAAGGTAGAAAACCAACTGCATGCCCATATTCTGAGCCTTCGCCGAAACAGACTCCGCCGAGGGCTTCGCATGATAAGCAAAAGACGCCTCCAAGTTATAATAATCACCACCCTCCTCATCCGCAGCGAGTTCTTCCGGATCCTTGATTTTCTGGTTCTCCTTGTGCATCTCATCCTTAAGCTCCTTCATGTGGCTATCGGGAAGAGCGCGTAGACTTAGGATTCGGATCGGGTTGTTGCCTTGGTTGATATCGGCGACTTTGACGTTTTCGATGACTCCAGGGACCGATGCTTGCATGACGTCCTATTTCCGTTAGTTTCGTGAGTGGATGGTGAGGGGTGTGGGAGGGCATACTTCGAGGGTATCAGCTACGGCGGCGAACATGTCAGGATTAATGAGACCCCATACTATGCCGAGCAACGTGTTCATCCACTCCACAGATTCAGGAATCAGGTTGGCGACAGCGGTTTCACCACGTTTTTTCTCACTTGACCACTCAATATCTCGGCCTCGTCGAACTAGGTCCTTCATCCATAGGAAGACTCCAGATGAGACGACGATCGAGAGTGGAATCAAGCCCAACAATCTGCCACCAAAAAACTTGCCCATGAAAATGATGGCGAAGAATACGAAAGCGCATAATACCGTCGCCCGCTGTTCGATGATGACGTACATTGGCTCATAGCTTACTGATGGCGTGGGGTGGAAGAGAATATTGGTCTTCTCGCCATGAATCGGTACGTCCGATGTAGCCCCTGTAGCTATTGGATCTGGCGGTGCTGTTATATCTTGCGCATTTCTGTATTCTTCACCCGATTGAGTGGCTTCTGTCTTGACCGTCGCGTCTTTCCCTAGATTTGCGTTTGGTACGGAGAGCTATTCACAGTTTTGATTAGGAACACTATAATTTCTCCTATATAAGATAGGGTGACTGAGACTTACATGAGGCTCCTCCGCAGCCTTCATAAAATCAGTATTGACATCGTCAATAGTAATCTGGTTTCCCGTGACGGGATCCGTCACTATTCTTCCTTTACCCTTATACTTCTCAAGTTCATTTCTGTGCTCTGTAATATCTCCATTCTTCTTATTCGCTTTGAGCTCAGAGTCGATTTTGGCGTCTCGCTCCTTCTTCTCCCTGTCGAGGCTGGCGACGAATTCTTTAATGTTGGGGATTCGGTTGAGGCCAGAATAGTGACCACCACCGGGGTAATGGTGCTGCTGCTCCGAAGCCATGTCGTGGTGTGTTACACAAAAGCTGTATAATTCATACAATAGTTACTCCGACGGGGTATAATAATAATGAATGATCTACCTAAGTACTGTATAAGAAAATCGGAAGGAATTGCCTTCCACCCCTACGAGTACAGCTACTGGGAAGCAATAATACTCGAGGAAAAGTTATAATAAGAGCTTAAGGCTACGAGGGGAGGATGGAAAAAGAATGGGAAACCAGGATTTCTATCTAAAAGGAAACCGATCTTGAAAAAGAGACTCGGTTAGATATGTTGATTACATAGCTATCAAAACTGTCTGAACTAAGCTAAAGATATGCTCTTGGATTGGCAGGTTTGCATCATATTTCCCGACATGTTTCTCCTCTTTCAGCTAGGAAATGGGAACGAAAAAAGTGTAGATGAATCGTGCTGTAGTGTGAGAGTGTATGACGTAGGTGGGGCGCCCTTTTTCTTTGTAGAGTCAGGTACTTTTGCTTTTGTACTATCCAATTCGGCCATCTTGCTTCCAAGGTATTGGACGACAGGGGTTAATGGTCCACTTTAACTCCGGTTCATCGCATCCGCTTCGCACATCGAGGAAGTTACGATGTCACCTTGCTAGGTATTACAAAGCCAAGGGAAAGCAAAAAAAATGCGAACCATCGAACTGGGTCGATTTCCATATTGCTTGTTTTTTTCGATACCATGTTGGATGGAGATCTCTGAGCCTCGTGTTATTTGATTCAACATCGGAGATACCTCAGGTGTTTGTAACATATTCATGAATTCATATATTCTTTTTATAACTTATTGATCAAATACCTTTAATAGGAATAAATATGTTGGTCCTCGAGGCTTATATACGCGTGGACGCTGAGTTGTTAGTATAAGACAACCACCGATCACCAACGATCATTACATCTGCCTGTTCGTCCAACTCGTCTTTAATCAGGTTAGCCAACTAGAAGAGAAATTTAAAATAGCTACGATAGGCAGATTAGCGAGTGAGAACATGGTAACGTGGGCTGAGTGGGGAGAAGCACAGGCTGATCTACAACAAGGATACATAGAAGCTTGCGTCATTTGGCATCTAGACTCACAACACCGATCCAAGATTACATCGTAAGCAGTTTTCTTGCAAGCCGATGAACCGAGACTTGCGGGTTTGGCTTGCTGCTTCAGCATCCATGTAGTTTCTTGTTATCTTGAATACATGGATAGAATCGCAAGGATTTCCCGATCTGGTTTAACTGTTGCGAATATCTAGATATAAACCTTGTGATGGTGTTTTTGAGGCTGGCTTACGGTTTTGTTGTAGGCTTCCACAAGACTTTCGTGGGTCGATAGCTGAAGACTGCTATATCTCTCTAGCACTCTACTACAAAGTCCGCACTTAATCAATTTATTTATTTTCACGTGGGTAGGTTATTTAGACGAAACTAGTGTTGAATCATATGCATTTTCATATCCATCATAACCTCATGTAATCTTATTATGGAACCAAGAATTGGAAACACAATGCGATGGTATCGAAAAACGCCTATGCTAACCATGACCAAAAAGACCACCCAATGCACCCATATAATGCACCTTGCGGTATGCATTTAATTGCGGCCTCCTTTTTATGTACTTATATAAACATCAAATCAGACCAACATGTTGGTTCTGGTAACAACTATATCCATTCCAATATAATCCATCGCCCATCATTCTAATATCTTATAATTAAACCAATTACGCCTGGTCAGCGACCACTAGATCCGGAGGAATAGGTGTATCCCTCCTAGAACCCGTCTCGGGATCAATAAGATCTGTAGACCCTAGCCTTTCTAGTTTCGGAAGCGATTTGTTCGGTGCAACTACGGTCGGAGTTTTCATATCTAAATCGACGCTGTGGGGTGTTGTAGCCCTACTCGAGAGCATACTACCCGCATCAGACATCTCAATATCCTCTCGGTCTGAAGATGCCTCCGGCTCCGAACTAATAGGTTCAACGCTGACTTTAATTGCGGTCACGGGTTCCGGAGTTGAGGCCTCCGTGGCCACTCTAAGAGCGGCTATCGCACCACTCTCATTCTCTTCATCGTCTTGCCCGATTGTCCAGACCCACTTTCTCTTCTTGTCCTTTCTCTTACGCTTGCGTATTCCATCTGGTCTTGGTGAGTGGATTGGTGTGTCTGTACCAAGTTGTGTCATGCGCCTCCGCATTTCCTCAAAAGGCCCTGGTGTCTGACCTCCATCACGGGTTTCATCGCCCGTATACGCCATTGCAAGATCGAGTAGCATTTCGGAGTCTTCCGCGCTTGGAGAGGGCGTATAAGGAGATGCTTCATCGGCAAGGAGGTCGATATGAGACTTGGTATACTTCTCGGTTGTAATAGTCTGAGTTAGTGGAGATACATATCCTACGTGCCTAGCGGCTTTTTCTTGTAATCGAAGTGATTGTCTCCTCGGAGACATCGGTGATATAGCGCTCGGCGGGGGCAAAGGTGAGTTGCGTAATATACTATGGAGAGACTTGTCGCGGCTATACGGAGCTTTCGCGGGTGATCCGTAAGGTGCGTATATCACTCGGCGGCGTGTCTGAGTAGGAGAGCGTAGAAATCCCTGTTTGCTCGAGTCGGCGGGGGCGAACGTAAACTTGCTAGGCTCGGATGACTCAACTGGCCCAGCAGACATAGGAGGAGTTGCTGTCATGGTACTCGGAAATACCATATCCATCTGTTGAGGTGGAGAGATGGGATTCGCAGATAGCGGAGTATCCGGCAAGGCTGCGGTGTGCGGCGTTTCCACTCTAGGCCTGTGGGCCTTTAGAGCTTCCGTGTTAGTTTGGAGTTTTAGAGGCTGAAGAAGGTTGATGGCTGTTAGAGGCGTCGACTGGACCGGCGTCGATCTTTCAATAGCAGTTGCATATAAATTTGTAAGGGTATTAAAGGAAGTTGGTGATTTAGGATCCATGTTTGAGAAGGCCTTTGCGGACCTAGCGCTTGGTCCTGGCGAGGGTCTCGTTTGAAGAGACAACCTCGGTCTCTTGGATGACTCGGGGCACGTCATGGTGAAGAAGACTTTGTGAAGTCTTTCTTTTACCAAGATCCAACCTTTAAATGTCCTACGGAGAGATTGATAAGATAGGAAATATGAAGAAAGGTTGTTGAGTTATGCCACTCGGTCTGTGCTGCCAGCAGACGAGGACTTTTTCGAACAACCTCCCAGCCGGCCGGGATATAGAGAGTAGGAGAAGTGGATAGAAACGTGTGATAAATGGCGTTAGAAAGGAGCACAGCGGCTATATAATACAATACGACGCAAAACCCCTTGGCTTCAAGAGACCGAAAACGACCCGACAAGAAGTGAAGAAAGGGAGGGCAACTTGATCAATCCAGCGCTTATGAAATGGAACTAATGCAGAGTGCGAAGTGAACCAACAACGACCTAAGTGTGAAGAAAGCGTAAGAAGAGGGGGGAAGGACGAAGAGAAGAAAAACGTGACCAAAAACCCCGTGCCACAGACACTATTGGAGCTGGAAGATGAAAAAGGACCTAAAGTTGACCAGTCGTAGGACAGCTGCAAGAGTGAGATGCAGCAGTCACGTCCAAGGTCGGGGTCTTGGTTGGCTATAAAAAGGGACGAGGCCTTGGGATCGGAGGGATGATGAAGACGCAAGCGCCGACGTACCCTTGTTCATCTGCATAATCCTGGCTAAGTATAGCCAATGGCAAATATAGCGAGGTCGGCTAACGGGCCACATCGCGTATAGGATTGCCGCCTCTGGCTTCTTCCGGCGCCTATTTCCCTGGGTTTCTGGTGGACGTCGAAAATGTATTCCCCGCATTTCGGAGGAAACATTACTATGTACCCTGTTGATATAATGTTTCACTCAGTTTGGAGGCTGAGAATATGGAAGCGGTGAAATATCAAAACAATGATCTAGAAGCAGGATCGCGACCGTACAGTCGACATCTAGCATGCATGTTAGGAAGACCAGCTGACTATGAGCTGCGCCTGAGTGCCTAGCCATCTCAACAGGCTGTTTATCCTCTAGGCCCCTCTTGTCGGGACGCGAGCTGTCTGATCTTGTCAACGTCCCAGCTACGCCAATTTTGTTGCGACGACCTCGTCCACTGGACAACGATATCAAATTTCCTTGAAAACTAGGAGACCCGACGGAGGTCACTAATGACGACATCACCTCTTCACTATTGTCCCGTCCCAGTACAAGCATCTGGTTCTAGTGAGTAACGTATACTTGGTGACGACTCCACTCTGAGCAACGATTAATATGGATCTGTGCCCTTTTTCCCTAGAAAAAGAAGACAAGTTGTTCAAAACACTTTGGTCTCTCCTGGGAACCTAATTTCTTCTCTTCTCCGAATATGGGGAAATCGGTTATTTTTGTTCAATTTTGTTTCAAATATTACTCTTGGCTGCCAGCGAGCCGTGCTGCTGGGACGGGGATGAGAACATCCGCGGGCCATAGTATAAGATCCCCCCTCCCTTGCTGGAGCTTTGACAACGCGACAGGGACATTGTTTAAAATGAGGCGACAGAAAAATTTACTAGAGCTAAGTAAGGGAGATAGAGAAAATAGAACCTGGTAATTGCAGATGTCGCGAAAAGTTGCCTTAGGTAATTGAAATCGTGAAGAGTGGAGGATGACAAATGTTGGGGAATTTTTAGACTCTGAGTGGATGTTGAGAGACAGTGGATTACCTAATTTTAGCTTATCCTTTAGTATCAAGCCACATCAACTTACATAATGCCGTGCAGGTGGATATCCCGCCATTATGTGGCTGGTAAGCTACGACTGAAATAGGCAACGAAGCATCTCTCTCATAAGATCCAACAACTTTACGAAGTTATAAGTTAGATCACATACGTAAGATATCAGCCTCTATATGGCTGAGTGCCGCAGCCGCGAGTCTGTCAAATGACAAATAACAAATATTTGACAGCGTGATTGTTCCTATCTAAAAATGGAACAAAATGAGGACAACAGCGCTGACGTCGGGACGAGCCAAGCCGATCGTCACGAGAGCCCCTAAGAGGAACGACGACCGCGTCATCTTACACTTTGTGAGTAAATTTCACTCCAATATTTCTGAATATACTTTCTATCTTCGTTATATACTAAGATCTTCCTTCAAAGCCATAAGTTTACTGATATGACGTGTAGGACTACGACTGCTTTTATGCCAGCGTGTTCGAAAATGCCAACCCAACACTCAAGGGGTTACCGCTAGGTGTAAAGCAGAAGAGCATCCTAGCAACCTGCAATTATGCGGCTAGGGCTCGTGGCGTCAAGAAGCTGATGCTTATCTCCGAGGCACAGAAGATTTGTCCGGACATTGTGATTATTAGTGGGGAGGACCTAACGCCATTCCGCGACGCCTCCAAGAAGCTGTGGTCAGTATTAAGATCGCACTCTTGGAATGGCCGGGTAGAACGTCTAGGCCTTGATGAAGTATTCCTCGACGTTACGGACGTAATTGCGTACAACGCAGAATTATTGAATCGCAATGCCCTACAGGACTCATTCTTCCAGCTCTCTCGGCAGGATCCCGAAAAGGGGTTCAGCTTCGACGCCACTCGGTTCTTCGGATGTGTCCATCCGTCCGTAGAAGCGAAAAATGTCTCAATACTTTTAGACGAACCCCTCTACGTACGCTTACTACTTGCCTCGCACCTGGCCGGTTATCTACGCCACAAACTAGAAGAGGACTTTGGTTACACATCCAGCGGTGGTATATCCACCAACAAAGTCCTCGCTAAACTCGCCGGTAGTGTGAACAAACCTAAGAATCAGACCGCTCTTCTCGGCCTTCGTGATGCCGACATCCAGAACTTCGTCGATGGCCACAAGTTACGCCAAATTCCGGGTATTGGCTCGCGTATGGCGCAGCTGATCCAAGACTATGTACTTTCTGAGGACACAACCGGTGATTCGCATGACTTAGAGATAGGAGCTAAAGTAACGGTGCAAGATGTCCGGCAGCACCCAGATATGTCAGCTGACCTACTAGAACGCATTCTTGACCGCCCTGGCGCGGAACGTGGCAGCGGCGATAAGGTATGGAACTTGTTACACGGCGTCGATACATCCGAAGTGAAAGAAGCGAGCGATGTACCGACACAGATTAGTATCGAAAATACGTACATGTCGAAGCCATTAAACACCCCCGGCGAAATCACACGCGAACTACATGCTCTTGCGACTTCGCTCGTTAGACGCATGCGTATTGATCTTACTGCAACGGACGAAATTGATCCCTCAGATCCCGCCTCGCAGTCCGGTCAACAGCAGCGCTGGATCGCATACCCCAAAACCCTCCGCCTATCCACACGTTGCCGACCAAAACCCAATAGCACCCCTTCCAACTCGACCGCAGAGAGCTTCAGCCGCAACTCCCGCAGCCAGCCACTACCCAGCTTCGTCCTGAATCTTCGAGATGAAAGCATTGAAGCCATTGCCGAAAAACTAGCTTCCGAAGTCTTATTACCTATCTTCCGTCGCTTGAACCCAGAGCGACAGGGATGGAACCTGGCTCTGATCAATATTTGCGTAACAAACATGGTGATGGTAGCAGACCCTAACGAGAATGGAAATGGAGGAGGTCGGGATATCTCGCGTATGTTCCGAACACAAAAGGATAAACTGCGCGAATGGACTGTTTATGACCCTACACATATACAAGAGTCTCCTGCCTCTACGCATACCGTCCATCCCGAAGAGAATGCTGATAAGGCAGAAGAAGGGGAATGGGACGAGGATGTCGGGGTAATAGAAAATCCAACAGTATCATCAGATCCCGATGCAGATACTTGGGAAGATGAAGAGGAATCCCAAAGGTGCCATCTATGCGGACATGCCATCCCGCTTTTCGCCATGCCTGCACATGAGAGGTTCCATAGCATTGGCGATTGAATATTCTCGCCCGCTCTTGTTTATATCTCGGAGTTACTAAATGATACCCCAGTCTGTTTAATACAAGATACCCACTACCCACTATATTGTCACGCACACTTCTTCAGATCAATATTATCTTGGTACAATAAAACGATGTGAATGTGCTGTATCCATTCACGTGGTTTATTAAATATAGCAAATTAGTGTTTAAACCCTGACGGCGGTAGAAAGTAGTATGAGGTATATCGACCGTCAACCTGCGTTTAAGTCATCACTTTTTACGCTCCCTCTCTGAAGACAAGGCAAATCCCACCCGCAGTACCAGTCTCTGTAGTCCATTCCTTCCCATATAACGACAACTCCGGAGGTATCAATGGGGTAACCAGAAAAGATGCACCGTGAAAATAAAAGCTCGTGAAAAAAATGGATAAAATGTCAAAATACCACCAACCGCGGTCAACCACCCAAAATTTTTTTATTCGTCCATCCATCCATCAATGGCCCGGCTCGCTGCGACCCAGACCCCAGCCAAGTAAACTCCGGGCTTAAAAGCAAAGATCGCAGGTCTCCTAACCCGGCCCTCCTTCCCCGTCGCGCTTATGAGAACACACTTATCAAAACATCATCGGCGGCACCCGTGGGATCATAACTTTTCCAATTCCGCGTTGCCCTTCAATAGAGCATCGAGCCATTCCCCTGCTAATGAAAGCATAGCACTCTTACTATAACCACCTCCTCTGAGGTTTGGGACAATTTCACCAAGATCGTCGAAGCCTTCTTTAATTGCACCTCTCCTCTTCTGCTCACTCTTTATGTGGTTTTCCCTTTTTTGAGCATCTGTTAAATTTTCACGTGGCGTCTTTGCCGAATTTAAGGTGGATTTCCTTCGTTTTCCAGGAGCTTCTTGGGCAGCTACAGGGGTTTCTGCAGCTGCTTTTAGATCCGCCTTCGACTTGCGCTTCCTAGCCACTGCTTTTGGTGGTATGTATGTTAAATCCTCTACGTCCTCCTGGACCTCTTCCTTCGCCTTGCTCTTGCTCTTGCGACGTTTAGCAGGAGGAGCCTCAGCGTCGCATTCTTCTTTTACATGACCATTCATATTACTATCGCGACGGAAATGAGACGAGGATTCCCCGTTTTGTGAAGGAGACGAAGGCCTCGTCGTAGTAGTACTATCGCTAATCGAGAACACCTTCAATACACCCAACCGCTTCTGTTCAAGGAGTTCGCTGGATTCGTGGTCGGGTGGGATGTAACCCTGAGCTCGAGCAAAGCTTGAATCAGAGCCCCACTGCAACTCGGGTGTTTCGATTGGCCGTTGACTTGTTAACCCTTGGGGGTTGCCGAACATCATGTCGGCAAACAGAGTATCGCTTTCGTTCGATGGGACGTGTCTATGCCGAACAGGGCTATTTCGATCGGGACTGATATGATTTCGAGGCGGCGGTCTCATTCGGTCGGCGGGAGCGGCAGGGTGCTGGGAGGGCACCATGGGGGTGTGATTTGCGCCATTGGCGCCGGGTGCATGTCCGTTTTGGTGTCCATGTTGAAGAGACGTCAGAACTGCGGCCACATCTACGTGGGAGTTTTGTTCGATCGGCGTATGGGGCGTCGGAGTACCGTGGTGTGGATGTTGTTGCGGATGTTGAAGTTGTAATGGCGGTTGCGGCGGTGGCGGCATCATACTTTGACCGAACGTAAAAACATCTTGAAAAGCAGTCGTGGGTATTCCGTTTATTGGCGAGGCTGACGGCTGTTGAGGCTGTTGCCCATAAGATGTGGTATGACCGAGGAAGGCCGGCGGAAGCTGACTTATCCACTGGTCGCTATAATTAAGTCCTTCACCATAGGAAGGATACTGATTTGATGTCATATCCTCAAAGAAAAGGTTTAATAGTCTAGAATCGTCGTGGCTCAACAAAGGGTCTCCCGGAGGAGGTGTCGGAGGTCTAAGAAACATGAAGTCTTGGTCAGGAACGTGATCTGGTATATGATCAGAGATATGATCTATAGACAAGGGTTAGTTCCCAAGGTCTAAACGTCGCTGGAGGCAAATTGCAGCTTATAAACACTGGGGGAACGTACAGCCGAACGGCATATTGCCGTCAGGCGGTTGCGAAGAACCCATTCTGGGACGTTGTATGCACACGGCGCTCATGGGTGCTTCTGTGACGAATCTGATCGCGAGAGTAATGGTATGCGAATGCGTCGGGTTCAAAGACAAGCAAGTGAAGAGCAAAAGCGCAAGACAAGAAAACGTCGTTCTATGCTCTAACAATGCTGGCGATCCGAATTATGACGATCGTGTCGGGATTTGCAGGACGAGTAGAAAAAAAAAAGTAGTACGTCGGGATACGTTAGGCATGCGTGACATGGAGACCTGGCTGCAGGACGGTATAGTCAAGAAATGCCATAGGACTCCGCAGCGGGGAGATGGAGTGAGGTGAGGTTGGTCTATGGTGTATTGCAGAAGGGATCGCCGTTAACCAACAAACCGCGGTTCAGGCTGCGGCAAGGCTATTATTTGGTTACAACCCGGGTCAATGATCCAAAGAGGAATGGTAGCGGAGTTGAAAGAGAAGAAGTCGTGCACATCTTCGGACAGGAAGGGTTATAGTATTGGCTCCCGAGTATGAGGATGGCGGTTGTGGCGTCGACATCGAGTAGAAATTTGTATATTTTAAAAGCAAAGTGGGAGGGATCTCCCGGTACAGCCCGAGGTCTCTCAAGCTTTAGAAGATCGACATTACTACTGGGTGGATACCATGCGGTAACATAATGTACAATACAATACTAAGAATAAGAATTGGAATATGAAGTAAGTGTAAATAAAAGTGTGTAAGTAGGTGTAAGTAGTAAGTAGTCGGTAGGTAGTCAGGTAGTAGCAGTAGCAGTAGCAGTAGGCGGTTGGTAGGTGAATGTCAAAGTTGGGGTTGGCGTCGGCTAAGGTAGGTTAAGGTAAGGGTAAGATGTAGGTCAGGTATGGTATTGTTTGCGGAGAATGGCCGGCCTGTCTAGTAAGTCGACGGTTTACCTTTTTGGCGTGGTTGTTTGTTGCTTGTTGCGTGGTTGCGTGCAGGTTGCAGCTAAAGGGAAATTGGAAGGGAAAAACCTGCAAGAATGACACTGCCAAAAAATAGACTACTCGAGGTAGTGTAACACCTCCGAGGTAATTGGTCGGAGGAAAAGAGAGAATGACGAGCAGAACTGAGAAGGAACTATTCGGAGTCGGCCATCATTCGCTGGAGAGAACCGATTAGACCACCGTCCTTTCCTCCGCAAAGTCTCTCAGTAAGTCACCTGCCAATATTATCGTTTGAAAAAAAGCCACTTCCTACTATAACCTTTTTTTTCTTCTCACGCTAAACCTAATAGGTACCCCATTCTACCTGGGTACATTACTTAAGGTAGCACAGCATGGACTAAGTGCCCGGTAGTGAAATGAGATGAGGGGTAGAGAGAATTTGGAGTTATGACCCTATCGATGATCTACCTCTAACGACTCTAAAGCTTCTAATAGATCCACTTATATGCGCGCAAGGTATCCGCATCTTGACCTAGTAGTGCTAGTTAGACCTAGAAAATTGTATTAGTATACTCTTATTAAATAACCCTATATAAATAATAAATCCTCTCAAAGTCAGGTTTAACTTCTGTTTCCTGATGTTGTTAAAAATCACCAATCAAGTTGATTTTAAGAATAGCCTCGAATTATTCTCGACATAAGGACCTTGTTATGTAGAGTTATGTATGTGCTATTGCACCGGTACCAGACATAAGGTGGTGAAGGATCGAGCTACATGCAGAAAAATGGAGCACAGCACTATAGCCGGGTGATTGGATACAACGATAGCTCGCTTAACAAGGTTGTTGCTTCTCTCTTGTGTCACGTAACACGTTACCTAATATGAGCTAAGCTTAGTTAAGGTACTTCCAGCGCTTGACTCGAGCGTCCGGGCGTCTTGCATTGCATCGACGTCTCTTGACTTTCCATCTCACAAAATAAAAGTTGCTGTTTTTTTCTTAGCTTGGCAGGGGAAAAGTCCGAGGTGCAATCACATGCCAATTTCTATCCTTTCTAATATTCAGCAAAATACTACTTACACTAGCTACATCTTCACTATCTCTTTTTCAATCTGGTAGAATTATTGCAGTTCAAAGCAGGAATAAAAATCTTGACATCACCAGGCTAAGCCTAGCTATCAACCAAGGAAGCAAGCATTCGTTCCAAGGCGAGCGATCAAGCGACCCAAGTTCCACCGCAGTTGATCCATCATTCAACTGTCACGTCGCCGTCGACTTGTCGTTACATACATAAATATATACTGCATATACAGCCGGCGGTCCCCATGAATGGGAACCGGGGTCCTCTCCGTGTGGGTTTAGTCGATTACGTGCGTACTATACCTGTTTTGTGGATGGCCTAGAGCTCCTAGTAGATGTATGTTCTCTACACTATCTTTCCCAACTGCCAACCTACATAGATGCGGGATACATCCGTTTATACAGTGGTATCTTTGCTTACGTTCCTAGGTTGAGATCTGACGGAAAGGCGAAAGCTCGGCCGAAATAGCGTTGATCGGTTCCTGAATGTTGGCTCCAAATTTCCGATACTCTATCTTCAGGAATAATTCGGTGACCAATTTGGGTACTAACTGATTACTGATTATTGTGATTTCTTCAGGCCTTCTTGCGTTCCCTTAACCCGTTTTACAGCTTTGTGGACCTACACGGTTCGATACAGCACAGCAGCGGGTTGCATGCATGCATGAACCTCAGTCCAGTTTAATAATTTTGAGTGTGGCTGGCTCGGCGAAACATTCCCTACCATTCTCGAACGAGCATCCCAGTTAGGAACTTACTAGACCTACCCATATTGTTTTTCTTCGGGCAGCATTGCTTGCTGCTTGTTCACCTCGGCTGAATCGCCAAAGGACACTAGTAACCCAACTTTACACCTAGCGTACGGCAAAGTGCGGGTGTGGTTTTTTATTACCTAGGCACCCAGGCACCTAGGCAAGTCATTATACATTCGATTACCTCATTACCGGTCTCGAAGAAGCATCGTCATGTCTATCATACGGCGCGCATAACCCCCCGGTTGCAACCTCCTTCCGGATTCTTTCATCAGACCCGACTCCGCGGCACCCATCGTGTAAATCTACATACTAGATGCCATTGTCTTAACAGGGCCGTTCTATTCAAAGCGACACAGATCTAAAACACACGGACATAACGACGCCGCATCTCGGATCCTTCCAAATATAGACATATTTACAGTACGTACCCGGTCGTTCTGCCCCTTTTCGAGGTATTTGTAGCAAATCGGACTTCCTCTTAGTCGAAACTAGGTATTTCTTAGAGTTAACAATACATCTCGGCGTTCCGAAAAGAAATAATTAGCAAACTCGTCAAAGCCTATTATACTTCCATGGATTGTCTATAAGTATCATATTATAGGTCAACGCCAATATCCCTATTCTCAATTCGTGGCGTCGCGTACCATACGCGACAGCCATCGCATTGTAACAATGACATCTTTCCAACCAAGAGGTCGGCGGAAACTAGATGAGTCCATACCACCACTTCTAAGACCTCTCATTCGGGCCTATGTCCTAGGCTTCGCTTCTGCTGTTACACCAAGGCTCTTAACGTTGGTTATGCAGCATGTAACTAAGAGAAGGAAAAACAAGGGTGCTTCAAGTGTCATTCTGCCCCACGACACCTTCATCGCATCCCTGCAACGAATCGTGCGTGGGGGACTAGAACTTCAAAGGTTTCCAACTTTTTGTGCAGTACTCGTAGGCGGAACTACGTTACTAGAGGCAAGACATCCCATAACCAAATCGCCTCACACCCACGCTCAGTAAAAAAAAGAAAACGTGTAAACGCTTGTTGGCGTAGGAGAAGACCGAAGCTAACTTATTCGCCAAAGGTTTTGCTGGGTCGAGCCCTAAATCGGCTTTTATGGACGAGCCAACTTTCAACATTGGTCCGAAAAAGGCAAGTTCTGAGCTCGCTGGCATTTTTAGATGTTTTATTGTTTCATTGGGAAAGCTTGGCATTAGTATACTACCTTGGCGCATATAGTAACATATCATCACTCGATGTCCTCAGCTAACTTTTTGTCCAACTAGGCTGTCGAGATGGCTTTCGGCTTTTATTGCAGCTTGGCTAAGCCTCCGACTTCTACAGTCGAAGAAGAGCGATGCCTTCTCAGAAACGATTCTCGTTGACTCAGATGCTTCGCAACATGCCAAGCAAGAAAAAACTGTACGATATGCTGGGCGAACATTGGACATGACGCTGTTTGCCGTGACCAGGGCTCTTGATGTGATAGTTGGGGAGTTGTGGACTCGCAGGAGACAGCACAGGACTGCTGCAAACAAGTGGACCTGGGTATATAAGACACCTATAATACGGGCGGGGATTCATATCGCTAACCGCTCGCAGGCTGAGTCAATAATAGCTAAGTCGACTGACCCTACGATCTTTGCGAGTTCTTGCGCACTTATTATGTGGGCGTGGTTTTATTCGCCCTCGCAGCTACCAAAGGCCTATACGAAATGGATCAGCTCGGCTGCAGCCGTCGACTCGCGTCTCATCGAAGCACTCAAACGTTGCAAGGGGGGTGAACTACGGTATGGTGAGGAGACTGGTCAGGCACCACTCCTTCAATCAATGTGTGTGGACTACAAATGGCCGCCCGAATGGGGCGACCCCATTAAGGCTATCCCGTTTCCATGCGAGATCGTACATATGGGCTGCGGGCCGTCTTGCGAATATCACGCTTTGTCCCGGTTTTACCGTTCCTTCAAATGGTCTATGGCCACTTACCTACCCCTGAATCTCTTGGCTAGGAAAAAAGATTTGAAGGGTATTCAAACTGCATTTCTATCCGCGGCTCGCTCGTCCTCATTCCTGGCCGCATTTATCACCCTGTTTTACTATGGAGTTTGCCTAGCGCGGACAAGGCTCGGGCCGCATATCATAGGGAAGGATACGAAGGCTAGACGGACTATCGACTCAGGTCTCTGTGTCGGGACTGGCTGCTTCCTATGTGGATGGAGCGTTTTCATCGAGCAAGCAGCCCGAAGGAAAGAGTTGGCACTTTTTGTGGCGCCTAGGGCATTAGCGACGCTTTTACCAAGACGATATCACCTCGACAAGCAGTGGAGGGAGACCTTCGTCTTTGCCTTTAGCACTGCTGTAGTATTTACGTGTGTGGGAGAAAATCAAAACAGGGTCCGTGGTATGTTGGGCAAAATACTAGGATCCGTTTTGGAAGGCTAATGATTTATTTGGCATACACCCAAGTCTCCAGCAAGTTTCTGGAAGGCTTTGTTATTTTATGTTTTTAACTATTGTACTGATGAAAATTGGGAGGCATCTATTCTAAAATATTATGCATTGGGTAGGAGAATAATGGACACAATTGGATGCATGAGAAAGGGCAATTTATACACATAGCTCGGAAGTATACACTTGGAAACCGGCCTGTAACAATTTGTCTAATATACTATAATGTAATCCCTTAATTACTATCTTGAGCCTCGCACTTAACTTGGAAAAAACTAGGACAAGGATTTGTGAGGACGAGTGAAACAGCATTGGCTTTAAGGGATTATAATGCTTCTATGGATCTTCCACCATTATCGTGAGATACGGTAAAAACGCTGAATATAGATAGGCATCAGATAATTAGATATCGTGATAGAAGACTCAGCTCTGCCCAATTCTTGGGGTATCACGTCACTCACGAGGAAAACTCGACAATGCTATTCTGCGAAATAATTACGCCCGATGGTGCATAAACGCAATACATGCGATTTTATTAGAAACAACCTCCCATCACATCACATAATTACCATGTACCTCATTAAACACCTAGTCCAAGCAGTCTTCCCACTCTCACGACCGGAACCACGAACAGACACCCAGCACAAACACACAAACCAACGCATCGCTCCGCACAGTACTCAATATCTGCCCGTACCTTAACGCATGCTGCGTAAACCCCTTAACAGGGGGAGGTAAGAACCCTGTTACTGTCCACATCCACCCAGCGGGCGAATCCCGTTTTTTATCGAGGAAAAATCGCGTTGTTAGGAGAACGGCTTCGACGGATGCGAATACGTAGAAGAAATACGCGCGTGCGCTCTCGATGCTGTCGACTTCTGTCTGTGCACTTCCATTCGTGTTTTTGGTTGTGTTTATGGCGGAGTGTTCGCGTTCGGTTAGGGAGCCGGTGAAGGTTGTTGATAGGGCTACGTAGAGGCCGAGCCCAAGGGCGAAGACGGCGTGGAGGATACGCCAGAGGTTGGCGGTTTTGTTTGTGGCTACGGCTTGGGCTTGTTGCATGGGATTTGGGACTGCGCCGGGGATGTTGCTGGTGTTGTTACCGCCGAAGTTTCCTAGGCCACCGAGGAGGCTCTCCATTGGTGTGCCGGCGAAGGGGTTGCCACCGGGTCCGCCTGGGCCGCCGGACATCACTTGCGTGAGCATTTGCATCATTGGATCTTGCTCCATGCCTTCCATACCTGGGGGTACGGGACCGCCTGTGGGTGGTGGGGTGTTGCCAGCGTTGAGGTCGAGCATCATTTGACGTAGTTGGGCTTGCGATATATCGCTAGATGTGTCGGCGGATTGTTGGCGGGGGGTGCGGTTCGGTTCGTAGTAGTGCTGCGATATATCTACCTCTTCCGGGTCGCCATGTGAGTCGACAGCTGGAGTAGATGTCGTGGTGGCATCGGAGGATGTTGTGGTTGCTTGTGGTGTCTCGGATGAAGGTTGAGGATCTAGATACGTCTGTTAGAAGATTGGGGGATCTGGTAAGGGCGTATGTAGTGAGAAGGTATATCGCTCACCTCGTTGTATGCCGCCTCCTAAGCCAGTGATCTTATTCAGTCGTGCAGCTCCTCCAGCTTTAATCTTAGCTTCACGGCGTTCTTTGCGCAGACGTGCTTGTTCCGCGGCCCTTGCCGCTGCTGGATCTTCGGGAGCTTGAGCGCCTTCCATCTTTTCCTGAGGCGAATTGTAGAATTGATGTTCGCAGAAAACCGGCTTGTTGCTCAATTATGTAGCTCGGGATAGGTTGCGTTGTTATTGTGAAGATAGAAGGACAGCTGGACAAGCTGGGTCGAATAATTGACGTAGCAGCTGACGGAGGTCGGTGTGTGCGACGTGTACGTACCCAGGTACCTGGACAGCTAAGAGCCTTGAAGTTTGGGGTTTCGGGCTTTATCGATAGCCTTATCGTTAGTGGAAATCTTGGGACAGGGGTAGGGATATTCGGCTTCAACGTCACTGGCTAGAAAATTTCTAGAATACTTTCAACTTTTTTTGTTCATTATTTTCGAGTCCGGTCGCATTTTGCGATTATCTCTTTTTCTGTCTCTATAAAGCATCGAGGATGAGTCGCCCCTTGTCATCAAGGTGGCTACATACTGCATTTAATATTGCAGAACATCCAAGAAGACTCGAACTACCTTTGTTCTTATGCCCCTCCATCAATCTTGTGTCGCGTGGTCGGAGATCTAGGACTATTCCATCCTCGCCTTTACAACGAACTTCACGATGGACGGTTCAACGCCGTTGTTTGCACGGGCAAACCAATACAGTGGCCGGCGATATACCCTTGCAAGGTAGTCACATCCATCCATTAACACCAGCTCGAAAACTACCTAGGCAATGTTATGGTTGTGGAGCGTTTTCGCAAATCGTTGCTCCCGATCAACCGGGCTACTACGATCTAACGCGCAAAAACGTTCAACGATATCTCAATCCCCAATCGATCGATCGGTCGCGACATGAAGATAAAATATACGAAGATGCGCTTAGGCACTTTGACCCAGAGATGCTTAAAAGTAAAGGGGTCGACGTGGAAGGACTTGGGTTGAGTTTAGTTCCCTCGGAGACGCAACAACGGCCGCCTCCAAAGGTGCCTTTATGCGATAGATGCCATAATCTACACCACTATAGTAAAGGAGAGTCGATATACCACCCTTCGGTAGACTCTATTTTGGACACAATTCTCGAGTCACCTTATAAATACAATCATGTCTACCATATCCTCGACGCAGCCGATTTCCCCATGTCCTTATCGCCACGAATATCTCAATTTCTCGACTTGATGCCTCTACGGACCAAGAATCGTCGGGCTAAGACTAGCAAGTTCTACGGCGGACATAAAATCGAATTGAACTTTGTGATAACTCGGATGGATCTACTTGCGCCGACTGAGAAGCAAGTCAATAGCTTATTTCCCTATCTACGGGAGGTGTTACGGGAAACTCTGGGGAGAACGGGACGTAACGTGCGGCTTGGGAATCTGGTCGCTGTTAGTGCAAAACGGGGCTGGCACATCCCGGATTTAAAGAAAGAGATCTACGAAAAAGGCGGCGCTAGTTGGATGCTCGGTAAGGCGAATGTTGGCAAGAGTCGCCTGTTCGAAGCAGTCTTTCCGAAAGGCAAAACGATCAAGAAACCTCCAAAGCACCTAATCACCATTGATATGCACGCGAAAACTCCAAACGAGGAAGCGGCGCCAACGGAACCAGCAGAATCCCATTCAGAGTCAGCACAAGAGGTGGAGGAAGAAGAAATAGAAGAGGAAGGAGAGCTTGACGAATATGCACTCTTGCCACCCGCGCGTAAGGAGGTGAATTATCCGGAAATGCCATTAGTTTCTGATTTACCAGGGACAACTGCGTCACCAATACGAATCCCATTTGGTAACGGGCGGGGAGAATTAATTGACCTCCCCGGTTTGGAGCGTACCGGTCTTGAGCAATACGTCAAGCAAGAGCGTCGTAGGGATTTGATTATGCGGTCTCGAATGGCGCCCGAGCAACTTGTCATTAAGCCAGGCCGGTCCTTACTTCTTGGCGGGTTTATTCGTATAACACCGCGAGAACCCGCGCCAATCATATTAGCATACTCTTTCACCCCATTGGAAGCCCATGTAACAAGCACGTCCAAGGCAATTTCGATCCAAGGCGAAGAGAATGAAATCAACATTGAGAACATTGCAGTGCCTGGAACGGGCGAAAAGACGAAGCTAGCGGGGTCTTTCGAGCTCAAATGGGATGTGACCAAACAGCGTTCAGGTCCGTTGATGCAGAAATATGGTGCTGATTTGAAACTTGACAGAATGCCATTTCGCGTTTTGTCCACTGATATCTTAATTGAAGGCGTTGGTTGGGTAGAAATTACTACCCAAGTACGCACAAAAGAGCTCTATGGCGGGGCGTGGGCGCCACGGGAGGAGCAGCCCCAGGAGCCCTTATCGGCACTAGCGAAATTGGAAGCTTTCGCTGACGCTGGGGATGGGAAAAAGCAACATCGTCATGTCACTTCTCCTTCTACCCCTCATCAGAATCAACTTTCCCAAGGCCAATCTCCTTCTCTGACTTCACCACTGCAACCTCGTCCGGTTCTAGAGGAGAGAGACCCTAGAATTAACTGGCCCATCGTGGATGTGTATACTCCCGAGGGTAAATTCATTTCGACCCGTAGACCTATGAATGCTTGGTTACTGAATAAGCCGACGGTGTCAGCAGCGTCGAAAAAGACAAGGCCGAGGAGAGCTATGAAGGGTCAGAAGAAGTTATGGAAGGCGCGTAAGAGGGCGGGAATGACTGATGGATCGCGACACCTCAATTCAAATTAGATACGACCATCAAAAACATAAGCTGTACTAATACTGTGATTAAAGAAGGTAGAAAATGTACAGTATTGTTCATACATGGTTGTACGGTCTATACTTTTTGACAGTTTTTAAGGGTGACGCTATTTTGCCCAGATCGGCAACCTTAACCGGGTTCACGGGTATTTATGTATTTTAGTATACGTATTTAAGTACGTACAGAAGTAAATGCGCTAGTGATTATTAAGTGTTTCTCTCCATCGGCACATGAGATATGACGTGGGGCATTGTGGGGTGATATTTAGTGGGCTTACAGTGGCATTTAGTGACATTTAGCGACTCGTGGTAACATTTTGTCAATTTCGACCATGAAAAACATCAAAACCCGGTTGCTTTTTCCCATCTAAATCATCCAATTCAACCCTTTTCTCCCACCAAGACCGAGTTTTCCATGTGTGTGTGTCTTGGTCAGCTACGTGACCTGGAATGCAACACTCCCTACATTGCTCATTACATCCAACGTATAAAATCAATTTAAATCGGAATAGGGGTCCTTGAGGTCCTTGGAGAAGAAGCGGAGAAAAGGCCATTACGTCTCATTCACATCCTATCCCACCCATTCGTCTCTCTATTCGCCTCTCTAAGGCTTGGTATCCTTCTTGGTCCTCCACTCGGGTCCCCGTCTCGTCCCAGTATTACCCCAAGCCATCTTACCATTCTTTTCGTGGGTGTCTGTTTGTCTGCGTGTCTGCCTCGTGCGCGCGCGAGTTCCCGAGAAGGGGCAAGGAAACGAGCGAAGAAGATAGAGAGGATAGATAGAGAAAGAGAGAGAGAGAGAGCGGGGGAAATGGACGGGGGGCGATAATTAATTCAAAACTCCTGGAAACATTTACCAAACAAGGGAAAAGGGGGGGAAACATAAATATCGCTCATTCCAAGGATCATCCACTCTCTTGTTTACAAAAACGCGCAAATTATACAACAACAAACCAATTTACATCCCTACCTACTACCTACTACCTACCTACATCCTACTTTGCTTACTTCCAGCCTGCTTCTCACATTACACGAGCAGGAGACCCCGAGGGAAAAAGACGACGAAAGAAAGCAATCGACGAAGAAATAGGGTGCTGTTGATCACTCGTTGATCCTCGACCGGTCGAAGACCTACACGTATGCATACATAGTCGATCGTTTCTCCCTCCGCAACCATCTGCAGGAACAGCCACCACCACCAAAAACCGCAAAGACTTCCTGATTTGTAGAATCCGATCCGGTCCCGTTCGATATCATCTATCGATTTCTGAAGAATACCGTGACCTGTTTCTACCTACTTTACCCCAAGATCCATATAGAGAAGGGAAGAAAAAGTTGCCCTTTTCCCCTCTCAGTTCTCTACTCTCTTGCCTCATTTCAAACCCACATACGTGTCTATACCCACAACCAACGAACACAGTATAAAAAGTCATCAAATATGTCCGCATCAAACCCCATCACCAACCCACGACAACGGGAGCGGCAGCAAGGCACCCAGACCCAAGTCCAGACCGAGGTATCTTCTGGCCCCGGAACCCAGACCGGCACCGCGACCCCCGCGTCGGTGCCCCCCGCCATATTGCGTCTGCGTGGCGCACATCCACCTTCTGATCACCGCGTCCAGTGGGCCGAGTCAGTGGTCGACAATGAGGGGCTAGGACGGAAGCGGTCCAAAGGTTTGTCTTTTTCCTATTCTATACATGCAACTCATTCTCGCTTCATATAGATGACTTACATGATGTGAAACATGATCGTCGCTGACAATACAAACAGTATGCTGTATATATCATGCACCCCGCCAGCTCGGCGAGTCATCCGATGAGTCCTCTTCCGACGACGATTCTTCGTCCTCGTCGGATGCTGACTCGGACTCGGAAGGCGGTGGTATCCCGGATGACCCAAGGGAAAGGGCCCTGGCGGCTCGACGACAACGCCAGCGTCATGAGCATGAGCACAATCACAATCATACTCATGACCATTTCCGTGAACACCGTAATCATTACCGTGACTATAGTCATGGAACAGGAGGGAACCAGCGTAGACGCAGGCCCAGTCCTAATGCATATGAGAGGCAGCCCAAACAGAAGCCCAGGCCCAACCCCGGAGCCGGAGGCGATGCTCGCCACCCGTCCGGTCGCGGCTCTGGGGGTAGACCGAGGTGAAGTGTAACCAACCTAACCGGGTCTGCTTCATTGTCCCCCAAACCAAGGGTTTCAATTGAGAAAAAGGCGACCCGAGTTAACGGTTAGGTACTTACGCATGCATATGACCACCATCGATACGACCCCATCATCTAATGTAGGAACCACCACGACGGCAAGGGATCTACTATTCGGAAAGGGGGATTGCTTTTTTTCTTTTCTCATGACATGACATCACGGGATAGGACCTGGGTATTCTGCAAAGGGGGGCTTTTTGACACAATCGTACGTTCCTTTTATTTTACCAACAAATCGGCGTTGCGTTGCATTTCAATGGAGCGAAATCAGATCTTTCTCTTTTGCCCGCCTACCATTCCTTCGAAACAAAACAGGACAATCTGTAATGCGAAGGAAAAAAACAGAAACAGAGTACCTAGGAAGATTGCTGCCACTACGTACCTACTGCTACTTTTGCTATTGTTGGGGGCGGCTGGAGCCGTGTAACCTTTCTTTCTTTGGGAGGCGGATGGCGGATGTGATGTGAAACAAAAATGGCGTAGTTATACCCGGATCGTGGATGGGGATGGTGAAGTGACACGAAGGTTCGGCTCGGCTCAGCACCCATAGCATTACGATACTGAAATCAAATATAAAAAAGAATTGCACAATCAAATCACAAATCCAGTAAAAAAATGCAAGTAATCGAAAAATCGAGTCGAATTTTTGGTATCAGATGCAATGCTTATTTCTGCATGATTCGTATCAACGTCTAATCACATCTCTCTTCACACTTCCCCATCTCCACCTCTGCTCTCGTCGCTTCGCACACTCCTATTCTTCTTTCTCTCCAGTAATCGAGTATGAATCTCGCCTATCTCTGCAATAAGTCCAACTAAATATTCAAGCTGGCCTTTTGATCCCCTCTTCTCTTCTCCTCTCTCCTCTCCACCGACTTCTCTTTCTTTCTCTCGCCTCCTCAGTCGTTCAAAAAAACAAATTTAGTTAGCTAAGGTAGACATTATCCTCCTCCATCGTGTGCATAAACCAGTAAAAGTAATCTTTGCGGAACCGCCGTCCGATGATGATGATGCTAATGATTCGAGATAGAAGAAAAAATAAAAATGATGAACAGCCAACTTTGAGTAAGTGAATCTGTAGATGAACAACAATCTTCAATGCCTTTTCTTTTTCGTTCATCGCGTATCCTCCCTAGAGTTATAGTACATGGTATAGGGGCTAAACTAATAGACCCTATCCCTCTTAATGTTACATTCTAATAAAGCAATCCTCGAGTTTGAAATGTAGGTAGTTGATACAACAAAATCGAGTTATTGTGATCCCCCGGGGGAAGTGGGAGAGGTAGGAGAGGTAGAAGAGATCATCATACTTGGAACCTGCTTCCTGATGACTCCTCTTCTGCGCTGCTCAGGGTGTGGTACACCTTGTATTGCGCGGGGTTCCTTCATTAATGCAGGGTCGAGCCGTGATGGCGTTCTTGTCGTGACCGAGCGGTAGTCGCCTTGGAATTTCGAATTTGGCACTGGTACACTGGCAGTCCTCCATATATGATCAGATGTATCAGTCAAGAAGGATGCTACCTTGCTGTGTCTCGGTATTTGAAGGCCTGGAAGGGAAGCTGAGACACCATGGGACGCTCTTATTGTCGAGAGGCGGGACAACCCCGAAGACAACCCAGATTTACCTCGGGCTTTCTTGGCAAGAAGAATCTCGTCAAAGAGGCGGATTTCTGGATCTGTGGCTGGTTCGGTTTCCCGCTCATGAATGAATTCATTGAACACTAGTTCATGGGTTAGTAAGTGCAAGAATTAGGGCGAGAACGACAACATACCTTGCGTTTCTTTCATCATCGTAGCGTACTCTTGTTGATCGTACGGCAAGCTTCTAATAAAACCATTCATGTCGAATCCATAAAGCTGGCCGTTCTTTTTCTGGTCCCTCGTAGGCCGACCTAGATGTTTGCGGTATGTGTAGAGTAGGCTTGCGAGACAACGTACAAAGGCAGCTCGGACCTTGTCGGCGTTGAAGGCGACCGGGCAGACGAGGCATACGCTTCCTAGGCAGCGTCCGTGCACAGTTGTTCCACAGCCAGAACATTTATACCATCCGTCGCCCTCAGAGCGCTCATCACAAATTGCACAGGTCGAGGCCGTGTCGTTAGCAGCAGAGAAGTTAAAACAATGGCCTTCAACCCACATTGTAGAGTCGGTGTTCTGTACTGGTTGAACGTGCATGTTGGGCATCACTGTTGAAGCAGCAAGAGTGGACTGAGCATAGGTCGATGGAGCGTAACCGCCATACGACGATTGTGAGTCAATCGAAATAGCTGAGATGGATAGGTTTGACTGGTGGCCGTTCAGGAAGGGTGGGTGAGGCCGATGAACTGGTGCTTGACCGAAAGAGGAGCTGCGGCGCCCTTTCATATCAAAATGACCCGATCTCTTCTCCCTCAGTGTAGAAGAAAGCGCGAACCCAGAATCGCTCCTAGAGATTGGTGTGGCAGGCATAGGTGGGAAGTTCACAGAAACGGGGGACACGGATGATGGAGGGCTAGTCTTGTTCGACTTGCTAGTGGTCGGCCGATCGCTTCCCTCAGGTTTTGCATGCAAAAATGCGTTGAACACTGGCGCCTTCGTGGCGTCGAAAGGCTCGGAGTCTCCAAAAGACGAAGAATTTTGCGCAACCCATTTATGCAGCGTGCTAGGCGCAGCCTTTTCGTTGAAAAGGGCACCATTCTCGGCAGAGAAACAGTCGTAAGGGAAGGATTCAATCGCATAGGGAGGTGGTCCCGTTGTGACTCCATAGCGTAGACTATGGGGTGCTGCATATTGCAGAAGTGAAAGAAGTTTTCGCCGGTGCTGTTTCGGTAGGCGAACCGGTAGTGCTGGCGACTCAATCGTGTCCTTGTCTAGATCGACCAAGACGTAGTCATCGTCCGGAAGTACGATATTATCGTACCTTCGTTCGATACCTACGATGTAGGGGCATGGCGCGTCAAGAGCAGAAATCAATCGCGCTGGAAGGATAGGGATAAAAATACTCGCCCATTTCAGTGGGTACATCAAGCTGAGCAAGGCGTGGGAAGCCAAGTGAAGCATTGCTGTATGTGAGGATAGGAAGATGATGCGGGATTCAGACATCGCATATTCGAATAGCGTAACAATATTCTCAAGCGAGAGTGATCTGAATAAAGCGTAGAGGTCAGTATTCCGTGAACCTGGAAGCTCATTGATGGCCTCCTTCCGTGCGTATAGACGCAATTCACGCACACCGATCTCAACTTGTGTCTTAGAACCAAGGGGGGTAAATGCCTCAGTACACAAGTTGACGACGTAGCGCTCTAGTGGTTGCCATCGACCAACTCGGGGCGAGCTTGGCGGTATCCGCAAGATCCCACCGTCTGTCATAGGCACGATGACAGCTCGAAGCCAGTCCTTCCAGAAGCCAACACGCGTAGCATCCCTACCAAGGATACCGTACGCTCGCGGCGTCCAGAGACCACTTTCACCAGCGGTTAGGCCGTCGATTTTCGATGCGGCTCCATGTCTCAGGGGTCGCAGCATTTCTGTCATCAGTCCAATTTTCTCTTCCACTGCACTAATCTGGTCATCCAGCGTCTCTCGAGCAGAAGACCCAGAAGGGATCGTCGGAAGCTTGGCAAGTAATTGAGATAGATGGGCACGTTCTGCGGCGAGACGAGCTCCAAGGCTACCAGCAAGCTCACGCTCTTCCTCAGTCATATGCCTCTGCCTCCAATGTTCGCAACGCCTCTCGATATCCTCCGCTACATCAGTTGTAAGTGCCGTCCATATGATGACAGTTACGCCATATATCTTAGAGTTGTCGTCCGATGTCATCGTAAACCCATGCCACGTAGATCTTGGCCGCTCGTCCGACGACACAATTTGAATATCATTAGGGAAAGCAAACATAGGCACGTAGTCGGGAAACCTGCCTCTCTTGCTTAGGCCTTCTGAGTCGTTTCGTGGAGGGTATCGGTCGAGGAGTTCGGGTTCGAAGCGTCGTTTTAGGGGGTGCATATCGGGATCGAGATTGAGGGGTTCGGGCGGCGGGATAACAGCATTGTAACTGCTCAATCGCTTGGTAGTCCTAATTGAGGCTAATGTACAGAAGTCAGTACAGAATGCCGAGTTTTTCTTGCAGTCATGATCAAAAAGTTCTGCAGGCAGCCCTTCTGCCAGATCTTCTAAGAAAGTTCCTCCCCCAGAATCGCGAGTAGGGGCCATACCAGGTCTCGGAGTTGTTGGCTGCTTTCGCACGCTGTTCATATCCTTAAAGCTTATCTTCCGCCTTATACTACCACGAATGCTTCCCCTAATACTTTTCATCGGACTCGTCCTCCCCGTTGCAGGCTCGTCAGCTTTAAGCCTTTCAGTACGTGGGTTCACCATTGGCGGTCGCGATTGTGTCTTAGCGCCCGCCGAAAAGCTCAAATCCTCGAGGAAGTTTTCCCTCTCCGCTGCAAACTTCACAAGGGCCTTGTCGAAATCGAAATCACCGAGAAAACCGCCCTGCTCAGAGGCTCCAGGAGCCGGGTTGGCTCTAATCGTAGCACTGCTTCTATTACTCCTTGTATTCCCATCTAATTCTTCGAGAGTATGAATGGAGTTGGTGAAAGACCCCTTGGAGAGTCTGTTAGTAGAGTTCTGGCGGGAATGTCGAGCAAAGCTTTTATTCGCTGGGGAAGGAGAAGGAGAAGCTATCGCTTCGGTAAAAATCTCGTCATGTTCGTCAGGTTCGCCATCCTCGGTGATAGTACCTTCTACCTGGGTAGAAGAAGATGGTGGCGGAAGGTCTTGGTACGATATGGATTCGATGCCCGCAATCCAGAAGTAGTCCGCGAGCGGTGCCGAAGGGTTCTCCATGGCATCGCAAGCCTTTGGCAATATTCCCACTTTCTCGGTCTAAATTCGAACTTCCAACGAAGATATAATAAGTTTGAAAAGGCCAAGATAAATTTTTAAGAATTCTACCAGGGGGGTCCGCCGGGTATTAATCGACCAGTCGAACCGTGTGACTGAATGAGTGTGTTCCTGTTTCTCTCTCAGACCCGAACTGTGGGTATCGGTAACTTCAACACGAGTGTCCGATGCATATATCCCGTTGTACAAGGGGGAAGAGCGAAGAGTTGTGATTGAACGATAGACTAGATTCGACTAGGAAATATTTTAACCTCCTCTAGAAACAAGGTCTACTCTGCGGAACGTGCTCGGGTGGGATATCGATGTATCGTCACTATTGAAGCAAACTAGGTACTTAATAGATGTGAGGCAAACTGACCCATGAGGATGGGTACCGACAGGTCAGATATTGAGTTTCGCTCAATGACTTGTCGGTCGATCGATCTGTCTCCCGGGAGTGACCTTGACAACCCCCAAGACAACACCTTTTTAGAGGGGTTGGTGTTTAGTGTGTCCCAGGTGGTAATATTTTTTTTTCTTGGGCGGGTGTCTTATTATTCTCGGGCAGAAGCAGCCGCTGGAGCTGTTTTATCTACCTTACTTTTTTTTCAATTCAGGCCTTTTGGCGCCGGGTAGACACGCACGATTTATTGATATGCAATGCTTCCAAAACAGCCTTAGACAATCATGCAGTGCTTGGATGCAGCTGCATGCCCCTTTGCGGCGTTATCGTTCGGGTGGGAGGGGAAGACGGGATGCGGGCAGGCAGTTCGAGGTAGGGTTGCTTTGCTGCTCTGTTGCTCTGTTGCTCCGTTGGAGGACAGATCGGCGGTCGAGAGGACAGTTGAGTGGAGGAAAGAGGAGGTAGAGCGGAGGGTTCGCTGGATTTACTGAATTCTCTAGGTTCACTGGTTCAATGAGCTCGACTAATTAGAACGACCCAAACAAATATGTTTAAAACTGAGTGTTTTGGGCATATCAAAGATCGATCCCCAAGTTCATGCAGCACCCCAATTGCAGATTAAGTGAATGAGTGGCCGTGGGTGAAGGGGACTGGATTGGGGCCTGCATGGCAAAGTGGAAGCGCGCGGAAGTAGTGTTAGGTAGTGTAGGTAGTAAAGGTAGTAGAGGGTTTGGTTGAATTTGGATGGTTGATTTTCTTGTCTTAACGGGAACGTATTGGACGTACCTAGGTATGGACGAGGAGATATGCAAGTCTAGTACCTGTCTAGTACCTAGTGCTAACCTTGTCTCTAGCAGTCGGGGTTGACTCTATCGGCCTCTATACCCCTGTGTCTAACGTACCTAGGTAGGTACTGGGTACCCGTAAAACCCCACCACCCCTTCCAGTCCGGGATCAGTTGTGGTGGGATTTTTACGTATCACCTATCGCACGACATAGTATGTACCTACTTGCCTAGCTTCAGCGCCCAGACCCTGAACCCCTGTCCCGCACATCTACAAGGGGGTGAGGAGTACTGAACCACAATACCACTTTAGCAGCCTAATAGTAGAAAAAAGGGCGGTTCCTTCTAACTGAAAGTTACCCGTCAAAAAAGGGAGCAAATTTTATTTTTCGTACATAATTGCGTACCTAGGTACGTAGTTTAACCTATGGCAACTTCCCAAACTTGAAGGATGACTGATAATGACGATTATCACGAAGAAGGCTCGTGTCGACAAACGTTAATTTGCATTTGTTTCTTATTTCTTAATTCCTATTCTTTTTAAAGGAACCTGCATCGTGGAGTCAGAACTTAGAAAATACAACCCTTGACGATGCAATCTGACAATTTACTAACAACAACATGGATACTGGCCACTTATGCGGTGAAACAATATCTTGAACACCGCATCTGGAAAAAAAGAAGAAAAATAATAACAACAATAATAATGAACGAACATACTTCGGACAACCAATTCTGCATGCATCTATTCTTCCTCCCTATCCACGTAATATCTCTAACCATTAGATATTCGGCTACTACAACAGAATAACTACTATTTAGGTATGTATACATCGTACTTCGTATAGAGAAAACCCCTCTCATCTCTAGCGCACCCTCTTGAAACCGCAGAGACGAAAAGAATGCAACCATTTTAGCGAGGATTGTTAGTGCTTTCCACGTACTACGCCGTCCAGTACACGGTCGAATACCCAAAGCCTTGGAGATGCGACCGACTCTTTAGCCAGCATCTGGCGCTACTACTACGTATGCAAGGAACACACCTACTGGACCGGATGTTTTGCTATCTTGCAGATAATAGATACGACTACGCCCCGACCCCGACACTTGGACAATTCTCATTTATTATTTTCTCTTCCCCTTTTGTCCTTCTCTCTCCTTCTTTTCCAGAAGGAGGGAAGAGACGTAAGGGTTTATGTCGGAGGAATTGGAGGAATATTTGCATGTTAGGTTCTGTTCCTGCATACATAGCCTGCCGACTAGGGGCGTTGGGGGGTTCCATTACACACCTTTCCGTTCCCTTTAGCGGTCGAGACGTCCAACCCATCTTCCTCTATGCCCCCCGGGGTGAGGTAGGTACCAGCTCGTATTTAGCTCCGTCAGCAGTAAAAATTTACAATTCGGTACATATCGCCGGGCGAGGCAAGCGGGCAACAAACACTTAGCTCGAGTATAGCCTCTCGGGTTACGGGTCTCTGCACAGACACTCCAGTAGAGCCCTGTCTACAAGCTGCAAGCTAGCTATGTAAGCGTATATCATGGCTTGTTAGTGGCCAATCTGTACATGGCGGCCAGAGCTTTTACACCCCGGGGTTAATATCGAGATCACTAACGAGAAAAAAGCTCGCGGCCATCACCGGGATTGGCGCACAGTCACAATTGTCTGTGGTAGGGAAGTCCAACCATCCATGATTTCTTTTTCGCGGCTACATAACGTATCAAGCATATCGACGCAGCTATAATATATTTTCAACAATGCAGCTCACCCGATCTTGTCATCCAATCCATCCCGACAGGGGTCTATCGTGGGGGAAAGGAGAGCCAACGTGTCAAATCAACAATGAGGCGAGTATCAGCCAGCCAGCGTGGACCAATACTACATATTTTATGTAGGTGTTCGGGTTACAATCAGGCACGCACCTCATGGTATTTGCTGCGAAAAATGTTGTAAAAAGCAACGGTCGACAACGTCCCATCGGTAGAAATCATTGAGACTACAGTCATAGTAACGCCACTGCAGATACCCAGACGGAAATCAGCCATCACAACGTTTCAGACAGGTGGGGTTTCGTCATGGGCTCGGTGCCTAGACAGTCTAAGATGGAACTCTGTCGAATTCAACTTGTACCCTTTCAGAAGTTATTACTGCGGGTTAACACGAAGTCGTGCCTATCAACCAATCTCTTGCAAACGACGGTGAAGTTGACCGCCCTTTGCAACGATTTTTTTTTTCTTGTTTGTGCTGATCCTGAGCATGCAGCCTTACTAGTCAGTATCTAGATTTAAGGGGTTTCTGCTGATATTCTAGTGCCGAGGTCAGGAGCTCACCGTTCCTACAGATACCCGAGTATGTTTCAAAGACATTAAGTATCTGGGTATATATCACTAGGGTAGGGGAGGTTAGAATCCGTAGGCCAAAAAGAAGGAAGTTTGTCATGATTCTCTGTCAGAAAATCCCGATTCGGTACCTGTCATTTTCCCAATGAGTTTATTCGTGATTAACAAAGCCCGTGGAATCCTTGCAATCGTTCGTGGAGGCGCATCCACTCGTCATGGATCCATGCTATTCGTTCTAGCATCAGGTACCAGGAACCCTTTACGGAATCCCCGTGCCGTACAAGTGACGTAGCTGGAACAAGCATTCGTCAGAGCGAACTTGTACGTGCTCACCTACTAAATTCCGATTATGGTCGGGAAGGATTGTTACGCTAGGACAAGCAGCTACAATTGCCATATGTTAATGTCGCCATCACGGAAGTCCTTCAATAGCATTACGGGCCGTCAAACATCGCATTTAGATACCCGAGCATCACATAAAGTGCTACTATTCGGAACTGATTGCTTGTCTTCAAACACAAGTCTTCAACCAAGATCCTAGGATGAGCTGAACGTCGACATTCAACCCAACCATCGAACTAAGCTGCTAGGTTAATTGATTGATCGCCGATTACGCTTATATAAAATCATCGATATAACCAACCTGGTCATTCCTATATTCCGATGACTCGGTTATCTCGCAACTCGTCCACTCCCAAATGTCATAGCGGCAAATGCTGGGATATAAAAGGATTTTAATATCGTCGGTTGTCGGATGATACCTTCTATGTAGACCAGAGACGAACGAATTTTCTACAGCCGCACGATTAATAATAGAACGAAGTTCGCACAAAAGGTAGCATCGCAGGAGTTCCCAACTGTGCCCCTAAACCTAGCGCAGGTCGCTTCTTTCAGGGGTAACTGATCATACCTTAGGTACCCCTATGGCCTACAGAGCATTTACCTAAGGAAGAAACGGCTCATCCGTCCGGTTTTCTGCCTAATATTCTCTCACAGGCGGCTCTTTGGCTCGATGTCAGATCTCGAAATGACTAAATGCAACACTGCGCTATTATTGGAACTGAATGCGAGCATTTGCCTAGAAAATCATTACTGCTGAAGAACCAACAGAGCCGGGTTGTTTTTATCCTCGTGTTACTTCTGATGTTGCGGCTCTAGAAACCCGTCTGTTACAGAAACGTCTAACATAGCTACCCGGACTTTAGAAGGCTTATGCGCTGAATAGTCCACTGAAGATACCTTGAGATGCCCCGACCAATGGGGTATATACCGAAATACTCCAGGTCTCATCATACTTGCTGGCATTATGCCAAACGAAGAATCCATGAATTGATCTACTTAATAGCATGAATATACAAATCTGTTAAATAATATCCAACAGGCATTAACCACGTTCATTGTATAATATAGGGGAGTTTCTATCTGACAGCTCACTTTCTCCCCTTTAGTAATTGTAAGGCTTTCAGCTAGGACAAATGCGATAAATACATCAAATCGAGAAGGTAACACATACTCGTGCTTTATACGGAGTTTTATTTCGGCGAATATGGAAGGATTAATGTTCGAAAATTGATTCATTATGTGATTGATCGTGATTTCATATATCTACTCTTACACGTAGCCTACTTAACTCCGGATCGTCGTCACCTTGAGACTCCAGCCTAATAATCCGAGCAATGCCGTACTGCCGAGTTATACCGGCCGAATGTCGATGATACGATTTCTATACTTCTTCCCACAGGTCGTAAATTCTGGTGCACTTTAAGCTATACCATTGCTTGAAGATCGTATTCGTGGATACGAATATGCATCAATGTAGAGCAATACCGCATTCCGGTGTAATGTAGCCTATTCCCATACGGCATTCCAAGGAATGTCCGCAAGCCCGTTCATGCCGGACTCTTACTCCGTTATTGATGAACGCGGAGGAGAAATAGCGGCGAAAAAGTCCGTCTTTACTCTCACGCCATCACCTAACAATCCTCGTGCCCAATTTGCCTGTCGACAGGTACCCCTTATTCCCCATCTCGCTCCTCCAGCCGATCCCCAGCACACCAAATACGACCCTACCATCTTCACCCTCAACTATAGTGTTCTCCCCTTCTTCCTCTACCACAAAACAACACTGCTCAACTTCCCCGGGACGTAGCACCGGCTTCGCGCTGCGACTAACCTCCCAATTACAATCGCGATACCTAAGCCCACCCTCAAGATCTAGCCCCACGCGGGATAGTTGCATAACATCCTCACTACAATTCTCCAACTGCGCTTCCATAACCCAGCGTCTCCTATCCCCTCCTTTCTCCCCTACCCCCTTCACCCCCATAGACGCAGCCGAACTCAAAGCCCCAACTTTCGTCCTAACAATCAACGACCCTTTACATATAAACTGGTACAACTTCCTAAACGTGCGCGACCTCCCCGAAGTCTCCGTAGCCTCGTAATAACTCACCGTCACCGCCAGGACATGATTTCCCTCTTCCTTCAAATCGAAATTAACTATACGTTGAAGCGTCTGGCCCGGTTCTAAGTCTATTCCTTTATTTCCGCCTTTTTCTGTTGTGGTTTCGTTGTCGTTGTTGTTGGGGTGCTCGATCCCGTCGGCGCTGTGCAGGGGAAGTTTTAGAACTGTGCCGGAACTGGGGGTTTTCATTTCGGCTTCGATGCGTACGTCGCGGGTGAATTTCTTTTTATATGCTTGTTGTCCTGCGCTTGGGGCTAGGCCCCCGGCGCTAGATGGTGTGGGCGGTGTTTCGCCTGGTGGGGTGGCGTCGTGGTTTGCGCATAGTGTGCAACTGAATGTCTCACCTACGTATGCTGATCCAAACGACGGTGGTAATTGTAGTATCGGCGCGAGTAGAAACGGATCTGGGTTTGTATCGCTATCGGTGGTGTAGGCGAGAGAGGCAGGGATCGGGGTATCTTCGTGTACTTGTTGGTCGGCGGATGGAGGTCTAGCGGAGAGTGGCGGTGGAAGTGGGTGTTGGACTACGAGGGATGGTCTAGAGAGTCTGATTATCGCAGAAGTATTAGACCATTATGAAGTCGCTTGTATGGAGTAGGATGGCATTGATTACCGTAGGACTTTTAAGGAAACGGAATGAGGTTCCTTAGGGTCGATCGACGGATAGCGTTGGTGACTCATGGTGGAAGATGCATTGGTAAGAAATTGATAGTATACAGCTTCTTAAGCAATCTGGAGGTGCCCTCAACGTAGAGCATCGGTTATTCCCAGTGTCGCATGGTTGGATATGAAATTGGCAAGTTAGCGACAAGCTGTGACAATGCTGAGGCGTTGTGAACTGACGTATTCTTATCGATAAGTTACGGGTCACTATATGCCCCACTACAGTACCCAGATGCCCTGTAGATCAGCATTAAGCTAGAATATAGGCGTAGATCTATAGGCGGATTTAGGGGTATAGTTATAGCTTAGTTGCAGCTGTAACTACGAAATGTAACTACGAAATTAGTAACTCAAGCAACTACAAGCAAAGATAGACGAGAACTCAGAAAGCGAACGGCATTGGTATTCATCAATATCTACTTACTCCATAGTAGTGACAATCTGAAAGAATATGTCGTTGAATAAGCTCTCAGAATGTAAATTCCGATCCTTTCCCTCAACCTTCCCGGATCAACATTCCTTCAAGGAACCATCACTGTTAGCAACGAATTAGAAAATCACCATATCGCGACTCCCTAGGCCTCAGACTCGAATCATAGACCAGGAGGAGGGGGAACCTATGAAACGTAGTTAGTTAGCATTAGTTATAACAACTTAAGTTTTATAGGAGGGTAACATACGGCTCCATAACCTCCCGCTCCCGGCGGGGGGGGAGGTGGAGGTGGTGCAGAACCGCCAGGAGGAGGCGGCGGAGGTGCCTCACTAGGCGGGGGAGGGGGAGGTGAAGCCGCGGCACCCGGTACGGGCGGCGTTGGTGATCCTTGCTGGGCCGCTTGCGCAGCAGCGTAATACTGTTGGTAGTACTGCATGTATCTAGATTTGTGTTAGCGTTCATCCATACACCCTCGTGTTGGTATACATCACTTACGCCGCGTAACCGCCGTAAGCGGCGTATGGATCCTGATTGCCGTAGTACTGGGCGTACTGTGCAGCATAATCGTTATTCGCGTTGGGACTACCCTGACCAGGCGGGGCAGGGGACGCGGAAGTTGCGGCAGGATTGGGCGAATTGCTATACCCACCATATCCACCGTAGGAACCGGAGCCGCTCCCTTGTCGATCACCGTATCTATCACCACCGTAAGATCTATCGCCGTAGGATCTCTCTCCATAACCGCCACGGCCTCCCTCATGACCACCGTAGTGCTGACGAGGTGGCCGGCTCTTGAATTCTTCATACTGCTCCTTCACATTGGTGATCAAGTCCTCACAAAGCTCCTTAGCTTTATCAACCATTTTCGGATCAGGTCCACTATAACCAATTAGCTAATTAGAACAACAAGCCGCCTGATACACACTTACGCAACGTGTAGATACATCTCGTCATCACTTTCACGGTTAGTAGAAGCCTCAAGATAACCTGAGCCGCGTCCCTTGATTTGGACACGGCATCCAGTCTCTTGCTGAATGTGCTTCACGTAAGAACCACCATGTCCGACAATCTGAGCTCTAAGGTTAAAACCGCGAAGCTCTTCAAGGCCAATGGGTATCTTCGCCTCCGGCCATTTACGCTGCTCAATATTAGCAAATATCCATCGAGAAAGTGAAAGCATCAGCTGACTCGTCCAAACTCATCACGCTCAACCTGTTCTTGATCTCGTCGTCTGAAACGCCGCTCGTCAACTAGGTTCGGGAGTTCTTGCTTCATCAATTCCTCGATCTTGCTAACGGCAGATTCGAGGCCGGTTTTCGAGGTACTAGTGATGTGAAGGTATAAAGGCGGGTTCTAAACTAGTGTAAGTCATAAAAGTCTCAGACATCAACGAGCATTTCTCTCTTACCGAAGGAGTCGCCATGCTTTTATCGGGGTAATAATTTCCGCGAGTTGTGACATCTTTCAAAGTCAACCATAATCCTACAATAAATCAATAAGTAATTGAGGGTGTCTCGTACCAGCTCCGGTTTCCTCTTTGATCTAAATCAAGCATTGGAGGTCAGCAGATGCCACAGAGGGGATTCGTGCACGAGCTAGCACGCTTCTATGTAAGCAGAACCGTTCGCACACGGAAGATAACACATTTGGAAGAGAACCACCGAATATTTTAGGGGGTTAAAAACTCTGGTGTAAATCAGTAGGAATTAACCAAGGGTAATATTTACCATCTTCTGTGTAGAACTCTTGGTGAGTAGGTATCGGTTGCGCAAGTCGTTCACTTCAATATCCTTGATATAGTCGCCGTCGGCAATGTACATTTCGCCATTGATGTTGGCAGGACCGTTACCACCAGGCGTGCTCGCAGCGTTCGGACCAGGCGAAGCAGAGGAAGCCGACTTGATCGGGGGTACATCCACGTGTTGAATTCCCTTTTTCGCTTGGATTTGCGCATTGATTTTGGCGGCGGCGGCGGCTTAAAAAGGGTAGTTAGTTTAATAGAACGTTAGAGTGAGGCTCTAGGGATGGGTGCTTACCTGCAGCGGCAGCTGGATCTACAGGGCTCTTCTTTGAGTCCAATGAACCAACGTCTCCATCTTTACTTAATGGGCTACGTTCGCGACCATGATCCGATCTCTTCGGGGGTGGTGAACGCGATCTGCGATCGAATCGAGAGCGACGCGGCTCGGGCTCAGTTTGGTCAAACCGAGAGCGTTTTGCGGTACGTCGCTCGGTGTCATCCATTTTCGTTTACCTACTTGGGTGAATGAAAGGGTTGCACCTGGTGAAAAAGAAGATTTTAAGAATTAATATGCGCCGCTAACCTATGATGAAATGCGTGCGCATAGGTTAGAAGGTGGTGGCACGTAAGCAATTGTGGATGTAAAAGGAACGAAATCGTCAATCAAAAATTTAGCCTTGAGCCAGAAAGTAAAATGCTAAAGATTTCCCTGCCAGCTAAAGCCAACATGGTCCGAGGTCTGAATTGGAAGGTGTACCTTAGTACTTAGGTACTTTAGCTAAATGCGACGGAAGCGGGAAAATGTGGGTTCCGATACCGAACGCCTGGGCGGGCTGGACCTTCGAGTTCTACGGTAGTGTCCGTGCACAAAATATGGAGAAATATGATCCCCACACCCCTCCGAATTTCGCAGCGTCTCATTGAACCCTTCACCGGTCTTAACGTATTTTAGCTACGGTAACGGTCAATAATTTTTCAATCCAAAATCCACTGGTGAGTCAAGGTAATAACCCATTATTCTTTTATCCATTGTGCCCCGCCAGACCTTTGTCAGGCTTTGAGGATCGCCAATTTCTGATCTGAGAACTTTGGAGTTCTCGTTGACGATCAGAAACAATGGCCTCCCGTACTCTTGTTCAATCCAATTGCTTCAGGGCTATAGCTGCCAGCGCACGAGCTATTCCCCAGACCTCAACAAGATGGAGCTCCAGTAGCAGTTCTACTTCAGCCATTGCCTACAAAGCCCTGCGTCGTCGTCAAGCTCCTCTTCCAACCAACGACACACCTTCATCATGGTCTGCGCAAGCTGCCGTTTCCAACATTCTCTACGAAACTCCGACGCCTTCGATGGCACCCCCGAAGCGTCACGTCCTCAATTGCCTGGTTCAGAACGAGCCTGGTGTCTTGTCTCGAGTCTCTGGTATTCTTGCAGCGCGCGGTTTCAACATTGACTCCCTAGTCGTGTGTAGCACGGAAGTTGAGGATCTATCTCGCATGACCATCGTTCTCACCGGTCAAGATGGCGTAGTCGAGCAGGCCCGAAGACAATTAGAAGACTTAGTCCCCGTGTGGGCTGTCCTAGACTATACGAATGCTGCTCTTGTTCAGAGAGAGTTGCTACTCGCCAAGGTCAATATATTGGGACCCGAATACTTTGAAGAGTTGTTGGCACACCACCGCGAGATGACAGCTGAAGCCGAACTTGGAGAAGATGGCGAAAGGACACTAGAAGGTGTCGCGCAAGATTTCCACCCGAGCAAGATGGTAGCTAGTCAGGCGTTACGTCTTAAGCATGAACATCTGAAGTCAATTACCTACTTCGCACATCAATTTGGAGGTAAAGTATTGGATATCAGCACAAGTAGCTGCATTGTTGAGGTGTAAGTGGTTCTTGCCATGAAGACGATAAAATAGATAGATACTAACTTGAAATAGATCTGCCAAGCCAGTCAGAATCGATTCATTCTTGAAACTGATAGCGCCCTTCGGGATTTTGGAATCGTCGCGAACTGGTCTTATGGCGTTACCCCGATCTCCTCTCTACGGCCCAGACGAAGAAACGATTGTGAAGGAAGCGGACGAGATCGTTGATGCTAGCCAGCTACCTCCTGGTTAAACCGGGGTTACGGATATAAAGATTAATGGCGTTGGTGGTCCATCAAAAACATCCTGGTTTATTTGGGCATGATTATATGTAGACGAAGCTCCAATTAGTGCGAACTACCTCTATATCGAGCATAACACAAACGAGTTCTTCATCGTAGTCTCATCTTCACGTATTAAAACAATAATGGACTCATAGTGACACGGCAAATAAATTGGGTATTATCAGTAGATGAGAAATATCAATTTATTTTGAACCTCAACTATGAGGGCTCCGTTCCAACGAATCGATAGCCTCTATCTCTTATTTGATAATCACTTTTTTGATACTCTTCGTATTGGTATTCTATCTATAACCCCCTCATCCGTAACAAAACTCTTGATGGCCACTGTATGAAAGGTTAGCACTAGAACGAAAATCTGAGCGGGCCCTTGACGTACCAAGAGCAGCGTATAGCCTATTTTCCGCCTCGGGGAAAACGAGGGATCGTGGGGAATAGAAGACTTCGTCACTGACTTCCTCCGCGTGACGAGGCAAGCAGTGCATAAACTTCCAGTCCGGTTTTGCTCCGCCTCGTTCAGCCAATTCGTTGGTAACCTGGAAACCGGCGAAAGCTTCTAGTCGCTTTTGGGTCTCCTCTTCCTGGCCCATAGATATCCAGGTGTCGGTGAATATGAAATCGGCATCCTTAACAGCCTCCTCCGGAGAATGAGTCTGCTCCAAGAGTGTGGAAGAATCACCATGGGTCGCGATGTGATCCAGCATGTTCTGAGGGATCTCGTAACCGGGAGGTGTAGCGACAGAGATTTTCATGCCTAGTTTCACACAAGCAATGATTAAGTCGAACAAAACATTGTTTGCATCTCCCACCCAAGCCAACTTCAACCCTTGGAAACTTATAGAACCTGTTCTGCTAAAGCTGGGGGCGGCCTGGTGGATCGTGAGAAGATCAGCGATAATTTGAAGTGGGTGGAAATCATTGGACAGTGCATTGATGACGGGGACACTCGAATGTTTCGCTAACTCCAGAATATCACTATGAGGGCCAACGCGAGCCACTATACAGGACGTCATGGATGAGATAACCTTAGTGGTGTCTAGTAACGTCTCATTTACCTAGATAGCTCATAGATTAATTAATGGTCTTGAAATAAGCTACTACGCTTTTTCAACTGTACTTACTCCCAATTGAATATCGTTTTTCCCAAGAAACATAGGATGACCTCCCATGCGAGCAACAGCGGCTTCTGTTGAAACCCGGGTACGAGTGCTCAGTTTGTTGAACAACATTGCTACCGTCTTCCCCTTTAGAAAGGGTTCGAGATTGGATCCGCCTTTAAGGATTCTTTGATAGTAAGCCGCACCTTTCACCAACCTCACCAGTTCAACGGGTGTTAGGTCACCGATTGACAAGAAGTGCCGAATTGGCCGGGTAGTTGTTTCGGGAGTGGTTGAATAACTTCTTGCCTGAATGCCACGGGAGGCTTTGGCTATTCGAAGAACTGATGATCGCATTTTTGTACAGATTTGGTGTGTGCTATTACTTGATTATAGTCCCGTGCCAGGTATTCGAGTATAAACCGATATTCACAGTCGTCAGTATTTGGTTGGTTGCGTGTAACTTTCCTCTATAAGTGAGAATATTAAATTTGAGTCTGTGTAAGGTATCGTCGAGATCCGGCTTGAATCACTAGAGGGATGCAAGGATTTAAATATCGACATAAACACTATTCAAGCTTCAAGAGCTTGGAATATTATAGGACTCTTATTTGAATGATATCTCCGGATTGCGGACAATTAAATGAAGAGTCACCGTCGTGATAACACGCCCTGTCAGTGGGGAATAGATATTTCGATGCGGAGATTGGTGCTGTGTATTGAAAAAAAGAACAAGAAAGGCTGCCAGCAGATGCCCGACAGCTGGTGATTTCCGGACTTGGAGTTTGACGGTACCTGTTACCTGCAGATAAACCCTGCATTAAAAGATACTTCCCCGGAGTACGCTAAGCCATAAATAGAATTGACCGTTTGCTTATTATCCTCTTATCCTCCACTTGGTCGGCCCCGATTTGTTCCCGGTGGCAGTTTCCTTGGTATGGAAAAGCTGCAGGGTTGTGTTGGCTTCGCCCCAGCAAAAGCCTCGTCTCAGCCGATACGGTTGTAGTCTTGTTGTCAGTTGCTACTGCCGTACTTGGTTGATGACGACTACTTAGCGACTACACTTTCCCATTAGTTTATCTATCTTGATCCAACGCTGTTTCCCTTTATCTACCTAATTATCTAACCTAAAAGTTGGTTAGGTTCAACTTATTCTTTAACTCGAATAACGTCACATCTCCGTTACATTCCTAAACTTTGACCTTATGAGATAACTTAAATCTCCCTCAGGTTCGATGATGCCTGCGTGATCGACCCCTCACTATCCACGCATTTACATCTTTTCATTCATCGAGGCCATAATTATTCGGCATCTATTCTTCAACCTTCAACATGTCGGAAGAAGAGACATCCCCATTACTTTCCGCGGCGGCGAAAGGCAAGACGACGTCTCGTGAACGAGCTGGCTCTAGCGAATCGACGCCCCTCTTATCGAGTTCTTCCGGTACACCGCGTTACGATGGAGAAAACGACGAGCGTGATAGGGACGACGCCGTTTCGATTCGATCCCAACCCAACGATGCGCCGACCCAATCTCAACCGACTAAGAAGTCGAGAAGATGGCCTTCGTTCATTGCGATGGGCATCCTCGCGATAGTTGTTATTACCATAATTGTTCTTGCATTTATAGTTCCCGAGGCAGTTCAAGAGTATGCCCAGGAGGCTACTGTTTTCGAACCTACCAATCTCGCTCTCGAATCCATTACTATGAACGGTGTACGAGTTCGGGTACAAGCAGATTTCCATCTAGATGGATCGAGGGTTAGCAACGATAATGTACGAAGAGTAGGAAAGGCTACGGGGTGGGTGGCTCATCAGCTTGAGAGTCATGAGACCAAGGTGGATGTGCGTCTTCCGGAGTACGATAACCTATTACTTGGAAGCGCCATTATTCCACCTGTGGTGCTCAATCTTCGAGAAGGCGACGTAACCAAGATTGACTTCGTCACGGAAATAACACCTGGAGGTGTGGAAGGCATTCGTATCGTTGCGACCAAATGGTTTAATGGTGATTTGGACAAGCTACGTTTGAATGGAGTGGCCGATCTGAGTATCAAATCTGGAATTATCCCTCTCGGAACGCACACTATATCCGAATCATTTGTATTTGAAGGTCAATCTTTCTACCAATCCTTTTCCGATCTCTTCGGAAAGTCCTGGTTCTAGCTTATCAAAAAGAGGCTGGGCCATACACCTCATCGAACATACAATATACTAATTCTTTGAATAGCGAACAAAGTCCCTGCCATACCAAAGTATAACATTACTCGTTTTAATGTCGCGGACGGGCCAATGAATGGATCAATGTTGGTCGATGCTTCGTTGATCGCATTTAACGAATATCCGATTAAACTCGATATACCCGAGCTTGCATTTGATATTCTAGTACCTGGCTGCGCTACCGACGACCCATTCATCCTAGTAGCGGAAGCGGCTACGAGTGAGGTTCATGTACTACCACGTTCTGACGTTAACGCCGATGTCAACGCAGTTATCCGTGAACTACCCGACTCTCTGACTCATGTTTGCCCTGATTCGACGTCGTCGCCGTTAGATCTCCTACTACGACAGTATATGCATGGCGATCCTGCTACCTTGTTCGTCCGTGGAAGCAGTCATCCAGACGGAGACACCCCGAAATGGATTGCGGATATCTTATCTAGTGTTACTGTTCCTGTTCCATTCCCAGGTCGAACTTTGGATGGCTTGCTCAGAAACTTTTCTTTGACTGATGTTCACTTTTCTCTACCGAACCCTGACGCCGGTCCTGATGACCCGGATGCTAACCCTCAAGTCTCGGGTAATATTCTAGTTACTGCGGGCCTTCCTTCCGAGATGAACTTCGGTATCGATGTAACGAACGTCCGTGCCATAGCAAATGTGACTTACAAGTCGAAGAAAATGGGAGAGCTAAATCTACGAGAATGGCAACAGGCTAATTCAACCAGAGTTAAGGACACGGAGGGCGATGGAGCTATGCTCATGATACAGTCGCGCATTGTCAATGCACCCCTCAACGTCACTGATGCCAATGTTTTTGGCGAAGTCGTCCGGAATTTATTCTTCAGCACTACGGCAGTCCGCCTACATATCAACGCCTTGGTTGATATTAAAGTGCATACTACACTAGGGAATCTTACTCTTAAGGATGTCCCCGCAGAGGGAAATATCCCAGTAAAACGTCCGTCTTCGCTATTCTGATCTGGTTGGTGGCTCTTTCAAATGGTCCGTCTATTAGGACGGTTTGTTTTCCCGAGGTGCAATTCTTAGCCTTTTTATTTTTCATCGTCCATGGCAGAAGCTGACTGGTTTATCTAGCCCTCCCCAAGGGCTCTATGAATAGTATCAACCCGAAGGTCGGATCTCTCCAGGTTCTCGATACGACATCAGACTCGATAACGTTACAAGCATTGATTAATATGACTAACCCGACACCTTATACCGCTCATGTACCATATGTAAACGTCCATGTTATAAATAACGGTTCGATCCTTGGAAGCGCGACAGTGGAAAATCTGGACGTTGTCAAAGGTCCGAACACCAACGTGCTGGTCACTGCGAAGTGGAATCCTCCGATGGGTGGCGATCGTGGTCGAAAGATTGGACGGAATTTGATATCGCAGTATTTGTCTGGTTGGAACACGAGCATTACAGTCCAACCTCATCGCGACAGCATTCCAGGCCAGCATATTATCTGCAAAGCTTTATCGCAGTTCAATATGACTTTTGCAGCCCCTAAGTTGGACTTACCAGGCGACACACCCGAAGAGCGATCGCACTTTATTAGAGATGCCACTTTCCACTTTTTCACGTCGACGGCTACTTTTACTCTTGTATCACCATTACAACACAATACATTATACTTAGATTTCGTTAACGCCACCGCATTATTTAATCATACGGAGCCGGTCGGACAGATTGTGTACGATTTACCATTTTCAGCGCCACCCGGCAAATCGCAGACACCCAGACTTCCCGTCTCGTGGTCCATCGGCTCAGTTGGCTACGATGCCGTCAAGAAGGCTATCGGCGGGAAGTTGAAGTTAGACGCATATGCCGATGTAGATATGCGGCTTGGAAATTGGAAAGAATCATTATGGTATCGAGGAAATGGCATTGGAGCGAGCGTACAGCTGTGATATTTTTCATCTGGCGTTTTGGGGGGTATTGGTAGGCTTTAGAGAATAACCCGAATAGGGAATGGCGCAGTTGGTTGTTTGATAACGAGATCGGAACATAGGATATGAATATCAAGCGAATCGTACATTTATCTTTTTTTCTCATCTTTTCATAATGGACTTTTCAAGGATGAAGGTAAGAACATCCGACATACCAACATGTGAAGCGTAAGGATATAGCTGACTAAGCAGGCTATGACGTAGTTCGATGTTCTTCATGTTGGTCGCAAAGTCTCGATACATGTAGAAATCGCATTTCTAACATCTACGCATTCGGTGCGCGTTAATTTCGAAGCTCTATTCAAGGCAGGCAAGGAAAGGGGCGCCGATATACGACGAAGATCTTACCACTTTGAGGTCGATACGATTCAATTGTCTTGCAAAATTTTCTTTTTTTTCACCCCTCCCTCGCGGCGCCACTTACAAGAGTCCTCGTATCATATTTCTTCAAAGACATACAGAATCAGCGATGGCGCGCATGCCAAGAATCATATCACCGTACGCCCCGAGGCCCCGGCGCTCTGCGATGTTGGTGCTTATTTGGATGGCTATTTTGGTTGTTGCGCTGCTTATTACGTTTTACCTTACGGGTCGGGAGCGTGGGAGTACTGGGTTGAGACGGGCTGCTGAGGAGGTTTTGGGGGAGCAGGGAGATGCTAATGCTGAGGTTGGAATAAAGATTGGGGAGGGAGGAAGGAGGGTTGAGGGAGATGGTGGTGGTGGTGGTGGCCTGGTCGGAGATTGGTGAGGATGTGAAGATGGCGTCTTGAGAGGTGGGCGGGATGGAGGTTGGGGATATGATGGCGGGTGGTGCACCAAGAAATATTGCAGAATGTATACTCAGATACCTGTTTTACATGTATGGCGGACATATAGAACTCACTCAGATCAATGAGCCACGGAAAGGGTACTTAATATGTAGTATATTCAAAATGCTTTGGCGTCAGTGGCAGCATACGGGAAATGCGCTTAGCAACTTTTCACCCGCCCATCGTTTCACTCATAAATAATATTAACAAGCGAACACAAGGGGATTGCTTCCTATTAATCAATGATAGGACTAACTGCTACATTGAAAAATTATTCATGGCTGGAGGGAGTTAGAGAACAGCTCTGTGAAATAGCCATGACAGCTCCAAGACCACTGCGTGAATTAAAATATTACAGCCCAATCACTTTATCAGACCTCTCGGGCTCGCACAAACGATTACGCATACATTTTTGCACGAGCTAAATTAGTATAGAAGGCTGTTAGCTCCCATTACGGAGTCGGTGATCAATGTAGCCAATACCAGGAGCCAACGGACAGATAGATATAAGTAGCAATAAAAGCGTCGAGATTTCATCCACCACCGATACTTGTGGGATATGTCCGGTATAGTGTAACGGCTAACATACCTCGTTTTCACCGAGGAGCTCGGGGTTCGATTCCCCGTACCGGAGTTTCTTTTTCACAAATTTTAAGTCATATTATTCGCAGATATTTTCCTTATATTTTTCGGCCTTTATTTTTATATTTTTTGTATTTTTTTCTACCTCATATCCAAACCCATCGCAGATATCCCATGGATTTTTGTGAGGCGCAAAGTACCAATGCCCTTCCTAAATCAATCGAGCACCTCCCTCCCACCGATCGGACGAGGTCAAAGAGAAAAAAGAAAGCAAATTGATTTTAACAAAAGGAGAGAACAAAGGAAAAATCTCTAGCACCAGTCGTCAGGGCTGACAACTTTTCACGACCGACCTCCTCCGCTTTTTCCGTAATTCATACTGCGATTGTGCAGTATGCGCTGCGCAGGCCATTAGGAAAGATTGCATTCTCCTAATACTGTTGCCACGACAAAGCCTTGATGATACACATGAGTCTGGTGCGCTCATCATGACTAAGACTCTGGAGCTTGCGATAACTGCCTAGGAGGACCACCGCGAAGGCAATGAAGTGATTGTAAGGGTTTGACCATGGGCCGACAGCAGGACACATGATTTCTAGCATTCTTCTATAACGCAGGAATAGATCTATGTCCCACATTGGGCTAGGGCGCACGTAGTCGTCGCGCCTGGCGCAGCGGAACATCTTGTCGTATCTGTGGTTTAGGAAGGTGTTCCAGATGTAGCGCGGTATGGCGGTCAAGTCTGGCTGGTAACGTTTTTCGGCGTATTGGACGCGGTGCTCGTAGAAGAGATTGCTGGCTAGGACCATTAAGCTGTTGCGATCTTGGAAGTCTTCGGTGTACCAATACATGGCTAGGTATCTGCTGAATCGGGCGGCCATGGGACCGGGCGCGGGATGAGGGTCTTGCGAGGGGGTGTGTGGGCCGAGACGCTCGGCGGCCTGGCTCTCTTGTACCGTGGCCCATAGGTTGGTGATACCGGTCAGGAAGGGGTACATTACGATGCAAGGAAGTCCGGGGGTTTGGGGGTCATTATCGGTCATGCCCCGGTAGGTAAACTCGATCCCTCGAATGTGTCGGATGCCGAATAGGGCGCTGTCTGGGAGACGGCTTCTGGTCCAGGATTGAAAGGCTATGCCTTGGTTAGTATACATGAACGGTGGTTATACATGTTAACACTTACAATTGAAAAGGCAAGCGCGAAACCGGTTGCACATCGCCTCGGTCTGCTTGACCTCGAGGAAGGAGAACGAACCCCAGAACGAGTGGAATAAATCCAAGTATGGGACATTGAACAGGATGGTTCCGTCTGGCATTAGGTGGAATAGATTGGTCGCAATCTCCATCATAAGGCAAGTCTGGACCTCACGGGAGAGTTCAGTCTTCGACTTTAGGTGCTGTGGCAGAGGAAAATACTGGTAAACACGGGGATTGACATTGGGCCGAAGGGCGATGACCCCGCGTACAGCTTCCATAATCTTAGCGATACGACCGGCGATGGCTAGGCTGAAGTGTGATGTGGTCCAAATTCGGTTTTTGTCCTTGAGGTAGAACTCAAAGAATTGCCTTACCTCGGCACGGTTGAGAGGATTGACGTCCCGGGAGGCCGCAGCCATCACGACGAGCTTGTAGTTGGAAGTAATGGAAGTACCGAACTTTTCAAGGATGAAATCCTTGGCGATAATGGAATCATTCTGTTTGACAATATCGTTCGCTCGTCGGCTAGTGAGGGCGAAGGCCTTAATGTCCTCGACGGTTTCCATAGAGGCGCATATCTTGACGATGGTCTCTACGGGGAGGCAGAAGATAGCATTCGGCCGTGTGCCGTTCATGGTGTTCGTGTCAACCATGTCGATATCCTGTCTGTAGGAGGTACTACTATGGATAGTCAGTATGAGAATGAATGAAAACTATAGGGGATATGGAAAGGAATGAGCCCGCAATTGGCCGAGGATTGCAAACGTACCGGGGTCCTCTTAGTAGAATAGAATCTCGCGCGGCGACTCGAGGGTACCGACTGACACCCCCGTATGTTCTGACCGGGTTGAGAGTCTCCGGAGGCGGGCTCAACCAAAGTCGAATGCGGAGACGTGGGACGGGATACTGGAGGTTAGTGGCTAGCAAGAGCAAAGCAAACTAGAGGCCTCGAGGATGGATCAAGATTTATACCCAAGACCACTCGTCAGCAAAACTAAGAGCAGGACTAGAGTAGTGACTTGTGTGAATCGTGATCAAAGTATCCGGTATGAGACTAGAAACTCTAAGATGGTTGTAGGTGAGTAAGGAACAGATGATGGGAATTCTGGTCGAAATCAAGGGGTTTATATGGAAAATACCAGCATAGAAGGAATACAGCAAAAACTGTGCCCTCCAAACCAAACATTCCGAAGCAATTTGCTTCACTGCCATCTCAATAGTATAAACTCCCCGACGGATGCTATACGGGTCTAAAAGGCAGTGCCAATATGTTGATGATGATGGGGGCGCTCAAGTACTGAGTATATATGCGGGTACCCAAATTGAAAAGCCTAGGAAAACATTGAAACAAACTGGCCATAGCTTATAGGCCAATTCTCTACCGTTCGTCTCATGTATACTGGGCCTCTTTACACTATTGCAAATCTTTCACTACATCTTTGGCTAAATTTATGCTCTGACACATGGTGTCAACATAGGGAGTTTGTGGTTTTGTGAATCATATAAGAGCCAGTGAACTAATGGACGGGGACTCTTCTTGCCCTAAGCTCGTGGGCTGTGCATTTTTATCTGACAAGCGTGTAATATGCTCATTGACACATTGGAGGTAATTTTCTGTGTTAGCTATGACCTGGTTCTATGACGAGCACTATGTGAATAGGGGTTGGTATATCCTTTGAAGGATGGAGCCTCAACCCTTCTTAACTATCAATTGCTGAACGGAGCTAATTATCAATAACAAGAAGATTGAACAAGGAAAGAACCAAGAGAGCCAACAATGTATTATGTTATAGAACAAAGACGGATAACAGGATTATCTTCGAACGAAAGTAGACTGCGAGATTGACATATAAGCGCTGCATTTCACGACTCCATTTTTCCGACTCCCAGCTAACCATTCCATTCACCATCTCTAGAACACTTATTCCTACAAATCCAGTATTTAGTCGAAGTAAGTGTTCTTCTAGAAACTTGTTTTCGGCTAAAGCTTTCGCAGAACCTACCACCGTAGGTACCGAAACCCTTCTTTCAAGGAACCACATCGTCCGCCATGTCTTCCGACAAGAGCCAGAACCGCGCCAACATGCGCCAAGCATCCGAGCAGGACTCGGGATCTGAGGACAGGGGAACTGTTTTCACGGGCGAGACCCGCGTTCCTTTCCGTGACCGCCTAGCCGCTATGCGACAAGGGGTTCAGGAACGCTCTCTAGAGCGCCGCCGCTCGGGATTCCTCCCGCTCGCGCTCCAGGCCATGCCTAGCCCATCCCCACCTCCCAGCCCTCGTCCCCGACGTACAACCCGCCCGGACAGTCCCTTCCCCATTGCTCGTCAGGATCGCGGTACTAACCGACCGACTCCTCTCAAGCCCTCGGGATCTGCTGCTCCCAGGAAGTCCCCGAACCTGGAGCGCGTGGCCAAGAGCAATGAAGACTGTAGTTGCGACGACACTATCCTTGATCGTCGTGCGATGAAGAAGGACGAGGCTGACAGCCAGCGGGACTTATCTAACCGCGCCAACCGCCGATCCCGTCACGGTTTAACGGCGCCAAGCTCGCCGTCCCCTCTTCGGGCGAGCTTTAACGCGGCGCAGATGGCTAGCCTGGGGTCTGATCTCCAGGCTATGCTAGACCTGCACGAGAAGAAGGAGAAGGAGAAGAAGGAGCGAAAGGGTGAAGACAGGGAGTAAGTGAAGTCGGACGTGTAAGAATTGAGTAGTGGATTGAGGAATGGTGTCCCCATACCCGTACCCCGTTGCATTTGTTTTGACTTACCCACATAACCCCTAGCCTACGCTGCATACCTACCTAGGTATAAAATAGGTGTTTTGTTTAATATCGCGTTAGAGAACCCTCCGCGCTCGTTACGGAAGTGAGAATCGGCTTGATGTCGTTTCTTTCTTTCGGCTTAATTTTCCTTTGTTAAGAACACCCACTTACGTACCTCGTAAGTTGATAGTATTAGAAAAGAACAAAAAAAGTTGAAAAATAAAAGGCATTGTATTTATGCCTACCGGCACTGACCGGTAGACTGAATACAATGTATAAAACCCATCTGCGCAATCTTATAAACCTATGCTTAAGTGATATGTGCGAAAAAAAGACGCTCCCGCCTATTCCATTATGGAAAAAACTGTGTTCGATCGTGAATAGTTCGGCGATGGCCTTAATATATGAATGTTGCAAGTAAGAAACAGAGTGAACAACATGAAAGAGTCCGATTATCCTCGGAGATAGCGTAGAAGGCCGGTGTTACAACATTAGACTCGGAGCAATGCCGGCCAATGATTGGTCAGCTGCTTGCTTAGCAATATAGACCTCAATTTTTTGCCTCAAAGCCAATCAACAGCCCTTGGTGGTCTAGTTGGTTCATGGCGTTCGGCTGTAATTGTAAAGATTGTTACCGAAATGTCGCTGGTTCGATTCCGGCCCGAGGGATAGCTTTTTGCTTGTTTATATTCCGAGACATCGGTAGGAAACAATAGGAAAGTTTTTGTTTCATTTGCTTTTTGTCTGTTAGGAAATTGGCCATTGCACTAGCGAGCTATTGGTTGTAAACTCGCACGTTTCATTGAGTCGAGACTTGCTTACGATATTGGTACGAACTCGAGTCATGTCTTACCGTGTCAAAAGGGGACTACGATGAGTATCATACACCCGGTGCAAAATCATATTGTGGAATATGGCTTCATATCCCAAATAGAGGACGCCATGTCGCTTGACACAAACACCTCCGTAGTACGCAGCACGTGAGGACGAGTAGAAGACTTGAAGACCAGTGTCAGCAACGTATTACTAGTCGAAAATAACTATACAGTGAGGGAGTAGCACCTTTTAAGATGAATCGAACGCAACGCAACGCAACGCAATCTGCAATCTGCCACCTGTGATCGTCCAATTACGCGAGTCGAACACCCGCCTCCTTTCGTTTCTTGGTCTGTTGCGCGGTTGCAGAGCTCATACCGACGTTTTGACTGGCATCTAGCATACTCTGAGACTCGCGGCGTTTCTCGTCCTCGATCTTCTTGAGTCGCTTATCAGTCTTACCCTTTCCGCTGCCCTTGCCGTGGAATTGATGACTGAGGTGCTTGAACGCTTCCTTTTGGTCAAGCGACCGACCGTGTTCGTCATGGTACTTGAGTTCCACGTTAGGCTTGTATCCCTTGTTAAAGAGATCCACAAGCTGTCGTGATGTGTGTTGATCGCGAATATTATTCTGCTGGCGCGCCCATTCTTCTCTTTCTCGAACGGACATCCTGTCAAGCCGGCCGCTGTTACGGTCGCGTTCACGCTGGTTACGGGCTTCTTGTTCCATCTCTGCCAACCTGCGCTTCTTCTCCGCGAGGAATAGTTGGTGTTGGCGTTGCTTTTCATTGAGCTCGGCAGAGCCTGTGTCTTTGAGGAGTTGGCGCTCTCTAAGAAGTTGTAGCGTCGCACCGACACCCGATCCAATTGTCTTTTCCTCATCGACACCGATGACAGCTGTCTCTGCTGGTGTTGAAGCTTCACGTTTCACCCTGTCATGCTCGACGTCATACCCATCCTTCATGGGCTCGTCTTCGTCGGATTCTTCTTCCATGGCCGTAACCGGTGCGTCTCTAGGCGACTTGGGCTTACGAGGCTTTCGATCTTCAATATCTTCCTTCGTTAGACCTGAGACGAATTCGGAAATCTCATCTAGGACAAGACCGCCCCCTTGAGTACCCTCGTCCTCATTTTCGACCTCAGGGGTCTGCGCCTCTTCTCGTAACTGTTTTGCGATATCCTCCGGGCGCATCCTCTTTCGCTTCTTCAAGGCATTTCTCCTTTGCGCAGCTAGGGTAGCCTGTAGATCCTCGTCATCAACGAAGGCTGAATCGTCTGTTTTACGCTTCCTGTTGATGAAAGCATTGCCAGAGTCTATATCCATCGACTGGTCCGGCTCTTCTGATGGCAACGGAAAGATGTTACCTTCATCTATTGGTCGCTGTCGTGTCGTCTTTGTCTTTTTCTTCTTGGGTTTCTTGATCTTGACTTCCGAGACATCTAAGTAATCTGAAGACGGTTGTACATCGTCTTTCAGAAAATCGAGATTGATCTTTTGTCGTTGTAGGCTTCGCGGTTGGCCGTCTAGATCGTCGATCTGCACGGTATTTCCCAGCCCATCTAACGTAAACCTCTTGCTCTTTTTACCATCAATTTCCTCATCGTATTGGGCAAGGAGGCTTCGCTCTCCGGTCTCGTCGGCTGCGTGGGGGTCGTATACGGGTTTCTTTTTCTTTAGCTCGAGTTTTTTGCTAAGTTTTTCGTGCTCTCGGAGGTTAATGTTTTCAAGCTCATCTCCTTCCTCATCTCCCAAAATATCGGTATCTTTGAGGGTAAGGATTTGCTCTTCACCATCTTCAAAAGAGTCGATCTCGTGTCCGACCTTGACACCGGCAAGATCCTTTGATGTGTATTGAATTGCCGCCGCGGCTTCGGCCTCGGCAGCTGCTAATTCCTCTTCTAACTTGCGCGCTTTATCGATTTGTTTTTGGCGCTTCTTCTGACTGATTAACCACGATTTGGTATCGACATCACCACCTTCGTCAGCCTCGCCTAACCCTTTGCCTTGTAAGCTTTCGTATCGTTTCGCAGCGTCGCGGGCCTTTTTAATGGCAGCGGCCTTCTCTTCGCGTTTCTTCTTGGCTTGTTCAGCATCTTGAATCTTCTTGTAGTTATCGTATGCGGCTGCTTCTCGGGTTTCGAGAGTGCTTCCCGTGTCTTCCTCGGTTGTTTCTTTTTCTTTGAATTGAGGACCGCTTGCGCCAGGCACGGGCAAGGGCTTCATGCCCAGAGAAACGCGGAGACGGTTCGTCTCTTCTATCGCGGCGGCATCCATGATGGATTTTTGTGGTTTGGATATCGGACAGTATGGATTTTTGTATATTACACTTCTAAATGGATGCGATTATTTAGGAGGCGAAGTTGATGATGGGTGTCGTAAATGAGATAAAGCAGACAAAGTTCAGATAGAGTTGAGACTACAAAGCGCCAACTTGCCCAGTGCCGCGATGGATTATGTAAGGCTACCTAAGAAAATTAGGTGCAGGAAAGACGGACACCTACGCTGTGATTGGTCGGTGTATAGGCTAATCAGCCCCACTCTTGCGCGTTATCCTTTCTAGATAAATTTCAAATTTTCTGCTTCCTCTTCTCTTCTTCTTTTCCTTTACACAATCACGGATCTGTGCCCGATCGTCCTCTGTTCGCCCAGCGAATTCAGAGTTGATGGTCGCGGCAGCTCGAATCACATATGGAATCATCTTCACTTTTATGATGTCTCTCCAATCGACAGGTCCAAGAGTAAGGAGTGGTTTGGAAAGCCTGAGCTCGCCGTCAAAAGCTGAGCTCGGTGGACTGAGTCAACTCCAGGCCTTATATTCCACCCCTTTTGTCCGAGATCATTGATCTATGAGGTTGAGGAAAACCATAAGAGCACTACATCTCATCGCGCCTTGACTTATTTGGAAGTAGGGTATCGTCGAACGCTGTCACATTTTCGACATCCATCGCCGAATTGATTGCCTCGAGTCGAGTAGTCGTAGTAATTTTTGACAAATTTGCTGGCTTGATTTTTTCGAACACCAGTAGTGCGAAGTAAAACGAGACGGTTCTACCTCGGACGTCCCATCAGTCTTTACACACTTTTAGCCCGACGATGATACCATTCAAAGCTAAATCCGAAGCGCAAAGGCATACGCCGCTTTATGAAGCAAGATTAAGAGACCTTACTTCGGTCTAATCGCGGGCAGACTAGGTTCGTGAGGATAATTCTTGATTGTGGTTACTGTAAAAATTATTGCGAAATTATAATCACGGCGACTTCAAACAGTGAATGCCATTGTCTACCTAGGTAGTTTTGTTCCAATCCTCATTTGGTCTACGCCGAGCTAGATGACCCACTAGATTCTAGATGTTTGCCGCGTACCAAGGTTGCATTTCGCTACATACAATGCCGTTCACGGCGAATTTAAGCCACGAACTATAGAGGCTCTACGATGCAATCTTATAACTTTACCCTGACTATACTTGGCCTTTAAGTTGCTGAGTCGAACGGACTGATATCCCGGGCCGATATGGAATGATGCAATTGGCAAAAAAAAAAGTCAAGAGCATACTTGCCTAGGAGTATTACTATCCGCGGTTTGAGTATAGTTGTACGCATGTGACGAGTAGTTGGCCGATGCGCCGCTTTGCTAATGCATTCGGTGGTAGCCACCGCGATGGCTTGACTTATGCTAACGAGCGGGTAGGTCCGAATTCACCTCAAGATGGAGAATCCCGTGATCTGTTCGGTCTTTGCAGTTATACATCCTTGTGGTGTTCGCCCTTGCATCAATTGTTAAAGTTTAAGCCGAGGCGAAAAGAAATCAGCATATGCGAATCTCGAGTTAAATTTCTCAATATCAACATACTGTTTAGTTACAAGCGTACATAGCATCACTCTCCTAACAATGAACATCCACATCTTCCCCAATTTCTTCCTAGCTATGCTAACCAACCAGCCAACTCCGCAACTCCAACCTCAAATACAAAATACTACGCCGTACTATACTATGCTGGAGCTAATTATGCGGGGATCATGTCCCCCGCATTGGAGGTCATTATCCCATTGCCATTTCTATGGGGAATTAGCAGCTTTCTCACAATTAATTCCAATCCAGCCTCATAGTCCGTCTGTGTTATTGCTCGATCCAACCTGGTCCATCAGGGGCGACTTACCAGATTCGTCTACCCCGTATGCATGACACTTGCAGCTACTGCTGGCTACCTCCCCCAAAGCGGCCCGATTCTAGATTCCCCCAGGTTAACGCTTGGTTGGCTCTTGGTTGTCCCTGGTAGATGATTGAGCTCGGACACTAGACCTCTTCAGCACACACGTCATCTAATATTCAGGGCGGACTTTCTTCTGCCGCGTTACATTGGCCCCATTAAACGCCGCCAGCTCGGCCTACCTGGCTACTATCTTTTGACCGAGGAGTATCGCCGCAATACCTCTGAAATTCGGCCCTATCCGTTACTTACTGGGCACCTGGTCAAATGTCCAAAAGGGGAATAGAGCTATGGTGTGATGTTATTGGAAGACTTTAGATATAAGAGTCGATCAAGATGGACGTCTTCCAGAACACCAACCTGGGACTCATCTCAAGCAACAGCAGCTCGCTCATTCAACCCATTATGCAGGGCTTCACTTCTCTGTTTCTCTTTGGCGGCTTTGCCTTCCAGACCATCCTTGGTCTACCCGGCGTACGACGAGACGGTGCAATTGTTAAGAGAGCGGTTGATGATTTCATATCCACCGAGGAACCGATTGCACTTGCGCAGCTTCTCGCCAATATCGGCTCGAGTGGCGCCAATGCTCCGGGAGTGAGCTCAGGCATTGTTGTAGCCTCTCCATCTACGGACAACCCTGATTGTAAAGAAACATATCCTCAATGCATTGCAATATCCGAGCTTCTTACTAACTTATCATTTAGATTTCTATACATGGACAAGAGACGCCGCCCTTGTTTTCAGGGCCATAGTTGACCGATTCGCCAATAGCTACGATGCTGATCTACAGACCGAAATTCAGAACTACATTATCGCTCAAGCTAAATTGCAGACCGTGTCTAACCCCTCAGGCTCTCTATCTGACGGAACTGGCTTGGCAGAGCCCAAATTCAACGTCGATGCCAGTGCTTTCACTGGCAGCTGGGGCCGACCCCAACGAGACGGACCGGCTCTTCGAGCTATCGCGTTGAGTGGATACGCCGAATGGTTACTCGCAAATGGATACAACTCAACGGCTAACGACGTCGTTTGGCCCATTATCCGAAACGATCTCGCCTACGTTACTCAATACTGGAACCAGACCGGGTTTGATCTATGGGAGGAAGTCAGCGGAAGTTCTTTCTTCACCATCGCCGCCTCGCACAGATCTCTGGTTGAAGGAAGCGCCTTGGCTAAGTCTCTCGGTGCGAGCACTACTGATTACGATGCTGTTGCGCCTCAGATTCTTTGCTTCCTCCAATCTTTCTGGTCGTCATCAAGCGGTTACGCGCTCGCCAACATTAACGTCAACAATGGCAGGTCGGCTAAAGACGCTAACGTACTTCTGAGCTCAATTCACAACTTTGACCCAGCACTGAGCTGTGACGCTGCAACTTTCCAGCCTTGCAGTGACCGAGCCCTATCCAGTCACAAAGTCGTTGTAGATTCGTTCAGGGATATTTACACCATCAACTCAGGAATCGCTGCTGGTTCTGCTGTTGCTGTTGGACGATATCCTGAAGATACCTACTACAATGGCAACCCGTGAGTATTCCTCTTAGCCAATTGAAAGATTGCATCGGTTGCTAACAATCACACAGGTGGTATCTTAACACACTCGCAGCAGCAGAACTACTTTACGATGCCCTCTACGTGTGGCAAACAGAAGGCTCCATCACAGTAACCGCGACTTCGTTGCCGTTCTTCCAGGATTTTTCCTCGGGAGTCGCGGCTGGTACTTACAAGTCTGATTCAGATACTTACACAACCCTGTATAACGCCGTATACGGCTATGCTGATGGTTTCGTGGACATTGTTTCCAAATACGTCGCATCCAACGGATCCTTGGCTGAGCAATACAGCCGTGATGACGGCACACCATTATCTGCTAGGGACCTTACTTGGTCGTATGCTTCTTTCTTGACAGCCGCTGCAAGGCGCGCTGGGGTGGTTCCAGCTGGTTGGGCTGGAGCAGGGTCAACTGCAACTGTAGTTCCTAGTGCTTGTGCAGCAACATCGGTAGCCGGGTCTTACTCGGCAGCGACTGCTACAGCTTTCCCAGCAAGCCAAACCCCAGTCACCAGTAGTGCGCCGACTAGTACGTTTACTCGACCTACAATCACCGTGACAAGTCCAGGCTCATCATCTACCAGCAACTGCGCCACTGCAACGTCTGTAGCGGTAACTTTCAATGAACTCAAGACCACAACTTACGGTCAAACCGTCAAGGTTGTCGGTAACGTCGCTGCCTTAGGCAATTGGGATACGAGTAAGGCGGTAGCGCTCAGCGCTTCGTCTTATACCTCGAATAACCCTCTCTGGAAAGCCACGATTACTCTACCGGCTGGCCAAGCCATCCAGTACAAGTACATCGTGGTAAATACAGACGGCTCGATAACTTGGGAATCAGACCCGAATCGTTCATACTCAGTTCCAAAGTCTTGCTCGACTACGTCGACGAAGACGGATACTTGGCGATGAACATAATCAAAAAACAAATTTATTAATAAGACCTTCTAGGATTAATATTTAGAGGCTTCGAGGCCGAGATTGAAAAATATGGTACTAATTTGTTAGACTAGATATGTACGAGATATTTCTATGGGGGACTAATATGGCAGAACCTTAGAGCATTCTCGTTGCTCGATTGAGATAATGGAATACGGTACATAATAGTCAACAGAAATCCACTTCGACTTTTACGTTTGATTGATGTCTATGCTTCTAGGGCCATTTACGCATTTGCTCCCACCACCTACTAATATATTCCAATTGTCAATCTCACTTATGAATGTAGCTCTCATACCGCCAATTTTCCAACATTCACGCCACTACGCATCTCCCTTCCCCTCCGCAAACTTCTCCAACTCCCTCATAACAGTATCCACAGCCCAAGTAAATGTAGTCTCCATACCAACATCCAAACCTTTACCAACCTGCGCCTGTATCCCCTTCTCGCGCAGCACAGCCTCATCTAAAGCCCCCTCCACATCACTATCTTTAAATAAAGCAGCGTGTGCGGAAACATAATTCGGCCACACGACTTTATCCACGTAGCCAGGCGGATCCGTCCAAAACCCTTCGAGAGTGACGTAGCCATCCCGCCGTTCGCGCCGCTGGGTCGCGCGTGCCCGGCTTACGAGGAGGAAGAGCTTTGTGTCTAGGAGAGGGGGAACTTGGCCGGTTTCTAGGGGTGGGGAGTACAGGAGGAAACCGTCTAGGAGGCAGGTGCGGAGTTTAGAGGAGATTATGGAATGCCCGGGTTGTCCCGGTTGTGTCCATGCGTCTACTTTCGCCTTGGCGGCTGCGATGGCGGTGTCCGAGACCGGACAGGAACCGATGGAGTTTTGGTCTTCTTTTGAGTCGACGAAGGGCTAGGAGTTATTAGTATCTCCGTGTTATGTTATTTATGTTATGAAAGTGAATACGATTTATGAAGGTAGATGAGTGGCTTGTGACCTAGTGCACATTGTATGTAGCGTTACACAGCGTGTGGAAATGAAACTAAATGGGAGATATGAAGGAATGAGGTAGATGAAGAAAAATGACATATTCTTCTCGCATCATATCAACTCACCGGAAATGTGCCATGTGCGCGAATATGTTCTAGCGCTCGCTTCATATCCGGGATGGAGATGGCTTCGGCGCAGTCCCAATCTAGGAAGCCTTCCCTGGTAGGTAATCTGAGTTATGTTATTAGCATTATCCTCTCTTTCATCTCATTCAAAAGACATTTTTAAAGTTAATATAGGGATAATACGGTTAGCTCACTCAGTTTCGGCTTTATAGAAGTCATCTTCGTGCAGTATAAATGTGTTGGGAAATACATCGCGCAATAACCGAGCCAGCGTCGTTTTCCCACTCGACGATGCCCCGCTAATGCCGACGATGAATGCTTTTCTGTCCTCCATTTCTTTACGGCCCGATGGCCTAACGAGTATCTCTTTGATTCGAGAAGTAATGATGCTGCATAGGATAAGACGTTGCACTTTCTAGCATTTGAATGAGGATGGGGAAGATAGAATTGGCGCCGCTAGCCGCCGAAAGCTAATGAAATCGGATCCGCCCGGGATGACTCAGCCGGTCTCATCATGTACGATCACGCCGAAGTCATACGGGACCGGGGTATGTCACGAAGGGAAGCAGCGATATACATAATTCATCTTGATATTAACTTGAGACGGAGGTTCCTAGTTCATTATAAACATTTTTTATTAAATCCATTCAGGAGTGGCCTGCTAAACATCTAACAAAGCTCCGAAACAAGTTCAGCTGTTCATACAGCGAATAGTCTCATTGAATCCAGATAACATAGATGAAATATCGAGCTCATTATCGCCCATACTTCGAGTTAAGTTTCCTCATAATGGACATCGCTCCAGTTCTGTAACTGCCACCAAATAACGCCCAATGGTTCAGATGATGATATCTGGCCATGCAATGATTAGCTCAATACGCGTCCAAAGCCAAAACGGGAGGGTATCACGACTTACAACTCATAAAGCGCCACCCTATCCTCCCACTCCTCCTTCGGTTCCGCCTTCGGCACCAAACTCTCATACTCCTTCCAGAAGCTACTTCCAAACCCACCAAACATACGCATAATACCTAACTCATATTCAGAATGTCCATACACAGCCGAAGGGTCAAACACAACCTCCTCAACACCTCCTTGTCCCGCAATCCTGCCTCGCCCATGATTCCCACTCCATAAATCACCATGCACAACAACCGGATACACACCCTTAACATGCCCATCCCCAATCAACCTCGGCACAACCGTTCCCGCCGTCCTCTCCACCGCATCCCTAAGTTCCGCATCCTTCCCATTCGCCCCCTCCCCCTGTCTCAATATCGCACGCAGTCTATTCTCCGCATAAAAATCCGCCCAAGAAGCTTTCCAAGAATTATCCTGCGGCGACGAGCCGCAACACGTAGTCTCAGGAAACCCAAACATCGGTTTATCAAAGCCGGTTGGTATAGGCGCGGGGGTCGTGTGTAGTTGAGCGAGTTTTTGAGCGAGGGATTGTCCGGATCCGCCTGGGCGGGAGGACCCGAGTTCTAGGAAATCGGTTACGAGAAAGAACCTGTTGGGGTTCTCGTGGAAGACGCCGTTGGCGTGGGATTTTGGGCAGAGGTTGGGTACGATGAAGTGGATTGCGTTGAGGGAGGCGTGTTCGCCTGTGTTGTGGTTAGCTTTTGAGGCGCTTTTGTATTGTTTTGTGAGGGTCGCGTGAAGGGGACGGGTGGTTGTCCTTACCCCTGAACATTAACTCTGAATCTGCTCCTGTTCCGGTCTTGACGAAGTAGTTCTTGTCTTTCCCATCCACGGTCGAGCTTAGCTTGAAGGTGGACGCAAACCCTGAGCCGCCATGAGAGGCAAGCTTGGTAGCTTTGGGGTCCAGGCCCAGCGCTTCTAGAATGGCTGGATCGACCTTAGAAGCCATAGTACTCGCGTTCCTGGCGTATAATGATTCGGAGAGATTGATTAGTGGCCGACTGAGGCTGGCTATAAATTGCATCCGCTTCTGTGTGCCTACATGCAGGTATGCCGAGCTGGATCTTCGTACGACTAACGATTAATTAATTAATTAAATAGCTGATATATCTGTGACGTCACCCTGTCAATCAGCTTATCAGATGTTGTCACACGAGTTCAGGACGCGGAGTAAGGTTTCAAATTTATCTTATGGGAAACAAAAATTAGATTAATTCATCGCTAAGTTGAGATTAGGATCGGGGTATCGTATTCTTCAAAGCTCCCCCTCAACAAAAGAAAGCCCATTGAGGGAATATCGGTATGTAGGTTCGATAGGCGGTACCTAAGTAGATAGACGGATAGATCGGTGATGGTGTGCCGATGATGTGAGACATTGACAAGGGTATATAAGTACCTTTCCGTGCTACTGCCGGCGCTAGAGGCTTATATCGATAAGCCCTAAAAGCAAAAAGACATGTCACTGACAAGACGGGACGGGTAGCAGCATCTTTAGCGTCGCACGAATCTCGGAAAGGCTTTCCTGTACCCTGCCTCTTTTTATCTTTTTTGCTTTTCCCTTTTCCCTTTTCCCCGTTAGGTAACCAACCGAAACCAAACCAAAGCCAGCACACCTTAGACAACACCACACCAGACCATATCCCCAGAAATCATGACTCGAACGCAAACATTAATCCCGCCCTAACTCCTTTATGCCAATCCTTCTATCATGGGTATCATATGAGAATCTAGAAATTCGCTCATTGTATCGATTGTGTTGATTGTGTAGTGGATGCCGCGCATAGAGGGGCAAGATCTGAAGCCATGCTCGCTGAGCTTGGCTTTCGTGTGAGGCCATTGGTTGACTTGTACCATGGCTTCTTCAGGGGCTTTTCTCCTGTGAATTTCTCGCTGATAGATGTAGAAACAGCGACCTTCTTCTTCTTGAGTGGGACCTCTCTAGGGTCTATGGGGTCTCGAAACACTTCCTGGTCGTGACCCGTACCGTTGAAGCATGCCGCGCAAGGGCATATGGGGACGGTAGGTTGAAGGCGAGAAGGGTGGACTGTTTGGCTCTTCCACCACTCCTTGAACTCGGATTTCACCATGATGATATGTGTAGGTGTAAGTAGCCTTTCGTTGTTGTTGCTTGATCTACTTCTGTGGTGTGTAGGTTGTAAGTGGGAGAGCTCGAGTTGAAATAAGAATTAAAACGAAGCCTGGTCGTGTAGAAGATGCCGAGTTATACCCAAACTGAAACACCATCGAGATCTGTCACACATAATAGGAGAAACACAATTTCAGAAAAAGAGAAAGGAGAGAGTTGTTATTTATGAATAATTTGCTCGCCCTGATGCTCCGTGCTGGTATACCCGAGTCATCCCGGCGTCGCCACCAAAAATAATGCCAAGGATTTCCCTAGCTCCGGTGTACCTTTTTTTTTTTCTTTTTTCTTTGACCATACATTCATATGCAACAGATTCCAACAACTCGACTTAGATAGCATTGTCCTTACATGTGGAGTCGTTCCTAACCATGAATTCTAGAATCCTTTGACGACGAACGCATATCGGTCAAGAGAAGCTTACCTAAAATAGGACAACTGGGGTGACACAATTGTTCTTACTTCATGATACGTCTAATATAGGTACATGCATGATGCCCTCACCATAATTCCTACGAATAAATTTCCCTACGTGTTTTTCTAAAGCATCTTAATCTACCCCTTAAGAGCTTCGCCTATTGGATGCCTTACACATTTAACTCACGTCGATCAATTCTCACCTGCACATCCGTAGGTCCCAGTGCGGCGGTGTCCAATACAATTTGCATATGCTTCACCGTCGATGTTACCTGCAACGTGGGGGCATACTACGATGTACTGCTACCCCCAATATCGAATTTCCTTTGGCGCTTACAGATAAACTGTGAAACTATGGATAATGATATTGTTCGCCCGGTGCCAGGGGAACGGAAAGGGAAATAGGGCACTATGCTTACATACACCTCACCGGCGACCCTGAGGACTTATTTCGGAATGCCTCGGTTACCTCCCTTGTCAGAATTCCTTTGGGTGCATATTCGCCCGCATTAATAATTTTATCTGAAAGATTTATATATAGAATCGCATATGAATACCGACGGCCTCAATAGGCCAATACGCTATTATTTAACTGAAGACCTAGTCACCTTCGACGACCCCTTGTGTACTGCGGATTCCACGCAGGTACTGATAAAGGCTGAAGTAAGGAGGCGGAAGTGGCCCGGGAGCTTGGGTACTCTGGTATTGCGATAATCATATAATCATGGTAGTCGTCAACCCAACTCATGTGTAAATGACGAGGAGATTTCTCGGAGTCTTTCTTATCCATACGGTTGAGTTATAGACTAAGAAGTTGTAATTGATGTAGGGGATATATATATGCCCACGATCCCATTTACCCCTTTCCTGCGAGAAGTTCGTGGCACGCTACCTAGGTAGTCGCTGATGACATCTCTATCAGATAAAGCTTATCTAGAAGGAGGTCATGTGTAGCCACGTCGTGGGTGATTATGGTTAGGCAGATGCCTGAGCGGCGATGGTATCCTACCGCTCACTTACTACGTAGATTGCATCATGTGGTAATAAGGTCATGTGGCCATAATTTAAGGCTCGTTAACTGCTGTAGACTATTGTGTGCTGGTTCTAGGCAGTGAACATGGGGACTAATACTGCGTCGTGTTTCTAGAAGGTATATTGTGACCATGAGCTTCGAAGCAGATGTGAAACAATCCCAAGCTGGAAGTTTCTTAGGAAATGGCATTGTTCAGGCCAATCATTGTGGCGAGGATGTCATCTTAAACGGCTTCTTTGTGCAGTGTGTAAAATGTAGAGTATGAAGTACAGATAGAGCCTCAAAAGAGAAGGTATTCACGGTAGGAGAATAAAAAGTAAGACAACACGTTTCCATACAAAATAAAACTTCCATTGCGTTTCTCATGAAGGATCTACAACGAATAATCTAGACTACTTGCTGGAATAATGGGTGTAAGGTTGAATTAGTACACGATGTTTTACAAACATGACTGCAAATTGTAGATACCTTTAAAAAAACATTTCACCACCACACGAAAAAGCGGATTGTCTATTAAAGTTGACTGTTGCAATTCAACAAAAAATAAACTGACAAAATTAAATTTGTGTACCAATTATCGAAGGCAGAAAACAGGTAGGCTTTTTTTTCTTCCCACAACTCGACGCCCACCATTTTATCTGGTAGCCTGTCTTCTGACACATCCACACATCACTTCCATCCAACTCCTGACTACCTTCTCTTCATCGCTTCCTTCACTTTTATTTCCCAAATCGAAAGTAATTACTTCATAACTAGCAGTACTCACTTGCCTGGTATTTTCCCAGTCTACTCCGTTTGACTGATTGTACCTTCTTTTTTTTCTTTAAGTCGTCTTTGAAAACCACCAATCGTCTTCGTCCCCCTTTACCTTCCTCTGAATCATTTCCTTCACCTTTAGATAACTGGTGACAACCCTTCTCAATACTTTAATCGATTCACTTTATCGTACAGTTGATAAAATCATTGAGATTCGAATTAAAATAATCCTCATCCGATTTTCTCAATTTTCCGAACCTTCTCGATTTCGAATTCCTCTTCACCCTGGTAATTTCATCAGATACCGAAAAAGGCAACCAATACCAACATCAGCCAGAGAAGACAATACTCACCCATACTCACGATAACCAGTACCCAACAAAAATTCAAACCCATCACCTCACGACTGGCGACGCTCAGAACCTCGAAAATAATCAGCAGCCACTGACCATCAATTCGCAGTGACTCAAACCAATATATCAAACTCAAAATTCGACGATAATCAACTGTCGATCGTTAGCGAATACCAAATCAACCAACACCCGAGTGTCATCAGCCAAACCATTGAACTTACTTTACACGTCGACCTTCCATAAAAAGGATCCCAAGTAACCATCACTCATCAACTAGGAATCAATCAATCCCAAGTAACCACTCTCTATTAATCAGACATCGATTAATCCCGAGTAACTCTCAACCACCACATCGGATAACAACCAGTAACCATCAATCAATTAATCACCATCATCCAAAATGTCTCGCCGTCGTCAACACGCAACCATCCCCCCCACCCCCCGACCCAACCCACGCTTCGCGCCGAAGCCAATCTGGACCCAACCGCGGGAAGTCTACATCCCAGGCTGGAGCGACACCCGCCCAACCCCACCCCCGGAATTCCCCTTCGGTCTACCGCGCGAACTAGAAGCGCGTCTCGAACTCGAAGCCGCCGCCGAACGCGCCTTCCAAGCGCGTATGTCCTACCTCGCCAACTCCCCCGGCGCTCCTCCCTCCCCACCCCCAGCCCCCGGCGCCGTGATCCGGAAATCCTTCGTCCGGGGATGGGTCCCACCACTCCCCCCTCCCCCACCCACAAAATTCGTCGTCCTGCTACTAGCCATCACCGCCCTAATCCAATCCTGGAAAACGTGGTACGCCGAAAAGAAAGCCCTCGTGGTGCAACGATACAAACACGAGGCTTTTATGCTCGAGCGCCGATGGTGGCTCGCCTTAACCGCATACCGACAATCCGTATGGCTTTTGTACTTCCGCCTCTTGCGCAAGATCCTATTCTGGACACTTGTGGCGGTGGTGGTAGCTTGGTTGGCGAAGCTTAAGATGGACGAGCGCGAGGAGTGGCTCGAGCAGCAGAAGTACGTGTACAAGGAACCCTCGTGGGTTCTTTACCCCGAGCCTGCCGTCTGGTCGGTGGCGAAGCCGCGATGTGATTGTGAGTGTGATTGCACGGCCGTGTGTCCTTAGGGTACTAGAGTGAGTGAGCGAGCAAAAGAAAAGAAAGGGGAGTTAGTTCATATGATGAATTGGGAAAAATCTGGAGTTAGGAGACCGGAAAAGTTTGAGCTTGTACTACAATTTGATTTCTGTAAGAAGTGTCAGGAAAAATATGGAGCTGGACAGGAAAAAGGAGGGCGGCGTTACAGGTTTACTGGCTGACTATTGAACTGGTCAACACACATTCTGGGGTTTAGCTAGATGACTTCTTGTCAGTAATTTTCAGCCCCTTTGAGTACAAAACCGTCACAGGTTAGCAGTAGCATAAAATCAATTGAGTCTTTTAAAATCAGGAAAAAATGCAATTCTCCATTGGAAAGTGTGAGCGCGAGGGAGGAAAACGAAAACATCAGAAATGCATGCAATAGTGACAAACCCGACCCCCCGGCTCTATATTTCGCAACACCTCCCTTAATTTCATTATAACACAATCCGGGGTTACATCCCTGGAAACGTTAGTACATTCTATCAGACCAGTGTCTATACCTAGCGTCCTTAGATACCCAAGCTGAATTCGACACCAACGTCAATGTCCCTTGCTAGATGGTTGTTAGCTATATCTTATACCAATTCATTAGAATATGGGTCACATACCCATCTTTACAACCTTAGAGAGTTGTACTGACTTCTCCGCGGCGCTTTGGAGGTCGTCGATGGAGAAAATCTTCATTCCCGAATCGTTGATCAATTGGTGGGCTTGCTCCATGTTCGTTCCTTGTAGTCGAGCAATGATGGGGACCTTGAGATTGAGGGTCTTGACGGTGTTGATAAGACCGTGGGCAATAGCATCGCATCGTACGATACCACCGAAGATGTTAACGAAGATAGCTGTAACCTTAGAATCGCTGGTGATGAGCTCGAAAGCCTCCTTGATAGCAGCAGGGGTAGCACCACCACCAACGTCAAGGAAGTTAGCGGGTTGGCCACCGTTTAGCTTGATGATGTCCATGGTAGCCATGGCAAGACCAGCACCGTTGACAAGGCAGCCAATATCACCGTCTAACTTGATGAAGTTAAGACCAGACTCAGCAGCACGGACTTCCTCGGGGTCTTCTTGCGTGGTATCGCGCCACGAGAAGACTTCCTTCTGTCGGTAGTCGGCGTTGTCGTCGAATCCGAATTTGGCGTCCATGCACATTACCTGGTGGTCAGAAGTCTCGGAAAGAGGGTTGATCTCAATTTGAGTGGCATCCTTCTCAAGGAAGATCTGGTACAGCTTCTGGATGGTGTCCTTGGCCTCCTCAATGCACTGCTCACTGAAACCAAGCTTAGTCGCAATATCCCGAGCGATCTCGTCAGTTACACCGGTCTTGATGTCGATGTAGGCAGTGTTGATAGCTTCGGGGTTCTCCTTAGCGACGGTCTCAATATCCATACCACCTTGGGAAGAGGAGACGATAACGGGGCCCTGGGAGGCTCGGTCCATCAGGATAGCAAGGTAAAACTCTCGGCGGGCGAACTTGCGCTCGCAGATGTAGACAGAGTTGCAGAGGCGGCCAGCCGCACCAGTCTGCTTGGTAATGAGCTTGTGGCCGATCATCTGGTCGGCAAACATCTTGGCCTCGGTTGGAGAGTAGATGACACGGACACCTCCCTTCAGGCCATTGTCGAAGCTACCCTTTCCTCGTCCACCAGCTAGCACTTGAGCCTTGATAACCATATCTTCACCGCCAATCTCCTTCGCAACCTTCTCGGCCTCGGAAGCGGACTTGGCGTTGAAGCCCTTCGGTACACCAATGCCATACTAAAAGTGCATATATATGTTAGGTCGGATCAGGAATCTAGGGGTGAGCGATAAATCCTACCTGTCGCAGAAGGTCGGCTGAGAGATATTCGTGAATGCTCAGGTTTCTTCGCTGTTGTTGGGCGACACCGGGGAATCTGATAGCGGGGGAGAATGCAGTCTAGCATAAAGAGATATCGTATTAGTATATGCTACTCCAGTAAAGTGACATAGTTTGGTGGAGAGCGGATATCAATCATTTAGGCCAACTTACCTTTGAAGACCGCAGGGCGGAGGCCGCAGCACGGCTGCGAGCAAAATTAAACATTCTGTCAAAGGGGAGGTCTGAGCCTTCAATTGACTTTTTCCGTAGCTCAGAAAGAATAGAGCGCCACCAGAGGCCCAATAGAATGGATGAAAACGAGGTGTTTTTTTTGCCGTTTAGCTGTGATGCTATCGTCAAAATCTAAGAAAACAACTGGCTCCGGCCGTTAGGGAGAGCTCTTTTCCGGTAGAAACGGGAAAATCCGGTCACCAATCTTGCAGGGGTTCCACTTTTTTGCCCGGTGAGCTGCGACGTGTAGATGATACTTGTGCATGACCTCAGCGAGCATGTGCAACACGGAATAGATATTCTCCGTTTTGCCGTTATTATCTTCACCATTTTTGACCGTATGCAAATTCTGATTACACGGTAAGATTTACGGTGTAGCTATCTTATCGGTTCATCCCTGTACCTTTTTCTTTCCCAATACATGTACCAAGCTACCTAGGTATGCCTCAACTTTTACCTGTGTGATGCTATCAACACAAACGATGGCAGCATACAGCACAAAAATCATGATTTGGCGATAGCATTAACTTGCATTAACTTGCTAGCTAATGCTTCTTTACATTCACAAAACACGACAGGCTCAATCGCAAAACTACAACCATGGCACCACCAACCAAATCCTCCACCTCCGCCATCAAAGGCGTCAACCCAGCGCCCGACTTCACCCTCGCCATGAACCGGATCCAGACCCAATTCGAAGCGCGAACCAAACTCCTACGTAACGCGCTCCCAAAACCGCGTCCCGACTCCCAAATCCAAACCAACTCTTCTTCCACCACGAAATCCTTCTCCGCCCTCAGCGCCAACACACCCTCCTCCACCACCCAACCACAATCGCGCTCCTCATCTACAACAGCAGAAGCCCACCGTCGTGCGCAAGAAGCCGAATTCGCCGAAGACCGCAACCTCGACCCGAACGCCGGTTTAGGTCTCTTCCCTCGCGTTTCCGCTGCCGAGAGCGGAAGAAACGGGGAAACAGCTAAGTTGCGCAGACGGCTGTTAGGCAAACGCGGAAGAGCCGGCGATGATACGGGGCAGTACAAACGCGCGCGCAAAGAAGAAAGCAGTGAAGACGAGGAAGCGGGGCGGAGCGGACTCGGAAGAGCTAAGAGGAACACAAACGGGAGGAAAAGAGCTAGAGCGGAAGTTAGCAATAGGGATGAGGAGCAAAAGGGAGATGACAATTCTGTAAAAAGCGTTGCGCCGCCTGAGGTTACGATGACTAGCGCAGAAGAAACCGCAGATCACGGCGACGCCGACGATAGCCTCGCAGGTGGCTTAGACACCCCACCCTCAAAACCCCCCGGCGACGCCGAATCAAATGCAACTACCACCGAAGAAAAACCAAAAAGGAAGCGAAAGAAGAAAAAGAAGAAGCCAAAGACCAAAACAGACGGGGATTAACGGCACTAAGATCGCGACCTATGCCGCCATATCGTACTAATTCATGTACAATGACGGGTCTTCAGAGTCGGGGCCATTTTCTGCGCATAGCCCATTTAGGCACGAGACAAGTAAAATGATAGATCATACAAGAAATTAAGCTTAATTGGGCTCGAGCTATGATACCTCGATCCCTACGTTGCGCGAACTAACAAAGTCCTTCGCTTTCGAAAATTAGCTACTTTGAATGAAGATGATAAGAATACATGATTAGTGACATCGCGGAACCTAGTTGCGCGTGTTGATTTGAAGTTGTTGAATGATATTTCCCGCTTAGTTTCACAATGAAGTCAGTCCCCTTTCCAAACCGGCAACAAGCTCGTGTTTTCCGTATTGTACATATCCGTGGTAGACAGGTCAGTTCAGAAGTCCATTCATCATCCTCACCGCCGCCTCGAATCTCGAAGAAGAAGAAGAAAAATAAAGAAAGGGTTTGAAGTACAATGATTGGCTTGTCTCTTACCAACAACAACTACCGCCGTCACCGCCGGTGCATCCCTCCATAAAAAGTATTCCAAGTAACCGATGCTTTTTGGTATTTTGGTAACAAGAAAATAAGAAGCGAATATTCAGACGAGTATAACAAGAAAATTGAAGTGATTTATGAATAGTAGTAACATAGGAAATTCGTCAGATGCGTAATCAGTATGTCGTATAACATGGCTATGGCGTGTCGTCTGCTGAATCCTAAGAGACTCGTGTATTCCGCATCATTCGTTCTATACAAAAAAAGCAAAGGCCCTCCGCACGTGGTATAATATGCGACAACGCTTTCACGACGCCAAATGTAGTTGGTAGGGAATTCATGAACCTGGACTGTAGATTATTGCATCCGCTTGCGCTTCCGATCGTCATCCCCTCGAGGATCGTCTTCATCATCTCGCTCTACTGTGTCGGTAGGATTTAGAATGTGTGCCATACTTCCTCGTCGGGTCGGAGGTGCAGACATGTCTTTGATCGCAAGGTTCTTGTTCTCCCGGCCGGCTGAACCCCAGGACCAATTATTTAAACTTTCCAAGCCATTTCCAATATTGCCATTTGAGAAGGGAACTGGAGGGGTGGTAGGGCGCGATAGAGAGTAGTGTGGGAGCTCCCGAGTTCGTTGCTCTTCTTGAGGTTGAGGAATTCGACTAGGGGAAGATGGCCAGTGGGAGGAAGGAGGACCGGAAGCGACATATGGCGGTTGCGGGTGGGGTTGGCTCCATCCAGAAGCTCGAATGTCGGCTGAGGTGTGCCGCCTTGGCAAACCAGTTGGTGGTGGCTCGACGGTCGCAAGTGGATGGGGTCCGGCCGGTGGCGGTGGCGCTTGGGATCGAAGAGGAGAGGGCGATGATTGAGTTGTGCTCCCGCTGATCGACCCATACGACCTACGTGAGGTGATCGAAAGATTAGAAGGGACTGGCGGCCGATAGTAGTTTGTTCGAGATTGGTGTACCCCTAGCCTGCGTTGATCGTCCTGAGCTAGCTGCCGTGGAGATACAGGGGGGTTGTCAAGATTCGCAAAAAGTTGACGGCTATTCGGGAAGGGTGGCTCGTGCGGTTCGTCAATAGACCGCACAAGTTCGGATTGGCGTTGAATTTCCCCTTGCAGCGCAAGGACTGCAGCCACATTAGACTCCCAGGAGACCCCTGAATTATGCAGAAAGCGAAACTTACCATCTCTATGGATAGGACTATCGGGTGGAACCAAGTTTAAAACCGTCCTGGATAAGTCGTGGTTTACCTGAAGCAGGCGGTTCATAGCGTCCGATATTGCTTGTTGCTTTACGTTCATGTAATGAGAATTCTCCTCACTACGTTGCAGCCTAGATTGAAGGTCATACAAGGTCTGCTCAATACCTCCAAGTCTCGGATCCGAACCATCGTGAATAGGTGGCATGGGTTCCGCTGGGGTGCCGGGTTGTGACGGGGTTGGCTTCTGGTTATTGTACTCTCGGTGTACCAATGCATGACGAGACGCCCGCCGTTTAATCTCACGCAAGCCAACCAAGTCACCCCTCTTGAAGTTCCCGTTGCCATGTTTGAATTCCCACAGCGCAGTTTCCGGGGAACCTGTATGAAATACATCGCTAACTGTATATTCATTTAGTAAGGGGGGTTTTTTTTGGCAATAGTTGATGGTTTCACGCATACCTTTATGAAATCCGTACATATTCAACTGTCTAACGAAGGATGAGATATTCGTGTGTTTGAAATATTGGCTATTACCCAATTAGTCTCATTGGCTAGTATTATGGAACCAAGAGCATACGCAAGAACTTTGGAGAAATCATGTGAAGGCGACATAACGAAACTCTCTGCAGAGCTCGACCAACTGATTAGGTGCTGTATATTTGGATCTTCCAACATGCTACAGTGAGGTTAGCCACTACATATATATATAGCGCATATGGAGATTTTGAGCGCAACACGTACTTGTAAAGTTTATGAATAAATGCGGTTTGAACTATTTTTGGCTGGTGAACAGCAGCAGCAGCCGGCGCAGGCATTGTGGTTGTGGTGGGGTTCGAATTCTGGTCTCCCGAGAGCGCAGTATTTTGGCGATCGTTGGAATCGCTACCTTCTCCTTCGGAACTCTTGCGTGCGCTTTGCGGAGCCGAGGAATTGGTGGGAGTAGTAATCTCCATTGGTTCACCCGATGGTGAAGGTGCCGACATTTTTATGGTCGGGGTCGGCGTAGCTGAGGTAATGATTGGAACCGTACGCGCGCCCATGCTCTCGTCCGCCTTGTTACAGGGTGTGTGTCGCAGCGCACTTTCAGTCGCAACGTCCATCTAGTCTAAAGAAAGTAGAGACAAATATGAGTTAGCTAGTAAGACCTAAAACGAAACAGTCGACACAGATATCAAAGAGGAAACACAAGATTCCGCGCGGCGGGAGGAGGACCGAGCGGAATTTCTAGAAAGTGCGAAAAAAAGACGAGAAAAAGGGTAGACGAACTGCATTGCTTCTATTTGGTAGCCGTGCACGATTTAGGGGGAATCTGAAGTTTCTCGTTTCTAGTCTGAGTTCGGGGTTGAGATCGTGCTGCTGGCATCCGAACATCTGACATGGGGTCCGTTCGGTCTAATTGTCGCGGTAGTCAGCCTTGCAGGTGCGAAGGTTGAGCTAACTGCGTCTCGCCGCCGTTTATTTCCTCTTGTCGATGGTGGGGGAAGAAAAAGGCAACACGGAAAATGGAGTGTCAAAGTACAGCCTGGTAATTTGGTTGTTCCGGCCAAGATTGAAGGGGGGGTGCGTCCAAGTGGGAACTGGGGCCGGACGGAGATGTATATGTATATAAAAATGTGGAAGATGGATGTTGTATGCTTGTTAGCAAAGGCCGGCAGTAATTGTGGATCTCAAAAAAAAAAAAAAGAAGTAAAGGGTCAGATATTCTTTTCCAAATATGTAACGTGCATGGAGAGTGCGTGAGAGAGAGCGTGTGATGTATATAAGTAGTAGGTATTTTATGTATTATGTATTATGTATGGACGTATGTAGGAAAACGTAGGTGTAGGCTAGGTACGTTATGTAGGTAGGTAGATGATGTAGATACGTATACGACAAAGCTTCCAAAGTTGAAGTGAAATGAACGAGTGAAATGAAGTGAAGAAGTGTGTGTGGTGGCTCGGGTGGTAGGCTAGAAGGTACATAGTGAGGTAGTATGCAATGTACGTAGTTGCAAATGGAAGGTAGGTGTGGTCCCCCGTTGTGGTCCTTTGGCGACCTCGGGAACAGGGACTAATGTAGGTTCAGCCCAGACCCGGCGATGCCCTGGTCTCTCTATGTGGCGCGGGGGGGAAGAAATATGAAAAATATACTTAAAGGTACTCACTATAAGTAGACTAGCCCAGGTCAAAGTACTACCTACCTAGGTAATCAGACAAGGAAGGATCGGGAGTTTCAACGGAACGACTTTGAGATTAATAGATTAATAACATGCATATATACTGTACAAATATATACATATACATGCACTTATATATATATAAATATACATCGCGAACCTAAGGAATAGTTATAGGTACATATATGAAAAATAAAAGAAGACATACCTGTCTGTCGCCAAGGAATATGTTGTACAATGTAACTTTACCAATGGCGATCTAGCAAATGCTGACGCAAAGGAGGCGCATTGCATACATAGTCTATTCTCAAGTCATATTATGTTAGCTCCATCTTGTAATAGAAGTCTGCAGCATAAGAGATGGTGGTAACTGGTTCGTCAATGTATGTACATACTTAAGTACACAGCCAGGTAGTATAGATGTATTAGATGTGAGTAAGAGATGGATGACCATGGCAGATGATGGGGAGCGACATGTCTCTTGCCCCTCCGAAGATGGCCAGATGGACCACATGTACACACAAGTTGGATGGATCAATGTTCCTCTAGAATAACATAGCTCTGTGTATGTTGTATGTACACATGTTGTCCCCTGGTTCTGCATTTGGGGGTTTGCTGGATCCAGGATCCTTCAATTCCCATGTCTTGGCCCGTTAGACTAGCTAGGTAAAACTAATACCATAGTAGGTTAAAAAGATAGGGGGAAACCCTGACCTGGCAGCATACTATTATCTGTATAATTCTCACTCGGGACTTCGGACTGTTGATCTGAAGTAAAAGAGGGAGCTATGTAGATAATAGGTATCGACCGTCCGTGAGCCATCGGAGAAGATCAAATACGACTGATGGGGAAATTTTTGATCGTGCCAACATACCTAGGTAGCGGACATTAGACTTAGCCCGTTGCACTGCTTCTAGACTTCTAGAATGGTTTAAACGTTGAGCGGGGAGTAAGAATTGTTGATAGTCAAAGAATAAAGAAACTACCTAGGGCAAGTCCTGTACGCTACTTATTGTTTAGTAGGTGGGTTAGGGACCTAGGTAGGAGAAGATGTTCGAGCAATAGACACAATTAGCTTCCTTAGCAAACAAACAAAAAGGAAGTTGTATCCCTAGGATAGATAATAAAGTAACATATTTGCGAGACGAGCGGTGTCTGAAAAATGCCAAGAAAAAAACGTTATTGGCTTTTTGAGGTTAATAATCCTGAAGATAGAATTGCACCGAGGCAGAGGTTCAACGGATTGATGTTCTTGAATTAAAGTGAAGAGGTTGGAAATTTTATTGGAACGATTTTGACATGTACATGCATCCATGTATGTACAATGCAAGTCGGTACTTCCATTGTCTGTACGCAAGTCCCCCTAATTCTAAAGCTACTTACGCTTAGCTTGCGCTAAAGAGAATTATCGTTCGACTAGAATCCACTTAGAACCTAAGTCTCCGAAGCTATTAGCACTAGGAAGGTACATTCAGGATAGGGTATCGTGGTACAGACCAAACCCTGACAGGTAAACCGCCGGGTTCAGGGTGCGCTAGATGGCTCAAGCGGTCGGTATCTAGACCACGGACCGCAAGGAAGGAGCCAACATCCGAGTGTTATTACTTACATGCGGCACTGGGAAATTCAATTATTACCTGTAAAAAGGTACCTAACTCGCAGTATCTTAGGCTATTATCAGGTGGTTTAGATCTCAGATCAGATCAGATGGGAGGGCTAGGCAAAACCTTAGTCCTACCCCCGGCATCTTTTTTTTTTCTTCTCTTCCTTTTTTTCCTTTCTCAATTTGATTCAATTGAATCCTTCTACATAATACCTACATTAACACATATGCATACTACCTTCAACATATGCATTACATACACTGATATTTCGGGATGTCGACTATTGTGTGATCAACCTACACACCGTATCATCAATCCTGTCCAATGACGACATATAATTAGTCGACGTTCTATTGTAGAAGATGCCCTCTGCATAGGTACGGAACCGTCTCGAAGGAAAATAAAAGATAATCCTCGTCTATATCCTATAATATGCTTCAACCAAAATATTCCACGCTAATAGCGGATCGCGCACGGCTAGGCTTACGTGTTGCTACTGATATTCCTGGGTACCTAGGTAGTAAAACCTGCCTTACTCATCCGTCATTTAATACGGGCTTACCCCTGACTCGTGTGCAACTGCAGGCCTCTCTTGTTGTACCTCTTTCTAACCCAACAGGGCCAGCCAACTATCTACACATGTACCTCTCTCTTCTTACCTCACAACAACACATGCATACATAATATAGGTAACATAACTTATATATATCCTACTTGCATGGAATGGACCAAGGATCACTTACAATTTCAGGTTTTCGGTACTTTATCCTCGTGACCTGGCACGTACGTGCATTCGTCCAATTACAGCAAAGCTATGGGGCACTCACGCTTTCCAAAACATGAACCAGAACAACCCAGTTTGGGGGGTACCTAGGTAACACGCCACCAGCTGTGTACTTGAAGATATCAGCTCCTTCAACACTATCGCGGACTTATGGTCAATTCACTCTTTTGATTGGCAGCTTTTTTAAATTCCTTCAGCTACACCAATCTTCGTATCTGGAAAGAGTGTCGCTGAAGAAATATCACCGAGCCATTCGCGAGTTCTCATTAGCAGTACGGCTCAGCCTTTTTTAACAGGGGTCTACCCAGTCTCTCAGTCTCAGAACATATCTTTTTGAAGCTCATTTGAGCGGCAGAAGATGACGGACCCTATCAGCTACCATCGGCCGGCTCCCAACTAACATATTTAAAACCCAGTTATTTCTAAAAAGACCTTGCTTATCATCCAGTTTAGCCCAGCTGAAGCATCGACCCCATGTTTCATCGACCCCTTTTTGGCGAACCCATTGCAAACTTATCCTGATCACTCAACTCCAAATCTTGCATGGGCTGTACAATATGTACCTACAATACCTGGGTACCTATGCCAGGCAGTATGCGGACCGCGAATAGCCCGGGACCATCTAAAAGCTAGCTGGCTGCTTAGAAACGCCCTATGGAGTAATACACGATGATCATTGGTGCCATTTGCAGAAATACGTCGATCTGACAACAGACAGCCGTTCGGAAGTTTTAGCACAGCGGGGATCACGAACTGCTGAAGCCATTGAGGTTTGGTATGGTGTCAATTTTCCTCGACGCACTAATACTAACGAACCTATGAATGAGCATCATTCGGTGTTCGACGTTCGATGTTTCTACTCCGGATCTTCTACCCGCTTCTTCCTATTCCTAAATTATTCCACAAAATACGAACATCGAAACCTTGTAGCTCATCACACAGTCGCAATCAGTAAACCCACGTTTGTTGGCCTCCAATGTCCAATGTTTCTCCGGTCGACCCCAATCCGCCCCCCAAGTTAGACGGTTGCATTGCCTGGACACGCCACACTCTCAGTTCTCTACTTTGGATCCCTTTGGGTTAGCACGTTGTTCGGGTGTCTCGGTTAACTAGTTCCGTGACACTGCAGAACATACTGACGCAAGTTTATTTTATTTATAGCAGACCCTTTTATTCCGGCTTCTTCTCCATCCGTACCTAGGTATTGACATGCAACTTAGATTTTTGACGATAGCGTCATATGCGCTGATGCACTCTCGTGCGCGAGATGAATCATATTTCATATCGACAAAGTCGATACCCGAATAATTAGGATTGTTTGTTTTCATTCGTTGATTCGACTACTTTCCCCAGGTCGACGCGCTCCTACGCATTTTAGGGCAATAAATCAACGCAGAACAGAAGCATGCAGGCTTAAATCCTGATCCTATTTTTTTCCATGCTACCTATCGCGCTGCATCTGTTGATTTAGTCTTGCGCATTCATGTGCATTACCGTTAGTATGCATATCTAGCACCTCCCAAGTAGGTAATCATTCTGCGCCAAAACAGCTTACAACGACAGGAGAGGCTATGTGCCTGCGTTAGCATGAAAAAAAAAATCAATGATGATACGTTATTGCGCCTCCCAAGATATCCCTTTTCTGCTGAGAAGGCCAGTTGATTACTCTTTGAGGGCTGTTAAGAAATGCGATACTTCCTCGAACGACCAATCAGACGAGCTTCATGTCTCGCCGCAGTAATACACCCTTATTCTTCAATGGAAATGGTATCCACTTTGGCTTGGAGTCCATTGCTTTTCATCTACAGCTGCTATAATTATCCAGCTAAAACTTTCCTAGTCTGTATATACTGATGCGACAAATGATCCCACTGTCAATCATTCTACCTCCGAGGAGTAGAGGAGTAGGTATGTAGCACACGAGGGATCCGTACAGATACCCTGATAGTTAACCCCGAAGGGCGAGTATGCGCGTTTTACGCCTAATGTTACAATGCGAGGGATCTTAACGCAGGTACTCGACGTTTCACGACCTAATAACTTCGCGAGAACATCATGGGAACAAGTATAGACGTTGGGGGTTACAGAAACGCAATGCGACCGCAGATTCGATGTCTATCTAGACTTGTTGGTGGGGAAATAAATCCTTCCGCAGCTACATCTCGAATACAAATGGACCAATTTGCTACACCAAAGTCTCACCCGTCAACGTAGCAACAAAGGAGCAGCCTTGCATGAGGCTATCTATACTGTTACGGCAGTGAAATTATATCTCTCCGCAACGCAGATGTTTCGAAGGAGTTTTTTGTAGGCTATCTTCGACTTTGGAAGATTGCATTATTACATCGACATGGATCATGCCGAACCGAATCAATATTGGCATCTTCAACCAAACTGCCAACAAGCCATCCTCCTTGCGGGGCTCCCATGATGAGCATGAGGCAAATCCCGAAAGAACACACAGTATGTTCTACAAATCTAACATACTGACTGTCCCGAATATCAGAATCGGCAGCCTATATTCATTATTAGATACGTCTGCCATCATCACGATTTACGATATTTCCCGAAGATCACAAGACTCGAGACCTATTGGGCTTCACACCTAATGATGTTACATCCAACCCCCAATTCACCTCACCAGAGAATTTCGACATGACTCGTGCCCACCCAACAGGACGCTGAACCATATATGGCAATAGATGGTCGGTATTATTAACAAGTCGTCGCCTAACCCCACGGTTCGCGGCTCGCCAACGAATTGCTACCTAGTTAAGATTGCCGGTTACATTTTGCCGCGACTCGAAAGAGTCGGTAACGCCCACGTTTCCAGGTTATCCCACATTTGTGGCCGTGCATATGCGGTATAGCGGCTATAGGCACGGCAATTGCGCGAATGAGACGCGCGGACACATCTTCGGGGACGCATCCGTTGCATGATGTTGTACTCTACTTTTGTTTCAACATCCGCGACGATCCAGTCCACTGGTTAATCATACGACGCACCGACGCGGTTATTTACGCACCCTTCCACAGACCTTGCTGAACAATTGCTACCGAACCAAGTTACACAAGTCGCAGCGCCATCGTCTCGGTCTTGAACAAAACTTGAAATTGAAGTTGGACGGTGAGCTACCATGGGCTAATTTCTACGTCATAATTTATATCGGTAGGGAATAGATGAGATATTCACCCCGGAATGTAACGCCGCCGCCAACAAATAAGAAGTGTCGTGCAAAATGGTTGGGCGAAGTACATAGGCTGAGGCTGAGATATATACGTTCTATTAGTCAATATTAAAATTACTCGCGACCAATTGTTAGGCTTCTTATTACATCCCGCCTGACCGGTTCGCCTTACAAAGGGCAAAGGGCTGTTCTTCAGCAGACCTTCTCCACACCATGTCGTGGACCTCAGCGGCTGCGGCCCACCCTTCCAACATCAGAATTAGGATATCTTCAATAGATAAGAGTATCGAATCAATAATCACCTGCTTCTCCAGAGCATTTTATGCAAGGGCTCCAACGCCCCAAACTTGGGTAGAGCTTCGATTGGTGGCAGTGTTCTATTACCTATAATAACAGGTCTATCAGTTGGTCTATGTTCTCTGCGCGTGTTAAATTCCCCTTAGATTGTGCCGTTGCATCTTCTACGAGGCAGCCTTCGTAAATTTCCTTGGGGCGTTCTGTAGTTACATCGGTGATGACTTGGGTTGCTATATGGCCCAAGTACTTATTTGTGCTACATGAATGCTTTAATCTGAGACTAGCTTCAGGTCCAACTGCTTTTACCCCTGGCCAACAAGAAATATGCCCGTTATAGCCACGAGCTTGTGGCCGCATTTAAATATGTCCAAAAACGTCAATATTCGCTAGGGTTGAAGAGATATCAAGCAGTCACACGGCTTAAAGAAGATGTCAACTTGTTAACTCGATACATATGCTATCGCACTACTACGCTCGAGTGGCATAGCTACGGTCTTGTAAATATAGCTTCAATCTCCAGTTCGTGTGGGAATGTACTGCTTCGGTACCGATGCTAAAGAATCCACGGAAATCTTTGGCTCTAACGATTACAAAGCAATATGAAAAGTGTAGTTTCAATATATAAAATGCTACCCACCCCGTTGCCGTCGGTTTCATCCCTTGCGTCTACCCGGCGAGGCTGTCGTAGAATTCAATAGAAGGGTGAAGCCAATCCTAGTGCGAACCATTTGCCTCGTTGCCCGCCTAGGCGGCCTGCATAGAGGATATTGGCATACGAGAAGGATTAGAGATACTAATGCCAAGAAGCCCCTTTTTCATGAAGTCTACACCAATATACCTGTATCAGAGCGTCGAGTCTAGTTAGCAATGTACACCTCAAGGGTTTTTGTTTTTTTCCGTCGCTGGGTGGTTAGAAATGTCGATGTGATGTAGGACAAGGACTCAGGAGTCGGGCGAGACAAAAAGGACATTTTACGCAACAATTCTAGACAAACCTAGGATACGATTGTACTTATTGCGACATCCGCTGTGATTAGGTACTCTGGGATTAAGAATATAGTGGTAAACTATTCCCGGGCTTCTCTTTCTCACTCATTAGCCGTCTCCATTCCCGGCGTTGGCCTCAACCGATGGTACTGCTACATACAGCGCCCCGAGCCTTGCCGTCAACATTGCAGAAATAGGCAATTTGCAACACTGAAGTCCCCGGAGTAGCCTCCGAATTTGATCGCCCCATCACAACAACAGGAACAAAACTTTTAAATGCGTAGTGATAATAGGAAAAGGAAGATCTTTATAACTGACTGTTTAATGTACGGTAGTAAATACCTCCCTAGGTAGGTATTAAAGAACTTCTGGGCCGTCCCAGCAGAATCAAACATGTCTACAATAAAATCTTGGAATTTAACGGGATGTCTCATATAGCATATGTCTCGGTTTTGCTGTGTACGGATTCAAAATAGGGGGTTATTGGCCGCTACAATAATTGCTAAGCCAAGTTTTTGTACTTCTTTTGTTTTAAGTAGGAATATTTCCTCGATTTGCCCAACTTCCAGCCATTCTATCCTCATGGGACTTGGAATACTGCAGACGCATTTAATAGGAGGTTTCGGCGTTAAGGCACTTCCTAATGGATTCTCCACCACGGAGGGTTCGGAAAAGCGAGGGATATGTTGGGACTATTTAATCTAATATGCAAAAAAATTACAGGGCATATGCCTGGAATCGACTTGTGCGATTCTCCCAGCCAGCCACTCATATGAGACAGAGGCGTCTTTAGCTGCGTCGTGTAACCGCGGATATGGGATTCCTTCGGGCCTCTGCCATACCGTGCCGGATTTAGACAGTGCGTTCGGACTTTGAGACATCTCATTGTAATTACCATATCTGTTTACTATTATTCAAATATGGAAAAAGTTCTTACTTCTCCACAGATATCATTTTATCTTTCACGGATTGGGAATAAGTGATGGATTGAGGCTGTCGTTGGCGTGGAGAAGGGGCGGGCTAGAGCTACGAATTTATATAATATTCGTATGCAGGCAGCCATGTGACCAAGACATCCAATTCAACACCGACAGAATGTTTGCAATCATTCAAATAATGAACATCCATTGTTGGGTATTTCGTAAACGACACCGAGAGAAAGGACTTCGCAGTTGTTGATTTTCAGGGAATACTATCTACTATACTTACGGTGTTGCTGGCTTATTTTCGGGATAATGATTACAAACGGGCAAAAGGGAAAAAAAGAAAAGTCAATTGGAAAAAGACGGATTGCACAACTAGCGCACGTGTATTTTCTCTAGCCCCCTATCCGACTGGAAGGAAAAGCAAGATAGAGTTTGTCAGCTTTTTGGCTTGACAAAGCAGTTAAGAATGACGTTGAACGTCCCAATCGGACGGGAAAGCGCGGAAGTCTGAACTCTATGGCATCACCACTCCACACTAGACCCACATGAGGCTTGACGCCGCGATTCATCACGTCGAACGCTAACTGGCTGAATCATAGCAATCTTCCATCTTATCGACGATTCTCAGTCCGCTCTTGCCAAACGTGTATCAATATTCTATATAATGTATACATGGGTACAACATAATGCCTGTTTGTTTTCAGTGCCCGAACTCCGAGTCGCATTCTCAGACTCTCCGGGTCCCGACATTGTGTTAGTTAGCTTATCTAGGTAATTAGCTCATTCGTGTATTATTTTATGTATTCACCCGATTACGATTTCTTTATTATTACACGAGCCTAAGGCGTGTAGCAGACGTAATGTATTTTACATTCCTCCTCTTTTTAGAAGCAAGACTTCTACTTCCTACAATGCGAGCTTCATAGTTGTTTGGTACTTTCATTATTTACCTAGGTGAATTGAGTCTGTACGTTGTCTGAGATATCTGCTCGGGGTGTTGTTGAGGCTTCTTTCAGATCAACCTCAAAAATGGAGGGCGACAAACGAACACCGGCAGATACAGACGTCCCTGGTGGATTTCCAGAAACACCATCCTCTTTTTCGGTTCACCGAAGAACACCTAGTCGCGAATTTCCTCTCTCGACCAATCATGAAAGCTCTACGTCAATTACGAGATCAGTAAATGTCATTGGGGGAACATCTTCATCAACTAAGCTTAATACCACAAGTAATGTTTATTCCGATATCAGTGCGAATGCGTCTGCCATTGAGGACATTAGACCGAGCGAAGCTAGTCCCTCCTCTTCTAATGCGGCAACACATACGCAGCCAACTCCAGGCGATATATCATCAGATGAATCCGAGCAGACGGAAGTTGAGCCTCGTTTCGAGCCAATCAAGACAGCCGCTGAGCGCCCGACCATACAGCGCAATCAAAGCTCGGCCAAGAACGAAGATGAATTATTCCGAGCCCTCTCAAGGCGTCGAAGTATGGCTTCTGGCGGCGCCGATCGAGAAGAGAATGATGAAATAGAAAGGCTCATGTCTCGCATGTTCGGCCAAGCTCGTCAGCAGCACAGCGAAGAGGAGAAGACGAGACATGCAGGTGTGATATTTCGCAACTTGACGGTTATGGGCGCTGGTCTTGGCGCGAGTTTGCAACCTACAGTTGGCGACGTATTCATGGGCCTACCAAGGTTCCTGAAGAACTTGATAACCAAAGGACCTAAAGCAGCCACGGGAAAACCACCGGTACGAGAACTCCTCAGCAACTTTAATGGTTGCGTGCGACCGGGAGAAATGCTACTTGTTCTTGGTAGACCTGGATCTGGTTGTTCGACGTTCTTGAAGACCTTCTGTAATCAACGTGCGGGTTATGTGGATGTCTTAGGGGATGTAACATACGGCGGGACGGATGCGAAGCGCATGGCGAAAGATTACAGGGGCGAGATTATTTACAATCCAGAAGATGACTTACATTATGCCACATTGTCTGTCAAGAATACCCTCACCTTCGCTCTTCGAACTCGAACCCCTGGAAAGGAGTCGCGAATGGAAGGAGAAAGCCGAGAGGACTACGTAAGGGAATTTCTCAGAGTGGCCACAAAATTGCTCTGGATTGAGCACACCATGGACACCAAAGTCGGAAACGAATACATTAGGGGAGTTTCCGGCGGAGAGCGCAAGCGTGTCAGTATTGCCGAGGCCCTTATCACTCGGGCCAGTGTTCAAGGGTGGGACAACTCAAGTAAGGGGTTGGATGCATCCACTGCCGTGGAGTATGTCCAATCACTGCGAGCCCTCACGAACATGGCTCAGGTCTCCACCGCCGTTTCGCTATACCAAGCTGGAGAGTCTCTGTACAGTCTTGTCGACAAGGTGTTATTGATCGACAATGGCCAATGTCTTTACTACGGTCCATCCGACCGTGCTAAACAATATTTCCTAGACCTTGGTTTTGACTGCCCGGAACGGTGGACGACTGCCGACTTTCTCACGTCTGTCACTGATCCCCACGAACGGAGTGTCAGATCCGGTTGGGAAGATCGGATTCCCCGATCGGCGCAGGATTTCGCTGAGGTTTACCGGAAAAGCGAGGCCTACCAGCACAACATAAAGGATATCGAAGATTACGAAGCCCACCTGGACGAGCAGAAACGCATTCGAGCTGAGAACACATCGGAAAAGACTAAGAAGAAGAACTATAGCATACCGTTCTACCAACAAGTGATCGCTCTTACTCAACGTCAAGCTCTAGTCATGCTGGGCGACAAGGCATCTCTTTTCGGTAAATGGGGCGGAATTGTATTCCAGGCCTTAATCGTCGGAAGTCTGTTCTACAACCTCCCGGATACAGCTGCGGGCGCCTTCACACGTGGTGGTGTTCTATTCTTCATCCTGATGTTCAATGCGCTGTTGGCTCTTGCAGAACAGACAGCTGCATTCGAGGCCAAACCAATTTTGCTCAAGCACAAGAACTTCTCCTTCTACCGACCTGCTGCCTTTACGTTAGCTCAGACCGTTGTAGATGTACCATTAGTTCTCATCCAAGTGCTGCTGTTCGATCTTATTATCTACTGGATGGCGGGACTCTCTGCCACTCCATCTCAGTTCTTCATCTCGATCTTGATTCTTTGGCTGGTCACAATGACGACTTATGCTTTCTTTCGCGCGATCTCGGCTCTCTTCAAGACCTTGGACGATGCTACAAAAGTTACGGGAGTTGCTATCCAGATCATCATTGTGTACACTGGCTATTTAATTCCCCCAGCCTCAATGCACCCCTGGTTTAGTTGGCTGAGGTGGATCAATTGGCTTCAATACGGATTCGAGAGTCTTATGTCGAACGAATTCTACAGGCTTCAACTCGAATGCGTGTCTCCCTATCTCGTCCCACAGGGTCCAAACTTCTCCACAGAATACCAATCATGCACACTAGCAGGCTCAACCCCCGGTTCGACGACTGTGTTTGGCTCTGACTATATTGAGGCATCCTTCCAATACTCACGCGGTCACCTCTGGAGAAACTTTGGTTTCTTATGGGCTTTCTTCCTTTTCTTCCTTTGCATAGCAATGTTTGGCATGGAGATAATGAAGCCCAACGCAGGAGGAGCTGCCGTGACAGTATTCAAGCGTGGACAAGTACCCAAAACACTCCAGAAAACCATTGAAACTGGTGGCCGCCACGACAGTGGTAGTGACGAAGAGTCTGGACGAAGCGGAGAGAAAATTAGTCCCGCCGAAGAAGCTGCCGAAGCGCAAGAAATGCGAGACGAGGAAGCCATGCAGAGTGTCGCGAAGAACGAAACGGTATTCACATTCCAAAACGTCAATTACACAATACCGTACCAAGGTGGAGAGAGAAAGCTTTTACAGAACGTGCAAGGCTTTGTGAGACCGGGCAAATTGACGGCTCTCATGGGAGCTTCTGGAGCCGGAAAGACAACTTTGCTCAATACTTTGGCCCAGAGGTGAGACTTCAACGAGCTTGTACATGGAACATATACTGACATTCATTCTAGAATCAACTTCGGTGTCGTAACCGGTGACTTCCTTATCGACGGAAGACCCCTTCCCAAGTCATTCCAAAGAGCCACCGGGTTCGCCGAACAGCTCGACATCCACGAACCTACGGCGACCGTACGTGAGGCCCTACAATTTTCCGCGCTCCTCCGCCAACCGAAAGAGGTTCCGACGAAAGAGAAGTATGCCTACTGCGAGACGATTATCGACCTACTTGAGATGCAGGACATTGCCGGCGCGACAATAGGAATAGTTGGTGAAGGTCTCAATGCAGAACAACGAAAGAGGCTTACCATCGGTGTTGAGCTTGCATCTAAGCCCGAACTACTGATGTTCTTGGATGAACCTACTTCTGGTTTAGACTCAGGGGCGGCTTTCAATATCGTCAGATTTCTGCGAAAGTTGGCTGACGCTGGTCAAGCCATCCTTTGCACCATACATCAACCGTCTGCTGTGCTTTTCGAGATTTTTGACGAGTTGATACTACTCAAGTCTGGGGGCAGTGTTGTTTATGCTGGCGAGCTTGGAAAAGACAGCCAAACCATGATTAAATACTTTGAATCGAATAACGGCCCGAAATGTCCTCCAGATGCCAACCCTGCTGAATGGATGCTAGAGGCGATCGGGGCGGGAAACCCAGACTACCATGGTCAAGATTGGGGCGATGTCTGGTTACAGTCCAAAAATTTCCAAGAACAATCCAAAGAAATGGAGCAAATGATTGAGAAACGAAAGAATGTTGAACACTCAAAGAACGTCCAGGATGATCGCGAATATGCCATGCCAATATGGACTCAGACGGCGGCGGTCGTGAAGCGATCTTTCGTCGCTTACTGGCGAACACCCAATTACATAATGGGTAAATTGATCCTGCACATATTTACTGGTCTTTTCAATACCTTCACGTTCTGGCGCTTGGGGAACGGAAGTGTTGATATGCAATCCCGATTGTTCTCCGTTTTCATGAACCTCACCATCGCGCCTCCATTGATTCAGCAACTCCAACCCGTCTTCCTCAACTCGCGAAATATTTTCCAATCTCGAGAAAATAATGCCAAGATCTATTCTTGGTTTGCGTGGACCACAGGGGCCGTGCTAGCGGAAGTTCCTTATGCTCTTGTCGCTGGAGCTATTTACTACAATTGCTGGTGGTGGGGAATTGCCGGCTATCAGATGAAAGGCTTCCCGTCGGGCTTCATCTTCTTGCTAATGATGGTGTTCGAACTGTACTACGTCGGTTTCGGTCAGGCAATTGCGGCTTTCAGTCCCAACCAATTGCTGGCGAGTTTATTCGTCCCATTGTTCTTCCTCTTCGTCGTCTCATTCTGTGGTGTCGTTGTACCGGCTGCGCAACTACCATATTTCTGGCGGTCGTGGATGTATTGGCTCACACCTTTCCATTACCTCCTAGAGGCTTTCTTAGCGACTATTATTCATGACCAACCCGTCCAGTGTAAAGAGAGCGAAATGGCACGCTTTTCTGCCCCGCCGGATCAGACTTGTGAGTCGTATGCGGAAGCCTACATTGGACAGGCTGGTGGATATGTACAAACTGGCGCGGACGGCCTGTGCGAATTTTGCCAGTATGCTACCGGTGACCAGTTTGGGAACCAATTCAGTGTCTACTACAACCACATCTGGCGTAACTTTGGCATTATATGCGCTTTCATCGCGTTCAATTATGCGGTCGTCTACTTCTGCACATACTTGCGGTTCAGAGGCAAAAATCCCATTCGTGGGTTACTGATGAAGGCGAAGCAAAAGAAATAGAGCAAGTAAGGGGTTAAAGAGACACTAGGATGGTTCGATTCGATGTGTCTATATTCGGCCGCGAGGCTATGGTGTAATTATTGGTTTCAGTAATTGACCTTTGGTCCGGAAGGGGGATAGAAGCATGCGAGGAATGCGCTTGGAATATAGGATAGATGCATTTTAGAGTATTCTTTATACCACATAGATTCCAACAGCCTCATGCACTTGGTGACATGATGTGGCCGTAATTTTTTAATTTTGGTTCAATTGGCTAACTCGACCAGTATCTCAGGTATCACGACGCACATAGCTGGATCGCGAACATTACTGGCGAAAAATAAGACTTGACTAAACTTCAGGGGGTATCTTCGAACTAAATCATACGCCATCACCAACCATTCCTCACGCATCGCAACAAAAATCAAATCACCTCCCAACCATCCTCCTCCGAACCCATAATCCTACGACTTATTCTTTCCGCGGACTTCCTTTTTCCGTCCTATTGCTACTGGCATAGTTCTTATCATCAACGCTATTCCTCTCCGCCACAGCAGCCAACCTCAACCGCTCGCGCTCGCGCTCAAATCCCTTCTGCCCATCACTTTCAACACGCGACTGTGCGCATGTTTCTTTATCATGTACACCCCGTGGTATCACGCTGTCGAGTACGAAATCATCTACATAATGCCGCGCAGGGTTCTTCGAAGACGAACTCGTCGAGGACGTAACGCGGACTATTCCAACTCCGACTCCGGATTCACTGTTATCGCGTGCGTGCCGCGCGGGGATGAGCTCGAAGTGGGATGTTGGATTCGGACCTGAGGTTGATGAGTCACCGGAGAGGCGCCGGTGTTGGTGCGTTATGTGGACTTCTTGCGTTACGAAGATGTTGTTTAGGAAGCCTTGGCGTAGGATAGGCCAGAATGTGGGTATGGAGGCGCATATGCTGGCGAGGTCTACTTCGAGGTTGGCGAGGATTATGCTTTTGGGGCCGTACCAGGTTGGGTCTAGGACTGGGTAGGTGCCGGCTTTGTTTTCGACTATGGTTTGCAGACACCATATGCTGATTAGGTTGACGCTGTGGCGTTGTTAGTGGGGAGGGGGTTGGTATAATGAGAGGGTACTTGAACGTACAGGACCCCTAGGAGTAGGAGAAGGCCGATGCCTAGACGCTGCTTCCACGCTGTGTCCTTCCTAAAGTATAAGGGGACGACGATGGCGAGGACCATGGCATCCAATACGACATTAGAGCCGGTGTGGGCCGCGAAAGTACCCGCAATCTCGGCCGGTTCTCTGGACCCGAAGCCATAGCAATGAGCCGGCGAGGCCCAGAACCAGAAGCCGGAAACTGGGAAGCAAGGGAATAATGCGATAAAGGAGAAGGCGACGCCCCAGAAACCCGAGATACCCAATCCGATCCAGCAGATTAGTCTCGCGCGGGAACCGACTTCAAATATGCGCAGGTATTGTGAGAGAAGGCATAGCTTCATCAGGGTTGTTGATACGGTGTATGTTGCTAAACATACGTAGAATTTCTGTGGTGAGTGTTAGTGCCCGGGCGAGTTAACGGAGATTGGTGAGAGTTGCTAACTTTTTGGAATTCGATTATGTTCTCATATCCGATCGTTAAGATATGCTCTCCGAGCCCATTCTTTAACGCTATAGTCGCGGTTAGCTAACTTGAAGTTTTTCATAGGGATATAAGAAATGCCGTACAAAGACATATAGTTATTGAGCCTATTGTTGCTGATATCTATATCGATGGTCAGTCTCATGCGCTTATCGAAAACGAATTTTGGAGTTACCTACTCTGAAGAGTACCACGAACAAATCATCCCAACCTAGACATCGTAACCTTATTCGTGTGTATATTCTGAAGGCCACACATATGGTCGATACGACCTATTGCGAACGAGTTAGCAGGTGTCTTCTCACACAAGAGGTGGACAGCGCTCACCATGAAAGGGATGGTCAAGCCATATACGGTAGATGGGTAGTTGAATGGCGATTTCGGTTCGTGTGAGTTATCGTACGCAGTCATGAGACGGATGAGTTCCGCCGCGCTGCCGGCCGACATTGTCGCGCCGTATATTATCGTCGACACCAGGTCTTTCTGTTTTCTTCCTTCTGTAACGACGGTCTCATGTATCCCTAACCGCCGACGTTTCTTTCTTTTTCCTCCTTCGCTGTTACCGCCTCATTATCACAGCCCAAACTTATCGAGAGCAGTCGCAAACAGACACGCCGAGACTCGGCAGTCCTATCGTTTCCCAGGCTCAACGAGCCTTCCGGGGAGGACCGATTCTTTTTTAAAGTCAAAGGATTCCCACCTTTTCCCTTGCTGTGCCGTGCATACGCGCCACCCCCCAAGTAGCAGGAACCCGGCCTGCAGTCTAGTCCCATCTTGAATCGAAAACCTGGGCCTGGATAGGAGAACGGATGGATTCCCCCATGCGCAGGCATTGATCGTTGTGGTACGAGCTATTGCTAGTCCCCGTTCTCCCTTGTCAGGCCCACCGCCTAAGACATAAATGTTTAGGGAATTTGATACACGATTATGAGTGAGCTATGAGAGGAACCCCTGTCTCGCTGGGGCATATAAATTCGGCACATAAGGAATCGCAATTCTAATCCATGCCGATCTAAACGTGGGAGACTATGGCGAGCACTCTCGGACTTCACGATGGTTAAGATTGGTCGATACGGATCGAAAATTGAGTCTGAATTGTTCAATTACGCAATATGGCAATATGCAGCGGCACAGCATCCTACAGTCCAGACGAGAGCGACCCGGGACAAAGCTATAATCTGACAGTTTGACAGTTATGTATATCTCATGGGTTGCGGTTACTACGCTATTATGGGGTCCAGGCTACTGTTACATCCTCTACAATTGGCTACCGCATCTTCTAAACGTGGGAATACATACCTTGATGAACTCAGCAAGGCTATCTCAACATCTTTTTATGTGTCTGGGTAATCCCCAAGGTTACGCATGATATATTCATATTGTCTACTCTCTTACACCTCGTCTTTATTTTACGGGCCGTGTACAATTCATTATGCTGCCTCTTAATAGGCTACTTAGTAGCCCGAGACCTTAATACGGTGCGTACCTATAAATTTTCTAATAATGTCGCAATATCAAAGCAATGACTCTGTGATCTCTGCTCTAGCCTTGCATTCGTTATGTGGTTAGACGACTCTGCAGATTATGTAATACCACATCCTTTGTGAATGCTACCAGATGTCTGGATCGGTCGAGTGAAAACTGATCAAATCACTTAATCGAGCATCATAAGGCCGTGATATCGTATATCTAATTCCCGATTGAGGCATTGCGTTTCCTCGTGGAGATAATCTCGTCACATTCTTAATGGATATCAAAGGTTATAATAAGGTAAGTTCCGATTCCATATTAACACCAAAAACTTGAGCCATGGGACGTCACTAAGACGTTTTTGAAGTTGACGACGACATTATCGACTTTATCCGCGTTCCCAACCTTCTCATTCACACATTCAGACAAGTCTGCCAAGGTTCCCTAAGGCGGGGGGCCCTGTTCAACAGGCTATCGCCATGCGTACACAAAATAAACCCCTGTACCAACCCTTGATCAGTATAATCCACGTGGGGGAACTTTTAGCACGCTTTGCTGAATGCCGTCACCATTCACAGGGGAAAGAAAAAGAGGATTCCAGACCTGGAACTTTCCGGTCGGATTTTAGTTCCAATTCGGGACCTAAATGGATTGTCGGGCGAGACATGGGTTAACTTCAGGATGCTTATTTTAAGTATTATGAACTAGCGATGGAAAAAGGAGAAGAATGCGAGAATAGTTCTCGCTTAGGGAGTTTGGATCTGGAGGTGGCCTTCATCAATATCATCACTTCTATCACCATCACCATCACTGTCACTACCCCTCTAATGATTCCGGACTGATGGAAACCATCACACCCACCAGAAGTGAAAAAAGATATTCCCCGAGTAATGTCGCATAGGTCATAGCATATGCCGAAGGGGACGAGCGCATCACAGCTCAGATCTCGGGGAATATTCGTGGGCACCCTACACCAGTGTCGTGATGAAGAGTTTCAAATGTTTCCCCGTGATGTGTGGGTTAGCTTTCGTCAGTTCCTAGCCCTGGTCCCTCTGCCCTGAAAATCTAGAGATTATATAATATAATGTGACAGTCAAGTCCGTGCATCTTTATGAAAACCCGTTGATCCTATCTAGTTATGTAGAATGTTTTATAACCAACATAACCCTAAACGGTAAATGCTCAAGACGTTGCCGCTCACCTAGGTGGACATCAGACGAACGGGTTTGTTGGTAGGTGAGTCGTATTATTGAATGTGGCTTGTACACATAGGTGATAGTACGACTAACATCGTGAACGAACGGCTTTTGGTATTTGGTATGAATCCTTCCCAGGGGACCGGAAATGAGGCTTTAAATCCTCTTGTTACAAACCCCTGGAATGGTCTGACTTAAGACGGATAGCGCGCTAACACTTTCTCGGCGGATGGATTATGCCTTCGAGATACGGATATTAACACTCATTTGCTGACTACATGCTATCCTATGTCAAAAGGGAAATGCGGTTCTTTGAAGATGATTTTCGTTCTCAACCTAGTCGCTGACGATGAAGAGCTATTGCCTCCTGGGCTGTGCTTTTATGTTAATTTCCATGGAATTATTGGGTGTAATACATTATTATGTTATTTGATCGTGATCTCCGAGTTTGATTTTGATGTTGATTGATAGTAAATGATCAGTAGGTATGGTTTTACCATACCCCGAGGATAGGTGAGACGCACACCTTCAATTACCGCAATTGATGGAAGTGCTCGCGGACAGTGTTGCCGTATCATATCTTATATTCTCCAGCCGCCTTGAATCAAGACATTATGTACCATACGTAGGTCGACAAGCAGGTAAGCGTAGTCGCAATCAGAACCTTCACGCTGCCCATGTGCTCTACCTCACAACGCCGTCAAAGAACCAAAAGACACACAAAAGCCACACTTGGTCTATATACAATTTTCGATGGCGAACCTGCCTAGAATCCTAGGTAGGAGACTTAGAACTCTTCATCCTCACCCTCCCCATTAGCCCAAGCCTCACCAACCTCACGAATCTTCTCCCTAAGCAACGTGCGTCCATACCTCTCGGCAATCTTACCCGCCGCTTCAGCCATGCGACCAGAGCGATCCCGCATCAACAGCACCAACTCAAGCGCACGCATACCGCGGTCCTCACCAGCGCGACACTCACCCGCCAGCAACTGCAGTAATGTCTTATCGACCTCAAGCTCCAACCTCGCAAGCCCAGATTTAACACTACTACCGCCACCATTCGCCGTCGCATCCGCCAAATCGCGCAACTGCGCCGCCGCAATTCCCTTAAGCAAGAACTGCTGTTCCAATTTCCTAGTTTCCGACTCTTCATCTCTTCCATTCTCATCATCTTCATCCATAGCATCCGGATCCTTAGCCGGTTTCGGCTTCGGCGGTTCGGATGTAAGCGGAACGGAGAAGTCGAATTCGGAGAGGAGCGGACGTGGGAAGTACGGGTATTGGTCACCGCCTTTGAGGATGATGCAGTGGAATTTATTGTCTGCTACTGCGATCGGGAAGTATGTTTCGGATTTGCGACCGGAGGCTAGACGGGGGAGGAGTTTGGTGTCGAGGAGGGGGATCCAAGTCGCTCGTGATGGGCGCCGCCAGTGTAGGAGGGTTAGGAGGGTTCCTGTTGAGTCGTATATACATGGATCCTATTCTCCAGTTAGTTTTGCCTATATAGAAAGAGGTAGGTTTTCACTTACCCCATTGTCAGAGAAGAAAACACTTTTTAGTACTGCGCCTTCTGGTAGGGCTACAGTGTCTTCATTCTGGCAGATTTCATCCCTCTTTACATTCTCAATCGTGTATAGAAGTCGGGTATGTCCGTCCGCACCAACGGGACCGTTGCCAATTGTCATAACATAATCCCTCCAACTTGCGCAAGTAACCATTGGTGTGCTCTTTGGTCGGTATACTCTATACGGGATACCGAAAAGCGTGTATACTCTGACGTAGTTCGCAGTAGTTGTGACAGTTACAAAAGAATCGCTGAGAGACATGGCAAGGACGGCCTCTCCTTTCGGTAATTGTGTCCTCCAATCGGTTCGATTAGTCCACGTTTCATGTGGCCTATAGAAGATAGTGGCTGGTGTGTCGTCTTTGGGCGGGCATGAGAATAGAGTACCATTGTCGGTTAGGCAAGCCTTGTCGTATAGGAAAGTATCGGTAAAATGGAAGTCTCGATGGAACTCGTGATCATAGAATTCCACTGTGACCGTGTTATGTCCATCTTGATCGACCGTCCATACGAACCCAATGAGGTTCAGACAGAGGTATTTTCGATTACCTCGCCATGGTGTTGACCCGGGTTGGAAAGCTTCGTGGTATTCGGGCTGGAGGTGAGGACGTTTGCTAGACGGCTCACCAAAAACGTCTAGGTCGTCGTGAACACGTTTACCATTCCCATTCATTACATAGCCGGCTCCATCGTCGTCAACCACGAAGTCATCATCGTCCGCTAAGGGACCATCCATGAGCGAATCATAACTGCCAGCTCTATTCCGCCTTTCGAGTGCTTCTTGAGGCGGGGGTCTCGTACCGACATCCAAAGGTCTTCTAAGGTTCGTAGATATCTCCGTTAAGGGATCGTGTATGAAGGGTGCCGGTTGTTTCGCTAGTTTCAACAAGGAAGCGAATTGTTCTGGTACGAAATCAGGGTGAATGTAGACTTCGCCATCTGAATTTGTGAATGATACTAAGTTATTAGTAGGATGCCATGCGATATCCATCACATTGGCATAGTCAAGTCTAGCGATGAGGCTCTGAGTTTTCGTCTCCCATAGGAGAATCTTCTTGTCCTTGCCGGCCGAGGCCAATATTGCTCCATTGGGAGACCAGGCCAATGCGGTGACTTCTCCATTATGGCCATGCGCAAATGCTCGTTGTTTCTCCCAGTCATTCTTCGAAATGACTTGAATATCTCTTGTCGGGGTTGGAACCGCAAAAGCTCGTCCGTCGGGGTGCCACGCAACCTGAGAACTAATATCCGACTCGGTGTCTAGCGAACCAATGATGCCGTCAACCTTCTTTATAAGCTCCGGCTCGTCAGAGGTCAACGAGTATACGTATACGACGCCATCGGTACAGGCCAGTGTCAAGATAGATCCTTTAGTATCGAAAGAGAGATGTTTCGTAGGTTTGTTGTGTTCCTTCAGATGACGGATTCGGCTATTGTCGTCTGTTCGGACGAGCTTTACGGTCAATTCGTCACTGGCTACGGCGCACCATTTTGAATCCGGTGATAATGCGACGTCACGAATTGGGAGGGAACATCGGAGAAGGAACTTGTCGAATGCGGCTTCGGGGATCGAGTAGAGACTAACGGTGCCATCTTCGGATCCGACGACGAAGAAGTCATTGGAAGCATCCACGCTAACATTTTGTTCCTGGCAGTCGTCTATGTTTATAGGTTCGCCGTCGAAGCCTGTCTTATATAGTCGAATTGTGTTGTTCGAACCTACAGTCACCAGCTTGGAACCGTCAGGGGTATAGGCGCAACGTGTTGAGCCTTGAGTATGGGCTGGCCTCGCTCGGGGGCGATGAGGTGCTGTTGAAGTCATTTTGATGTTTATCCCTCTCTTAGAATCCACTTAGAGGTCAAAAACATCAACGATTGGACTTTCAAGGGAGTTGGTCAAAAAGTTGGTATAAGTCTTAGTATGTACAAACGCGTCGCGCGTTGACAATTCAATTAATTAATTGGCTTATCTTATCAGAGCGCGTTTAGAGCGGAACAGGGGTTCCCCTCCCCCGTGTGGCTGCTTACGGGCGAGTCAACCCCACTATGCTCCAATTCTCTCAGTACCTAAGTACCTAAAGTACGGCGACAGTAGTATAACCCCACCATAGCAGGCAGTACCTAATGAGATTTCTCCTAGAACATGTTAATCAAGGAATTTGTTTATTAAGGCGATGTTTTGGTGGCAATATCAACAATAGAAATTCGGCTGCCTATGTAGGCAACAGTTTAAAAGGAGGAGTATATTAAGTCTGCAGTCCCTACAAGAAAATAGATATTACGACAATACAGAATTCTCGACAACCCCTGAGTGATCATTAGCCACCATGAATAAAGGAACATCCGCAGACCACTTCTTCCAAACTGAGTATGGTATTACCTGAGATGAATATAATAAGTTCACATATATTGACCAAATATCTGCAGCGCCGAACAAGCCAAACAAGAGAGACGGGCAGCAAAAGCCGGTAACAAAAATGGTAACCCTATCGCTCTCAAGTCCAAAATATTAGCCGCTGTACCGGATCCTACAAACCCGTCGTCTATTTTCGTTGCGGAGTCTGCCGGCTCAGTGCGAAGAATGAACGTTGATGTAGGTTGACAATCACACCTCTGAGGAATTACGGATTCTAACTCGGCTACGCTAGACTGGTGACACAAAGCAAGTATTCCGAGGCCCATCAGCACCGGTAACATGTGTCGCTGTCGGTGGGTCTGGGAACAAGACTCTCTTTGCCGGATCTTGGGATAAGGACATTTGGTCCTGGGATATAGAGTCCAAGGCGCCAGGTCGCAAGTTTAGTGGTCATTCGGACTTTGTCAAGGCCGTTGTAACCACAAAATTCGGAGGAAAGGACTACTTGATAAGCGGCGGCGCGGATAAGAAGATTATGGTTTGGGATCTGGAAACCGGATCGCGAGTTCACGTACTGCAAGATCAGACTGTGTCGATGATGGCTATCCAAGATCTTGTCATAGATCCAGTACAGTCCAGCGCAGATGAAGTCATACTTGTCAGCGCGAGTAGTGACCCTCATATCCGTCGATGGCGTATTAAGGCAGACGGCTTTGAGCAAATCAAGGAGTCGTCGCCAGATGAACCCGGTGCGGCACGACACACTATCCTGGAGCATGATACTACAGTGTACAAGCTAGTATTCGATGGTGAAGGTGAAGAAGTAGACCTATGGACATCCAGCGGCGACGGCACAGCGAAATGTTTATCTCGAATAAAGGGATTCGCTACGGACGATTCAATCCACCACGGAGACCATGTGCGAACTGTCGCAGTAACAGATCAATGGATAATAACAGGTGGAAGAGATGAGGATATCAAGGTCTGGAATCGCTCATCAGGGAAGCTGTACTGTACTCTTGATGGTCATTTTGACGAGGTTACTGACCTCGTCGCCCTTGACGGAGGCAGACGCGTTGTTTCCGTATCGATTGATGGGACCGTACGGACATGGCCACTCGACCAAGCCAGTCTGGATAAAGTGAACAAGGAGAAGGAAGATAAGGCCAAGGGAGTCGAACAGGAAACAACAACAGAGCCTGCGAAGAGCCTCATGACGGCGGAGGAGGAAGCTGAGCTTGCTGAATTGATGGGGGATGATGATTAACCCACCCCTACCCAATATAACAGTGAATAAATCACCTAACACAAACTCGAATTCAGGGCTTTCGAGTTGAATGATCGAAAAGCGCGACAGTATGAGTCAAGTATAAACAAACAGCAGCCCGAAGCCTTGTTTGGCATCAAATGAGAGTTACAGCCGTTGGCCGAAACAACGGGAGGCAGGTTTCACCTCGAAGGAATGTAGGCACGTGTATATGGAAACCATGCGGTACCTGAATAGTGGAGGACGAAGTGTCCCCTGAAACTTTAATTTCGTAATACTCGCCATTGTCTAACCTGAGATAGACGGCAAACAAAGTACAAAGTGTTGGATCGAGAACGACGGCTGTGTCGACTTTGAATTGCGATCTTTGGCCACAATCGTTCCCGTCCCCCATGCTGGAAGCCAACAGTATGACGAGCTCGAATATACGAGATAACCTTGGTACTACATGTATCTAGGTAGCTACCGGGTACCCGGCTCAACCATCTTCAACAGAGTAAACGTAAGTGATGCCGCCGGGCTGCCAGGGTCTAGATTCTGTCACTTATCAACTAAGCTAGTATTCTTAGCTTTGCTTTTTAGAAACGAAACCGGCCACTCAAACCTAGCAATAATGGTTGGTGGCGTGGAAGGCGTCTTGGCCGAACCCATCATGTACTGGATCGGCACAGGCAACCTGCAAGTAAACCCCGGGAAGATCACTGTCAACACGAAATATGTCGCCTGCCGCCATTGAAAGTGCACTACCAAACGAGCCACACCCTCATTAGAAGATGAAGCGCCCTTTTTTTCTAGTCTGTTGTAATTTGTAGCACTCATTTGTTGAACTGTGTATTGATTTGTTATTCCCGAGTTGGACGGCCGCATAAGTCCTATGCGGGACGCCGCCCAGTCATAGACTAAACGTACCCATCCATGCCTGCGGAGACATAGACATCTAGGCATCGTGGTGAATAAGGTTATTAAGATTAGCCTTCCCGAGATTTGCTTTTAGGCCATTACGTACCTAAGTAGGAGATTGAATGCGAGGCAGGTACTTTAAATTGTCCTCGGGTATTAAGTTAACGTCGGTGTCCGAAGAAATGTACGATGACATGTAGGATTGCTTTTTTTCACTGGGCACTTATGCAGCCACCATATCCTCCGGCGCTAGAACGCCGAGCACTCATCCGAAATTTACTCAACATTTAGAAGAACATTGAAACTATACAGTTCGTCCCAACTATACTACATAATATAATTGTTTAATTCATCCCCATGCGACAACATCAATATGTGAACAATATTCTATTCAAATTGACATTGTTGATGAAACATATAAAATAATATAAGACTCAACATTAATTTTAGTCATCTACCTAATTAATCGGCAAAAGAGGGAGAGGCGCCAAGTACCTAGGTACCTAAAGTAAAATACCCAAGGCAACTTCGACTGCTCGAGTACCAAGGTACCTAAACACACAACAAGGCGAATGTCTTGTAATCTCAAAGACATTGACAAGATTAAAGTTTAATTACCTAGAAGTTGGCTTCGGAGTTACGAATTACGCTCCTATGAAACGGCCAGGTACAATGCTTTTTTAATGTATCCCGCCCGAATAGTTAACCTACATACCTACGTCTAAGTCTAGAAATGCAGATCTCTTTACCCTGGTCAACAAACAGAAATAATTGCGTTTACCTATTTTCTTCTTTGAACTCATCGCAATTATAACATCAACGGGTACTCGCATATTACAGAACTCGGACCGGCAACAAATTGATTATCTAGATCCGAATCAGGTGTACTTGCTTTTTTTTTTTTTCCATTAGATGTGAATGTCATCTAATGTTAAGATTTTGTCTTGAATGAAAGACTCAATCGGTAACTGTATGTTTAGCCTGCAGTAGCCCTTCTTCCCGCACTACTTTTCTAGGAAGGCTAAGGACACTTTTGGCTTGTATTCGTTGTACTCGTTCTTAGGGAAGCCCCTATCAACATTTTAGATTTGAACTCTACTGGTCCTGCCGTATCGACATTGCCTCTAATGCTGCTTCCCGTTTGCCCTTACACCATATGGGATGCAAAAAGAAATAGGTTCCTCTAGCGTCTTAACCGTTCTTGGTAGTGCTTATACTTCTAGGCCTGCATATGTATGTGCTTACCGTATAGAGGAGCTAAGCGTCTTACACTGGCGATACCCTCTTCACTCTTTCAAAATTTAGTGCCGACTATGCAAATATTCGCAATAACCTTCATTCAACTTATTTGACTCTGTCCTAATTTCTCCGATACATACCTTCCCGTGGGTTTTCCATTTTGGGCCATATACATCTTGTCGGCCATACAGTCCTCGGCATATCTCATAGTCTGTCTGCTTCTCCATTTGCTTTGGGCTCCTCCGTGTCTCAGCGGAATTCCTCAAAACAATACTATCAACTTCCCAAGCTGTTTTTCCAATTTCCATAGGCCATCTTACTAATGAAAAGCTACTATACGGTCCAAAAGATTGGCGTTGTCCACATCCCATCCTCACTGGTCTCGCTAGAAGCCTCAGCTAAGGGCGCCAAAGTTGGTCCTACATCAACCTGATAATATCTTAACGTCAATACGAACCTAGACAACTATGCGGTTGGTACTTCAAAATCAGTCCTACCCATGCGGCTAATTATCAGTTGCAAGCCTTGGTGTTACTCTGAACGGCCTAAGACCACGGTATAGATTGCCGATAATTGGCGGGACTTTATAGGCGCTACGATGGATGCTGCCCCTCATTACCATGGCAGCTTGGTTGCCTTTGAGGGGCCTCAGGATATTATCTCAACTCAGCTTCGACTACTCCCCAACTCACCTAACATCTTGATTATCCCACCTCTTCAATTTTTCATTAAGGAAGATGAACCAGAGGCGCAATTCGATGCCCGATCACATATTCTTACTATACATAAAGCATGTTGTGAGAGAATCGAAACAGCGTGGGCATTCTTACGAGAATCGACCCCGAGTAACAAGCGGTTGGTCTTTATGAATGGGGGTACGGCAAGCTCTCAGGTGGAATGCATTTCAGATATCGCCAAATACGTAACAAACGGAGACCTAGAAAAAGCCGAACGAATATTCAACCGGCTTGTTCGGGATGGGGTTACTGGGCTACGGGGCCAGCAACAGAAAGACTTAAGTTCAAAGCCGCCGCAACCGATGGCCAACGGTTACCAACCAAGTCAACCAGATGGAGAGGCAGCTAATGATCCATCTTCTGAGGCTATGAGAGCAGCCGATGCTCTCGATGACGAGACTGCCTCATTGCAATCGAATCATGAGGTTGATCTAACCTCGAGGCTTCGACCCAGAAGCACTAGCGTTCCAGCCTACCGGATCGCTGACGATCTACAAAATGCAGCTCCCTTCTATGTATTCGGGGCTCATAGATGGCACAAGAGAAATAACACCTATGACTCGGCGATACCTCAGCAGCCCCGCCGTAGTCACACCACACAGGATTCACGGAAAGCTACTCGGCGAGCATTGGAGCCCGTTGGATCTCGAGTCAATGAAATAAATGGTCATCTTAGTCCTCTGCCTAATGCTGCGGAGGAAGATCTCAAGAAACCATTGTCGCCAGCAAGTTTTGACTTCTTAAGTCCACACTCTTTCGCGTCAGCGACAGTACCGAATACACCGGCGATATGCGAAGCTTATGTGGTGAATGTTCGACATTCAACTTCGGCCATTTATCACAAGAAGACTAAGCCAGTTGATCAGATTTATTCCAGCGCCATACGAAACCAGGATATCCTACTTTGCAGTTTCCCGCATCCGCCAGATTCGAAACCACTCGGCCCGGAGGCTAGTCCAAGGATTCAGCAAGAAAGGCCACTACTTCGGTCCAAATTTGCTAGCGAAATCCCGAGACCAACGTTTAGCACGCCTAGGAGGTCTATAATTAGGCGCAATCCCCCTTCTCCGCTTAATCTGCACAAGCCATTAAGACGGCCAGTGACTTACATTGATCGTGCTACGAGTCCTAGGAACAGCTATGTAGACCGAGGTACTACAACCGAACCTGAACCTGAACTCAATCTAGATCATATTTATACAGACCAGAGTGACACAGATGCTGAACTTACTGTTTCTGAGGATGCACCTCAACCTAGCAGTCGTGAGCAGCTTGAAACAGTCATGCCTATGCTCGAAAACTTGGTCATACTCTTCAAGGCTGAAAAGCCAGATTTGCGACTAGAAGCAACGATACAAGCCTTTAGAGATGGCAAATATCCGATATCCAAATCACCGCCGGAGACAGAAGCCGAGAAGATCCCCGAACAATCTAGATCCCCTAGTCCGCAAAAGCCACCACAGCGAGTTATGCCACTCGTTAATAAACCAAAGAATCAAGTACAGCACGCAGAGGTGGCGCCTGCTTACCGCGTAGATGCGGATGAGTATGACCCTTTCGCATACGGAAAGTATCCGCGTCCACCTAACCAGAATGCGAGCAGCAATCGACCATCCACGCCCCCGACTCGAGATAAGACGCCGCCTTCTGCCACAAAGAAGCTAGAGAGATGTTTCCACGATTTCACTACGACGGACTGTAGGACAGCCGTATGTATGCAGAACTCACTACGGTCTATCTTGAATATCTACTTCCCGCCAGAGGATACGGGTTTTCACCAATTTAACTTCCCCTTACTCCCCGAGCTTAGTAGCCTCTGGAAGCCCGTATTTCGAGAAGCGGAAACGGGCACAGTTATAAAGCGAAAACGAAAAGTCGACCTTATACTTGCTATTGGGGCACAGCAGGGCGTCGATAAGGACTTCCTTTCTGCGATTAGCGGGTCCTTGGAGAAGCTTGGTACGAAACCGAACGGTGTGACTCGAAGCGGGAGGTTGGACTTGAGGTTAGTCGGAAATTAATTAGAGTAATCCATGTATTATTGCTAACGTGTAGGACAGGTTCCTCATCGCGAGCGCTATGCAGGCGTTCACTTCGCAACCCCTGACGAGTCAAACTCAAGATAACCCTTTCTCCAACCCGTTGCTCTTGGCGACTTTAATTATACCGCACCTAGAGACGTATATGGCTGCGCATGCCGCGACACGGTTCCTCTTACTCGAGTATCCCCCCGAGCACCTAACCACCGTCTTAGCCTTGCAGCGGCTAGTAGGCGCAGACCTCTTGCGGATAGTAGGAATCCTCTACTCAGAAGACTCGGGAGCGAAAGCATGTCCTAGTGTTAACATCCCAGTCCGTCGGAATACACATGTTCGCATGAACACCTCACAATCTGGCATATCTGCGACTAGCACACGTACAGGCGCCACGCTCTACGCGCCAGCACCGGCAGCGGGAGGGGCGAAACAGACGACTTTTTCTAAAGCGAATTACTTGCTAACATCATCGGCCAACGAGTCCGATATTGCGGAGTTGATATCGAGGGTCTGGAAAATTCTTATTGACGTCTCGACATTCTATATTCCGGACGGCGTAGCGCAGAAGTCGGTGTTGCAAGTTAGGAAGGAAGAGAAACGCAACTCACAGGATGCCCAGGGTAGACCGTTGGCCCAGACTCCGTTGCTTAATACGACACAGCAATATGCGCCGCTCGCGAGCGCCGCGGCGATGATGGGATTTGGGCAGAAGTATGGCGGTTACACGAAAACTGAGACGGAATATACCGACACTCATACCAACACTTCAACACCGCCACCGCCACCTCCGCCGCCGAAACACAAGCACCGAAAGGGGGGCAGCAAAGGGGGCGAATCGATAAAACAAGAAATGGTGCTAAAATCATCTAAAGGGTCTGTGACGGAGACTATTAAGAGTAGTAAAACAGCTCGGACGATGAGGAGTCAACGGAATAAATTGAGGAATATGCTGGGTAGAGAGATAGATGGGGATGGTGTGAATATAAATGGGGGCTACGTGTATGAGTGGTGGGATGATGAGGATGACGGACTTGCGGCGGAGGAGCGCAAGTATATACCCCTGTATGGAAAACAAAATTGGCCGCGGAAGGGGAATAGTAGTAAGGCTTTGAAGTGGCTGGGGCTTGCTACTTAGAAGGAGTTAAGACTTGGACGGTGGTGTTTGGGGTTCGCGAAGGAGATTCCCCGTTTATTGATTTCGATGTTACCCTATTCATTTTGGCTTTGGGGCCTGTGAGGATGGCGATTCCTGTCAGTGTTCATTCTTGCTTTTAATGTATCGGGGTTCATATTGTTCATACCCAGGAGGGAATGGGGTCATCCTATGTACTGTACTATCCGTGCGGAGTAAAGGTGATGAGGAATGATGGATGAAGAAAATTATAAGATTACAATATAAATACTAACATAAGATATTCTCTTTATTATTCGCATGGTAAATGTATCAAGAAGATGAATAAGGGATTGTGTTGTGGTCCTACTTCGTCTGGTGTAAATCGCACGTACACGTACGGGTTCCAACTAGTCTGAACGTGGCCTGACACCTTGAACCATCTTAAGTCCAACAATATGACGTATTTTCCGAGACTAATACAATTAATATAAAATAATGATATTGTAGATAGTTAATAGATAAAAGAAGGAAGGTAGATTCATGAATAAGATAATAACGTAAGGGAAGGAATGAAGATGATTATGCGGATTTTTGGGGTCTATTTGCTCTTTTTATCTCCCCGCTAATAATTTACCTCATCTCTCAGTAACCTAGATATTTATACCATCACCATATCTCATAATGCATCGCTATCTTCTTTTATGACAATATTAGCATCATAAATGCGAAGAACGTGCATAAAACTAGAGGTCTAATACTTTCATTTGATATCGTACAATTTCACCGAGAGGCTAGACTGAAGGAGTGCTCTCCTCACACATCCCACTTACACACCCCTCACTCAATTACAATAATCCACGATGGCTTCATCTACAATACAACACCCCCGCTTCCGGCTCGAATTCCGGGTCCTAAGCGACGGCCTCGACACAGCTAAAGCCCAAGCTCTCACACAAACAGGCCTTCACGCGCACAGGAGCCAATTCCCAAGTTTCCCCAACTTACCTCCGGAACTACGCCTCAAGATATGGGAATACTTCCTCGCGCCACGCATCATCGGAATCGTATGTCACAAAACCGAGACCGAAACTGGACTAGACTCCGACGATGAACCCGAGCCCTGGGAATCGTATTCGGAGTATTTCGGATGTCCCCTACCCTTTCGCAATACACCAATCCTGTTACTCGTGAATAGGGAAACCCGTGCCTTAGCGTTGAAATACTATGAACCGTCGTTCTCGTGGCAAGAACCCCTAACCCTGCTCCACGACACCGCGCGGACTACTAGACGCTCTCCGCATAGCGCATGGTTCGATTACGCGCGCGATACGCTGTATCTACGTGGTGAGCTCGAGCCGTGTGATAGTTACGGGTTCAACGCACCGATGGCGTATTTCCTCTCCCGCCGCGAAACCGAACGTGTTCGTAAATTAGCACTTTCGTTCTCGGCGCTGGGTTATGGGGAAAGTGGCCCCCAACACATTTTCGGCGCGCTGTTTCATGTCGTGGATCGCTTTCCGGGGATTGAGGGGAGGAGGGTTTGGGTTGGCGTTGCGCCACGGGATGAGCTTACGCATGTCCTTATGGGTGGATTGGAGCCTTTGGTTCCTGTGGATGGGGAGGTGAGGGAGGGGGTTAATATCTTGCAGAAGATTTGGGATGATTGGTATCGTGGGGGGTATTTTACGGCGCCGGTTAGGTTCGAGTTGGTGCGGAAGTTGGATTTGCCTGAGCGTGTTGCGGAGGGTGGTGAGGGTGGTGAAGTTCCTCAGCTTGCTGCTAAGCTTGGTGAGGTGGAATTATAGCACTGCAGGGAAATGATAACCGAGATAATTGATCAGGTATGATTTACACATGGTCTATATACATAACGTTTACTTAAGTTGAGTGGTGACTGGTGATTCCCAGAACGACCTCTATGGTACAATGTATTTACAATAGACAAAAATTTCCCCCATTTTTTAGTCGTAATCATCAATCTTGCGCATTTTTTCTGCCCAACGTCTACCGCCCGTCTTTTGAATTTTTATTCGTAATTCCACATAACGCAGGAGCCCCGTTGTCGGAACGTCCCTTGATGCCGCCTAGGAGCCAATCTGTTAAGCCAACGACTTTGGCACCCAAACCCTTTTCCCATTCTCCGTGTTCATCTACGTGTTCGATCGTATGGCTGATAACCCGCCCTTCTTTATCGAACTCGAAGATAAATAAGCCGGTGAATGCTTGCTTCTCGCCCACTCCCTGTGTCCCTCTAAGCGTGTCATCCAGCTTTTGCTCCCCCTCTTCTGTTACGGCGGGGTTGGGACTTTTAGGCCGACCGTCGGCTGTTCGCCATTTTACTACCAATTGTTCGCCGAATGCCTCGGACCGTTTGGGTGAGGAATAGTACGGCTGGCTGACCATTCGTTCGGATAGGATTTCGAGTTTTACGTTACCGATTATCGGGACTCGGTTCCATGCTAGTGGGGAGGTCCATAGCGCGGCTATATATGCGACTCGGCCGGATACGGTAGGAAGATATGGGTGCGTAGTTGGGAATAGATGGAGAGATATATGAGGCGAGAGGATCTCCTGCGGAAGCGGGGATTGGAGTAACGTGGGCAATCGTTCTTGAAGAATGCGCAGAGCTGTCCGTAGTCAGCTTGATATGCTTCTTTCTTGGTATATAAGTCGTTTGCTTACTTTTCCCTAGCTTTACTTTCCGTTCGTCATCTGGACCCCGCGAGCTACCGGAGAAATCGTAGTGCGGAAACGAGGAATTGAACCATATTGGTGTCAAATTTTGGTGCGAGGAGAGGTAGATTCTATTGGGATGTAGAGTAGGTGTAATAGGTGCTATTGTGGGCGTCGTAGCACATGTGGAGGGTGAAGAAGTGGCGTATGCGACAGGTGGGAGAATGCGTAGGGTAGCAGATTTTGAGCTCACGACGGCGTTAGACTGCGCTCGAACGATGTTCGTTGAGAGGGACATGTGTCCGGGCGCTCGAGGGCGGGGAATTAGTGAACTGGAAAACACATCAATTCGGTTAGGAATGGTTATTCTGATTGTTATTGTAAACTTGCATACATAATATTGTAGGTAATTAAGGCGGCGTGTAAAAATACATAGCTAGTAGAGAAAAAGAATAAATTAGTATGATGTAAGTGACGCTTCTCAATTCCCGCCCAGGTTTGAATTTTAAGTAGCATGTGGTACAACGCTACAGACTACCCGGCACGCCGAAAAAACAGCGGGACCCCCACCAAAGTATGCCGAGGGGATGGGACATCAGTGGGAGACAGGGGTACTTAGGTACCTTTTTTGGGATTGTCTTCGGAACCCACCGAATCGTCACTTACTTCAGCTGATGTCTCTGATTATTGTTCTTCTATCTCTCAGCTGACTATCCGTAGGAGAATAATAGTTGTTATTTTTGTTAGTCGCATCTACTATCTATGCAGGTGCCCATTCTCGTAGATCCTTTTAGGGTGACCGATAATGATGAGGTAAATGGTAATACCCAACCGGATGTTACCGATATCGCCTCTATCGTAATCCTGGTGGTGTATTCCGTTCCGTGTTGTGGTTTTCGGAGGGTAGGTAATTTATACGTGCATTACATTGTATGATGGCCAATGAATACACCTCGTACAAGTGTCCATCAGTGGTTGGGAGGGTCCTTTTGTTGCAAAAGTCAGGAAGATTAAAGGCTATTGGAAGTTTGAGACGGAATGAGTTAAAGTGGTTTTTTGTCAGGTATTGTCAGTTGCCAACTTTTGACTCTCCAAGTGTCAGCTGTATACCCCTTTCCTCAATGAAAATCTCTAAGTATCCATACGTAATAAATGGTGTGGTTATTGACTTTGAAAATGGTGCCATGATGTACCTACCTCAGTGTCATATCATACATTAGGTACTTGTATAGAGTTACATACAGTATCTAACCTGCATAACCTTAGTCAGGGCGGATAGTTGCGCCTCGTGATTAGATCCGGTGCAGCCAAGGTGGTGTGGCTAAGGCTAGACCGACTTACACTAATACAGTGCTGATATGCTACTTTAGCAGCTGGCACGCCTAGAAACCCACCTGGCTAAGTTCAAATTGTCCCCCGTAACAGTACATAGTACGTACCTAGGTACTTAAGGCGCTAAAAACGCACGGGGCACTTAAACGGTGAATGGACGGGCTCCTTGATTGACGCAGCAGCCTGCGGCTTGTCTCAATTCTCTTTCTACATCACCACAGCATCAACCGCCAAACCGACGAATCTTTTCATAATATCATCGTCCCCTTGGCCCCAAGTCCTCTTCATTTCGCCAACTCCGCATCCATCTCCATCCATTCAACCTACGCTTCCCCTTGACCTTCGACACTCTTATCAGCGCCCACTTGTTCCGAACGCCTTTGTTATCTTATTCAGCCTGCGCATTCATTCACAAGCGGCCGTCAAGATGAATCCCGAGTAGTACGTTCATGTCCACGCCCACCCTTTTCCACGTCACCCAGCAACCCGCAACTTTGACTCAACTATAGGACTCTATAATACTAACTTGTGGATTATAGTGTTTGCCCCCTATTCTGTTTTTATATATCGTCCCGCCGCAAATTACATCGGCATGATCCTCTTCCAACACTATCGACCTTATAACATAAAACATCATGGCATCTCATAATACTCGTCAAGTGTCTGGTCTTCAGCCGGCGAACCAAGCCAAGCTCCAGGACGTCTTACATCGCGAACCAGGTCCGCTAACTCGTCGTGTTCCTAGATACGACTACCTCTTCAAGCTTCTCCTCATCGGTGACTCCGGTGTTGGAAAGTCTTGTCTTCTGTTGCGATTCGCCGACGATACCTACACCGAATCGTACATCTCTACCATCGGTGTTGACTTCGTATGTCGATGTCCTCTAACAATACTCCCACTATTTAGTCGCTGACCGAGTGTAGAAAATCCGAACCATCGAGCTTGATGGAAAGACCGTCAAGTTGCAGATTGTAAGAACACAAGCCCGAATTTTGTGATGCCCCTTTTCGATCACTCTATTAACTAGAAAATAGTGGGACACCGCTGGACAAGAACGATTCCGAACTATCACCTCCTCCTACTACCGAGGCGCTCATGGTATCTGCGTTGTCTACGATGTCACCGATATGGACAGCTTCAACAACGTCAAGCAGTGGCTACAAGAGATTGACCGATACGCTACGGAAGGTGTCAACAAGCTGCTCGTAGGCAACAAGAGCGATATGTCGGATAAGAAGGTCGTTGAGTACACAGTTGCAAAGGTACGAAGTCTTGCATCTACCGATCCCACGTAGCCTTGCCAGGTGACAGTGATAGGTTATATCATCAATTATGTAACGCTGACTTGACCTATAGGAATTCGCTGACAGCCTTGGCATCCCCTTCCTCGAAACCTCAGCCAAGAATGCCTCCAACGTTGAACAAGCCTTCTTGACTATGGCCCGACAAATCAAGGAACGAATGGGATCGCAAGCTACCACGAACACCAAGCCCGGCGTGCAAGTCGGACCTGGCCACAGTGTCTCGAACTCGTCCAGTGGTGGCTGCTGCTAAAGCAGCAAATTTTGATACCCTCGTACAACGGCATCCTCACATGCATTTTGATTTCCGATTTCCTGGGACGGACTGGCAGTAGAGGCATGCATATGGACAGGATGGCAAGGTGGGATGTGTTTACTTTCCGTTTTTGATTGCGGATAGATGAAATGGTCACTTCACTTTGGATGATTCCTACCTAAATCGGCCCCAAAATCGTTCTACGGATAAAAAAAACATCCCAAATTCTGGCATGTGAGAGCGGGTTCATCTAATGGTCGAGGAGTTGGGAAGAGGAGGCTCACGGCAAGGCTACTCTTCTCCCTCTTCTGTTCTCTCATCGTCGTCGTCATCAATGTTACGTACTAATGCGAATTTCCTCTCATGACTCCGGGCGAAGCCTGTTTGTACTAGAATTTGTGTCCGGTTGCTTTTACTACTAGAACAAGAAACCTTCTCTAGCATTTCTGCGGAATGAAATCGAGGTTTTAGATGAATTTTACTTGCTACTTTACGTTTGTGCTCATGTGTATCTTCTATACGAGATAGTAACGAAATAGGGGAAATAGGTGTTCTTTCGTTTGAGTCGTTTAGAATCGTTAAGGTCTTCTAGTTCATAGTTCTCTGTTCCTTCCGGTGTAACGTATCTTGCAATTCACGCACGTATAAAAGTCTTGACGTTTTTATCACATGATGCTTAAGATTGTTTGCTGCCTAGTGTAGATCCCATGAACGGTGGAGTAGCAGTGGATCTTGACCGTAACATCGCTCGACTTGTAGATGATGTAACAGTTCGAAAAGGGCATGAGTTTGATGATGCGTGTCTGATGTTGTCTTCTGCTTAGATGGATTCTGAATACTAACATCGCGGAGTGAAGCCACCTTAGAGGATTTGGTAACGTACTTATTCGCTATCCCTTCGCACTATACAAAATGCATACGCAGGAAATTAGAGCAACTATATCTGGTATAAATTTATTTCTATTTAAAACGTAAATTAAATGACATATCATAATATGTACATGCAATTCGACTCTATATACCTGAGCAGGTATGAACCCAACCCCTCTCTATATACAGCTCATAAGGTGTTTGATCTAAAGGATATTGTCAAGTGGGAAGGGTAAGAAATATTTTCCAAGAAGTTTAGAGTTTAGCGGATGAATGTGAGCTGGTCGCCTGTGTCTATGCGGCTTGTTTGTCTTGCGGATTCTTTAAAATTCTCTCTTCCATCTCGACGTCTGGGTTCTTTTCGGAGTTCTTATTTCTGTAAAATAGGGAGAGAAGGTAGCTTCCGTGCGTCAGGTGGTCACGGGAGGTTTCGTCGGCGGTCTCCTTGGTGATGTTTACGTTGCCTAAGCAGGCTGCTGCGATAACACACTGTTTGGCAAGTTAGCATATGTAAAAACTAAGAGGGGTTTGAATGTGGACAAGCCTACGAGAACCATAAACGGCGTTAATGCGACAAATGCCCAAGTGATTCCATCCTATCCGAGTGTTAGTTTACGCTATGAATATTGGTTGCGATAATGACATACCTTAGCACCGTCGATAACTTGGGCCTTGGCTTGATCCGGAAGGGTTTTTATAAGATCGTAATTGTCATGGAAAGGAGAGTCGCGCGTTATACCCGATGTGTTATTGAAAACAGTAGACATAATAGTGAGAGCCAGGGTTCCTCCGAACGTCGTAGCGACGGCCATTACGCAAATCACGGTAGCAATGCTCTCGGGGAAAAATCCGACCGCATGAAGATTGCCTGGTGTGTGGGTTAGAAAGTAAGCTTTCTGGAAGAGGGTACGGCCTATTCTTACCCGGCATAAATCGCATTCCCGTACCAACACCAGTAAGGGCTAACATGCCATAAATGGTAGGCGAGTGTCCAGAGTACAAGGCCCATGCCATCATACCGATACCAACAGCCTCAATTAGGGATCCAAAAAAGAGAGGCCAAAATGTTTTACGAGGCCAATTGTTGCACAGGAACATTGAGAGCTGTACACCCACTATTAAAATTAGCTATGATGTTTCCGATAAAGACTGGTTTCGACTCACCTCCGAGTCCAGGAGTCCAATACAGCAATTGGACACCGGCCTGGTCTGATGTAACACCCTAGGAATAATGTAAGCAGCTGACATCAAAGGTCGTCTCGATTACAGGAATCATTTACCTTGACTATCGTAAAATAAATGCTGACAAAGTAAAGGACCTAGGGAGTGGTCAGTGAGTCGTTTCATTCCTAGATATAGGCTTGCCTACGCTGTACATAGCCATTCCTGTAGCAAAGTTGATATAAGCCAGGAGAGTGACGTTGCGGTCTTTAATTACCTTCCAGGGCAACATTGCCCGTTGGAAGGATAGCCTCCGAGTTAAGAATCCACCCGAACCCATTGAATACTCATAGTACCACCAAAAACAGGCCAGCAAAGCTCCGACAATGAGGGGGACGAGTACCGCAGGGTTATTCCAGTCGTAAGTCGCACCAGCCCAAGTAAGAGCAAGGATAACAAGCCCGAACCCGAATAGGAATAGAAGTTGTCCACCGATATCAACAGTAGAAATCCGCTTGGCGAACTTTTCACGTTGGCCGGTTTGATGTTCGTCCAACTCTGGGATAGGCTGAGGTCCTAAGAGATCGTTCCGAAGAAAAAAGAAGACGATTAAGATACCGGCGAATGCGATGGGTAAGTTGATGCCAAAACACCATCTCCAGTTGGCGGCTGTAAGGTAGCCTCCGATGACGGGGCCGACGCCGTAGCATACACCTCCCGTTAATGCGAACACGGACCAGTTCTTCGCATTCTCCTTCAATGTAACCCTGTCCGCTAATATGACACGGATTGTCGTGTTGATGCCCGCACAGCCAACGCCTTGAAGAGCCCGACCGAGGAGGAATGCGCCGAAAGCAGTGGTTGGGACACTGGTACATAAGGCACTGCCGACCAACATGATAAGAGAGCAGATTTGTAGCGACCAGTGTCGTCCGAATATGTCGGCCATTTGACCCCAGAAGGGGATGAATGCTGCTGACGTTAGGTTGAAGGCTGAGATAATCCAGTTCAATTGGGCGATTTCACCTAAGCCTTCGTTAGTCTGCAGGTAGAGTAAGGAGGTTAATAGAGATTCGTACCGAAATCGGCAGCAATCCATGGAAGAGCAGTCGAGATACTATGTTACCGATTAGTTACACACGCTTTTAGTATGTTGGATGAATATGCCTTACATCGTGACATCTAGGGCTTGAAGGGAATAGGGAAGGATTAAACAGGCGGCGAGTTTCCATCGATACTTTGTGGCTGCTCGTTTCTCAGCCTTACATTGGGGACAAATTCCCTCTCGAGGAGTAGTGCCGATAGTTTGGGCGTCTGTCCCTTGCTGAAGTTCATTTATTTCGTGTACACATGGTGCTCTCGGTTTGGCGTTTTGCTTTTTGCTCCTTTTCGAGCCGAAGGCTTGTGCCAAGTAGTATATCAACATGGCGGGCAATAGGAGTACTTCCACGGGAAAAGAATGTTGAAGTTGACTTGATTGATGATCTTTATCGTTCTATGTGAGAGCAGCAGAGTGAAGTGACTGCGCTGTCATATATATCTTGTCCTCCAGCCGCAGAATCTTCAACTCTACTAGTTGATGCCGGCATAGCCCCCCTGAAAGACACGATCCAGAAATGATGCATTGTGGGTAGGTTTCGTAATTCCCGCGTGCTTAAGTGAAAATGAGAGGCCCCAAGGGCTCTATGGGGATCTAGCATCGTCAATAAGGTAGTATTTTTCGATTTCAGATTGACTAAGTCAGCGAATGGTGATTGAAGTGCAAGTGGCTGAGAAGAGATCGACCCAGTTAAGCGAATCCGAAAGCGATAGAAGACCTAAGTACCTAAGTACCTAAGAGAGTCCGAGAGCTAAAATTCAGCTCTAATCTCTCATGGACCAATCAAAGCCCCCCAAACTCAGATAGTAACCACTTTAAAAGTGTAGAATGGGTTGTGGCTGATGTAACAATAGTCGCCTTACTAAAATCTAGGACTATATGTACCTTCTCGGTATCGTATAGCTTTTTCCCCCTTCGTTTATTTCGTTTGAGAATAGTCACAATTGAATGGTGCATAGCAAATTTCCATTCCTTGACCAGCTATACGTAAGCTTTGCTGCGTATTCGACTCTTCATTCTCTTTTTCCGTTCAAATTTTCGAGAATTCTTACAAGTGACTCTTATCTGCAGGAGTTCTAATGCACTTTCGACTTCAGCACCAAACAAAAATGAAAGTCTTGCGTGTCAGACTGATCCTTGTGTTACCATCATCGGCATTATCATTCCGTTGAAAGCTTAATCTTCGGCAGCCTTGAACTTAAGCTTTCTTACATAATACAAATTGCATTACATAATCGGTATCTATGTCGACCTTACGTAACCTCTACCACATGTCAGAGATTTCTCTGTCACTTCTCAATCTTACATAATACAACATCAATCATTTCTTGTATTATCATCGTCACGCTACGCAGAACCGAAACAATGGAACGGTTCTCAAAACTCTCCACTGATCTTCGTTACCCCGCGATGCAATTATATCATTCGATGGTTCCCATCAGTTGCCGGAACGGCTAAGCATCTATAGTTAGAGACAATAAACCGTCTCTAAACCAAGGACCATTTATCAACGTATCGATAGGAAATCAAAACCACGATAGGCAGAACTAGTAACAATCTAGACGGAAACTTCTCTTTATTCTAGTGCCCGAAGACTATCGTCTATCGTCAGGTGCGGGGATTCCCGTGACCCATTCGTCCGGGATTCAGACCTACAGCCAATCAATGCCGATCAGATTACAGCACCAGCGAGCACTTTGCTTTTTCGCCTCTTGGAGAAGCACTCGTCCGACCGAAAAAGCAATCCAACACTCGGGACGAGGCGTAAGTCAGAGGCAAACCTGTTGAGGTATCTGGTCCTCGGGTATATCATATCATTCGGCCTGTTGTTTCTTTTCGCGGCCATGTTCGAAACCATTGTCAATCTGCTTAATCCTCCGAACATTCTGCTATCCATAATACATCCCTCCATACATAAGTCAAATCCACGTGCGCTTTTCTTCGTCCGCGCCGCAGCTTTATCCCCTACTATACTTCCGCTATCGACCATGCCAATCATAAAACGGCTAGTACAGTAAAAGATCCTTCTCAAACGCCTGCAAGTTAAGAGCAAAAGCAAGTTGTCAGTTTAAGAAATTCCGGGGGTCACAGCGCGGCAGCGCATACATATTGGGTACATATTGCTCTCCACTTTTCTTCTTTGGGAACCGGGACACAGGTCTCATCATCAAGCCAGCTAAGGTCACATTGGTCACGTTGCCCAAGTTCTATGCCCGTTATATATCATCGCTACTATAAACGAGCCGTCCTCGATCGCTTAGCCGATATACAAACCGGGTACCCAATCTTCATCCTTTTTCTTTTTATCGGAATCGCGATTAACGAAAACAACAGCACATCTTTTCCTGGGAACGTTACCAGACTCTTTCAGAATACGGTAAGCTCCTATGTTCCATCAGTTAGATTGTTTTTAGTTCCCCATCCCGACCCGGAACCCACTGAGCACTGCAAGGCCGCCTTTTCCCCGACTATCCAACCAGAGTCCACCCGCTTGTCCGAATCTACCCCACGACCTAGACTCTTCGCTTGGGCGCCTTTCACTTACGACTCGCGACAACCTGACCCCGTGGGGTTGGTAACGTTTAGTCGTCATCGAGACAAACTAGGTACTTGGGTGGATTCCCAAATTAGGTACCTCTTATTGTTATTCAAAGTCTGACTTCATCTTCCACCTGCCCCCTTGTCTAGCTATTTGCGACATCACCACTACTGGTCTCGCGTGACTCTCTAGTAGACACAAGTACTAATACAAGATATAGATAGACCAACCTGTAGCAGATTGCAACCATTTCTGTTATTTAAGCCTTTTATATTAAAGCGAAAGTGCGACATTATATCACTCAGTGGTCGCCAATACAACTCGTTCGGGTTATTCGCTAGATCTGCTGCTCTGGTTGGAGGTAAGTGAGATTTTGTCTCATCTCTTGTACCCGTCTCTTGTACCTTTACCCAGCCCTCCCGGTAGATTCCCATGTCTCTACCTTCAAGCTATATAATCATCGGTCCTACGGATGAGTTTTTAGTCTATTTTAACACATTGTGGCCAATCACGTTGCTTTGGTGACATTATGCAAAGGATGGTATCCCTAACTGGCAGTGCTGTTCACACATGTGACAATGACTATGCACTCGGGTCAACAAGGGCAGGTCAAGCCTTAGGTCCTAGCTATGGATCCACTTCTGATCTATTCACTCTCGGGATCCTTTCTCATACTCGGCTTTTGGGATCATTTATAGTCTATCTCCCTTCCATGCCTTTCTCTGCTTCCTTTTATACCAAGTTATTCTCATGCACGGGTACCTCTCAAGTGTGATGCCACCCTACTGCCTTCAAGATTGTCATTACTTCTATCGCTCTGCTCTGCGCGGCTTGAGCATCAGCACTTGCATCTCACCCTTGTACACCTGATATATCAGAAGTATACTGACGAGATGCCAACCCAAGTTCGTATTTTTGCTATGCCAAAGTCTCTTGGCGAGACTCTAAATGCTAGCTCGTCTTCACCTACATCTCTTTCTATTCAAGAATACAAAAGCGAGAGACCGGCAAGCCCTGAACTTAGAAGTCGGTCTTCTATGATGGAGACAATACCGGAGAGACCTAAGGAAGGCGGAATCACATTTGCCAGCCAGGATAGCTTACCGAAGCTACCTATTCCGGAGCTAGAACAGACATGCAAAAAATACCTTACTGCCCTAAAGCCTTTACAAGGACCCAGGGAACATAGTGAAACGAAGCTTGCTGTCCAAGATTTTTTGAAGAGGGATGGACCTGAACTTCAGAAGATGCTACAAGAATATGCTGTTGGAAAGACAAGTTATATAGAACAATTTTGTACGTTCACTCTTATTGTACGATTAACCCTCTTGCTAACCCAATCCGTAGGGTACGACTCGTACCTCAACTTTGATAATCCTGTCGTCTTAAATTTGAATCCATTCTTTCTATTAGAAGATGATCCCACCCCGGCAAGGAATAATCAAGTTACCCGCGCAGCCTCGCTAGTCGTATCGGCGTTAGAATTCGTACGAGCGGTACGCCGGGAGGAGTTGCCTCCCGATACGGTCAAGGGGGTACCTTTGGACATGTACCAATACTCCCGACTCTTCGGTACGGCTCGAGTACCAACAGAGAATGGTTGCCAGATTGAACAAGACCCCGACTCTAAACACATTGTTGTGTTATGTCACGGCCAATTCTATTGGTTCGACGTGCTCGACGACAACTCGGACCTTATTATGAGCGAAAAGGATATTTCTATCAACCTGCAAACAATAATAGACGACGCAGCGCAAACACCAATTCAAGAAGCCGCCAAGGGGGCCCTCGGCATTTTGAGTACAGAGAATAGAAAGACTTGGTCGGGGTTGAGAGATGTTCTTACTAAAGAGGAGGGATCCAATAATGCGGATTGTCTTGGTATTGTCGATTCGGCATTGTTCATGCTCTGTTTAGACTATACAGGTCCGACTACAGCAGCAGCATTATGCCAAAACATGCTTTGCGGTACGAATGATGTTGTGAAGGGAGTACAGATTGGTACATGCATAAATAGATGGTACGATAAACTGCAAATTATCGTGTGCAAAAACGGAAGCGCGGGCATTAATTTCGAGCATACCGGCGTGGATGGTCACACCGTCCTTCGATTCGCTAGCGACGTTTACACGGATACCATTTTACGATTTGCGAGGACTATCAACGGTCAAGCACCTAGCCTCTGGAAAACGGCAAGCCCGGATCCATCGAAGCGAGATCCCGAGAGTTTCGGGGACGTCACCACCCTCCCCCACAAGCTAGAGTGGGATATCTCGCCAGAATTAAATATCGCCATACGGTTCGCGGAAACTAGACTCGCAGATTTAATTAGCCAAAATGAGTTTGAATGCTTGGATTTCAGTGGCTATGGCAAGAATTTTATCACTTCGGCGGGGTTCTCTCCGGATGCTTTTGTGCAGATGGCCTTTCAAGCAGCGTACTACGGGCTGTACGGACGAGTGGAATGTACGTACGAACCAGCTATGACCAAGGCGTACCTTCACGGCAGAACAGAAGCTGTTCGAACGGTATCAGACGAATCCGTCAATTTTGTTCAGGCATTCTGGGCGGATAATCCGGCCGAGGCGAAGGTAGAAGCGTTGCGCAAAGCATGCCAACAGCATGTCAATAACACCAAGGAATGTTCGAAAGGGCGTGGTTGCGATAGGCACCTCTACGCCCTATTCTGCGTGTGGCAGCGATATCTCGATGACGAGAACAGTCGTGCGCCCAGCAGTTTAGGATATTCCAGCCCAATCGAAAATGGCTCGGAACAGGGATCTGTGGTGGGTAGTCCAGGGAAAGAATCAGTCTTATCAATGAATGAGGAGGTACGATCACGCCAACGTGGCGACAGCACAAACTCACGATGTCAGGAACACCAGGTCCCCGCCATATTCGCCGATAACGGATGGGATAAACTGAATAACACGATCCTCTCGACGTCGAACTGCGGTAACCCCTCGCTTCGCCAATTTGGCTTCGGACCCACATCCGGCGGTGGATTCGGGATTGGGTATATTATCAAAGACGAAGGGATTAATATCTGTGTCTCGAGTAAACATAGACAGACGAAGCGGTTTATCGATACGTTGGAGAGCTATCTCCTAGAGATTAGACGCATACTGAGGATTACGAATCGCAAATCGACGAGCTTGAAACAGACCCGTGCGCGAGAGATTGATCCGGATAGTAAGCCGAGGAATTCGCATCATAGACTTAAGACACGTGGACGCATGATTACGGGCACTGAGAGCTTGAGGGCGCTTGCGCGGTCGTCGACGGGGACTAGGAGTCCGACGGAGGAGAGTTTGATGATGAGTGAGGATGATGAATTGGGTGGTTGTAAGTTCCCCTTTCTTTTACTGTATCTACTTATAATTGATGCTGACTGGCTTGTAGACGGCTTTTTCGATGCTGGGATGCTACTCCAAGCCTTAAAGGCGCGCGGCGAAGCGCTTGATCAGCAGGGTGAATCGAAGGCTTCGGAACGAGCGGCTGCGAATGCGCGAAGAAGAGAAATTGGAAAGAAGTTGAGGTTGGTAGAGTACTAAGATGATATTTATATAGAGATGTTGTAGTGTGGTGTGTTGTATAGATACTAGAGGAGTTTCTGCTAGAGAGAAGCATGGGTAGAGTGGAGGCTGTGCTTGTATAAGATTCTGGGTAAGAGATGTGAGAATGGAGGAAAAGGGGAGATGTGCATGTGTTATTGATAATGACATTCTTGTATATTTTCTTGAATGTATACCATAGCCGTTGAATGCATTTTATATATACTCAAACAGCGTTCGCAATTAAGCGGCATCTTATAGAAATACGAAAGCTATTAGGTGATCTCAATTTGAACTTAATTACACACATAACTCCCTACGAATGACTACAATTCAGGATATAGATTATTGATATGAAAATCGCTTCTAATCTTATTCATTTCATTTTACTCTCTTTTTCTTCCTCCTTAAAATGCCCCTATGCAGACTATAAAACTAGTAACAAATAAAACTCCCATAATGCAATGCTAGCTATATGATCCCAATATCAACACGAAGTAAATTAAAAACGAATTTATGTAACTAGTTCCTTCATAAGAATAGAAGACCCTTTTACTATTCCCTCGTAGAGTTTCTTTTTAGTAGGAGTTGGTGTCTTAACCTAACTCGTGTAACTGACCGTGGTGATTCGCGTTGTAATCCCGTTCGCCTACTACATTACCACCGGCTTCGTGCACGGTGGGAGGGACGTTGACGGCGTTGGGAGGGGGTGTATTTTGTTGCTGAACACCGTATGCTCCGGCTTGTTGGTTTTGGTTCCATCCAGAGTGTAGTGTCGAGGTCGGGCTTGTGGGAGGTTGCATGCTGTGGCGACCATCTGACATAGGACTTGTCGAGTCATTGCGATCGGGTAGCTGTGCAGGCGCTACGGTCGCGAAACCACCAGGCTTCGTGGGGTCGGGGTAGTAACCTGGTTGTCCCTGGAGAGGGTACTGTTGGCTGTAGTGTGGGTTGTAAGGAGGTTGTGGTTGTTGCGGGAAACCAGGGGCACCGGCGATGGGCGGGCTGCCCGGTCCACCAGGTCCTTGCATTTGGGGGTTAGCAGCGGCGGCAGCTGCAGCATCTGCCTTCTTCTTTTTGTTGTGGCGGACTAGGAAGAAAATACCAACACCGATCAATGCGAGACCGGCTACACCACCTACGACACCACCGGCAATAGCACCAACGTTGGTCGATGAAGACTTCTTGGCGCTATTCTTGGAATTGTCTGATTCCTCGTTGCTATTGTCGTTATTGCCTCCCGAAGTTTGACTTGCGGAACCACTGGTAGACGGGTGAGTATCTGTGTCGTCATCGTCGTCGTCTCCTGCAGTAGTCTGGGTTGGCTTCGAAGTAGACGTGTCATCCGATAGCGTGACAACAACAGGCGTGAAGGATCGGCCATCAGTTTCGCCATGGTAAGTGGTGTAGAGCTGTTGCGGTGTTGAGTCGGAAACGGTATCGCAGTAGAAATCCTGGATACCGTTGGAGAATGTGACAGTACCGCAATACGGCGCGCTTGCTCTGGTACTGTCGAGGTATGAGCGTCTTGGTAGTGATTATTGAGATAGTATAAAACTTACCACTTGACGGTGTATGTATCTTGAACACAACCGCCGTCACAAGCACTTGACAACATAAACTCCTTGTAGTCAATGCAAGCGACTCGGAGACCGCACTCGTCGCCATCACAACAGGCGACAGCACCGTATGTTGACGTGGTAACCAAGGCACAGGTTACATCTTTTCCGTTACAACTATATACAGCACCTATAAATTTTGTCAGCTAAGTGTGACTCCTTAGTGGATGAGATAATTTCATACCAGGTCGTCCATCGAAGAAACCGCATGTGTTATCCGGGCCTACGAGAACCGTATCTCCGCCTTGTCTCTTGGCCAACTCGTGAATACTTGGCGGAATCGTGATCGCGGGTAGTTGAAAGGTCGGGTTCGGTATAACACCAAAAGTTGGCTGGGCTGGCCTTCCATCGAAAGCCAAGGCTTGAGCAGCGGTGATGAACACCGCTGCAGACAGGAGGGTCGCCATGCTAATGCCTGAGGGGAGACCTAATAGTCGATATTGGACGCCTATATTTCCTACGTCAAGTATATCGAGGTGCTATTCAACCCCAGCAGGTTACGGATAACGGCAAGTCACCTACGGAAACAGACGAAACGAAAAACACAACGCGAGCGCGGGTGTAGGGGCATCCTCGTCTTTTTATTAGATGAGGAGGCCCTCGGACGGACTATAGCCCGACTTATTCACTGCGCCCGAACGGTAGTGTCAATCGCAAGGCGCATTTTGTCCCAATTCTAGACAAGCGACGAGCGATTATCTCGCTTTCGTCGGGTTTTCACAGACTAAAATGAAGGGTCCCGCTCAGCCTTGAGCCATACCATTTCTTGCATGGGGAGATTAGAAGCCAAGCATCACGGACCAACGCAGCCAATAGCGAGACGGTAGGATACGGGATGGCGCGCAGGAGCTGAAAAGCTATCCAGGGACTTTCGGTGTTGACGCCAAGAAGCTATACTCGATAGCTTCGCACGCGACCTGTAGAGAAGTCGGGACTCTTCCTACATTGGCTTGGTAGAGCGGAGAAGAATGTACTCCATGCGTAGGGATTAGCAAGTCGATCTGAGTGATTTGACAAGTTTGTAGTTCTGTAGGTACTTTTGCTCTTTCGCAAAAGAAGCCGAATTGATCTTCGGGGCCCAGCGGGTTGTTACCACGGGGTGACCCTGTGATGCCCAGACCAGACGCCCGGGTTGTATTGTGTCTTTGTTTTAGTGCCGTTTATTGTTGCATTGCGGCTGAAAAAAGGGCTGTAATCCTTTTGCAAATATTTCAGGTTCTTATGAATCTCAGCTCCATATATAGTTGCCGCGATGCTACATACCATAATACCTAAGGATATGTTGATTATGAATTGCTGTCACTTGAATCCATTTGCACGCTTGTTTGACAGCCATCTTTGGTAGCCCGACAACTAACCAACCGGAATCGTGGTTGGGAATAGCGTCGAATTTCGAGTCTAGACTTGGTGCACACTAGACTAGCCCGGGCCACAGGGTGCAAAAGGACTTTGATTTTAAATCCTGTGGACCTTTGGTTATAAGCGATTGGGTCGGCTTGAGACACCAACAAGTACTGCTGACACACAGGTCTGGAAAGGTCTTTTATGATGGATTTTTTAGGTGGCGTTCAAAAGTATCGTGTTGCTGTCGGAGTTGTTTTTTGAAGAAGAAATTGGTCTCAAAAAGCAAAACCTCAACGAATTGAGGACGGCGATGATTCCGTTGTAGCGGAATGAGATGCGCTTTACCTCTTTGAGAAAGTGCCTAGTCCTAACGAGGAGCACTTAGGCGAAATATTAGGGAAGCGATAGCCCACTGATTGGTGGTTAGTTTAAGCCTTCAAGAGGTATGATTGGCCTTCCCGATGTGACCCAATAACCTTGAACATAACCTTAAATTTGTAGCTGCCGCGAACTCCCCACTTACAAATGAACCTTGGGTAATTTGTTCCCGTCCCGCCTAGCAAACCAAATCCCCTAAAATACGGCGACTAAACTTCAACCATAACACCGAAGTCACCTGACATCGCGAGATCCAACAAGATCGATAGACTAGGCGGTCGGTCGCTATTTGAGTTTGGATCTCGCAAGGGTAGACGCGGTTTGAATCGGCATACCTATATACCTGCACTTGAAATACAGATGTGAGCCGCCTCATGACAGATCTGTCGCGGGTCCTGCCGGATTTCCCGATCGGCCGTTACGCCAATTTACTACCTACTATCGAGAAGCATGGTCTGACTACCGCCGACCTACTTACCCTACAGGTTCCTGATATCGGCAGACGTACTCAATTACCATTGCTTGATATTAAGCGCCTATGCGCTGCCGTGCTAGGAGCTTTACATGCTGATCTCGGAGTTTCGGACAATCAGCAATGGAGTAGTCATGATACGGAAAGCGGGACGGAAGGACTGACGCATACTGGCACTCAGCTTCTCGTCACTCCCTTTCGTACTATTAGCACCCTAGACGACGATCTCGATCGTGCTCTTGGTGGTGGAGTCCCCGTCGACTATGTCACCGAAATTACGGGCGAAAGTGGCGCCGGCAAAACGCAACTTCTTCTGACGTTGCTTCTCGCATGCCAACTCCCTCCTCCACGTGGTCTCGGGCGCCCAGCTCTTTATGTCTCTACCGAGGCGCCTCTATCCACACGGCGTCTAGCGCAACTTCTAGCACATAATCCGTATCTCCGATCTCTAACCGAGGATGAAGATGCGCCCCCAAAGCCATCTCTCGACAATATAGTCGGCACTGTAACCCCAGATCTCGAATCCCAGGACCACATCCTAACCTACCAAGTACCCGTTGAAGTAGCACGGCGCAACGTAGGTCTCCTAGTCCTAGACTCCGTCGCCGCCAACTACCGCGCTGAATTCGAGCGCGGCGGTCTAGGTTCTAGTGGTAATAACAAAAACCTCGCCGCACGCAGCCACGAACTCACGCGTCTAGGCCGGCACCTGCACGAGTTAGCACGAAAACACAACCTCGCCGTCGTCGTAGCGAACCAAGTAGCAGATCGGTTCACAGGTAGTGGATTAAACGGCACTCTTAAAAGCAGCGCCTCAATCCCACAACCCTTCTCCCTCCCCCGCGTATCGCAAGAAAGCCCACTCGCACGACGCAGTAAAACCCTACCTTTACATATAACACCAGGTATCGACCCACCAAGCAGCGACACACCAAACCTGCCCTCCTCCCTACGCTCCAGCATGCCCGAACCACCCCCCGAAGACCCCCCCGCCCCCCCAGCTCTCCTCCTCGACCACCAACAACGCTGGTTCACGGGCTGGGGTGACGAATACCCGTACTCCCCTAACCCCAGCATCAGCGATCAAAACCTAAAAACACCGAGTCTCGGTCTAGTCTGGTCGACCCAAATCGCATCCCGCATATCACTCTACAAACGCCCTGTCTACGGTCCAAAAGAAGTCCTCGAAGACCAGGATGGGGAAAGCACGACTACGTTGCGGAACTGGCGTCGATGGATGAAAGTTGTTTTCGCCCCGCATGTGCCGGGTGGAGGGCCGGGGTTGGGCGGTGCGGTCGAGTTTGAGGTTACTATGGGAGGACTGAGGGGGGTTGATCGAAAGGGGAAGGCGAAGAAGAATAAAGAGAATAAGAAGGTAGATGATGAGGAATAGATGATGAAATGGAGTAAGGCGGAAGTGATGTTACCATTACTGGGCTTAGGTTATATACAAACTGCATGGATATTATACCAAAGAATTGGAGGCACTTTAGACTCTTGACGTACAGTCAAGAATATACACAATAAATCAACGAATACCAAACCCGCATATCAAAGTAATCACATCTATAAGTCACTTGTAGAATATCTCGAGTAATTATTTGCAAATCCCAGTCTTATTTTTGTACCTAGAAGAAGCCTAACGCGCCAAGTCATGCCAATGCTATGCTTTTCCATGCACAAATAACGCCGCCCAGATGCTGATCAAAAGTATCTAATTCACATTCCCCTCATTACATCATCTCGGGTGCGGGAATTCATCCTCCAACTGCAGTCTTACACCGACGTTCATGCTGATGAGTTCTTGAATGAGCAACTTCGCAGCATACGGCATAGTCATGCGGGCGACTTCGTGACTACTGCGGCACGTACTACAGTACCCCTTGTAACCAAAAAGACCACATCGTTCGCATATGTCAATCTCAGTTGCGTCCGAGCTGATCATTAGACGCTCGAGAAGAAGTTGCGAAGCGCCGTAAGCGATCAAACAATCTCGTTCCATTTCTCCGAGACGAAGACCACCGTCCCTGGATCGACCTTCAGTAGGTTGACGGGTAAGGATGGCGCGGGGGCCACGTGATCGGGAGTGCATCTTATCTTGAACCATGTGCTTTAGTCGCTGGTAGTAGATAGGTCCGTTGAAGATGTAGGCTTGTAACGGCTCGCCTGTTATTCCCGACGTGAAGTAATCCTTTCCTTCCCAGGAAAATCCGGCATCAACTAATTCCCTACTCATATGTTCGAGAGGGTGAGATCTGAAAGCGTCACCGTATCCGTAATCTTTGCGCCCTTTAACTACCGAAGCCTTGCCCGTTAAGCATTCGAGCAACTTGCCGACCGTCATACGAGACGGGAAACCATGGGGGTTCATGATAATATCAGGTACGAGGCCCGTGTCCGAAAATGGCATATCTTCCTGATCCACGATAATTCCCACCACACCTTTCTGTCCGTGTCGTGAGGAGAACTTGTCTCCCAGTTCAGGTCTCCTGGTCTGTCTAGTCTGGACCTTGACGAGCTGAGTCCCCCTTTCTGTCTGGGAAACCATAACCTTGTCAACATACGCCGGATCTGACAGACGATACGACAGTGGCGTCTCGCGGAATTCCTGCCCCTTGGATCCTGCTCCGAGTACAGGGGTTATATCCACGGGGCTCTCTTTCTTGATGAGCACGTCACCGTTGTTGACGGGGTAGCCTACGTCAGCCAACCCGTCATGACCAAGTGCTATATTTTTCGCCTGGGAATCATCCTTGTCTCCAATCCTTTCGCGACTCCCATTGGCGTATTTCTGGAGGTCCGCAGTGTACTTGCGGAACACCTGAACTCGTCCGAACCCACGATCGCAGGACGCCTTATTTAGAACGAGAGCATCTTCGATATCGTAACCCGAATACGACATGACGACTACGGTCGCATTTTGCCCAGCGGGCAGCTTGTCGTAATGTATAAGTTCGATAGTCTTTGTGATAACCATCGGTCGTTGAGGGTAAACCATAGTATATAGAAGAGTGTCGATGCGGTTGAATTGGTTGTAAGCAATAGCTCCGATAGCTTGCTTACCCATAGCACATTGATACGTATTTCTGGGAGATTGGTTGTGATGAGGGAACGGAATTAGGCCGGCAACAGCCCCTAGTATCGTGCATGGTTCGATTTCGAGATGCGTCGTCGCTTTAGTGATATCCTTCTCATAGAGGGCCACTAGCGTGTCGTTCTCTTCGTTAACATCGAGATACTCGACAATGCCTTGCTTTAAAAAGTCATCAAATGTAGCATTCCCAGCTTGTAGCATTCTTAGATGACTTTCTTTTATCTTTGCCTCGCCGTTTTTGACTATTATATACGGTCGGCAAATGCGTCCCTCGTCGGTAGCGATATGTACGGCCGAGAGGTTGTTGTTGACGTTAATGCTAACAAATGGGGATACCCACCCTCGTCGCCTCATAGTACGGAACTTAGCAGCGAACCGCTTAGGATATCGCGCTAAGGCAAAAGGAGTACCATTGATATAGACAATGTACGTACCCTTTCTATGCATTTCGGATCCAGAGAAGCACCGAAGAGGTTCGAGCCCAGAGTCCAGCGTGAACGCCCATTTCTTAACAGGGTCCTCTTCCACGTTGGTCGTAATATGCGTCATAAGGGCCAGGTTTTTAATCAAACCACAAGCCTCACCTTCGGGTGTATCAGAAGTACATAACATACCCCATTGAGAAGGTTGTAGAGCACGAGGACCACTGACTTTTCTTGTCTTTTCGAACTGACTGCTTATACGAGTCATCATTCCAAGGGCGCTAATGTAACTGAGACGGCTCAGAACATGCGTCACACCAGCTCGGTCCATCTTGAATCGCTTCACACTCCAATTACCCGTCTGTATGGCTCGATTCATACCTTCGGTAATGTGTTTTCCTTGAGCACCGACATGTACTAGAGGATCTACGGCGATAGCGCGATTTTGTTTCCTCAGGTTCATCTCGACTGCGGTCTTGAGTTGGGCCATAAAGTTCTTGAATAGATCTTCAAATAGCAGGGATAGAAGTTGTCCTGCCAACTCCAATCGTTTGTTGCCAACGAAATCTCGATCATCGACCAACTTCGGGTTATATCGGGCCATGAGTACGCGACGGACCATCATAGCGATGTAGATAGCTTTGGGGTAGAAATCTAGACCTTCGACGGAGATATGTGCGATGATGAGGTTGGACAGGGCGTCAAGGCCTTCTTCGATGGTACTACGTCGAGCTTGAGGCGGACCCCCTGCTTGTCTTCCTCTGCCACCCATCTTTACCCTTGCCCCAATAAAGTCTAACGCTTGCTGCTGTGTGAAAACACCATTCCTGGTCGCTTCTTCGAAGTTAACGGCGAAATCGTCCTGGAATCTCCCATCGGATCCACAGACGAGATACATTATCTCGTAGTCGGAGAGTCCACCAAGCGCTTTGAGGGCAATTACGATTGGTATGTTCTCGACGAGGACGTTATGTTGAAGCATAATCCGATCCTTTTTCCAAACCACATAAGTCTTGGATTTTCTCTCATGAGTAGAACTAGTGACTGATGCCATAATAACACTGTTCTTCTCGTCTGCCTCAACAATGACTCGGTTCTTGCTCAGCTGCTCCTGGACAAGGATGACCTTCTCGGTTCCGTTGATGATGAAGTATCCACCAGGGTCAAGGGGACATTCGTTCATGAGCTCCATCTGAGCGTTGTTGGCATTGTATAGTCGACATTTATTGCTTCGTAACATAACCGGCATGCGAGCGAGTTCAACATTACGGCGAATGATCTTCTGTTTCTCACGGGTATATGCGATATCAACGAGGATCTTGGCGGAATACGTTATGTCTCGTAAGCGACATTCCATAGGTGTGATCTCATTTTGTATTCTAAACTCGTCGAATTCGGAACGATCCGGGGGAGCAACCCGGATATCCATAAATTCAATCCAGAAACTACTGTCGACATCGCTCTTGAGAGTGCGGTTGGCTTTGACGATTTCCTTAATCTCATGATCCACGAAAAAGTTGTATGAGTCAATATGTCTGGCAGTTCTAATTAGTATTCATGAAACATAAAGTACCTAGGTAGCAATTATCTGGAACATACTGTTTTACTAGACCTAGCAGAGAAAATAATGTTAGCATATATATATATATATATATTTGTTGAATTATGATGTAAATTTTATATTATATATACCTTTGACCTTCAAGAACGCCGGTAGTAATTGGTTCTTGTCGTCGACGGTGGAGATAGGGTCAGTCAATTTCTTTCCGTTGTAGAAAGGCTCAAGAAGAGCCTCAAATCCGTCATCGATGTAAGGCATCTTGACGACGTAGCATTTTTCATGCAGATTTACGCCGGGTGAATTGTGAGGATTATGAGATGACTGTCGCCGACAGGATCAGCCTCATTCGCTGAATAGTTGACTAAAGCGCGTGGCGGCGTATGTCCCCCACCAAAGAAAAAAAAAAGTAAAGATGAGTGATGGATCGGCGCCAAGCCAGGCAGGTGAATTAGATTAGGTAAGGTGGGGTTTTATGAGTGCCGTGCCGTGCTCAAAGCTTAACGTCGGATTAACACAGTCCTCCGCGGAAAGTAAGACAAGTACCTTTTTAAGTGCACGAATAGAATTTGAACCAATCAGATAGTTATGGTCCGTGCGCGTGATTGAGTACCTAGGTACACGGATGACTCCACGGGGAAAGGAGCTAATGGAAGAATTTACGAACCGGAGATTTTTCACCTCACAACCAACGAATGTAAACTGTGGAAAACTAAAACATATTGATGCCTTCATGCCTAATTCTGTTCGATTTTCATTTACTAACTAGAGTTTTCCTCTAACGTACCTACTATGCATTATCGGTGGACCTTCAAACGATGTCAATTAGCACTTGTTGCTTACTTGCAGAGCGCATCCCATGGGGCGAATATATTTCGCAATACCCGTTCGGGTCACCATAGAGCTGGAGGGTATCCCTCTTGTTGTTCGGTGTCCAGTATGCGCCCCCCTTGACGAAAAGGTACATATCTCTATTTTTACCAATGTATCATTCTCTTGATACATACAGATGTACATACATACATACATACATACATGGTCATCAGGGACGTTTATGTGTATGAAGAATTCCAGCGAGTGGGTAGACGGAGTACAGCCAAGTGCCAAGAGCCGAGCTCAACCATCGTAGATGAGCCATTTCAGCCCCTCTTTACCCCTCCATCGTCGTGTGCAGACACATTTTGCTGCCCCTCGCCCTCACTCAACCGCTGCTTCTGCAGCTTGCCTGCAGATTCACTGCAGGAGACTATACGCTGTGCTGGCAGATCGATCCGCCGTGCATTGGCCTGTGAGGTTGCCTTATCCCCTTAGGCAAGATGTGGAAAGGAGACGACAAATTTTACCTGGACTATATACGCTAGCCATCCTACTGCAGAAATTTCGTCATATCCGCAAGACCTGGTTAGTTGTAAATTGAGAAACCATCCAAAACATAACAAAGGAGGGGTTTCCAAGGCGGGGGATATACGATGAAATTTTCCCTCCTAGGGAGATACATAGCAGTACGCTGGAGGGGAATTTTGGGATTTGTTATTTTGGATCATCAATGTGCCTACCTAAAGTGTACTCGGTTTATTGTTAGTAATCCTCGCGACTTATCCCAAGCCAGTTCCAGACCCTTTTCTATCATCAGAGATCGCCATAAAACCGCATCTAGAATCTCATGTTTTTCGAGCCTCGTGCCCTCCTCTGCCGCCCTAGCATTCAATCATGAGGATCGGCCCAGAATATTGGATACATCACACACAAGATAATTTACGCCTGTCGGCCTTTATAGGGAGGTTTATATATGAGATTGTCTCCTTGGGTCGAGCATATGCAAGCCACAATCGCGCATCGTGATCCAGCGTATCCGGGGAAAGGAGCTGTTTCTCTCCCGGGCTGGTTGGGTGACGTGCAGACTCTCTCTACTGGGGCAGCTAAGTTCTCTGGTACCTGGGCAAAAGTCGGTGAGCCGAAACAGGGATACCATCGTAACCGCCCAAGCCATTCAAGCCATTTTGTGTAGGATACATTGGATATCTGTTAGTAACTCAGGATTTGTCCCATATTAATGATACAGATGCATTAACAGCCTACATCAAACGTCCTTAATATTGCCACTGGTGTAAGTTACTTAGGTATAGTTGGAAACTTGTTCTAAGCCATGGCTGGAGTATAATAGTTTTTTTCGGCGATCATCGCGCTATAGTCCAACGACATAGCATTAGTCTCAGCTGGGGGGTCATCACCCACGGGTTCGGGTCTAAATGAGAAGTAGGCAAAATAATGCGAGTACCAATCGTAATAATCGTGAGAGATGGATCGGGTAACATACATTAGTCGAAGGGATAGGGGACATGAACAAAGAGGTAACGTTCATCTCAACCAATATCCGTCAATCTTAGAGCCGCGCTAAGAGCCCTTTAACAAAGGTGAGGTCTAGGCTCGATCCGAAACTTCAAGGAGGGAAGGACCCTCACGCGGGTAGTAGACGCACGAGACGGCTAACAGGATATGGCAAGATGTCAAGTGGCGTTGCATAGTGAAGTGTCGAAGTAGCTTACAGTCCTAAATGGTAGATCGGTACCATTCCCGGAGCAAGTACCGAATGAACATGGCTTGAGGAGAGGAGCAACCTCTACAAAATGAAATTATGCGTCACCTTGCTTTCCAGCTTGACACGTTGTACTGAGGAAGATCGAAACAATGTCTTAGAATTCGGTATTTGGCGATTTGATGTGGCTGTTCTAATGTGATTGCTGAATAACTAATTCTTTTCTTGGCTCCAACACCCGTACGCCGGATAAATGCGTCAAATTCTAGAATTAGTAGAGCCAGAGGGAATGTATCCATTGCATCCCATTGTATACATAGTGTACCTAGGGTAGGAAAGAAAACCAGCTAGACGCTTGTTAATTTCGAGACTCGTAGAGACCCCATGCCAAAGGACCTATGAGAAGTCGTCTCGTAGCAAACTGGAACCGGGACGTGGATAAGTCATCTGTCCAACCAGAATTCGAGGATGTATAATCCCAATTTATACCTCTGTCCTCTTGCATGCAACCATTCCCTTTGTGGGGCCTGCTGAACTGGGAGACAGAGCACACATATACCATCCGATGATACAGATGGAGGCTTGGGTACCTTTTTTTCGCTGCTGCAAGTCGGCATTGGACAACCGAACGGAGGAGAAAGACGGGCGGATGAATCATCTTACGCTTTCAAGTTGGGCTGGGTTAAGTCAAGTCAACTCAAGTCTAAACCTGTCTACATTAGCTGTCTGCATCATGCATCCGTGCGATCCTATACACCATAAAGGGAGAAATAGAAGAGTATTATGTATACCATTTCGACATCCATCGCGATGGGATGGGGGTCGAATTCGTATTATTCGCAGTTCCGGGAGTTTCCCCCCGCACTTACAATTATTGAGGACGATGGGGTATGGAGAGAGCCCGCAGATCGGCCGTGGCTTGGGCTGATGTTATTGAGAGTAAAGAAAGAAAAGAAATAATAATATTTTGGTAACTGGTGACTATGTACCTAGGTACCTAGTGATAGGTAAAAGTTCCGCTCACCGCTCCCCCGTCCCCCTCTAGTTTGAAGCAAGCTCCTCCCATCTAACCAATCCCGGCTCGTGGATGATGCCAGGGGTAACCAGGTACCCAGATTAATTTCTTACCTTTTAGAGTTTATCAGGTCTTTTAAATCCCGTCGCATCGAAACGGTCACTTATACTTATTATGACCAGGCATAGGCCATATAATACTCAACCAAAATATCGATTATATTTGTACCTGTCAAAGAGGGGATGCATACTATTCGTTGTAAATGCTACATGTATTTATATCCTATTATCATCAATCTTACAGAAATATTGACGGGACATCAATCGAAGCTAAATGCAAGTGATTTTTAATCATCTTACTAGCACCGAAGCCGTCTCCTTTTTTTGCGCGGCTGGGCTGGACCCTTAACTCCACCCTTTTTTTTTCTGCTTCGGTTCCCAACTCTTTGGTTAGAGTTCACGGCCAGCGCCGGCGTTATCAAGTTTAGTTTCGTACATATATATATATTCAACTAGAAAAATAAGGGGAAAAGCAATTCGCCTATAATCGAAATAAATCAGTCTATTTTAATTGACTCAAATTGAACTGAATTGATTGAATTGAACTAGTGCTTCAACTTGTCATTGATGGCGCTCGCCTACTCAGCATTTTAAATCCACCTACCTATATACATGTATGTTCTATTCCTTTAATAGCAGCCACTTTTGTTTGTTCCACTAACATACATGTGTATAATCCACTACATTTTCAAAACTTACCTTTTAATAATTGACATTTCTTGTAAATGTTACCTATACATTCATCTCACCATAATAATTAATATTAACCCCTCTCTTACACATACAAAAGTACTCAGGTACAATGTGTAAGTGATACATGGGGGGTAAGGCTTCACGATACCTCCATCAGCATCAACCTCAGATGAAGAAAAACAATACAAATAACTTACAGGGTTGAAGGTACGAAGAGGGTACGAAGAATGGTAGCATCGACGCCGCGGCTAGTACACGTAACCTTAGTGCGTTAGGCTCTTGTTAAGGTGGGCAAGGGACCAGGGAGTAGGGAGGGGAAAGTCGGTACTATATATGTACTGCCACAACACACAGGAATATCCATCCCAATCCACACAATCCAAAAGTATATTTCTTGTACCTCTTCGATGTCGCTTAGGGTCCTGGGATACATCCTGGACGATTTGTACCACCAAACAGACTCGACCAGGGGGGTGGGAATGGGTTTAACTAGCATAACTTAGCATAACTGGAGGCAGGAGTAGCACGGGAGTAGTACAAGAGGAGGTACATTACAGGAGGTACCGAGTACGGCTTAGAGCGAAGTATTAGTGGTGAGAGTGGGAAAGAAGTAGAGTGGTAGAGTGGGAAGGAAGAATGGGCTGGTTCAAGGTTACGGCTTTGTCCCAATTCTGCTAATTCTTCTGCTAATTCCTAATTCTGACCTCCCTGTGCCCTGCGCCTGTGTGTGCTTGTGCTTGTGCCTCGTCCACTGTCCACTCGCAGCAGTTGAAACATCTGAGTCTCTTATTTTTTTCCCTTCGCACAACTCCACACTCTTTTATAATTATCATTATTATATTTTTGTTGTTGTTGACTTTTGCGCCTTTGCAAAATTCTTTTCCTTTCTGTGCTGCGCTGCCGCTCCTGGCTCTCCAGGGCTGCATTCTGCGTTTTGTGCTATACTTGTTCTCATCAACGGTGAGTGATTGAAACCAAAGCCCGCCTTGTCAACAGCCGAGAAGCCATTGCCCTCTCCAATTGTTCCGCACCCCCCCTTTGAGACACCGTCAACCTGCCTCGCCTCGCCCCGCGTAAGTCGAATGTCGAATGTCGAAAGAGGGAGATGCGAATAGGAGATGGGAAGATGAGGAAGCGGCGCGCACAGTTGTTGTTGTTGATTAGCTGTAGCTATCGTGGAAAACCCCACGTTGCGTCCTGAAGAGGAGGAGAAACAAATGCAAACTCGAACTTCCCCCCTTTGCGACTTGTGTGTCATCGTGTCTCCAAGTGTGCTGACTGATTGTCTTCTGGAGTCGCAGTTTATAGAAAACCCCCGGTGATTGCCAATTTGGCCTGTACGAAAGCTTTTGATGTTGTAACAACAGTAACATGGATGATTATCGTTTTCGCGCTCAACAATCCCCGAGGAACGAAGCGCCAATGAATTCCCTTGTCTCACCGCAGAGAAATGGCAGGCCTATGCCTCAGCCAGCCTCGCAGGATCCTCGAACCGTTTTGCCTCGACGATTCACTACCGACTCGGGGCGTGTACCAACATTGTCCACTATATCCACCCAGCGTTTACCGGAACCCCAAGAATATACCGCCGTGAGTCTTTCCAATTTGGTTCTCGCGCTAGGCATCGTGGATAGAATGGTTGTCCAGTCTTGCTGGAACTATATCGAGCATGTCTCAATGCTGCTAGTTGCATGTCTTGCCCTGGTGAAACTTGGTAGCTAACATTGGTCATCCCAGAACCAGTATAAAGTACAATTGGTAAGGCTACCTTTCCTCCCTAGCATCGGGCGGTCGTCCTTCTTCTGCACGTCGCAAGTGTGCGCGTGCTCTCGGTAGCCATACCTACTCATGATTGCTGCTATAATTAAATCAGTCGAATCTAAGCTAATAACTTGTGTAGTTAGAGAAAAAGAAATTCGAGTATGAGAAACTTAGAGAACAGAAGCGGCGTTTTGAAGCCGAAATGCATAAATTGGATCAGCAGCAAATGAGGGACGAATTTGATATCGCTCAGATGCAGGAGGATTTAGGTCGAGGAAGTAACATGACGGGTCACCAGTCCGAGCCGACGACGCCTCCTGAGTATCGAGAGACGGCAACTTCGGGTTTCCCCACCGTGTTCTCTCGTCCTAATCGTTATTCAACTCCTAGCCTTGGCTTGGTCTCTCCGCCAGGACTTTTCACCACTCGATCAGGAAGATCAGGCTCTCAAATTGCATCTCCCCAATCAGGAATTCTCCAGTCCCGCTTTTTCGACGACCCTCTGCCATCCCGCTCAGTACCTGGCTCAAGAAGGAACAGTGACGAAGACGAGAAGGAAGAGGCTCTTCGGCAAGATCCTACTAGCCATCGGTCAACTAACGCGTAAGTCCAACAGTGTATTTCTTATTTTTCTTATTTTTCTTAGGTGGGGTGGCTTCACTCGTCGAATAATCATGTCCGCACATGTGTCATAAGCACAGGGTCTCCCTAGGTACTCGAGGTGGTAGTAGTGTTGAAAAAAATCTTCTCGTTCATTACACACTGGGCAAGATCAATGGGCACCTACCTAGGTAGTGGGAAACTAGGTATCCTAAACCTGGCTGGCGGCTGCCCAATTGGTAGTTACGAGCTCAGGAGGTGGTCTACCCACCACTGGCTACAGTGCAAGTGCTCACAAACAGCCCTACCCTCCTGGCCACTCTGATTTGGTTCACCTCTTTTTTTTTTCTAACCACTCCCCGGAACTGTTCTTACTGATTAGAACAAACAATTTCCCTCCTCACCTTTTCTATTTCTACCTCACTACTCTTCTACCTTCTCTAGAAAATTCATTCCTCCTTCAACCTTTTTACTTCACACCAACATACATCATTCCTTCACCTCTACTCAGAACATCCATTCCCTTACTTCTACAACCCCAACTCATAACCGCATACACTTGTGGCTCCCTTGTAATCTCGAGACTTCCCTCGAGATTTCACTTTCGATCTTTTTTGCCTTGGAATCACGAGGCGTCACTCTTCACCAATACGACTACGGATTTCAGCAGTCACTAACCTAAGAAATCCCCCTCAGTCTTAATCGCTATTCTATGCCAGTTACTCGCCGTGGTAATATCTACGACAACATCGATCAGACCAACACGGCTGGTTTTCTCTTTAGAGACGACGAATCTTCGATAGATCTCAGTGCCTTGGCGAACATCGATACCAGTGAGGACAACTTCCCTCAGCTTTACGCTCAGAAAGGCAACCCCAACGTGGTAAATAACTCCCATTTCACAGCACTCTTTTTCTTCCCTTAATCGTACCTCCACCTTCCCTCTCCGCTTAAACTTGTGCCTTCACTATCTTGTAATTTTCCCCTATTATTCCCCCCCCCCCAACCCGCTCGCTAAGTGCCTGCCTACTACACGCACATATACCTACCCCACTGTTGCCTTCTCCTTATCTTGGCCTGTGCATCAATTGCTGTACCTACTATTTCTTTTTTTTAATCTTCAGTTTCTGTTCCTGCCAAGGGATTCCTCGAATCATTTCTTCGTTCAACTGTGTACCTGGGTACATTACACTGTGCACACACATTTTTCTCTCAAATTTTTCATGTGTGCATAGTCCACGCACAGTACATGATTTTTATCAACCCCTGCCCCACACCAATGGAATTCCATTTTCTATTCCCTTCACAACATCTTTCCTTCACCCACCCAATTTATTTCTTCACTCATTCATTCATTCATTCATTCATTCACCTTGATACCTTTTTCTCTTCCTAGCAGCTGGTCTTTCCTGACTTGACTTCACTCTTCACTTAAACTAATCACCTCTTTTCAGTTGTCTGCTTCTTCTGCTGCAGTCGATCTCGCATCTCAACGCGCAAGTGGTGAAACCACTCCTACCAACGGTTGGTCTAACATTGCTCGCCATCGACAACAGCAAAGCCTTTCTCAGATCAATTCTACCGATACAATGGCTCCCAGTCAAGTTGGATCTTCCGCCGACACCACTCCTCTTGGTAACCGTTCTTTCCGCCACTCTCTTGATCTAAACCAGTACCGAGAGCTTAACGCCGAGTCTGCTACCACCTCCACTATGTCACCTTCCTCCACCCAGGTCATGGCTACCCCTCCTAAGCTACAGACCTCTTTCTCTTCTACTGAAGTCACCAAGGGTATCCCTAGCGCTACCATGACTCCCTCTGGCAATGCCAATGCCCATGCTCAGCAGCATTTCCACAACCACAATGCAAGCATGGGTCGCATTCCCCCTGGCGCCCTTAAGCGTCACAGCCGTGAGCTTTCTACTGGTGACCACACTGCTGTCACCCAAGCTGGTGTAGCTTTCCCTTCCATCCAATCCCAACTACAGGGTGGTGCCCCCGCTTTTGGCCCTATTGCCTCAAGCCAGGCTGCTATGCAGTCACCCGTCTCGGCTGGAGGAGCTTCCGCTGGCTCGCCTGCACTTGGTTCTTACCCCTTCTACAATGGATATGGTCAGACAGCCCCTAACGGTGCCGGTTACCCTATGAACATGTTGGCTTTGAACATGCAGAACATGGGTCTCAACAACTATCCTCCCCAGAACTACCCTGGTTACGGTCCTACTTATCAGAATCACGGCCAACCCCGAGATTCCCAGCAACGCGTCATCCAACAACGCCGCACCCAGGATAGTAACGAGGCCATGAGCCGCTACGCAAACCTGTCCTTGGATCAGGTTGGAGGAAACATCTATGAACTTTGCAGGGACCAGCATGGCTGCCGATACCTACAGAAGCAGCTCGAGAGCCGTGACCCTGAGCAGGTTCATAAGATTTGGAGCGAGACTAACCCCCATGTCGTCGAGCTTATGACGGATCCGTTTGGCAATTACTTGTGCCAGAAGCTTCTTGAATATTGCAACGACGAAGAGCGTACTGTACTCATTCAGAACGCTAGTCAGGACATGGTCCGCATTGCGCTCAACACTCACGGTACCCGCGCGTTACAGAAGATGATCGAGTTTGTTTCTACTCCTGTTCACATCCAGCTGATCATCGAAGCCCTCCAGTATCGTGTTGTGGAGCTTATCCAGGACCTCAATGGCAACCATGTCATTCAGAAGTGCCTTAACAAGCTCAGCGCACAGGATGCGCAATTCATCTTCAATGCTGTCGGCAACAACTGCATTGAGGTTGGCACTCACCGCCACGGCTGCTGCGTTCTACAGCGATGCATTGATCATGCTACCGGAGAGCAGAAGCTATGGCTCGTTACCAAGATCACTGAAAACGCCACACGATTGGTTCAGGACCCCTTCGGCAACTATGTGGTCCAATACATCATTGACCTCAACGAGACTGTCTTCACCGAGCCCTTGATCCAGCAGTTCCGTGGTAAGATCGGCCAGTTGTCTCGCCACAAATTCAGCTCCAATGTCATGGAGAAGTGCCTCCGATGTGGCGGTGACGAGTCCAAGGACATGATGGTCAGTGAGCTCCTTGTTCCGGGCGAGATGGAACGCCTACTCCGCGACAACTTTGGAAATTACGTTGTCCAGACTGCTCTCGACCATTGTACCTACAGCTTGAAAATGAGCTTGGTTGACGCTATCCGCCCAATCCTCCCTGCTGTACGCACAACTCCTTACGGCCGCCGTCTTCAGGCGAAGATTCAGCAGCACGATTCTCGTAGTGCTACCGCTAGTGGTCAAACCACTCCTGCTGACCCAACCGGAGGTCAGATTGCTATCCGAGCTACACAAACTCGTGGTATGGCAAACCAGCCGATCATGGCACCTTCCGGTCATTACACCAACGGCGCTACTCACAACGGCATGAACGGCAACCGCCCCAGAATGGCTTACCCGTCGCACAATACTATCACCATGCCGAACGTTCCCAGCGGCGCTCCTCCCCAACCCCCTCGTCTGTCGCAGTACGCGACTTATCCCGGTGCCGGTGTCAATCCCGGAACTGGCGAGGGTGAATTCTTCTAAACATTCCTCCTATTACGACGGTTATGACACATGTAACGGTACGACATGAACTCGAACGGTGTCTTTTCGGGCGGCATTTTACCTATTCGTCGATTACATTGTGCTTCACCATCCGCAACGAATGAGAAATGTTTCTACGAGCTGATGACAATGCGATCTTTTCCTTTTCTCGTCTCCTCACATCACCTTCCGCACTATACTCATATTACGACATCATTTGCCTCGTCGGGCAAGATCACTAGCACCTACCGTTCTTAAGGGTGCATTGTACATTATGCGCTCGACGATGCACGGCTCTTGATATCTACGATTCTACCAGGTCGACGATTCATACGAACTAGTCCTAATGAAGGCCAGATCACTTTCTACACGTCGACCTTAATCGTGGCCTGCGCCTATGTACTCCACCTTTTCCCAACATAGATTTTTCTTTTTGTTCTTCCATTTTCCTTGACACGTCATGTATCACCAGAGTCTAAGGTCGCCTTCCTTAGACCTGGTACAGACCTGTCTAGGGTTAGTCTAATCATGACTTTTCATGACGACTTCCCCAAGCTTTCAATGCGTATTCTTTGCGACAGATACGCTATGGAGTGTATTCACAGTGTATCACTCGAATTACAGCTCAAAAGTTGTATTTCTACCGCAGTAACAGTAGTACACTTGGAGCACAAGAAAGCCGACCAGGACAGGCGAGGAACGAAATATTATTATCACCATTCTTGGCATCAGCGAGCTTTTTCGCAAACCCGACCCGAATGAATCACCCACGGCTATGGAGGAATGGGGGGATGACAACACGGACATTTGAGGTATGGGCATATGGCATTATCCAACGGGAGGAAGTTGGTTACTCGTTGATTTACACGAGGCGCATTTGCCGGGAATCTTTTCGCGATGTTTTCAGCATGGATTTTGCAATAGTGAGATTGACGTTAGGGTACAATAATCCTATGACTCTCCACTTTGCTAGCAATACCTCGCCTGTACCTTCAGATAGATAATAAAAAGGCATAACAAAATACTTCCTATGGTCTTCTTAGTGACATGATTACTTGCAATTGTAGGATTCTTTAGTATCGCTTGACTAACGGATTACAGCAGTAAACCAGCTTGTGCTACAAAGTAGGGACATCAAGTAGATCATCATAGGTCTAACTCGCGAGTCATACTAATGAATCGACATATTAACCACGAGTCGAGGAACCTCGAGCCTATAGTGACGATAAAGTCGCATGCCTGCTAATTTTTACCCCAACCTAAGTAGTCGACATTCCACCATCCATCGCACATCTTTCCAGTGTACCATCACCCAGCCCGACCGGAGTATTAGAAGCGCCGTCGTTCGAGTTTCTTTTGGTCCTCCCCGACGCTGATACTCCGAAAATGCCAGTCCCTCCGTTATCCCATATTTGCTTCAATCAACATTGTCTAACACACTCGCTCGCCTAGCTAGTCCGACAAAGAATGGTAGGAATAGACCTGACAGGATGATGATAAAATTTAACTACTCTATCGCCAGGAATACGAGATGTTAACGAGACCACCGTGTTTAAGTTAAGGCGGGACAATGACCAAGGCAATCCGTATAGACATCCGACTCGGCTATAATCCCCTAATTACGACTGACCGATCGATTGATTGCATTTACCGAAATAAGGGATTAGACTACCAAAATCTATCGTGGGGGACGAAAGAGAGAACACAACGCACTTCACAGATTGGATGTTGAAGGATCGAGTGCCATTCGTAGTTCGGTAGGGCGTCATCATGGCTCCTGCGAAAACCCTCGAGGCGAACCACTAAGGTCGATATCTACCACCATTGTACACGCGAGAGTATCCTTTTAATTGTATTGCGACAGCACAACGTCAGACTACCCGCGTAGTTGATCTCAGAGGCCGTCGAATCCCCTATCTCGGATTGCGATTCCCAGATTTCGAAACGGCAAGCCGTATACGGCGTATAATAACACAATAAGTTCGCTCAATGCTGAGAAATTATGACTTCGATTCTTGTTCATGTTATTTTCGTATAGATGCGCTTCCAAGTTTGCCCGTATCAATCGTAAACCTCCCGCACCCGAAGGAAGAGCTAGATCCCTACAGCTAGATCAGAAGAAGAGGTAAATCACAACATTATTTTCAAAGAGAATCTAATTCCACGAACTCCTAACAGTGGCGAGACCCTATATCTGTACATTGGATATCGAACATATGTCTTATAAGGAAATGACGAGCGCTCATTGTTCACAACGATGTAGTACTTAATGTCGATTCAAGACAATAAATGAATTTATATGGTCAAGACGAACTCGTAGATGATCATCAGTATTGGATTAAGGGGAAGATTAGTATAGCCGTGATAGAAACTTCCGTAAATTGGCTTCAGGCGACAACCTAGAGGACTCAATTGTAGGGTATACGGCAAGATTGTTTACTGCGGTACATTATTTCAAATCCGAATATGGCTAGGTGCTTGAGTAGATATTGGGATAGCGAGTAAGTGATGGACTACTAGCTAGTACTCAGACTTATAAAAATTTTCAACCCCATGTAGAAGCCGGTGGAGGCACCAACTAAGCGGGCTGATGGATGATGGTTAACAAAATGTGTCGTAGCGTAGATGAGGGTTCATATACTACTTCAAAAAGAAGCATTTAGTAGGACAGTGAAGTCCTTCAATGGTTAGCCTATACCATATTTAGAAGCATGTGTAGACGAGATGCAAGACACGTATGGAACAACATCACTAAGGCATCATGAGGGACAGAAGCACTTCATAAAAAATGCAAATAATTCATTATTTCGTCCCGGAAAGAATTTTTATTCCTTGCTCGACTATGTAGAGTAACTCCAGGCAGAATTCATGAGCCAGACGCATGCCCCAGTTTTGACCGTGAAGAAAGACCTCATTCCATGCCGTAATAACGACCACGACCGAGCCGTCATCATCCTCCACCCCCTAACTACCGCCTCTAGCACACGCTTATCGGTAGCGCCATAGAGACAAGGTGTTGTGTCTCTTCCAGGTCTTTCGTCGGCCGGCACTGGTCTTGGTGTAACGGTGGCCCTTGTTGAGACCACGGGACTTCTTGCCAGTGGCAGTGAGACCACGAGCCTCGCGGTGTTTGTGGACGGGGTTGACGATCCAGTTGATGCGGGGGTCCTGGCGGATGGCCTTGTGCTGGGGGTCGACGAGGATGACCTCGTAGTACTTGTAGGTCGAGTCTTGGTTGATCCAGTACGAGTTTAGGACTCGCAAGTTGGCACATCGGCGGCCGACACGCTCCTCGGCGGTGGCCTTGAGGGATCGCTGGTACTTAAGTTGGTTCACACCCTGGTTGGTGGGCTTGCCTATACGATTTCAGAGTGGTTAGAGGGTTACTCGGGGAAACAATTGAAAATTGTAGCGAGTGAACTTACCATAGGTGGCACCCTTGGGGACAGGGCGCTTGCGGCCACCACGGCGGACACGGACTCGGTAGATAACATAGCCTTGCTTGGCCTTGTAACCGAGGCGGCGAGCCTTGTCGGGGCGCGAGGGTCGGGAAGCGCGGTGGATGACGTTCAATTGACGGAGCTATATTAATGCACTCTCAGCTAATGTTCAACGAGTGTATAGCAAAGACACGTTCTCTGCAGAAGAGAGAAGACAGCGTCCACATAATCATCCACGCCAATATTTTTGGATTGTTGCAGATTTTCGTGTGTATATTGCCTTTCGTGTCGGAAAACAAGAGGGAGAATCGAGGAATAAATTATTTTTCAACATACTTCCCAGCATCGGACTCGGAGGAGGAATCGCAGAACATCAGACTGCTTCTTCTTCTGAAGCTCTTCGACGTATTTGAGGGCACCCATCTTGACTGTAATTAATAGAAGGAATAGTCAGTAATGGAATCAATGGGTTTGGTTATAGAGAATGGCGACAAACCAGGTTGGGAATGAAAGCCTGCAACGGTGGATGGTCGTGTGTCGTTGTGGTGTGGTGGATTGAATGGAGGATTGCGAAAATCATCAATTGAGAGGAAGAAATTTGGTGAAATTGTGCGAGTGCGAAAAGAAAGTTAAGCGACCCTGACACTAGTACAGAAGCAGACTAGCAAACTATAAGCACTGACCACTTTGTGCTAGTGTCGCCGCACTTTTCTTAACCCCATATCATTATCGATATCAAGGTACGTAGGTACATTCGTAACAATGGTTTATTCCATTTGAATCCCTTCCAAGGTTCTCATTACAGCTACTGTCCTCATATTTAATATGGGCATGCATCTATAGCGACTTATTCTGTACACATTCATCCTTCTAAACTCTATCATCCGAAGCTAATAGCAATCCATGAAATAAACCCATCATAACACCTACATCTACCACCCATTCAAACTCCATGTCTTCTCCCTGCTCCCTCTAGACCCTCTTCTTTGCTCGCTCCGACTTCACTGGAACAGTCTTGATGAGATCGGTAATCTTCCTCATCTGTTCCGCGGCAACATCACCCCAATTATCATCAAGAGATATTTTGCGACTGTTCTTGAAAAGCTCCGAGACTAAATCGTCCTTCTCACCCGCCTTGTAAGTATCGGGCTCCGGTGAGGGGTAGGCCTTTGGATCAAGTTTCTCTTCTACTAACTTTACTCCGTGCTTACGACCGCAGGCGAGGAGTTCTTTCATATCTTGAGTGTCCTGCTTCCATTTCGCGGTTGGGAACTCGATCTTGTGTTTTTTGAGTCGTTCATCTGCTTCCCTGAATTGATTTAGTAGCGCATAGCCGCCCGAAATAATAGATTGGGCGTCGTTGAACAAGACATGATTCTCCTTTCCGGCACCACGTCCCTTATCGCCCGACGCTTTTGGCGTACTAAAAAATGGCACCGCCGCGGAACAGAGTCTCTCGAAGACTCCTGCGAATTGATCCTTGCCTCCAATACTAGGGAAATTAGTACTCTAGAATCTAGTACGAATGTAGGATTTGGTCCTCACAGCTTTTTCTCTTGCTCTTGGATATAGTCTCGCATCTTATCCTTCTGCTTGTTGACCTTCGCTTCAAAGTTCTTCACAAAAGCCTTGGACTTCGCGACTTCACCTTTGGTATTGCTTTCGAAAATCTCAGCCCATCGCTGGAAATTTCTGGTGTAACATTAGTATCCCGATCATGAATACGTCGTGGTACCTCTAATCTCATGCTCACCGGCTGCTCTCTCGGCCTTCATCTTCATCGTACTCCTCAAGACGCGATAGCCTCTTCCTAGCCTTTGACCTCTTGGCATCGTTATTCTTGAGTAGTAGATTATCAGGCTCGTCTATCGCCATTCCATAGTAAGTATTGATATCGCTAAATTGAAATTGATTTATTTTTCCCATTCTTCATAGGGTCCTTACCTCGGAGATCGGCCTTCCTTTTAGTTCCTCTTCCCGCCATGATAATGTAAATACTTGATTCGAAGATGGCGATTGGGTGGGGTTAGCTTTTGGTAGATTTATAGCTATATTGTTAAACGATAAGATGAAAATATCACTTCAATTGACTGGTGCAGATGCTCGTACGTCGGAAGATACATATGTAGCATGCAGTTAGATATTGCTTCAAACTTTGAAAACTGTGGATTATGGTTAAGGATGGAATTTGTAGAAGTTGAAATAAAGTTGTTAACTTGGTCCTGGGGTAGGTACTTCCTCCATAGCATACGATCTGGCGAGGCAGGTACGCGGTCGCTAAAAATGGGCACCGATGCTCCTTCCATCATGAAGATGGCTGTTGTCGTCAACTCGGGTAGGCACCATCTACACACACGTGCTAGTACCCTATGTGGTTTAATCCGAACTGTAGACAGGATATAGTAAATGTAGTCACTTTAAATATTATATTATATAGACTGGAACAAGTAACATTCTGAAAAGCTTGATTACTAGGTAGCTACAACGAAGAGACACAGGAAATGTGCTCATCGTCTTAATCTATGGAGCAAAGTACCACCTAACAAAGGCAAGCAAAGTTGAATAGACGTTCATGCGTGACAAAGTCTTTTTGATCGTACAAAATCTCGTTTCGATACCCAATGTATCGTGCAAAACCGTCCCTTATAAACATCAAATTACACCGAATGCTTGTGCAACGGGTCTATGTTAATCCTCCCTTTGAGTGCTGAAGTAATTTTGTCTTATGGTTCCTCTTATGCCGTCGTGTGAAACAAATGATGTAGGGGGGAAAAAACACCTCGCCTTTCCTGTTCCTGTCTTATTTCCACGTAATCGTTTCCGAAAATCTTTCTGGTAAAAATCAAGAGATGCCGGCGAACGCCAAAGTCTGATTATTGCCGTCTTTAATCTGTCATATAGTAAATCATCGCAAAGGAAACGGACAATGACCAACCGGCCGACGAGATCCGGCTGGGCTGATATCTCGTCTACAGTGCATTGTATAGCCTAACACAGAGCGTCTTATGGTGATTTGAGAATGCTCTGGTCCAAGTATTCTGGAAGTCTCAGCAGAAATCCAGTATGATACGCCTTGGGTTGCAATTTGCAGTAGTTATAGTTAAGAAATGGTACCTGCAAGCATACTTTCTTTGGCTTGGTTCGTGGATAGAGGGACTCTTCCATCAAATTGGCCGTGGCCTTCTCATTGGCCATAGAAAAACGATTGTGACGAGGTGGGAATGAAATATAGTACGAGAATCGAACATATACATTTTATAGGTCGACGTGATTTGCGAAATAGAGTGGCTGCCGACCTAGAATGGTTAGGGGACCAAGATCTACAGTGCATTAATCGTAACAATGCCGTAGATTAGCTAGGAAATCGTTCATCTAGCGGGTGTTCAAGGACAACCCTTGGAATCCAGCGATCCACTCATTTTGCCCTGACACGTTAGACTGTGCCTGATCGTGAGGCGAGGGTGCAGTATGTGGACTCGGATAGCGTGCTCGCATGCTTGGCGGGAATTCGCCAGCTTGCGAGAAGCCACCGGTGTACGTCTCCATCCCCTGCGTTAAACCTGGGACGTACGACACCGCGCCAGTTCTCGGCGCGTTACCGAATGCACCATACGCTGAGTATGGGAAACCAGACGGAGGGTATGCAGAGTTGGTAGCTGATGCATGATCCGCGCCGCCGAACGGTTGGCCATATGATGGTTGGAACGGTCGCCCAGATGCATTGCCGCCAGAAAAGGCGCCCTGGGATTCCTGAGTTGGATTGGTTCTTCTTTCCGTGTTGGCGGCTCCATTTCCTCTTCCAAGGGTGACGGCCCCTGGGCCGATGCCGCTGGGAGCCTGAAGTCCCAAGGTCGGACTAGCAAACGAGGCAGGATTGATGGCAGACATCCAAATTCTCGTTTTATAGATCTTAAATAGATCGGTGACTAGCGAGTTAAAGTTGATGTAAGAGTCGGCGAAATAGTAGAAGGTCAACTTCTTCCAATCCCTTGGAATTGTTAGCTTTACTAGGCTCTCAAATATAACGATAGGAACTTACATCTGGAACTCCGCATCAAGGATCTCCATGTTGAGACCATGCTCCTTTACCTTTTGCATACACATACGCTTCGCTTTAGCCTCGTTACCCTCTTTATCCCTAAGATTGTGGATTTCGTGGCTTTGCGCAAGACGTTTGATGAGCTTCGGTTTGAGCTCACCGGCGTTCGGTTCTTGCATGTGATGCTGGCTGGGTGGTCCCATACCACCAATGGCGCTGCCTTGCAAACCGTTAGATGCAGCCATCAGACCAGCTCCGGTCCCTTCTTGAGCGGCGGCAGCATTTTGCGAGTACATCATCAACCATTTATAGTGTTCCTCTGCGTAATGCTCCTTCAACTCTTTGGCCGTCTGCCAGTCTACGTTATCGCGAGCCACGGTACCAAGATCTGTCCCTCGATCTGCCTCGACAATAACGAGATCACCCGGCTTCACCGTGAGGCCGGTACCCTCTTGAATGTAGAACACATCTGCTCTAGAACATTTGAAGAGGACAATGTGCAGAAGTTGGTTGTGTCTTGGTTGACTCATCCCGTACATGTTTCTATGAGGGGATGGCGGGCGATTAGCAAAAGACGAAGGCAGTCCATAGGCTGGCTGATATGGGTTGGCATAACCCGAAGATGCGATAGCTTGGTGTGTGTTAGGCACATGTCCATGGTTACCACTCGGGTAGTAAGATACTGTCGGGGGCGTTAGCTTTAATAAACACGAAATAGCTATCTAGGATCAACCTACCAGGACTAGTCGTTGTAAAACCCGCGCCCTCATGGAACCCACCAAAATCTTGAGATTGAGCTGCTTCTGGGGAGGTTGCCTCATGGAGAGAAACAGCTTCGCCAATAGAACCGATTGATCCTTGTCGAGTAGGTACATCGGCGAATGAATGTCTACGACTCTGTGGAATGTCGCCAAGACCACCAAATCCCAGTGAGCTTTGCCAAAAAGCTTTCTTGACGTTTTCGATCTTCCTGTTCTCCACAGGATATGGTGCGCGGAAAGGCGCCGGCGCGTATTCACTCATACGTCTGCCCAGAGCTCGCTTTGAGGCGCCGTCTTGGCCCTCATTAGCTTCGTCTAGCTCATCAATCGCGAAATCAGATTCTTCCGGGACTGTCCCACGAACGCCGTATCCGTTGCCCAAACCGTAGGTAGCGGCCGTTGACGCACGTGGCCTGAGTCGTGAGGTGTGATACTGCTGCTGTTGCCTCAGCATAGCATTCTCACGAGTGAGCATCTCGATGGTCTTAGCCTCGACACTCTGTTGCTGAAGAGTCCCTTGAGCAGAATCACTAGTGCTCTCGTCATCATCGTCCTCTACCTCCTTGACTTTTCCTAACATGGCGCCGTCGCTAGACATCTCGCTCAACATGCTCGGTCGCGAAGGCCTGTGTTGTAGCCCTGGGTGTCCAATGGCGGCGCGTGGTCTCCCGGCCAATACCGAGGAAGTGGGTGCTGTAGGTGTTGTTGTGTCTGGGTCTAACTGTCCCACTGAATATGATTGCGATCGGTACGTTTTTGGAGTCGGATGCAGAGGGATGGCGAACGGGATTTGTGGGTTAGCACCCTGCTCTCTTGGGGTTGGAGACGTTTGTGTCAAGGTGTTGTCTCCTCCAAAAAAGCTTGCACCAGTTGGAATGGTGGAAGTTGGTGAAGGGAGGACCTCGGTAAGCCTGGAAGGGGGCTCCTTACGTTCCGTATTCCAGATACCTGTTCCCCATGGGAAAGAGGGCGGCGCTTGGTGCCCGCGGCCCACTTGATTCGTCGAATTAGAATGGGAACCCCAAGCGGCCGCACCCGTTTCCGCCGACGGGGTGGTCGGGTGCGAGGCTGTCGGCGACATTGAGCTGCTCGCAAAAGATCCTTTTCTTGGGTGGGGTAATGTGGTTTGCGAAGTATCATTCAACCAAGAAGCACGGCGTACGGGCTTCTGAGGCTGCGCTAGCGGTTGATGCGTGTCGAGTCGATGAGGATCTGGTTCGTCGTCCGAGCTTGCGAGAGCTTCAGAGTCCGGCGTAGATCTTCGAACGTTTAATTTTTCAAGTAGGATGGATTGGTTGCTTGGTGCAACTCCAGGGTATGCACTGTGGCCGGCTTTGGCTGGTGTGGTGGGTTTGATGCTATTAGAACTCATGGTCTATAGGTCCAAATCCCGGCTGAATGAATGGCTGATGAAACACTATGAAAGCGCAAAAACAATGACTGAATACCTGAGTACGACAATTGGCCAAAACTTCAACAAGAATAACAACCAAATTGACACTCGGATTTCACAGGTAATTCCTGAGAGATGGCCTTGTGTCCGTGACCGTAAATCGTGCAATTCTACATAACGTGTCAGCCTTGCTACATTGCCAAAACCGAAACGGAGATAAAAAAAGAAGGGAGGACAAGACCACCCCACCAAGGGCGATTACTGCAGGTGATATAAATCCAGATGGAGGAGGTATGATTAGCATGTCCTCCTAACGAGCAGCGCTGGGCGAATCCATCCCCACACGCCCCTTACAATATGGACCGCAAAATGCCGGCGCGGACCATATGACCTTTTAGAGGCTGCCCACCTAATCTGAGGAAGGAGGCGATTATAGACAAATAATAATAAATTCGTACTAACCGGTGTCGACGAGGAATATTAGGTCTATTCATAGGGTATCAAGGAGGTCGCGTCTAGAAATCGACAAGAGACAAAATAAAAGACAAAAGAAGGGACCACAAGAATCCGTTATGGAAAAATGGAGGTCAAAAAGAATCAATAACACAAGGTCGTATTGGTCACGCCTCCCAAAACGCCACTGAAAAGACCCTTCTCAAAATGTCGAATATTCGTCGCGAAAACAACCGAAGTTTCCTGAATTCCTGCTATAGTGTCTTTTGAAATGCGTGGACGTTTCCTGAGTCGTTGCCAACTTCAAAAAGCTATTTTCGAATTTTTTTCGAGGGAGGCAATTCAATTTCCCCGGCCCTGCTTGTATTGTTCCTGCTCGCCACGTAGGTGTATGTATCCGACCTCGAATGTTTTGCGACGGAGCTATTCGCAGCTGCGCATTGTAGAGTAGTGGGTTGATGCGGCGATCGCAAGTATTTTTTGAGGGAGCAACTGCTAGGCGAACATGGGCGAAGGACCGTTGAGAGGTAGGTTTTTTGCTGTGAATTATTGAGGTCCGGCAATTGCAGATGTGCGAGTGGATGGCGAAGGCGTTGAAGAGTGTTGAAATCGATGAGCGGGGAAAAGTGGTAGTTTAGGTAGGTAGGTCGTAGGTCGCAGGCAGTTAGAGGTAAGTAAAGTTAGGTACTGGGGTACCTTTTTCACTGTAGTTTTTGGAGCTCGTGCCAGCAGTTGGACGCTGCGGACACGAGACCCTCGCGTGAGGGAAAGTGGCTGGTGGGGAACGGAAGCTGGGTTTTAAAGTTAGGCTGGTAATAGCGAGCAGGGATGGTACAGTAGCGGTAACCCTATCCACTAAAACTCGGCGAAGCACCAGTCTTTTAGAAGAGATAGTTGGTTGGAAAACGTCTGAAGAATTAACTGTCTCTCTCTCGTTCTATTTCCTGGGTCATCGAAGTCAATGTCTGATTCTTTCTTCTTTTTTTTCTATTAAAAAAAGACCTCACTCGCAAGAACACAAAAACAAAAAAAAAAAGAAGTAGTAGGATGTAGGCTACTAAGTACGGAAAAAGAAGAAGAAAAAAGGGGACAGGGAGGATATTGATTCAATAGGTAGTAGGTAGAGGTAAGGAAGCGGTTAGGTATGATCAGGTATGAAAATGGCTGTCGACTAAGTTGATCCCGTCATGAACCAGTAACGCTGTACATATTTGCGCGTATGCATGTACGTGTGTAGATACATGAGAGACAGGTGTGGATGCAGTGAGTGTAATTTTTGTGTTGATTCTGAGTGGTGGACAGAGGTGGATGGGAGAAGAATTGGACAGGGTGCTTACGCTATAATAGCTCTCTACAGAGTACCTAAAGAAAGGTCTCAGGTAGGTGCGGGTTGCAGAAAGGTCTCGAAGAGAAGGAGAAACTTGTCGGATTCCAACTTAGATCGTTTATCCAGTTGGAACTTTCCTTCCATGTAGGATCAGGTGTAGGTGGTAGGTGGTGAAGCTACCTAATGTACCCGAGTAACCCTATCGTACCTGGCCCCAGCATTCAGTACCCATGCGCTAAAGTAACAAAGCGATGGGTGGGCCCACTTGACCTATCCGAATCGAGAAAAGGCGGGCGCAAAGAATTTTGGGGTGGTCTGGGGGAAGGACCTAACGAATGAGCGGGTCCTCTCTCCAGATGGATTTTATTAATTCGGCGGACAAAGGATGATCGTCAAGCTTGGCCCGAGCCGCCTACATAGTACCTTTTTTTTTTTCTCTCTTACAAATTTACATACCCAACATATGTATATTGTCTAGCTATACACACACATACATACACATATTCCCAGATGGATACATCTTACGTAGGTACCTACATACATTAGATACATATACCTCTGGGGCGCGGTGCATAATACCTACATACATGGTACATACATATATAGGTATTTTCTTCCATTCTACATTGAGTTATACGCACGTCCATGGATGTGTTGTATTTGAGCTGTCAACGCCTCTTATACACCTCTACTTTCCCGCACTGACAACCATGATTCGATAGGAACTGATGAATCATCTTGGATCCAACTTCTAACTTGGGATATGCGAAATAGTGTGGGGAAGATTGATCTTGAACACATCGAGTCTTCGAAAGGTTGAGTAAGAGGCAACTATTGGTCCGCGTCCTTTAACGGTCCAAGCTTTTGTTTGCTACGGTATCCTGGCTATTCCTAGCTATTCCGGGGGAGCGAGATGCTAGCCAATAATACGTCAGCGTATTATGCTGGTAGTCCTTCAACGGGTATCTTCTCCAGTATCAAAACCAGCGAACAGTCGTATTTTCAAACTTCGTGCATATCCTCGCTGGGCATTCTGGACCGCAGACGGACGATTCGTTTGTTGAATGAAGTACGTTGTCCTTTTCGACTAACTTACCAGTTCGCGACTAGGATGGCGCTTAGCCGCCACGCCGAAAACCGTACAATATCGCTCTTCTAGGGCATATCGTTTCCGTCTATTGAAACAAGCCACTCTCCCTTTAACGGCCACGGCGCATTACATGTACAGCCCTTTGTCAAACGGACGGCGACAGTACAGCAGCGCAGCTAGCGTATTCCCCCCCTAACCCTAGATTTTTCTAGACTACATACACACCGAAGGCTTTGTTCAATGAAGGTGTGCATATTGAAAACCAATCAGGAGTCAAGGATTGGGAGGTCATTTCTTTACGAAATTTTCCCGCCGTTGAAGATCTCTCAACGAAACTCATACGGTATAGCGAATAGGGCCTTCTCATTCAGTGCAACACTTTACTTCCCCTCTCCTGACCGAGTGCGTGTAGTGAAAGGCATGCATGGATACAAAGCTTTGCGGCCTGCGAGTCAGTCGCCTAGTCAAAATTAGGTGTGGCCGTCTTAACCGGACTTGGCCAGCTTCCATTTTCACACATATCTGGGGAATGGAACGCCCATGAAAGTTGTGCCAGGCCTCCTGCATATCTGATTGATGCACCTGCTGCACGTCAAGACCGCTGTTACCTTACAGAATATTAGACTCCGGGGTTAATACTACTCCTCAATCGGAACGCTCACCAAGGGACCATTGAACTCCGGATTGAAAAAAGCAACACAGCGCGTGCTTTACGTCCTTTCGAAGGTCTTACCTATTTCTTCCCTTCGCTAAATACCTTACCCATGTGTTATAACAGCAAAAACAACTTAGGCTAGGTGGTTATAGGTCGGTTAGGTGAGATAACTGTGGAAGCTAGGTAACGGATCGTGAGGCAACAGGGGAGGGGTTCAGTACCCCTTCCTCGTTCCACAAATGCACCAAACGGATCCTGCACCCTCATTCAATACAAAAGCTTCGATATTATAGCAGTGTCGTGTGCTCTACGAATGCGCCGCAGGTAAATTCAGAGTCGCATGACGTACTTCAAAAACATTACCTGAAGCTAAGTTGATACCTTTCATTTTTAAAGCCTGAAGGCAAGGAATCCGAAATTTGAAATTATAATTATCAATCCGTATTTCTCAATGCTTATGCATAACAGACATCGCTGCTGCTCGCATACCAACCTTAGCGATCTGAACCGGGGGTGGTTAGGGAGGGGTCATGGTCCCTTATTCTTCAAGTATTGCTCCTGCAAGCCTCAGCCTAAATGAGAAGATCACTTTTCCAAGGGTCCACGCCCACTGGGTTCGAATCGAACATTTGGTATAACTAACTCACCAAAGCATATCTTCTAACAATCGACCGCAGCGTTGTGTCCATCACATACCACCGTTACACATCGGAGACCAATATACAATATCGTCACACGGTTTATTCGCGAAACTTGAGGAGTGGCGTACTCTGAAGAGGAAAAAACCCGTATACAAAAGCGTCACACAGTTTGATTCTTTAGAGGACATTATCCCAGATTCTTTGATCATTTCTTTCCAACCCTACCCGCCAGACTCCGATGTGTCTTGGAGTAAGGCCTACTTATTAGAGAACAAAAAAAAATGCATAGTATTTGATCTTTGCATCATTTCCTAATCGATCCGCAAAAGCAGCAATGGATTCTCGCAGTTTTGTGGCTTCGATTCGCACAGGCTTACATATTTGCTAGGATCTACCACACATTATATGGAGCTATTCTGCTCGTCCATGTAGGGCAAAGAAAGATTCAGTCCGTTAGCTGTGAGACCAAATCACCTCACGTGCTCTGCTTTAATTGATGCAGCCACTGACATATTCAGGTTCCCGGAGATGTTTGGGTTAGTTAAAAGTATCGCATCAAGAGATCCTTGAGATAGACTTCTCAACAACACCCGTCGTTACCTAACTTATAGTACAAAAGCCAACACAACCTCAAAATAATTACTAACCTATTGACGAATATTCTAATACTCATCACACTAAATTTATCGGCCCACTGGAGGACGGAAGAGAGTGAGCGATCATATTGCTCCACACGGAGAGAATCTGCCTTGCCGACCTCACACAACATCTAAAGCTAGCATCTATATGCACGTATCTTGGAAACCACGCACAATCTTGTGTCTCACCCAGAGCCCCGTGACTGGAAATAGTAGCTAATTTCGGGGTACAGAATGCCGCTTTTGATGGACATAACTGGCCACTACTCTTCAAATGGGCTATTCTTCATTCCCGAGACTCATTTAATTGCATGAAGCATCTATGTCGTAAGTGAGGTGTAAAGATGACATACGTACATCATATGTAGTAGATAGCACAAGGCGAAAAGTTGAATCCAGGGCGAACCGAATCCTGATATTCCCGCTATCCTAAGTTTGGACCATTAAACCCTACAGCAATACGGTAGCTAAAGTAGGAGGTATTAAGTGGTAATGATGCTCGAGAAAGGAAGCCCTACTAGACCAAATATGCACACATTGGGGACGGCCATAGCCTGCCATGCAGCTTGACGTACGCCCTTGGTCGAATTTTGCGGGGTTGGACGTATTGTAACCCTTACAACCAACACAGCCGGCCTCCATCGTGCATAATTCATGGGGGGAGGTTTCGTGGGCAGGAAGCTTGGGGGAGCTGCACGTTACCCATGTGACCCTAGACCATCCCTCGCCTCCAATCGCTACACCGGTTGCGAATCGATGCCCGCCACAGCCCAATATGCTTCCTGCTCCTTTCCGGTGGTGGTGGTAGTGGTGGTAGCATCGAGTGGTGCCACCCCCTTTCGAATTGTGGGAAAACCTACGATACGCAGACCGACGGAACCATCTACCGCTGTCTAGTGTCGGGACTTGAAAAGGAAAGAAACGAGAAAAAAACATTGCGGGAGAATGAGGCTCGGGGGAAAGACGCAAGGACGATCCTAGCGAATCTTAGCTCGACATGCAGCAGCTCATCGCTGAATGGTCATTTAAAAGCTAATATTGGCCCAATTACCAAGTGGCCTACCTAGATAATGACGGATAGGGTTCTCTATGGGAAAGGAAGAGGGAAACCCAATATCGTACAGGGCGGCAGAAGATGGACACTCGCACATACACCGGCGAACGCATTAGCTTTTTTCACTCCTCAACGCTTTTTCAAGCACACACACATTCTTTTTTTTTAATAACGGTCACTAGCGGCGAACTTTGCTGAATATACGAGATTGTCAAAAACCTAGCTAAAGTTGGTGACCGAGGTCGTATTTTCCAAAACGAACGTCTAGGGTATCGTTCGTAATTATATTCCAATGACGTACTTGAAGATGTGACGTTTTCTAAAGCATACAATCAATCGGATGAAGTACGTCTAAGGGCGAGCTTATCCCGGGACGGAATCCAGTGAGTCTTTGCCAGGTGTTGTAGGTGGAACTGCATCTGGTCCTTTTTGTGCTCGAAGCTTCTCTTCGAATTTTGCGAATTCTTGCATCGCAATCTCTTCTTCTTGGTCCATGATCTGATGTACTCCTTTGACCTCCTCAATCTGCATGGTTTGTTAGCAATGTGTTCCATCAAGCGGCTGATGATTTTCAACGATATCTTGTAATAATAAGGGATATGATGTGATCGCTCAACGACACGAGGATACAGCAGGCCGCTTTCGGTTGAAAATCCAAAGGGGTATACTCACATAATGCATTAGCATGCCCTCAATTCCATTTTTCAAGGTGACCGTGCTCGAATCACAAGTCCGGCATGCTCCCCTGAGCTTTAGCTTTACGTATCCATCATCGAAACCACGGAACTCGATATCGCCACCGTCTTCCTGGATCGCAGGTCTTATCCGAGTTTCTAGGAGCTCTTTGATCATGCCTACAACTTCGCTATCGTTTTCATTGTAGCTTAAGGTATCCTCATCGGTCGCTTCTTGGCCATCTTCTGCGCCCTCCTTTTTGGTCACTGTGACTATTTCTTGCCCCGACGTTATAGCTTCAGTGATTAAGCTGAAGACTTCGGGCCTGATATGTATCCAATTCGCATCCGGCGATTTCGTCACTGTGATGAAGTCGGGGCCGTAGAAGACGGATGTTACGCCGTCGATGTTCATCAATTCCGCAGCGAGTGGCGATGGATACGGCGGTGCGATCGTACTTCGTGGGTTGAGATATTCTATGAAAGGCGTAGATACCTCAGGAGGTATGACATTATGATTCGGTAAGAACTTCAGCGCATCGGCGTTCGGTGTGACTTCCGTCTGTATAAAGATACTCCGGGCGCCTCGGGGCGCAATTGTCGGTAGTCTTGTAGTCGTAGGTGCTACTGGCCGAGGCTGTAGTGTTATGCCTAACGATCGCGAACTTGTATGTGCCTGTCTCGATATTTCGTATAGCCGACCATAAGTGCAAGGCTGGACCCTCTTCGTCGTTGTAGATAGCAGAGCGGCTGCGGGCCGAACGAGTCGGTTGGTGGAAGGCATATTCCTCCCCTTAGATACTGGAAATTCTCAATGTAGTAGCAATGTAGGGAGTAGGCGATGGAAATCTTAGGTAGAAATAACTCAGGTTATGACCAATCCTTAGGTGCGAATGCGATCGGGATTTTTGATGTTGGTAGATTTGTTCTAAAAATGCCGAATTGCGCCGATAAGAGCAACTAAAGAAATATCGCTGCTTATCAATCCAGTGGCAATGACGCACATCCTTACACAAAAATGGATTTAGAAAGGTTTTGATTGGCCTGTCACATATAGTGGGTCTCCCCGCCGCGACTTTGCCGATGTACCTAGCAACTTAGTTTCGCCGTTCTCTCCCCTAACTCGTCGATCTTCACGATCCTTTCTACAATATTCAGCCTCATTATTTGATTCCCTAGCAAGGCGCAGAGGGTCAATATATTAATATTCAAGGTTCGCTCTAACAACATTTCAACCACTCACACAGTCACCATATTTGAGGTCCCTAATAGATTCTCCAGAGTCGACATCGACAACATTCCACTCATGCTACTTTCCATTTGGACATAAACAACAATTCCCTATAAATCGTCCAGTCAGTAGCGATATAGGCAGCTTCATACTTGGTGATCTAGATACTTATTACTAAAGTTCACGGAAAGAGGGCATAACCCCCTCCATCAGTTCGCGTTTAAGAGCAATTGCACAGTGTGTGATTTCAACGAAAAACGGGAGGCAGAAGAGGGGACTCACGTTCCTCGCTTGATCATACGGACTATATTTCAATTGAAGGGTATCCAGTTCTTGCGATAAAAATACCTAGTGCCTCATGTTATAGTATGTTTCTTCTAGTCATATCCTAGTGTTTATTGTTTCCCCAGTTACTGACATTAACACAGTGCGGCAACGGGATTTTCAACAAAAACGTAGACTTTTCTGTCACCTGGAATCAAATGATATAGTGGACAAACTCGAGGACTACACAATCTAAATCCTTATCTTTAGGTCATTGATCTTCGGGCTGCCTATTCTGTGCAAATTCTGGGCCTCGTTAAGACTATGGCGAACGCTAAGACATGTCTCGTCTGTAATGAGACAGAAGGAAAATACAAATGCGGCCGCTGCAACTTGTACACGTAAGTTTGACTGCATGCTGAAGACTTTTCATGAACGTTCTCTCATCGTTTCTTTTTAGCTGCTCACTTCCATGCTTCCGAGAACACCGGGATAGTCACCCACCAATAGAAGAATCTCCTACGACAGTGCAAACAAATAGCGCCCCTGCGGTATCAACCGATGATACCAAACTCGATTCTAATCTTCAAAATTCTTCACATGCTGAAGATGGTTCACCGCAGTCCACGGACTTCAAGCGGTCGGAGATCGCTGACATGCCAGAGTACAAAATGCTCATTCGACGATACCCGAATCTAGAACGTTTGCTTTGGAATATTGCTGCAGCCACAGATCCTCCGACGAGCAATGATGGTACCAACAACAAATTACTCGGGTCAAACAGAGGCAATCGTAAGGCGAATCAGCCCTGGACAAAAGACATTGGGTACGAAAATGGGGTAGAGGCGCTCCGTCGGACTAGAGAAACTCCGGGGGACGATAGAGACGCGCTCAGGGAGTATTGCGAATTGGTCCAGCTCTACTTGTCTAAGAAAGCAGCCGCCGATACCCGACAGCAACTCGCACAAGATGACGCCAAAACCATTGGAGAACTTATGCGCGCCGAGGGCTCCGATGCACGTTGAAGCTGTTTCACTTTGCTAGTTGTCGGTCACTCCAATAGGAAATTCGGTAATATATCGCTTCCGTGCACACCGTCTTAAGGTTCCCTCCCAAAGCCACATGAAGATGCGCCAAAGAATGAATCCCTGCTTGTAAGTCCGTTATTGTTTACCCCGTGTCGTTGGGATAGCCCCGACTAATATTAAATTAGCTCCCTTCGACTCACGCATCATCGGCCCAAATCATTCGAACGGAGTTTGATGCTCTGTTTGGAAGTATATTCAATTGCCATAATTGAGTTGAGACGAGAAAGTTATCCCGCCGCAATCTAGCTTGTGGCTCATTCTATACCTCACGGCCAAATTTACCAGATTCGGGTAGATATTGTGGCACCAATACTGGATGCTACCGCTAAATTACTATACGAAGGAGTCCACTGGATACGGCTGTAGATGCATCTAGACGAGTTACTCGTGGCTACATATAACTTCTAGTTCACAGTTAAAAATAAAAATCCAACTACAGCAACGAATATTTCGCTTATAGCTCAAGTAGCAGCATATTACCCCTTGACGCTTACACATTCACCTCAAAGTAATAGTATATAATAAATTAAATTGCACCACACTGATGTCAAAGGATGACTTGGCTCGTTAATCCAAATAGAAAAACACGAATTCAATAAACAGACTTGATCAGTAGTGTACCTCGTCGGATGCGCGCAGCTACTTGCTAACAAGTTAGCTAATGGACTCATCACGTAATATACATTGCTGCAGTAGGAAGTACTTTGTATTTTTTGAAATGCCTCAAAGTACCTTTGTGGGTACCTAGGTGTACTGGTTATGGATCTTGAATTAAGACAACCTAATAAGGCTTCGGGCTGTCCTTTCCTCTCGCACCAGGGGGTCTAGATTTTGATCAGGACTCCGTTGGGTTGACAACAGCGGCTATTAATGGCCTTCTATTTGACCACAATTTGTTAGAAGTTATAAGAAACTACGACTTTAGTCTTGGCAGCAGAAAACATTGGTGATATAGGTATGGGCCTATCGGATATAACGACTATATTATCTAAGGGCCTAACAACGTATGCTGGGTAGCAAAAGATGGCAACGAAAGAAGCTGATAACGAACCACGTATTCTGTGACTGACCAGTCGATCCTCGGGGTTCGCCATTGTGTCAAACGGAGGAGGTGTGAAGGGACCTATGGGTCGTTGGTTCCGGGCCAGGAGGGGCTCTGGTAGCGAGTAAGGTTGCGTTGGGAACTTCCCGAGTCTGTTAACTGTTAATTATGCATGTCCCCGATGTCGTACGGCACAGCCCATGCGGGAAATCGCGGATACACCTGCGTTTTGCCGCATCTACGGCTGCCTGCGTTCACATTATATAGGATTCATCTTTATTGCGCGATATTATAGGCAGACGACTTATTGACTAACTACAAATTCGCCTAGTCGCAAAAAGGGGAACGTACAATGCAAGCTAATACATTGCCGCCGGCTGCGTGTGCTAACTGGAAAGATGGAGACGGTGTATGCCCCAATGAAGGCAAGCTGGCCTGTGGTAGCTGTAAATTGGTACTGGTGAGTAGACACTCCTTCACAGTCAAATATTGGGATACTAATCGATGCCATGCAAAGTACTGCGGTCGTGATTGCCAAGTAAAGCATTGGAGCGAACACAAGAAAGCATGCAAATCCCCAATGAGGAAAGAAAGCTGGCTTCCGGCCTGGGACCGCGACCGCCGGGACCCTGCGTGGGCTCAGGGGGCGGCCGCCACTAACATCCACAACCCGTTTGGGATGAATAGACATCTTTGGGGTAATACACCTGCGATGGATGTGCTTAACTTACCCCGGAATGAGGGGTCGGACTATGATAAAGATATATCCATTCTGTTTGCCGGTGCGTCTCTGATAGGCTATTCCGTTCTTCTCAAATCGAGGTTTTAACTTGATATAGCATCGGGAGATCTAAGGAACGCTGCCAAGACTGTCCAATGTCTTCCAGAGGGGTTTGACCACCAAGTGAAAATAACCTTGAACGATAGGGACCCGGTTGTCGCGTTGAGAAATGTCATTCTACTACTGCTCATGCTGAAGTCCCTAGAGGAAGCATCAGATGAAGCTAGTATTGATAATCTGGCCGAGACCCTCATACACGTCTGGTACTCCGCCATGATTACATCGGACATGCTATCTCAACTCGAATCTAAAGTAAAGCCACTCGTCAAAGAAGCATGCTTCTGGACTCCCTTCAGGGAGTCGGGAGATGTGCTAAGAAAGAAGTGGGACTTTCAGTCAGGGGCTTCACTCGACGTATCTATTGAGAGGGATACTTGGAGTCAGCTACTAAAGTTCCTTGAAGTACCTGAACATCTTACCGCAGCGAAAGCTAGGGATGTTCGCATCGCTACTATGTTGGCGCCCGAGAGGCAGGACTATCGAGACCGATGGGGATTTAAGGATGCTTCGCCGTCTATGCGCGTCGCTAGGCAGCGTTTCCGAGAGGATGGTATACTTCTGCCTTTTGGGCATCCGCGTTTGAAGTTCGATATACCTAATCCGTGAGCATTTTCAATCACACACCATTCCTACACTTTGATGCTGGGATACTCGGATCTAATATGTGATAGGACCTTATTCCAGGCAGCAGATTGCTGGCCGATGGATGATAAAGCAGACCCCTTGGATGGCTGGCCCATAGGTAAGGTTAGAGCAACACCATTTCGAGCAGGCGAAGACTTGTATGGGAAGTTGTTCTGGCATATTCGGGGCGTATTGAGCGCTTTTATACGGCGAGTTGCTACCGGGAAGATACATTTTGAGGTGCTTAATATCGATGTCGCAGATCTGGATCAGCTCGTGGAGAAGGGCTCATTTGACAGGATAGAGGTGAGCGGCCATACTCTTTGTGGCTCTTTGTGGCTCTTCGTATGGTGAACGAAAACGCTAATCCAAACAGGCATCAAACATCTCTGATGTATGTTGGTTGGGGACGCGGGAAACCCTGCGCTGCCTCATCCCCTTACTCAAACCACCGCAGCGGAACCTACACGCTACTCTCATCACCGTGTATCTGAACGCAATCATCGAAACCTCCAAGCGTGACGGGCTTGATAACGAGAGGCACGGCGTGGAACTCATTAAGAAGTATCTTAACATATCAGAAAGGAATATCGTAGCCAATCCCCAGGGTGCCGAGATGTACCGCATATGGGACGCACGGAGCCTCACTTTTAACCCAGAAAAGTTCTTTCGCAGGTACGTGGCACATACTTTCGATCCATCCTAAGAGTTAAGGAGGATTAAAGCTAACTCTATATAGGTACATGGTTGATCAACGATTCCGTCAGGCTGCCGAGGAACTGGGAGTGGTCATGAAGGAACATAATACGATAGGAGATGCGTGGCCTATGAGCTTGAAACTTCGCCCTGGCGAACCCGGTGCCCAGGAGGAGTTCGACGGGCTTCTAGCTTCGGGCGCTACTGGAGTCGAGCGATTTGTTGAATGGAAAAGAGTGAGGTAGTTGTCCGGTTACTCGCGTATGAGGACGTCATGGTATAGTATGTATAATCACTTCGTAGGTGGATATGTGGCAGACCTATCAAGCCCATAATGTCGCTTTTACTCTAGTCATCCGATCTCCTTGAGAGTTGGGGATCGAGCCGGATCTATTGTACTCCTCGATAGTTATCATCCGAATACTTTTTAGACTCTCGTCTGCTCGTGGTAGCTTCTACATATTGCTGTGTTTTGCTTTTCTTTTTATGACGTCAGAAGTTCGTAAATTTGGGGGGTTGGGGTTTTACAAAAGATAAAAACGGTAACAGTTGAAGTAAACGGTATCAGACGGAAAGCCTATGTTACACGAGCAATTTAAGACGGTCCGCTTAATAACTCCGAAGTCCGCCGTCCACGATATTCTCAACTCCTCTCTCCCATTCATCATTCCAATACCAAATCCAATTTCTAATCCCAAAACGTATCCCTATCTCCATAAGTATCACCATTCATAACCCTAGCGTTCCCCTTTACCTGTGCGGACCCTATGGCTATGCTGTCACCGCCCTGTGGCAGATTTGCTACGCCTTTCCAGGCGGCGCCCACAAACTTGCCATCTCGTACCCGTGCATTTTCCTCGATCACTATAGATCCAATAGAAATCCCTCGGGTTGCAGCCACAGCGGGTACCTTCTCTTTTAAGACATTATCGACCCCAGGGGCTAATTGCTGAAGAGTCTTCACCGCAGCCTCTTGCTCTTCTTTAGTATCGCCGCTGACCTGTTCAATATCCCGTTGTGCTAGCAACGAGTGGGCGTTGGCTTCTGGTACGGAGAATGTCTCTTCGAGATTCGTGAGCAGCTTGGAGATATCTTCAACAAGCTTTGAGTAGTGCTCTTTATCGTACAGCGCCCACCTTGTTAACTTGCCAAGGCCGGTACGTTTCTGTCTCTTAGCGGCCAACTTTCGCATACGGTTGTCCAAAGCGCCGAGGTTCGCTTCTAAATCAGTACTCGAAAGCGATGACAGGTCTTCCCCTACTTTCGCCGTGAGACGATATCTACTTGAGACTTTTTCGGAGTCGGCGAGAAGAACTAAAATTTGGTAAAGCGTATCTTTGGCGAGTCCAACATTGTCTCTTAACGATTCCGGTTGGCCTAATTGATTGTCTTCGTTAATGTGGACAGCCTCACCCCATCGCGAGAGTCGGAGTTTAAGCAGGCTGAGCGTGAGCAGCTCGGTCTGGAAGTCCTTGCCGAAGCGACGCCCAATCTGAATGTAGTCGAAACATTCCACGCAAGTGCTGAAGATACCAGCGATGCCAACTGCGCCAGATACGATGCCGAAAGCTTCTGCCATTGTTTGATATAAGCTTGCTAATTAGCTCCTCAATTGTCCAACCTGGTTCCCGCCGTCAATTTATACATTAACGATGGTCTCTTCTCGTTGCAATATATGCGCCTGCCTAGCCCAAAGCAGAAGATGCTCACCAACCCCTACCAGCTGAATAGATAATCGCCGATCGTAACCCCAGATCGTCGCCCGATTGGTGTACTAAAAGTAAGAATGCGACCGGACGGTCGCGGCTTTACCTTCCAAGGTTATTAAGATGGCCCGCGATAATTATTCAGCCGCTCTCCTATCTGAGACGACTATAAATGATGTGATTGATGTATATATGCAGGATCCTCCAACGCCAGCCTTGCATTGCCGCCAGCAATTAAATCGATATTCCTTTTCTCGCTCTTATGTGCGGCCCATGGATATAGCTTCAGCTCGGGCTCTTGAAACTAGGACAGACCTAGGCTCTTAACTCTTGCCCCCAATGTGATCCTTGTTTCGTGCGATTTCAAAATGGCTACCTTGGAGCACAGTGCACCATCGCCAACACTTAAGACGTCTTTCACAATTCAGTCTCAAAATATCAGCGGCGATGCTCGAGTTCATAATGGAAACAGCTATAATACTAATTATAATACATTTCTTATGAGACGGGCTTCTACTTTCGAATCCCGTCGCCCCGGTATCCTGAAATGGCTTTCGCCTTTGAATGTGGAAATTGACCACGATCGTGTCCAGGACAAATCGCGCGTTTCCGAGCAGTCTCAAGCTTCTTCTGATGGACAATATGCTGGCAAATGGCTACTAGAATCCGATACGTTCGACGATTGGGCATCACGTAAGATTCGCAAATTGTGGTACTTTGGAATGCGTGAGTCTATCTGTTCTAGTTCGCGAAATCGAAATGACTAACTTGATTATCGCAGCCGGCGCGGGAAAGACGGTACTCGCGTGAGTGATGCCAAATACCGCCAATTATGGCTAGTCGTATTAACCCTACTCTGGGTACAGTTCCGTCATTATATCTCGTTTATTAGAGCTCCGGAGAAACCTCAAACGTTCACCCGATAGTCCCGTGGTTGCCTATCTATATCTTAGTTATAAGGAACCACGCACAATCGAACAGCTACTTGGGAGTATCATCAAACAGATCGTCCAAGATGAGGAACCCCTGCCGCCACCGCTTTTAAAACTTTGGACGCGCCGCGACCAAGGCGACGCCTCTGCTACAGTCAAGGATTTATCAGACCTACTCCACGAGTTAAGCAAAGATCGCCAAATATACATCGTAATAGACGCGCTAGACGAGTGCCCGTCTAGCTACAGGTCTCGTTTGGTGGAGGAGCTCAAGCGGCAGCGTGACAATCTTAGCATCCTCTTTACCTCACGGCTACTAGACGAGTTCAAATTTATATCCGAAGGTTTTGAAAAGAAAGAAATCAAGGCCAATTCGAGCGATGTGGATCTATATATCGACCATGAATTCGGAACCAAGCCTCGCTTAAAGCAGTATTTGGAAGATGATCCCACTCTGTTATATGAAGTGAAAACTGCGGTCCGCAACGCCTGCGACGGCATGTGAGTACCCCAACCCCCCCGATTCTTAATATCGCGTCCTCTAACCCTTAAGTTTCTAGGTTTTTGCTTGCTAGTCTTCAGATGCAAGTATTGGCATCCGCCTTGACTCTCAGTGGACTGCGCGAAGAGACGCGGAGCCTTCCTAATAGTATCGATGAGATGTATCAGCATACTCTTGATAGAATCAAGAAGATAGAACCAGGAAAGGCGAAGCTTGCTTTTGACACTTTAGCATGGATCGTTTCGAGTTGTCGACCCCTGCGGATTGAAGAGCTTCAGCATGCCCTTGCTATCAAACCAGGGAATCTAATTTTTGATTTCGATCAGATTTATCGAGAGGATGATCTGAGAGATTTCTGCGGGGGGCTTGTGACTATCGTGAATGGCGTCGTCTCGCTCATTCATATAACTGCTCAAAATTTCTTTGATGTGAGAAGCGATACACTATTTCCTGGGTTTCATTCTGAGATCTCCCAGAGATGCATCGCTTATCTCTCCCTCCCAGCCTTAGAGCAACCGGATGACGAGGACAATCAGATGTCATACGCAGAATATGACGATAACCTGGAAGATTACAACCCTACCAAATTGCTTCAACTATATCAATCCCACCGCCCCCTCCCCCGACCTTTGACTCTGATTGAGAAGCGGAGCATATTTCCATTCGCGGACTACGCAGGGCCCTTTCTAGGATACCATCTTCGGGAAATAGCACACGAAGCAGAAACAGAAGATATACTGAAACCATTGACAAACCTGCTCCAAACCCGCTCGAAGAGGAATTTCTTGCTGCGCATAATGTGGGCACACGATATGCCTTCAGCGTATTACCCTCAGTCCATTATGCCTTATTCACCGGAAAGCGAGGATGGCTCCGATCTAGCCAGCGACCATGGTTCGGATACTCGCCGCATGGACCCTTACGACTCTGACGCCGAAGATTCAGAAAGAGAGATAGATTGGATTATTCAAGATGTCCTCGATGGCACTGACTCGGACTCTGAAGTAAGGTCCAGTTCTTCGTCATCCTCGCCAGAATCTCCTACAGAGACATCGTCTCCCGCCGTCGAAAACAATACACCAGATTTAGATCCTGAATATGAAAGCGATGATCAAGATGAATCAAGCATACTTGACGCATCAAGTGCTCCATTATTTCGGGGGGCAGCTAGGAGTTTCCGTGAGATTACGCCAATACATTTAGCGGCGTTCCTCGGATGGGTGCCCATAGTCACAGTACTATTAGGAATCCCCGAGACAGCTGAGCAAATTAATGCTATTGATCAATGGAATAGGACCCCATTGATCATGGCAGTCGTTGAAGGTCATTGGGACATCGTTCTGATCCTCCTCGACCACAACGCAACCCTTGATCTAATGTCAGTTGAAGGCCCGTACGTGTTGCTACACGCAGCTCAGAACAAACGAGGAGATGTGGTACAGAACTTGATCACCCATGCACGAGGCCCCCCACTACAACCTCCCGTTCACAGATGGGATTATGTGATATTTCTAGAAGTGATCATTACAGCGACTTCGAATATACTAATTATCATTATGCTATTCGTAGAGCAAGTCTCAGCTATGGGGAAGTTGAAAGCGAACTCTCAAGACCAACAACTTGTCGCCCCAAACAAGGGACCTCTACGAAACACCGAGTCGCAGGCATCTGAAGACATGAAAGATAGTCTTCAATTACTCGAGGCAGCGATGACCGGCGACGCCGACACTATTAAACAACTAGTACACGAGGGCAAGATTGATCTCACGGCACGAAACTCCGTATTTCACATATTAGCCCTATTTCTAGCGGTCGAACTCAGCCAACCAATTTCCGTCCAAGCACTACTTGAGGAGGGCGCGAATGTGAATATGCGAGGGTTCGGGGGTGATACCCCGCTTCACCGAGCAGCATCCAGAAACCACGTCGATATTGTCAAGATTCTTCTCGGAGCGAAAGCGAATGTTGATTTGAGGAATGACGATTGGCAGACGCCGTGGTCGTGTAGTTTAGATATGGAACATCGTGAAGGTAAGCCAACAACAACAAAAGAAAAAAGGAACTCTCAACAATTAACACTAACATTTGCGGCATAGTTCTCGATGTTCTACGCCGCGCGGGCGCTGACCCTAATGTAAAGGGGATGCACGGCGTCACTAAGTTGTATTCAGCGGCGGCAGGTGGCGATATAAAAATGGTGCGCTTCTTACTCGAAAGCGGTGTCGACCCGTCTATCAAAACTAGATTCGATTGGGCGCCCTTGCACTGGGCTGCGAATAATGGTCACCTCGAATGCGTCCGTGTACTAATAGACGCCGGCGCCGATGTAAACGCCATGTCTGATGTATCGACGACGCCGTTGGATATGGCGCGAAAAACGAACCAGACAGTTATCGCGGACATACTAATTCACGCAGGGGCTAAGACAGCGAGAGAGATACTAGGGAAGGTAACCGGACCTGAGAGATATGATGAGAGCGACGAGGGTGATGATGGCGATGACGAGCCCGAATCCGACTCCGAGAGTGAGCCGGATTATTCAAAACAAGAACTAGAGGATCTCAAACAGATTCAGGCTTTCCTGCGACGGGCTCATAGCAGACAGGATCTTTCATCGAAGGACCGGACAAGGCTTAAGAGAGCTGCAGTGGATTGGCTGGAGGAACTCGAAGATGATATAACTACGGAAGAAGCGAAGAAGTTTTGTGAAGAAATTAAGGAACAGCTTGGTATAGTGCCGGAGAATAGGGAAGTCCGGAATGAGGACACCCCGGTAATAGAGATGAGACGTGAAAGTCCGGGGAGTTGATAACATAAAAACTAATTATATTATATTAAATATTCGTTGTAACATTGTTATTATCCGGCACGTATTTATCTTCAAGTTACTTACGTTCTCGGTTATAAGAGTAACGTCAGTGAGGAAGGGCAGTGTTGAAAGACAGGCTACAGTAGCTTTTCTACAGATACTCACCTCGGAGTTTTCTCTCTCGTCAGTTCGAATAAGTAGCAACGATGATTAGTGAAAAGCGATAGACCCAGACATCACAGAAATAGATGATGGAAGCTCGACGCCTCATTTCTTGTTAGCCCGCAATAATAATATAGAGCATACCTGGGTCGCCCAAAATCCTCAATGTATACGGCAAACTGGGGGAGAGGGTGGTTGAAAAGAGTATATAGTTCCAAAGACGGGAATCAGATATTGTGCTGGGTCAAGATATAATGATTCTCTGGTTCGTCAAGGTTGAGAGGTATGAGGCATTTATGTTAGCGGTTATTGAGTTCTATAAAGTAAGTAACTATTTATATTAGCCCCCGGATATCATAGAATACGCAGTAGCTAAGCTGCTGCGCGAAGGAAACAAAAGGCGATAAGCTGTGGATATGAAAAATATTGGCGAAATCGGTAACTAGAAGACCAAAGAAGTCAGCGGAAGTGAGATCAAAGCATGTAGAGTCTTGCTCAGAAATATTGAACAAGTTCAAACGCTACTTACGTTACACCGACCCTGATTTTGAATACATGTCGTAGAGGTGGGTAGTCGTAGTTATGGTGTTGAAACGCCGGCAATGTCGGGGATATTTTGATAGGTTCCAAGATTGCGTATCGGTTATTCTAGACGCTGGTGCTGACACTATCCAAGATGATCTCGTAACCGTCTAATCCGACGTATCCAGTTCGATACATGTCCAATTGTAGCATCGGGCTCGCACATTTCCTAAAAACGTGATGGGATACCTCCTCAAGGTGAATTCCTATTAAATTCCCGCAGAGACTGCTAACCAAGAGCACGCACCGATGGGGGCCATCCCCCCAGGGAACCGTCAGGGTGTCATTATACCACGTATCTCCTTCCCACGGCTCAACCTCATTTGTTGATGTAGCTTTTACGAGGCATAGATGTGGCTGCCCTGTGACCTGGAGTTTATTCTTCTTAATCTCCATTTGCTGCACGCATGGGGAGATTTTAACGAAATCCCCACATTCAGCGAATAACTCGGGCGAACGAGCGAGGAGGTCGTAAGTCTTCTCCGTTTCTTTGAGCTTAGGGTCGTACCATGCGAAGATTGAAAGGTCGTCGTATTTATCGATAATCTTCATCTGAAGGAGGCGAAAGGCCTCGTCGGCCGGAGGACGATCCCCGTTCCCTAGACCATACTCCTTCGGCAAGTCGATGATATCGAATATACCCAAAAGGCAATAAGCAATATCTTCGCCGTAGGTAGTCTTCCTGCCAGCGACCCAAGACATCCTCTGGGCTACTGAATATGTCCCAAGCTCCTTTTTATTCGTGATGGCTTCCTCGGGTATTGATGTAATGGTGCTTATTTCAGAAGCATAGTCGACTTTGGAGCCTATAAAGTGCCAATTCTTATTGTAGAAATGCACCTTTTTCGGCGCTAAAAGTTCTTGGAGCGTCCAAGCTCTTTTAAACCAACTCTCAGGAGGGAGATCTTTACGAGCCTCGGGAAACGAACGGGCATCTTCGTGCTCAAAAAGATGGACGATACAGACAGCCGCTTTTTTATACCATCTGAACATGGAATTAATAGCAGTTTGGGTTTCTCGTAAATCATCGTGATTAATACAACGTGTGTCCACCCAGGCGTATTTCAGCCCATATACTTCTCGTGCGACACGGCAGAATTCTCGGACTTTTATCGCCCCTTTCTTCGTTGAAGATAGAAGTTTCAGTTCTTTGAATGAGACTTCGTGTTCCTTACCCAGCCACACATGAGAGAGGATAGCGTATCTTCCATGCGCTCTAATTTCATTATCGACTCTCTTGAACTTCAGTGTCGTGGTATCAATTAACCTAATCATATTGAGGATAACACAATAACGATATAACTTGGAAAAGTGACACGCTGGATAAAGTGCAAGGCTTTCTAAAGATATTATGCGTGTAACTTCGTCTTTTCGGTGCAATTTGGGCGCCCGATTACTCCCTTTGAGGCTGTGTGAGAGGGGAAAATGAGAAAATGCAGCTATATCAGCGTGGGATTGGCTGACGATATGCAGGCTGCAGGTAACCAGCCTCATTTCATCCCTACATAGAAAAGCAAACGGATTTCGGAGTTCCCCAGGGCTTAGTAGATTAAATAATAGCCAAGAATCATCATCTAAGAATTTGATACCTATGGTATCAACCTATATTAATTAGAATATAGAGGTATATAATATAGTTAGTCATTATCCAGCCATTATCCAGCCATTACCCATCATTACAATCCCAAACACCACTACTTAATCATCACAGAACCATTCACCGTTTAAACCGCATCAAAAATCCCAACCTCGAGAACTTCGGCTGCGAAGACGGTGGCGTCGACCCCTCACCCGTCTTCTCACGCACCACATTCTTCGCCTTCGCGCCTCCTAATTTGCCCTTAAGCGTCCACAACGAATCCGCTTTCCTCAACAACGGTATCCGTCCGATCGTCCCCGCCGACGACCTTCGCTTCTGACACATCTCGTCGCTTTGCGTCCAATCGACGCGATGCTCGTTAACCGCTACCGCTGGATCCACGACTAGCGTCTCCTCGGATGATATCTCGTCGATAGGCGGGTCGATTATAACTACATTTGAGCGAACGGGGAGAGTTTCATCCTCCATTATATTTCCGAAATGGTTACTGCTCTTCCGCCGCGGGCCGGCTTTGGAACTCGAACTGGAAATGGGTCGCCGACGGTCGCGATTCCAACTATCCTCCGAGCTCCGCCGTTCTTCTAGTCCTCGCGTGCGATGACTTAGAGCGCGCTCTAGGGCGCGGTTTTGTTGCGCGGGGTTTATACCCGTATCTTGAGCTTGCGATTGAGAGTGTGAGAGGCTATGCACAGACGCGCGCTCACGCATACTATGCGCCGTCGCCGTGCGCGCGAACTGTGCAGCCGCTTCCTGGGGGACATGATGATACGGCGGTGTACTCTCCACAGCTTTCGAAGCCTTTCGCCTCAAAATCGAGGGTTTCGATATCAATCTACTACCCTTCGATTCCGCCGTACTCTCACTCCGCGCCATCCTCGCAGCGAAACTGCTATCGCTAGGTAAGTGCGTCTTCCCCGCCTGTGCTTTCTTCGCGCGTTTTTCTTCTTCGATGCGTTCCCGCTTCTTGCCTTCTTCCATGGCTTCGCGCTCCATGATCACGAGGTACAGACGTTGGCGTAGATCGTCCGCGTCGAAAGGTTGGGACTTCGGGTTTCGACGGTGGCGTTGTCTGTAGGGATCTGGCTTTGTGGGAGCTTGCCGCGCTGGGGCGGCGAGGGAGATTTGGTGGTCGTGTGTTGAACGGCCCATTGTGAGTTGCATTATTCCTCCTTCCTGTGACAGATAGATAGCTTCGGTAAGGTAGAGCTAGGTGTAGTTATAGCTTTAGTATCCTTTGTCGATTCAAGCTCGTAGTTTCATATGAATATGTAATCTAGAGAAGAATGAAAATAGAAGTTTGTAATACGCCTATGTAAGAAGACGTATGTAATGTTGGAAAGAGGTTGTGTGTGCTTCGTCATGTGTCAGTCAAGTCAGATCCTCATCCGTTACACATCCCACGACCCGCGTGACTCGTCCCACGAGACTTAAACTCGACCACAAGGAGTGGTGGCTGCAAGATGAGATGACAGCGATAACCGTTGTTCGTCCTAACTAATTAGGTATAACCGAAAAAGAGGAGAAAGTAGATTAACCTCAAGGTTATAAAAGGTCAAGGCGAAGGTAAAATAATAAAGAGTCAAAAAAATAAAAATTTATTAAATACCTTCACGTAGGTTACATTAAATCCGTGGGACGGGACGGACAGGGCTAAACTTGATATATACCTCCATCCATATTAGGGAGGTCGAGGTTCGTGTCTTCCCTTATTAAATGAAAATCCGGGGCAATAGGGCCTGCAAAAATGGATATCGCCCGTGTCGGCCAAGAAGAATGAAGCCTCTTCTTTTTTTCCTCAACGTAACATGGGTACATGGGATGTACATGGGGGGCTCGTGGAGACTTCGTGGACGGTAGCGACACGGCAATGGTCCCCGTCACTTGACTATCGGGCATCCGTCATGTCAGCTACTGAAGAAGCTAACCCTAGTTTCTTTTCTACCAAAGAGAAAAGGGGAAATGAGAAAAGAGACTAAACGGTTCCCGGCGACTATGTAACTCTGGCTTGCTCTAAACTACCCTTTGTTGCCCTGATTTCTCTGCAGGCTTGCAGGGCCGAGAAGTATTTCTAGTGTCACAATTTATCCGGCTTTGGATCTGTAAATGCATTGTAACACTCTTTTGTGGGAGCTAAAAAGAGGAGGCGGTCTATAGGGTAACCGTACATATGGACACATGGTCACGTATGCTAGGAGGCATGTAAGTTGTAAGTATGTATTTGAATTCGAATATGAAAGTGGAGGAAAATCCATCCCCATGGTGGATAGGGTTACATGACTACATGGGTGGGTGAATGGGGTGGAGGGTAGAGGAGGTAGGGGTACAAGGGCGGTTGAATCCTTGCTCATGATCCTGGGCGTACATAATAATCCTGGTCTACATGGTCGTCTCTGATCGCATATTGGTTCGTGCTGTGTAGCTTGAATGCACGTTACTTTGGAGGTCTTTTTCCCCAAGGGGAAGAGGAGCAGGATCTGACCAGTATTAAGTCGAGAAGGACGCCCATTTCATTCCAAATTCTGTAGCTATAACTCCACGATGGCTTCGGTGTTTTTCATGTGCATATTCCTATCCCGCTGTGGATGTGAGACGCCTCCCTTGTGCTTCATGTAGGTATATACCTAGATAGTTACCTAGCTAGGTACATACCCGGCACGGACACATGTAAGTACTCGATAACAATTCTCGTTTGACACGGCGGGGGTGGTAATGCTTGCTTCATTGTTGCATTTTACTTACCTACCTGCCATACAACCTCTCGGTCGACGAAAATTATATTAACCTAGCTCCCCTTTCATCAAATCATATTAACTGGAAAGGTTCCGGTATAGACCATCAAGTGTATGTACATCGGTACGCTTGGCTCAGCAATATATTTGCCCACCGTCGAGTCTCGCCGCTCCGGCAGTTAACAATTGATACGTCGAATCAGACCAAAATGCTGCAGGTTGATGCACGATTCCTTTTGTAGGTTAGCTGAAGATTGAAGCCATGTAACTCTACAGGCCGGATACCAATCAGTATTGCATGAATATTGAGCTCGTTGGTGCGTATATAGCTAAGCTACGTAGTTTGAGGGAAATGGGGGGCGGACTGGGTATCGTAGATCATCAACACGTAACTCCTATAGACGAGCGCGGGTAATTATTGAGTCATCATGGGTGGGTTGACTGTCTCAACAATCTCGACTTGTTTCCCTTGGACACTAATCATTTGAGATCTGATGAACATCAGATGTAAAGGTGATAAGCGATGGATGTTAACTGGTGCTAGGGAAGAAAAACTTGGAAATACGATTCAGGGAGAATAAATCAGAGAGCCTCCTTTTTCTAGTTGACAAGTTGACCCATGAAACTGACGCCAACAAACCACACTACGATCATCCCGATATCCCTGTCAGAATAGGTAGATCCCATCAGGCACGAACGTGCGTGGAGAATTTTGCTCGCGCCGAGAATCTATAAGCCAACTAGCACCTAAATGTCTCTGATAATTCTAATAGAGAGCGGATACTTGCAGCATATTGGAGCCGCCAAAACGACATCCCAACCACATTGGCATATTGATACGAAGTGGGTAGATAAAGCAGCAATCATGCCAGAAGGTTCTAGACAGCATCAACATCGTATCTAAACAAGATATCGCCTGGTTACGAGTATAACCGTAGGAATGTAACACAATCTTCAGCGGGCTGAAGGCATCTATGTATGAATGGTGCTACCACACAATAGAATGACAAATCCGGTGAGTTGACAATTGTTTTGATTTTTAGCACCGTTCTTGATCGACGGCCCGAGCGCACATAGATGGGATCTGCTCCGTAGGATTCGGACGGTACCGAATGGTGACAAGTCGCACTGATGGATCTCTTGGTCTCCAAATAGGGGTCCATCCTCAGGGATGAATTGTAGCAAGATAGTTCTAACTCATCTTGGTTGGATATTAATGTTTCGTTTAAGAGCGACAAAACGTACAAGCCTTATTGCTTGTATATCCGCCGTGGAAATGGCCCCGAACAGAGTCCAATAGGAATAAAATGGGATCATGGCGTTAATCTAGGCTAGCCCATCATGATCTGAAACATCGTGCATGCAGAATAAGGAGCTGCAGGGAAAAAAAATATTTCTCAGAAATCAGGCCATCTGAGATCATAATAGATCCTAAGTCAGGCCAGATCTCAAGGGAGAAAGAAAAAGTGACAAATATTTGAGTGAGGACGCCAGAATATTAGAAGAAAGTATACATAGTATATATCTTATATAAAAAAAGTGCAAAAAGAAGCTCTCGATCGGGGAATCGAACCCCGGCCACTCGCGTGACAAGCGAGTATCCTGACCACTAGACCAATCGAGATGTTGCGATCCGTTGTAATGACGGAGATTGGATTGTTGGGCCCGAGGAGGCGTTGGAAAATTTGCTCATACAATAGTATATATGTCTTTACAAATTTGCTTGCTAGATCTTTGTACTAGCAAATGAGGGGCTAAGCTTAAAAGAGGGGACAGATTTCTTGGCTTAGATAAGCGAGAACATCATTCTGTTCAAGTTACGTAATTCCATCACTCCCAATTATTTTCACACGCATATGATTTTTGGAGAAAGGGAAAAACGTATATGAAGTTGCAAAATACTACATGATATATAATATGTATATACTGGATTTTTAATGAATTATTGACATTAAAGCAAATGACGGAGATTCATCTTTAGAGTGGGGTAGATCTCTTCTCTCCACTATGCGGACGATCTGCTGCCCCTCATCACCGATAAGATATCATCTTAGATAGCGCAGATTAACACAAAGAAAGAGGTACCGTCTCCGAGGTATGTTACGTAGCCAGCCAGCCACAGTAAGGGATTTTTAAATTACTTGTGTAAGTGAGCGCCAGCAAAGCTTATAATTCAATACTTTCATACAAAACCAACCTATCGGAATCACTTTAGGATCTAGACATATATATCACCTCACGTTGAACCGCAATGGCAGCAACACACCTACACTCCCACGACGGTGGCTTGACCAACCATTCTCACGATGGCTTCTCCGTCGCCGAGCACGGCCACTCGCACGAGATCCTCGATGGACCCGGCAGCTTTCTCGGCCGTGAAATGCCCATCGTCGAAGGTCGTAACTGGAACGAGCGAGCTTTCACTATTGGGATAGGAGGGTAAGTACCCCCATATACACTCTACAGATAGGGTATACACACCATTCTAACATTCCCATCACAGCCCCGTCGGTTCCGGCAAAACCGCCCTAATGCTAGCCCTCTGCCTAGCCCTACGCCAACAATACTCCATCGCCGCCGTAACCAACGACATATTCACGCGCGAAGACGCCGAATTCCTAACCAAACACCTAGCCCTCCCCCCGCCACGCATCCGGGCCATAGAAACCGGTGGCTGCCCCCACGCCGCCGTGCGCGAGGACGTATCCGCCAACCTAGCCGCGCTCGAAGACCTCCACCGAGAATTCGATTCCGATATCTTACTCATCGAATCCGGAGGCGATAACCTAGCTGCGAATTATAGTCGCGAGTTGGCTGATTTTATTATTTATGTGATTGATGTTAGTGGTGGTGATAAAGTACCGCGGAAAGGTGGTCCCGGGATAACGCAGAGTGATTTGCTAGTTGTGAATAAGACGGATCTAGCCGAGGCCGTGGGCGCGGATTTAGGCGTTATGGAGCGCGATGCGAGGAAGATGAGGGAGGGGGGCCCTACGGTTTTCGCGCAGGTTAAGAAAGGTGTTGGTGTGGATCATATTGTTAATCTGATTATCAGTGCGTGGAAGGCGAGCGGTGCTGAGGAGGTTACTAGGAAGAACGGAGGGCCGAAGCCGACGGCTGGGTTGGAGACGTTGGTATGAGGCGAATTGAAGATTAATTCGCCTTGTTGTATGGGTTATTTATGTGAATATGATACCAAAAGGACTCTCACTTAAACGAAAGAAATAAAAACCGCGAGGTGATGGGATTAGACCCGTTCATCATTTATCTCATAATGGCCCTGATAGCCGTGGGTGATGCTTCTTGCGATGACCCTCAAGTGATTGACTACAAACCAGAGTTCTAACGCCTTTTACCCATCATTTAATGTCTATAGAATATCCTCGTCCATAGCCTCGTTTTGCACTTCCGAAGCCCCTTCTACCAAAAGAGGGCCAGTAAAGGGGATGGCATCCCGCGGCCATACTCGCTTGTATAAACTAACGCCAACCGCATCCTGTGGGTTGATTCTTCCGTCAAAGTTGGCCTTGAAGTACCCGTGGGTACCAAGAGTCTCTTTGATATATCCACTTCGTCCTCTCTTCGTCCATAACGGCAATGCCTTAAACCATTCTACATCCTCTCGGTTGAAGAACATGTATCGGATCGTAACGACCTTCTTGTGGATATGGTAAGGGTGACCAGTTAGGATAACGCGCTTCGCAATGACCCTTGACGTTGAAGGTGCTCGTGCGGTTCCTGTGGCCACTAATTGTAATGGCACCCCGGTTTCTTCAGAGCTTGTGCGCTTGAAGAATAATGTCGGCACGGACCCCCAAGTTATGGGACCCATGAATGTTGCAATTGCAGACTGACCGGGGTGAAGGTATCTGCAGTGCTTGTGGACATCGTTCTCAGTACTGCCAGGGAGCGAAAACAGGGGATTAATGACGAATCGCCGTGGGCCACATTGAACGATAAGCTCCTCCTTGGCCTTAATTGATTTCTCATAGTCCTCTTTATGAGTAACATCAAAGTTTAATGATGTTTTCTTGTTTTCGTGTCGTAATAGGGAGAAGAGGGTAATTGGTTGCGAAGGAGTATATGTCTTTTCTAATTCCTTAGGAACACCTCGAAGATGAACGTGAACCCTAGTTCCGGGGGCCACTCCACCAACTAGAGCCTCTCGTATTGAACGGTTTCGCGAGGACTGGTAATCGGAAATTTGTAATAACCTTGACCATTCTTCTGGTTGATACGGTCGATCTTCCTCTGTATTCCAAGGACTTGTTCGTAAGCTCTTCAAACCTCGGTATTTTGCTAGACGTTCCCTAGCCTGAACATTCGGATGTAATTCGATCTCGTCTGGGAACTCTTTGTCGTCTTCCGCCTCGTCACGTCTCCTCGCCCGATATGCTTCTAGTTGTGCCGCATCGTCATCCTCATTTGGCTCAACGAACATCTCCGACTGAGGATATTCTGACATGGCAGCCTCAGTAGGTTCGTTTTGAGCTACGCCTTCCATGCCGTCCTCCGGAGCAGCCGGAACACTTTCACCCTGCACATCTTCCATCTCTTGATCGTCAAGCTCGGATTCTGAATCTGATACATCATCCAAGAACCACGCGGCTTGATAGTTTGATGTTCCTTTTGGAAGTTTCTTTGGCTGGACGTATGCCTCCGGCTCATCCTCTGAGAAATAGTGATGATCGTCTAGCAATACGCCCTTTTTGCTTGTAGGTTCTTTCACATCTCCCTCCATTTCCAAATCCTCCACCGGCGCTTCTTCCGGGGCTAAATCGGTAAGGTCGTCTTGATCCTCGTCTGGAGTCTCCAAAATGTTCTCCGGTTCTGTCGCATCTACAGCCATCCCATCATCCTTTCGTTTCCGGGTCGTGAGCGGCGCGGCTGTGATCTTCTCGATTTGGAATGTACCCCAGTCTCCTACATGAACTAGACGATCGGCCTTAAGGCCTCTTCCTCGGATGACACCAGTCAATACTGTCGATTCCTCTTCGGTTGATGGCCACTGGATCTCGTCGACAAGCATCCATGATCGTTGATCTCTCCAATTGATCCCCTTAGGTGTCGTGCTGCAAAGGGATCGCATGAGATTTGAGCACTCTTGTCTTGAGTCGAGGCTGTATATCTTTTCTTGTCCTGGATGGAAATGTGTCATAAATGAGACGAGTGACTTGACAACATCCGGTCGGGCTTTCGCGGGCTGAATTTTGTCTAGGTTCTGGACGACCGTGAATAATGTAGACATTCCCTGATTCTCGATGCTTCGGATGATGAGTTCGCCTAGGGGATCAACCTCGGTTTCCGACGATAGTACGAATACGACAAAGTCGGCAACTCGTGTCGCATCTATGCATGCGGTAAGGTCTCTTGCGACTGGCACATATTGAAGCTTTTGCTTGAATCTATCGACGGATACTCGGTAGTTGGTCTCGGAGAATTCGGATTCGATATCGAGGCTATTGTTGAGGTTTTGGATAGCTGAAGGGACGTCAATGTCTGAGCAGAGCGGCACCACAGCGACTATCCTCGGAGCACCATCTCGTCCGGAGAAGACAGAAGTCCCCTTCTGGTGTTCCTTGTGTTTCGTTAATTGGCGCTGTTTCGCCTGGTTGCGACGGTCGAATTTAGACATGACTTGTTGGTGGGGGGTTTTGCGCTGGCCTTTTTCGTTTGGGACTTTGCCTGTATTTTATAAGTATTAGAAATGGAAAATGATTTGATATGAAGCCGAGTACTAAGAATGTCATACCTTTGGCTTGATCTCGCAAAGCGCCTTTGGTGGCTTTCTTGGATTTGAAAGTTTTAGGCTGGACTTTCGTAGTCGGCCGGTGTGAATGAGTAGCTACTGCAGACGGCATTTTACCGTCGCCTCCAGCTTTGAACCTAAATGGTAACGACGCCAGATTGGGAGGTACTAAGCCGTAGTATTCCCTGGAATTAAATGTCTTATTAGATCTTTGTTGACGCTTCCTCTTGGTCAGTACTGTGTACTGACTTGGATATTTTGGAGGGGCAGAGGGGCAATTAAGATAAGATTCCAATATTTCTTTTTAGCCCTTGTGGTTATCGTCGCTTATCGATCTCCTATCTGACCAATCAACTACTGATGCCCCACTAAAAAGTTCTTAGCGGGTCTTCTTATCGGCTTATCTTTTCCCTTGTCCTCCAGAAATTTTTGGTTTGAGAATGGCTGGATCGGCATTCACCGCGCAACCTGCCAATTACAATGTACTTTTGTATTATCCGCGTACAAATTTGAATTCGCTTCCTCGAGAGATAGCGACTTGGGGATACCGAAATCTAACATGGAGGTCGATACGATAGATGCGAAAAAGCCATCTGAAAAGAATTACGACAATGGCTCGCGTGTCGTAAAACGAGCGAGAACGGAACTTACCTCGAAAGAAGAGCGCGAGAGACGACGACGCTTAAAGGAAGCGCAAAGAGATTACGGCCGAGGGCGCAAGGTCAATATTCAAGGGATTAAAGACAAAAAACTGCGAAGCAATCTGAAGTCCCTCGAAAACAAGTACACGGATGCGACCGTGAAGGCGAAAGATGCCGAAATTCTTCTCGAGAACACCAGCGGATATTTAGAACCGGAGCATGAGTTGGAGAGGACTTATAAAGTACGACAAGACGAAATAGAAAATGAGGTCTCTACCGATTCGGCGAAGAAGCGATTTGAGCTAAAACTCGATCAACTCGGGCCCTATGTTTTCGAATATTCGCGGACGGGTCGAGAGTTGCTATTAGCAGGGCGCAGAGGTCATGTCGCTACCATGGATTGGCGCGAAGGAAAATTGGGATGCGAATTACAACTTGGCGAAACCGTTCGGGACGCGATATGGCTTCACAATAATCAGTTCTTCGCCGTGTCGCAGAAAAAGCACGTTTACATATACGACCGCCAAGGTGTTGAAGTACATTGTCTACGGAAACATCAAGAGGTCACACATATGGAATTCCTGCCGTACCATTTCTTGTTAGCGACTTTGGTGAGTCGGATCTACTCCTTTATGATTGGATGATCACTAACAATGCTGCCAGGGAATGTCTGGATATTTGAAGTATCAAGATGTATCTACCGGTCAACTCGTCACGGAAATACCTACAAAGCTCGGTGCTCCTGTCTCTCTTACCCAAAACCCTTACAACGCCGTTTTACATGCTGGCCACCAAAACGGGACTGTCACGTTATGGTCACCGAACTCCCCTGAGCCATTAGTGAAGCTGTTAGCTCACAAAGGCCCGGTGCGATCGCTCGCCGTTGATAGAGAAGGCCGATACATGGTATCAGCAGGACAGGATTGTAAGATGAATATATGGGATATAAGGATGTTTAGAGAGGTCAACAGTTACTTTACACGACAACCTGCTTCATCTCTCGCGATATCGGATCGGGGTCTTACTGCCGTTGGATGGGGAACAAAAACTACAATATGGAAGGGTCTTTACTCTAAACACGCCGCCGAACAAGAGAAAGTTCAAAGTCCATACATGACTTGGGGTGGCGAAGGCAAACGCATTGAACGGGTTCGTTGGTGTCCATTTGAGGATGTGCTAGGGTTAGGTCACGACGAGGGGTTTTCGTCGATCATTATACCTGGTGCGGGAGAACCCAACTTCGATGCGCTCGAAGTTAATCCATTTGAGACCGCCAAACAACGACAAGAGACTGAAGTCAAGTCGTTGTTGAACAAGTTGCAACCTGAGATGATTGCATTGGATCCTAACTTCATCGGAAACTTGGATTTACGTTCCGAGAAGCAGCGTCAAGCCGAGAAAGATCTAGACGCTAAACCTGTGGATATCGAAACGGAAATCAGAAATAGGGCCCGCGGAAAGAACAGTGCGTTGCGCAGGTACTTGAGAAAGCAGCGGTCTAAGAACATCATTGACGAGAAGAGACTGAAGGTTGAGGAACTCTGGAAGGAACAATTACAGCAGCGGGAGCAGAAGGCCAAAGACAAGGAAGTCGAACTTGGACCAGCTCTAGCAAGATTCGCCAGAAAGGAGTAACCAGAATCCAATAATAGTTAGAGGGCACCCAATCTAGCTGAGATGCGTCATCTTAATTTATTAGATACCTAATGACTTAATCGTTGGCGTTTCATGACTCTTAGGTCACTGGGTGCGACGAATGGAAATATCTACGTGGCCATATCGTAGAGGGTTTGTGCTGCACCTGTCGTTGAGGCAAAATGCTTGCGTTTACTATACTGCTAGGTAGATTGCTGATTTCGATATCGTATTTTGGGAAGACAGCACAACATGAATGATCTCGGTGTGAAGTAATTTATTGGGAGAAGAATTGCCGTGTGTTTATATTATAGAGTGCCTTGAGATGGAAACTTTTGGTTTTCTTCGGGAGTGCATTTTATTTATTCTCGTCTCGAATTTTTTCTTTGGATTGAGCTGGCAAAAGAGAGGAGAGAAGAGAAAGACCTATTATTGATCTGAGCCAACCGAATATACCCACCCCCTTTGAAGGAAAGAGAAAAGAGAACACCTAAAAGTTTTAATAGTTGCATACGCACGTGTTACTAAAACAGCTGACATCATTACACCTTGTTTCGGTGTCACCCTACCCTCCATTGGTGCATGTGACACTGGCAGAATGGCACTGTCAATGTTCGTTACAGCTGTCAGACTAGGCTATCGAATGAGAGTGGCCAACCCACCTAGGTTAGTACAGTTCCCCCAGAACAGGGATATCCCTGCCGCATCGAAATGTTATTTTCCTTACAAGCTTACCTATTCCTACTATTCCTACACAATTTATTAAAACTAGTCCTTTATTGTCCCTTACTATTCCTTGCTACTTGCTCTCGAGTCTCTTTGTAACTTTCGAATGTACTTGAAGCTCTGGGAGATGGCAACCCCTTGTCTAAACCTATAACTTGACACCGTTTTTTCCCTTCTCTTTAATAATTTGTAGATATCCAAATACTGATTGCTTCTTTTTTCCTTTCTAATAGCGTCGCCATGAACGGTCATTTCTCTGCAGTTGGCGATGCGCCAACAAAAGCTCACTATGAACATGGCATCCAAGTTATCGATGAGGACAAGGAGTTCAAGTAAGTAATTGCCCTCTTCCACTACATTTTCGCCGAGTTGTCCAACTGCGCGACCGCCTGCTAACCCCACGCGATCATAGTGGGAACATCAGCTCCTATTTACAAGCAACCGATGTTGCCGATGCTGGCTTCAACTATCATTTAATATCCGTTTTTGGTTCCCAGTCTACTGGTAAATCGACGCTCCTTAACTATCTCTTTGGTACCGAGTTCAACGTAATGTCGGAGACGGAACGACGTCAAACTACAAAAGGAATATGGATGTCCAAGAACAAAAGGGGTTCCATGGCCGACAATATCTTGGTCATGGATGTAGAAGGTACCGACGGCCGAGAGAGAGGCGAGGACCAAGATTTCGAAAGAAAGAGTGCATTATTTGCGCTAGCTACCAGCGAAGTGCTAATCGTTAATATATGGGAGCATCAGGTTGGTTTATACCAGGGGGCAAACATGGGACTACTAAAAACTGTCTTCGAAGTCAATTTGCAACTGTTCTTGAAGGATAAGCAGTAAGTTCCACGACAGATTCAACGGATAGTCTAGACTAAAGCTAACGTACCTGCGCTTAGATCCACTCCTCGATCTCTTCTATTTTTCGTCATCCGTGATCATATCGGCCACACACCGCTCTCCAACCTTCGAAATACCCTCATACAAGATCTTACTAAAATCTGGTCCTCGATCTCGAAACCTGCCGGTCTAGAAGGATCGCGCATAGAAGACTACTTCGACTTCGCTTTTGCTGCTTTGCCTCACAAGATCTTACAGCCGGACAAATTCGAGGTTGAAGTTAAAAGACTGGGTGGCAGGTTCGTTGCTGGAAGCAGGAACTCCAAGACTCAGTTAGAGCATGGTGAACAAGAGCTTGACGGTGGCGTTTTCCTACCCGAATACCACCGACGAATTCCGGCCGATGGATTCTCTCACTATGCTGAAGGTATTTGGGATCAGATTGTCAGCAACAAGGATCTCGATTTGCCTACACAGCAAGAACTCCTGGCCCAGTTCCGATGCGACGAGATATCCCGAGAAGTCCTGGTCACCTTCGATGATGCCATCGCCCCGTTGGAGGAAAGACAAGCAGATTCCGTTCGCAGTGGGAAGCCGATTGTTTTGCCAGACCTTGGTAAAACTGGTAATGCTACCCGAGAAAAATGCATCAAATCTTTCGAAACACAAGCTAGCCGATATCACAAAAAGGTTTACTCCGTCAAACGAGTCGAATTGGAAGGGAAAATCGACCAGCGTCTAAAGACATTGTACCAGGGCCAACTCTCCGCCGCTCACAAGGCTGGTGTAACCTCTTTTAGCGACGCTGTGTCTGGCGCTGTTAAAGCAGGTCAGAAGTCTGGAGGTGCCTACGAGTTCGCTGAAATCGTAGACAAGGAGAAGACCAAAACCTTGGAGAATTTCAGAAAAGAGGCCCAGAGCCTGTTGATCCCTGGTGTTGCGTGGTCGAATTTTAAATCCCAATATACTCTCTTCGAGAAGGAACTCGATGAACACAGTGCCCGGTTGCGGAAAGACGAGATCCGAAGATTGGCAACTCGCGTTGAGCGGAGAGTCAAAGCTCGCCTTGGTGAATTAGTTGGGCTTGAATTCAACAAACTCGGATCGGGAAGAGGAGGATCTGGTGCTCCTGAAGATGGTGAAAAGCCTCCTACCGAAAAGGATCTCTGGGATCGCATCTGGAGCGTCTTTATTTCTGTTGTTAAGGAGGCCGAGGGTCGCTTTACCGACAGAGCTAAGAGTTTCGAAGCGAGTGAAGAAGAAGTCGAGGTTGGACTGTGGCGTCTCCGACGGAAGAGCTGGATTGCTCTTCGAGAGAAAATTGAGGAGGAAGTAATGGAGGGCAATATTCTTCTCAAGCTTCGAGAAAACTTCGAAGACAAATTCCGATACGATGAGGCGGGTGTGCCACGCATATGGCGGCCGGCTGATGATATCGAGGGAATCTACACTCGTGCTCGGGAATCGACGCTGACACTCATCCCGCTTTTGTCGAGGTTTAGGCTTTCCACCACCGTTGCCCCGCCAGATTTGCCAGAATTCATCGGTCCGCAACCTCCTGGGGCGGAGCCGGAGGATGAAGATGACCTTACACCAATCGGAGGCGTCGATGATGAAGATGGAAAGAGTCTCGAGGAAGAGATGACCGTCTTGAGCGAGAGCAAGCGTCAAGATTTGGTGGTTAGGTTTAAGAAAACAGCCGACGGTGTCTACGTGGAAGCTAAGCGAAGTGCTATCGGCGGTATCAAACAAGTGCCCTTGGGTTTCTACGCATTGTTGCTAGCGTTGGGGTGGAACGAAGCTCTGACAGGTAAGACTGACCTTCATCGTGCAAAACAATTATCGATTTACTAACCCTTATTAGTTATACGCAACCCGATCCTATTCCTACTGCTCATCATTATTGTTTCTGGGTTCTATATTCTTCATAGACTTAACCTATTAAGCTCAGTACTGCAGATGAGCACCGCAGCCTGGAACCAGGGTGTGGACATCGGCAAGCAACACCTTCGAGAATTTCTCGAGAACAACGAAACCGCGAGAACGGCGATAGGCATGCCCGGCCGCGATAGCGACTCGATCAGCCTAAACACGCTAGACAGCCAGGGAAGGAGGGTTTCGCCCGCGCCCTCGAGACTTGATGACGATAACGATGATTAATAGGGATTTCATGGTATTCATTAAAAAATGGCATCGAGGGCCAGGATATAGTGTGAAGATATACATTTCTTGTGGTGGACAAACTCCTTAATCCAAAATAGAATATTTATGTATCATTTGTACCATCCTACTTAAAACGCCGTAGCCCATGCTCATGCAAATAGATTTTATATCAGATCGTTCCATTAAAACGCCTCTAAGCCTGCCGGTGCTCCAAACCATGTCCCTAATTCGTCAGCGTCTTTGTCTTTATTACTGTCCGCGAAGTAATCGGTAAGTCGGCTATTCTCATCATCGTCATCGACCGGCCACTCGACCTTGACCCCGCCCTTCGCTTCTAACATGTCTTTTGCTGTACCCCAACTAAACCGACACTCTGGGCCCCAGCCGAAAACCGGGTGCATGTTCCGCCGTAACCAAGCTACGCATCGGGCATCGGACGGGTATCCAGAGCCCCAACTTGCCTCTTCCTCTTCCCCATCCTGCATCTCCACATCCTCGTCTTTACTTGGGTTCTTCAACCCTGCGGCCGCCCTAGCTTCATACAAGACTTCAAGCGCAGCGTCTCGCGTGACCTTGGCGCATACACTCGCCGCACTGACACACGGGTACAAGCTATCAGCCTTTTTGGCAACAGTGATCTGCGTCGTAGGAAACACACGCGCAAGTTTCGCCTGGTAAGTAACAGGCGGACCAACGGTATCGACGTAAATCTCTTTTACATTCACACCCCTCGCGAAAACACCCTTAATCAGAGTTACAGTAGCATCGAAAGCTTGCGCATTCAAATTGTAAGCGGCGGATGTAGAGGGTCGGAGCATATTCGCTCCGATATCCCGCGCGGAGAGACAGGATACTGCCCATCCGCAGGAGAGTGATAGGTCGGTTGAGGACGTGCAGAGGGATTGCATTAGGGAGGAGCGGACGGCGGGGGTTAGGACTTTGGAGTCGTCGAAGTGGTGGGTTTGTTTTAGGAGGGGGTCGGAAAGGGTTAAGGGTAGGTAGAATACCCCGTAGACCATGGGGCCCAGGACGGGCCCGCGGCCGGCTTCGTCTACGCCTAGGACGCAGGGCTCGCCGGCGGGTTGGGGGGATGGGTCGGTTGTGGAATCGGATGAGGGTTTGGGGAGGAGAGAGGTTGGAACGGGGGAGAAGTGGGTGTAGGTTTCGCCGGCGAGGGTGGCGTCTCGGTGGATTGATGGCGGGACGAATACGTCGTCTGCGGGTGTCTCGAGGGCGATGTTGCCTTCGTCCATTTGTGAATCTTCCATGTTGGTAGGTAGGGGATTGGGTTCGAAGGTGATGTTCTTTCGTTATTGTGCCTGTTATTTCTAGAAATAAAGGGTACTGTCGTGACTACATGCACATGTACAAGTCTTTGAGTGAAGAATAGAGAAATTGAATGCACCAATGAAATAATGGAAGTGATGGCCTAGGTAAGTTTGTATAGTTAGACGCGTGCTGCTAAGTCAAGCGCGTTTCAGCCAATTAAAATGGCGGTATAGCAGATATGCCCCATAATATTTCGTTCGAACGTGCAGAAAATCAATTGGTAACAACACCTAGACCAGGGAAAGTACACACCTGATTCGAGAAAGTAAACATCACCATTTCTTTTCCCCGCCCAAGTTAAATCCTATTCTTTTTACAACTTCCACGCGTTTTTCAATTTTCTAAATGCGACCTTCGTCGTCGTCAATGATTTCTACTCAATTTCGCATGGATATTTAAGAAATTGGTCGATTGCATTCCCAGAGATCGCGCTGCTACTACCGACACCGATACCGAATAGGCCAATATGCCGCCTAAACAATCGTCGCAAAGGCGCATGACCCAGTCGCAGTCGCAAAATGAACAAGTTTATGATCTAGGTGTACACGGAAGGTATTCATAAATGTGATCGCGCAAGGTAGACTAAAACTGACGAATACTAGAAAAACCGGTCTCACCTTACCAGAGCGCCAGCGTGACGAACACGGTTTCGAGGACCACAGTGGTCTATTCTCTTCCCCCGAAAAAGATGTAAATAATCCCACTGCCAATGGGACGAATGGTGTCAATGGACGACATCATGAAGATTCGGATGGGGAGCAAGATATGGAGATCGATGATGGTATGCCATGCCCTACAAAGTATAATCATGAATTTACGCTTGTTTTTACTCACCGATCCCCCTAAATAGAGTCTCAAATAGGACCAGCTACTGCTATGAAACAGCAGCGCCAAACTCATCGACCTTCATTACCGCGCGCACGATCTCCCATAAAAACACATCTTCAATCTCCAGCACGCCAAAATCCGTACCTCGGTCCCACGTCTTCACCTGCCCGTGGATCTATTGTCACCGCACGCGAACGCGAAGCCCCAAAGACGGTGAACCGTAGACTTGATTTCTCCCAAGGCTCCCAAAGTAGAGGGAAGCCTCAGGCCAACGGGGTTTCGAAAGTTAATGGTACCAAAGGTCGAAATGGGAAGCTCACTAACGGTCGTGCCCGTTCGAGCGAATCTGATGACGAGGAGGCTATTATGCGAGGCATGCGAAACCGACGCCAGGAAGAGCCAGAAGAGGAAGATGAAGAAGACCCGGAAGAAGCAGCCGAAGGCGAAGAGGAATCAATGCAGATCATCGATGCCGGTAACGACGACTTCGATGATGTACCCGGCCGAGACGAGTCCCCCGTAGCGCCCGAGCCGGAGCCGGAGGAAGAAGAGGAAGAGCAAATCCAACAGGCAAAATCTTCTCAGCAGCCTAAGAAGCGCAGAGGTCGCAAGCCAAAGTCACCCGTCGCACAGGAAGAGGAAGAACCTTCGATAGTAGAGCCTTCGCCTGCACAAGCTAAAGCCGGAGGCGACCCTTCCAAAAAGAAGCAACGAGGACGACCTGGGAAGGCTGCTCAACCGGCGGAAGAGCCCGAACCTCCGAAACCTTCCAAACGTAGGAGATCTGGAAGGAATTCTGGAAGTAGCGCGAATGAGGGACAAGAAGAACAAGAGGAAGAAGACAATGTGGCGAATGAAAAGGAAACAAAGCGTCAACGAACCGAGAAAAAGGGGACTAAGGCATCGTCGAAACCAATAATGGAAACAAAGGAAAAGACGAAGCCCGGTCGCAAGAGAAAATCCTCTGGAGTCGGCGTCGACGAACCTATTGTTCAACGTGGTCCTCCTCTTCCTAAAGGTCGTGGATTGGTTGCTTTACGAAGAGAAGAAGACGACGATATCATGCGAGTCACACGATCAGGCCGGCATTCTTACAAACCCTTGGAGTTCTGGAAGGGCGAACACGTTATATACGATGAAGCGAGACAGGAGATTTTCGATGACAAAGACCGGCGGTTCATGATGCCGGCCGTGAAGGGTGTCATGCGCGTCGCGGACGATTACAGACTACCGAAACGCCGTCGCGGGCGTCCTGCGAAAAAATCTAGTAGAGGTTCATATCCATCAGTCGTTTACGAGAGAGAGAGAGAAACGATAGAGCGGGACCCATGGGAATCCGACCCTGGCCGAATTGCGGGCGAATGTCTCTACTGGCGAGGAGAACAGCCACAGGAAGGGGATGAGCTCGAGATTGTAGAAGAGGAATTAGCGATCTCCGAAGCTGCGATCCAACTTAAGGATATTAAAGATGCGACGTTCAAATTTGCGAAAACGTTGACGATGCCGTTCTTCGGATCGGGGATCGTCGATATGCCGCCTGGCTCCGAGAAGCGCACTAAAAACTCGAGGAAGATGCAGATGGTCTTTTTCGTGCATACGGGAAGTGTGGATGTTGTGGTAGCACAAACGGAGTTTAGGATCGGCAAGGGGGGTATGTGGTTTGTTCCGAGAGGTATGTTTGATTGATTTCCTTAGGCGATTATGTTTCTTGTATTATTTGTCGGTGGGCTGTAGTTCTAAGAGTACTAACATTCATTTTCTACAGGAAATCACTATAGTATAACAAATAATACCGACAATCCCGCACGCATTTTCTTCGCGCAGGGCTGCGAGATGGCAGCGCCGGTTGACGATGAAGGACCGCAGGAATAGGCTTATGGCTACCTATCGTCTTAGTACAACACATATTTCCTTTCTCTCGCTCTACGTCGTTACGAAATGCAAGAGGGGAATTATTAAATAGAGCTGGACAGCATTTTTCTTTTTTTGTTTCAGTTTATTTGCTTTTGAAATCCAATCGGACCTGGCACGGTGCACGGCTTGAAATATTCTTCGCTGTAGGACTGGCTGGACTTGTTATGTGTCTCGGATAAGGGGCGGCATTGCATCATTCATATCCATATTCGTCTTCACCCACCTATACATACCGCTACTTCGATTCCCGTGCTTCCACCCCCTCTTCGTGGTGTCTTCGCGGAGTTTCATGGGGTCCGGTTTCATTTTACGTGTACCTATTCGTTATGCTGGAAGGGGAATTTCCCGCGTCTCGCTTGATGGGTGGGCGGGCTGGTGGATGATGGTTTAGAGATAATTGGCCGTTCGTGCTTGTGATACCAAATTAAAAGTCATTTTCATCTGTTCTAACAATTCGTTCTATTTCCAGGTCCGTTTTCCTGTGATAGTTGAGTTTACAAGGCCTCGGTCAATTTCAATGTGATATGTGATCGAAGACATTTTATACATCTAGATATCTAGCTAATGAGTTGGGTATCGAAGTCATGCCCCTATGTGCCTCCAAATACCCTCCACTTCATATATACAAGTCCAACTCATCCCTCATAATACCAATCCTTCCTAATACTCACTACCTAAAACCCCCTTCAGCACACCGATCTCCTTCTCATACCCCTCAACCTTCTTCTGCGCACTCTCAATCTTACCCAATAAATACGCCGTCCTACCCGCCATCTGCGAAGGTTGTTTCGGCAAACCACCCAATAACGCGAGTTCAGCCTCTGCTTTATCTATATTCTTCCCCTCAGCCTTCGCCAACTCAGTCAAAACCGCGATATCCATCTTAGCGGAAAGTACTTTATCCTGCGCCAGCAATCTAAACGCAGCCTGGTACACCGGCCTTCCAGCCGCGATCTGCGCCGGTCGACCCCCGAGTCCCGATTTTACCGTCACGAGTTCCGCATTCGCGAGACCTTCAAGTGCGGCTTCGCCATCGGGGGCTGTGATGGATGAAGAGAATGCGCCGTGGAGGAGGACTTCGTTGTAGCGTAAAGCTTCGGTGGCGGAGAGGGACTTGATGAGGTACCATGCTTGTTCCGCGGACCAGCGGTGTTCGCCGTCGCCGGTCGAGCGGCCGGGGAGGAGGAACATTTTTAGGATTTCGGAGGCGGATTGTGCTGTTATTTCTTCGACGGCTTGTTTTGGGTTCTGGCCGGCTTTGAGGCGGCGGGCTAGGAATTCTAGGTCTGTTAGACGACCGCCGAGGGTGCCGATACATTCGTCGAGTTCGGAAAGGTCGGGGAGAGCCGGGGGTTGTGGTTGTTTCTCAGTGCTGTCGGTGCTGTCGTCGTCTGTGGGTTCGGGCTGCGGTTGTTCGTCGTGAGTGCTGATGTGACTTAGAATAAAGCGTTTGGCTACGTCAGGTGAGAGATCGCCAAGGGCGGCTTGACGGAAGATTCGGTCTGGTAGCGACTTGGATAGGGATTTTGAGTACGATGAATCGTCAGTTAGGAAAATGACGTGGGCAACGTTGTTTTGTACTAAAGCGGCAGCCCATTCAGCAACCTTGTCGTAGACGATAGTGTTGGCGTCACCCTTGTGTAGGAAGTTGTCAATAACCACGACAGGCCTTCTCTCAGGGTGCGCCTCTAAATAAGCGTCAACAGGAAGAGATGCATCCGAGTCTGTCTTGTTACGGTTCGAGACACCGATCTCCGTGAGAGCACCAGCTGTTGTCTGAAGGATCTTCTGAAGTTGTGATTCCAAAGTCTCAGAGAAGCCTGCTTTTACGCCAGTAGTACTCTGGACGGCTAAATCGGCCATACTGCTGAGGCTGTTCGCGTACGAGAAGATAGGGCGGTAGCCGACAGCAGACGCCATCTTCTTGATTGTTGCCGATTCACCCCTAGCTTCTACTATGGGCTTGCAGTCGATGACCAGCACATTGCTTCTTCCTTTTAGAGCTTGTTCCATTACCAGCTCCTTCTTACCGGAGCCGCGGGGTCCTTGGATGACAATGAAAGTCTCGGCAGTTTCCATCAGCCATTTCTGAATCTGATCAATAAGGTCCTTTCGATGAGTCCAAACCGCATCTAACCCCGCCTGATCACCCTTCTCACGCCGGAATGACAAAATGTCGGAGGTTTGTTTCCGCAGCCATCTGTAAAGTCTGCTATTACTAAGGCGGAATTTACGCGTGACATGTGCTTTGACGAAGAAGGATCGGATAGGATCGAATATGATAACGGTAAGACCGGTTAGCAACGCAACCAGAATAGGTATGACAATTCTAGGATGGTTTGTCATCCACTCCCAAATTCGATGTGGTTTCGCTCGTTGTTCATAAGACATTCGAAGTCTAGTTCCTAACTTGCCGCCACCAAGCTCTTCTGGTACAACGAAACCGTGCAAGCAATTCCGTACTAAGATAGCGTCTCTCACATACGCAAAGTCGACATAGGCGAACTTTGGGAGGACCTTAGAGTCCCAGGGCTGTGAGGTGATCTCGGCAATTTTGCCATATCGACGAAATAAGCTGTATAGGGTCTCTTGGGATAACTCGACAGCTTCCTCGCCAGGATTTTTAGGGACGAATTCTACTCGTAATCTATCCTTGGGAAATCTGTGTAAGTCTTCTAGCCAAGGAATGCCTTGAACTAGCCCAGCCTGAACTCCTCTCCAAGGACTAAAGAATGGCTTCACAGGCTTCTCTTCCAAAGACTTCAAGACACTGCTTTCTATTTCTTTAGCGGGAACGTTAGCGGGATAGGTGAATTTCACAAAAGCTCCTCCATCTTTAAGACGAGGGAGGATTTCTGTAACTTTGACTGGAGCAGATTGAGGAATAGCACGCTTGACCATGTTAATTGGGTCTAGAGCACCTAATGTCGAGTTCTCAAATCGCTTCATTAACTCGGAAAGGTCTCGATCGGGACTGCTCCATGGTGCTCGCAGTAAACCAGAAAGCTTGAGAGGGAATAAATCTATACCATGGTTAGCTTTCTCTCAAGCTAGAGTTGCCGTAGGTTAAGCAGCCATACTGTCTATCCATAGAATAGATTCATTAGGAGCTGCGTCTATATGACCAGTCTTCCCGTCTCCCGTCGTGGTGCTTTCCCAAGCTCTCTGTGTTAGCCTCCATCGTGGCTGATATCGTGAAGCAGGGAGGGGTCGTGGGAACGAGCTTGGAGCTCTCAACCCAGGCAAGCTCCTGGGGCCGAAGCTTGCGTATCGTGGGATCATCGTCTAGGAAATTTGAAGCTCATCCCCATGCTTGATTTTTCGTGAGAAGCTACGGAAAATTTATCGCAAATACTTGTATTTTGAATATAAATGTTGATTTTTAGTGCTTTTTAGTTCAACACATGCATCAAGTTTCCTTCTGGAGCCGATGAGGTCATCGCCAGCGAATTGCCAAGAACTGAATTTGGTACCTAATAAGTACCTAAAAGTTAAGCCACAAGTGCTATAGAGCGCTATGCCACAGCGGGTCGGTAGCGTACTCAAGCCACGATGTTCTCTTCTGACGGAAAGAGCTTCAATTTTGAAGAATTAAAAAATTGGAAGCGGCCAGTTGCAGACGAAAAGAAATAATATCAAAATACTTAGTTACACGGAAATCCTGCCAATTAAGTTTAACCCGCATGTACTATCGGACCATTTCCTCCAGCTCTCTATCGTACCACCAACGTGCGCCGTAATCAGCAACTTTACTATTGGTCGACAGGGAATTCTGTAACCTTCAGGGCGAGTCGATCACGAGAGCGAGTGCTACAATTGCTACACCCCGCGTCAATCCCCCGCATAACCCATTACCGTCCCTGTCCGAGTTGTTTATATCCCGCGATATAACTCCGCTAGCCATCGAGAACTCCCCTTTCCAATTGTTCGAATACAGACACCTACGAATACTCCTACTATTATCTTGAATTGAACTTCACAAACAGCACAATGGGTTGGTTATGGTCAACTCCCTCCCCTCCCCCAAAGGGACCGAATCCTAACTCCAACACTCCTGAAGAAACCAACAAACCCACCCCCAAACCCGAATCCGACTATGGCGACCCCGAAATAGCCAAATTCATGGCCCAGATCCAAGCAGAATTCGGAAGCAGCAACAGCGACACCAAACCCGCCGAACCACCTCAATCCTCCGAGCCCGAGAAAAAGACCACAACATCAATACCAACATACAATCCCTCCACCACCTCCTCACGCTCCTGGTCCCGATCCCTCTGGGGCCCCGCCTCCAAAACCGCCCCTCCGCCACCCGCTCCAACCACAAAATACATCTCCAACCCGTCCCGCGAAGCCATAACCCGCGAGCGTCTAGACCCAATCTCCGAATCCCTCCTCCCGACAACAATGTCCTGCCGCTCGGCCTTCGACGCCGCCTTCCACTGCAACTCTATAGGCGGACAATGGACGTCCGTATACCGAGCCGGTGAAGTCCGTTCGTGTTCCGAACACTGGGATGATTTCTGGTTCTGCATGCGCACGCGTACCTTATCTTCTCCGCAGAAGGAGGACGCTATAAAGGATCATTATAGAAAGAAGGAGTATGAGAAATACTTTGCTCCGGGACGTCCTAGTAGTGAGGATGTGTGGGAGGCGCGGACGGAAAGGGTAGACCCTGGGACGACGTTTACGGAGAGGTTGGATTTACCGGATATGAGTGATGAGGAGTGGAGGAAGATGGAGTTAGAGAGGTGGCGGAGGGCTAGGGAGGCGCAGAAGAAAGATTAGAAGAGGCATCATGGGATACGATAGGATAAGGTTGTATCATTACTATTAATGTGTATGAATTGAGTCAAATTAAGGACTATGACAATACATGAATTGTCTATCTATGAGTGCCACGGCGTCGTGATAGTTTGTAACTATGTGTGTACCACAAGATCAACGTATACACCCTATTCAAACTTAAATACTCCATCACCAAGAAACACATTAAATGATCAAATGCATGTTATAATCTACACAGTTAAGAGTCACAAGTCACAAGTCACATCGCAAAAGACAAGATCAGATTATTTCATAATTAACTTCATTGCTTCGTAGTAGGATTAATCCCCTAGAATACATTCCATGCAAGTCATGAGCCGCGCAACTTTTGCCCTGTATCGTTCATTACCAGTAAAAATCTAGTAGTGCAAACCCTGGAAAATCCGTGACCGCCGCGCGACGATTCAATACACCGCGGGAAAAACGCCGGGAGAATAAATTAGAGGAAAAACAGATATCATGAAGAATAAACCCTTTAGTCGACCTCCTCAACGGTGGGGCCGTCATCACCACCGGCACCAGGGGCGCCAGCACCGGGGAAGCCACCAGCGCCGGGAGCGCCAGGCATGCCACCGGGCATACCACCAGCACCACCGGATCCGTAGAACTTCATCATGATGGGGTTGGCAATACCCTCCAACTCCTTCTGCTTCTCTTCGTACTCCTCGCGGGTGGCTTGTTGGTTCTCGTCGAGCCAAGAGACAACCTTGTCAATCTCGGTCTTCAACTTCTCCTTGTCACCAGCGTCAAGCTTCTCATCGACCTTGGAGTCGGAGAGGGTGTTTCGGAGAGAGTAGGCGTAAGACTCAAGACCGTTCTTGGCACCAATACGGCGACCCTCAGCCTCATCTTCCTCCTTGTACTTCTCAGCTTCAGAGAGCATACGCTCAATCTCCTCCTTGGATAGACGTCCCTTGTCGTTGGTGATGACAATCTTGTTGGACTTTCCAGTGCCCTTCTCAACAGCGGAGACGTTCATGATACCGTTGGCATCAAGATCGAAGGTGACCTCGATTTGAGGGACACCACGGGGTGCAGGGGGGATACCGGTGAGCTCGAACTTGCCCATAAGGTTGTTGTCCTTGGTGCGTTGACGCTCACCCTCGTAGACTTGGATAAGCACACCAGGCTGGTTGTCGGAGAAGGTGGAGAAGACCTCGGACTTCTTGGTGGGGATAGTGGTGTTGCGGGGGATAAGCTTGGTCATCATACCACCAGCAGTCTCGATACCGAGAGATAGTGGGGCGACGTCGAGAAGAAGAATCTCGTTGGTCGACTTGGAGCTAGTGTCTCCAGAAAGGATAGCAGCCTGGACGGCAGCACCGTAGGCAACAGCCTCATCGGGGTTGATAGATTTGTTGGGCTCCTTTCCGTTGAAGTAGTCGGTGATGAGCTTCTGAACACGGGGGATACGAGTAGAACCTCCGACGAGGACGATCTCGTGGACCTGGGACTTGTCGATCTTGGCGTCAGCAAGGACACGGTCGACAGGCTGGATAGTGGATCGGAAGAGGTCCTGGCAAAGCTCCTCGAATCGAGCACGGGTGATAGATGTGTAGAAGTCGATACCCTCGAAGAGCGAGTCAATCTCGATGGAGGTCTGGGCGGAAGATGAGAGAGTACGTTTGGCACGCTCACAGGCGGTTCGGAGACGACGTAGAGCACGAGCGTTGGTGGACAGATCCTTCTTGTGCTTACGCTTGAACTCGTTGACGAAGTGGTTAACTAGTCGGTTGTCGAAGTCCTCACCACCCAAGTGAGTGTCACCAGCAGTAGACTTGACCTCGAAGATACCCTCCTCAATGGTTAGGAGAGAGACATCGAAGGTACCACCACCGAGATCGAAGATGAGAACGTTGCGCTCACCCTCAGCCTTCTTGTCAAGACCGTAAGCGATGGCAGCAGCCGTGGGCTCGTTGATGATTCGGAGGACGTTAAGGCCAGCGATGAGGCCAGCATCCTTGGTAGCTTGTCGCTGAGAGTCGTTGAAGTACGCAGGGACGGTAATGACAGCGTTAGTGACAGTACCGCCTAGGTACGACTCGGCAGTCTCTCGCATCTTGGTGAGGACCATGGAAGAGACTTCCTCGGGGGTGAATTGCTTGTTCTCGCCCTTGTACTCAACCTCGACAATAGGCTTTCCATTCTTCTCGATGATCTTGAAGGGGAAGTGCTTCATGTCAGCCTGGACCTCGGGGTCGGTGAACTTGCGACCGATCAAACGCTTGGCGTCGAAAACGGTGTTGTGGGGGTTCATGGCGACCTGGTTCTTGGCGGCATCACCGATCAGACGTTCCGTGTCCGTGAAAGCCACGAACGACGGTGTGGTTCGGTTACCTTGGTCATTGGCAATAATTTCGATTCGGTCGTCTCGGAAGACACCGACACACGAGTAGGTCGTGCCCAAGTCAATTCCGACTGCGGCAACCATTGTGAAAAGCGGTTGTGAATTAATTGACTTCTATGTGTCAGACAATAGTAGTAGAGGTGGGGTAATGAAGAAAAAATGTATTGTGTAATGTATGAAGGATGTGAAAAACACAACGAATTCTTGTACCCAAATGGGGCGGGTATCTTAAATTATTTATGTGTGTGTTTATTCGTAGTTGGTCTCAGAATGTTGTTGATGATTAGAGAAAAGATGGGAAGGGAAATGTTGTTCGGGACTCACTCTGAAGTTTATACAACCAGATGTGGAAGCTATGGTGGGGCCAAGGAATCTTCTCGAATTGCTAGAAATCGGTACCCGCTTCTGGTACTTTCCGCCTAACTGTTGTGATAGAACAATTTCTTAGCTTCCTGAATTTAATAGAACAAGCTAGAGATAAAAAGTAGGTTTTAGTACCAAAGATAACGTATTACGCCACTGTTGTGCTTTCCTTACTCGAAAACTAAGGAAATTTCTTGAATTGTTGTAGCAACTTAGGTACTGTTTCCAAAGTTCTCTCTAAGAAAAAAAAATTTGGGATGATGGTAACTATTCGAAAAGTCTCCATAGTAACAACCTTGTAAGGTACGTACCATTCTTGACATACCTGAGGCTACTGCAAGCACATTCGTACCTTCCCTACCCTACCCCGCCATGCTCATCATTGCAAACTTGTACTGACATCACCGCCCACTTACTCATTTTGTGCGCCGTACCTACCTTGGTTGCCCGGCCTAATCAGCCCGCCAAGGCCCACCAAAAAATAATGGAAGAGAATTTTTTCTAATATTTTTCACTAGAGGCGCCTACCTCATGGTAAGTACCATAACATACAATTTATTAGTACAAGTACATGGCGTCCTTTTAACATCAGGAATTAGGCAGTAGTTCCATCCATTGTTGAGGCAACCTCCCTCAATATTCTAACACCTTCGCCCTCCTACTTTTCCGCCTTGTTGCCTGGCTGCAAACACAGGAAGGATCAATACATGAGATGGATGGATCAGAGTAAGCGCCCATCGAATTAGGGGTTGGCAACTACAACCATCCAGCCATTACAATGCAATTCTAGAAGATTCAAACTAGCACATGTATCCTTTGGTTATGCTTATTTTTGGGACTCGAACTTAATCGCATTCAGAAGAAACATACAAAGGTTTAGTTCAAACAAGGCAACAGTAGCGAGCGGAAGCAGGAGCAGTAGGCAGTAACAGCCTTGTATTACCCCGTATTCCCCAAGTTAACCTCGCAGCCAGTCAAGTCCTAGAAAAATCTGCAAAATATATTAATTCTTAACAATTCACGCATACACTTCAATGTGACCAATTATTCCTTTTGTATCTCGCTAATTCGAAAGAGAGGAATATTTCGATGGCGTATATTTGATATGTACCCAAGTATCTACAAAACAGACCGGAAACGTTTATGGGCGGCTGCATGTCTCACATTCGATTACGATGCAGACAATTTTCGAGCCAACACCTAATCTGCCGATGCTATAATCCCTTGTTTTTATTTATATATCTACACCTATGAGGCCTTTCTATTTCAAATCCCTCGAGCCCGTTGATGGAGATATGTCAGAGAGGCAAGTGTTGATGTCAACAACACCAATAAATGTTTCTCATCGAAGTTCTGCGTCGCTCTATAGGGTTTCAATAACCTACCTAGGTATGTAGGTAATTAACAAAAGTGCTCAACCTTCTCAGGCGTAGCATCCTTCGGCCCTAGATCCGTCTTCAGGACACGATTGAACAACTCGACCAACACCTCGAAGCAGATCTTCGTGATAGCCGGATCATACCGTCCCTTACTCAACTCGTCACGAATGAACGCATGCTGCGCCCAAGCGAACTCGTAGAAGCTAAACGCAGTCCCCGAGCTTCTCAACTTCTGCCTGATCAGATCGCGGCCCTCATCTGGGACGTGCGTATCCTTGATGCCGAAAATCATAGCCACCTCGCCCTTAATTTCCCCGAGCCTATCGATCGTGTGGGTGCTATTCTCCGGACCCTGTACCGAGGTGTCGGCGGCAGTATACGGGCCCAGCGTGCGGGAGTGGACGTCTGTCGCGAAGTAGGATACACCCGCACTTATCCGCGGGTCCAACTACGGCGATTCATCATCAGTAAGGGAGGTATAATAATAATAATAATTAGAAGAAGGATGCCGCACGTACAGTGGCTCGTAGAGCAAGATGACCCCCCAAACACATTCCAGTAGTGCCTATCCGACCATTACACGTCGGGAGGCTAAGAAGGTAATCGACGGCCTTGCGAGAGTCCGCATCGTACGATTGGAGAGTCTAGAACACATATTTGCGTCAGCTGTCGGCTATTCCGTTGGTTAATTCATGATAGAAAGTGATTTAACATACCTTCGTTATCTTCAACTCGTTTCCCTTGTCGGTACCCGGGACATCGTATGGTAACGCTTCTGGCCCAATGAAGTCATGGTATGACGAAGGAGCTGCGACTATGTAGCCATGCCCTGCGATTTGGCGCGCGAATCGCGCAACTGGACCGGTTACTATCGATCAAAATCTCCCAGTCAGCAAGCTGCATATATCATGTAGTCGTCGTTGACATTTTTTTCTTTGGCTAATCGCACGAATGGAGTTGGTGAGATGGTACCTTGATAGATCTCACTGAATAGAACGATGCCAGGGAATCGACTGCCAACACATCAGTAAGCCAATTCTTGAATAGGCATCTTGCAGAATTAAGAAGTAGAATAAATCAAGATCATACGCGTTTGGATATTGCGAGATGGTGGGATGGAAGGCGAAAATTCCTGCCCAACGTTAGCGCCTTGGACTATAGGTTGCAACTCGTCGGGGTCCTTCTCCTCACTCATAGACGTCTCCTTCCCATCCACATTCGTTTGGACATCGACGTGACTTTCGTTGACGAGCATCTTGATCGGATATATCTTCTACCAACTATAAGATACGAAATGAGTTGCAGAACTTGTTAGCCCGTCTTTGAAGTGGGATAGATGTCCGATATATTAGACCCCGCGCCGGAGTGGTGGAACCACAAATGCGGGGACGAGATTGGAGCTCCAAGAATGACGGCCCCGGACATGAATCGGCGATGTTGACGGATCTCGAATTGGAGATTCATTGACATATCGAATGATCTTAATATGCGGCTAATGTTATTCGTGAGGGGGTGGTAGGGCGTCGCAAACCTAGCCATAAGTATCAAATGCCTACCTCGAGATATAGCATCGTATATATTACCCATATATTCACATAACTATTATAAATGATGGGGTACTTCTAACCTCGGGCCCAGATAAATGGCAGGTATAAATGATACTAAAAATCTTGCATATATATCGTATGTTTATGTGTAACAACCTTCCCAATTAGCAAACGCCATGCAACTATCTACATATGAGGAACCTGGGAGCTCTGTAGCAGCAGGTTAACAATGCTTAAGAAGCCTTCCCCCAAAATGAAACCCTAAGGATAAAATATTAGCCATGGTCCTCGGTGTTCTACATAGTAGGGCAATACTTACGGACGCGAGGACGATCAATGGTGTATCCTCCTTTCCCAGATGAATTCTCCAATACCAATTTAGAAGCCCACCTATCGTTCTCGCAAGGGTAAAGGATGGGACATTGTACATTCCTGGTCATGGCTATTAGTAATTTTTCATAGAGCGTGGATTGTTAGGTCTCTTACCAACTGCCACGGCAATTCCTCCAGGTATATAAGCGTGCCAGCTCTTCCCAATGGCTTTTGTACGCAGAGCAGTAAAAACGGCAAAAATAATAGCACCGCCAATAGCGAACTCCCTCGCCATATACGGTAACCCCTTTCCAGTAACGAGCCGTGCAGTGAAGATCCACACGAAACCAGTGGGTACTTGAAATAAGTCCCCCGGGACTTGATAGACGGCAGTGTATAACCTATAAATGAATGCGCTTACGACAGCTCCCACAGTCGCACCAATAATCTGACCCCAGAATTGCGCTCTAGGTGCTGCGCCTAGCAAATGACCAGTTTTCAGGTCTTGCATGAGATCACCAGCCTGTAACGCGCCGGCTTCGGATACAGCACCAGCCACTAGATTGATCAGAACACTCGATTTGTGAGTCTGTGGGATAATAAGAGCGAAGAAAAGCTGGGCAAGCTTGCTGATTCCGGAAACGGGGTTCAAGTCCGTCTCCCCTAGAGCTCGAACACCCATTATACTCAACACCATCGCCATCAGAACAGCTATTATCGTGGCGTATAACGGAACGAGATCACCAAACGTGATATGGATGCTGGCAACACAGACAAGTACAGATACCACGAGCCCAATGCTGACGGTTCTGCTTCCAACCAATTGCTCGGGAGGGGCATCGTCCCCGTCCCAGACCTCCCGGTCATCAACAGATTGAGCATCAAAAGGGTTTCTGCGCTCAACCCTCGGGCTTGGCAGATTATCGACTTCCTCTGAGCTTCTTGCCCGCACTGAAGGCCTCGAATCGTCTTCGCCATTCTGAACCTCCGTATAGCCTTTAGGTTTGCGATAAAATAGGCCTTTAAGTCCATGTTGCTGGAATCGCTGCTTAGCTGTCACGAGATAAGCCGGCCCGTGTTTAACAACGGGGCTGAAAGCGATATAGCCTAGACTGACAATGGCATCCGCTAGCATGATAGCTAGAGATGTCCATACAATCCAACCCTTACTGCCACTCTCCCAGTCGTCAATCGAACCCGGGGCCCATCCTCGATGTTTTGCGAGGGGCGAGAGGATTCCCCAACCAACAACAGCACCGATCAGCATATGTATAGTCGTCGAAGGGCCCATGATGATGCCTTGGCCGACATATGCGAAACTTGGATTTAATGTCCAAAGCCAAGTGTCTGCTGCCACGGTTCCGAAAATTGGAAGATTGCGGATCACGGGGAAGAAATAAGTGCATAACGTGTAAAAGCCGGATATCCCAAACGTAATAAGCAATAGCCGGATATTGGACCCCCAGCTGTACTGTTTTTGCACCTCGATACGTGGAATTCCATCGGCCGGCTCAACTATGTCCCTTTCATCGTTGGCATCTTCAGCTTGTACGAGTGGTCGATTCTCGAGGGCTAGGCTACCAAAAGTTGCTGCCTTTGATGGATCCAAAGCGCCACCATTTTGAGTATGTCCTTTACCGTGAAGTACTCCGATGAGAACAGCCGTACTAAACCCGCTGGGAAATTTCAACTGTTCCCTAATGATCACTTGGCGCCGTCTAAGATGAGGTCAACTAAGTGTCTAATTCAGACTTGAAAGACGACTCACAGTGGTACCGCGAAAACTACACCGAAGTAGCAAAGACCCAAGCTCCAAACAATAAGTTTCCACATGCTTAAGTTTATCGGACCTTGCTCCGATGGCTTTAACAAATATTCCATCGCGGGAATCTGAAACCACATTACACATATTAGTTTAATAATCCCTGATATGATATCAGAGGTTTCTTACCACCCCAACGAACCCACAGCCCAGGGGCATAATTGCCATGCCACCCGCTACAGACTGAACAAGCACATTTTCAACGGGAGAAAATGGGAAGGATAGATAACGTGACAAAGCCTTGAAGATGCCAAAACCCAGTAAGCTAGAAGGCATCGTCATCATAGAAATCCAACCCGTCTGCAACCCAAAATACATATTGCTAAAACAAATACTACAATAGCTAAAGTTAATAATTGTATCACAAGATAGGAGCTCGGAGTAACCCATCGGGGTTAAGAATATTGGTGGCTGGACGAGGCAAATGCAACTCACATCAACCCAACAAGTAAACCAGCGGCAATACCCCGAAGTGTAAAATGACGGCCTTCCGGAAGATACTTGACATCTTCGCCGGAAGCTTCTACGGCATCGGGTGGATACGGGGGAGGCGGATCCTCGACATTTCCTCGATCGGGAGCCATTATATCGGAGGTTACGACCGCGACCGCGACAGACTATAACTTAAGCTTGTAGGTATTAATACAGACACGGTAGACGAATTTTGGCTAATGAGTTATAGTATACAATGTTTAGTCCATATTGAATGGAATAAGTTGAAGTTGAAATTTAAGTTGAGCGGATGAAATGAAAGGAGAAACATGAAATTACGGCGAGTCTGATACCGACAATGACTTTCCTGCTGACCAATAACCCGGAGATATCAAGAAGGTGCTACTAAACCCATAGCGGCTAATAAAGGAGCTCCACATCCCCAATAATCATTGCCAAGACTCAAGCGAAGTCCCTTATTGCAGCTATACGTACCTACCCTTGTCATTGCTATTGTAGGCAACAACGACCTGGGTATCTATATATGGTGACAATAAGTTTTGTCACGAATGCATGTGCTCCGGGGTAACGTAACTGGTGATAATTATGGCACCAGAAGAGTTGATGGAGTTTTCTTCTCCGAACCGACAATATTGATATAAAACTTGGAAAATCACAGAATAAAAAAAGCTGGGCGACCAGGATATAATCCAATGAAATCATCAGCTACTACCCCTCAAATACCGGTGCAGCAGGTTTAACCTCATCGGGTTAGCGCGGGGTAGAAAATCAACTATCAACCCAGCCGAACTCGCTCAACTCTAATACTTTTTTTTCTTCTTCGTCATCTCCAGCCTTGACGCACCCTCCGAAGGGACTTGGACTTGGGGATCACCAAAAACTTCACACATCGTTTTCGACTACAGAATACGAATATGTCGAACGGAACCAATGGCCAGACCGAAGCTACGGGCTCTTCGGAAGCCCGTAACGCTTCCCAGCGTTATCTCAGCACGAGGGGCGAGGACTACGACGTAAGAATAGCAAAATCTCAATTTCTTGGCATGGCTTTTTCTGACCATATCCTCTAGTTTTCCTTTGAACACGTCGTTTTAAAGGGCCTCGCCTCTGATGGTGGTCTTTATATCCCAGAAGAGATTCCTTCGGCATCCAATTGGCAAAGCTGGAAGGATTTGTCTTTCCCCGACCTGGCCCTTGAGGTTTTATCTTTGTACATTGCGCCATCCGAAATTCCGCGTGACGATTTAAAGGGCATCATTGACAGGAGTTACTCAACCTTCCGAGCCCCTGAGACGACCCCTTTACGACATCTTCACGACAACTTATACCTACTAGAACTATTCCACGGCCCTACATTCGCATTCAAGGATGTTGCTCTGCAATTTCTGGGTAACTTATTCGAATACTTCCTCGTACGAAAGAACGTAGGAAAGACGGGAACCGACCGACACCATCTCACTGTGGTTGGTGCTACCAGCGGTGATACCGGCTCAGCAGCTATCTATGGACTCCGCGGCAAGAAAGATGTGTCGGTTTTCATACTGCATCCCAAGGGCAGGGTTAGCCCTATCCAGGAGGCCCAGATGACCACCGTATTAGACGCCAACGTACACAACCTAGCAGTCAAGGGCACTTTCGACGATTGCCAGGACATCCTGAAGATCCTATTCGTCGACCCTGACATTAACTCGACTCTCAACTTAGGAGCGGTGAGTGCCTTGTTCCAGCCAAGAGATTACATTAGCGTCTAATTCGGCAATTCCAGGTTAACTCGATAAATTGGGCTCGTATTCTCGCTCAAATTGTTTATTATTTCTACTCATACTTCTCACTTGTCAAGTCATCAACAATAAAACTCGGCGACAAGGTCCGCTTCGTCGTACCAAGTGGTAACTTCGGCGATATCCTAGCAGGTTACTTCGCACACAGAATGGGTCTTCCCACTGAAAAATTAGTGATCGCAACCAACGAGAACGACATATTAGATCGATTCTGGAAGACTGGAAGATACGAGAAGAAACCCGCCTACGGTAAGGAGGCACAGGGAGGTCTGACACAGGATGGCGTCAAGGCTCACGAAGACGGTGTTAAAGAGACGCTAAGCCCTGCGATGGATATTCTCGTTTCTAGTAACTTCGAGCGACTACTCTGGTTCCTAGCTTATGAGTTTGCATCTCTCGCCGGAATGGACGACGAGTGGAATAGAAAACAAGCCGGTCAAGAGGTAACTGCCTGGATGAAGCAACTAAAGTCAAGTGGCGGCTTTGGTCCAGTCTACCAAGATGTGCACAAGAGCGCTAGACGTGATTTCGAAAGCGAGCGAGTGAGCGATTCGCAAACAGTGGAGACGATCAAGAATTACTTCAAGAAGATTGATTACGTTCTTGACCCCCACTCAGCAATTGGTGTAACCGCCTCTCTACGATCATTGGAGCGATCCAAGGCACCTCATATCTCTCTTTCGACCGCCCACCCCGCCAAATTTGCTGGTGCTGTTGAGATGGCGCTAAAAGATGAGGCTGGGTTCAGCTTCGAGGAGAAAGTTCTCCCGCCGGAGTTCGTCGGTCTAGATAAGAAAGAAAGGAGAGTTGACGATGTCGATAACGATTGGCAGAAAGTTAGAGAAATCGTCAAGAAGCAGGTAGAAGAAGAGTTGAAGGGTCTTGCATAGGATGGCGTTCAGATTTGTTAAAAGCATCATCGGATCATTTGCATAGAAGCTTGTATACGTGCCTTCTAAGGGCGTACATATTCAGACGTAGATGTTACAGTCATCAATTTATACCCTCAAAACCAACACGAGTTAGACATGACAATGGTCGTAATTATAAGTTAAAGTAAATCGTTTGCTTAATAATTACTTTATGTATCCGAAATAAGCTCTTTAGCTGTTTAAATTAACAATTGGCTCTCAACGTCTCACAGCTTTGGAATACCGAGGATTGCATACCCGTAGCAAATACTAACAATCCTAAGAAGCATACACCAAATGAGTTCATTTTGACGGCTCATATTAGATGACATTCATTACCAGCATATAAGTATTGCTATGTTACTGTCTTAGCCAAAATTTATTACATTTCCAAGTTCATCCTCCCTTTATACAAAACCCGATCCTAGCGACATTAGTTCATTACTCATTCTCTCCTCTTCCTTCTAAGGCAAGTTCTGGACGGGGTAGCTCTGGTCAGGTGTGACGGTAGTACCATTGACGAGCTGGGTGTCCTTGTACTATGGTATAGTTAGTAAATGAGACACTTTAACTTTTCATTCACAAGGTAAACTCACAGCAGGGTAGACAATCAAACCCTTTCCATAATCCACAACACTCAACGTAGTGAACCCCTCACCATCACCAAACTGCCCGCTCCAGGTACTCGTCACAGTGAAGTTACCGAATACCTGCGCGGCACCGATGGCTCGGCTAGCGGGTGCGTCGTTGGTAGCTACGACGGTGTAGTTAGCGACGGGTGTTGCTTCGACGCCATCCTCGCCGGTGTTTACGCCGAAGGCCCATACGCAGGATGTGTCTGCGGTGTCGCATTTGCGGGATAGCGAGGTTATGGTCCATTCGGCTGCGTTGGGGGCTGCCATGGATAGAGGTGCGGCAAGAGCCGATGTGGCGCTGAGGAGGATGGTTGTGAGGAAGTGCATTTTGTATGAGTTTGAGGTTGTGTATGTAGATATGTGGGTAGAGGCAGGTGGTGTGTGGAGGTTGGTATTATGATTAGGTATTAGACCTATATGATTGTCTGTTTATTCAAACGAATGACTTAGACTTGAACTGCTTAGAGTCTAGAGAACTAGAACCGAGATGGCCTAGATATATGTAGAAGCGATGGGCATCCGTCTATATATGCATGATGTCTCAAAACCCGGCTTGCCACTTACTACATCCAGGTAGGTAGACAAAGGTTGCAATATGACATCTGATATTGGTAACATGAATTGGTTCTCCGCATCCTATACCTGCAACCGTCTAGCGTGTCTGGAATTCATTGCGTCCAATTCACAACTAGGTACTCATCACCCTGGGAAATTGGACTTGACATGACATGATTTGGGTATGCGTGTTGTATGTACCTAGGTAGGTATGGATGTATATTCCCCCTAGATGCCTACCGCGCCATCACACATGTCCATTTTAATCAACTCGTATCTGGCGACCGAGACTGTATGTAGCGGGCGCATAGTCGAAAGTAGACAGATAGCAATTCAATGGCGATTATCCGACGAGTTTAACGTTCCATCTGGATCTGTTGAATAAACAATTTACGGACCCATGTTAGGTAAAACTCCGTAGGTTGGGAAAAGCCACCGGCTCGTTTTGAGATCTGTGATCACGTTGGAACCGGTAGGCGGCAGATGGGCGGGATCGACATTGCCAAGCTCGTATTCCCTAAAGGCGCGTTGCCGCGCCCCTTGCAGACGGTACGACTGGGTAGGGTAGTAGTTGGTAAGTAAGTCCCATGTACGGTATATTGGCGGGGGGAGGAAAGGCTCCTGAGGAATGTTAATAGTTACAGACGCGCGCTCCGCATCTCGCCTCGTTTACATGTACCTAAGTATCAATATATGTATGCCAACCTCCTATTTTTCTTTTTTACGATCAAATCTTTTTCAACTTCCTCAAATGTAACAACCCGGCTCAGCCTACATAACGCGGCGCGGAGTGGCGGTCGGCATGATCGGATCAGGCCCCCAAATATTGCAGGACGGGCTGGGCTAGTACGTAACCGCTCGTTTATGCAACAAGATACAGTAACATGATGATGTATGTATCAGTTTCGTGACCAATCGGCCAGTTATACGGTGTGCGGGGTTTTGGTTCGCCCATTTGGAGATCTGAATCCCAACTAGGAAGGTTGTACGTTCTATGTTCGATATAATTCAAGGTATTCAAGGTAAAAGGGGGCGGTTTAATTAGGGCTATCCTAGTCAAGAGGGGAGGGTCTGGGGAAAGACAAGAAATTTTTATAGGGGTCTCGTGGAATGACAATGCCGTAGAGGATGGGTCAGCCCTAAGACAATTAATTAACCAAGTTCGCCTCCGGAGTTAATAATGTTGGAGATGAGATATTTCCTGCATCTCGGTGTAGAGGTTAATTAGCTTTGAGACATTAGAATCATTCAACAGTTGTTAAACTTGTTGGAGAACATACCAGGTAGTAGGAACAGACCGAGGTCCTCTACCTAGGTAAATCGAGAAGGCTGGTTAACTCTGGAGATGATTTAGCATCAAAACCTGATCCCTCTTGAACAAAAGTTTGTTCGATGACATATAATTCTATCGAAGTGGCAATTCAAGTCCTGTATAACCACAGTCCCAATGGCGCTCTTCTTAAACTTGACTACCAAGGTGGCGAGTCGTGTGACATTTTCTAAAAGTTCTCAGATATCCAGGCTCGCGGCCTCCCGTTTGACGTAACACAAATAAACCGGTACCAAGCACGCAAAACACCTTGCCCCAAAGCCCAAAATAACCTCTAGTTAAAGACGATATAGTAAATAATATGTTTATCCGTATGTTATCCCACCTTTACGTAGTTGCATGAAACAACTCTAGATGACAATACCTCTCTTGGCCCAGCCATCGCGGCCCTTCCAAGCCCAGAGGACCATACCTGTTCCTACCCAGACACATACTGTCATGGCCCAGAATGTGGAAGAGTAGCATTGCTTGCCGTAGCAGAATGTATCACCGTCTCCTTCCGTCAGCGAAGGTGAATTTCTAGCACCGGCTTGGTAGACAGCTGAGTAGATGAGACCCCACATTGTGGAACCTAAGGCTGGCGTGAGTGCGAGGACACCAAAATTGGTACCAAAGTTCTCAACTCCCCAAATCATCGTGACAATAATAGGAGTTAAACTGAAGACCGCACCATATCCGGCTCCGATTGAGCTAGATACAATCCAGAATCGTTCTCCGTGTTCCTGAACAGCACCAGAAGCTAACACAAGCGTTCCAAGGGACAGTATGAATCCGGCGACAATGAATAAAACTACACGCGAAACCGATAGCTTTTGTCTCAAAGTAGGGAGCGATGTGGGGAATCCGGTCTGTGGATGTTGGCTATTGGGACTAGGTGATAGTAGGTCACTTAACGACGCTGCGAGAAGGCGGGCAACTGTGCTCACGGTAGCCATAATCGACACGTGAGTTGCTGCCGTAGTTTCGTTGGAGTTTGTGCTCGGGGAGTATAAGGTTCCGATAACGGTACCGAGGTTGTTGATAAATGCTTCGCCCGGTCCGATGATAAGCCAGAAGCCCACAGCAAACCACCACATTGTATGGTCCGATAAGAACCTCCTGGTTTCCGCATTAAGAAGCCACGCCTTTTTCAACCTCGCATTGTCATCTTCATCTTCATCGTCTCTGGCTGGGTCCATGATTCCGGCATCTTCGTCGATACCATCAATGGTACCATAGTCTCGACCAGCCTGGCGGCGGAAGATTTCGCTACCTTCAAGGAGCCCGCTCCTCTCAAGTTCTTCTACCGCTTCATCGATGAGTTCTTCCTCGTCTATAATTCGCAATGTGAAGGTACCGATAATTCCGATAGCGGCCAAAATGATGCAGAGGAACAAGAAGAAATGGAAAACATTCACATCTCCTCTCGTTCCATCCGGTTGCGCCTCGTAGAGCAGTCGACTACCAATTTGACTGAGAACCATACCACCAAGCCCAAACGATGCGATGGGGGCAACTAGCAACAAGCCTCGGTATTTGCCTTTGCCAAAGTTCTTGGCACATGTAGTGATGGCACCTAGATACATGCATGATGTACCAACACCAATGATCACAAAGGCAAATACCATAGCAGCGAATGTAGTCCTACCCTTCTCACCACTATTTATTTCCGCCAGACCTTGGCGATATAAACCCGCAGCCAGACCATAGCCTCCTCCAAGCAAGACCGAAGCTGCTAAGGAGAGCGGGCTGGGTCCTACTCGATCACATATGTATCCGATCACCGGGACAGGGATATACATCGATATGCTCATCGCGCTCGCAATTCCATTGATCTGTAGTTGTGTGTAATGTAGTTCGGATTGGAATAGATGGCCGTAGAGCGAAAATACAGTGATGGAACCGGCGCATAGGGCGGCTAGGATAGCTACAACGAACGCGATGCCGCGAAGGGCACGCGTCTTGTGCTTAACATTCGTTTTCAATATCGCATCGCTTATAGTGGTTCGTGAGCTTCGGGAGCCCAGGGTTGATGATGAACGGGATCGTAGGAGCGGCGCGAGGGTCTGATCGGAAGCTGACTGTGGCATTGTTCGCGGTTCGGGCGGCAGCAGCAGCTTTACTGCTGAGCCGATTACGGAAGGAGATCTAAAGTGGGATTCTGTTTCGCTCATAAAAGTGATGAAGGAGCGACAAGAAAATAATAATAGGATGAAGACAATATGGAAAGAAGATGGAAAGAGAGACTCCCACCTACTCCGTGTAGGTAGGTTGGAGAATTCAAGTTGCTCCTTTCATCTCTGACGTGCTCACTCCGGACGGAAGCCACGGTCAGCCTTATCTTATCGCAGCTTCCCTGGAATGTACCGCGGTAGGGGCGCCAAAAGGGGAATATCCATTAATTTCATATTTTTGTATATATGCATATACTTCAACCACTTCCCCTTCACCATCACAGGTCTTAATGCTCGAACTCGAGTGGTATCATGAAACACAGTGGTTAAAAGGAACCTGAATCCCATTGTGAAAATAATATAATGCCTGAAAGCCATTGTGAGCGTATATCAGATGGGAACTGCGCCTGCCATAGCTCTGGGGGATCTTGTTTCGCCTCAGTATTCTTGGGATGAACAAAGAAACATTCAACTTAAAATAGATTTATTCTCGACTTTGACATCATATTAAGCAATACCAAATATCCATAGGTACTTTGGCCTAGATATGCATAAGCCTGAGTTCCATGCATCTATTTGAAGGGTTGTTTAGTCCGAATAGGTAGTAAAGTCGGGAAGCGCACGACTGCGTGTAACGACAAAGTTAAGTGATGGCAGGAGTTCTAAGAGTAGTGAGATGGCATTAAATGTTACCAACAACTCATCTGTGACGTGTATAGCTATACAGCCGCCGACAAATAGTCGTATGAGTGCTTTTTTTCACGGTCCCAAGGTTCCCGCGTAGTTTCCTCAATAGAGGCAGGCAGGAGGACTAGTTAACCAAGGATCACCATACCTAAGCATTAACAAATGAAACTTAAGCATTCTAACCTTCTCTTTAGTGACCCTGGAGGCATTGGCTCTTTTTTAGTTCATTTATTTCCAGTAGAAGTCTATTTCCTCCAGGGCTTCTATTCAAGTTCCCTACCTTCCCTAGTAGCACCTTACGGTTGCCATAACGGTAAGTCGGCAAATCAACGCCGCCAAAACCCCGGCCAGTGACTCGGGGTGAAATTTACTCGTAATTCTAAGGCGAGGTGCACCCGGTGAGAATAGTAACTGCCCGTAATTACTGTAGTTTGACCGCCCAACGCACTGCAAAAACTTGGTGGTAATAGAACTCACCTTATTGGGAAGGCTCTTATTCGTTGTTTCTAAACCACCAAGTTCGTTCGTAATTGCCCCGTCCACTTATTTATCTCGACCTACCCGGGTAATCGCCGTAAACTAGGCCGCTTCCTCCTCCGTTCTTTCCTACCATGGATTCGACTGGTCCTTCGAAGGCTAGGATTATCGACTCTATTGACCCACCGTCGCATACCATGAACCTTCCATCATTGAAAAACGACGTTATCCACTGCAACTCTAGCACCACATCCGACGACGACGAAGTCATTGTCTACGACAAATTTAAAGCAGAGTCTGCTCGCAAGGGTACCATGGTGAGAAAAACAGTGCAGCCCTCATCCGATTTGATATTAACGCACAATGACAACCAGGCGACCATGAATAAGTCCGCTGAGAAGGCTCCCCTCAAGGAGACCGAACACAACACCCGAAACGATCAGGCACAGATGCCCGACCATAGCGACAACGGCAATAATGGCGACCATGGATTAACGCACAGCGGCCCTGAGGCAGCGTACGTATTCGATTCGGAGTGGCGCGACACCGTGAACCAGATGTCTCCTTCTCTTTCTTTCAATAACTATCCCCAAGAGACCAGCGAATCTAGCAGCTACATTCGCTCATCCTCACGCTCCGAAGAGTCCTTCACCACCACAGCTCTGAAAGAGGAATTGCGTTGGTACAAGATCTACTACAACATGACCAGGAACGGTATGATCAAGTCGCCGTTCGTGCCTTCGACCTTCGAGCAATACCTTTCCTTGCGAATTGAGACTGTCAAAGCAAAGGAGCGTGCCTTCTATAAGCAGTGGGAGAGTTCCGAACGAGATGCCATGTTGGCTCGCCACCCCGACGATGATAGCGACACATCTGGACAACAGCCTACTCCCGTTGAGTTTTCCGAGAAGCTAGCTCAGGTGTGCAACAATGACGGTCTGACCTGTGTCAACGCGCGCCACAGTATCTGGGGCAAGAAGAAGTTGGAGAGTGGTAATACCTGTATCGACTGGCCGTCCGCAAGAGCCTACCAGATGAGTCAGGGATGGCTTCCCCAACCCCGTCTGCAGAAGCTTGACGTCGAGCACTACGGATACGCTCTTTTCGAAGGAGTTCCCATTGAAGGCCCTGGTGTCCCCTACGAGCTTCGCAAGCCCGCTTACTGGGCTATCCGTCCCGTCAACGATGGCATGTACCAAGGAGAGGCCGCGTACCTCGGAGCGAAGACGCAGGAGCTAAGAATGCAAGACATCCACGATCTTAACGAAACCACTTATCAGCTCCTCCTCGACATTGATGCCGACGAGGAATCTGCGGTTTGATATTCAACGACGCACACTCTTCCGGGTACCCATCGAGATTACGCTCTGGTCTCTATTTGGCTCGAATTGCAGGACCAACTTAGTTATCGATGCTATCTCTTTGATTTTCACGGTTCATGGTTTGGAGGATTTCACACCTCCGTTAACAGGTAGTTAAGGAAGATTACCACTGAAGAAGCATGCGGAAGGATCTCGATGATAATGGATTCAGCATTCGCGAGTTTACACGAGGGATCTGGAATCAAGGTTAGGGATGGCACATGCGGTTGATTTCTTTTCCTTTGTAAATTGTAGGAATACACAAAAAATAGTCCCGTTGATTTACCAACCCAGACACAGAATAAAGACAGAGTTGAAAATGTATCCTTGACGTATCTTTGTGTTGTTGAAGTTGTTTCTAGTCACGTATGAACTTAAATGATGTAGCCGGAACAATCGCGATAACGACCCCGCTTTTACTTATCACTTATCAATACGCACTAACCGTTTCAGCGTCTAGGGGTATCTATAGTGCACGGGCCCATGAAAATAAATAACCCTAGGTACAAGGTACCTCCCCTCCGAAATTTTGGCGAGCCCACACTAAACTTTGTGCAAATTCAACTTTGATTGATTTTCGTGAGCCTCCTTCAACTTTCTCATTCTTGCGACCAATTTTTCGAGCGCTTCATCACCACCCACCAATTCCCTCTTCGATTGCCAACTGATTTAATCAGGTATGTATTCCATTGCTTATTGATGCTTAGACCTGATCTGAGGAATCATAACAATGATTTACCCGTCGCTGTTGCCCAATTAAATTTCCATCCTCCATCTTCATCACCATTACCCATCACCACAATACCAAAGCTAACTGTTCAATCCTCCTACCAGAAACCGCAATCATGGGTATTTCTCGAGACTCTCGCCACAAGCGCTCCGCCTCCGGTGCCAAGCGCGCCTTTTACCGTACGTGATAACCATCGCATTTCCGCGTCCTTAAAAAGACGAATTTTCCCCGTGTATAAAATATTATAAAAAATCGAAAGCCCGTATGCGGCATCGTTTTTGATGATGACCATACGTTCTGACCTCTTCACCAGGGAAGAAGCGCGCTTTCGAGGCTGGTCGCCAGGAGGCCAACACCCGTATCGGCCCCAAGCGAATCCACACCGTCCGCACCCGTGGTGGTAACCACAAGTACCGTGCCCTTCGTCTCGACTCTGGTAACTTCGCCTGGGCCTCCGAGGGCTGCACCCGCAAGACCCGTGTCATCGTTGTCGCCTACCACCCTTCCAACAACGAGTTGGTTCGAACCAACACCCTTACCAAGTCCGCCGTCGTCCAGGTCGATGCTGCCCCCTTCCGTCAATGGTACGAGTCCCACTACGGCCAGCCCCTTGGCCGAAGACGTCAGCAGAAGTCCGGCAAGGAGGAAGAGGTAGTGAAGAAGAGCAAGTCCGTCGAGCGAAAGCAGGCCGAGCGATACTCCGCACAAGGCAAGGTTGAGAACGCGTTGGAGAAGCAATTCGAGGCTGGTCGTCTATTCGCTGTTATTGCCAGCCGACCCGGCCAGAGCGGTCGTGCGGATGGATACATTCTCGAGGGAGAGGAGCTGGCTTTCTACCAGCGTAAGCTACACAAGTAGACGACGAACATAACGAGAATGGCGGGGGAATAGGTTATGAGGCGACCGCAAAAGCACTTATGCGCAATGGTATCGGTGTTCATGGATTCTTTTTCATTCTAGGCATGGAATGGGGTCTCGTTTGCTAGGCTCTGGTCAATAAAAGATCACCAAACAAAGTACTTTGCAGTGTTGCCTTCATAAATGAATTGTTCTCCTTCTGTGATTATTACTCTATTTGAAGTGACTTGATAAGTAAGAATCCACCTGGTCTGGTACTATGGTCATTCTAATAAGGCCTTCGACACAGTATCTATACGATGGTATGCCATACGATGTCTATTGGGAACTGTGCTGTCGCCTTCACCATTATCTTTACAATTAGCACTACACTGCCACCATATCATGAAAATAAGCAAAAAAGTCAATCATAGTAAGAATCTGATATTCATTAAATTCTGATTCTACAATATTCACGATATCATTCCACTAGGGAATTTTTCGCTGATCATGGCATTAATTCTTGCTTTTCTTTTCTTTCTTCTTTTTATTTTTTAATAGAGACCAACCCTAACCCCCTACCTATGCAAATGCAACATAAACCCCCTCCTTTCTCACTCTCCTATGAGGTGATCGATGTAATTTCCTAGACTTGGCTAGGTACATGATGTATATGTATGTTCCAATGCTATTGTATTGCCTTAGTCTGTCTATTGCAAGGAAGGCAATAGGTGCAAAAACTAAGAAGCCAACCTGGTCGAAGAAAGAAAGCCTTTCTCGCTTCCCCGTAACTATAGCTAAGGCCAGCCTAGCCCAGCCAAAAAGGGGCAGAGTAGCAGTACAATATGGCATGCTACCTTTCCTAGCTATATCGACAATGAGGCGGGGCTTGAGCCAAAAAAAACATAAAACCTGACTTCCTTCATAGATACCCTAACGTAGTGATAGCGCTATTGCGTTCAGGTTTTATACACCCTCGCCTGCTCCCTTCTTTCCCACCTGGTACATGCTAACTACAACAGCCATAGGGGTATTTTTACTTTGTACAAGAACGTGAAAGTGGCGGACCGGGAGGTCTTGAATGAGAGCAGGGAGAGGAAAGCATTCGACTTATGCGAATTGTCGCTTAAGGTCTGCCCATTTCCTTTGGAGGGTCTCGTGTTGAGAGTTGATCTGGAAATGTTTGTTAGTTTGGGAAGGAGTATATGGGATCGATGATTTTTACATACCTCAGCATATCGCATCTTAGTCTGCACGAGTTCCTCTTCAAGCTCCTGCATTTCCTTTTCGAGCCTCCTATTTTCCTCGTGTACTTTCTCATTCCTTTTCATGAGGTCTTCACGCTCGAGTTGCCACTTCTGCTCTATCTCTTCAGGTTGCTTCTCGATGACGTTACGAAGTTCCTTGACTTGGCCGCTTAAACTCTCGTTCTTATCCTTCAATTCTTCGTTCTCGATCTTGGTATGAACAAGGTCCGTTGTTACCGTAGCCTGTTCTCGATCGCTTGCCTCGAGTCGCTCTTCAAGTTTTCGGATCTTGATAGCCTGGCTTAGGTTTGACGTTTTTAACTGCTCCAATTCCTTTTCTCGCTCCTTTTCGGCACGCGTCTTTTCTTCCCACTCGGTGGAGTATGCTTTAAGAACCTCAGGTGTAATCTTCACTTCGCAAGCGTCCCGGACCAATTGATCCGCTCGGTAGACTTCCTTATCAGCGCTCGAAGAGCTGCTACCAAAAAAGCCATTCTCAAGAATGCTGCCAGCGCTTGGTGATTGATCGATATATACGTCGAATAGCTTATCCCTTAGGAAAGTTGTTAATTGAGACATGTCGGACATAGTAAGTAGTGTCGATGCGTTCTTCTGCATCAGAACAATTCCAAATTTCAAAATCGCTGATAAGCCTTCCGAAAGAATAAGGTCGTAAATCCTCAACACCAGTTGTAAGGGAAACCGGTATGCGAAAAGGGTAAGGAACCACTGCGTCGCATATAGATGAGGTGAGATGCCGCGACGATGTAGGTGGCAATACAAAGCGGGCTCGTAATCTTCCAGTAATCGCTCAAATTGATACAAGTGCATGTGTAGTCCGGGCATGTCTTGGATAAACAGGTCGCGCAGTTTATACTGGTTCATCAGTCGTACCAACAAACAAAAGGCTTCTTCCTCTGGCATGTTGAAAAGGAGGGGCATAATCAAGAAGTTCATCCCTTGCGCATATCCGACGGGCTCATCAAAGAGAGCGTAGGCTTTGCAGACACCGAACAGGCCATCCTGTAGACCAGCAGCTGCGGCATATTTTGAAAAGCTTGTCCGCGCACCTAGATCCCTCTTGATAACCTTCTCGAGTTTCTGTATATTTGCGGCATCTTCTTTCTCTTTTCGTTTCCTTTCCGCGGTAGCTAACGCTTGGGCCTTCAGGGCCGCCTCTGAAGGTTCAGATGGCGGTGACGTCTTCTTGCCACTAGCTCCAGACACTTCTGAATGCACCGAAGACGCTGAAGAGGCTACTGCTTCCTTGTCTGAGCTTAGGTTGCCGTTACTTGAAACGCTGACTGATGTGCTGTTGCTATTCCTGTCTTGCGCTTTGTCCGATCCTCGCGTTGCTAAATCCCTGTATACTTTCTCAAGATCTTCGTTCTTGCTCTGAGCAAGGACTTGCCAGACTACACCACGAATCACATTAGGTATGCCCGTAGCAATGGCCCTATTAAGTTCCTCTGGGTTCGTCCTTGCAACAGCAGCTGGACCCTCGTATACTACTGACTGCCATAAATCCCAATCGACTTGAGCATCCGAAATAATTGATGGCCCAGCAGATACGCCGGAGACAGTCCCAGGGGCTAAATTCGTATCCGCATTCGAGGGCAAAGGAGATGGTGGAGGTTGTGCGGCAGGAGTTCCGTCCTGAGTGATCTCTCGGGTCGGGCTCACAACTCCTAGGGTTGTCCCTGGGAATTTATCGTCATCGCTGGGGGAAAGAGAAATTCCGGCCTCTTCTCGCATTCGCACCATCTTAAATCTATCCTTCAAGCTATTCCTTGACAGGCGAGGGCCGCCATGGTCCTCATTCTCTTCCTCGAGTTTACTAAGCATCATTTCCGGGTTGCTGGTTAACGTAGCTATCGAGCTTGCTGTGTTTCTTCGGGGTGAGCTGGCGGTAACAGGCGGTGACGTAAGAACGTCCTTATCCTTGTCTTTATGTGTGGAATTGCGTGATAACCAGGAGAATGGACCTGTAATTTTTCGGGATGGCGCCGCAGGTGCTGGGGCTGTAATTGGGCCAGGATTGTTAATTGGATTCGGACTTGTCTTCGGGGGTGACTCTGCATTAGAAGGAGACCATGGCATTGAAGGGAGGGAAGCAGCAATATTGCTTAGGGATAGTTTTTTGGACGGTTGTTTTTCTGGCACTACTATAGGCGGTTGCTCTTCTGCATGTACATTAGCGGATGTAACCTCCATTTTCGATAAGCCGGAATACGAACCTTTCGGCGGCTTCTGGTCTGTGGCACCATCGCTAAGGTCGACATTGTCCAGAGATGCAGCCGATATGCGTTTAGATTGCGATGTCGTTTTCGTGGTTGCGTCATCCTCAACGTCCACTCCATTCTCCTTTTCTTTTTCCTGTTCCTTCTCCTTCTCCTCTGATATATCCCCGTTTGGCTTTTCCTTAGGGGGCGGACTTTCTGGGGAACCTGGCGTATTATCTGTGGCGCCGCTGCTGGGTCGAGGGGAAAGTTTGCGGTTTGTTAGAGATCTTACAGATCCTGTGTCGACAGCATCCTCGAAGGTGTCCTTTACATGGTTAGGAGTCAGCATGTTTTCTGTGTTGTGGCGTGTTGTTATGTATCTAGATACAAATCGACCCAGGCTAGAAGATATGGTAGGACAAGGGAGAGTAGGGGTCTTGCATGTGAAAATAAGGTAATTGACCTACCGTGTCCTTGTCCGAGGGAGCAGGCGACCCATGAACCTGGGGAGCGGCGTCGGACGAATGCGGCTCCTCTGGGCCCGACATGATGGATACCAGTCAGTGGTATATGAAGAAGATATTCGAGTGGTTCGGCGAGGTTAAGATCGGGGTGAGGTTGTCGTCGTGGTTTGGGTGTTTGTCATGTATCGTATCGAGTCTATGTACCTAGGGTATCGACTTGGAAGTATTGTTCAGGAGATGACGAGGAATCGACAAACGCAACGCGACACGCGGCGGACTTAAATCGATGTTATATCTGTCTCGGGAGGAAAACAAATTACTACGAGTAACTCAATATCGATCGCAGACCATGAAAAAAGAAGAAAATATAATAAAGTGCATGAGACGAAGTGAAAGAGAAGGAAAAGGTTGAAATTGAAATTGAAAGGATGTATGTATTCAGATTGACCGTCGTTTGTAATTGTTTCCCCTTCCCCCTTCGCACGAACTGACTAAAAAGCGACTAGGATTGTGGAGTTACATACCTACATATAATGTACATACTTGTGCTAGAATATGGGAATCCAATTGCGGTGCACGGGCCTTTGTCGAGTATTATTTCCCGCCCTCTAGCGCTATGGAAGGACGGTAGCTTTGTAGTACAGCGCCTAGCGCCACACTAATAACGCTCACTAACAGCCCTGAAGCCCACTTCTACCTTTAGTTCAGGGGTTTTCAGGTTCGAATGTTCCTTTTTCAGGGCTTACTTGCCAGCTTGCCAGTTATTTAGGGGACTTACGCATACCACCTACCCGTAAATCCACCGTATCTACTAAAGTACCTAATAAAACCACGCCTTACAAAAACGGGTAACCCGCATCGGCTCAGGTAGCACAAGATGTACAAGATGTATAAAAGCTGCGAATGTCTCTGCTGTCTTGGAGATACAGAAAAATATCTATGATCATAATTTTAACTCAGACTGCATCATCACGTACCATTTCCCTCCCGCCACATATCAAATAACGTGACATCACTATAGAATTCTTATCTTATAAGCATGACATTACCCTTCTTCTATTTCATGGGCTGGTATATCAATCTCACCCATTAATATTTAACATTATGTGTTAACGTTTCTAAATTAAGCTCAAAGAGGAATTCCATGTGAAAGACTCAGCATCAGCACCAACGCTCTTATTTTCACAGTCACGTTACGTTTTCGAGTTGTCTTTCAAGCCCGACACAATGCATTGCCTACCTTCTAAAGGCTGCATGTGCATAAAGAAGATCCATTGGCTAGCCGGCTCGTAAGATCGATGCAACCCCTTTCCGCCTGCATTTGCAGTGGTAGAGTGGATTGTAATGTATGATGAAATTTGGCCAACCACTTGGCGTCCCGTGCATTGTTAATCATAAGCGTACGTATTCCCGATGAACATTGTCTTGAAGATAGCTTTATTACTTGTTACAATTTTGTGGCGCAAGGGATTGTTGTATTGTTGTCTCTAAACAGGCAACCAATTATAACTCCAAAACTTTTGGGGGTACACAGGTATCTATACCGAGGAAGCATAGGATTCCGCTTCGTTTATTTCTGCCTATTCTAGCGTTATAGGATTATAGCGCCTTTAAATGTATAATAATTAGGTTTAATCAGATGTTCGTTATACTTAAGACACATGGCAAGATCTGTCAAGTCAGTACAAGCTAAGTTTGAGAGGAACTTTAAAAGTCATTATACTTATACGCCCTAAATATACTCCCGCTGGACTTCGTTTCAGTAATCAGCCACTCGCAGTTCACTCAGAGCTATGACGTACAGAACACACGCGGTCATGAAAGCAGCGATAATATGATGATTTATCCCAATCCATATCCTCATATAAAGGTCACAAATATTACAGCGCTGTTACAGTCACAATGGGAAAAAGGGAGAGGAAATACATTATTCGTATAGAGCCAATTTATATCGGACAAGTCCCCACCCATTTTCTTACAAAAACCAGGAATTCCCATGATGCGCCGTTTTATACAGTCCTTAAGACACCAAAGTTCATTCCATCAACATCGTAGAGGCAATTCAATTGGCTATGTATGCTGACTCATCTACGCCGCCTAGATTTCTACCCCTCCTGGCTGCGAGTTATTAGGCTTCTGTTTGTTAAGAATCCCCTGCGAAGCCAATCAGCGGCCCCGGTAGGCCATCTTTCGGTCTTTTTCGACGGAGTATCTGCTCGGACAACCGTTGTTGCTTTAGAATGGCCGTTGTTCCCGACAAAAGAACACAACCTTATCACCCAGTGACACACGAGTGTATTCATTGCAGCAATTTGGTGCTTGATATCGTATCGGAACGCCACACGGGAACAGCCCAAGCTGAAACTAGATTCGAATTTCCTGGCAACTGCAGTGACGCAAGCAAAGCTGCCGACCAGGGCTGCTTGTTCTTTCAGTATCTCTTCAGTTATAAGTGGACTGATTCTCCCTTAGTCCGCCTACAACTGATTTTGGTGGCCACAGGTTGGTCAACAGTTGAGCTAGTTGGTGAGGAGCATGCAATACCAACAAATAGCATTTGGGACGCCGCGACTGGGCGTGGGATATTGTGGGATGTAGGCTTTAAACAAGACTCGATTCGCGTACCAGACTGGTTCAAAGAAGATTTACCACTTTTAATGCACAATGCATCATTTCCTCCTACCTTCGATGCTTATACCTGGCGGGGTGAGGATATATGATTCATAGCACGAAAGGGTTTAGCTAACTCATTTATTTAGGTGATCCTGCTGAGGCCTATTGCACCAAATTTCCCTCCAATCTCGACGTGGGGTCTCGTCATGCCTCGGAGTGGATGAAAGCTCATTTGTCCGAGTGCCTAGAAAAACACCCCAAATGCCAGAAGGAAGATGACCCCGCGCGGCCAGCTTTTCTTCTAGACCTAAGCAAAGTCGATGAACTAAAGTCTGTCCAGTTGGTGAGCACCGCGCAGATACAAGGAGATTTCTCATATGCGGCCTTGAGCTATTGCTGGGGCACCAACCCGAAAACACTAACAACTCGGGCAACCCTAGATAGCATGCAAGAAGGTGTGGATATCCAAGAACTCTCGAGGACGATACAGGATGCTATTCACGTCACTCACAACCTTAAAATTCCATATCTTTGGGTAGACGCCTTGTGTATTGTGCAAGATGACGACAGGCAGAAACTGATTGAAATCAACAGAATGGGTGCTATATATGGTTCCGCCTTGGTGACTATTGTGGTAGCAAGTGCGAAAACAAGCGATGACGGGTTTCTAGGCATCCGGAATGTCGCCATGACATTCGCTACACATGTACGTTGTCGTGATGGTACTGTAGGGGAGCTACTCTTGGAGCAATACAACCAACCTCTCAACGACCCGATCAATTTGAGAGCTTGGACTTTACAAGAAGGTATAATTGTTCCGCAACCACTATATCTTATAGACAGTAATCTAATTATGTCCAAGCTCTGTTATCTCATCGAATTCTCTATTTCAGCTCCGAGCAGATAGTCTGGTCCTGCGCTACCGATACCCTAGCCGATGGAGGCTCCGTGCCAGAAACAGCAGCGAGTGTCTTGGTTGCATCAAGGCAGCAGCTAACAGGCAGCCATGGTCTCCCTCCCCTAGTGCATCTAACTGATGCCAATACTCTGTTGCAGCATAACGTCTTTCCAGAAACCTCTGGTTTTCAGAATAGAACTACGGGAGAGAATAGCTCAAGCACCCAACTCCTGAGCAACCGTGTTGAACAATGGTGGAGCATAGTTAACGATTATAGTCATCGTGAGATGTCCGTGTCGACGGATAAACTAGTCGCTATATCGGGTGTTGCTCAGAAACTGGGCGGAGAAGATAAGCTTTGGCCCGATCAACGACTGGGAAGGTATCTAGCGGGTCATTGGGAGATGACTCTAGTCGTGGATTTATTATGGACAGTCATTAGACATCAGCCTCGGCCTACTGTATACCGCGCGTCTTCATGGTCTTGGGCGTCAGTTAATGGCCGTATCCTCAGGCGTCAATCACCTAGCAAAGAAGTCAAAAGCTTCCAAGTTCTCAGCACCACCGTCAAATTATCATCAGACCTAGCCCCATTTAGCGGTGTCACCTACGGCGGCATCACAGGGGTTGGAAGGATCAAACGAGTCACATACGAAAAGAAATCCAAAATAACTATTCTGCAGAAAGATGAGACCCACGGGTTTCACTCTATCGAGTACTTGGACACCGATGAGGGGGGGGATGATGGATCGCAATTCGGGCCCTACCTTTGGCTTCTAGAAATCGTTCGACCTCCGGAGACATTTAGCAGGTCCGGGAATCGACCTGTTGGTCTAATACTAGCGAAAGATGAAGATGGCGATTCGTTTCGACGAGTTGGCGCTTATGACTTTGCGCACATTGAAAGTGGGAAGAAGAACTATAAGGCCTGGCTTGACTCTTTTGAGACTCGTACCGTCGAATTGATATGAAGATCTTGTGAAACCTGTTGATACCCCACCGGAAGTCCGTAGCGGGCTAAGCGAGTACTGTACAAATATTTACTAGATGCAGTGAAGCATTTTATACCAAATTTGGCTAAACATCAAAAACAAGAAGGTATCAATTCCTGACGTCAAAGCTATCAGTAACTCGCGACCCTAAAGCGGAGCCGCGACGCGGTGCTATCCTTCCGGGGACCACGCCGGGCGACTAGGCAGGATATGCCGTTAGTTTTGAGTGTGGAAACCGGGCAATAATTCAATCCGTCAATTACTATTGTCTTTCGTCGCCGGGTGACTCATCTCGCGATGCTTCATAATAAACCACGCGGTTGAGTAGTAGAATTGCACCGGATTTATAAGGGTATGAGATCATGATCCGCTGGCAGTGTTTGGTTTAGATACTTTTATTCTGCTTGCTATCGCCGAGGGCATTGGTTTAACTCCGATTTTTATGATTGAGTATTGCTGTCCACTGTCTTGCGCATATGGTTTAAGAGTATACGAAACTTGATAGCGATCAAACTATCGAACGTTTCCAAAGGGTGTTTGTTATATACAAATCAGCTAATACAGAGAATGTCACTTATAAGGAAGACTGAAGCAAACAGAACTCCGAACATCAAACAAGACCTCCGCGCCTCTTTAGAACGGTACTATCATACGATGAGTGGGGTCATATACTAATACGCCCTCTAGTTGCGGACCTGCCTACTATGTATATTGTGGCCCCAGGAACACTGACTCTACGCCTTGAGATCTACGTTCTGTTAGTTCAAGATCGAAACTGCGGTTATGCAGGTTGTCGGCGTTTTGAGACTACCAAGAGGTTCTTTTGAATATCCTAGGTGCAATTGACCAATTAGATTGAATGTTATACCTTGCTATAGAATTAGTAACATGGTTAATCATGCTATTCCTGGGAGTTGCGGTGGACTTCTAGGTTCAAGAGAAATGCGGATTCATCGTACGCCGCCTAGTCACATATAACTAGCGGTAGATAGCTTTTAACTACTAATTTATTCGGCGGCCAATATTGCCCCGGGACCGGATTGCTTGCATCGGTCGCGGATAACTATCTAGGTATCTAGGTGAGTATATAAGAGTCGATATAAACCGCATTCATACGGAGATAGGGCTGTAAACTTTACTACATTGTATTTTTGTTGTGAAGCATTCTTGAAGTATCCAATGGCCAAATTCTCCCACGAACCTATTATTGAGGCCGCCTGCCAGAATGGTGGACTGCCTGGCGTGGTACTCACTGCGGGGGACGCCACGGGCAAATTCCAGTATGCGAAGGCGTTCGGTCAGAACGCCCGCGGGGAGACTCTCGCGCTAGATAGTGTGATGTGGATTGCCTCAAACACCAAGATCGTAACGGCGGTCGCAGCACTCCAGCAAGTCGAGAAAGGAAAGATTGGATTGGACGATGATATCACGAAAGTGATTCCGGAGATCGCTTCATTACAAGTCCTCGCGGGTTTCGAAGAAGGAGGAAAACCCATATATGAAGACAGGAAGTTCCCGCTCACTCTTAGGTATGTGCTGTTGCTAAACCCATATCTGATCGAGCGTTACTCATATTTACAAGGATCCTACTCACACATACCTCTGGATTCACTCACCCATTATTCAATGCCAAACTCCAACAGTTAGAGAAGTATACTGGCCCTCTTGTGGCAGACTCTAGGACTATCCTAGGTGACTGTACCCTGCCCCTCGTCTGTCAGCCTGGCGAGAGTTGGGAATATGGTTTGAGCTACGACGTGGCGGGCAAACTAATCGAAAGGCTCTCTGGTCTCTCTCTGGAGGACTACATGCGGGCTAACGTCTGGGACCCATTGGACATGCCGCTTATCAGCTTTGTGCCCGATTCGAAACCCGAGATGAAAGCACGCATGATAAAATCGAGTACTAGGGCTGGGCCGGGCAAATTGGTACCCGGAGATATGTACTTTCATCAATTAGGAGGGGATAAAGACGATGCGTATGGAGGAGCAGGGCTCTGGGCATCCGCAGATACTTACGCGAAACTCCTGCATTCACTGTGCGCGAATGATGGTCGGGTACTGGGTAAGGAAATGGCGGATGAGCTGTTCCGGCCACAGCTGCGACCCGACGTTAGGGAAGCGCTGAACGAGACGGCTAGAACTGTAGAGGCGGTACGACAAATTTATGCCAATTCGTTCGATATGGATCATCAAATAATAGACCAAGCGCTTGGTGGAATGGTTGGAACTCGAGACGAACCTGATAGGAAAAGAGCCGGGACTATGGCTTGGGGTGGATTTCCTAATCTGATTGTAAGCCTGCTATTATCTCCTTTATATTCTTCTCTTTCCAGCGATAGCTGCTAACTCGAAGTTATTCTAGTGGTGGGTTGATAGGAAAGCTGGCCTATGGGGATCAGTCTTTACTAATCTCGTGCCGGCTGGAGACGTTGAAGCAACCGAATTGGCGGCGGTTTTTGAACGGTCGATCTATGAGCAGTATGAAGAGTTTAAGAAACAGAATGCCTAGTGAGTGTATTACTCGAGCGGTGGAATCGGGATGAATGAATTGAATCACTTCAAGTGATCCAGGCTCATATGATGGCGGAAGATGGTGGATGAGAGGTGTATAATTTACGAGGTACCGACAAAAAGCGATTAAAAATAACATTGAAGGTTCTCTTATGCATCTATTTCATAAAAAATCCATTGCGACCGACAGAGGTCGGAAGGCATACCTACCTAAATATAGCGAAGCTTCTGTTCTTGGGCGATTGTAAATGAATCTAAAAAATAAAAATAAAAAAAATCTTTCAAATATTAGAAAAAAGAAATAAAAACTGGCGGTACAAGAGGAATCTAACCTCCATGCGATGGACTCGCGGGGAATCGAACCCCGGACCACTCCCAAGCTTGACAATTGATGATTATCATTCCATCAACGGCAAGCCATCTAGGTCTGGATCATTTGTCACGTGCTAAGGGAGTATTATACCACTAAACCACAAGCCCGTGATGATTGAGAATTTTTGAGTAGTAACGGCCTATAACCGCTAGCATTATGGAAGAGAAGTAGGGATTCTGATTCGACCAGGGTGATGACGCTAATGGCGTCGTTTGTGGTCCGTGAGGACGTTTCGTGGGGGGCTTGCCGGGCGCTTGGATCGTTTAATACACCCATCCATCCCACATAGCGTGATGACAGCATTGGAATCTATTGGAAATCGTCGTTCGATATGTAAACTTTCAAAGAACTTGTTTAATTAAGTGTTGAATGAGGCGAGGTACTAGATTTCCTCCTTTGAAGTCTGAGACGAAGCTATCCCCATTTGTAACGTTGATATTGTAAATGTGACTGCGAGGAGTATATACGTAGGTACCTGAGTACCTTGATGAATGTTCCGAAGTTCCTTGAAATGGATCCTATACTTTCTAAGAAGAATCACCATCGGGTAATCTGGCTATGATATATTTGCATTTCCGTAGAGCTAGTATTATGAATATGGAAAAATAATGAATCTCTAGAATTTCCATCTGTATTGATCTGGGTACGTACTTACATATAGGTACTTGAATCAACAATCTTCAGATCCATATGGATACAACATGTAGTACTGGTATGGAGACAATAAATACCTAACCCATCCAAACATCCTTGGCAGTGTAAATTAGGGCTCGAAAAGAGTACTGGGCAGCAACAGTCCCGCCAATCTGTATAATGTAATTATTTAGAAGTAACAATCAGTGTTGTATGCAGCATCGATGATGACTTGTTTTGCTCGTTGGGCTGAAAGACGAAAGGATTATAAAACAACTTTCCTACCGGTGAAGGATCCGATTAATCGGTTTGTTTTCTACGGAGTACTTTTGAGGGATACCTATAGATGTAACTGCATTGTGTGCCCCTTAAATAATCTATTAATCTTCTCGAGATCGTACATTTCAATACTGTTGTTGAAGAGACGTTCGGGTGTTTGAATGTTTATATGTATCTAGGTACCTCGGTATACTTGTCTTGCCGGACGCGCTTGCAGACAAAGAACTTCCGCAAGTGAGGTGCGGACAGAGCTTTAAACACGGTTGGGTACCTAGGTAAGCACGCCCTGTAAGTGGAAGTTTGGTTTGCCTGCCCTGTAAAATTCCCTGGTTACTGGGGTAGGTACATGGTTGCACCTACCTGATAGGTACCTGGCTGCCTGGTAAGCTACCTAGAGAAGTACATTCATATTCGTACGTGCCTTCTAGGACGGTCAAGGGTGACTGCCTGCTACTTCCATACCTCCACAATCAGGTACCTAACCTTGGGGCAATCCAGCAGCTGTAGCAAGCAACCGTGCCCCACCCTGCAATCATTACGCAAATGGTAGTGGCCGATCCGATCACCGCGAGCTTTCAAACAACTCTAAACTAAAATCTATTTGGTAGGTAATTTTTCTTCCTTTCAACACTTTCAACATATTTCGACTCCGCCATATTTTGTATCGCATCCACCATCCGACCGTTTTTACTAACTAGGCATTTAGAGTGGACGACCTCACTTTATGTCTACACTCATCAATACCCCAGCACTCTTGATCTGAACCTGGAGAACGACGGTACAGCGGCCTGCACCCGCCTGAACCGACCTAATCCTAGCTTCTAGACAGCCCGCGCTGGAATCATATCTACGCCTCACATCATCATTTATCAGCCGCCCCTCACCCGTGCACCATCCACCCAACTGCCCCGGCATAATCCTTTGTTTTTGTAGCACGTCGAGTTTTTTCCTTGGACTTTACCATTCGACAGTGCAGCGGTGAAGTTTTTCGAGTGTCTACGAATACGGAATTTTCGATCCTCGCAAGGCTGACATCCCGGGGACAAGGCTCAATCCTCCAACGCATCGGTTCTACAACATTGGATCCCGTCACCCCACCTTGTGTACCGAAGAACATCTCGATATACCATACAAGAGGAGTCGTCCAAGATATTTTGGGCGCTCCCGCACGACGAGCCAAATTGTCGTCCCCGATTACATGATTTCTGGTAGTGGAGGGGGAGCTGACATATTTCTTGCGGCTTTGCCGCCCCGGCCTTCACCATGGGAAAGATAGCGAAGACCATCCAGCCCAAACACAAGGAGACTTTGGTAAGTGTTCTCGAGTAATACCTATCTGCTGTGTGGTTACTAATTTATTCTGTTCCAGTCTCCTTGGTTGGAGGAGTTTGTCGACAGTGCGACTTCTACTCCTTTACCTCTCTTACCCACAGTTCTCGCCACATTCCCTTCACGATGGCCTTTTCCGAGAGGTGATTTATATCACTGGATACCCCTGTTGAATCGGTTTGACGAAATCTTGGAATTGTTCTGCTCCACATACAAGTTAAACGAGGGCCCGCAGAGTAGAGATTTCGGCTGTGAAGTTCTGCTACAGTCGAGTTCTTCTGACGATAATGAGGATCAATCGAGCAAATCGCACAACCTTTCGGAGCTTGGGTACGGTCAGGATGGCGATGTGCATCTCATCGTAGCTATCCTGAAGTTCACCCAGATGCTTCTGGACCACTGCGGAAACCGTAGTATATATGCTAGCAGTTCCTACCTGAACGATCTCCTCAACAGCACCGACTTCACCGTCCTCTGTGCTACCCTGCGTGTTGGTGTGGAGCTTGCCCAGCGTTATCAAGCATCGGTTAAACGCATTCATGGGATGACAACTCGACAAGTGCACACGACTTTACTCTCAAACCACTATAATATCGATCTTGATCGTGTGCAGCAGCTTGCTCAGCCTTTCGTTAAGACGCCCGTCTTTAAATCATCGGATATGACGGTCCTCTCTACACCGGGCTCCGCTGGTAAGAACAGAGACAAGCCAAAGAACATAGCCACTATGTATGCGAACGACTTGTGTGCTCTAGTAAAGGCGGATTCGACCGAGAACTCAGGCTCACAAACGCGGTGGAGTGGTTGGGGTGACGTGAAACTTACGTACTACCCCACCCAAGACAATTCTTCTGGACCAACGCAACAGTCCCTACCGGACCGAGGTACCAGCTCTAACGTTCCGTCAACACCGACGCCCCTGAGGCGAAGCAGTACATCTACTGCGGGTGCGCAACCTGCTTCTCGCGCCAATCGCCAAGGAGCCTCGGACGATAGTCCAGCCTCTGCTGCTCGATCTCCGGCTACAGGACGAGATGAAAGTAGCACACCCGGTCTGAAGTCTTTAGAGATATCCCATGGCTCGGTAACCTCTGCATCCATATACCAGCTTATTTCTAGAGCGCCGGCAGATCTCCCCAAAGAGGCCAAGTACGAGTTTTTGAACCGACTTAGAGTCGCTAAAGCTCTCACGGGGTCAGTTGAGTCGCGACGCCAAGCACTTAAGGCACGCCTACTAGCCATACAAAATTTGGCATATATACACATAGAACCCACTTTCATCGAGAAAGTCCTTAGACAAGATAATGACGAGCCGCGACGGTTCCAGCTCGTGTATCAACTCGCAGAATTGATCCATCCTGCTGCCGATGGCGCCACGTTCGTGCCCACTGATTTACAGTCCATTGCCTTCTCATTACTAGAGGCCATATCAGGTTTCCACCATAAGCTACCCGACATCTTTTCGGCGTTAAATGCGTCTGTAAACCACGGCGTGCTCCTCTACGTCATTAGGAAGGCAGTTGCGGAGATGAAGACGGATGATTCTGGGGAACAATGGAGCGAAGAGGACGAGTGGCGTGACAAGCTCTTTTCTCTCACACTCCACATTACAATGTCTATGGCTAACAACACATCGCGTAATATGCCTGAAATAATTTCGGCCGGTCTTTTGGACATTATGGTGGAGATCCTAAACACCAGATCCAACATAGCCGAACGCACATACGGCACTTTAGTCACCTTCTTAGACAGTCTCGTGTACAATGTGCAGAGTTCTTTCCAGACATTGATCAATGCCGACGGACTCGAGGCCATTACAAACCTAGTTACCCATGAAGTTGAACTTGCAGGAACACTCATCTCAGAGGACAAAGGGACTCCCACTACTCATCGTTCTCAGATTGTTGATTACGAGATACCGTTCTATCAGCAGCAAAACCTCAAGTTTCTTTTGAAGTTCATCCATCATCTGATGTCTAACGCGTTTGCTTTCGGTGGTAATACTGACAGACTTTTGAGGAATCTCGTTGATAAATCCGCACTCCTTCGCAGCTTACGCGATATTATCGAGAACATGAGTAAATTCGGCTCGCTCGTATGGACCAATGCCGTTGTGATACTTAGTGACTTTCTTAACAACGATCCTACCAGCTTTGCGGCTATCTCTGAGGCAGGCTTAGTCCAGTGCTATCTACAAGCCTTGACAGGTCGCCCGGTACCTACGGGACAACTTGGTGGAACGGATTCGACTCAAGTGGAAAGGGAAGATAGCGCTGACTCCCCTTCGGACGACCCTACGGTCGATGCTCTTGAGCCCGACAATCGCCCGCACCCTCCTTCGCAAGAGGAATTAGAAGCGCCTCGCAATGGCCCACTTGCACGTGGTATTTTGCCTAACTCAGAACCCATTACTATTGTGCCGACCGTCTTAAACGCTATATCTTTAAACAACTATGGCATGAAGATGGTTGTTGCGTCGCGCGCATTTGATAGTTATTTCGAGATATTCGAGAGCCCCGAGCATGTCCGAGTAATGGCGACGGATGAGCACCTGGCACAAAATGTTGGAGGCAACTTTGATGAGCTTGCTCGTCATCATCCATCTCTTAGGCCGGCTATTGCGAATGCTGTACTAGATATGATCGCTCGAGTCGCCCACCTCGCCCATGTCAAGGCTAGAGATGCCCAATGGGGAGCTAAGCTTCTCGTGAAAGACTCGCAAGGTCGAGAGGTAATAGCTAATGAGGGATTGTTGAGTGAGCCTCGAGTAGTAACATCAGATAAAGGCAAGGGGAAGGCTGTTGCTACCGTCGATGATGCCGACGTTGAGATGACGGACGCGAGCGTACAGCAAACAGAGGATGAAGAATCGATATCGGACAGCACTACAGTCGATGCGTCCTCTATCACGCCTTATATCTATGCAGTTTCCAACTTTCTGTCCCACTACATCAGTAACACGAGCCTGAAGATGCTTCTAATCCAGCATGGCGGAATAGAGTTACTTCTTGACCTTAGTACTTCGCCGAGTCTCCCGCATGACTTTGGGGATTCTTTAGCATCTCGCAATTTGCAATCAGTTGTGTCTCAGCTAGTTGAGACATCCCCAATTCTCGGGTTGCCCTCACTACTAAAGCGGACTCAAGCTGCAATTGATGTACTCCAACCGGTTACACAAGCCCAAGAAGCCGGATCTTACTTCTCGCCATTCCTTAAGGCTGACGTAAATCTGGCAGACCAGATTGAACCTGACATTCTGGAGAGACTTCCTCAAGGCACCAAGTTAGCGAAAGCACTATTAAACACCCAGTCTCTTATCAAGACTCTTTACCAATGCTTCCCGTTTTCAGCAAGGGCACAGACGGTCACGTTCCATTCTGTAAACGTCTTTGACTATTATAACCGTCTGATTAAGTCTTTGGGTCCCTTGCTACGCGCAGTCATTTTGGAAGAGGCAGCCATTTCTAGCAGTGTACCTGAGAACTGGTCAAGTAGAAGGCCGGGTCAGGCTATAGACCGACAGGGTGCGTCAAACATTGCTGCCGCGCCGAGTACTGACAATGTTGTCACTGCTGATTCCGAAGAGTCGAGTCTACCTGATGTTTTATCATCCGGTGCTTTGTGGAAACTTGCAACAGCTAAGAATGGCAGCTCCAATGATGGGCCTTCTAAGATTGAACAATCAAGCCCACGATACCAGAATTACAAGACACTCCGCCTTCTCTTACATTCCTTGATGCCGGCCACGTTCCCACTCTTTCAGACACTCGGCAAAGCTCTGTTACCTCGTCGCGAACGAGATCAATACTTGCGAGTACACCACTTGCAACTTACCGAGGAGTTAGCTCAGACGATCCTAGCGCAATTCGAATTACCTGATCGGGAGAAAACGAGCAAGGACTTCCACTATTGGATTGTTGTGCTGCACGCAGTACACGAAATGCTAGTCAATCGTACAATTGAGGGTAAGCGGCATTTCATTGTCCTTATTGATATTCACAATACTAACACAAAAGTAGCTCGTTCAGATCGACAATCTGCAACGCAGGTTATTGCGCCCGTTTTAATCGCGTTCAAGAAATATGGCGGAGTAGATTTGCTCAACACGATGTTGCGTACCTTTAAGAGCGAGATCTGCAAAGAAGACAAGGATGGGGAGCAGTCGTCCATGTCTCGGCTTGCTGTCATTGGGATGAAGAAGATTTTGGACTTGTACGCCATGGCAGTCAACGGCAAGACAATTACGGACTCTGTGAGCCAGATCAATATTCTTCCGAAAAACCCGAGTTCAAGTTCTGGTGATCGACGCATCGATTCGCAAGTTGCTCCCAATTTAGTGGTTGAGCTGCGGATGGCTGTACTTCCGGTAATGAGAGAATTATGGGACTCTCCGTTGGCTGAAAAGGGTTCAGCCCACATCCTTGCTAAAATTATTGGTATCCTGAAGTCTATCTCGCTGGCGGATTCGGAAAGTAATGCCTATAAACGTTCTGACAAGGTTAGTCTCAGGCTTCCTCACCCCATCATCTTGATTATTTGATTAGAAGCTAATTTGGATAGAACCCCCCCCCTGAATATCTGCAACCTAAGCCATATCGTTTTGCCTGGAACGAGATAGAAGGAGATATTTCAACTGTCGTGAGTGCGGTTGACGGCTCGGAGGATCTCGCAATGGAAGGTATCTACAGAGCCAACGGTAACCAAGCTTTGGCCTTGGAGTATTGTAGAGCTCACTTGGCGGGTTTTGTTCGTACTCGAAACCCCATTCCTGAGCAGGACATGCCAGATAATAAGGACAACGAGCCCGCCCCCCCGGTAGACCGTGATGCGCAGGCCGAAGAGGATAGTATGGCCTTGGACAATGACCCGGTCTTGCCGCCTGGTATTTCGCTCGAGGATGATATTCTCGGCGGGCTAGCGGAAACCGTGGCCCTGTCGGGTGATGGTGATCGAGATACGCCTGTCCCTCCGCTTATTCCACGGGATGACAATGACGCGACATCTGCATCATCTACTCCAGCCCAGGGTCGTTCAACTGAATCGATCGCAGAAGAGGATCATGCAAAGAGAACAGCTATAGCTAAAGAAGATCTAGATGAAGAACGTGCCAAGCTACGCGATAACCTCATTGATAGATGTATGGATGTCATAACAGCACATCCCGACTCCACCTACGAGGTTTCAGAACTGATTACATCTATTATACTGCGATCACCCAGTGACGATACATCCACGAAAGAAGAAATAGGCAGGACCTTGACTACCGTTTTGATATCTTTCACACTCGACGAGGATTTGAAACCTAATGGACGAAGCATCGCAGCTTATGCCCACCTTCTTTCTTTACTCCTGCAGGACAAAACTTTCTTCCGAGTGTCTACGGATATTTTGAAGGACAATGTACACGGACTCTTGCGCTTCCTCGAGGTTCCGTCTTCTCCATCGAACGATGAATTAGCACCCTGGATACCTTACGTACTACTAGTATTCGAGATTCTTCTCAGCGATGACGAGCAGCCAGGGGAGATAAAGTGGAACCGTCCAGCGTCCGAGGACGATCCTATAGAAAAATTACACTGGTCTCCAAAAGATCTCAACGTAAAGGAGGATGATCGTCAGATACTCTTGAGCTCGATTCTAGAAATTTTACCGCGTATAGGCAAGGAAGAATCGTTGGCTGTATCCGTACTACGGATCTTGGTTATATTGACTCGCGATCGTTCCATAGCAAAGTCGGTCGGCGACAAGAAGAACCTCCAGCGTCTATTCGTTACTGTAAAGCAGCTTTCTGGCGCGGGATCTCTACGTCTAAACGAGACTAGAATTGCGTCTCACACATTGACCATCCTTCGCCATATTGTGGAAGACGAAGAGGTTATCAAGCAAGTCATGAGAAGTGAGATTCGGGCCTACTTTGCTGGTGGCCGAAATGCACGGCCTCTTGATCCCGCAGGTTATGCCAGGAATTTCTCCCATGTGGCTCTTCGAGACCCGAGACTATTTGTCGAGGTTACAAACGAAACGGTAAAGCTTAGCCGCTGGGCCCCTCCAGATGTTCCGCGTGGGCAAACAATAGTCCTCAAGGAGCCGAAACCGGATACCCCGAAGGACGATGTAGCACCTACCGTTCGTGCCACCGAGGATTTAACCATTCAGGATGTCAAACCGTCTACCGAGAGTGAAGATAAACAGGTACAAGATGCCTCCAAGTCTCATGCGCAGGATACGAAACGTCCTGTACTTGAGAACCCCGATGGTGTTGTGCACTTCCTACTCTGTGAGTTGTTGAACTACAAGGAGGTTGATGATAAGGAACCATCCCAAACTTCTAAGGACACGAAGAAGGCTGGTGACCAAGAATCATCAGCTGCTGGTACTCCTGATGCAGAAGATCGTGCGGCTGAAAGCAAAGATAAGAAAAACAAGCCATCCTTCAGGGCCGATGAGCATCCAATATTCATCTACCGCTGTTTCCTCCTACATTGTCTCACTGAATTGCTTCAGAGCTACAACCGTACGAAAGTGGAATTCATTAACTTCAAGAGGAGCGCGCCACTTTTCGCGAACACCCCCGTTAAGCCCCGTTCAAGCGTCTTGAACTATCTCCTTAATGATCTGCTGTACTCAAGTCACATGGATGGCGCTTCGGATACGCTCGTGCATAAGAAGAAATACGCCACATCTATCCAGACGCAGAACCTCTTAGTCGCTCTTGTAAGTAAGACGGGCGAGAAGCCTATTGAGCAGGGCCGAGACAAGTACGACTACGATGACGAGCCTGATCTGTTATTCGTCCGAAAATTCGTACTAGATACGATTTTAAGGTCTTACAAGGACGCCGCCACGTCGGGCGAGCCGTTCGATAGTAGATATACCAGGATGCTTGCACTAGCGGAAATCATGCATCTCATGATGGGCGAGAAGGACAAAGATCCGCCGGTGCCATCTCGGGGTAATCAAGACCCCATTGAAAGATCTCAAGCTCAAATTCGGCGCCTCATGTATGAGAAAGGCTATCTTGCCGCGCTTACCTCTTCTATTGCGGACATCGACCTTGCCTTCCCACCCGTAAAGAGAACAATTAAGTATATCCTTCGCGTGCTTCGAATCTTAACCAGCACTGCCATCCACCTAAGCCATTCCAACATAATCCCGGCCATAGCGACCCAGGAGAACGCCGATGAGGAGACATTCTCAGCCAGCTCACTTTCAGATATCGAGGACCGAGAAGAGACTCCGGATCTTTACCGAAACTCGGCTCTTGGTATGTTGGAGCCTGGCAGAGATAGGGATGGCGACTATTCAGAAGATTCAGACGATGGTATGTATCCTACGATTCCGTCTTTGTTTAGAAGTATGCTAACGTAAATAGATGACGACGAGGAGATGTATGATGATGAGTATGATGATGATATCGGATACGAATCGGAAGATCGCGAAGAGGACGTCAGCGAAAGAGATGATGACGAGGATCTAGAAGGAATGGGTCCCATCGAGGGGCTGTCAGGAGATCACGGAGTCATCGAAGTCACAATGGAAGATGACGATGATGACGATGAAGATATGGATGAAGATGATGAAGATGGTAGCGATGACGACGACGAAATGGATTCTGATGAGATCGACGAAACAGATGACCGTATCGAAATTGTCGATGGCAATGACCATCTAGAGGACGATGGAGCCTCAGGTTGGGAAAGTGAAACAGACGATGAAGGAGATGATGATGAGGGAGAAGAGATTGACTACGAAGCTGAGGCCCAAGACCTCGAAGAAGCTGCCGAATTGCGAGACCTTGATGACGTCGACGGGCTAGGTCGGTTTGGAAACATTATGCGTGCTATCGAAGAAGAAGATTTTGATCACGCCGATGACCTCAATGGCCGCTATATGGAAGAAGGCGACGAGGATGGTAAGTGTCGGGAATACTACTGAGCTCGCAACCTACTAACGAAGGATTTAGAGGATGAAGATGAAGAGGACGACATAGATGATGAATACGCATACGAAGACGATTTTCCCAGTAAGTCAATATCCCTTCCTCCATCTCTCTCATCTAGGGCGAGAGGGTTCAAATGCGACGCTAACCCTGTTCTCTTCTTTCCCCTAAAGATGACGCGCCGCCTCGCGATGTTGGGGCACCGAGTCTAGGTTGGGATACTCTTGTGGTCGAACCACATGGAGCTATTCTCGGCCATCATCATCGACATAGACACGGTACTCGCAGTCCCTTCCCTCCTATCCCGTTCATGATGGGATCTCGAGATCCTCTCAACACTTTTGGCGGTACGTCAAAAACATACTTTTCATTACCCTTTCCATCCACGTAACACGATGCACAATGTGGGAGGAAAATGGGTTATTAGCTAACATAAATAGATCCACGAGGGTTCTCACGAGGTAATCGACACGACCAACGACCTGCTGGCAACGAAGATGGGTTGAATCCTCTGCTTCGTCGAGGTAACGATACTGGTCGGGATGGATCCCCACGCCCCTCTCATCTCGGAGGGTTGGTTCGCTTGGGATTCCCTGGTAGCCTATTTGGTAGCGGTAACATCGACAGCCCGATGTCCCTCATCAATGATCTTGTCGCTTCCCTTCCTGCTCAACTAAGTCGCAGTGGACATGCTTTTCATTTCCAGATAACACAGGGACCTCGAGGGGATGTCCATGACATGCATTTTCCATTTGCTCCTCTTGTGCGTGAGTCGCGTTCTGACACCCGCCGAGAGACATACCAAGAACCTACCCAAGCAACTTCGTTCACAACAGAGTCCACGATAACAAGGTGGACGGATGAAGTAAAAATGATCTTTGGGGCACAGCACACGGAAAAATCGCATCGACTTATTCCAGCAATTCTCTCTCATCTCGTGCCACCCGCTATCCAACACGAGAAGGAGAGTAAAGCTAAAGAAGCAGAACGCCAACGGCAACAAGAGGAAGAGCGCAAGAAGCGCGAAGAAGAAGAAAGAAAAGCCAGGGAGGCCAAGGAAGCCGAAGAAAAGGCAGCCCGAGAGAAACAGGAGGCTGAAGAACGTGAACGAGAAGCTGCTGAATCAGCCGCACAAACCCAAACAGAAACGACTACCGCTAACGAAAGCGAAGAGGGTGAGCGTGCGGAGCCAGATGCTATGGAGGGTGTGGAAACATCTGATGAAGCACCTGTTGCGGCAGATGATGAAGCGGATGCGAACCGGCCGCGCGCCTTCACTACGATTAGAGGCGAACAAGTCGACGTGACAGAATTGGGTATTGACCCCGACTACTTAGAGGCCCTTCCCGAAGAATTCCGGGAAGAAGTCATCGCGCAGACAGTCAGCACCCGCAGAGCCGAAGCTCGAGAAGCTCCAGGAGGCTCAGGAGAACAAACAGAAGTTTTCCAAGAATTCTTGGATGCCTTGCCTGATGACCTTCGCTTGGAAATTGTACAACAAGAGCGAGCAGAGCAACGCCGACGAGAGCGGGAAGAGATGCGTCGACAAACAGCGATTCCAGGCCAGGTAGCCGAAGCCCAAGACATGGACACAGCTAGTATACTAATGACATTCCCACCTGCTCTCCGCGAGCAGGTTCTTATGGACCAAGGCGCGGACATTATTGACTCCCTGCCACCCGATTTAGCAGCTCAAGCACGCCGACTTGTCCGATCTTCTAATCCCGTTGCGCACCACGAACGAGCATCTTCTGGTACCAGTCGTCCACGAGATGGAGCTCCAGCTAGTGGAAATACCGAAGCAGACAAGCCTCATCGAAAGACTGTCGTACAGATGCTAGACAAACCCGGTGTCTATACCCTACTTCGTCTCATGTTCATCAATATGAAAGGCGGGTCACTGGAAAGTTCACTGAAATACTTATTCAAGGATGTCTGCGAAAACCGACAAACCCGATTCGAGGTAGTTAGCAATTTGCTTAAGATACTGCAGGAGGGTTCGACTGATGTCGATGCCGTCGAACGAAGTTTCGCTTCGCTTTCTATCAAAGCAAAGCAGCCTAAGGACAACACCATCGATGTTAAGACTCAGACACCCCAAAGCCTGAAACGAACATTCACAAATATCAGCAACAGCAACCCCATTCAGGCGAGCTCCGAGACATCTCCTATTTTAATTGTACAGCAATGTCTTGATCTGCTTTGCTACCTAGCAGATCAGAACCCTCACGTCCCCTCTCTCTTCCTTACTGAGCACGACGGAGTCAGCACTAGTAGTATCAAACGCAGTCTCAGCCGTAAAGGAAAGAGCAAGGATACGAAGGCCAACAAATACGCTATCAATTCTTTACTTGCTCTCCTAGACCGCGACCTCGTTATGGAGAGCTCTTCTATCATGGACAGCCTCTCTCAACTATTGAGTCGAGTGACGGGCCCGCTACTTGCCTTAGATCGTAAACAAAAGGAGGCTACGGAAGCTATCAAGAGCCTCGATGCACCGCCTACGGATACAGCAGAGCCATCTGAAACCACGGCACCCACGGATTCCGCGGCCGCAGCAGCATCTGAGCATCCCGATACCGCGGAAGGTGGAGATGCGGACACAGCGGAACAGACGGGTGAACAAACCACAAATGCTCCTGTTGAATCGTCGGAAAATGCGCCGTCGAGAACTTCGACTGTGGAGGCCAATTCTTCTAAGGCGGCAGAAAAGCAAGCAATGCTCAAGAGAATTAGACAGCTCCACCCGCCTGTCATTCCAGTCCACAACCTAACACTTATCATCAAAATCTTCGTGGCCCGCGAATGCAGCTCTAAGACCTTCAAGGAGACCCTTTCCACAATTAAGAATCTCTCCGTGATTCCCGGTGCGATGCTTGTTTTCGGGGAAGAGCTTGCTCGCCAGGCTCAGCTTCTGAGTGAAAAGATAGTCGTCCATCTGGATGAACTATTACCGCATATCCAGAACGCAGCATCCGGTACAGAGATCCAAGGTGTTGCTTTAGCCAAATTTTCTCCTGGCGCATCTGACCAGAACAAACTTCTTCGTGTTCTGACAGCACTTGACCATCTATTCGCCCAGAAGAAATCGGATGCAGAAGGTACTACTTCGGACGAGACCAAGAAACAAGACTTACTCGCCACGCTTTACCGCAACCAGACCTTCAACGCCTTGTGGGAGAAGTTGAGTGCCTGCCTAAGCGCCATCCGCCAGCGTGAAAGCCTACTTAATGTAGCCACTATTCTACTACCTTTGATAGAGGCGCTGATGGTTGTCTGCAAGGACACTGCCCAAAACGAGACGAGTTCCCAAGCGCAGGCAAGCAAGGAGATGGTGTTATCGAGTCCCCAACCGGAGTCTCATCTAGCTGGTCTTTTCTTCACCTTCACGGAAGAGCATCGCCGAATCCTCAACGAACTCGTACGTAACAACCCATCACTAATGAAGGGTACATTCTCGCACCTTGTCAAGAACCCGAAGGTTTTAGAATTCGATAACAAGCGCAACTGGTTCAACCGAAGTGTCCACAATAAACAGCATGTCAGCCAACGTCCTCACCCGCTATTACAATTACAGGTCCGCCGAGAACAAGTTTTCCATGACTCATTCAAGTCGCTTTACTTCAAGACAGGCGAAGAGATGAAGTTTGGTAAACTAAGCATTAGATTCCACGGCGAGGAAGGTGTTGACGCCGGTGGTGTCACCAGAGAGTGGTTCCAGGTTCTCGCACGCCAGATGTTTGACGCCAACTATGCCCTATTCGTTCCCGTTTCAAGCGACCGCACGACATTCCACCCCAACAAGCTAAGTGGTATCAACGATGAACATCTCATGTTCTTCAAGTTCATCGGACGAATCATTGGCAAGGCCCTATACGAAGGTCGCCTACTCGACTGCTACTTTTCTCGCGCGGTTTACAAACGAATTTTGGGCAAGCCAGTCTCGGTCAAGGATATGGAGTCTTTCGACCCTGATTACTACAAGTCTCTATCATGGATGCTGCATAACGACATCACTGATATTATCACTGAGACGTTTTCGGTTGAGGATGATGAGTTTGGTGTTACCAGAATCCATGATCTCATTGAAAATGGCCGCAATGTACCTGTCACGGAGGAAAATAAGCACGACTATGTGCGTCTAGTAGTCGAACATAAGCTTCTGACTTCGGTCAAGGATCAGATGGAGCATTTCTTGAAAGGTAAGATTTCGGAGTATCCCAATATTTATTACACCAATACTAATTGAAACAGGTTTCCACGAGATCATTCCCGCCGAACTTATTTCCATCTTCAACGAACAAGAGCTAGAGTTGTTGATCTCGGGTCTACCTGATGTTGATATCGACGACTGGAAGAGTAACACAGAGTACCACAACTATACGCCGTCTTCCCCGCAGATCCAGTGGTTCTGGAGGGCAGTACGATCGTTCGACAAGGAAGAGCGCGCCAAGCTTCTTCAATTCGTCACGGGAACCAGCAAAGTACCACTCAATGGCTTCAAGGAGCTCGAGGGTATGAACGGAATCAACCGATTCAACATCCACCGTGATTACGGGAACAAGGACCGTCTACCAAGTTCCCACACGTGCTTCAACCGTAAGTATTCCCTTGCTACCTACTATAATACGATTTACTAATAATAAATACAGAGCTCGATCTTCCCGAATATGAAAGTTACGACATTCTCCGTCGACAAGTCCTCAAGGCCATTACAGCTGGTAGCGACTACTTTGGATTCGCCTAAATGACCAGACGAATCAAGGTTACACAGACAGACAGACAGACATCACAACACGGTCATAATATACCACCCCGTCATGAGTGTATCGTTTTGTACGGCATAGAAGAATGAGGCAAGGAGGCAAGGCGTGCATTTTCCCCTTCTTAGTTGGGAGCATTTTTTTTCTTTGGTGGATTCACGAATTCGCGTAAGATTCGGCATATAGGACTTTACGAGGGGAGCCGCGTCAACGGAGTGCAGGCCAATGGCGTCGGCTCACCTACCTGAGCCTTTGCCACGAAAACCCTTTCACCATAGCATGTGTAGATTAGGGTTCAGCTATAGTAATGATCGCTTTACCATTATAAAAGTTTGAGATCTTAAGTGTGTGATTGTTGATTGTGACATGATCGTAGATATTGCTATTGATGAAGTAATGTCGTTGTGTAACGTAGCAGACTGGCTTAGGCTCAGTTTATGTAGGATCCGCGTATAATCTAGGCATAGTCCATCTATAGTCTGGGTACGATCTAGACATGGTTTAAATATAGTCTTTGTACGGTTTATATACGATCTGAATATGATCCGAATATGATCTGAGTTTGATTCGAGTTTGATTGGAATCTGATCTAGGAATAATCCACTGAGTTATATTGGTGATCTCGGAATACATACCCAAAATGCCGTCATTCGGCGACCTGGTTTCGTTATATAGGAGCTGAGCTATGAATAATTGGTACGCTGCTCAATGGCATGGAACTTAGGCAACTACCGCAGCCGGTTAAATTTAGTAGATTCAACAGGATGCTTTGAATAACTATGTGCGTATGCCTGCTCCTTTACATACACCCAGCAGCCTAGGTAGACGCTCGTAAGCTTTCATGTCGTAGTTACACGTTGCCTGTAATGATGCTTTAACTTGAGAACTAGCTTCCTTTGTGTACATGTATTCTGCTGACATAAAGGCAGCTATGATGCAATATCGAATTCAAAGAGCAAGCGATACTTAGGCACAGATATGTCAAATTCGCATGAACATGAGATGATATATGTATACCTAGGTATGTAAGTCCACATTTTAGTTTCCAGCATAATTGCTTTTATATTTGCTATATACAATTTTGTGTATGTACATACTATATTCAAGAATCTCGTCGTTTCTCTTCTCCAAAACACACCAATAGCAACAATTACCGCTTAGATGTAATCAGCGAGCGAAGGCAAGACCTTAGTAAATGCGGTACCGGAAGGCGGCTCAATGCTGTACATGTAATCAGCCCACCAGGGACCAGCGCCCCACCAGAGCCAACCCTTCCAGACGTCAGAGTTCTCCTTCATGTGGGAAAGTAGGCTCTGGACGGCCTTGATACACTGGTCGTTGGAGCCGCCAGCTGTCTCGCCGATGATAGCCTTCTTGTTGTTGGCCTTGAGCCAGGCGGTCGCGTCGGCGAGACGCTCGGCGCCGATCGTGGCGGAGACACAAGTCTCGCTTGTGCCGGAGCCGTCGGAGTCGAGGTATTGGTGCTATGAAGACGTTAGTGTAAGTTATAACCATTATGTCAGGTCTGGGGTTTGGGAGTGACGCACCATCTCGTAGACGATTTTGTCTTGGGGATCGGTTAGCTTGCCCATGGCGTCAGCGGTACCGCTGGAGGTCTACTTGGTATTAGTAATGATATAGCACCTAGGAACTAGCATGAGAACTAACCCAGTGCCAAGCACCAGTCCAGGAGTTTCCTTCAACGAAGATGTACTGCGAGGTAGCACCGGCGCCTCGGATAGCGTCGATAGCAGCCTGGTTCAACTTACCGACGAGGTCGTTGTCCTCATCGTGGAACTCGTTGTTGGTATCAAAGATAACCTTTTCGTTCGTGGCGTAGCGCTTCGCTACAGTACCCCACCAAGCGCCGAATCCTTCGACATCGGTGATGATGTTGTTGTAGTAGCGGCCGAAGTTGTGGGGGTCGACAACGGCGTAGGCACCCTGGCCAGTGATAAACGTGACAATCTACTTTTTATTAGTATTGAATCGTCTACTAAGTACTTGTAGAACCTACGTCATCGAGGCCAGCAGCGTAGGTCTCGTTGACAGTACCAGTTAGCTTGTCAGGGATAATGCGCTCCCTAGTGATCATTAGATCTATATTTACTCGTTCGGGTACAGAGAAACGAACATCATGAATGGAACTCGGAAGGTGTTGAATCCCTTCTGGACCAAGGTCTTCACGAGTATTAGCAATCGCATTAAGGCGTCTAAAGGGCCAACCAGCTTACAGAGATGGCATTGTGGTCCGGCCAGGTGTAGTCCTTGCCCAGGCGTCCAGGAAGAGCAGTATTACCGAACTCAGCTCCCGACTCGCTCACACCGGTGAAATCGAAGGGTCCGGCGCGCTTCTGGGTCTTAGTAGGTGCCGCGACAGCGCTGGAAGCGGCAGCGGCACCGAGGAGAAGGTCGACAAACCTCATGATGTCTAATCTAAACTTACGAAGAAGAGACACAAAGTGGTGTGGACTAGACTCACCTTTCGAGTCATGGTTGAAGATGGTGGTCGCCCATTACTTATACCTTCCAAATCTAGGCGTACGTATGGTGCCACGGGAGCGGAAGCCGACGCTCCGCCCCACGCAATCGAGAAAGGAAGCATAAACAACTACATCAGGGGTAATGATTCGGCGCTAAGGGCCAATTAAGGTGAGGGGATCGTAGATCTTGCGGATGTAGGGACGATTGAGCCTCATATTAAAGTTGCTCGTACCTGATAGACACCGGTGGAATGATCTAATAAAAGTAGGACGAGACCTCACATCGGAAGGAAGATAGCGGAACACCGGTGGGCGTGGCCGTGATGTTCGTTTCCGTAAGGCAGTATATAGTCCCGATGCCTGTTCCGAGTAATTGAACTTCAATACGGAACTAGCCGTACAACGAGCAAACGGATAGAAAATGAAATGACTCCTTTCGTCACGACCCTACAACATCGTATTCAAAGTGAAACGATGGTCACTGGACTATACTTAACATTAGAAACGTTAGACTTGAAAGTATAGGGCCGAAAAGATATCATGGACACAGCTTAGGAAGCTCGTTGCTGCTTCCAGGGGGGCGGGGCCTAGCACTCCGCATGTATATTAGATCCATGCTAAGTTAAGCAACCTGGCATCAACCCTCTCACTCTTCTCCGCGTGGCAATGTGAACAATGCGAACATTTCGTCAGGGGCAAATGACGTGGGATTCAAAGACTGAAAACAGGCACGATAGAATTGACAGGGTAAATGGGAAGACTGGGCCAGGTCCCCGAATCGGGTTGGGGACGTGCCTGACCTCGGAGACATGACTCAGTTGGTGTTGTATTCCGCAGGTTTTCATTTTACTCTATGACTTCCTAGGAAGTTGGAAATAAAAGCACGCCATATTACTTAATCACTCTATAGACCTATACATTTGTTTAAATCGCTACATTCATCTAAGAAGACCTATTCATCAACGCCGTATCGGAGAACTGTTACTTTGATCCGACATTTCTTGTCACACCTGCTTTATCGATAAGCTGGTCAATTTCCATTCAACGGAACTTGATGCGACGAGCTTCATCACGAGCACCGATTGCGCAAACCAAGACAAAATGCAGCCGACAAGGTGTCTATTGAAAGGCCGATCGGTCTGGAAGGGTAAGTTTTCTTCTACCCGCCCAATTCCAAGTCAAGTATCCAGCTCATACTAACAATCTACAGGTCCTCACATTGTACCGTAAGAACACCGTTCCAACGAGATCCCCTCTACTCTAGCGGTTCTATATACTCACGCTCTATCACCACAACAAGCCTTCCTATAGTTCGACCCGCCCCCGGCCAACGCGTAAAGCCCATCCGAACACAAGCCCGCGCCGCCACCATCCTACCCAGTTTCGTCGGTCTGAAATTCCAAGTCTACAACGGCAAGGATTATCTTGATGTCGAAATCACCGAACAAATGGTCGGTCACAAGCTTGGCGAGTTCTCTGTGTACGTCCCCTTCCCACTGCTAGAGGAAAAGGCCCATTTTAATACCTTAATGCAGGACAAGAAAACCCTTCATCTGGGCACGCGCCGCAAAGTAGAATGACACGACAGCACGGAGACGATAGTGAAAATGCGGTGGAGGACATACCCCGGCGCTTATGGGCATTTGGAGGGACACATTTTACACTTCAGGCATCACACGCATCAAGCAAATGTAAAATATGATTAAAACAGATTCTGCTATTATAACCTGTCCATATGGAGTTTGCAGGCCATCTGCAATCTGGTCTTTTATACAGCCCGGTCCTCCTTATTGTGTTGTGATGTGATGTAACCTGATGTACAGACAAATAATGAAGTAATGCTTTATGACTGAAAAGGAGAAACGCCTATCCCCAAACGCCAATGCCATTTTCGACAAAAGGATCCGCCGATACCATTGAGACTACTCGAAACCCCACCGTTTCGTAGAGCAATACCGATGATATCAATTTCCCAAAACTAGGGTACGCGAGTCGAGTATTCGGGAGAAGTAGCCATTCTGTTCCCTACTTTGGTTGTCGCGTTGTCTTAGAGGACTAAACATATTAGTGCTCATATCCAAATTGTAGTACGACCGTATGACGTACCTAGAGTAAGCTCATCTATAAAACTCGCTCCTCTTAACATTAACCCCGTATTCCGATACAGCGGTACCGAGGTCTTCCATGGTGAGGACGGTGCGATTCTGACTGCCACCTTGTCCACCACCACCGTAACCCGCTCGCTGGATACCCAGCGGACCGCCGCGCCCTTGGTCCTTCGCGTTCGCCTGTGTCTGGCCCGGGATTTGTAATCCGGCCGCGGCACCTAGGTTGCCCATTGGGTTGTTCGCGCTTGTGTTTGAGGCCCGGATTCGACTGTATTGGTAAGCGTCGGCCGCGATATCGGCGATGAACTTTTGTGTGGCTAGTGCGATTAGGTGCGCGAGGCGCTCGTCGGTTTGGGGTGGCGGGGGGAGACCGCCTTTGGTCATGTAGTAATGTGTTACTGCATCGGGGATCTATATAATAATTAGCATACTTGAGCGCTAGAAATCCGGTGAAAATCACGTACGATAGACGCGTAGTCATCCATTTTGGCTAGGAACTCCTTCAATGACGTATCCTTCCGAGTCGGCATTTTTGCCTCGGTAGGGATCGGAACATCCTCTTCGTGTTGCTGCGTGGGCGCGGGTGGCCCCTGCTCGTTCTCGGTAGGTGCGTTGGTCATTGTGTTGAATTGCCGAAGAGTTGAGAAATTGGTGAGAATTCAGAGATCACCCGGCTGTCAGCGTAAGGCGACGAGTCGATCGGTACTTGGTAGATAGGTCCTTTTTTCGTAGATGTCATGTAAGATTTGTTCTGGTGTTACTTTGCAATCGATAAGCGGTTGGGCTAAGGATGACGAGTCTCGCGAGGCTCGCGCGATTAGAGAAGTATTCAACTTGGATTCGGTCAAATGAAAGAGGTTGGGGAGGAATTTTAGTAGTAGTTTAGGCAGAGGGCGTCCTGTTGCGTATGACAAAGCAGTGTCCCAGCTCCTCCCCGAGCGATGAGCTACTTGTCCGCACTATTTTTCTGCTAGGGACAGTCACTAATGAGATGGTAAAGTTGAATGGTTTTGGGGGTCGCAATAAGTAAATTGATAGAATAAATTGATGGAAGTTGAAAAGGTGGGTACACGACATTATCGGATTACATATGGTCCCACAGTTTGGGTTCATGATTAGGAGCCGCTAACCCTATCGTGGATGGCTCAATGATCCACTAAACTCAATTTAGTCTTTATCTGGGGTATTTTACCCCTGTAAAACCCACTCATCACCATATTTATATGCACCTAGGCATATGTACGAACGTCGGTTCCTGAAAGAACTATTTCAGCAAAAATGAAAGATTTCTGGTTTTTATAATGCCTTCTCACATCTTTGACGTATCGAGGGTTAAATGCGATTTGTTTTGCCTACTCTAAATCTTGAATGGCTATGTATATTGTCACTTTGAGTGGAAAACAAGAACGGTGAAGACATCCGAAGATTGGACACCTAACCCCAGCACAGCGGGTATCCGGCGCTGTGAAACATTAATGCCGAAGGTACCTAGGTATCCTCGTCCATGGCCGGCTAGTCCATACACATGAATGTAGTTTTCGCTGCAGCCACTTCCTCCACTATGTCACTTCACCCACCCCCCAAATTACATAAGATACACTCTAAACATATCGAAAGTATATCTCTTAACTGCCCCTCAACTATTCCTTGAGCCATGTCCACTCAAGGCAGATCACCGTGGCTGGTCGTTACGCAGCGTCGCACCATTTTACGCCCTAATAAGACAAGTTGCTACTGGTGATAAGCTCGTCTTCCTTCGGGTTGTACACCAATCTCTAGCCTCGCTTGTGAACTCCAGGACTTCAATATCTCTATTTTGGTTACGCGACCCTTCAATCCTGGTCACCAATTGGCATACATGCGAATTTGACGTGATAAAGTGCATAAGCTCAGCGCCGTATATATCATAGCCAGACCTTCGCGTATCCAGGCCGAGCCATAAAAGATTTGATCCGGATAAAGGTCTTATCACCGAATGCTGGCGATAGTTCATCCGGTTCCCACAGGCTCTGGACGTGAAGAAAATACGAGCTTGTATTTTACAATCTCGACCACCTCTAGGTCCTCCGCCTTAGACTCAGATTCTCCTTCAGTCATATCGATGTCGCCCTCGGGCTTAGTCCGTTTTCTAATGATGGCCATGGCTTTCGGTAGTTTCTTGACTTCCCCGGTGAGTCTTTGATGCTCGCCCACGTAAAGATGGACTCGTTTCATCCAAGAAGTGCTAGAAGGGTCTTGTGTCTCGGGGTGATAGTCCGGAAATATGAGGCGCCCGATATTCAATTTTTGTGAATTATCCCCATTGCTTTCAGGGGTGTCGGGGAGATTGATAATACCTTGAAGCTCTAAGATCGCCAAGCCGGAAGGTGTTTGTATGACTTGAGGAAGAGGGTTCTGAGATAAGGATCCATTTCCAGGCCTCCTTGGGTGTAATTGAACAGAAGGGGTCATTTTAGAGAGACCGATGCCCTCACCGGGCGAAGACAATAATACTGAAGAGGTCTAGGAAAAGGAAAATAGTGGACCCCGCAGTACTTAGTAGATGTAGCTCGCGCCGCTGCGCGTTAACATTAAATGGATTTTCTTCGGATAATTAGCTCTGGCAATCTCGACCTGGCCCATGCACTTGTAGCCCTAGTGTGGACCCACCTTTCATTCTTTCGCACGCCAGGAAAATTGGATTAGGCGAAGGAAATCACACAACCAACCTTAATCCTTCAATCAATTCCGCTTTAATTTTTTTTCTTCTATTTTCCCTTCGGTGTGCCTTTCACGATTCGACTTCATCCAACAACACACCACCAAAGTCGACCTCGACAACCACCGCCGAGATGAAGTTGAACATCTCCTACCCTGCCAATGGCAGCCAAAAGCTCATCGAGATTGAAGATGAGCGAAAGCTCCGCGACTTCATGGAGAAGCGAGTACGTCCAGCCTTTTCCGTGTTATCGTTGTCAACGCCCTTACGAACCCCCAATACTTCTACGATACAATCAGCGATTGATTATCTCGACTTTGAAATACTAACAATGCTTTTCTCTAGATGGGCGCTGAAGTCCCTGGTGACAACCTTGGCGACGAGTTCAAGGGCTACATCTTCCGCATCACCGGCGGTAACGACAAGCAAGGTTTCCCGATGAAGCAGGGTGTCATGCACCCTACCCGTGTCCGTCTCCTACTCTCCGAAGGCCACTCCTGCTACCGTCCCCGCCGCACTGGTGAGCGCAAGCGAAAGTCCGTCCGTGGCTGCATCGTCGGCATGGACCTTTCCGTCCTCGCCCTCTCCATCGTCAAGCAGGGCGACAACGAGCTCCCCGGTCTCACCGACGTCGTCCACCCCAAGCGCCTCGGTCCCAAGCGAGCCACCAAGATCCGCCGCTTCTTCGGTCTCAGCAAGGATGACGATGTAAGTACACCTTCACTCGTCATCACCTACTCGGTCGTTGCTTCTGCGGGATGAGAGAGAAGAATCCCTTGCAATGAATACCACCAAGTAGAGTCTGAGAGGAATATCAAAAATACATGAGAACATCCAAGAGATGGCTAATATTGGATTTCTTCCTGCTATATAGGTCCGAAAGTACGTCATTCGACGAGAGGTCCAGCCCAAGAAGGAGGGCAAGAAGTCTTACACCAAGGCCCCCAAGATCCAACGTCTGGTTACTCCCCAGCGTCTCCAGCACAAGCGCCACCGCATCGCGCTCAAGCGACGACAGTCCGAGAAGGTCAAGGATGAGGCCGTACGTTCAACCCGCAAATATTTACTTCTTAACTTGATAACTAACAAAAAGTATAGAACGAGTATGCCGCTATCCTCGCCAAGCGTGTTTCCGAGGCCCGCGCTCATAAGGCTGATGCGCGCAAGAGACGAGCTAGCTCGCTCCGCAAGTAAATTATTAGAGGCGTTTGGTCGGTGTCTTCCGGTTCTTGCATTAGGGCATAAATCATGGCAATGGCTTTGCCGGGATGATATAAGGTAGCTGGTCATGAGAGATAGTCCGGCACCAATGAGTGTATTCCCGGGAAAATTAAAAATGAGATCAAGATTCCCCAAACCACTTTTATTTCCTGTTCCTTTCAATGATTTGTATTGTATGGTTGTGCCGTAGGAGATACCCAATTCTATGTGACATGATGCTTCCCCTTTAATACCAATCATGCCTCCTATCCCATTCCGCCATGACCTATGCCAAATTTCGATGTGATGCCGCATGACTTTATATATGTCCCATAGATAAAATGCAGATGTGTACTTTAGATGTCGCAATAACGAAAACTCCATGCTTATATCACCTTGATTTATGCTCTCTACGACGATGTCTCAAGCTCTTTTTTTCTTTTGGCGAATTTCCATATGCAATGCAATCTCAAACTCCCGAATGCGAATGAGCCTCCAAGTATTCATCTAATCGCTCTTCCCGTTCTCCGCTTGTTTTTATTTCATATTATACTCCCAGGATGCACATTAGACGGGAGCGTGAGTGAACAGGAAACTGCAGAATTTGTTAGTATATAGGACCCAAAGATAAAGATAGGCTGCGGTACGTACCTCACGCTCTCTCCGTTGTGAGTCCGACGGATAGCCTCGGCTATCGTAGGGCTTACATCGATTACTCTCAGCTTCTTACAGCGGTTGACCTTGTCACCGAGGGGCACGGTATTCGTGACCACAATCTGGCTCAGACAGCTGTTGTTGAGCGTGTTGATGGCGTCTCCGCTGAGAATACCATGTGTGACGACAGCGATGACTTCCCGCGCGCCGTGCTCTTTGACTGTAGCTGCAGCCTTACTGTAGTATAGCATTAGTACCGTTATAAAGTAATTAGGATGTTACCAGGTCATGCACTTACGCCAAGGTACCGCAGGTGTCAGCCATATCGTCGACCAAGATCGCAACCTTGTCCACAACATCACCAACGAGAACCATTCTACCCACAACATTGGGTCGAGGGCGCTCCTTGTGGATGAGCGCAAAGCCACGGTCGAGACGATCCGCTATAGAAGTAGCTCTGTTGCAACATGTCAATTTGTCTCCTCTCTAGCCGTGCTGGGCGCGCATGAAAATTGGCCTACCTCTTCGCACCACCAGCATCTGGACTAACGATGACTGTCTCCTGGCCAGCTAGATTCTCTCGAATCCACCGCAAAACACTCGGTTCGGCATAGAGGTTGTCCACCGGGACATTAAAGAAACCCTGAATCTGCGAGGCGTGGAGATCCATGGTGATTACGTGATTGCAACCAGCAGTCTGCAACATATTTGCGATAAGCTTCGCGGAGATGGGCGCGCGACTCTTGTCTTTCTTGTCTTGCCGGGCGTAGGGGAAATTAGGAATTACGGCGGTAATGCGCCGGGCGGAAGCCGTGCGACAGGCGTGGATCATAATTAGAAGCTCCATCAAGCCATCGTTAATGTCGCCTGGTGCAGTAGATTGTAAAATAAAGACTGGAAAGAAGTCATGAGTTAAAGATCTAAATCAATTGACGCAGGCGGCGCAAAGATAGTAGAAAAAGATAAAAGTCGTACCATCTTCGTCTCTGACTGACTCGCCGACTGTGACACTCGTTTCTTGGTTTGAATAATTCAAACTCATCGTCTTCGCGATTTCGATGCCGAGCCTATGGTAACAAAATACTCATTGTTAGCGAATGTTCACATCTCCAATTGCTTCATGGCCGATCCTGATCTCTCCAATTTCGTCATTCTGGGGGTATGGAAGAAAGCCACAAATAACCGAAGAACGCCAGAAATTTGGCTGGTCTGCTTTGTGTGTAATGTCCGACACTCGAAGGATTAATCAATAAGAAAAAAAGTTGACATACCGATCGGCCACGGCCTTGGCCAAGCTCGGATGGCTATTGCCCGAGAGCAATTTGATTTCGTTCGCCATGTCGCCCATATTGATTAAAAGAAAAAAGAAGGAATCAGACGGCGCTGAGTCCCTATTAGTTTTATTTTAAGACTCTTGATTCTGCTGTTGCAACAGCGTCACAAGCAAGAAAAAAAAACTTTCTTAGACAATGGCAACAGGTCGCAATGCCACCGATCGAAGGCCGAGCCACAGATAGTCCAATCGGGAAGAATCGCGGGGTTATGTTGAACGTGCGGTCCGTGCTATGGTTGGACGGAAGGGGTCTCATAAAGCTACTGCAGTGTCGCTCTGTGGCTGGTATATTATGTAGGTATTACATAGATAAGAGTAGGTAGCTGTCCGTAATGTCTTGCACGTGCTAGCTCGAGTGGCTTAGTAGCACTGCAGCAAAGAGTTTTTCTTCTTTCCAATAGAAAAAAGATGCTTGCTCACTCGTAGCCTGTAGGTGATTGTAATGTGGGAGAAACGGGTTCTGACGCTCTGACGAAATAGAAGAAGAGAATGAGAATTTATGTAAGTACCCGGATAAGGCTGGAGAGAGGTATTGCACCAAGGTAACTAAATCTGGTTGAACAGCTCATATATACATACTGTATATGTACCGGCGATGATGAAGTCTGGACCGCTTCGGGCCATTGAGATCACGCAAATTACCAGGACAAGGGAAAAGTTTGTTTTGGGTTGGCGCTAAAATAGTCCAGTCCTAGTGCAATTCAGAGCTTTCACTATGCAGTAAGCTAAACTCACAAAGGTATATCTTATCAAATCTTCCGGCACTTGTCCTCAAGAAAGGGTTCAAGAATCCCAACTATACAAACCGTACCTTCCCATATAACCGTAACCGTATAGTTCATCCATTGTGGAAACATCCACGTGTGCCTACATATCTCCTAATATTCATGAGGCCGTCTTCCATCGATACATAGTTCCTTACTTAAAGTACCTACAGATAAATTAAGGTTACTCAAGATACACAACATAAAAACCGACCAATCATTTCTTACATAATTGACCGCTTTATGTGTCTACCCGAACATACAGAACCCCTCCATCTCCGTCCCCCTTTTTTTACCCGAACCTCAAACCTGTTTACAATTACAACACAGATAATAGGTGGAATGATATCCTACGCATCTAAATTGAGAAATCAAGGCATCCGGATATCATGGGAGAAAAAAATCCTGCTTCAACCCTCCTATCCGGAGTCTTTCTTAGAAGCCACTACACAACAACTAGCCCCTTTTTCTTTTTCCTGTCGTGTAACAATAGGGGTTCCCTTCCACTTGCTTTTATTTCGCCATTCCCAACATAAAATAACAATTCTGAGCCATAGATAATTTCTAACATAAAAATAGGCGGGGCTCATCTTTTTTACAAGAAATGATAATCGGGTACGATGGGTATTCGGTGTTCTAAAGAATAGTAACATCATCACCATTGTTGATATCCGTGTATCTTTGCATGACTACCTAGGTACTCTCTTGTAAAGAAACACAGAAATGCACTATTCTAAGTTTTAAATGGTATTTGGGCTCCAAAATTCCTGTACGGTGATACAAGACTCGCCCACGTCCATAGACAATATAAAATCAGCAATAAGCTATGATTGCACGACTGTAAACGATTCCGATGTTATCCTAGCCCTATAGCTAACGAATTAGTAGGACTATTATATTCAGAAAATATTAAACCTGGCAATTTCTACATCAAGGTGGCTAGATTGAGAAGCTGGTTCGTATGGTGTTATCAGGGAGTTGTCAATCCCCTTGTGTTGACTCCTTAATTCAATACAAATACCAAGCATCATCTATGAAGCTACAGGAATACCATCGTAAATACGAACTCGAATTATTCTCAATGGTTTCGAGGTCTACTCCGTGAGTAACCCAAGGCCACTTTTAACATATATCCAAGTATGTCTAGATATATATATGGTAAGATGTAGGTAATAAATCAAAGGATGAAAAAGAAGCAGCCTGGATATTTGACTAGATATTGGATATCTTCTTCTGGGACCCGTCTGGCTACACCTACAGGTATAGCTGACTTGTGTTCTTTGACCTCTCAAATACATGGAAGTTCGACACACACTAACAATAGCAGTCTTATAAATTACCTGGATATTTGTGACTACGTGCGTACCTCCTTTCAAGATGCTTTACCACCTATACTTATCAATTCCTTTGCTTGCTAGTGCCGAGCAACCCCTAGCATGCTAGTCCCGTCAACAAAACGCACCTTCCTCCGCGGACCCGCGTCCCCCCAGCCAGTAAAATCAACTCGTAAACAAACCACCCAGCAACATATAATTAAATTTAACATGTAGTACTTTCAACAATTCTAAAGTCCATCTGGTCTAGTGGTTCAAGTGCGAGGAATGGAATATGCTAACATATTCTCCTAGTCCAACATCGTTACTCCGTCACCACCTGCGCGGGTAGGCCTACTAGCAGGTTCTCTGCAAGGTATGTATCAGTCCCTTCAACCTAACTAACCCTTAGGTACAACTGACTGGTCCTTCCTATGCCTTCTGTGGGGCTGGGGTACAGCCGCGAGGCTCCCCTCCCATGCCCCTTGGACTTGAACAATAGCCTTATCGGCATTACAGTTCTGGATATCTCCCTAATCGCCTATAGGCGTGTTGGTACCGGTAAGTCATCCATTCGATTCCCTCACTGACCAGATGGACCACAATTCTTTTTTCTTTTTGTAATTTTTTCTGTTATTATTTTTCTTTGCCCCGTTAAATATTATCTGTACCATATGTACTCAGCATCCAAGCGTTTGTCTCTCCTAATCCTACTCGCCACCTCTTATTATTTTCAGTCCATCCTCAGCGTTACTCTCTTCGCTCCTGCTGTGTTTGTCAATTTCAGCTTCCGTGGTGGAAAATGCCTGGCTTTGTAAACAGATACGTCAATCATAAATCTTATAGTCCCACGTTCATACAACAAATTACACAATGTTGATATATGTATTTACTACAGCTTCACCAGCGGCCACCGCCACTCAACATGCCCTGGGAACCCCATGGGCGTAATGGAGAAAATATTCTAAATTAACACCATTTTCTTTTTTTCTTTCACAGCAGATGCACAATTTTATTTTTTTCCCTCTGCGTCGGGGTATGCAAAACTCTCACGTACTATTTATTAATCAGGCGCTATTGAATAAATAGATCTCATCCCCAGTAGCATGGATTTCCCAGCGCTATGCCCTCGCTCATGCCAGGCTTGATGACTGACCTCCCCCAGCCGAAACGGTAGACGGTTCTGGTCATCCTATCTCTTAAAAATGGGTTAGTTGCGTTCCTATCTCTATGCTTGCAATTGATGACTACTTACACAGACCCAATATCTGAGCAGTAATTTTTGACAACGCGTCGTACATGCTTTATCGAGCAGTTGGCCATGTTGCGAGCATCTAAGTTACACAGCCCCGAATTCTTGCTCCATCTGCTCTGCTACTTCCTTTGCTACGTGAGTGTTTTTGCTGTTCATAAAAAACAGGCGACACATAGACGGCGGTACGGGCGTATTATGTTGAGGATATCTATCGTTTAACGAGAACCTTTTTGCTTTGCCAGGCATTGGGGGTACAGCTATCGAGGCACAACGTGCGATTGAGAGGAGTCGTAGGGCCGCGACCGTCGATTTTTTCCGTTGAGCCCCCTTATGAACTGGTGGTACTATTTTTAGGGAAAAATCCGGTGGTTTTTGTTTTGTCTATATAATAAGAGTAGTGCTTAAGGTGGCGTTGGTGACGTTAACTAGCGACGACGATACCAACTATCCCGGTAGTAGTTATAATGTTTAGGTAATAATAATCACAATGGCACGCCCGGAAGATAGGGAGAGCGACCTAATATTTATTATAGGGTAGGTCAACTTAATTAGTACTGATGACTACAAGCCATGTGCTGGTCTGATCCCAAACATCAATACTCATAAAATATTCTGTATGAGTCAGGTACATGTAGTAATATAATGTGCGTCAGAAATACTAAATAAATGCGAGGTTTTCCTAATACAAGCGGACACAGAAGCGATGCCATTCCGCAGCCAACAAGCCAATCGGCGGATCAAGTTTACGATAGTTACCGTAACCATGTGGGTAGGAGCTTAGCGAAAGGGGGGCACATAAATTAATCCCATCCATTATCGTGGTATAGGTGCATTGGACCTACCCCGGCTGTAAGTACGATTTACACACCTAATGTTATGTTAGGAACTTCTAAGACATCAGCGGCTACGAGACAAAAACAACAGAGAACTTAGTAGAAACATGTATCATGTATTATTGCGCGAGTTTCTGCGCGAGCGTGTGCTCATCTCATCTAATCTCTAAGCTAATAACCACCATTTTCGCCGTTATGATACCCGTCCACAGACAGGACCCCAGGCCAAGCTCGATAAAGCGAAGCGTGTGCGCGGAAGTCCTCAAGGTAGGACAATATATTTACGATGTCGACGGGGGAGTAAAGGGCTAAAGTCCATCCATGTCGTATAAGAAGGGATTAAGAACCGAAATCCATGTTGTGTGTCCGAAAGAATAAAATCCGATGTCCGCGCAGAATATGAAAGGATAAAAGACCTAAGTCGATGTCGCGTGTGTAAGGGTATAGAATAACTGCCTTATGCGATAAGGTGGCAACCTTGGCGGGAACGATAGGCTTCGGTGAAGATGATGGGATGTCTAGCGGGAAGCATGTTGCCACACTGGCCGCCATCGGCACATACTCCCATGTACTCGGCCCAGAAGAAGGGATAAACGCCCTGTTGGATGAGACCAGTTTCGTCAACGGCAAGATTCATCTTCGCCAACGTGATGGTACTGATATTCTCGGGCACGATACGCGCAAAACCTAGGCCCTGGCAGAGCTCGTAGAGTGTGATGAAATCGCGGATAGTAACATGACGGCTCTTATCCTTGCCGTGGCGGATTCGCTCCATAGCGATCGAGTTCACCATGATAGCCACATTCTTCCAATAGTAAAACTGTGAGAAATGCTCCAACAGCATGACAAACTGAACCGAGTGCTATGTCATAGAGCGTCAGTAATTTTCTCGTCAGACAAATTTTAAATTCTTGGAGCCGCATCATGGGAGTAAACTCTCATACATCTCGCTGGGAAAGGCGATCCACATCACAGGGACAAGTTTAAAGGAGTAAGCAATGATTCTGTGGGTTACTTACGTTGGGTTGGAAGGCGAACTTCGCGGCACTAATGTCCCACTCAGGTCTCCATCTGCGCAGAATACGTCCAAGCCAAGGACCCTTAGGCGAAGCGCGCTGCTTCTATTAATCAAATTAATATTCACGTTGTGCTTATTTTAAGTAGACGAATACAACTTACCGCGCTCAAGAAACTGCATCCGTGGCAGGTGTTGATGAGCTTTCCCTCCTCGTCAGGGAAGCATTCCTTGACGGAGATGACAGAGATGGTATCTCCACAGCTACCACACTGGACGAAAAAACCCATGTTGAATGATTTCCTTAATTGATCATGAAGAAGTTAGATACTTCTTTGTCCCTTATGGGGAAAAGAGAGAAAAGGGGGGATGTTAAATCGATAAAATCATAGAAGAAAAAAAAAGGAAGAAGAGGTAGAGATCTTCATGGGATGATTACTTACCTAAGCCTAAACTCGAACTGTTTTCAATAAATGACCGTGTTTATAATGATATCGATTGACTGCGGTTCAATTGAGGACAGATCGAGTAGAATACTGACCGGGTGGTGTACTAGTCGACTAAGGTATTAATCGAGTGCGGAGGGGAATAATTGTGTAGAGAAAATGTGGATGGGAGAAATGTGGCAGGAAGGAGATGTATAAGCTGAGAAGATTCTGGTTCAACTGGTTTTCTAGTAATTTTATTGGCACATGCCCCGAAAGATCTCACGATGGCTACCGAGAGTCTCCCGAAACAATGAGTTAGGTGATGCCGGAGCACACCGGGCGTGCGGAAGCCCTCATTGGTCGGATGTCGTTTCGGGTGTCCGGTAGGTGCCCCGAAGCGACCGGTCCAAGTTCCGTCCCGGTCCGAAAATATGGATCATCTCGGAAGGAAGGAACATTCCGTATCTTGCACATTTTCCGTCCATTCCCTTTCAACCCTAGTATTCTTTCATTCATTTTAATTGTGCAAATAAGTCAGTCGATCATAGTTGTAGATCATGTGCAGGAAGTACAAAAGATCAAAACCCACACCTTACTATGGCTTAATGATCTGCTACACTTGGTGTCGCAGCCACCAAACTAGGGACCGAAACTACCAGGATTGCAACGCCCACCCCTGTGGGAATTGAACCTCCCCTAGCTGAAAAACAAGGGCTGTAGCGGGAAAATCCACATTAGAAGCCGAGTAAGCAAAGAAATCATTCCCACTAGCACCACTGTCACTCTCTACTCAAAACGAACTCGCTTACCTGTTTCCAATATGTTTCAATACCAGGAAACCTGGGGTTGACAGCGAATAAGGAGATCGGATGGTCCCGACACGGCGTCTGTCCCGTACGAAACTCCATTTAATAAGATGGGTGTGTAAAGGAATGTTTCTTGTAACTTCGCCTGCCGGAATCTCTCACCTTTGCGCTCTGTTGAATGGGAAATTTTCTGTCGACGCGGGCGATTATCTTTAGGGGAGCGGTTTTTAATACGACGTGGCGTATGGAAGTATCAGCCTCAAATCTCAATTGTTGATCAGCTGAGAGGGAGCCGAGGCCGACGGCAGGTCCTGATTTCTTCCTTTCCATTTCATTGATTTTTTATTTTCACACGGCTGGTCTGTAAATATTCCAGTAATGGCAATATTATTTGACGAAATTTGAAGATGAATAAATTTGGGGTTTCGTTGCTCTTATTGTTGTCGCTCTGGTCAACTAGAAGCGTAGGACTCGGCAATACACCGTTGAATAGCGAAACGCTCATCGATAGAAGGCTGGAACATGGAGTTGGCTTAGAATCGGTTGCGACGACAAGGGGAAGAGATATCACAGGGCGACAATCACCAGATGATCTGTCATCAATTTCTCTGACTAGAGCGACACTATCAGAGAGCTCTAGTCTCCAAAATCGCCAAATCCCCGATGACGATGATATAGATGACGTCGACGACGACGACGACGACGATAAGCCGCCGCCACCACCTCCAGCAACACCGCCAGATCCCCGCCCACCAAATGAGATCAGTAGCAGTATATCCAGCTCTGTCTCAAACTTCGTGTCGGGTAGCGTGGCACAGAGCGTATCGTCCCTTTTCATATCGTCACTGTCGGTAGTCTCAGCATCGGCGTCCAGTGCCATTCAATCCGCAAGTGACGCCGCGCGTGCTAGAGCAGAGCCATCATCAACAGCAGCACCTACTGCGCCGGCGACAACTGATGCTTCAGTGACCACATCACAAGAGCCTAGCATAAGTAGTAGCACGGCCACGGCGCCCACCGCGACGGGGGACGATCCCGTCGTTGTCTCTAGTATTCAGGCGAGTGCCAGTAGCGCCATAGATGCGGCTAGAGCCAGCGCTAGCAGCAGTGCACAGAGCGCCGTGGAGGCTGCGAATGCTAGTGCGAGCGCTGCCATGGTATGTATCCAATCCTTCTTCTCTTTTGACCGATAACAACTAATAACATCCAGGCCAACGTCAACAACACCCCATCCCAAGGGTCAAAACTCACTCCCGGCCAAATCGCAGGACTCGTTATAGGAATCGCCATCTTGTCAGCTCTACTTTCAGCGCTAGGAACGTTCCTCCTAATGCGGCGGTACGCGAAGAAACAAGAAGACTCGTCCAACAAGTACGAGTCCGACTCCCAACCCGAGACCAGGGAGCAGGACCAATACCAACAACACCAACGTCAAAGATCAACCACGTTTTCGCACACCCTTTCGCTTCGAAACAGACTTTCTTCATTTCAAATGTTCACGGCCCCGGCGGCCGCCCTTCATAACAGCAACCACGAACGAACACGTTCCGGTCCCTCGCCAACATCCGGCGCCAACCCCAACCGCAATTCCGATTTCAACTTCAACAACGAAGATTTCATCCCCGACGTAAAACAACGCCTCCCCCCACCCCCCTCCGCCGACCACCCAGCAATGTACCACACCGCGCGTCCCTTATCAATACCTTACCCCGACGACAACATCGACGCCGTATTCCCCGTCTCCCCACTAAGTACCGACGGCGGGGACGGTCCCTCAACCTCTCACCGCCTACCCCCATCCGATGCAGAAATAGCAGCAACAGGCGTAGCCCTAGCGCGTTCCCAAAGCGTCAGCAAAACCCAACGCGCGCAACTAGTGCGCGTAGGCAGTCAACGCGCTCTAGTAGTAACGCCCAGCACCGACCCCTTAGCCATGAACCCCGTAGCCTCGCCGCCCGCCGTAAAGCCGGGGTTAAAACGTATCGCCACCTTTTCCGAATTAGAAAGAAATAGCAGTCCCGAAAATGGACGAGCCCCTACCCCCTCAGGTAGCGGACCAGACGCGATACAGGCGCCGGTGCCTCAGCGGCATGTTGATCCCGTCTCGCTGGAGCGAGGACCTGATTATTAGTTGGTAATTTCTGTTGTATGGGTGTTATGGGTTAGGCTCGGTGTTCATGGTAGAAGGAACGGATGGTATGGATCGGAATGAGGGTTGGTATGATAAGGCTGGGAAAAGTTTGGGCGTTTAAGTGTTATATTAATGTGCATTGAATGATACCAAGATGTTCTGTTCTTTTTTTAATATTGAAGCATTTTTAGTTCCCATGTGATTGTCGCGCGCGGGGAAGATTGGGAAAGTTGCCTACCTAAGTAGGTACTACTTGCTTTTTGATGCCATACAGAAGGTTGCGCCGGTGATAACATGCTCGAAGTAAGATGGCAACTCTTTCACACAATCCTACAAATTATTACGTTTTATAATATATTATTTTATTCTTTAAATTTGTAGTCATGAACCTGAAGCAACGCTACCCAGAAAAATGGCTGTCTGATAGCTGACCATACGAGTTCACAACTCGTATACGAATAATCCTTTTTATAATCTTAAAGCTTGTTTTAGTGAGGCCATATACGATAAGTTATACAGAATACCGGGATTCTATCATATCAAGGGGAGAAAGTGTTTAGTCACTCGTAGTCCCCTTAATATAATAAAATCCCAACATCCCTTATATCTTAACATCTTTTATGATCTTATAAAACCGCCCATCATTTCTCAACAAAGGATTATTCGTTTACGAGTCGTATCCTCGAATGGCCAGCCATCAGACAGCCACTTTTCCGGGTAACATTTCTTTGAGCTTCTTTTATAGTTGCATCGAACCCTGAAGAAACCTCTTTTCGCCTTCGGCCACGCATTTGAAGGCTGAGGAACTGCCAGCCCCTCCCAACCTAACGCCAGCCATGCACACCGATGCGCCATGAATACACGTTCTATGTATAAGAACACCTTTTGAACCTCCTCTATTGGATCCGTTGTACTCATTACACGTGGCCTTGCATCCTCGAGGGCCCAAGGATCGCCTGTGAGCGAGAATCCCGTAAATATCTCCGGAGTACCGTAGTCATAGGATATCCACCATGCGACGCCAAACGCGTCTTTCGCTCCTACTTAGCGGCGGGAAGCAAGATGCGCTGAGACCGCCTATACAGGAAGCTTGAACTTCTTGCCCTTGAGAACCTTGTTGTAATAGATCCAGAAGAAGTCGCTGTACAGCACAGTCTGAATAAGACCAGCGACAATGGCAATCCAATCGACCTTGTGCTTGGGTTCCGTGAGGTATCTGTAGATCCAGTTGGGGATGTAGAGAGTTCGGTAAATACCCAGGGCGAAGAGGTAGTGGGTGGTGATAACTTCCGCTTCGCCGGTCCTTTGTAGCATGAACAGCTGGGGGAGAATAGCCACGGACTCTAGCCAGATCGAGAACGCCCATAGGATTTCGGAGAAACTATATTCGTAGGGCAGAAGGATAGCTAGGACGGCGGCACCACCTAGGAGGTATTGCACGCGGAAGGTATCGAGGTTAGGATCGACCGTTGGCTTGTACTTGGTTGTCATTAGGTAGATTATGTAGCCCTGGCTGCTTATGAAGAGAATCTTGAAGATGATGTTGTAGATGCTTGACGTAGAGAACAGATCTGTTGGTTTGGTACATTAGTATAGCTGAAGGCTTTGGACTTGTGGTTGAATGTCGTACCTAGATATCGAGTAACGTAGACTAAGAAGTATAGAGCTTGGGATTTGAATGAAATGCCTGAAGCGCCCTAGTGTAGACTGTTAGTTGTTATTCGAGGCTGGCTGTGGTGCGACACTACTAACATTGAGCTCGGTCATCTTATGTAGAAGGATTAAAATGGAGGCTAGATGGGAAAAGTCTCCTAAATATAGTCATTAGCGGTGTCTATGCGGTATTCTCGGTTGCGTTGGCGCTTACCCAGGACTCGGAAGACGTTTAACCCCATATTTGGTATTAGGGAGCAAAGCTCCTAGAAGCTTGGTGGATAACTTGCGAAAAGATGCGACGAGATTAGGTCAAGCATGCAGTTTCTAAGGGAGCCGAAACTCGAGGATGGTTATAGAAAACTCGCAGATGAAATCGCAAAGAACCTTAGAGGTCTACAAATGCGAGTTGGTAGTAAGTGATGCTATAACGGGTGGGTTGAGTGGTGATAATTCAACGTTAAACGGGAAAAGTTAAAAGAATGTAAGATGTTTCCTCGAAAGGACACAATACATCTGGGACGCGGGATTGACATTGGATTGGATCCCTGGCTAATCACTAGCGTCGTGTATAAAGTGGGGAAATGATGTTGTATTTCTTAGGATTAGTTTCAAGGTTTCCAAACCTTGAGATTTCTTTTTATCCACCTTAGTCATATCCACGTGATTTGTTGTTTCTTATTGGTTGGAATTAGTCGGCATCGGGACATGGGTAGATCTCTTGGCCGATATTTCTAGGTACTTGAGTACTTACGTAGCTCGACCGACGTAGGCAACCCGCTTCTGACGTACCATTCAAGTTAAATTTTGGATTACAAAGCTACCACGAACAAAGTACAAAGTGAAGGTATACAACATTGGTAGAATCTTCGATTGGAAATCACAATGAACAAAAGGTAAAATTCATCAAATACCATAGGTAAGAGCGATTCTCTGTTTTTTTTTTTTTATATCATTAAATTTCTACCGATGGTTTCGCCTATCAGCATTTCCATTTGAAATTGCATTTAGCATTGCTTTTCTCGTCGTCGAGGCCAGTACATTGGGCTTCATCACAACTATGGCGGAACAAAACGAGGCTTCATTAGAATCCAACCAAATCACCATCAATTTCACACACCATGGAAAACAACATGAAATCAACGTGGAGTCCTCAGCGACGGTCGCCGATCTCGCCAGCGCAATTCAAGACGAACTCTTTATCCCCATCAATAACCAGAAACTTATGATCTCCAAACTGGGCTTACTCAAAGCACCTTTCGGCGACCGACCGGTATCCGATTTGCTTGATAGGAAAGTGACCTTAATCGGAACCTCTAGCGAAGAGATCGCTTCCCTAGCCGCAGCATCACAACACGCCGCAAAACGCGATGCAGATCGCGAGGCCCATCTCGCTTCCGCCCGGCGCAATCTGCCCAAAGCATACTCAAGCCGAGATCCCAAGCGCGCACAGGAAGACAATACATACACATTCATGACTTTACGACCCCTCCTAAATCTACCGAATTCACAACGCTCGCTCGCTTTCCTCGAACGCCTGAAAGCGGACCCAGGTATCCGAGCGGCTATGCGCGCGCACAAATTCAGCGTCGGGCTACTGACGGAGATGGATCCCCTATCATACACGGAATCGAGCCATGAGGGAACTACACGAATTCTGGGGTTGAACAGAAACAAGGGTGAAGTGATAGAGCTGCGGCTACGGACGGATGCATACGACGGATACCGAGATTACAAGACCATTCGCCGGACGCTCTGTCACGAACTCACGCATAACGTACACTCAGACCACGACCGCAAGTTCTGGGACCTGTGCCACCAGATTGAACGGGAGGTTGAGAAGGCGGACTGGAAGAGTGGGGGTAGAAGCGTGGGCGAATTGGAGCACTACGAACCAAGTGAGGAGATCGCGTACGACCACGGTGGCTGGACCGGTGGAGAGTTCGTACTTGGTGGCGGTGGGGGTACCCCTGCTATGAGTGCGAGTTCGGGGGCGCTGAGTAGACGGGAAATCATAGCCAAAGCTGCAGAAGAGCGCATGAAGAAACAGAAGCAAGCTGAAGAAGAAGCAAAAGGCGATCGGTAACATGCAGAGAATCGACCAAAGTTCTCAATCACTCACACGATGAAGGCGGGGTTTCTTGTTTCTTCACCGGAGTCCGGGCGCATATATTGGTGGTACGGACAACATTTATGGTGATATTCTATTGGATATACTACCCTGCTTGTCTTGTTCATCTGCATGAAATACCTTGGGGATTGATGTACGGCATGGCGTTAGCGTATGGAATGCATGGATATAGTGGTCTTTGCGGATGAAGCACCTATTTGTTTTGACTGTTGTTTTGAATTGTCTTCAATACTTAGATAATATTATAGCATTTTCACCTGGGTGCTCGAAGTCTATCGCCCGTGACCAGTACTTTTCACTTTCAGCAGTAAGATGATACGGGCATACGTTTCTAGCAATTTCGAGGTCGAGTAGCTAATTTGTTTATAGATCTATCGCTGTTCATTTTTCAACCAATTATGGGAATAATACATGAACTTGAACTAAATTCACCCCTTACTACCGCCTTTTACAACTGTCTTCTCAACGACCACCACGACCGAATTGTCACCATGTTGCTCTTTAGTCGCCGTTTCGTTCTTTTTCTCTTCCTCAGGTATCTTGACCCATTCCTTGAGCTCTGGTATCCAATGATGGCTATTAGAAGCCGAGTCAGTATTCTTCAATCGAGGATACAACGGCAAAATTAAAGATACAACAAGACTCGACTCACTTAGCCCACTCGGTAGTAGTTAAACTCTTGCTACCATATTCATCCGTCAAGATCTTATCGAACGCATACGGTACACGCGCAAGCACACCCTCGAACTCAGTATGTCGCATTGGAAACAGCTCGGTAGTACGATAGCGATGCGCATTCTTGCAACTCCAGACCCCAGGCGAACCAGCTGGATCCCGTTCCGCCAACCCCGTGATATCCACAAACAATCCATTACTCATATCGATCCATCGCGCATCAATAACATTCGCTCCATTGCCACGACCTAGGTCCGTATGATGCGGATTTACATCCAGAAGGTAAGTCTTATTCACATACGAACCATTCACCACTTCACCAATTCCATTCCCCCTACCCTCACCCTCTTCAACTAAAAACTCGTAATCCCAACTCGTCCGATTAAAATGCCTCCCTAAAAACGTCAAAGTCGCAACCGGCATCTGAACATCCAAATCGTAATCCCACGGCATAACCCTTCCATTCCACCACCAGCCCAACAACGTGCCATGAGCAAGCCACGTCGCATCTTGAATTCCCAATTCACCAGCAGTTTCCAACCACGACCGAATGAGCCTCCTTAGCGCCGGCCCATGTTCCGCATACTCAACTTTGCCCTGAAAGTACCGCACATCATAGTGTCCAAGCTCCATCGAGCCGCCAGCCTCATGGAAGTACTTAGGATGTTTTTGATCCTGCCTGTCCGTCTCCTCGCTCGGTTTCCTGTTTCCTGACCTCTTTGTTTGCATCTTCTGGCCTGGTGATAAAATACTGGGTATCGTTGCTGCGGCGGCGAGGGCGACGACGAGAAACCGTAATAGGAGATTCAAACAATACATCGCCGGGTTGTGGAGCATTCGGTCCTAGAGTCTGTCTCAACAATCTTACGATTTGCTCATGCAAATCGAGTAGTCGACGGAGCCCTTTCGTCCCAACCTCAACTCCGGTGTATCTCTCCTCGGTACCAAGTAGATAGGCTTGATCTAGAAGGCGTCCCAGAGGGGTCTCTTCTTTCTCGACCGGGAGTTTGGCATACATCTTGCGGTTTTTCAAGCGGAATATCAGCCATGGTTTTACTTTTTAACCTACGGAAAGATTGGGGGAATCGTGGGGTGATTTATATAGTGGCTCCGGAGGTCTTATAAGCTTGATGACTCTCCGTCGCTCGTGCGAATCTAGTAGACTACGGACTAATCTGAAACCAACGATGTGAGTTTATATGGACATAGCAGTCTTTAAAGCCTACAAACCGTCAATGCTGATTCTCCTTAGATTGAAGAAAACTCGGTCGGAAACAGGATTACAAGGTAAAGCACGGAGTAGATTAACGTCCACGAGAGTAACCGAGCGGGAATATGACTAGCGATATTGAGTCATATCAATTATCTCTCAACCAATATATTTCCGGCATCGGGGTAGTCAATAAGGTTTACGATAGCAACGTATGTGTAGCGCGCCAGTGTGTAAGATCTTGCGACTTCGTCTGGAAACCAAGACAGAAACTAATCACGCGAGCGATCCCAAATCCTAAGTCCTCAGAGTCTGGAAATAACACAGACGCGTAGAAGAACCTCATATGAATTTGACTAATATCAATGGGTATCAAGCCGCAAAATTCGAGATGGGCGATTACTTAAGTTAACGATGAAGCTTCTTCATGCTGTGTTTACTAAAACGCATGATCCCAGACCTACTTCTGAGTTTAAACGGTCGCCCGAGCACAGCCTACTTCTGATGATTTTCAACTTGACACGTATGCCATTGTAGCTACGCAGCCGGTGTTAGTGGGGAAGAACGACACTTCATACTCCCATGCTCCGTAGCCCCTAAAGTCATAGACCCCTGAGTACCTTGATCATAAGCGGCATCCATGGTCGTAAATGTGCTCGATATCAAGTGGGGAGTAAGCCTCAAGACATTAATTATCATCTAAAAGGTGTCCTTAGATTGCTAACATGGCTGAGAGGCGTAACCTAATGGTCATGATAATTTCACTCTCGCGACGGGATTGATGCCCATCAGCTCTGAATATCTACTGCATATAGCACATAAGGCCAATCTTACATCTGTCAAACCATCTCATCGATGCTAAGTTCGCCTCAAATGGTAACCAGGCGTAGCTGATTAGCCGTCTGCTAAGCCATATCATGTGCGACTGACAGTGACAGTAATATCGCGACTTTCGCAGCTTTTTTCAATTTCCCAGTCCTACACCTCAACGCCGTCCCCTCCCCACCGGCACCGACTCAAAATCATCACTTATCTCATCATCACTAATTTCCAGAGGTTCCTGCTGCGATGCCGGTGCCTTCTGCGAGAAACTTAACTGCGTCTGGCGTGTCTTCGGCGCAGCCTTAGTCTTAGATGCCACGGTAGTACTCTTAGCTGAAGCTGGCGTAGCACGCGAACTCTGTGATCTCGTAGATGCCGCCGCTGCTCTCGTCGTCGTAGCCCTTGTCGTAGTGCGCTTCGGCGGCGGTGCGGGAGGGTCGAAGTCGTCGTCATCCATTACTACGTCTTCTTCTTCCTCGTCATCATCATCGTCGTCTAGGAACGGAGCTTTACGTCCTCGCCCCTTGGCTGGTGCTTTCTTAGCCGGTGCCTTCGCGGGCGTTGCTTTTGGCTTAGCTGCGGCCGCACGACCCCTCCCTTTTGGTTTCGGCGCTGGTGGCTCCTCGAAGACGTCGTCCATATCTTCATCCTGGTCCTCTACAACTGGTGCTGCTTTCCGCCCACGACCTCGGGCGGTAGTTGATTGTGTCGTTTGGGACTTCGTCGCACTGACGATTGCCACTTCGTCAATCGCTTCGGGTTGATCCTCCCAATGACCGTCTAGGTCCGAATCCCAAGCGTCCGGTTTTGGCTTATATGCGCGTCGTTTCAATAATCGTAAATTGCCAGCAGCAAAGTTCTGGTCAAGCTTCTCTTTGATTTTCTCCATCGCGCTTTCTATATCAACGTTGTGGTCCTCAAGCGCTAATATTTGCTTCAGCTGCTCCGCGAGTGCTTCGTTTACACATGAATCCATGGCGTACTTGTCTTCTTTTTCGACGAATTGAGTGATTGCATCGGTGAACGTCGCTTGCGGGAGGATCTTCGGGGGTTGGGGAAGAGAGGAGAGGTTATCTTTAACCAGCTTGTTAACTTGAATACCATCCGTCTCGTCTAGAGTTACTATCAGTTCCTCCGACAGCTTCGTGTCTCCCGCGGCTTTCCCTGTTGCATATTAGAGACTATCATCAGTGATACGATTGGTTCACTTACTCTGCACTGTCTTCTTCCGGTAAAAATACACAACATCGTTTGTATTAGCGACCCTTCCTTGAAATCGATTAGAAAATCGTTGCGGATTCTCGATGTCATATTGGCCCCCTTCTGAAGCGGTGTACTCGACTTTCAGGCGAATTAGAGGAAGTGGTTTTGGATTATCCACATCCTCCTCATCTTGGATAGACTCCCATTCTGCATTAGCTTCCTCAATCATCTCCTCTACTACGCCCATTAATTTTCGCGTGAGCTCTTGACGATTTTCCTTTTTCTTTTCGATACCTTTAAATCTCTTATCGGTTGCTAGAACGATTTCGGCGGTCATGAAAGGACGGACTGATTTCAATCGGTGTTTCTCTACCTTGAACTCCTTTCCTGTGATGCTAACCACAGCAACATGCTTAGCCACAGCTTCTCCCGGGACTAATGATGTAGCCACTGAAGAGCCTGGCTGCATGACGTGAAAGCCGGTCTCTGGATTATGTGTAGGATCGATTAGACATTCATGCTCGTGACCCCAGATAACTAGGTTTAACCATTCGGGCAACATATTCTCAGGTAAATATCCTGTCGCAGTGTGCGCATGATGGTTCTGGTGGACGGCAAGTAGGTTAAACCAATCGCCTAATTGCTGATTTGGTCTAAACCATTTGACATTATGATCGCGAAAAGTTCGGAACATTCGCTCATCGCGTACGTTGCTTATTCCGTAAAGAGCCAACTTAGTCTTGTTCTTTTGAAGTAGAACAGGCTTGGCCTCGATATTGTCTGCCTGTGGCACACGCCCGAAATAATTGACTAATCCGACCACCTCAAGAAGATCTAGAGAGCAGAGATTACCCACACCGCTGGGATCGTCATGATTGCCGTGGATGGAGAAAACCGGTATGGAGATGTTGATATCAGGATCCTCATAGTTGACATGTCCGAAGCCGCCTTGGAAAACTTCGGTGGCGTCGCTGAAAAATTGGAGTTGGCATGGCTTATTGCCAAGACAATTTCTGCGTAACGATCTCATAACCTGGTACATAGCCTTTCTAGAGGGTTTATTGTCATGGAATAAATCTCCGGCCAGCAACACCATATCAACCTATCACATGAGTTATTTACGTAGGACTCGATGAAATAAAAGTTGCTTACATCTTCCTTCCGGGCTAAGTTCATAATCTCGTCAAATGACTTCCAGCTGTCATCACCACGGATCGGATCACGTTCCTCATAACCCACATGATTGTCAGTGGCTATGAGGATGCGGATTGTATCCGCCTCTGCACGGGATTCATCATTAGCTTAGCTTGCAAAAATGCTGATGATATACCATTCATGCAGACATACCGTCGAATTCCGGTTGGGGCATTTTGGCGTTGGCAGAGGCGGTCAACCGATATCTTATTTGTACTATCCCCTTAGGTTTTTAACAGGACCACAACCTTCTTCCTTCTTCATAACTCCTGACGTTGCATAGGAATCATCGTTTATGATTAATAATTGAGACAGACTGTCTAGGTTTAATGTGAGAATGAATGAAAGAAAGCGGAAGACGCGCATCGCGTTTGCCCCGCCGTCTCGTCATCACGTGATTTCAGCTGCCTAATTAAACCCCCTGGGCCGCAGCTGCCTAGTAACCCGGGTAGGCACCTATGCACCTTCAGGGATACCATCTACAAAAACGATACATTGACGTCATTCACCTCTGTAGGTCTTATCGTGGGTAACACCGGGCTGTAACAGTGGGAATTACGAAACAAACAGTATACATGTATTGACTGCGATACTACATCCTAAACCCAATAGATGTGCCTTATGCATGAAATATTCATCGCTAGCATTTATTCTACCACAAGCTAGACACCTACGTAAAATAGGCAGGTAGCGAGCTTCCAAGCGATACTAATCAATCACAGCGAACTAGAATATGCGCTGATGCAAAAGGTATCCTTCCAAGAAAGCGTCCAGCCAGTTCCAAAAGAGTCCAACCTGTCCTTCATCCTCAAACATGTCATATGCCGAAACCCTGTGAACGCCTGTCCTACAGATAAAAACCGAAACCTGATACATGAATGAGTCCGAACCAATGAAGCCATAGCCCATGAATATGTATGTATGCCCGGCGGCTCAAAGTATTATAGAGTGCAATTCCTAGCCGACGATGTTGACCGCACCTATGCGGTTGCTGTTGTAGCAGCAGACTCTTCTTCTTTGTTCACCTTCTCTGCGACCTCCTCCCACCATACGCCGTGGGCTTCTCGATCTACAGCCCCCACTTTAGCAATTTCATCAACCATCTCTCGGACCTTCTCAACAAATTCGGGCATTCCAAGACTTGCCAACTTCTCCCCGGCTGTGCTAGTAGCCTTGACCTTCTCACTTGCAGAACCAGCTTGCAATCTAGCCAGAATGTGGCCTCTCATCCGGGTTAGAAGCAATCTCAATACAGGTTCTCTTGGGTCTGTGTTTTCGCGCCTCGCTTCCATGCTGGCGGCAAGAACTTTTGTTACTAGAGCCTGCAAATGAGTCTTTGTGGCCGTCGGCATCGATCGCCCAGCCTCAAGCGCCGCCATAATACCGTGAACGGCCGTAGACTGAGGAAGCGGCTTTGACTCATCATCCATCGATTCAAGAACAGTCAGGATGCGACCGGCCTCTGTCTTCCAAGGGGCCCGAACATCGCGCTTGAGCATATTCTTGCATTGCAAAAGGATGGCACCCGCCGTGACAATACGTAGAATTTGTTGGCCTATGCGAGCACGACGTTTCGTATCCAGTGCGAGTGGTTCTGGCACGGCCTCATCTGATGGCGATGGCTGTGTAAATTCGTCTAATAACATCTGCCAGTAGATTTTGTCTGGTGTGGGTCGAGAGCGTGGGTGATTGATGCCCTCGGGATCTCGGCGTGCGACCTCTGCATGTACCTTGTTACGTGCATTGCGCCACGAAATTTCTGCGCGAGATAGCGTAACCGTACCATCATCTATATCCTCAGCAAATCTCTTCGTTTCGTACGCGGAAGCGTGCTCCACAAGGCTCGGCGCCGCAACTTGCAACATGTAGTTCGCATAATCGTAGAGCATGGTATCGATAAATGAGAGAAGCGCTCCAAGACGGTCGACGACATCTCCCTGAACCAATTTATTCTCAATCAGGTCTTTGACTTCGTCATCACGAACCGGCGCACAGAGCTTGGGGAGGAGAGAGCCCATTGACGAGAAGAATTGCTGGTATGAAAAGCTGCCAGCCAAGAATTGTTGCTGAGCAACTTCCGTGTCGAGAATCTCGCCGATAAAAGTGTGCATGGGTGAGCCGGACTTAACCAAATGCTGTAGTCTGTCCCGGATGTAGTTCGCCATTATGATAAGATAATGGAACTCCTTCTCCTCATTCCTTGGGCCGCCTTTGAGATCCTCGAAAAGAGGTTCCATACGGAGTTTATGTTGTTCTTGAAAATGCTCATATTCGATCCGATACTCGCGATTGATGGCTAACTCGTGGACGATGACCCGGTTGTCTGGAAGTATTGGGGGGTAGCTTAAATGTGGGATACTTTTTTGCTTCGGTTCTCTCTCCTTTATCGGTGTGGGTGGCGGTGTAAGTGTCTGCAGTTGCGACGAGACTACATGTTCCGCCGTCGCAGTGCCCCCAATCGGATTATCGTTACTTAGGGAGTGTTCAGCCACTCTTGGTTTCATGTCACCTGTGGGTTTCTTTGCGGCCCTAGCCTTTCTCGCTTGCTTAACGGCCTCGAATATCATTTTCTTTCCTCTCTCGGCACCGGCGAGTCTCTTGATTCGGACCATCAACATTAGTTGATTGTCTTTAATACTTTGCTGGTAAGAGTCGGTAACTGCGTCCTCAGTACGATCCTTCACAGTTTGAAGGATGGCGTCGAGTTCCACAAATTGTAGGAGCATAACATCCACCAACGCGTTTGAATCACGGGCCTTCCATGCTATGAAAGCATTATGGAATGTCGCATACGATTCTGGTAAAGCTTGTTGTAGCGCCGGCGGGGTCGTATAATTGTTCATGGACGTCAACCGAGAGAGGATGTTCTCGAACGAGATCAGTAAATCTCTTGCCTTGGCAACGAGATCCTGTAATTGTGGATTAGCTAGATCATCATGAGGTATGGGTTGCCCTTGAGAGGATCCAACCTGCTCCTGTTCTCCCCTATGGTCTTTATTGCTCAGGACCTGCGTAGGGTGGCCTAAAATCAAGAATGCACTCAAAAAGGTGCGAACGGCAGTCATCTCATCTACCGATCCTGCCTCGCCCTCTTGTAAGCCGCATATACGCAAGACCCGCGCCGTGAGGACGAGAACTTTCTCCTGAGCAAGAAGTTCTGTCACCTGCTCAAAAGACGTATCTCGGACGCTGTCAATATTCAGACCAAGTTCAGAGAACTGGCGCACCGCCTTTCTCTTCAATACTCCTCTCCACCACCATTGAATTTTGGATACCGCCACATCCTCGCTCATGGGTACGATATCGCTGATACTCGAGGACTCATGTTCCTCCTCTTCCGGCAGACTACCTGAGTCAGACTTCTTAGTCATTATGCTTTGGCCTCTGGATCGTCTAGCGGCCTGTCGAGTACGCAGTTCTTCCCTTCTCTTCTCGGCCTCAGCTAGTCGCTCTTCCATTTGTGCCTTCAACTTGCGTAGTTCCTGCTCCCTCTTTTCTTTCATGCTCTCCGCCACTGCTTTGGCCCGCTTGACCTCTTCGGCACATGCAGCTACAATTTCGGCCAAGTTTTTCTCTCTGGCCTGTGCAGCAGCCAACGCGCGTTCTTCGAGATTGGAACATTTCTGAGGGGCAGCCTTCGCTAAAGCCGCCCTCAAGCGCACCTTTTCAGCGTGCGCTGCCCTATCGGCCAAACGTGCCTTTCGATCTTCAAGAATAGATGCGCGACGCAACTGTTGGGCAATGTATTTGCTCTGGGGCCCGCCATGATGACCGAAACCGTGCGAGGATCGTGAGTGTGCGGAGGAAATCGAGTTACGACGCGACGAGGCGGCCGAGTCTTTTCGACGGGTTTGGCTAGGACGGTAAAAGCGTGCGGCGATGTGTGGAGGTGGGGTATATATTCTAGTGCCGTCCTCTTCCTCTGCCATCAAAGTCATGTCTAGATCGGAGTCTAAAGAAGTCGAGTCCGGGGCGCCTATTGATTCCTCGAGGTTTCGAGAGGGGTCGGTCAAATCCACCGAAGCGCGACGCATTTTGACGGCGATGTCAGGTTGGTGGGGGGCGTTTTAAACGCTTTTGGCCCAGTCCAGTTCTAATAAAAAAGAAAGAATAAATACAAGGAGAGTCCGGCACAGTAGAGGTCAACTTCTGGCTGCAATTATAACTCGCTACGTATAGGTTGTAATTTGTCTTTCTATTTTTTTCTTTCGTTTGAAGCCTCCGAGTTCAGGTTTCTATGGTTGTTGTAACTATTCGTCTGGCGCGGTCCTTCCCAGCCACGGACCAACAACAAAATGATGCACTATGGGACGTAAAGTGGGAACGAATGGGGATTGAAACGATGGTGGCCGCAAGAAGCGCAAGAAGAGGAAAAAAAAGAATACGTCGTAACGGAGGGAAGAAACGAAATGAAGAGAAGTGAGAATAAGATGAAGAATACAATGGCAAACGAGCCTCAACGAGGACGAAAGTCGTAATGACTCCTGCTGCAGATTTCTGAGTCGACAGGATGGGTAGAATAATATGGGATGAGATAAGAAAAACACAGGCAGGCAAAGAATATTAGAATAATATGTAAAAGTTGCCTAAGACGGGGGCGGAGAAAACGCCAAATGCAATTATGCCGGATGACGGAAGGATTGCACCTTAAGCTGGATGCTGTTTGTCAGTCACGTCTCAGAAGGTTCAGGTGCAGTTTTAGGTAGGCACGTAGCGAGTCCACTCAAGTGAAACAGCACATGCTAGATATCTACTTAGTAGAATATACTCCACTATAATATTAGTAATAACCTTGTTTTGCTACATACATAGGTACATTACTCAGCGAAACGCCACTAGTCCTTTCCGTTTCCATCCATCCCACGCCTTGTTTGTCCTCTTAAGTCGGGAGATGTTGGCAATCACCTAATCATCTGCGAACGTCATCGTCGCCCGCCACATGCATGTTTTGGGTAGGTACTAAGTACTTAGTAAGCCCCATGATATCGTTAGCGTCGAGTTTCCCAAGGGTCGTTGTCAATTCTGCATGTACATAAAGACTAAAGATCTCCAGGGCTTCTAAAGATAGTATCACGATCATCAGATCTGGGTTTCCACTTAACAATATTCAACTTCACCTGAAATTATAAGGGGTTCAACCGACGTAATACCTTCTCGTTCTGACCCCTTTTATACAATATGTTACACCAACAAATCTCCTATCCTTTCAAAGTACCTAGGGACCATGTGTACCTAGGTAGTTAATTTGATGGACGCGAGAATGCTCAAAGGAGACCCACAACATCTACTGCAATACCAACGACACCAGCCTTACCTGGGTTCAAACCCACTTGATGAATCTCGTGAGTCTTACAAAAAGGACCTTCCCAAGCAGGCTATATGGGTATCAAAGACATTGAACTTATAACATGCGAAGCGCTATCATATCTATATCTTACCTAGCTAGGTACCTATAGTACTTATTATAAACCTATGTTAAAATTTATAATTCTAAGTTGGCTTAATAACAAAATGCCATTCTATATTTTCACATATTCTCTTTCTAGTCCAGTCTCTTTGTTGGATAGGACAAATCTATTAGTTGAATGGGGTTCTTCCACAAACAGCAACCATTGAACTTGGACATTGCCTATGTATGCATTTACAACCCCCTATATGCGATTGATACCCTATTTTGCTTTAAAAATCAGTGGCTCTTAGGTTAAATACCTAGGTAGGTAAAGAGGAAACTCTATACTTTGATATACCTCGACGCAACTGTTATATTCTGTGGATTTATATCCACAAGTGAACTAAATAACGATGAATCACCCAAGTCGTGATTTCGACGAGCGAGGCCCCCATAGCTTCGAGGAACATTACCGGCTGAAGAATTGGGAGTTTTACCAGTACCGAACTGTGAATCATGAACCGTTAAGCGAAGGGACCCTTGCCGAATACCGAACAGCCTGGTTGAACCATCCATTCGGCGTAGGGGGGAGAGTTAAGATTATACCACGAGATATCAATTCGCTTTCGCGATACACTCTTAGGAATAATCCGAAAGAAACGGTACAGGAAATACGAGACAGAACATATGAAGCGAAGAACTGGTTTCTCAATGAGGGTCCGTTTCAGTTTGTCAGACCCTTAGGATTTGGCGGGCAGGGTATAACCATCCACTTCAAGTGGACACCATATCCAACTGGGGGTTCTCTGACTAGACCTGGAACTATAACTGAATTTATGAGTTGGGATATTGTGTTGAAGGTCGCCACTGAAGGTTGGGATGATGCAGCCGTTCGTCGCGAGGAGATGCAAACAAGGGTAATTCTATTATCAGTCAAATTTAACACCTGAATACTAACTCGGTCATAGAAAATGAAACGCGCAGCGCATTGTATCCAAATTTTCGACGCGGAGGAGTACAATATGGTCCCTCAAGCAACACCGTGGGCATATGAAATACCCACAGAAGACGATACGAGTGAGCCAGAAACTTCTAGCGGGGAAGAAAGCCGTGATGATGACCCCCCTCCAAAGAAGCCTACCAGGAGAGAGCGCATAGAAGGAGACATTGACGGAGTGAGACATAAAATTCGGACGCATATGGCAAGAGTCGCGGACCAGCGAAAATGGTATAGGCGGAGAGAGAAAAGGCTAGAAAGAGCTCGGGTACAAGCAGCTAAGGGCGAACCCCCCGATTTCAATCCAGAAGGATGGGATTTAGGCCGTAAGGATTATATGCTACTGGAGTTTGCCCCGAATGGCGACTTGGAGCATTTTATTTACAGGCTTAACGATAGTGGTGAGAAAGTGCCAAATCGTGTTCTTTGGTCTTTCTGGCAATGCCGTAAGTCAAAAAAGTCGTTCCTCTTCCCCGTTTTTGGTCTGCTTTGACTAACAGTATCAAATAGTGGTTAAGGCTTGTGTTGCTATGGAGTAAGTTGATCTTATATTCTAATGGAATTTTGCCATCCAACCTTTGATCATGCCACACCTATATTAACGAGCTTTTACAGATACCCACCAAGAAAATTCCACCCTAGACGACGCGAAGCAAATTCAGATTTCACCCCAGTAAATACCGTTGACGGCTCAAAAGTCGGGGGTAAAGACCTTTTTGAAGAAGTACCCCCAGCGAAACGCAGATGGGCCGGGAAAAATATGGTACATTTTGATATTGACCCTAGGAACAGTAAGTGCTCAGGGCGAATTCTTTTGGAATTAGACGATTAACCGCCTGTCATATGTAGTTCTTGTTTTCGATGTTGATGTTGGCGGTCCCGATGAGGAGCATAGATTGGTCCCTAGGTTGAAGGTAAGTCACTAAATTAAAGACGGATGTCTTTTTACACGTGCTAATAATGGCGATAGGTTACGGACTTTGGATGCGCGCAAGAGATAAAACCCAACAAGAATAATTCTTACTATCTCGGGTATCGTAGTTGCGGCAAAGTAGGACACTACGCGCCTGAGCAATTCGGAGCAGATTGGGAACATATCGAGGCTACCACAAGGGGTGGCTATGAGCTTTCTGAATCCCGAGTCGCCGGTAATTACACATCAGCGATGAACGTATGGCAAATTGCATTGGTAAAGAAAAAACACCCCAACAATATTTTATATACTCGGAAGATCTGACAATTCTATAGACGATGTGGCAAATGATAACGAAGTCTCGGGCGCCGCGCCCCCCTTGGCCGGTAAAGCCGCCTTACGAGCCTTATCATTACTGCCCATTGATACTGCAGCAAGAAAAATACAATTATGTTGACAAAGAACTGCGAGAAACGATGGCACACTGCATGCGACACGACCCAGCGGACCGTCCAAGCCTGCTGGATCTGATGCAGCAGGCAGAAAGAGCCTCTACGAAAGTTTTCCCTGGCGAAAATGATAGAACAATACAAGTGAGTTTTACTTTAGTAGTATACCCTCCTATCCATGCCGTACTTGTAATTTGTGTTATACACGGTTACCTAGTATCCACCGAATGCTCTTTTGTACGTAGCTTCCCTGGCTAATATTGGTAAAGGATTGGGTTCATGTGATTTTTCACAACGCACCGGTGGGCGATAACGATAGCGGCGGCGGCGGTAGCAGTAGTGGTCCTGGCTCTATTCCTGCTGTAAGCGGAGGAGGCTGGTGAAATAATGACGACGGTAAAGAGTAGTCTTGGCAATAATAAATAGCCCTGGAGGTAACTTAGACTCAAAAGTACTATATTAACTGTTATCATTGTACCCAGAGGATGGAACTTATCTTTGTGACTTGGTATAGAACTTGGATGTGCTATTGTGGTGACGATTGGCAATATGCGGCTCTGTGTAACTAATGCCAATCTTGGATCTTGCCGGATTTCAAGTGCTCTTTGTTGCTTCACCACGTGTAGAGGTAGAGAGGATACGTAGCTTGATGGCCACGAATGCCGCGAAAAGACGTGGAAATGATTTGATCTTAGCACGGTTGTTCCTAGATTAGTTTGTTGGTCGGAGTTAGGGTGGCTTGATGATTCTTCGAGTGAAGGACGGTCAAGAGAGCACGTTGCTGAATGATTGGCCCAGAGATAATCTCGACACCTGCATGTCCACAAATAACAAGGTAGCCGAGACCTAGGTCTTTTGCCTGTAGGCTATCGACATGGTATGTCGTTCCGTACTCGATACAGTTCTGTACACGATCGACGAATTTGTCCAACGTCCCGTCCCGTTGAAGTTTAGAGTTGTCGGATGCTTTGCCGCAACGAGCGCAGCTGTGGACCCCAGCTGGGGAAGAGACCTCACTGGGACGCAACGACAGCTTTACGTAGACATGCAGCTGCCTATGCTGACTCCGGGGCTTCATGCGTGTTCACGATGACATCGTGAGGCTTCCTCAACTTAAATTATATGCCCAATGGTAAAGGTGGAGACTGAAATGGTAGCACATTGCCGGGATATACGGAGCAATATTGTAATGTTTTTTTCTTTTGGGCTAGGTTGGCTGTCAGACGAAGGATGTGGCGCTCATCCATAAAATATTGGAAAAAAAAAAAAATAGAACCAACAAGTTGACGATAAATGGAAAATCCCGCGGACCGTCGGCAACTTGCAAAAATCTCAAGGAACAGTTTGAATCATGATGATGGGTGCTTGTGAAGCGTATCCCTCACATCGAGATGGCTGTCGGCCTGTAAGAAGTAGGAGAGCAACAACGTGCTGAATTCGCGAAATAACCAGCAACGATAACGTGTCAAGCCGAGCCCAAGTGCTAAAGAGTATCCTCGGTTCGGCCCCTATTCAAGCGGTCAGCAATACTGGAAAGCTAGACAGCCAGGATCCGACTTTTCTAGATTGCATCATAGCCCTCATCGTGATGAAGGGAAGTAAGTCTGGTATTTTGGGTATCAAGCGGTCAGTCAATTAGTCTTAAGTAGCGATTGGATACTCCGAACAATCAAGCTCTAGTGCTATGAGTTATATTTTGCTGATCCAATGGATTTGAGGCGTGATACTCCGGCATTAGCAAGACGATTCCTAATGCAGCGAAGTCGTAGTAGTGAAGGATGAGCTCGATAACAGTTCTAGGATCAGGATGAATCGATCACGGCTCCGTGGGTTGAAAATGGGGTAGTAATAATTCTGAGGTTCATTGGTTAGTTAGCACGTGGGTTACCAGCATTGGATCGTCATCGTCGATGTAATACATTGAATTGAAGGGGTCGGGGGTGTATAAAAGAAAATAAAGGGGAAATTTGATGGAATGTTGCTGGTACCGAAAGATACCTGTACTTATTACTATGCCTTAGGTGCCTTAGGGATAAGAACTTGCCTAAAATTAAGACAATGGGGTTGATTCCGGGGGCCAAATAAAAACCCAAGTGCAATGAATTTGGGTAACACTTGCCGACTCTGCCATCCATGGATGTATGCATCCCCTTGGGTAGCTGCTGACGGGGCGTACATAAGGCGATTTACCATACCATTTACGGTTTATAGTTGGATTGCGGCGGGTACGGTACCTGGAAGAAAATAAAGTAAACCGGGAAAGCACCTGGGCAGCAGTAGCCGAGTTTAGAAGTCCAGCACAACTAGAATCCGGGGGATGACCCCTCCACTAAAACGCTAAAAGAGGTTACCTAGGTACCTACGGTAGAGGTAGGTACCTCCCAGGGCCAGCTAGCGTTCTCCACTCTGGCCGAAACCGCCACCATAATTAAACTTGTAGGGCTTGTTAGGCGGTTAGGCCATTGTACGGCAATTTGTACCTTTTTTTTCATCATAATTCAACTTCTAATACCACTACCAACTTCTTTTCCGAATACCACCCGCTCAATCTCCTGCGAATCATTCCTCCCACATTGCCATGGTATTCGCCAGATGTTTACCTCATGTCCAGTCCGCCTCGTAAGCTCGAAAATGCCGCAACTGCCGCACCGGTGAGCCCCCAAGGTGTGGCCACTGGGCGTTCCAGTGCTGTCGCTACCACTGGGATAGCGACTGATAGCCCATCTTCCTCTTCCGCCGCTGTGACTGGCTCACCCTCCGTATCTGACCATGCACGGCCGCCTGCAAGTGTCTCGCCTGCTGTACCAGTACCCCCCGGTACCCATGTGCCATCCACAACCACTCTTCCATCATCCCTCGTCGTTAACCGTATCGACCAAAACAATAAGAAACCACGGCCGCCCACGGTCCTCCAAAAGTCCAATGGCCCGTCTTTGCTCACACAAGCTCTGGCTTCTGCTCGTGGAATTCCACCTTCCCACGTAGATCAACGCCGTCCCGAGCAGAAGCCTGTACAGCCAAATGGTCCAAATCGAACCACCCAACCCAGACATGTATCTACTGAACCACGCATCGGGCATGCGGTGACGGAACCGCAAGATGACCTTGATGACCAGAGTGGACACGATTCCTTAACCCCGACTGGCCAAGTTCTCTTTTCTGAGTCTACCAGACCGATATCCGCACCTTCTTTGTCCTCTACCACCAATTTTGGGGTGGGCGTTACCGCCCCTATGTCAATCGCGATGCCTGGAACTATAGGCACGAGTACGACCGTTATAAGCAACCAGGACCCTAATGCGGGTGGTGCAGGCAGAGGGCGTTCGCTGGAACGCACAGATAAAGAGCTCCGTCTACGTTTGTCGAACCACCCCGATTCGAGGCTAGATAACATTGGAGATACGTCGTACTTTCGTGATGGTACGCTTCCCGATATTACACCGTCTACCAACGACAAACCTGAGGCCCTTTCCGACACGCGAATGCAGTATAGGGCATGGAGAGTAGAGCGCACAGTCTCAATGGGCCCGGAGAAGGCTTGGTCTATCGGCACAAACGATGTAATTGGCCATGAAGATGGACAGGTCGAAAAGTCTATTACAGAGGTTTTGGCGGGTGTTGAGCCGACTCGTAGTCGGAAAGCAAGTCATAGTTTGCGCTTTTTCAAAGAAGGTCTCCCGGAAGAAAAAGGCAGACGGAGAGAGTCGAAATCTACAGGCCATCATCGAGAGAAGTCACTGCTTGCCAAAGGGCTTCTATCGGGTGTGCATTATCAGAAGCACATTGACGAGAACTTTGTCTTTCAGGATCCGACCCCCTCGCCACAGTCTATTGAAGACGACCAATCCCCTTCTTATCTATCGAGCGTGCAGTCTTTCCCTTGGGGCACTTCGGATTCCGAGTCTGTTCCTCCTAGAACCGCCGAACTTGACTACTTTGGCTTGCCACGGCCACAGAAGCACATTGTTGAACCCGTGAGACCACCCTCTCCTCGGGAAGAGTTGGCCGTAAAGGCTGCTGTCTACAACCAGCCCAACGGCCCCGACATCACGCCCGACGACAGCGTTGCGCAGAGTCGTAGGCAGTCAAGTGACATAACTGAAACTAGAGAAGCTGCTGAAGAAGGTGACGAGTCATCCGAGGAGAAGATATCATCCGCTGTATTTCTACCACATCAGGGGTTAGAACAATCTTCAGAAAATATAGGTGCTATACCCGAAGATTTCGAAATTTCCCAGCCTGTTTCCCGCAAACCTCACAGCGAGGACTTTCACCCTTGGCTAGTTAAAGCGGACGAACCTGAGGCGAGGGTTGACGGACCAGACGGTGGTAATGTTAACCGTAATAATGACACAGCCCCTCATGTTGAAGAATTTCCGCGAATAGATGATGAATGTGCTGTCGAGGATGAGGTCGAGCTTCCCCAGAAATCTCGTGATTTATCTGCCAGATCGTCGCGAAGGTCGTCTCGACCAGTGTCTCAGTATTACGAGGATATGGTGCACGATCACCAACTCGGTCCAAAGTTACCCCTTGAAGCCATTGAACTCATACCGTATAAACATCAGGTTGGCGGCCATACAACTATCTGGAGATTTTCCAAGAGAGCTGTCTGCAAGCAATTAAACAACCGAGAAAACGAGTTCTATGAGAAAATAGAAAGATATCACCGTGATCTTCTACCATTCCTGCCTAGGTGTGTTCCCGCCACGTCCCATTGCCCAAAGTCAAACACTTTTGTAGCTTTGGTTAGGTAGACTATAAACGTATTCAGAAATGCTAACAGTCATTCAGGTATATTGGTGTACTTAATGTCACATTTCAAAAGCAGCCGCGACGCAAGTCAACCATCAGAAAGGATGACGGTAATACAGCGGATAATAAATTAGGCGAACAAGATGGCGCGCCGAATGGTAGCAACGGCACAGCCCACTTAGGTACCACCCAAGGACTAGATACCTCGGAAAAGGAGGAACGCCATCACCGCAGGATTGTGAGCCAATCTTTACAATCATCACATACACCGATCCCTACGGTTACTTTTGTTGACAACCGCCACATTCTTCCTCGGAGTTTACTTCGACCTGCAGTGTCAGCAAGCGAACATGGCCGCCCAAGGAGTGCATCCGCGGCCGTAGGACAGAAACATGTACGTGATCACAACGCCACATTATCGGACGGAGATGCATCATCCCGACCAACTCTAGAGGATCGACACGCCAACAGTTGGGGTGCCACGACTGTTAATAAGAAGTTACGAAATGAAGTTTTCAATGATGCGTTTTTAAAACAGCCCATTGCGATACACAAACATAGGAGGCCAGCATCCCAGCAGCGAGCAATTCCTCGTCGTTCGGTACAACGATTTGATCAGCCGCTGGAAATCCCCTCACCTGGCCAAGAAAATCCAGAGAATAGTATTCCATTAATCAATGATGTAAATTCTGTGGAAACTTTTCCGCAACTCTTGCAAAGCCAGAGTGACGTGGGCCCGAATTCAGGTTGTTTGAAAGTTGAGAGTCCGGACCAATTGAAGGATGTTACAGGTACAAGTGCGCCAGAGCCGGAAACTATGTCGGATAAGTTCCCTTCGGAAAGGAAAAAACGGCGAAATTCGGGAAGCAAACTTCGTCGAAAACCCCAAGATGTCTCAGACCCACGTGGTCATCTGAAATACTTCGAAGACCCAGACGAAGTCGAATATAGGAGAGATAACGAAATACATACAGCGTTGCAAGGGCTCGTTCATAATCAGACAAATGGCCATGCTCAAATAGGTGAAGCCACGGAGAACGGAGTTTCGGATATTTCCGTACCTCAGTCGAGCTTTTCGTCCGCATTCCCTTCGGCACTTCCAAGCCCAACAGCAGAATTCAGGAGGATTCCTCGTCCTATTAACCCTAAAGAAGCCCAGACGCAGCGCGACTCGCGTGTTGAATACTTCCTTCTTCTAGAAGATCTCACCGCTGGTATGAGACGTCCATGCATCATGGATCTAAAAATGGGCACTCGACAATATGGTGTAGAGGCTAGCCCCAAGAAACGCGAGTCTCAGCAACGTAAATGCGCCTCAACAACATCAAGGGATTTAGGTGTGAGAGTTTGCGGCCTGCAGGCTTGGGATGCCAAATCTCAAACCTACGTCTTCAAAGACAAGTACTACGGACGAGATCTTAAAGCCGGTGCGGAGTTTCAAAACGCCCTAACTATGTTCCTCTACGATGGCGTGGATTATAGTAGCGTCTTAAGACATATTCCAACTATCCTACAAAAATTAAACCGACTAGAAATGACTATCCGCCGGTTGCGCGGTTATCGTTTCTACGCAGCTAGTCTTCTGATGTTCTACGATGCGGATAATTCCGATGAGGGTTATGACACGGCTGCTGATGATTCAACCACGGACTTCGCGACAGATGCGGAGGATATGTGGGACATTAGAAAACGACGCAAAAATAAGAAAGAAATCGATTTCAAAATGGCTGATTTCGCCAACAGCGTTACGGCGGGAGACTTGGCGGAGAACAAGCCATGCCCGCCGAAGTGTCCCAATGAACCAGACCGGGGATTTCTCCGTGGTCTGGCGACGTTGAGGAAATATTTCTTGAAGATACAGAAGGACGTACGCAATGACTTGGGATTGGTTACACCGCGTAACCGGGAAGAAGAGGTGGGGGGGACGGAAAAAATTGACGACGGAGAAACCTCCGTCAGCGAGTAATAAACTTATAACAACAACGACGACGACAACCAACCTTCTGGCAGCAATTTTTTGCATTCCGCTAGCGATAATGCTGACACCGGACTCTCCGAACATGCTTGATTTTTTAATTCTTTGTTTATAGTTCTCGGATGGATTTCGCTAGAATGGCGCACCGGTATCGTCATATCATGGGTCCATGGATTGGCGCTTCTTTTTTTCTTCCTCCTTTTTGGTTGGGTTTGAAATGGTTATGACATTTTTTCTTTTTTATGCTTTTGAACATACCCGCACTGTTTGGGGCGTCCTGAGTTCGTTGGTGCTACGGGAGCATGAGGCATGAAACGGCTTACAGAATGGAGAGAAGAAAAAAGAGCCTACCGCTCAGTCATCGCTTTTCGAAAAATTTTCCTTTTGGGGGGCTGGAACCGATGAAGGAGGGATGTGGATTGATATCAGAATGAGACGATGCTGGCTGCATGACGATTATGTTTATTCTGAGCAGCTGCTATCATGAGTTTTTAAAGATTGAGGTACTTTGGTAGTAGATAAAAATGATTTATTGGATTATTGTTACGTTTTTCTGTTATGAACTTGGTGATATCGCTGTCTCCTGAATATACCCTTAATATTGTAGAGTACATCTTATGACGATCTGATATGTACCATCTACAGAAATGCACATGTACGGCATATGGAACGGTACATTATCCCCTACTTTGATTGTATCACCTGAGCTGCAGGTCATTCCATCGCGGGGTCTAGTGCTATATGTACGGATAAGTACCTGGGTAGGTACCTATGTAGGTTATGCAGTGGGGCATAGGGCTGATGGACGGGGGGGTGTTTAGATAGAGATAGAAGTGGGCAGGCAGTACAGTAATAAGGGAAAGGGCTACGCTGGCTAAAAGCTCCGAATACCCTAAAATCAACCGCGACCGGGGGAGCCGCAACTTTCCCTCAACCTCAACTCTTTCGTTCACCAGCGCATGCTCGGGCCGACATGTCGGAAAAGACGGAGGGGGCTAGTAAGACTATAGTCTTCTTGCACCCGGATCTGGGTATAGGAGGGGCCGAGAGATTAGTTGTTGATGCTGCGGTTGGATTGCAGAATCGTGGGCATAAGGTTGTTATATTTACGAGTCACTGCGATCCGAAACATTGCTTTGATGAGGCGAGAGATGGTACGTTATATTGTTAAGTGATGCTTGGTTAATAAAGATTCATTCCTAACAAGTTTGATTACAACAGGCACCCTCGACGTCCGTGTCCGCGGCAACACCATTGTACCTCCCTCGATCCTCTCGCGCTTCAGCATCCTATGCTCCATCCTCCGACAACTGCACCTCATTCTCCAAATCTACCTCACCTCCGAACTCCAGACGTTGAAACCCGATGCGTACTTCGTCGACCAACTTAGCGCCGGCTTACCGCTTCTCCAATTCCTACATCCGAAAGGCCGCATCTTGTTCTATTGCCACTTTCCCGATTTACTCCTCGTGCAGGGCCGACAGAAATGGTGGAAAAGGATATACCGTGTACCGTTTGACCTGTGGGAGCAATGGAGCATGAGCTTCGCCGATGCGATCGCTGTTAATTCGAATTTCACGAAGGGTGTCGTGGGACGGACGTGGCCAGCTTTGGTCCGTAGGAAGGAATTGGAGGTCGTGTACCCATGTGTCGATACCAAGACGAAGAAAGATAATAAAGGAACCGAGGGTGGAAAACCATTATGGAGAGGAAAGAAGTTTCTATTAAGCATTAACCGATTTGAGCGGAAGAAAGATATCGCACTAGCTATTAAAGCGTTTGCAGGTTTAAGTCCAGCAGCTCGTAAGGGAGTGCGCTTGGTTCTGGCTGGAGGATACGATCCGCGCGTCACTGAGAATGTGAATTACCACAAAGAACTTGTCGACTTGACAGAATCTCTGGGTTTGAGTACCATGACGACAAAGACACATCTGACTGCTCTAGAAGTCCCCGACGACGTCGAAGTCTTGTTCTTACACTCGGTACCGAATCTCCTAAAAGCTACGCTTCTCTCCTCGACCCGACTACTCATCTATACCCCGGCCAATGAACACTTCGGCATCGTACCCCTCGAGGCCATGCTTGCGGGTGTACCTGTCTTAGCCGCTGACACCGGTGGCCCTACCGAAACCGTCGTCGAGGGTGTGACAGGCTGGCTCCGATCTCCTGAAAAAGTTGAACAATGGACGGAAGTTATGGATAAGGTCCTCAACCAACTATCACCAGATGAATTTAAAAAGATGTCACAGGCGGGAATAGCAAGAGTCAAGAACGGCTTTGGCGAGGCCCAGATGGCGGAAACACTAGATCAGATCATAGGAAAAGCTTTGCAAGCACCGAAGACGTGGTCATGGACACCAACGGTTGCACTGGTGCTCGGAGTTTCGGGTCTACTCGGGCTAGTGCTCGCAGTCGTAGGAAAGGTATTGCTGCAGGACTAAGAGTATTGAGGGAGAGGCTCGACTCGAGTTGTATCATACGATCTATCTCAAAGACGAGATGATGACTTAGATTATAAGACTATAGATGAACGCGATGGATACCCTATTTTACCTTGCCTCAATTCCTATTTTTAAATTATGCTTCGTGAAATTACCAGGGCCTGGAGTGAAAACGAAAGAACAATTAACCCCACGATCTTTTACTTTTGATATGTTTAAGGAGTTATTAACGTAACGCTATTATTCTAACATATTATGTAGGTAATAAACGGCTTGCTCGTCCCCTAACGCCTTACTATGGTATTCGATCACATCCTTCCATGCGCCTTTTGGCGCAAGACTTTTTTTCGGCAAAGCAAACAACTATGACTTTACCTAAGCCGAATGAAAATCCCTTTATATAGCGACACGCTCCGCCCTCAAAACCACGAATCCAAGAGATGCTCCATCTACTAGATAGAGAAACCGGAAAATAGAGGACTTGTAGGAATCGAACCTAACCCTCTATTTCACTATGCTCCAATATTAGACCAATCTATATCTAGATACATATCATACCATATTTAAATACTAACAATTCAAAGTGCCGTTTTTTCTAAGAGTAAAAAGTTCATTTCTTTCATTGAAGGGAAAATCTGCGAATATGTATGTACTCCTACAACACGACAGACAAGCCTGTCTGTTCGTGCATCTCTATAACTAACTCATGTACACGCAAGGCTCTCTCATACACTGGGATTTTCGTTCCTGTTTTCCGAAGACGACCAGGCCCACCGCCCAAGCTCTGAATTCATGGATGAGATGGTTATCCTCCTACTCTCCTGTACACATCCTTTCTCCTACTGTCGTCATAAAATCGTCTGACCGCATGAACTGAGTTCAGCTACGTCAATCATCTCTTCTACATCTCAGAAGCTACTCCTTATTTTCCACTCAGCTAGAGATCGGCGCTAACCGCCGTGGTTTTAGCGCCTCTATCTACCATACCTATCAGGGGGCGGGCGATCATATAATGGATGTCTATCCTGCGGCCTCAGATCTTGTGGTCTCAAGTCTTGTGGCCTTAAGTCTTGCGGTCGCAATTGTTGCTGCAAAAGTGACTGGTGCTGTTGATGCTGTTGTTCACGCAACTGCGCCTCTCGAATATCCTGGTTCGATGGAGGAGGCGGATAAGCCCTGCTGTCATAGGCGCTTACAGGTGTATAACTTCTCTGCGGGCCGGGATCACGAGGATCTCGTCCGGGTCCCGGCGTACTCGCGTATCGAGGATATGCTGCGGGAGCTTGCGGCGGCGGCGGTTCCGGAGCTCGCGAAGCAGGCGCATACTGTGCTGACAAGGGGGGTTGCATTCTGGGTGGGGCGTATACATCCCTAGCGTCCCGAAGAGCCATGGGATCATGACCTCTAGGTGGCGGCGGATTTGAGGCCCAAGAGGGTTGGGGTGGGACGGAACTGCTAGGCGGAGGCGGTTTTGGTGTAGGTTGCTGCGCAGCCCATGCCGATTGAGCTGGAGCAGGCTGTGTAGATTTTGGTGGCGGTGGCGGATGCGATGACCAGGCCGGTTGTTGTTGCGGCGGCGGTTGCTGCTGAGGCTGATGCTGCTGCTGTAATGGATGGCCCTGATGCGCAGTATGCCAATCTCGGCTGGACTGAGGTTCATGACCTCTAGGAACTGGGTGTCCTCCATATTGCTGTGGAGGGGGGGAAGCGGCATTCGGCGGCTGAACCTGTGCACTGTAGGGATAAGGTGCTTGAGTTTGATATTGCATTTGAGCTTGTTGGCTCGGGGGTGGATAATGATGGGTTGTTTGTGGCGAACCGGACACGGGGGACTGATGCGCGGCGGGGAAGGATCGAGGTCGGCCTCCATAATAATCCCTCTCTACAGCTGCCTCCAAAGGCATATGTCGAGGGGCGCTCATGGGGTGTGTTTGCGGCGACGCAGGAGCGTACGGTTTTAGAGGCGGCATTGCGGATGGCGGCTGTGGTGGATTTCGGCCATAACCATAACCCTGAGCATCTTGTACGCCCGATTCTCGCCGCATATGGGATGGAGGCGGAGGCGGGGGTGGAGGACGAGAAAGATTGGTTTGAGGTGGAGGCGTCGACGATGGCTTCACAGCTACAGGTACCTCAGCAACTCTCTTGGGAGGAGGTGGAGGAGGGTCATCATTCAGTAATGCCATTAAACTGGATGTCTTTGGAGCACGAGCCGGCGTAGGAGTAACAGCAGGTGGTGTAGGCTGCGCCGACGGAGCACTGAATGGCTCTGCCCCACTACTAGCACCAGATGTTGGTCGGGATAAGGTCGAGATAGGACGAGAACGAGCTGGTGGCGATGGAATGCCCTCATTTAACAAGCTGCGACCGGGCTGTTGCTGCAGGATAGTAGCAAAGGCAGATTGTGCAGGTACCTGTGGAGCGGGCGCTACTGCGCGAGGGGGGTCGGGAGGACGAGATAGAGGCACGTTTTCTGGGCGAGATGGTGCCATGCGGGCGGCCTGGGCCTGAGGGACGAAATGCTCGTATTGATGGTGTATTACGTCCGGTTCTTGTTTCACCCGCAGCTGCTGACGTTCTTGCTGGCGGGGTTGTTCCTTTGGGACTCTGGGTTCAGCTTTAGGCCGTTCCGACTGTGGCTCAATGAAAGAGGTTGGTAATGGATGCCTTCCCATGGAAGGTTCTGACACTGGTGGAGGCGGAGGCTGGGCTGGTTTCTGGCCTAATGGGCCACGAACAGGCTGTTGTTGGGCGGATAAATCCCGTTCCCTTTCTGAGAGTCCAAAAGGTTGCCTTATAGGTCGAGGAGACATGGTCTGAGAGGTGGGTTGTGCAATAGTTTGCGATCCAGGTGGGGCAGCTCCGTGGCTTTGCACCATCGGAGGTTGTGTTGTAGGCATGAATGGCGACTGGATTAGTGCAGGCTGCGGTTGCGCCGCTATTGGAACATTGAAACGACCCGTTGCTGGCTGTGAACTATGAGGATGTTCAATCTTCGCAGGACTATCTTCTACGGTGCTCTCTGCGGCTGCGAGTGGCCGATTACTTGATGTTTCATACCGCTTTTTGGCCCCAGAACTTGGTGCCGGCGGCGCCGGTCGTTTCTCGCCTCGAGCTTTCCTGGTATCCGCCTCTTCTACAATACTTTGCCAATCATTACTATCCTTCTTACGAGTATAGTAATTTTTTATCTATGCAAGTCAGTAAAAAAGTGCGATTACTAGGGTAGTTGTTCATTGGAACACCCACCATAATTGGAGTTTTGGTCCGCATGTGCAATGCAATTGATTGCCAATCGCTTCCAAAGGAACGGAGCAACTGGGGGAAATCATTCGCCTCCGGTACACTCCAATAACTAGACGCTTGTGAGCCAGACCTACGGTCCGATGGTGCCTGGCCAAGATCAAGCATAGCAACCGGAGGCTGTTGTGGCGGTTCTGGGCGTAAAGGCGGGGGACCCATCGCATCGGCGGATATGGGTACGGGCGCAGGAGGTGGCGGAGGAACGCCCCTTTCGGGACTAAGTATCGGCTGTGTCGGTGGGAATGTTGCGGGAATAGTTCCAGACGGTACGGCTGCAGTGCTTGGAGCTAATTCATATTGATTCGGAGCTCTACCTCCTTCACTTGAAGCTTGCTGAGACGCCCAATCTGGACCATGAGCCCGAGAACTAGATCGCGAACGGTTGCCCTTGGTTCCCGCGGGTGGCGCCGCAGCAAGAGTCTGATTAACTCGTGGCTGTTTTGCTTCCTTCTCCTTTGCAGCTCGTCGTCCTCTCGGTTTGCGTTCCGGCCTGTCGGCACTCCCGTCTCCTTTTGCTCCTCTGCGTCCTGGAGTGCCAGCTGGGGTTCCGCCTTCACCATCCGTGGCCGGGGTAGCTTCTGAGTTGAAAGTAGGAGCGGCTGCGCGCCTAGGTCGACGTCTCTCGCCATTTTCACCTGTCTCCTGGTTTTCTTCGTTGTCGTTATCTCCATTCCCAAGTTCGGAGACCAATGCACTAGACCGTTGCTTGCCCCGACCACCCTTCTTACGTTGTCTCGGGCGCTTCTTAAGCTTTTCCTTAAGATTCAACTCGTCTTTCTCCTTCTTGAGATAATAGAATTGGATGCTAGTTCCAAAGTCCCTGTTTGCCAATGGGTCAGATACCCGACCCCATTGCTTGGGGAACTCTAGATAAGCCTTCTCGAATATTGCGGTCTCTTCTTCGGTGAAATTGTCCACGGGAGGTAGGAGTTGCCAAGCTGAAACTATCTTTTCAGCCTGGATGAGGCCGGTTACGTCCTGATAAAAGTCATTATCCCGCTCTTCAGGCGCCTGATACTGACTAGGAAGCACTGCCTCTTTCTCCGTCCTATACCTTTCCCTTTCTGCTTGCATCTGGCGCTCCCTTTTTTCATCTTCCACACGCCGTGACTCCTCTAGAATTCTCTCTAGATCACGCTCTGACGCATACCTACTACGCCTCGTTCCTCCTTCAGGCTTCGCTTCATGGAAACCAGGCTTCTGGATAGTAGTCTCAAATCCGGAAATGCAAGTAAACTTCTCCCGACTTTTAACGGCAACGGGGTCACCAGACATAGTAAAGCGCAGGTAATCCTCGTAGTTTGAATCGTAGACCTTCTTCTTCTTTGTCTCTTCCACCATTCGATGATATGCCTCATCTTTTAACCTTCCTAGAATGAAAGCCTCGAGACTTGGCTGCGGCGTGTCCATCGACTTCAGGAAGACCTCGTCCTTAATCCAAGGCGCCTCATCAAACGTAGGAAGGCTATCGAGAGGAGGAGTGTCCATACGCTCACGGACTAGGTTCATCATAGTAGAGTCAACATCGTCACTATCGGTCTCGTCCATATCCTCTTCTGCTGGCGATGGTGTGGTCGAAGCCCCTTTGCTAATTTCCTGCGACCGTATCCGGGCTTCTTCAAACGGCGGGTCGCCAGACAGTCTTCGTGAAGTCGATGATTGAGTTCGAAGTGGAGCTTGCAATTCAGATTCTGGCTGGCTGATATCCACTGCGTCTTCCATAGTCACATCTTCGTCGTCGCCCTTCGCTGTCTTTTCTTCTGGCGGCGCCTCGTGTGACATAACCACGTCAACGTCTTGTTCAATGGATGGCTGGGGGAGCTCCGCGTTAGGACTTCTAGCCCTTGGCAGCGGCTCCTCCACTACCGGCGAAGGGATCTTTTCCTGGATAACCTCTTTAGCATCGTCAGCTTCCTTGATTTCCTCAGCATTCGGCTTCATTTCAACCTGTGGCTCTGGTTCGGGCTCCGGTTCTTCGGGTGCTGTGCCAGGTAAGGTAACATCCTTGGGAATTGGGCCGATCATGTCTTCTAAGCCTTCGGGTTCGTTCATAATCCTCGCGATGGCTTCAACCGATACCGCTGCATGACGGATGATCGCATTCATTGGCACGACATCCTCGGCTCCTTCGAGTTGCTTTAGCTTTGCTTCCACTTCCAGCATCTGGGATTCGATCACGTCACCAAACTCCTCATCGTCTGATTCTGATGACTGGTCCAATATGGGCAGTTTCACTTCCTTTTGGGGGAGTGACACACGTTTTGCTGCGATCTTTAGAGTAAGCCGTCGGTCTGATGTCGTTTTCACCTCATCTATTACCGGTAACGGCCCAGTCTCCTCAATGGCACCCTCTTCAGCATCGTCGGCATGTTGTTCCACCTCACCGTCCTCCTTCTTAACTTCAGTGGTAGGCGCATCCCGAGGCTTGTGTTCTTGATCCGAAGACGACTTAGCAGATTGCGGCCGCTGATCGGGTCTAACAGAGTCATCGTTAGTGTCATTAGATGGCCGTTCACGAAACTGTTTATCTGCAAAGCCTAGCTGCGACTCAGATTTCGCATCGCTACTACGTGGTCTTTGGTCAGAATCCGCCGATTGGTCCAATTGTGCACCATCCGAACGGAAGCCGGCGGGTCGCGGTGGGGCAAAGCTTTGTGATTTATTCAATTTCGGTGATTCGGGGACGCGATTTTTTATGTTAGGATTGATCCATTGTTTACTAGACGGACCTGGACGTGGTGGGATGGAACGCGGGCCAGAGGGAATAGTCGTTGGGCTGATTTCTAGAAAGGATGACCTAGACGGCCCAGTAGGTGGTAGTCTTGCATCCGAACTGGGTGTAGAGCTTGGTTGTGTTGGTCGCTCTTCCTTGAGTGCCCTTGGTCCCGTCGGTGGTGCTTTGCCTGTAGCTAACCCAACGTCAGTCACGGAGGCAGTTCTGTTAGGAACTGATCCGAAAGACGGCGCGGCTGGAGCGACGGGGGGCGGCGAGACGTCCTTGGCCGGCAAAGGAGGCGGCTCATGTGATGTCCTTTCAATTTTTGGCCGAGGCTCGCGGTCACGAATATCACGGTCGTCTCGATGATCACGCTGGCGCAAATCGGGGTCGAGATATCTACTGTCGCGATCGCGGTCATCTCGTTCACGGTATCGTCCCTCTTGGGAACGAGTCCTAAAAAACCTATCGCGATCGTCATAGTAACCTCTCCCACGACCTCTATCCCAATCTCCGCGGCCGCCTCTTCCACGACCCCGACCACCATAGCCGCCACGATACGACGAAGGGCCGAACGGAGGATCCGAAGAAGACGACCCAGCAGAAAGGGGTCCATCCCTTGATCCACGCCGAGCTCGATCCGCATCTACACCTAAGGGAGGATCTCTCAAGTCTCTGGAATCTCGGAAATCTCTGCCTGGTGGCGATCTTCCACGAGGTGATGGCCGCCTTCCCCGAAAATTGTCTCGATCACGATCACGCCAGTCTCCACGGTCGCGTTCTCGACTCCGTTCATCCCGATAGGAATTATCTCTTCGATCTCTAAAGTCGATATCGCGATCTCTCCCGCGATCTCGGCTATCGTCTCGCCAGACTCTCCCTCGTCCACGTCCCCTGCCGCGGAAATCGTTAGAATATCCGCCCCGGGGTCCACTCGGCGCATCAAGCAGAGCCTTCGGGCCTCTAGGAGGGTCTCTAGGCAAGGTATCGCGGAAGGAATCCCGGTTGGTTTGGAACGCCGAATTATTAGATCGAGATTCCGCCGACGAACGTCGAGGTCCGCCATCACTGTATAGCGATCTTCGATCGGGTGAACGCTCACGGGATCTTGAACGGCGCGAATCGCCATCATATCGCGATCCACTATAGCGCGAAGCCCTAGATAAAGCACGTATGTGAGCTTGGGTTTCCTTATGAAGTGGCTTAACCCCTCTAGAGTGGGAGTCTTTGCCATTCTTCTCAGCATGATAATGCATATAATAAATGGAGGTAGACTCTGGTTAAACATGTCTTGATACAGTAAAAATACCGATACCTTATCCTAATAGTATAAAGATGACAGACAGCCAGCAGAAATTTTTAACAAAGGCAATGATTTCGATAAGTATTTGAAAGGGGAGTAGAAGAAGGCTCACATGATGGGCACTCGGCCAGCGCAAGCCCGGCTATTAATTAAAACCTATAACGCTTCTCATAGACATATGGAAGACTAGAGGAAGTAGTACAGTGGTAATAGCAACGTTAGAGTTCGAGTGAAGCGCAGGCAGATTCGAAGTAGTATGTCGTAGTATGCGGTAAGACGGGACCTAAACGAGCGAGATAGAGAGAACAAAACGCAACTCGAGACCCCCTTCGTTTCTCCGTCTTGAATTGAATTCAAGTTTGAGTATCCGAAAATGTCCGGGATTTAAATTAACACAGAGTGTCCGACGATGTCCCTGGTGATTACGCGCGGATCTCACACCGGGTTTGACAATTAAAGATTTGTTGATGAGGCAGTTGGGGATGGCAGAAATTTGCAAGAGGCTGAGATTGAAGATCTTGAAAACACAAACTTCGCGTGGTACCCGGTGCTGCTGAGACAAGATGACCAAAATCCCAGATAGGCTTAGAGCCGACTAAACCCAACAGGGATCCCACTGTCGGAGCTGGGAAGCCGCTGGCTCGTTAGGCATTGGAGATCCATTGATCCATTGGAAGCTGGACCCCCCATCAGACCCTATCGGGTCCATCCTGCCCTGGGGGTTAACCCTGCACGCCCCTTCCTATTGGCTCAAATTACCTGTTCACCCATGGATGTCTTGAAAGCCCACAAGCTTGAGACTGCCAACTGCGGATGTGCATGATCAGGTTATTTGTGGGACGAAGATCTTGTACTGTAACTTCCATAAACAATTCTTAATTCTCTCACAATGTCAAGTACATAAGCTGGTACAACAAGTTGGTGTATTTATTTATTTATTCCATTCGAAGCCATAAATAATGCAAGCCCGATTTTTTATCTGGCTTTTGATTTTATATGTCGGAATTGTACATGTAAGTATCTACTGTAAATTAATACCATAGCGGTATTAAAAATATTGCTAGAAATTAAGCTAGGAGGTTAGCCAGGAAAAAGGAGGTACTATGAAGACGTACTCATCGGTAAATCTTAGTGCGCTAATCCGATTTGGGTCATCGTCATCACAGAGCCATGCAGGTAAGTGGAGCTACCGCTACCGTGCACTTACATACAAGCATCCATCCTTGAATACCTAGGTACGTGTGCTCGGACAAAATTTTGAAGGGTTCATTGTAGGTAACGTTTATCATGCAGACAATATCTCAATACGTACCTCCCTATGCTAACATGTATGTAGCAACAGGTACATTGTAGATGAGCCTTAAACTGTAACTTTAGTGTATCGTTTACAAAATCAACCATATTATAAAGTTCAACCTTGAAGGCAACAACGGGTTAATAAACTTCCAAATTTTAATTAGCTAAACGAGTTTGTCCTTTTAGCCCATTCGGCATAGAAGAACCTTGGACATTACTCATTACTCTGATTAGTTTCAAAATCTCGTTCTGTAAGTCACATATGGCACTGCATTTCTAGGTAATACCTAACCGCTATGATCTATAAAACACGATAACGCTCGCCATGTGCCAATAATAATTATTTCCGATACTTATATTCTCCTACTTTGTTTTTAAAAGACTATTCGTTGAACCCCTCTGTAATTTTAGCTCGCCTAATTCCCGAGGTTCCATCAACACTACGGAGGTAGCAAGAACATCACAGACAATATTTAATTTCGCGCGAACGTCCTGCCATCACCACATTCCTTCGATTCTGATAAGAAGCTCTCGGTACAACCGTCTCTCAAATTGTTGACGCTATATATTTTACTTACTCAACTCCTAATATTTCTCGAAGTTGCTAAAATTAGGCTTCGAAAGCACCACGGATGGTATCTAGTTGATCGAGTTTGAAAGTAGGATGATATGAAGAAATATATATTGCTCGGGGGGCGGTGATAGGAAGCGTTCTAAGAGGCAAATTAGCGCTGAGCGTGGGGTCATCAAGGAATGGGACTCACCTATAGTTCTAAAAGGGCAGTTTTCCATTAATTCAACCTGTAGCAAGAAATTAATCAGGTTTAATGGAATAAAGAATAGCTGACACGAAGCACAATTTCTTGGAGAGATGATGTTCGGTTTGACGACGTTCTTGGGGGAAGAATAGTTACCGGTAGCTAACTATCTAAACCCGCCCATGATGAGCCCACGCCGGCAGCCATTCAAAGCCGAAGCTTAACGCCAGTCGATTTCATCATGAGTCTTTCGCGAAAGTGCTAGCTACAATGAAGGGGAAGCACGCAGAAGCCTCGAGGTAAACCTAAGCCAAATATTAGAATGAGTGGATACGAAAGCGTATTAGATGAAAAGCATCGTCTTACCTTAACGTGGTCGGCTCCGACTTTAATCTTTCCCCATGATACAGCCTCATCTGGTCGGGCACCAGCGTCGCTACCATCAAACTCCTGAGCTGTGTTGATGTAAACAGCAGACTCGGCCCCATTCCGCATTAAACAGGCATTTGCGATATGATGTTTGATAACCCCACCGCCCAAAATAATCATCCCAGCCCGCTTAGCTCGTACAGATATCGTGTTGACCTTTCGAATATCCTCCACTATATCAATCTTTAACTGCCTCGGTGATGACTTGAAGGTGTGGAAGTATAACATGTCACCCAGACTACCGTCGGTCAGGGCCGGGCAGAATACCGGGATATTGTTCTTGTATGCCCAGTAATATACCGAGCTCTCATCATTTATTTCCTTGCCCAATCGGTGGATTACTTTAGATGGTGTCCAGTTAATTTCCTCCTCGGTACCCTTACTTGCTTCTTGCTCTTCAAGCATCTTGTCTAAAATGGGCACGACCCAGTCCTCGAAGGCGCAGTAGTTCGCATTAGGTACCATAAGGTTCCCGATTCTGTTCAGCCCCTTAGCTCGAAGTTCAGCACCTTTGGCGCTAAATGAAGACATATAAGTATCTCCGAGGCACTTGATAAAATCTTCTTCAATACCACCGGCGGATGTGACAATGCATGAGACATGCTTGTGCTCTACTAAGTATCGAAAAATACCCCTTAGTCCGGATGATATCATGTTTGAGGTGTATCCGAGGAATATTGTCGTCTTCTCTCCTGTCTCCGGATCGCGCCACGCTCGCTTCAAAAGTATTAGTGAATGACTTATAGTAATTAGTTACTTTTCCCCTTAGCTAACCATGTCGTTAATAATCCGTACTGCCTCGGCCAGCGATGACGCTTGAAATCCCATATGCTTCATGCCTTCGACCATATCATCCACAGTGATGGGGCGTCCCTTGAAAGCGTTGAAGTCGATCTCCTCAACCTTCTGTGCCCCTTCAGGTAGTTCATCCGACGGAACTAATACGGCGTTCGTTGCCTCTGAAGGCGGTAGGTTGGGGTTTCCATTTTGACCTGCCATGGTGGCAAGTGCTAATCCTTTTCACGGCACGATTTGTGAGGTAAGATAGAATCGGCTGGTGATGGTAGGTCGTTAGAGGAGAAGGAGTCTAAACTACCGCGAATGGTAGGGGATCCTTTTGGTCTATGTATTGATATGGGATATCTTCGATTTGTCGAAAAATATCCTCGTATCGATTTTTATGATTCAATATTTGACAGCGTTTTTTAATGGTATAGATGAGGCAAATCGAGACTATGCGATAGCCCTATAGGTGGGGCAACTAGGTGTACCTGAGTGCCCAAATTTTTATGTCGAGGGCGGAGCTACAGCGTACCTTAGTACCTATGATAAGATAGCCTAGGGTGCTAGGGTGCTAGGGTGCCTAAAGCTTTCCGACTTTAACTTCAACTTCAACTTCGCGCCTGTATTTTTATTATTTCAACCCCGAATAAATTGCGCGACGAAGTCAACCACATCCCGTTCTAATCGACCGACAGCCTTCCTCGGCTTTTGAAAGATGTCGTCGATATACAATCTCGAACCACAACCTACCGCCTCGCTAATCATTCATACAACGCAGGGCGAATTGTCAGTCGAGCTCTTCGCCAAACAAACTCCTCTCACATCACGAAACTTCCTCCAGCTATGTCTTGATGGGTACTACGATAACACGATATTCCACCGTCTAATTCCCGGCTTCATTTTACAGGGAGGTGATCCAACAGGAACAGGACATGGAGGCGAATCTATCTACGATGGCGGTGCGTATAGTGGTGACCTGGATCCATGGCCGATGGACCAGCGTCGCGGGAAGAACGCTGGGCCAACAGGCGTGAATTTCAAAGATGAATTCCATTCGCGATTAAAATTCAACCGACGAGGACTCTTGGGAATGGCGAACGAAAGCAAACCGGATACGAATGCTAGCCAGTTTTTCTTCACTTTGGACAAAGCGGAGGAGTTAAATAACAAGAATACTGTTTTTGGTAGGATAGTTGGCGATACGATTTACAACTTGGCGCGCATGGGCGAGGCGGAGGTAGCAGAAGGAAGCGAACGACCCCTCTACCCCGTGAAGATTACGAGTACAGAAATCCTAGTCAACCCGTTTGATGATATGAAGAAGCGAGAAAGGATAGCGAAACGCACTCAAGAGGCACCGACGGCTGCGAAGAAAAAGAAAACTAAACCAAAGGCCGGAAAGAAGTTGTTGAGTTTTGGTGATGAAGAAGGGGACGATGATGCGCCGGTTCTTAAAAAGGCGAAATTCGACTCGCGAATTGTTATGGACGTGGATGAAGAGCCAGCGCCTACAGTCAAGCCCCCCAAGACTACTGTTAAGAGAGATGATAAAGCGATTACGTCCTCTATACCAGTTCGCGAACTTCGAACAGACGCCAAATCGGACGCGAAACCAACGCCACCGCCGCCAACGAAACAAGCACTCATCCCCGTCCGAGACGAATCATCCCCTGAACCAGAACCACCAAAGAAGAAATCCGCACTAGAACAAGCAAATGATGAGATAGCTGCGCTTAAGGCGTCTATGAAGAGGACTATTCATTCTGAGCCAATTATAGAGGTTAAGAGAACAGCACTGGAGCAATTGATCCCCGAAACTTCTACGCGCGGCCGGAAAAGACGGAGAGATGGTGAAGGGGCTACATCTAGCGAGGATTTATTAATGCTCCAAGCTTTCCGCTCTAAACTCGGACAAGTAGGTCCTGAAAAGGAGCAGCCGACGAATGTTCCTGTGGGTGAGAATGGCATCGAGCAGGGTTCGGGCGAGCAAAACGATGAAGCGGAACTTTGCGATCTGCACTTCATTGCTAACTGCCAGAGCTGCAACTCATGGGACAAAGCCGAAAAGGAAGATAGCGACGATGAGGGGTGGATGTCGCACGCTTTGAGCTTTACAGCCGACAAGTTGGGTAAAGATCTATCTTACCGAAAGAAGGCCGAAGAGGAATTAGTCGTAATTGATCCGAGAGAAAAAGCCCGGACGCTCAAGGAGAAGAAGAGGGCACAGAGAGAGGCACAGTCTGGTAATTCTGGGAGAGAATGGGACCAAGCAAGAAATGCCAAGTTAGCCAGAGCATCGGCTCTAGCTGGCAGAGGAGCTAAATGATACTTTTTACTGCGGATACTTCATTCATGATACCCTTGGTTATAGAAATTTCTATCATCTTCTGATACTGAAGCATAGCGTGTTGTATATTTTATCTATGGATCCATTAACCCTGGCGAAGAGGGAAAATTATCTAACAACATGTTGCGTGTCCGTCCGAGCTGAGGCTGCGTGGGGCATGCAAGTCGCACCGGAGAAGAATATTGCAAAAAATTTAGAGGTGTACATATCGTACTAATTGTTCGATTTTTCGATACAATCTCGCATCCTGCTGAGAATCGGATTTTTGACCCTGGAAGCTCGAATATGTTAGGAGCCACGACCTATTCAGCTGCTGATCATTGGTTGAAGCAAATTCCCATCTGCCTCCTAATAGGAGCTACCCCTCGCTAACTTGGGGTTAGTGTTACATTGGCTGGAGGTATTGGTCCGGATCCGTAGGTACCTAGGTATCTTTTGATATACAAATCCATGGTTCTTATTAATAACCCCACAGGTTTTGCGTGGTGTCGCGCGTATTGCTCCGTCCAGAGCTTTGTGCGTATCTAGATCTTTTATGCGCCGCAGAGGCTCCGAATAACATCAGTATAACATTAAGATCGTAAGATCAGAAACATAATGGCTGAGTGTAAAGGGGAATTAGTTAAAGAGACCAATGAGGTGATTCGTTTTTTACATAGTCTTTGATACCTTTTAGATGTTTTGATGACGGGATTATCATTCGATCGTATGAATGACGGAAACATTTATTGCTGTTTACTCAGCTAGGTACATAGATAGGTGCTTAGTGGGGTAATTTACAGGGAGACTATCTTATCAAAGCCATCTTTTATTGGTTGAATCTTAAGATGGTGGATTATTATTTACACTAATGCAGCTCGTCCTTAGGTGTCTTATGTACCGCAGACCAGGACAAAATACCATTCAGCAGACCGTGTTAATTCTGATAAGCCCACTTTGCCGAGCAAGTGCGGCGGACGAACAGAAAAACAACAATGCATGCAATCCATCGAAAATTTCATAAGGGACGATGAGAAAAGGTACATGTACCCCGGGTACGTCGGTCGCTTTTTTTTTTATTATAATCAAATGCAAATGCAAGAAGCTAACGCAATATTCTAGATTTCATTGAATATTTCCATTTAAACATTTACAACATTGAATCTATAATAGACATTGATGTCAGTTGCGATCGAAGTTGAAACCTAAGATATTGGAAGTTTCTCCCGTTTGCTCGCAAGGTTGTCCGCCGGTTCGGGTACCTACGTCCATACCTCCTACCTGCTGATTTCTCGGTTCGGTTCGGTCCCCAGCGTTCACAGTGCCCAGGTGGGAAGGACTAAGCCAAGACACGGAAAGAGCGAAATCTTTAATCGTGGGGTTGTCACGACCCTGTGAGCTGTGAGCCGGAAGACCGGTCAAATTTTCAAAATCCCATCAAAAAAAGCTTACAAAAAATCCATTTTCCATTTCCATTCTTGTACTAATCCACGTTACGGGCCGCACCTATAATCCCGCCAGTCGTCCACGATCCGTTAGGTTCCGCAAATGTTTGGTTTACATTTCCGAAGCACCAAGTTCAAAAAATAATAATCTAGAGAAAAATAAAATCTACAGCGTGTTCTATCTATTTTAATCCAAGCGTTCTGCGACATACAAGCATACAAGTTCTTTTTTTTCTGCGACTTCGAGAACAACGAACTTTGCGTCGACCCTTGTTCTCCACCATTGACAGCTTCTCAACTCTTAAGTTGTTGACTATAATACTGTCGCATCGGTCAGAGACAATATATTCCGGGGTCTTGGAAGCTTCTTTCCAGCTTCCACCGCTGATTCACTTTCATCTCTCGCCCTTGATGTCCTTTGAAGCCTAGACGGTATATAGGCAAAAGATATGAATGCGGACGAAAGCCTGGAACCCACCATTTTACTCCATCAGATTTGAGATTTGAGATTTCTCAGATTTTGACCGTCGATACCAAAACCTGCGCGCATAATCCGATTTTTATTCCTACCTCATTGGTTGCCTTAGGCCTTACCTACGGCATCACGTCCATTATCACTGAAAACCTAACCACTAGAGCCTTGCGCGACGCCTACCATTTCGACAAAACCCAGATTTTGCGCGGCTAGCAGCCTAATCCGGCCGCCTAGCGCCCATCCACAGCCTCGCGGCATCGTACACGATCCCCGCCGCATCCCATCCGATCTCTCCATATACCCCTCGCGACTCGCCATCTCCGCCAGCAACCAACATATACCGATACCATTAGTTTCTTCCCATTGTTTTTGGCGTGCATTTGGACTCTGACGAAACTTCCCCTCACCCCTGGGAAATACACGGCCTTCCTAATCGCCGTTGGGTGAAGTCAGCCGGTTGATAGACTAGACCGCGCCTTCAACACCCCTCTTCTTGGCCGTGGCTCATGTACAGCTACTATCAGCCTATGTCGTCCCCAAATACTCGAAAACGACCAGCACCGGGTAGTGTGCCTATACAACATCAAATGGCGGCGCCGTATAATTCGCAAGAACAGTTATTGCGGTGGAATGGGAACAATACAGGCAATTTTGTCGACAACACGACGAATGGTGTGAATTCCTATGGCGTCGTACCTTCACCAACACAGGGTCAATATGGGCAAGCCACGCCCTCGACAGTCCTTGCGAGGCGGGGCATAAACAATGCCCTCGTTGCGACCAATCGTGCATTCACCCCGCAGCAGACTGAATCTTGGCCGAATTTCGACGAAAACTTACTCCCAAACCAAACAAATGGTGGTGTCGATGAACACGATAATATAGAACTACTGGAGGAAAAGGCACAACGAGCGAAGAGGGAGGCTCAGGCGAAACGGAAGCAAATCCCTCCGTTCGTACAGAAACTGAACAGGTAGGCACCCCTCTTTTTGGTCTTCTTATTTACGTTGCTGACGTATTTCTATAGTTTCCTAGAGGAATCGAAGAACACGGACTTGATCAGGTGGTCAGAGAAGGGTGACTCTTTCATTGTGCTCGACGAAGACGAATTCGCAAAGACTTTGATTCCCGAACTTTTCAAGCATAACAACTACGCATCCTTTGTCCGACAGCTCAATATGTACGGCTTCCATAAGAAAGTTGGTCTTTCCGACAATTCCATGAAAGCCAGCGAGCGCAAAAATAAGAGCCCGAGCGAATACTACAACCCTTATTTCAAACGTGGCCATCCCAATTTGCTATGGTTAATTAACAAGCCCAAGAGTGGTAATAAGAAAGGCGGCAAGAAGCGGGGCGAGGATGGCGATATCGAGAGCGACGAGGAGGTCATTGTGGCAGAAGAGCCTATCGGCCATCCTTACGTTCAACCTAATACACAAAGCCGAGCACTACCAGCACCTGAGCCAGGACCGCTTCAGAAGAAGGAATTGGCGGTTGTTCGGGATCAGATGGCAGCGCTACAGCAACGACAGAGACAAATCAGTGATGCAATCCAACGGCTCCGACAGGAGCATAACCAACTATACCAGCAAGCCATTATGTTCCAAAACCAGCACGATCGCCATGAGAACTCCATTAATGCTATCTTGAATTTCCTCGCAAATGTATTTAGGAAATCTCTAGAGGAACAAGGGGGCGTGCAGAATATGAACGATTTATTGGCCAGCATCATACCTAACGTCCAGATGCCGCCACAACAGGGTCAAGGCAATGTGGTCGACCTCGGCGATTGGATACAACAGCAAGTCCCCCGGAATGCGACGCCGGTCGGTACACCTAAGAGGCAGCACCGTCTCTTGCCTCCTATTCCTCAGAGTCAACCCCCCAAGCCCTCCCCACCACCATCAACAACCACCACCACCTCCACTCCGTTCCCGAGTTATTCAAATAACCAGCAACCCCAGGTTGGGCAAGTGACAGAAGTTTTCGATACCCCAACGGAGTCTTCAGCTACACCCGCTTACCTTAAGCAGGAGCTTGAGTCAAATCCTCAAGAGGGCATGATGAAGATTATTCAAGACGCGAACACAAATGCCGGCAATGTTTCTGTTGATCTTCCCAACATGGCCGCCAACACCTCAGCAACATTGACCAATGATCAACGAAACCGTATGCTCAGCATCATGTCTGGCGGGCAAAATAGCGTCGCTCCCACTCCTGTCTCTTCCATACCCTCTCCTTCCGTAGGAGGAGATACAAATTCCACCGCTGTAGGAATTCCATCAACGGCAAGCATACCAGTCACAAGCGCACGAAATTCACTTTCCCCTCTCATGCCTTCATCAGTTCTCCCACCATCTATTCAACGAATATCACAAACAGAAGAGGAGTTGGATCAACTTCAGCGATTACAACACGAACAGACACAAAAACTGGAAGATCTTGGTCATCTGTTAGGTCCTTTAAGTCCATCTGGTCGGATACCCGGCCTGGACGAAACCGGTTATTTTGACGACAATATTGATCTCAACCAGTATCTGGAACCTAATGCATACACTGCTGACGGAACGGGTAACGACTTTAACTTTGACGCACCGGCTTTTGGCGACAACGCGAATTTCGAGTGGAATCCTGATGGTACTGAATTTGGAATCACTGATGGTCTAAATACTAGCCGGATTGTTGAGACAAACACGCCAAGTCACAAGTCCCCAAGTCCGACCGTCACAGAAGAAATATCGCGGAATGACTCGGATGATAGTCCCGGCCGAGCTGCTAAACGGCAACGAAAAGCATAGTATTCTGTCGACCACGCCGAATTAGCTAGCATTCGGTACTCCTAGGGGAAATAATATGACCTCCACGAAACACTACGAACAGGACAACCAGCCACCTCATTACGGCTGATGATTGTTGTTGGGTTCATGCATGGCGTTTTTTAGGGTGTGTCACTAGGAAGAAGCACTATTAGTTACGCCATACTGCGACGGCATCGGAGTTTGACGGAGTCGAAGGGTATGCCGAAAGATGGCTATGGAATTTTCTTCCTTTTTTTATTGATTGATATCCCCCCAACTCACCTCGTGTTGTGTTTATCTGCCGACTTTTACTTTTCTCCCCCCACGCTTCTCCCCAAAAAGAAAAATACTTGAAAGTGATGTCTCACTTCGATATTGAGCAAAGTATGAAAAGGCGGGGAGTCCCCCCAAAAAGCAAGTGTGGAAGAACAAATGGATTGGAACAATTGCGTCCTATCCAAGTTACGACAAAAAAACCTCATTGCTAGATTAGACATTTTTCCAATTTTTTTCTCTCTGTTACTCGCGCTCTACGGGCGGTTCATGATCATCGTCTTCTTTCGCCTTCCAGGGTAGCGTAGGTTAGGTTAGGCTAGGGGCACACTTATAGTTGATGGTTCGCATTGGACCGGCGATGTCCACATATGCTGGAATTGATGATCTATTTTCTTGCGCTTTTTAATGATTGTGTTTGTGTTTTCGCGTGCTTGTGCTGCGTTGTGTGATTGTGATTCTGTCGTGGTTTGAATTACTATTATGTGATCTCGTTGATCTGCCCAGTACTACCTCCCCATATATCTTTCTGGTTCATTGTTCAACCATAATTATAGACCGTCGTTAATAATATTTGATAAGGCCATATGTGTCATGGAATAGACTTCGTCGTTACGGCTCGATATCTTTACTAGCTCGGAGTGATTACGCGGTACCCAAATTTGCTTTTCGCGACCTATGGCTCGAGGATCATCTACTCGTCGTTGGTGGGGGGCTTGTGTATCCTGCTCCCCATGTTAGATCTTTTTGTGGTGGGGCGGAGTTGATCGAGGGTGTGAATATATCATACCACTAGGTCCGCAGATGGATTTGTCTCGTGGAAGTAGTATACTTCCATCTTGTCGCTGCAGAGGGCAAAGCGATGTGCTAGGTCGTTAAGGTAACGGGAAGGTCTACCGTTCTCGATACAAATACTCTTGATCATTTCGAAGTTTGGCTGTCCTTGTGCGATGTTGAGAAGTGTTTCATTCTTAAGTCCGTTTATTGGAACGCCGTATCCGAGGAAACCTCTGGAGCAATGCCATAAGTTGCCTGTAGTCGGGGGTTTTTGCTGGTGCGATTGAGTGAGGACCTTTGGCATGTTCAGCCTACGATGGCCTCTAATAGAAATTTATGTGATTTGACTAACCTCCTGTATAATCAGGCCTCCCATACTTTGGCCAATCCATATCACTGGTCTACACTCGGTCTGGTTGTGGATTAGTCTATGCTCGTTCGCTTCTGGAAAGGAAATACCTTGGTGAGTTTGCGGAAATCTGTAATAAAATTCTTGCACGTGCTAGCGATTTCCTAAATGTTTTGGTCGGTTCTTGAACTGAGGACCTTGGAATCATATCCGTAGAGTAGGACTCGACTAGATTGGAAGTTATCTTTCAGGTAGTCCCGAAGCCACATCTCGTCACCTTGCGGGGCTCGAAAGGTACTAAATGGATTTGTTCCTAGGCCCTCGATGGCGATTATGCTTGGAGACCCGGCAACGTTAACTAGTGCATGTGAAGGACGGTGAAGGATGGTAGGAATTTACTACTTACTCGACTATGGCATCGTCGCCGGCATCGTGCAATGGGCTCAGCCCAAAGAAGTTCGTATCGTAGTGAAAATTGAAGGGGCCTCGTAGATCAGCCGTCTCAGCCCTAATCAACTTGCTCAACTCATCGTTTCGGATGGCCGGGAACGTAACGGTTGCACATTTATGCCAGCACATATCCCGTGAGGCTCGAGCCAGACTGTGGATCTTACAGATCGAACCGAACAGTCTCTCAAGTTCTGTTTTTAGTTCGAGCTCGAGGAGGTCGTCGGGAATATTCAACACACGGATTGTGTCTGGTCTAGTCGTTGAATGTCCGCTGTGTTTTGCTGGTAGATGATTGCTGCGCCCAGATCAGTCATCACTCGGGCGATGGTTTGGGGTTAATTAGATGCCCGAATATCGAGAAAATATTGACTTACAGGCTACTGGAGCGATTTTCTTTATCCTGTGTTCTTGGCCCATTTTCTTTGGCTGGAATATTTAATTTAGACGTAGCTGACTGGTAGGAGTGGTCTGAAATGTTAGGATCCGGTAAGGCGAGAAACCTCACTTGGCGCCCCGCAGGGTCTTCCGGGTGCCTGCGCTTCTGCTTTGAGTTGGCGGTTCTCGTCTCTGGCAAGCTTCCTTTTTGCTCTAGACGTATTGGCTGTCCCCCGTTGGCAAGGTCTAAATTCCGTACCAGGGTATCTAGTTTGTCAATTGAAAGTTCGCTAAAGCCCTGCTCTAGTTCATCCTCTAGCCGTCGTACTACTTCTTGATAGATAACGTCTCGCAAGCCATGCTCATCTATCTCGTCTCCGTCATCGTTCACGCCGATGTTTGGATCGAGGCACATGCTGATAGCTATTCGAGTTTGGTCGGTAATATCTAACTGACAGTGCTTGAAAACTTCGCGCACAAGGATGTAGCGAGCTGTAATGTCCATTTCTTCAACCACTGGAATTCCATAGACTTCTGCTAGGGACTCGAGAGACTTGGCCTTGTGGAGTTCTATCAACACAACAGCCAAATCAACGAGACATGGATATGGTGGTGACAGCAGATCATCCGGGTCGAAATCATCATCTTCGTCTGTGATTGAACTATTTACTGCACTATTGACGAGAGTGCCATTAAGATGAGTTTCGATATATGGCCTTAACGGAATGCCACTGAATGACCTAAAGAACATGACATTGGATGAACCCCATGAGGATTGTAACCAAGGAGTTCCATGAAGATGAAATACTGTGTAACCAAGAAGTACACTTAGGATACGTTTAGTCTTCTCGTTCAACACGTTCGACCTCTCGTTTAATATCTGACCTAAAGATAAAGGTGGCTTCGACTTGTCGATCTTGAAATTACTTTCCTCCGACTGAAGTTTCTAAAGGCTATCCTTCTCTAAGCGAAACCTTAGACGATAGTCAGGCGATGTTTTTGTGATCTTGATAATATCCCTATAGAGTTCTTCGACCATGCGCATTCGTTCGCGACAGTGGGTTCCAGTATTAACGGCCTTCCGCCCGTTGTCGTTAATCGTAATCTTAGGATGTTGGGAGGGTAGACTAGAGGGTAGAGGTGCAGCTGTCTGAACCCGAGCTTCCTGCCAAAGTTGCCCAAGGCTCAGGTACAGGTCGAAATCGCAGCCCATTAGTTTCGTTCTATGAGTTTCTAGGCAAAGCTGCACGGCATATGTATGGGCAGGATTGCATGCACAGCGCCTCCTTGAATCAAGCACGTTGAATAGCGAGCTTGCTGCGGGCCAAATTCCATCCGGAGGCCTCTGCCTCACTTTCAGAGGGATAGCTAGGTCAACCTCTTGCGGGATAGCTGATTTAAGTGCTTGAACCTTGAAAAAATCATTGCTTTCCCTCATCCAATCAACTAATTCCGTTTGATTTTCCTTTGTACCAAAATCGATACATTTTCTCAGACATCTGATACTGTCTGGATGATTGTTGTCCTTGATTTGTACAAGTTGATGATGTAGTGCAACCAAGTTAGGGTATGGTACTGCCGGGTCCTCTTGTATATGGCAAGTCTGCAGGTTCTCCGAGACGATGAACGACTCTAGCTTTATTAATCTATTCTCGAGGAAATCTAAAATTGCCTCGGATTGAGTAACTTCCAAGATCTGATGATGTAGCTGGAAGCTTTGTGCGAAAATTAAACAATAGAAACTTTTAGTATCTAGTACGGGCTCATGCTGTACTAAGATATCAGCGACTCGCCAAAAGTCCTCCAAGGCAGTAAGCAGCATGGACTGGAGTTTGTTCATGCTTGTGTTGACTCAGTAGTCTCATGACGTGTGTACGGTATGCTGGTTGGATCAATGGCTTCGCAAATATTGAAAATATCAAATCTTGAGTATGGCTAAACGTACTGACCCCGTATTTATCGTTTTCATGGAAGGATATTTTCAAGATGCAACATTTCAGTTCCCCGAGTACACCGAGGCCCCTATAAATGGGAGCTGAAGGTCAGTTCATTACAGGCTGGCCTTGGTGGGAAATGCGTCTATCATTGGTAGAAATGCATGGAAAGCGGGGTCTTAGGGCGTCAGAATAGCCATTATCAATGCCTATCGCCCAGAGCCTTACTGCTGCTTTCGCCGTCAATGGGATGACGTCTGGTGTATCATAACTGCGAAAATGCTAGTAAGGAAGCATCTTGAATATCTTAGCGCTTTAATATACCTAACCAGGGCCTCGTTTGTATAATTAGTCTAGGATGTCTCTCAGTGAACGAGCCGTTCCCATTTCAGCGCTTGCTAGGCAATGTTTCATCTCATTCGAACGGTGTCTTCGAGGCACTTCGGCTATCGACCCCCAACGATATTCGACTGTCGAGGATCAAATGGCACGTTTCTCCATCTGGACTTCCAATATGGCGGTTTTCGCCAATGGAAAAGCATGCATAAACCATCGTGTCCGAGAAGCGCCCGAAATTCTGCGATTAATTCTGGGAATATTAGAAGTTCTCCAAGGACGATTAGAAGAGTGTGAGTTTTAATGAATATGCTACTTCTTTATCCAAGAGGATACCTTAACCTTCATTTTAGGTATCCATCTCATCGAACGTCTCACAGCTACGGATGTCTCCATCGAGAAGAGATTCTCAGCCCTGGCTCTGGGCGATTTTGAGCGGAATGCTAGCGCAATAGGCTCTCAAGTTGATCTACTTCATGACCTATCAAAATACTATTCGCAAAGCAAGCAAGGAATCACAAAATATTAGGGCGAACACTTCCTTCCGGATAAAGGATGAAGAGGGAAATGACATGGAGGATATTCTAAAAACATATTTTACCAATAATATCCGGGACTGCTTCCCGGAAAGTACTGATTCGATCCAGGACCGACTTGCCGCCACGATGATATTAAGGCGGAAGAGGATACTTTACAGGCGTTCTCGCTATGCAATGAATCCTATCAGGCCAAGCCAGCCTGTGGTTAAACCAACGGTTCAGACTCGGCCCGTTCCCCAGCATTACCAAACTCATGAGCTCGGACTAGCTACTACTAAGTCTTTAAATCTATCTATGGCGCCTAGTCAGATATACTCGTCAGTCCAAAGTGCTGCGACTACTCTAGTGCCGCAAATTTTCCAACGGGCTTCTGCACCATCAGTCGTCTCTCACGTCAAATCCGTGGACTTGGGGTCTCATGAGGATCTTGTCTACCCGCCGCGTCCAGGGGACGCAAGTCGAAACTTGGCCGAAGCGACGTGTCCGTATTGCCTTTACGTTCTTTCTAGCCTTGAGATTAGCGGTGAGGCGAGGTGGAGGTCTGTAACCAAAGTTTAGGTGTTCATCTGTTGCTACTTACAGAGCTAACAAGCTTACTCAAGGAAACATATTCTCGGTGATCTAGATGCCCTAGTTTGTCTCTTCGGCCCCTGCGATGAACCGAATGTCCTGTACAAGCATAGCAGAGATTGGCTCCAGCATATGCGCAAGCATACCCGGCGCTGGCGCTGCTCAGCAAAGGTCCACGGCATCCTTGAATTCAACAGCTGTGAAGAGTTCGAAAATCATATGAGAAGTGGTCATGGGAAACAGTACACAAGTGCTCAGCTTGGTCTTCTTGCCGAGAAGGCAATGCGTTCGTCCGGACCATTATTCGAAGTATGCCCTCTCTGTGGGGGCGAAGACGATGAGGGTAGTAACCTAGATTCAGGCGATTTAATTGACCATATTGTTGTCCATCTAAGAACGCTTGCACTCAAGTCTCTTCCTCCGCATTATGGAGACGACGACAACGCTTCCTCGAACACACATGATAACGAGTCTACAAAATCCCGCAACACCGTCAAAATATTTCTCAATGAATATGATGTCTCTTTTAGTTCCCCAAGTCGGTCCCCAGTACCAATGGATGACATACAAATCCCCCTTGAACTTCTCGGCGAGAACCGGCATGAAACCTCTGACGATGATAACGCCTATAACGTCCCTGACAGCGATGAGGCTGACTGGCAGCATCTCTTGAAAACGGCCTTATATCCAACACAAGATACTCATGATCCCATTAAATAATCGATAACCCAAGCTAGGTTGGAGTTAAAGCCTGGTACTTCGCTTCCTCCGTCAGGCCGTATTCTGCACAGCGCCCCATCTAATTATTCAGATTATTCAGGTGTTGAAGAGAACGGAAGTGACGATGAGACTGAGGCCCTTGACTCGGCGAATATGGACGCCTGTTGCGCTTTGATGCGAGGACTTTATCCTAGCATTGGGGATTTTAAGTGGTATATTCAGCAGATCAACCCTAGAATTGCGGAGGATAGCGAGGAACTAGTAGCTCGACTTGCCCAGCGGATGATGAATTGCTTAGAAACGATACAGAACGCCAATCCTAGGCATCTACAAGAATTTGATACAAGAGAACCATTCTTCTCTGCAGATTTGCCCCCGGGTTATCCACCACCGCCGACTCGAGAAATGTCTCTAGGCGAATTCGAATGTTATATATGTTACCGGGTAAAGCCCTTTGAAAACCCTTCGGATTGGGTTGTACACATTCAAGAAGACTTGCAGCTATTTTCCTGTACTTGGCCGGATTGTCACCATACTGAGGCATTCGGGAGGAAGTCTGATTGGATTCACCATGAGAACGTATTTCACATTCGCGGGGGGCAAGTTTGTGCTGTAGATGGCTGTGGCGAGACTTTCCCTACCAGAAGAGAAATCCGTCAGCATTTGGATACGAAGCACGGGGGTGCGGAAATAGAGATGAACGGTGGCGAGGGACATAAACCGGAACTGTATCACACTCAGGTGGCAAGACTACCCCAAAACGAACCATGTTGTTTCTGTCGAAAAACCTTTTCGTCTTGGACTGACCGCAGTTCTCATCTAGCAAGGCATATGGAATATATAAATTTGCCGATCCTATGTCTCCTTGGCAAGATACATAGGGAAGAGAGCACGTCTATAAATATAGAACGAGGGTCGACATCGACGCCCGGGGAGAATCTCTTGCAGATGAGAGATACGAGGCATGTGTTCAGTTGGTTTGACAAGGAAGGCCTTGGGTCAAAGCCGACTTCGCATCTCTATTCGAATATACCAATACCAACGACTCCTCGGATTCCGGTCCGTGTTCCTGAGCCGGGACATGGTCTAGGATTAAAGCCCGCCGTATCCGAGACGCGACTATTGGATTACTTCCTCTCATCTGTGTGGCCTATTGTGTTCCCGATCTTTAAAGCAACAGAATGTGAGGGTTTTGGGGAGGAATTGATTCTACCTTCGCTACAGGCCAACGAAAGTTATCGTCATTGTTGTTTGATGATGGCCGCCCAGAATCGTAAAGCCATTGCGGATTTCTCGTCCTCTGACGACATGATGATCAATGTGAGCGAATTCCCACGGTACCGCCATATGGTAATTACGACGCTTCAAGGTTTATTAAGTGCGGACACTGCTTATGAGCGAGTCCTCGAAACAGTACTTGTCCTCATCTTATCTCAATGCTGGGTTGGTCCATGCACTGAAACATTTCGTGATCTGGAGTGGTCTTCGCATATGGCAGCCGCCTATTCGCTTGTCAACAAGCTCGATTACCCAGCTAAGATCTCTGACCCGACATATCAAATACCTTTCGATATGAGCCTGGTAGTTTGGATTGACATTCTGGGTTCTGCGATGATGGGTCGTGCGCCAGTATTTAAGCAGATCTACAATGAAAAATATCTTTCTCAGACCAACAATTCCCTGGGATTGCGAAATCTGATGGGTTGCGATGATAACATAATGTACCTCATCTCAGAGATCGCCTGTCTCGAAGCACTCAAGAAGGACAGCATGGACGCGGGCGACCTGCACTTGCATATCCGTCTCCTAAACGATGAATTAGTCCAGAGGGGCAACATAAAGTCAACAATGACATTTGATGCTGATGATTTGCTGATTCCACAGGAACTCACAGGAGTTACTACAGCACTGTTCCACCTGGCTGCCCAAATCTATCTTTGTAGTCTAGATCCCGGATTCTTGCCAGAACAACCTTCCTGCGTAAAGTTAGTCGAAAATGTCATAAGCAATCTGTTGCTAATATGGCCCGGACCCAACGGTTTCGATCGAAGTCTTATATGGGTTTATTTTATAGCTGGATCGTTCAGCACTGCGAGTTCGGGTTTTCGCGAAGAGTTTGAACACCGTGCTGTACAACTGGGCGACGCGGCAAAATTTGGTAACTTCGGCCGGGTTGCGTGCGTGCTACGAGCAGTTTGGTTACATAACGACACATCGGAGGGATACGTTCACTACAGAGATATCATGCAGAGGGAGGGATGGGATTACTTGCTAATTTAGCCCGCTTATTATGGCAGATTTGGCGATGTAAATTTCTAGCGTTACTACGCGACATACAGCAGAGTATGGCGAATAAAAATAATGAAAAAAGAAGAAAGCAGAAAACAAGGGAGACAGGAAGGTTAAGGTCGTACAATCCCTCCTGTACAAAATTTCATTGTGCCGAGCCGTGCGACGCTGGCGCAGCGCCCCGTCAAATCATATTGGACGATGGCTGAAGCCTGAAAGAGCACAGCCGCCCCCAAGGGATGATCCCATCCAGTCGATTAATCGGCACCAGGGATTATGATGATCTACGCTACGTTTCATCTGTGGCGCTTATTGGATCGCAGGGCGACGTCATTTTCGAAAACAACAGGTACTCTCTGACAGAGGGTGGCGCAATTCATCAATAAAAGTGACTGGGAATTTGTGACAATCATCAATAGAGAGCCTTGCGTCCTTTTAACCTTCTTTTAAAGATGCTATCCTTTGTTCCTTGAAAAGAATCTCTATTCTTGAACTCCGAGAATAAAACCCCGAGGACTATCAGAATATCCTCAAGTTTTGTCGCCAAGAACGCCTCGCATAAAATGTCGGCGAATTGCACAGAAGCGCCAGGCACGATCCCCAGCGATGCTGGCGTTGCGGGCATTGGTGTAAGTCAACACCCAACACTCTAACCTCCTGACTTCTTAATCAATTGAACAATTACTAACACAAACCTTCATCAGGTCCTCCTCTCTTTCATAGTAACCGCCGCCATCTCACTCGTAATCAGCGCCTCCCTCATATTCCAAGAAACACGCCGCAGCACCTCACAAAAACTCTCCACCCTACGCCGCAAACTCCTCAATTCCTACTCAGACCAGCAAATCCTAACCGGCATCGGGATCCAAAGCGTCGGGCTAGCGAAGACATCATCCATGGTACCATACCATTTCTTCCTAGTATGGATGCTCTCTCTCCTCTCTATGGCCGTCCACAACGCCACTTTACTAGCCTTAGCTCGCGACTTCCGCCGCGATTGGGTGCTCCGCTGGATGCGCCAGATCCTCATGCTCGCGAATCTGGTCCTATCATGCGTCTACGGCGTGTACATCCTGCGCGGCGTCCAGCGCGGACTCAGCGACGAGACGTTCCCTATAACATGCGTATGGCAAGATTCAACACCCAACGGGCCCGCACCTAGCAACGAGGGTATATCATTCGCGGGCACCATCGCCGTCGTCGCTGGTAACGTCGTTATCTTCGCCTTAGCAACCTGGTACTTACACGCCCGAACACGACGTCTATACACCGTCTTCCAAATCGTGGGACTTCTTCTCATGGCCGCGTTTTCGGTCGGCGCCACGGTGCGCGTGGCTTACCTTGCCGATGCGTTTTCGGGTAAAGCACCGGTCCCGCTGGCTGATGACGGCGAGCGTGAGTGGAGCTTTGGACAACTTTTGTCTGTGGGCATGTTATTGCTCCCGCTGGTGTCAACGGTAGAGATTCTGCGGGGTGAGATTAAGTGTGCGCCGCCGGTGGCCGCGGATCAGTATGATTCGGATGATAAGGGTCAACTGTTAGGGGTAGAGGAGCAGGAGCTTAGGACGAATAATGGGGGAAGGGGAACAGGGACAGCGGATTTTCAGCCGAATCCATTTTGGGGATCGCAGACGAATTTGTTTCGGAAGTGATAGACTGCGAAGGAAAGGAAAATGGGCGAATGGGTTATTACGGGACGGGATATGGATGGCACATGATTTTGATGTTTAGACGAGCGAGCGAGTTGAGATACCCCCTATTGCAATGAACATGAATGAATTTCCCGAGATCCCCATCTGGAACTACCTAGTTAGATGCTTCATTAATAATATTTGGTTGTACTCGGTATCATTTGATATTTTCTCGCGTGTTCGGCCTCGCGCAGTATCGAACCAATACCATACATCCTTTGTACTACCGAGTCAATGAACCCGTATCATAATTCGAATAGCCAGCCTAGAACCCCAGGGGACCGGGTTATTTTTACGAAGTATTATATAATACGACTTACACTTCTAGTATATTTACCTAGGTATTCAAGCTAAATAGAGGTGAATTTATAATTTTAAATGGGTCTATGCGAATTAAGATGCTAGTCCAGCTCCTACCGGCACAATTTGGGCGCGAAGTCTTCATGCCTTCTCAAAAAAGTAAATGGTGATGACGAACTCTTATAGCCAAGTTGCACAAACGCATGATCGGGAAAAAATTAAGCTAGATTTATAATCGTGCTTATTAGACAGCTTGGGGGATTTGGCCGATAGCCTGATCGTGAAGGGGACCATTTTCCCAATTCGGAAATACCCTGGCGACAATGGGGTTCACATAAAAGGGCGGCGAAACTGCGTCCAAGTTGGGGAAATAGTAATCGAAACGTGCATAACCACGAACCTGAGTAGTAATCAACAATGGCGACTTTCGAAGAGCAAGCTGCGAGTGCTGTAGCGAACGATGTGGTGGCAGGAGTCGTGGTGATTGCCAAGGATAAAGATGGTACATATCCTACCTAACTCATAGTGTAACCCTGTTTTGATACTAACCGCGAGTGAAGGGAAACTCGACTATTCTAAATCCTTTTCGCGCAAGAATGGCACAGTTTATAATGAAGATACTGTGCTGGCATTGGCATCGATGTCCAAACTAATGACTTCAGTCGCCGGCCTGCAAGTCGTTGAAAAGGGGCTCATCACATTGGATGAAGATGTGACACCCCTGCTCCCTTCACTAGCTAAGCAGGAGATTCTGACCGGATTCGCGGACGACGGAACACCTATAACGCGTAAACGTCAGAACCCTATCACGCTACGTCAGCTACTCACGCATAGCGCGGGCCTTGGTTATCCCTTCATGCATGAAGAAGTAGCTAAGTTTGTGGCCTGGAAAAAGTTGCCCCCGAACGCGGGAACGGTTGATGAGGCATTTGATGCGGTTCTCCTTTATGAACCAGGAGAGGGATACCTCTACAGCAGCAGCATTGACCGCGTCGGACAGGTCATCGAGAAGGTCACCGGCCAGAATCTCGAGGACTACATGAGGCAAAACCTCTGGGGACCATTGGGAATGGACAGCACCACATTCTTCGCGGCCAAATACCCCAACATCCAGGCGCGGCGAGTTCCCACGGCAATTCGCAGGGACCCTAAGGGACCAATAATCGAGTCATCTGATGAACCATGGTACACCGCCGGGGTCAAGGAGCCCTTCGGTGGGCAAGGCATTTTTTCTAGTCCAGCTGACTATATGAAGTTGCTGTACTCACTGCTCGTGGATGACGAGAAAGTGCTCAAGAAGGAGACGGCAGCGCTGATGTTCCAGCCCCAGCTATCACCTAAAGCTAAGGAGTCTCTGCTCGAGAAGATGAAGAAACCCGACTGGCTTATAGGAAAATACACACCGACTAACGAGTATGACTGGGGTGTGGGCGGAATTTTGGTCGATGGTGATAAACATGAGTTCCGCCGTGAAGGGTATCTGAATTGGGGTGGTGCCGCCAATCCATTTTGGGTATGTTGAATCACATTCTCCTAAGCTTGAAAATGAGTACTAATACGATAAACAGTTTATCGACCGTGCTGCTGGTGTTTGCGGTGTCTTCGGTATTCAGCTCCTGCCGATATTTGACCCTCCGACGGAGGATTTGATCGCGGCTTTTGAGAAGGAAGTATACCAGAAAGCAGGGAAGCTGTGATTGAAAGATGAAGACATATCTAAGTCGGGATGTGATTGTGTAAGATATTGTTGTTAGAGTTGTAGATTGTTGGAATTCCAGCCTGCAGAAATTAAACGATGAAATACATATGCCATTATCGGATATAACATTACATAAGATCACTCTTACTCCCGTAGCTTCATATGCAAGCATATATATTTATATACATAGTTAATTCTCCATCTAAAAGTAAATGTATGAAAACGATACTGAGCTAGATTTATAATTTCCCCGTCGCTCCGATGTCGTCGGAGTCCCTCTTCACCTTCATCAACTAATGCGTATTGTTATTCTGGCCCGCTATGACGTGCTATGAATTCGAACGTTATTGAAGTGCCAACGAAGCCTGATCGAGCCACTGAGTACTTAATTGTACTTATCAGATCCGAAATATGATTCTACAATTATTCGGAATGCTCCGATATTATGTCAAATCTCAATTTCCTACGACCGATATCATGATGCCAAGACCGATGACATGCCTGTAAATACATCGCTTCGAGAACATCGGAATATATATACGAAATTGGAAATACCATCCAATCATGATAAGTCTCTAACGAGTATCCTGTCCAAGTTAAGTAAGTAGATATGGATGATACCTGATGGTGCAACCCTTGGTCTAGGATTGCGTGCTACCTATTGCGTGATCCTAGCCCCGCGATAGGTTGAAAGCAGAGGGGGAGATAGGAAGAAAGGAAAAAGTTGGTTACAGTACCATACGAATGCTACACGTACCTTAACCTAATCTTGAGCCCCCCTTACAGCTCCCCCGAGCCGGGAAAGGGAGTCGGACATGATGCCATTATTCGGTTATCTTGCAGACAATAGGAGATATTTTAGTAGGTGGTATCTGGGCGTACCTCTAGCTATTTAAGCCGATCTTCCAAATTGTATCTTATCTCTTTATTAGTCCCTTTTCTACACTACACCCTCCATCTCACATGGTCCCGTTCCTGTATCCCCTCTACATATCACTTGGTGCTACTTGAGGTTAGACTAGAAAACGACTAGCCATGGCTCCCGCCGTTGACGTTGACACCCCGGTTGATGCAATCGCGGGCTTGAAAGCACGTGCCAAACAAGTTGACCGTTCAATCTTCCCAGATGGGCTCAAGACAACAGGTTCGCTCATTACCAATCTTGGCAATCTATATATCGGAATACTCATCATTAGATAGGCCAACACCCGCCGCTGTATGACCAAGTCTATCCATACAGCGCATTCCCTAAGCGCATAGAAGGACCTACCGAATGGAAGGCTGAGGATTATGCCAACAATCCAGAGAGATGGGTCCACCACTTCTCCGAGGAGGAGCTGACCGAAATCTCCAAGACGGCGGACAGCTTCATTGATCTTGGTCTGCCTCTAACTGGTATCAACAAGGACAACTTCCCACTTCCCGGCTTAGAGTCTTCCTTAGCTACTATGCGCCGAGAACTTCTAAACGGTAAGGGGTTCATCTTATATAAAGGGTTCCCTGTTAATGAATGGGGTAACCACAAATCCGCCGTCGCTTATATGGGATTGGGGGCTTATCTCGGATATCCGGTATCTCAAAACGGACATGGCCACATCCTAGGACATGTCAAAGATCTTGGAGAGGACAGCACACAGATAGACAAGGTCCGAATATACAGGACAAATGCCCGTCAATTCTTCCATGCCGATGACTGCGATATCGTCGGTCTTCTGTGTATCGCGAAAGCCGAGTTCGGTGGTGAGTCGGATGTTGCTTCGATCCATAACGTATGGAACATCCTGCAGGAAGAGCGACCGGATGTCGCCGAGTTGTTGACCAAGCCGATATGGTATTTCGATCGTAAAGGTGAAGTTTCGCAGGGTGAAGACCCATACATCAAGGCAGCTGTCTTCTACCTGGAGACACCAGACCTGGCAAACCCTGAGCGAGAGCAAAGGGTATATTGCAAGTGGGATCCGTACTTCGTCCGCAGTCTCAGTCGATTCTCGGATAAGGGAATCATCCCACCACTATCGCCAGAGCAAGAGGAAGCAGTTAAACTCCTCGAAGCGACTTGTGAGAGAGTGAAGTTACACATGATCTTGGACATCGGCGACATCCAATTCGTCGCCAACACACACACCCTCCACGCGAGGACAGCATACCGCGACTTTGGCCCAGATAGTGGCAAGCCGAGACGCCACCTAATGAGACTATGGCTATCCGTACCACAAGACGAGGGAGGTTGGAGATTACCGTTCTGGGACTCAGATGAGAAGAAAAGGGGAGGAATCCAAGTCGACGACACGCCCCCTGTCGCAAGGCTCGATGCTGATTAGAAGCTAGCTACTTAGGTAGTCGGCTCGTAATGTGGTGTCTCATCCGCCACAATGTTCTTTTAGCAACCCCTGATTTTATTAATGAGACTACGTTACCTGGAAGGAAAGCTGAACCCAATAGCTCATTGCATTTCAATTACATCAAGCACGCGATTGTCTAAATTTGACTTAGAACTCTCGCTAGTAAAGTTATCAATCTAAACGAAGTACCGTAACTGTGATTCTAGTTTCTTCGCTTCCTCGCTTCTTAGCCAAAGCTGGGGAAAGGGACCTAAGTTAGAATTCTCCTGGCGATCTGGAGGCCGTCATGTTTGAAGCTATTAGCATTAGCTTGTTCTCGCTATCTCCATTGACCACATGTTTATCTAGCAGGCGGCATTCACCGCCATATCCACTTCGTCGTACCCCCGTCTACTTCGCTTCTCTTGACATTTCCGCGCGTCTACCCTAGAAAATATGGACTTTTCTTTCGTCTATGCCGATGCGAGTGATGATCGATCAAACAAGTTTTGAGTCTGCTTTAGTTGCTATGCGACCGTAACAATTAGGGCATATTGACCTAGAAGGTGAGAAGCGCTACGCCCCATAAGGCATCGGGGGAGGTACGCTCAGACGCGCGGAATAGAGCCGAGTTGTTGGGGTGGGACCTATCTAAGCGCTTTAGAGCCTAGACGTAATGCTCAGCTCATGATACATCCATGATTAGTTAAGGAGACTAGAGTAAGCGAGCATTATGATTATCTTCAAGATGGAACTTTTGACAAAGTTGTCGCTGTCTACTTTGTGGGCTGGGTAAGGTGTCTTCTGTTTAGAACGATTGAGGGAGTTGATATTTTGATTAGCTTGAGGTCGCTCGCTGCTTTGGACAATTGAAGAATATCTAGTAAACTGACCCCGATTCTCCCCATAGTGAAGCTAGTAATATAGACTATACTCAGTACCATCTAGTCACAAGGGTTGCATATCAGGTCCACATACGATCTATAATCACCTTTATTATGCATGACTCTCACAACACGTGCATGCTATACCTTCTAAGAGTATCTATGAGTTTCAACGTGGGAAATGGGGATATAAAACTCACATATAAGTCATCTTATACTTGGATACCCCAAGTAATTCGATGCTACGTAAAGGAACTGTCTGATGTTAATGACGACAGAACCCAAGTCCATGGAACCTATAAGGGCAATTCTGTTGCTGTTCCCTAATCTCCCTACCCCAGCTTGTCATTTAGAACGGCGAACACTCTAGCCAGGCTAGTGCAACGACTAACCAGTTCCCCGGTTCATCCCTGACTCGTTAGCGTCTCTTGACCCTGAAATGCTTTGTGGTTCCGAGTCTGGATGAGTTTTCTCGGAGTCGCCCATGTCAAGTCCACGCATGCACAGCATAGTCGATCCGGGGTGATGTGAGAACGAGGCGTGTGCATACGGCCATCTGAGAAACCAGAGCGTACCAAAATATTTGGGATGTTAGGGAGCGAGCATATTAAACGCTAAGAGTCGGATCTCGGGACTTTTCTCTCCTCCTTATGCTCGGATTAGTTTATTTAGATATATAAACTTGCTCAACTCATCCAGGTTGGTAGGAAAAAAAAAACGAATCGCCAAGACCAAACACCGACGAAAAGTTCTCCTAGTTAAGGACGGCAAGGTGTTGTTAAAGTATTAGTTCTAGAAGTTGGTATACTCCTGGACTAACTCACTCGGAACGCTTCCTTCGCGCGTTAGAAACTTAAACGAGTCGGGAAATATCCAATTTAGGAAGAGTTAGAGTGGTCTAGTTTAGTCGACATGCCGCGTGCTCTAAAATGCGATTCTGCTACCAGAGTCCATACCCTAGTTAGATAGGAAATGTAAGGAACCGACGCTCTAATAGACACGATGGCACCCCATCAAAGCGCACGACTAGTAGTAAAACTTGCCTGGCGGCGTTCCGGGGGACCTTTGCCAGCTAGGCGTATAGGGCGAGTCATGCCATGGAGAACCCTATACTGCCTATACTATGTAGAGGATGCCTGTCTACTAGCTGAAGTAGACAATGTCTAGCCGAGAGGCACATACCTGTTAGTCGCACCCAAAGCGTTATAGTCCTAGTCTAGGATATGTACCAAATTGCTGGGCTCGATTTCCTAGGGTTCTGCCCATGTTCTTAATTGGTATTATAAAGAAGGATCGTTACAGATCGATGCTCGAGAAAAAATACATAGGTCTTTGCTTTAAGATATCGACCAGGGAGGGGATCTTGGCTCAGACTGTTTATAACTGAGCGCCTCCACATCAATCGACCCAGGACCACGGGTCGAGAATGATGGAAGAGATCTCTCCGAGTGACGGCAAGTTGTTGGACGTTGTCACTGCGAAAATATGTCCGACTCAAAGGCATCTTCGGTTATCAGCGCCGGCGCGGCGTTGATCGCGATCACCGCATTTTCCATAGCATCGAGGACTGCAGCGCGCTGGATGCATAGGACGTTTGGTTGGGATGATGGTCTGTTTATCTGTGATTTGTGAAGCAGTTCCATGAATATTTACTTACACTTTGCAGTTTTGATTTTCATCAGCTGGGTATTATCATTAGGGATATGCTCTTCCGTTATGCTCGGTATGTATAAGCGGACGCCCCTCACGTAGTCGTAAGCTAACTCATAATAAAGCAACGAAACATGGACTTGGAAGCCATCGAGACCAGGTCAGCGACGAGGAGTACAACATGTATCTCAAGGTACGATGCCAATTGAAAATTTTATCGTCCCCTTCTGACCTAATCGTTCCCAGTACCAAATCGCCAGCTCGGTCACGTATAGCTGGGGAGTGCCGGCTGCGAAAGCATCCTTCGCGGTGCTCTACTTGAGGATATTTCCCGAAGGAGGGTTCAGGATTGTCAATAAGATCTTGATCGTGTTCCTTTTCTGCCAGGCTATCGAAGAGACCTGTGTTGTCCTATTCAAGTGCCATCCCATTCGAAAATCATGGGATTTCCAACTAGAAGGATCGTGCTTTGATCTGCATCCGCTCTGGTATTCAACGGTGAGTAGCCCCTATCTAACTCGCCACGCTTGATTGCTGATAAGTTAATGTCCCTTAGTTCGTCTTCAACTTAATCACCGACCTGACACTATTCATTGAACCTATCCCTTCGACATGGAGGCTTCAATTGGCGCTTTACAAGAGGCTTGGTCTTATTTCTATGTTGTCCCTGGGATTGCTTGTTACGTCCATCTCCATAATACGTATTGTTTCCGTGACGGGGATAGGTGTAGATGACACATGTAAGTATCTCAACAGGCTGATGACTCCTAGGTCACTAACAGATATTAGACCAACTTACGGAGCCCCTTATTTGGTCGATGGTGGAAATATGCGCATTGATTATCTGCTCATGCATCCCATCGCTGAGACAAGTAGCCGCCCGGATCCCAGGTCTCGCCAGCGCGCTCGGTTTATCATCCAGTGGGAACTCGAAAACGTACGGACCGAATAAAAACTCGATACCGTTAGAAAGCCGAAGGCGAAAGGACTACATACAATCGCAGAAATCGAAGACTACGACCCGACACCGATCGAATCCATTCGGCATGACGAGCCGGGTAACAGCTACGGCCACCATGGATGGGATTAGCGAAAATGGAAGCCAGGACGAGATCTTCCCACATAAGAGCGATCAAACTGGCGCGATCATGGTTACGAGAGAAGTCCAGCACCACGTCGAGTCCCCTGCGGAAGGAGGTGAAACGCCCCCGGACGCTTTATCACAACGACGGGACGAGCTGATAAATAGTATGGAAAGATCAAAACACAACTCTCCAAATAATAAGAGTGGCGAAGTGGGTTGGTTGCGGCGTTCAAAGTAGTGTTTTTATACCCGACATGCTATATAGTAGTAATGAAAACAGCGATATTGATACTCGTGATGATTCTTCTGCTGAAGTAGGTAGCGTTCTACTGTAAAGTATTGATGATCAAGGTAAGAATACCTACCTACTGGCAAGAATAAATGAGACGACACTTGTGAACTAGATGGCCTAAATGCGACACGTATAGATCTAGATGATAGTAGAATAATAACATGTAGAATTGGATATGTAAAAGAGAGGTTGCTATACTCTTGAGTTGGAAAGGAGAAGGAGTAAGATGGTTGGGTGGATAATGAGTGGGGAAGTCCGGGAGTGAAGAGTGATTTGTTGCATAGACCTGATTAAGAACATACAAGCTAGCTATATGCCTAAATATAATGTTAAAAGCATTATATGCATATATGCAATTATCAGGTATTAATTTAGGTTTACCTTACGTCGATTTACATCTCTAAGCCACAACCAAGATGATCTCAAACATCGCCGACAACCTCCACTCTATAAGTCGAATTCTTCCTTATAATACGAGCAAAAGCGAAGAAGAACGCTGGAATACCTGGTTCCCTGAAGAACTCGTGCACGGGTTCACTGCGTGATGGTCTAAAACCCGAAAATCCAAGGACGGTCACAGTGGTGCCCCGCCGTCTTCACCATGGACGCACCACCAGTCAAGCTCTCGGAGCTTCTCCGACACCCAGATGATCTCGATAAGATCCCGGCGCTGAAGCTGGAATTCACGCGCAAAAAGGCCGCTGTCGACTCACAATTACGAGGAGGTTTACGCGACCAATTAGAAACGACCCAGGCCGGCATGAACGGCATTACCGACGGCCAGAAGACGTTACAAGCGATCCGAGACGAAATGATGAAAATCGATACCCTCTGTTCCGAATCACAAAATATGATAAAGGACTTTGCCAGTATAAATCTGGTGTCGCAAGCACATAGGAATTTCGGTGCTGTTGAAACCATGGTGGAAAATCTCCAGACATTTAATGATCGCCTTAATAGGGTCGAGAATATGTTACGAGAAGATGAAGAGGACAAGGAAAACATGCCGAATCTCCTAAGAGCACATTACGAATTAACCCAATTACGAAATATCCGAGACGATGCGATGGAACAAATACAACGGTCCGAAGAACAAAGCTTACAATCCACATTAGAAGACTACTTCTCGAGGTTAGACGAGGCAATCGATTGGTTCGATGAACATGTCGGCCTTGTCGCACTTAACATGATCAATCTATTGATAGCGGATAACAATAGCTTAGTCGTCCGTCTAGCTATTATCGTTGAGGCTGAAGAGAAGAGCGATCAAAGGGTTGAAGCGCTACAGGAAGCATTAAAAGATCATAAGGAAATGGCTACTAGGTTCCAAAGCATTACAGATGGTGCCAAGAAAGTAAGAGGGTATAAAGAAAAATTCTTGAAGGCTATTGCCGTCAATTGCGAGGGTCAATTCGCCGAAGTGCGAGAAGAATTCCTCGCAGATCCTACAAAACTGGATAAGATAATGAAGTGGTATTTCAATGACCTAAACGCCGTTAAACAAGGAATGGTACCCTTAATGCCCAAAAAATGGAAGATCCTTAAGACATTTGGAGATATATATCACCAACTAATGCACGACTTCCTGACTGGCATGATAGACGACCCTGAATCCAGCTCGGCGAATACACTCGAAATCATCAATTGGCCAGAAAAATATTATAAGAAGATGAGGAAGCTTGGCTTTGCGGAAAGTGAACTCAAGCCTCACATTATCGACAACCGAGAACAAGAATTGGTTAAGGACTTCCGCCAGCTTATTATCAAGTTCCTCGACGAATGGATCGAGAGAATTTTCGCGCAAGAAAGACGCGATTTTGCGGACCGCAATGTGGAGGGCTCGAATTTAGATACGGACGAATATGGTTACTTCCGTACTAAAAATTTGGTTGATATGTGGCGCATGTTGCGAGAACAAGTTGATGCTGCTGGAAATTCACAGAGAACTGATGTGGCCGAGGGTGTTATTGACGCTATGTTCCTCCGGCTACGCGGAAGGCAGCAGTCCTTCCAAAAGATGCTCGAAGAAGAAGCAGCAAGATATGAAGCGGATAAAGTACCTGAGCTCGAGGGCTTCCAAGCTTTACAAGATTGGCTCATCGCGACCGCGAACGACCAAATGGCTTGCATCGACGATAACGAAGACGAAAGTCGATTCGCATACCTTTCTAGTTTCAAACAGAAATTCGAACCTGTGGTAACGCCACAATACATGGAACGTGCCGAAAACGAAACCAGCTTACTCCGTGAAAGTTACATCGACTTTAGTACATGGTGTCTAAGCAAATTTGCGAAGCTCGTCATAGCCGTGGACTTCGGGTCCGTAATGCCAACCTTCTTCACACCGAAATGGTATGAAACAACGGCAATGAAGCAGATGATCATCACAATCGAAGAATATGTTGGTGACTACCAACAAGTGCTACATCATTCACTCGTCGATGTCTTCATCCAAATTCTAGCAGACGAATTACTGGTTCAATATCTCTCGAGCGTACGCAACAAGGGTGCCAAGTTTCGCCGTACAGACCCGTTCCGCGACAAGATCTTCAATGATGTGTCCACGGCTTTCGAGTACTTCCGCAACCTGCCTAACCCCGACTTGAGTAGCGATATTACTCAGAGCTGGCGTGTTACCCAGAAGTTCGAGGACCTACTGACTGCTGGCAAAGACGAGGTGCCTGATGTGTTCCAGCAGTTTAAGGCGGAGTATTGGGATCTTCAGATCACGTGGGTTGAAGCTGTACTTAGGTCCCGCGATGACTTTGAGAGAGGCATGTTGAATGCAGTTAAAGCGCGCGCGGCGCAGATGGATGTCGTTCGCGGCCCGGAGACGTTCATGGGGAGGGTGAAGTAAACAATGTGTGATACCTTGTAGTTGCAAGTTAGGTGTTGTAGTAATAAAACTCACTGGGTCTTACCTAATATCTGAGTATGTTATTATGAAGCGCTCTACTCTAGAGCAGTCTATCTAGGAAGGGAGCGTCCACCAATACTTTATTCGCATGATTGTTTCAACCCATATGTCTATCATCTATACGAACTCACCTCATTAGAAAAGGGGAAAGAAATAACGAAATCCAGCGAACCAATCACGTATCATACGTACCTTACATGTAACACGATCGCTACTATTTCGAGAATGGAAGGTCGAACCCCATTAGGCAACAAAATGGGGGGAAGATGTTTTTATTTCCCGATGGCAGTCTCGGCAGACGTAGATGCGGGCTGACTTCCTTTGGTTCATGGAACCTAGATCTCATTATAGGTCTATAAGTTGTCCTTATATGGTTATAGAATTTGGAGTGTGCAGTTTGCATATTCCAGAAGGATTCTACTCCAATGTCGTTTCGTGTCCACGTCCCTCCCACCGACCCGAGATAGAGGATTTATGTGGTATGAATGCCAACGAAGCCAATAAGAAAGAGGGTTTAGGGACAACTCATCAACGGTAACGTTTATTCCCTTAGGAACTGCATATTAAATCGCTGGCATTGTTACGCAGTGAATTCGTATTCATCATTGCGCTGAAAAACTCCCTTTTTAGAAACATTCGGCGAAAGCACACCTACCTAGATTTGTACCTTTTTCCCGCTGACAAATGCTAATGTAATTACGCCCTCCAAAATGGCCCCCTAAGGTATGTGGTCCCGAGGCTGAATTACACCTACGTCACGAATATTCGGTTCATCGTCACGGGATGGTTTGAGAGGTATCATATAAGAACCAGCAGCACAGACCGGCTGAATATTGTCCGGCCTAGAAGTCCGAGTAATATGGTAGGCTATCCAATCGGGCGGATGAGAATTAACTCAAAACAGCTACCTCGATTATATAAACAAGCGGTCAATGATCCCGGATCCGTCGGGCTGGCAGAATCAAAATCGAGCGCTGACCGGTCTTAGAGAGGCTGGTGATAAATCGACACGGAATACCGTATCAGATCTATTGAAGGCGTGAAAAGGGCATTTTGGAGATAGGAACAAGTCATGCAGCACATCAGGGGTGATATGCACCTTGGGCGATTATAGCCAAGCCTGTGCCTGTGCCGGGTACCTGGTCGAACACGTACGACCGAATGCGAGGAACTAATACTATGTACCTGAGGTTCGTACACTCAGGTGATATTTCCTTGGGTTCGAGCTACATGTATGTAGTTATACGCTTGCCACTGTAACAGATGTGATGTGAATTATTTAGTTGGTAAATATCAAGTTTGGGTTAGTTGCAGTATAAAACGAGACACTGCGCTGGTTGACATTTGGGTTGCTAGCTGGATCGAGATCCTGCATTCGAGACTGAAGTACGGGACTGTATGAAGAAGTCTCGCAAGATCACTTCTCAAACAGCAAGTTTAAAACGATAGAAGTTGGAGAGGCGATCGGAGTGATAATTCATTACACCGAGAAGCCACACGAGGTACATCGTTTATGAGCGTGATCATAGCGTCGCGTATCTGGTAGGATCACCGGGGCTCAAGCATCCATACGCAGTTTAGAGAACCACGAGGTTTGGGTGTCAATTGGCTCGCTCAGTGATACGGCAACGGTGCAGCCGGTGACGCGTATATTCGTGTTGATAGGATCTTTACAAGGCTCACCGCTGTCGGTAAGTCACGTATTTCTACTCAAGTCGAAGAAAAAGTAAAAAGTTGATGAAATATGAGTCCTTGTTAAAATGGCGTCCAACCACAGGGCTAGGACAAATTTTAGTAAGTGTCGATCCCCAGGCCGGTTTGAATTTAACGGCGATGATAGCCGCTGTCAAAAACCTCGGAATATTTAAGGCGTTGCTGGAGTTCGTAGAATGATTGCGCAGATCTTGGCCATCTATATTAAAGATAAGGTCCTAACACGGAGTTGGTAGGCGCTTAAAGGAAGCGGTTGAATTGACTACCGGTTTGGTGTTCAGATATTTGAAAGGAAAACAGGAAGTTGCGTCTTATTGTAATTATCTGGTGCAACTTAGACATCATAGCCGGCCGAGAGGACGAACTTGACGGTAGTGCCAGGGGTACTGCAGGGGAAATATTAGGTGCTGTAATAAGGGAGATGAGATCGGCTATCCACCGCATACCACACAGTTATGTGCGAATCCCTTCATTTGCGTTATATCCTATTTAGGTTAGGTGGATAAGTAATTATTGATATGCTATCGTAAAGAAGGAAGAAAAATGAAATAGAGAGAAAATACCTAGGTGCCCTCTACCCGCTGACGATAGAAGAATGAGTTAATTTCTCCGGCTGGTTGTCTTAGATTATTTCACCCTGTAAATGATTCGTACCACGTTCCACACGGGAATTTCAGTACTCTACCATTTTATGTACGTAAGACAACCTTGGAAAAAGATTGATCATCGGCATGGTATGCCTATCCCGGCGTCGATTATCACATCGCGCTAGTCTCAAAAGTCGATGGAATACATGGAATTCTGCATGGCGACGGCGTCTACGCCCACTCCCGCGCGGAGACAGCCACGCAGCAGCAGCCAAATGCAAACGGGTTTCCGCCGTCGGGGGCGCTGATATCATGCTTCTCCGTTGGCTTGGCTAGGAGGATTTTTGCTGGTGCTGGATGCATGTGCTTTGCAGGTTCGAGCAACCCGGGGCTTTGGAACAGACTTGGCAATGAAACTTGCGAGTTCAAGCTTATATATCTCACCAAACAATGACAAACTGGAATGCAGGCCAAGCTCACCAAGGCTAACCAAGGCGTTGTAGATGAGCTTGGCTCTGTGACTCGTTGCGCACAAAAGGCACGAAATGCACTTGGCGTATGTGCAATGTCACGAGAAGTTGATTACCGGGATGGTGTGGTTGGGTATGATAGACAGATGGGCATGATAATATCTGGAGGCGATTAATTATTTGAAGGGAAGGGGAAAAAAGCTTAACAGTCACTTGACGCTGACCGCAGTTGTAATTCCAAGCTTTTTTCTTTTTTCGCGGTTTAGAGCTACGACGTCACTGCCGTCCGTACTTGTAAAACCCAGGCTAGGATAGGTACATGTAGCCTTTTCAATTGCGATATTGATGAGGTGATATAAGATTAACTTTCAAACCACATAAAGTAGCTCAGGTAACTACGATGTACCTAAATACCTACCCCAGGCAGCTGCCCAGGTAACCTACACCTACCTGATTTGTATATGGAATTTGATTATATTCTATTTGTTCTCCAAATACACTATATAACGGCCGGCTAAGGTTGCCCTCCACTGTTAGCCAGAACTTTAGATACCAACCGCTACGCTACTATTACAACACTACGACTGGTATTAACTAGAAGGCGTCTAGGGGACCCTCAACGGCGAAAAAACACCCCACCATGCCGAAAGCGCCCTCATTAGATCCATGCTCCCCCTGACCCCCCTGTAAAATTCTAACCCCTCGGCTCTAAAGTCCATACCCTACTGGATTAAGATGGACCCAGGCTTCTTTAACCCTCGTTATTGGTCTTGTTGGCCTTGCGCCTGAGCGTGATTCCCCGAATCAAACTCCAGGCCCTTTCAAGTCATGTCATTCATTCCTTCCTCTTCCAGCACTCAAAGTAGGAAAGAAAGGGCAGAAGGAGGAAAAAGATTAGAGTAAGTTGGGCCAGGCCAGGCGGAGGACTATATTTTATTTTATTTATACTTTATTAGTAGAAATCTTTAACTTTGTTTGTACTTTTTGACCACTTTTTCTGTCTTTTAATTTCTGTTGGATTGATTTATTTTATTTTTTAATCTCTCAAGCTAGAGAGAGTAGCCTTTACCCACGTATACGTACGGTACCTATCAACACATACACACAAACAAACCCCCATCCTACATATATACATACACACACTACTACTACATATCCTTCTGCCGCGATCGCAACCGAGACTTTGTCTTGTCTGGCTGGATAAGAGGAGGGAGAAACAAAGGTACGGTAATCTAGTTCCTGTTCCTGGTTGCGGATTTGGGTCTCAGATCACACGTGGACGCCGATAGCCTACGGTCCGGTAAAGATTTCTATTCTTTCTTTGTCGATCACGAAACGCCCACCCCAGAAAACTTCCGTTTCCCAAACGCCCCCTCTAAGCGTCCCATCGCCGACCGGCCGCCTCTTCTCGGGAAGCCCTAGAGCAAATCATCTCTTGGTCCTGCACAAAGCCGTTGGCACCTAACTCGATTGTCTAGGAGCTACATGTCCATTGCGTAACCTGACGATCCAATGGGAGCGTGCTAGATTCAGCGGACCCGAAAGTACCCTGAAGTAGGACGCAAGAGGACGCAGACATGGAAAGCAATGGCAGCCACGCCAAGGACAAGAGGCCCGACAGCGACCCTAGGTCTAAGGACAACACCCCTACGACTTCAACAGCCACCACACCCCCCGATAATGCCAATAAGAGCCCCAAGAAGAGGCGTAAGGTAAACCATGGTATGCTGTACCATTCTTCTAAAAATTCTCCTAAGTCACTCACCTTCGATATCCCGCCCTCGTCGTATCTACCCGTCGCATGGGCTAATTATGGTCGCGCGTTCCTACAGCTTGTGTATACTGCCGTCGATCTGTAAGTCTTCACTTTTTAAAATAAAACTTTGTCAAACGCTTTAAATCCATTGGTTCCACGTCTTGCGTATCTGCACTGCGCATTGCACATATGTAGAATCGAGATGTTGGCACCCCCCTACCCTCATCCTTGTTTTTACGGATGGGAATTATTTTCCCCTATAGTCGCGACCGACCCGGGGGGTCGTTCATGTCACGGGTGATGCATCCCGAGTCTTTTTCTGTATTTATGCGTCCTGTATGTGTGCGCGTACGCCGCGTTTGTGCGTGCTGTTGGGCTTCACAAAAAAAAAAAAAAAAATACACAAAAAAAAATTAACTTGGTTAATACATGTACTGATTTTCCCGGGGGTTCTAGCATATGACTTGCGATCTCGTATGTAAGATCTGTTCCTACTTCTTGCGTCGATGGCTTGGGGAATATTGCATTGCCCCGGTCTGCATGAGCCAAGATTGACCGGGACCAACCCCTATTGAACAGGAGAGACCGTGTACGAGATGTATCAAACGCAATATTGGCCATCTTTGCCATGATGAGCCCCGGGATCCAGATTCCAAGAAGCCCAGAGCCTCCCAAGGTCCGGCTGCACACGACGAATCAGACATTCAGCCCGAACTATCGCAAAATTCAATAGACCAGAGCGCTACCCCCATGGCACCACCGTCATTCGACGGTCCTGGAGGCGCTCAAAGAACTAAGCAAGGTTATGGTGCAGGTGCACTAAGCCAGGCAAACCCCCTACAGCTTGTGTCACCGTCGGTCTCTAGTATGCAGGCCAGTAACTCTGGTGGCAATATGAACCAATGTAGGTTTTGTAAAACCCTTATGAAAGTCGTTTTGGCTTGGGGGAAAAAGCTAAGCTGATCTCGTAGTCGGTGGGTTATCTGATACCTGGCTATCTGCCCAAAATCAATTCAGCGATATGCACCATTTCCATCCTCAATATATGCTTGCCCCAGAAGTCACTCACGAGTTCAATTTACTCAATGATTTTCTGAATACCAGTCTGCTCGATGACGCCGGCAATCTACCGGAAGATCAGAATCTGCTGTTCAAAAACAACCAGTCGCAGCCTAATCAGTCCGACATGGCTGGCTACGCGGGCGCCGGCAATACTAACCTCCTAGCCACGGGCACGATGCAGGCAGGCTCCATGCCTCCGCCAAGCACAGAGCAGGCGAACTCCAATGTCATCCCGGCGGATAAGACGCGTGAATTTTACCTCCAAGCAGCAGATCCATCCGGCAACGACACTCCCGAGGCGCGCATGCAACGTGTTATGAAGGCCAAATACGATGCAGGCATGTTGAAGCCATTCAACTACATCAAAGGGTACGCGAGGCTATCATCATACATGGATGGTCATATTGCTCCCGCCTCGAAGCAGAAAATTTTACGACAGCTTGATCGCTTTCGACCAAAATTCCGAGAGAAGGTACAGGGACTTACGGATATGGAACTCGTCTTTGTTGAGATGTGGTTCGAGAGGACCCTGTTGGAATACGACCGGGTCTTCGCTGCTATGGCTGTGCCGGCTTGTTGCTGGAGAAGAACAGGGGAAATCTTCAGGGGCAACAAAGAAATGGCTGAACTAATTCACGTTCCAGTCGAGAGGCTACGAGACGTAGGTTCCTTCCCTTTACATTCAATTACGAATTAGGCTGTTAGCTGATGAAATGCTGTATTAAGGGAAAAATCTCGTTGCACGAGATACTGACGGAAGAGTCGCTTGTACGGTATTGGGAAGAATTTGGCACTATCGCGTTCGATGCAGCACACGACACACTTCTAACGGCATGTGCTCTAAAAAATCCAGATGACCGGTCGAATGACCCGATTGTCAATTGTTGCTTTTCGTTTATGATTCGCAGAGATGACCACAAGATGTAAGTAATGAACTTTGGAAAACAACTGTTATTCAGACATGGAGGAGATGCTAACATGTTATCTTTCTATTTACAGACCCAGCCTCATCGTTGGCAATTTCCTTCCGCATGATCCTTCGCATTCTTAGGAATTTTCAGTTTCATCTAACATAAACAATTTACTCTAATGTTCTCTTTATCTGGTCATAAAGGTGGGTGAAATTTTACACTACACTATATCATATACGTTATTGGAGGTAGAATCATATTGTATGGTGTTGAAGATTTACGGCTCATGTACATGAGAGCATGATAGATGTATGCATATCAAAGCTTATTAGAGCTCAGGGGCCATGTCATATCCACCTACCTAGGTACATTGCTGCCTAGATATAGGCGGATTATTTGCATACAGTTGCTTATTGTGCATTGGGTTTGCCTACATACCTAGGTACCTAGAGAAATGTACCTACTTTGGGTGCATGTATCTTTGGGAGGAACGGGGACATTTGGATATCTGGCAGAGAAAGAAGGAGCGAGGATGTTCACTATGTTCGGAAGGTGTTGTCGATATTTCTTATTACGCCTTCCCCAGATGGAACGTAAACTACAACGCTACCTAAGGTATCTTTCAACATATCGCGCCTTCTCGTCAGTGGATATGCATATACTTTTTTAGGACAAAGCAAAACGGGAAAAAAAAGCAAAATTCTAGCAAATAGAATCTCCACCTTCACCACCTTCACCACTTTCACCTCTCCAGCCACCTTTTTTTGCTATCCACAACAACCCACAACCAATCTGGGAGTTCTCGTCTTATCATTAATCTCCCTCCAACCCGGCAACAGATATCCGAACCTTCTCGAGATTGCCTTCGCACTCATTATCGTTTACACCCACTCATCTTACTACCTACTTACATAGGTCCTTACGTGCTAAGGCGTCCAAATGTAGCCATCGCCACTATCCTCCGTGATAAAACCCCCACAGGGCTTTAATAGGTGACATTCGTAATTCTAAGGACCGCACGGTGCAAAGCCACATTACGACATATCAAATTATATTGACCCATAGTGCGGCCCTCGGCTTTCCGGCGTTCCGTCATGGACGCATCTGCTAATTCCTCTCATCCTTCCCGCGACAAACGTATCAAGTCAATCATAGGTCTGTCCGTGTTCTTCATACTGTTAGGAATATGCTGATCTTCTCAAGCTTTCTGTCATGATCTCCAGAAGCGGTTACGTAACAAGAACGACGACCAGGCACTGAAGGATCTTACAGATGGGCTGAAGGATCAAATCGACACTATTAAGCCCTACGTTGTGAAGCATCCAGGTTCACATCGCCATACACAGCTTGATGAGGTCGGCAAAGACCTCTGGAATTGGTGTGTTGATGCCAACCATAAAAGTGACGGCGATGTTTCGCCAGCAAGACACAAATTATTGACCTCGGTTCGGGTATTCTCTTTTCTAATTCTAGCACTGGCTCAACGGAGTGACCACAATACACCGAAAGATCTCCTTCGCCTGGAAAAAGTGGCAATTAAAGCCGGCAGATCATGCATTGGTATATTGCATCCTCGTCCCACCCCAAGGTGCAGTTTTGCGGGACTTACACTTACGTAGTGAACGGCGAGCTCGACTTCGCGCGCACGGTTCTGCAAAAAGCCGCGGAATATGACGGGTTGCTACAGAATATGCAGGCAAAATTACCGACCGAAGAGTTAAACGAATTCAAAAAATCACAGGCAGAATATTTGACACTTCGTACAGTGCTAGTAAGTCGCACATTACTTTATGCCCTCCATTCAATAGCTGACGCCGCCGAAAGGCCTGGAAAGAAAACCGCCTAGATGTAGCCGACCATCTCTACGAAAAGATACAAGACCACAATAATGATATTATTGACCCCGAGTCGGTGGGGAACTTAGCCGATGCATTTTACGAGATCGGAAAAGATCTAACAGCTCAGAGAAACTTCCCACTGGCAGCGAAATGGCTGGAGAGAGCTTACGAATGCATCAACATCCAAGAGATTGAACGGTTATCCAGGGAAGTTGTCGAACTAAGATTAGCAATTTCGCAGGCTCTTGTTCGCGCATATCTAGACGTAAAGACGGAAGATGGCTTCCAAAAGGCCGAAAATCATGTCGGCTACATCGAGTCTGAGATCGGTGACAAGCTAGTTGTTCTTTTACTTAGATTGGAACTCCTACTCAGCTCGCCTGCTGAAGTATTCGATAGTGGTGCGTATGCTGACATCCTCCGACGAATGATTAGAAGCCTTGACGTTTCCGAATCAAGCTTCAATCTCATTATGCATCACATACGTAAGCTGGAAGATAAAAGCCCGAGCCTCGCCGTCTCGGTACTTGACGATTTTATAACATCGAGAGTCCTACCCACTCAACACGAAGAATGGGTCGAACGAACCGTCGTGCTTCGCGCTCAGATGGCTACAACGCATCGCGACACTCATGGAACGATACAAGAGCTCACAGCCACGTTCGATAGTGTCGCGGCTAATTTAGAGAAACCACTGTCAGCTGCTGTTGTTCTGGCCATACAAATAGTTGGTGATCTGATTCGTTGCCGTCTCTTTCAGGGCTGAGCTAATTATTCTCAGCTCATGTGGAAGAAAATTGACGCATCGTTCAGTCAACAAGAGTTGGCCGTAACCGAGAGATGGTGTCGGGTGGCTATGCATTCAGCTCTGTGCCATTCCGGACCGGCCAATACCGCGAAAATAGCTAGGTAGGCTCTTCCTGAGTGCGTACGATGTTATTATTTCTGACCGGAATAGGAAATTGCTTAGTTGCGCACTCCAAAGGAACGACCTAGGTAATGCTATAGAAACATTCCGATCTATGAGTGAATCAGCTAGACGAGAGCCGATGACACTATATCTCGGGTATAAATTAGCTCTAAGGAGCAGAGACCGAGAAATGGCTTCCGACTGCTTAAAGAATATCAGCGAGGCCTCACTTAATGATCCTCAATACCTTTATGCCTGTTGCATGGATGCACAGGAAGCGGAGGACAAGGAGTGTGCAATCGAAGCATTGCGATATTTGATTTCGAGGTCTGAATATAGTTCTTCGGATGTCATCCATCTACCCGCCCTGTTACGCGTCATTATACGCCTCGAGTTATCGCTTATAAATACCCAAGGTTCGGAGTCTGCCGGCCAAAATTTGCTAGTAGATGATATCTGCGAAGCCTTTGAATGCGGTAGGTTGTTCACATTATACACTCATTCGCAGGTTGGTCGGTTTGGATTTTTACTAAGTTGATTAGCTGTAACAGCGATTCAGAGAGACCCGCGAAATGGCCAAGGCGAAAAACTGTTCGTCATAGAGGAATTAAATTGGTTTTCCAAGAACGCTTATAACTTGGGCCTTAAGAATATACACGAATGGCACCCGGCTCAAAGCATCCGTATCTTCCAATGCTGCCTCTCGATAATTTCTCAATACCCCCAAGACATTCCAGGCCAAGCAGCCGACGATCTCTCGTTACGTGCGATGTTCTGCCATTTTCTGATAGCGACTGCATTCATCGCGCTGGCTCGGCCTGAAGACAGCGTAGAAACGCAACTCCAGCACTATCTTACGATGCGTAATCATGTCAAAGGTTTCGATACTGCGTTAGAAGCGCGATTGGAAAATCTAGATGAAGTATCTAAGACCGACCTTCAAATGAAGCTTTCGACACTTCTAGTTTTCGATTTTGAGGGTGCCATCTGCCTGAAGTCATAGGATGACTTGTCGGAGATCCTTTTGAAAGCTAATACATGTCAGAATCTATCGGCCTTCCAGGCGATGGCGGACTGTATTCTGCGAGCACAATCCGTCCCTGGACAAGGTGCGTTTCGAGGTAAATGAATGTTTCCTAATTGTTGACTAAAGGTTTAGTGCTCTATTCTACTCTACGCAAGATCATAAACCATATATTTTCTCTTGAGTATTTCGACAATGGAAAGCTTGCGAAGTATTTACGATGTCTACTCAAGGCTACGCTGGCTTCGGAACCCGAGTTTCCACTGAAGATCATGGAAGATATATGTAGGCTTGTGAAACAATGCGCAGCTGTGAGTGTTCTCTATAGGGGAAGTCCGGGGAGTGGGTTGGATGGTGACACTGATTTAATTGGCAGAGTCAACAGCCGATCTCTCTAGAAGAGGTAGCGTGGTTCACAACTACGGCATTTAATCACGGCGTAGACTTATACGGTACCAATGAAGATGAAAGCAGTAAGAAATGGATTGCTCACGCGTTGACATTAGCACATTATCACCAGGATGGCGGCGATTTAGAACGAGAGCTCCAAAAGAGGCAGATCAATCTCAAGTGGGATGCCTAATTCTACAAAAGTAACTCCAGCTTGGTGGTCATGGTAAATCTTCTATCACTTGAACCACCATCTAAGGTATATGAAAATTGCTCCTTATATAGAGCATATAGTGTCGCGTATAGCAAGCTTCAATTGTAATGTTGCTAGAATGGCTTCCCGAATAGTTACCGTCGGCCTCCGTGTAATGATAAGTACATGTACTGTACGCCACTCACTCAAAACCGACAAGATTTACTTATGATTCGCCACTCGCAAGTGATAATAGGAAGTCTAACACCGTCTGCTAATCTATACGGCTCGATCTCGGACTATAGATACCCGAATCAGGGGCTCAATGTAATACATCGCAGGAGACAAAATCCTTAACAGCTTCACAATTCAATCACATGAAATTTCAAATTCATCTTATGTTTCAATCCTCTGTATTTTCACTCGTCTATGTTTAAACTGTCTAAAAAGCAATGCGTTGCGAGGGCTGAAAGAGCGCAGTCATGACGTCTTCGATACGCAAGGCCCTTAGGGCATCATTTATTACCTACAGAAATAACATTCCTCACTTTTATCATTTAGTACCTCCAAACGTACGAGCATCATTTAGATTTCAAGTAACTCGATTTAGTTCGGCGAAAATGGTGAAGGATACGCAAACCGTTATTGAGTGAGTCGTCCTAGCTAAGTTGGAAAATCGGGATCATGATGAATTGGGTTCTCGGTATGCGCTAACAAGTTATGAATGATGCTTTTAGGGAGTTCAATGAACTCGTCAATATGTCAGCTTCGGATCTTGAAGCGTGGCTTAAAGAGGGCTCATCGGAATCAGCGGGGTGGAACAAGAGTGATGGTTCGGGAGAGACGATTGGGCATGAGAGGTATTTTTAGTCTCCCTCTACTGCCTTCGACGAGGAATTATTATTAACTAACGCGTATTGACCGTAGTGGACGTAAAATAATCGATATTCTGAAGAAAAATTCGAATAAAGACCCCGATAAATACGATCAAGACGACGTTGATCACATGCGCCGAGTTGTCGCGTATTGCAAGAGGCACCTTGCACAAGAGGATAAGGCAAAGCAGGATCCGGGAAGTAAGAGCGCAAGGAGTCTGAAGAACTGGGGACATGATCCCACGAAGGAGTGAGAAGGGGGATGTAATGAAACGAGTTTTATATGGAAAAGGGAAAGATGTTGTAGCGATTTCCTAAGAGAAGAGTATAATAATATTGGTATACAAGTACCTTTAATGTTTATAATATAGAGGGTGTGGGTTGTTAGACCGGCAATCATCTTATTGAATAGAAACCCTCTTGCGACACTTTAACCACCCTATCCAACTTATTCCCCCTTCACCATCTTCACAACTGTATCCTCCATCGGCGTAGGTTTAACTCCCACACTCTCCAGCAACTTTTCCAGCACCGGATCATCGACTAGGCACTCTCCTGCTTCCAGCGCATCATACGTACTAACCCACCAATGCACAGCCCGCCTATCCCTCTCCCTCTCCTCGACATAATACCTCTCATGCTCATCACGCCCTACAATCTTCGTCTCAACCCCCTTTCCCCTAGTCTCCCTCACCAGCGCCGCGATATCCTTCAAACTCTTCGCACCCTTCGGATTCGCCGAAAGGTAAAACGTCTTCCCATCATACTCCCTACTAGGCGCAACAAGCACAAGCGCACTCCCAATACCCAAATCCTTAATCGAAGTCCAAGCCACTTTCCCATCACCAGCAAGCGGGACCACAGTCCTATCATCGTTTTCAGGGTTAAAGTATCCAAGATACAGTGGCCAGGACTCGTTATACAAACCCTCGCGAATGAACGTCGTATACTCTAATTTCCCCTCTTGCTTTAATTGGCTTAGGTACGCTTCGGTGCGTAAATGCGCACGCATAACACCGGCTTTACTCGTTTTTGAAGGACTCTTGGTTTGCGGGTCCCAGGCATATGCTAAGCTGGAATAGTACACGTGCTTTACACCCACTCGCACCGCGGCGTCAATCGCTACGCGATGATGTTTTTCACGGCCTTGACCATCGGGGATTTCTTTCCATTTCTTTTCTCCGGTTTCCGAAGTGAGGTATTCGTCGAAATCGAGTGCGATGTGTGGTGTTGAGACTAAGAAAAGTCTGTCCACACCTTGTAACGCTTTTTCGAATCCGGTTGGGTCTTCGAAGGTCGCGTGGCGTACTTGGAGTTCTGGGTGTTGGGAGGCGAGGCCGGCCCAGGTGGATGAGTCGGGTTGTGAGGATGTGAGTGCGACGATGGATGATGGTGGGAGGAGGTTGAGTGAGAGCAGGGCGGAGAGCGTGGCGCCGCCTAGTTTGCCGGAGGCGCCTGTTATTGCTATCGTGGGGGTCGACATATTGTACTATGGTGAGTTATCTTAAGCGTTGCCGTAGGTTCTATGAATTACGATTGAGAATGAAGGAGGGTGAGTGTCAATGACGTAAATGGCTCCGACGAAAAAGCTAGCGATCGACCCGCACCTATATACCCAAAATTATCGCCTACATCGTCTTTAATCGCCGGTTGCCATTACAAATGGAAAACTGACCAAGCAGCTTTCATAATGAAAATAAAAATAACGACTGTAACTGTAAAATTGACATCGCACCGATCGTAGCAACATTAAGCCACTATAGAGGTCAAAAATTGTTGATAATGTCAATGCGACATTTCGATGCTGCTTCGATGCAACTTTCGCATCGTGGGTAGGACTTGTAGAATATGTATGGTAGTCTACTCCATTTACCTAGCTAGGTATAGTAGATGTTTCCTAGGTATAAATTAGTAATGTATACACTGATTACTATCGCGAACCTGGACTGCCTCGGCGTAACTGCATAGCCGCTGTTTCGATTGACGATGCCCCTAAGGGGATGAGAGGTATATTCTTAATTGTTATACTTCAATGCACAAGGCCTATGAGAACCATGTGACCGATACTTAAGTAGATTCAAATTCTATAATCCAGCAATGCTATATTCACTCATTCCATCGTATGACCCTTTCCACCCGTCACAAACTAGCCTATATTTTCCTAAATCGCGATCAAAAAGCTCTTCTCACCCTCTTTTGGCAACACCCTCGCACGCTCCATGATCGGATCCACACATGAAAGTCTGATCCTCTCGGGTGTTGCTGGGCTTTCTAGCCTTAATAAGCCATCGTCCTTCTCTCCTTCTGCATACAACGTAGCTTTGACGCCGTAATCGGCGCGAGCAGCTTTAAGCGCATCGCGAATGGCGAAGAACGCCGAACTTCCCATGAACAAGGGCGGTTCGCCGACACCTCTACTGCGCTGGATTGTGCGGAGTTCCTCCCACTCCACACCCTTGAGAAGACTGACGTTGAAGACCTGCGGTATATCACGGAAGCCAGGGATCTTGTAAGCGCCGGGTCCTTTGGTAAATAAATTCCCCTTCATCGGCCCGTTGCGCAACCATAGACTTTCTTCCATGGTAAACAAACCTAGCCCTTGTGTGAATGCACCTTCGATCTGACCGTAATCGATAGATGGGTTAATGGACCGACCCACGTCCATCTTGATATCGGCGCGTAAACATGTCCAAGTGCCAGTCAAGCAATCGATTTCGACTTCGGCGGCCGCAACACCCTGGGTAAAATAGAAGAACATCTTACCGGTATTCTCTCCCCAAGTATAGCCAATTTCTGGCGTCTTATAGAACCCGTTGGCACTCAAATTCACTCGATCAAAATAAGCCGCGTGAGCGAGTTCCTTCATAGTGGCTTTAGGTCCGAGCTTCTCCCTATATGGTGCCAATCGAGCGTTAATTTGCTCGCAAGCATTAAAGATGGCGTAGCCGTTAAGATCCGATGACGCCGAGGCGGCGGTAGGCGATGTATTAGCGACCGTCATAGTAGATGTTTCTGAAATATGAACATCTTCTATCGGCACTTTCAGAGCTTGCGCGGCAATTGTAACCATCTTGGTGTGCAATCCTTGCCCCATCTCCGTGCCTCCGTGTGCAACCAGGACTGACCCATCGTGGTAGATGTGTACCAAGGCGCCAGCCTGGTTGAGCCAAAGCGCGGTAAATGAAATACCAAATTTGGTGGGAACCAAAGCCAGTCCTCGCTTGCGCCACTTGTGTTCCGCATTGAACTTTTCAACAGCCTGTCGGCGTCTAGCATAATCTGATTCCTCTTGAACTTGCTTGTACATCAAAGGTACGTGCCAATCTTTTATTACTTGGTTGAAATGCGTTTCGTCGCCAGGTCTATAGAAATTGATCTCGCGGAATCTCTCGACCGGTATATTAAGGCGGTCGGCAATTTCGGACATATAAGATTCGGCGAAGAATAAGCCCTGAGGTCCGCCGAAGCCGCGAAAGGCGGTGTTTGACATCGTGTTGGTCTTACATAGACGCCCGCGGACATGGAAGTTGGGAATTTTATAGCAATTGTCGCTATGGCTCAGGGAGCGTTCGCACACAGCGGCGCTCAAATCGAAGGACCAGCCGGCATTGTTGAAGACATCCATATCAATGGCTTGAAGTTTCCCATCCTTATTAACGCCCACCTTCCATTTGGCAAGGAAAGGGTGTCGTTGGCCCGTCAGCACCATATCCTCGTCGCGGTTGAGCATGCATCGCACCGGTCGCTTGGTTTTCTGTGCAGCTAATGCGCAAATTGTGCTGAGATGAACACATCTGGTTTCTTTCCCGCCGAAACCGCCACCTAGACGTTTGACTCGAGCCGTCACTTTATTAGATTGTACGTTTAGGATCTTGGACGCATATGCTTGACTAAAAAGGTATTAATTTCTGAAACTAGAATATGAATGGGAATGCGTACCTTTCGGTGGGGTTTTGACTACTACTCCAGATTTCCATCTCGCCATCTTCGGGCTTAGGTATAGCGACGCATGCATGTGTCTCAAGGTAAAAATGTTCTTGGCCACCCATTCGCGAGACACCCGTAAAGGTGTAGTCGCAATGCTTGAACGCTTCTTCCGGATCGCCCTTCTTAATATATCGGAAGAACTTATGAAAGCTTTCTTTTTCGATTGCTTCTTCCATAGTAAAAATGGCAGGAAGATCTTCATACTCAATCTTCACAGCTCGGACACCTTGCACAGCCTTTGCTTGAGTTGTAGCTAAGACGATAGCGATTGGCTGACCGGCCGTAAAGACCTCATCTTCGACGAAGAATAAGTCGTCGAAATTTGGCGCGCCCCATTTGTTGTGTTCAGGATCGTGTAGATCATTGTGATCAACTATGTCGATAACCCCGGGAATATCTAACGCCTCTGTATAATCAATTGACTTGATTTTTGCATGCGCTCTTGTAGACAGCACCAAGCACCCATGAAGTTCGTTCTTCAGCGGGGGGATGTCATCGGTGTATTGTGCTTCTCCCGTGGTTTGTTTCAAAGCTGCTACATGGTTACCTGCCTTTCCAAGAGGGCCATCGGTGTACTCGGAAGTGGCTTCGAGGTCCTTCCAACCGGTCGACAGCACCCTCTCTAGCTCTTCGACGGCTTGACTATCGCCGTGTTCACTTTCCACATTGATACCCGACAATACATCGTGGTAGAACCTATAGAAGAAACTGAGTGCTAGTGATCTTCGGTATGAGGCCATACCTCCCGGGACGCTGAATGCAAGGTCGAAATCGGACTCAAGTGCATTCATAGCCCCTTCTAGGGTATCAGGATGGGCGAATAGTTTGCCATTGAGATACTCGTTGGCCTTCTTCGCCGCAATGGTAAAGGGTGCCATGCCTCCATAGACCAAATTACAATGCTCAACAATTCCCTTCGTATCTAACCTAACATGCAACGCCCCAGTGACGATTGCAATATCGTCATCTTTACGTTTTGCCTGTTTGTAGGCTCTGAAGTAGTCGCCCTTTTCGCGGGTTAGAGGAATACGAATTGATGCGAGGATGGAGTCCGGTTCTAAGGCTGTTTTGCGATAGCCTTTAAAGAAGTCGGCCATAGGAATCTCAATCTCTTTACTCCGAGACTTAGCCACTAAGACACAGTCCGCCGCCATGAACACGGGATTCAGGTCGGAAATAGGAGAAGCGGTAGCTAGGTTTCCGGCGGGTGTACCGACATTTCTAATTTGCCGCCCAGCAAAATACTTGAGTTGCTTGTGCATGGCTTGGAAAACCTGACCTTTCGCTTCGCCATACCGCTTGACAGCTTCCAGGCAAATATTCTCGAGGTCTGTGAGTACGACGTTTCCACCAATTTCTAGGTGATCCTCTTTGAAAGAGTAATGTCGCAATTCAGGGATATCGCCAACGAAGACTGAGACCGGGTATTGCAAAGCCTTGAATTTGATCTCGATTTGTGTTTCTGTGCTACCGCCGATAATCTTAGCATTGGGAAAGGTGCTCTTTATCTCAAGCAATTGAGCTAGTGTAACGGGGCGATACCACCTCTTCCTCTTATTTCCGAAGGAAAGAGGTTTGAATGTATGCTTTCTTAGTGTCGGTGGGAATATGAGCTCGGTATCTGGTTTGTATTCGATGAAGCCCGGTGGTGTGAATCTTTTGATGGGTTGCCCATCGTCTAGGCTTTTGCTCTTACAGCATCCTCCATTTGCGCCCTTAGCGCCGTCGCCATTTTCCATGCAACAGCCGGAACCGCCACTCGCCGTGCTTTTACCGCAGGCATTTTTCACACTAAAAGTGTTAGCAGCATCCAGGATCGGGCGATATCCAGTACATCGACAGAGATTCCCGTCGAAAGCTTCCTCGATATCATGTTCGGTGGGTCTTTCGTTGTTTCTCAATAAGGCATATAAACTCATGACAATTCCGGGGGTACAAAATCCACATTGACTTCCATTACTCTTGGCGATTCGCTCTTGGGCAGGATGAGGCTGTTTCACATTTCCTATGCCTTCAATTGTTATAACATGTTTTCCGTCCACACTTGCGAGCGGTGCTAGACAGGCATTGACGCTGGCGTGATATATTTTCTTGGTGGTCGGGTTATATTGGCTGACCACGACGGTACAAGCACCACATCCGCCTTCCGCGCAGCCACTATGCAGTACATCTGTTAGTGCTACATAATTCGGGAGTTCAATGATCATCCCGACTTACAGCTTGGTCCCGGTCAAGCCAATACCCCTTAGATATTCAAGCAATGTAACCTCGGGATCGATCTCGTCGAGCACGACGCGAGTACCATTAAGGTAGAAGCGGATGGTGTCATCGAATACGGTGGTCAGCGCTGACTCCCCGCTCTGTAGCGCTGGGTCTCTTTCGGGTGAGATAGCGATGGGAGCCATGATGCCAAACTTCTTCTTTCTACTCCGATGGCTCCAACTAAATGATATAGTAAACTCAAGACTCCATGTAAATGCTTTATTTCTGGTCGGAGGTTGTGTGACTATAACTATTATGGTGTACAGCCGGATCTCCGAAACTTGGTAGGGAAAAGATAATGAGTGCTAAGAGTTCGAAATGAAGTGGAATAAAACAGAACAATAAGGAGTAATACCAAATAACACAATCACTTGAAATTGTGTATCACAAACCAAATAACTCAGAGTTGTACTCTCACATATTAGTCAAGTGGCAATGTCGTGTTTGTATGTTCAATATGTTCAGTCGCCGGGTCCCGATCGATCGTTTCCGTGAGGCACTAACACACCAAGACCCAAGAGCTGAGGTGCCATTTGGTATATATGACATAGTATGGGGCGAATCAGGAGGGGTACATATCGAATCAGGTTCCAGAAATAGCCTGACCCTTTTTACACCACGTTTCTGTTCGTTGGCACGCTGAGGCGGTATGTAACTGTGAACAGCTTATGAGAGATGAGAGATTAGAGAAGTATGTAACTTGTAACTTTGTAGAGAATCGAGTCTAAGCCAAAGACGGTCGGGTAGCGGGGTAGTTTGTGCACTGGTGGAGTACACTTATGAGATTAAGTAAGCTTCCCCGCCTACCCTATCACTTCTAGCGCCCATTAGCCTTATCGAAGAGATCCTCAGGGCCTCGGATGACTCCGAACTCCGTCCTAGATTCTCCAATTTCCGAGCTGCTGTACATTTCTTCCAGTTTCAACTTTCTTCAAGTAATATCCTCTTCGACCCGCTGATATCTTTAGGACTCTATAAAAAGTTATCGTGGCTTACTATAAAGCCTTTGGACCACTAGCACTCTTCATCACTCTATGATATTGATATTATAGCTATATGACTACCTTTTCTACCACCTCCACATAACCCCCAGTCGATCAGTATACCGAGGGTCTGGACCTGACTAGGCGGAAACGAAAGGTCACGACGAATTATCGAAACAATACTAGAGCGCCGCTAACGATTCGTGTGAAAACTCCTCCATCTTAACTGATCCAATATCATCGAAGAGACTCGGACTCTATAGTTATCATTAATAAAGCAAATACCTACAGATGGAAAATGTTCATACCGAAGATCTCTTCGTGAGCTAGTTGAATATGAAGCGAAGTGAAGTTTTGAAACTAATACTTCAATACCTTTCCGCGATCTGACACACACTACTTATAGACAGAATATCCTATTCAAGTAATTATAGCTAATATTAGTTTCAAGATCTCGAATACCTAAAACATCGAGATCGTCTCGAAAAATGCCCGTGGTAGTTTTCCCGGTACCCCCTTGTCCTCATCTGGAAGAGTGTACCAAGACTAATCCGCCGGCAATTCAATTTCACCATGATTAACCCCTCATCGCATTATAACCCCTACCCGTGGCCGGTAGTATTTATGGCAAAAATGGCCAGGCGGATAGATGGCAGTTCTATCTATCCACGTGGCTAAAGTATAGATACATTTCCCTTTTCTGCAGCATCATTCCCGTTGTGTGTGTATGTTTCTATTTCCTGGTATAGAAGCGTTGTCATTCGATATTCGGTATACCGATACGGTGTTGAGTAGTTTCGCTGGACTTGGCAAAGACTACCTAGGATACTATAATACGACGACAACTGCGATATTATAAGTCAAAATGCCTTCTGCTGAGACAAACGGCACGAATGGCGACTCGGCCTACCAATTCTACAACGTAATCGATGGCAAGCCCCGCATCTCCAAAGATCATCACCAGGTCATCGATCCCCGTACCGAAGAGCCTCTTTGGGATGCCCCTATCGCAACGTCCAAGGATCTTGATGACGCAGTTGAAGCCGCAAACCGTGCTTTTAAGACATGGAAGAAGAGCACTACCGCCGAGCGTCAAAAGGCTGTTCACGATGTAGCCAACATTATCCTCCAGAATGTAGAGGTTTTGGCCGAGGTTCAAAGGAGGGAAACTGGCAAGTCTAGGGCCATGTCGAGATTTGACGTCGAGAGAGCTGCGTGGCATTTTGAATACTACAGTATGTAGATAGTATCCTACCTAGGTATATTAGCCACACATTCGCTAACCTGCCCTAGGAACTGTATCGCTCGAGGATGAGCTGCAATACGAAGACGACACAGTCCGTATTATCGCGACGCACACGCCAATCGGCGTACTCGGCGCCATCTCACCATGGAACTTCCCCATGATCCTATCAACCGTGAAAGTAGTCTCTGCACTAGCCACCGGTAACTGCGTGATCATTAAACCCTCGCCCTTCACCCCCTACTCGCTCCTCAAATTCTGCGAGTTGGCCCAATCAGTCCTACCTCCAGGCGTCTTTCAAGCCCTCAATGGCGGCGCCGACCTCGGCGAGAAAATGACGTTGCACCCCGGCATCCACCACATAAGCTTCACAGGCACAATCGCCGTCGGTCAGCGCATCTTGCGCAACTGCGCCGGCACCCTAAAAAAGGTGATCCTCGAACTCGCAGGCAACAACGCATGCATCATCTGCGACGACGTCGACCTCGACAAAGTAGTCCCCCAAGTCACCACCGGCGCTCTATTCCACGCGGGCCAAGTCTGCGTCGCCTCGAAGCGGATATACGTACACGAGTCACTATACGATAAGTTCCTTGATCGACTCATCGAAGAATCTAAGAAATTCGCGATTGATGACGAGGATTCGATTTCTTTCGGTCCATTATCGAATAAGCCGAATTATGAACGCGCCGTGGGCTTTATTGAAGATTGTAAGAAGAATGGGTATAAAATCGTGGCTGGAGGTGATGTAAAGCCACGGGAAAAGGGATTCTGGATCCCTCCGACTATTGTTGCGAAACCCCCTGAGAACTCGCTGCTTGTGCAGGAGGAGCAGTTTGGTAAGTCATTGTTGCGCCGCATACTTAGATAAGCGTTTTGCTTACGTGTTGCTAGCCCCTATTGTCCCTGTCATGTCCTGGACGGACGAAGACGATGTGATTACGCGAGCGAATCTAGATAATGCCGGGTTGGGTGCTTCGGTGTACACTCCCGATGCGGACCGGGCGCAGCGTATTGCGCGCCAGCTTGAGTCCGGCACCGTCTGGATCAACCAGTTTGAGCGCCCGCACCACGCTGGTTTCTTTGGCGGTTGGAAACTTAGTGGTTTTGGTGGTGAGATGGGCAAGCAGGGTCTCTTGCACTACTGCCACACTCAGAGCTTGCAGATCGCTAAGACGTAGGCGAAGAGTGTTAGACAATCTCCTTGTCTGTCTGTTTAAGAAATATGATGTATAGAGGTGGTTTGGAATTTCCTGTAGATACCTACGTATGTATGTAGTTGCCCGAGGCCTAAGATGTTTCAATAACCGATAATATTCGGCTCATGTTTCTGGATCTTTTTATGCTACGTGTTGGAAAAATCCAAAACACACTCGCAATTTAATCAGTTAATCAATGCCTCAACTTTTAACGCATCTTGACAGATCTATCTCCCGCGGATCTAAATGAATCTAGCACATTGAACCATCTCTATCTATCTATTCGTTTTTTTTTACTCCTGGATATACTGCTTCAAACCCCTCAACCGCTCCTTCGCCGTCTCTAAGACCTCATCTTCCTTGCAAACCGCAAATCGGATATAGTCCTCGGCAATATGCGCATTAGGATCGGTGTAGAACTCAGTGGGAGGAATAGCGGCGACGCCGACCTCCTGGATGAGGAACCAAGCTAGCTTAAAGTCGCGTGGGCGGGATGCGACGTGCGGCGGGAACGGGTAATCCTCTGGTAACTTGACCTTGCTCATGTTGACGAGTACAAAATAGCCTCCTTCGGGATCCGTATATGGTAGACCTAATTCTTCCCACACTTGATTGAAACGCTCCATTTTACCCTTCATGTCTCGCACTGTCTCGTCCCAGAATCCTTCGCCTTCGGCTTGCTCGAATCCTAGGTTTATTAGTTTATCGCCCTGTGACATCGGGTGGTAGATACATACCAACGGCGCAGGCTTCTTGCAACGGCGAAACAGATGAGTAGCAAATTCGTGTGTGAGCTGCGGAAACGTATTGGATTAGATGAGGAGGACCCATGAGCCAACCTACACGCCAACCAGTGGCGTAGAAATTTTTGCCAGCCGAGCCAACGGTTAGGGTTAAATTCTCGATTTCTGGCGAGAGGGTGGCGATTCTAGTGAATGGGACGTAGTAAAGGCGGTCATATACCTCGTCGGAGAGGATGATGATTTCGTTCTTGACGCATATATCTCCTATTCTCTGAAGCTCTTCTTTTGAGAAGACCTTGCCGACGGGGTTATCTTTATACTGTTTAGCTCTGAGGGGTCATAATTAGTCATTAAAAGGTAACTCACGAGGCGTATTGATAACGATCATCTTGGTCTTAGGTGTGATGGCTCTCTCGAGCTCATCGAAGTCGATGGTCCATTCAGCAGATGAAGAAGTTCGTGTAGCTCCATCTGTCGGCGGGTGTAGAGGGACATAGACAATCTTCCCACCTGGCATCTCGATGTTGCTAATGTACCTAGGTGGTCGTCAATAGTTTGCTCCTCCCTAAATAGATATAGATGACTCACTGGTCGAAAAATGGTTCAAAAATAATGACCTCATCGCCCTGCTCTATAAAAGCCATAAAGGCACTGAGCATGCCTTCATTTGCACCGGTGGTGATAGTGATCTCAGTATCCGGGTTGAGTTTTCGGCCCCAGTATGGCGCATACGCATCGGAGATAGCCTTCTTTAATCTCGGCCTACCCTTTGTCGGACTGTACTGGTTACAATCCACTCGGTCGAGAGCCGACTTAGCAGCATTGATGATAAAAGGTGGAGGATTGTATCCGAAGAAGCCCTGACCCATATTCACGATGGGCTGCTTGGGTGAGGCCGCAGCCGCTTCGTTGACGATAGACCAAACATCTTGTCTTTGACCTGCGACCCGAGCTGCAGGCTTCAGCTTAGGTGGGAGTGCGGCAGCTGCCATGGTTGAATGAAACCCTCTATATCCAATAGCAATAAATCCCCGGTGTGCGGTATTCTCTCTAAGGTAGGGTACGTTTTTGTTGATGTTGAGTAATCCAGGTCGAGATCTCAAGAGGGAGAGGTACTGCATGAAGAATATAGGCCTTCTACTTATCTCACTCACGCAATATGTGCTAGACTCTCCGTTCCACAGCTCCGCTAATTTAGAAATAGCTTGCTAATTTGTCACCAATAATCTGGATTTTAACTCCCTTTTTAATTTACCGTTGTTTTTATCTTCCTATAAAGAAATCCCGCCCTTGCAGAGAGTTAAACCTTACTTTGCTTGTTCCGTAATCGGCGGGCCATCATTGGCAACTATGCTGGCACCAAATTCCCTCGGGCGGGCAGCTGCAGCTAGTTCTACTAAAACCGTCTATGCTGTCACGTCATTTAGAGCTCAGAGCACCTCAGCGGCTAAAGCCCGCTAAATATCCGAATGGGTACCCGGGAAGTTCCACTAAAGAAGCTCTAAAGGCACCTCCCGGCTCCCTAAACGGACCCTGAAGTCCCTGAAGTCCCTGCCGACACGCTGTCTACAGCGGATGTTACAGGGGTGATAGCGACCCAATCTATCGGATATGGCCCTATTCCAATTTCATCCCGTCGCAACTATTACTAATTATCACCATCTCTGCTTAATCGTCTCTGGCGACATGCCTCACAGCAGGCTTCTTTCAACACCAAACACACCAAAATGACGACCTCACCACGATCTTCCCAACCATTACATCTCAAACCACCCATCCCACCTCCACCCTCCCAACCACCACTCCTCCTAACAATCCGCTTCAGCGCCTCAATCCCCGACCTCGAACTCGACATCCCACGCCCCTCCTCCACAACCGTCATATCTCTCAAACACCTAATCCGCGCGCGCCTCTCCGAGCCCAACTCCCAACGACGGTTACGCTTCATCCACGGCGGTAAAATCCTCCCCGACAGCGCAGTCCTAAGCTCCGTTCTCCGCGCACCCCCTCCACCACCACCGTCCTCCCCCTTAACCCCAAGCTACGGGCACTCGTACAACGACAGCAAAGGCAACGATGGAAAAGGAAAAGGCAAATCCATACCCGGCCGGCCGGACCCAACACTCCGAATCTACGTAAACTGTTCCATAGGCGACAGTCTAACAACCACCGAACTCGAAGCCGAAGCCCTCGCCGCATCCGCCGCTCCACCTCCTCTTTCTCCTTCACCTACAACGACTGCGTATCCGCCGTTACCGGGAACACCGCAGGTAGCTAGTACTACCACGGCGCCACGCGGTTTCGATCGCTTGTTATCCACAGGTTTCACCACGGCCGAAGTAAACCAACTACGCCTCCAATTCCGCAGCGTGCATGCTTCGCGCTATACACCTGATACCCTGCCCTCGCCTGACTCATTCCGGCGGATGGAGGATGCGTGGATCGACGATAATGGCGCCGCTGCTGCTCCCACAACCGCTACCACGACCGCTACATTCGGCGGGGGAACGGATAGCGATGAAGTCGGGCTCGTAGCTCTAGTCGACGTAATGATCCGAGGAGTTCTGACTGGATTCGTGTGGCCGTTAGGTAGTGCCGGGTGGCTTGTACGCGAGGAGGGTATGGCGAGTGGACGGTGGCGGTTTATGGTTGGTGTGGGTGTCGTGTTTAGTTTGTTGATTGGGATTATACGGAGTATTTCTGGAGAGAAGTGAACCGAATTGCCGATTAAGAGTTGGCGGATAAGTACACAAAGTGGAAGAAGATGGCTGTACTATAAGTATGCATCGGAAAGGCGTTATGGTGGGATATATCATGACATAGAACGGCGTTTGGGATTCGTCGACTACGTGTAGTCGTTGGCTGGCTTAGAGCACATATGTACGCATGAATTACATCACCAGAAGAGCAGATGAACATATCAGACGGGTTGGACATCGCCAACAGTAGCGATGCCCAGATTCTCTATCTAAGCACATTCGCAGACGCAAACTAGAAACGTTAAGAACCTTTTAAATGAGCCGCGCGCCTTAAGAAAAAGCACACGGTCCATCAGGTCCAGTCTCTGTTATTCGTTCCCGGGTCAAAGTGGTATACCGCCCCCAAACTCCAAAGCGAGAAAGTCGTATTGTTCCTAATTAGAAGCTGCTTCCATCGTTCCAAGTCCCTTGCCTCGAGGTCGCATGAATTAGTGGTAGCCTAAGAGCACCCTGCCGCCGAATTATCTCGAGTATCTGAGTAAATCTTACATCCATTCGTCCAACGTCCACCTACCAACGAATGTATGATCGCCTAAACGTGTAAAGAGAACGATAGCAAGAAAATTCGTATCCGGTTGCTGCGGAATGCCTTTACAGGTAAAGAGACTGAGCTGCCACGATATCACGACGGATCTTAGACAAACTCTCCTCAAACTTGGTTGTTAGTTCCTCACTTCCCATGACTTTTCCTGCCTGTGCCATTTGGCGTAGTAGCTCTTCGAGTCGACGGAACAGACGAATCAAGGAGCCCTCGTATGCATCGGTCATTTTGCTAGATTATTCATTAGTGTTTAATTAAAATAGTATCAATTATGCCACTTACCAGACATCAGCGAAAGACTTTCCATTGGCCCACGCGTAGACCGTCTCCATGAGTTGCCACTTCAAGCTTGCGACATACTCTTCTTCGTTAACCTCGAGCTTGCTTTCTTGACTAACTTTAGCGATAATTCGTGCTTGAGCTTGTACCTGTGTGTATGGCTTCATCAGTTCCTCAGGCAGAGCTTGTGCCTCAACCTTCTCTTCAAATATGAAAACACTTAGAATAGCAGCGCATAGCTCGGGGGAGAGCTCGTTGAAGAATCGGTTGAAGAGTAGCTCAGACAACAATAACTCGTGACCTTCTGTAGAGGAGATCTCGCAAGCCACACGAGCCTTCATCTGCACCACTTCGGATTCGTTAATGAAACCAAGACGACGGAGGACACGCTTCCTCGACTTGAGTTCATCCAGCTGCGCAATAGAATGGGCCTTAGCGATCTTTTTCTTGAGAGCCTTGATCTCATCGTTACGTGCAATCTTGGCCGAATACTGTTCCCAGAGGCCGGGCAGCATAGGCGAACCGTGAAGTGGGTTAGCTAGAAGTCGTGATTCGAGAACTTCAATCTTGCGGAGAAGCTTCTTGAACGAATCGTCGGTGATATTCATGTTCTCAATAGGATCTAAGACCGGTAATCCATCAGGGAAGCGGCGTTCAACCTCCTTAAGCGACTTGAGAAGCTGCTTACGAACCGCCTCGACATCCTCTCGCGACTTTACATCTTTAGGCATGAACACTCTTATTTGACTCAGTGCTTTGATGCATGTAAGCATGCAAGGTATGGCCTCGAAGATGCTGTCTTGGTTGGGATCACTAGCTCGGGCTCCTTCTGGCATCTCGGATGAAGGGTTCGCGGGTCCAAACGGATCACAGGCCGGGTCGAGACGAAGGAACACGTCTATGAAATATGATTCTTGAGGTTCGTACTCCTTCTCGCCAAACTTAGGTTCTTTGCGCTTGGTGACGCTAACGATAACACCCCAGCCAAAATCCTTGCCCGTCTTCGGGTGGGCAATCTGTACGAGTCTTCCTGGTTGGAGATACTCGATACAGTAATTAGGATGTTGAATGACTGCCAACATATCCTTGGTGTACTGCGATATCTGCTGCCTCAAGCCATAATAATCCTTGATAGTAGCCTCATCGGGGATGATCATTTCGTCTCGCGCTTTCTGTAGCTTCATCAACTCATGTTCCAGGCCGGCAACGCTGGCGGTGTTCTGGAATTGGAAGAAGCAGTTCTCTAGCATGAACTCGGGGTTAATGGCGTCGATTCGGAGTAGGTTCAAAACCATGTTATATCCTAGATAGAAAGCAGAGTTGAGACGATCTTGTTGACCGACGACGATGTTCTTCGCTGTATCCGGCTCCATTTTATCGTCAATCATCATGATGACAATACCACGTTCATCAAGACCTCGACGACCGGCACGTCCTGACATTTGGATGTATTCCGAAGGGGTCAAAGGTCGAACGGAGCTACCATCCCACTTTGTGACCTTGGTAAAGACGACTGTCTTCGCCGGCATGTTCAATCCAATGGAGAAAGTTTCGGTTGCAAAGAGGACCTTGATGAGGCCTTCTTGGAACAGAATTTCAATTGTTTCCTTGAGAATGGGTAAAAGACCGGAGTGATGAACACCTATTCCCTTCTCCAACAGCGGGAGAATGTTCTGTATTTGGGGCAATTCGCGATCGTCTTCCGATAGAGATTCGATGGCACTCATAAAGACCTTTCGCACCATAGCCTTCTCGCTTTCGTCGTTGAATGCAAACTTCGATGTAGTAAGAGCCATCATCTCACAATCTCTCTTGCTGAAGTTGAAAACAATGACTGGGTTGAAGTTCTTGTTCATAATCATCTTGACGATTTTCTGGATATCAGCTGAGCTATCGCTGTTGGCTCCCTTGAACGACTTCTTGTGCTTTCCCTTGCCCTTTTGCTTAGCATCAACATCGTTGGCTTCGGCCGCTTTGCGCTCTTCGATAAGTTGCATAGTCCTATTGAAGTTGTGTTCGCGGAAGACACCTTTCTCATCCACCACCAGGAATATGCCTGATCCACCGGCCGGGAAGAAATAATTCTGTAGAGGGGTAGGCCTAAAATCGGTATAGACGACATGGCAGGCTTGTCGATGTATCTTTGCGATCCATTCAGCGAATTGGAAGGCGTTGGGGATAGTGGCGGATAGGAACACGTATCGGACTTTGTCCGGGAGGAGGATAATCGTTTCTTCCCAGACGACACCACGCGACTTGTCTCGCATATAGTGGATCTCGTCGAACACGACCCAGGCTACTTCTCGCATGATTTCAGAGCCACGGTACAACATAGATCGCAAAATTTCGGTCGTCATGACCAGGCAGCTGGCGGTGGGGTTAATGGTGACATCGCCGGTCATGAGACCAACATCCCCAAATGCCTCGTTGAATTCTCGGTATTTCTGGTTGCTCAACGCCTTGATGGGACTAGTATAGATAACTCGTTGGTTCTTCTTGAGACAGTGTGCAATGGCATACTCGGCTACGACAGTCTTTCCCGCACTCGTATGCGCCGACACTAGGACACTCTCATCTCGTTCAATAGAGGAGATCGAGAGGCGCTGGAAGGGATCGAGGGTGAAAGGCCAAGTGCGTGCGGGATTCTCGGGTGGCTTGTGTTCAGATAGTGGTACGTACTCGTAATCGAGATCTGGCGGAAGTGCGACCTGGTGTTGGATATTGTGCGACAGGACAAGGGCTGCTTCGTCTTTCGTCGGAGCAAATCCTGCGGCGGCTGCGACCTCTCTGGATTCTGCAGTTTCGAACGTATCCGTCATTACGGGTTCTGCAGCACCATCTTTTCGTCTTCGCTTGCTATCTCCTTGATTCTCTGAGGTAGCTTCTTCGACTTCGTCTTCCTCGGGCGACGTAGGCGCAATATCGGCCATGTCAACTTCTGGCGCGGATGGTGTAGAAGCAGCAGCAGCGGATCCATTTTTCATTCCACCATCAGCCTTGCGCTTCTTACTCTTCTTCTTAGGTCGAGTCGGGTTTTTTGTTATGAAGGGTTGCTGAGGCTCGGACTTGTCCTTACTAGAAGGTTGGTCGTCGAAAACATCGAAGAGGTCGTCCATTGTTAGCTGTTGAGAGATCGATCGATCTCACAATAAAAGAACAATTGATGAGATAAATTAAGACAACTTCTCTGACGCGTCCCCACCACGCCAACTGACAACTCCCAGGAAGGTCTGAGTAGCTTCAGTTGGTATTGAACGCGAATCAAGGCTTCAATTCCTTAAGTTTAAAAAGAAGTTGATGAGCGCTGATGGAGAAAGTGAGCGCAAGTAGCGTTAACTTTTTTTCTCGGCGATGTAAAAAATAAAACCGGGCCGTGGCAGAAAATGAAAGAGGTGGGACGTACGGAGATCGTAGGCAGGCGGTGAAGAATGGGACCGGGCACCGTGCTACTTATGTAAGTTTATGGGTCCACCACAGCTGTTGCGTCAGTTTGTTACAGTACATAGGTACATACTTAGTACCCACACAGTGCTTACCCTTAGATTAACCGAGGACCGAATCATGGTACAATGTACTTATCGAATCATCGTTCGATCAATTCATTCAACTTTTACGAAGTCGAGGCTCCACGAAGTTATACAAAAGACATATCTCTCCACTCCTCAACCTCGAAATAGTTACTATCGTGAAGGTAGCTATAAATCCTCAATTGGAAAATTAAAGTTCACTTGACTAATTGACACGATTAGATGTTCGCTCAATCCGCCGCCCGCGCCAGCCCGCGCATCACCTCCCTCATCAGCCGTAGGGCTTTCCACGCAACCCGAGCTCGTCTCTCCTCGCCGTACCACTACCCTGAGGGTCCCTACTCAAACTTGCCCTTCAACACCAAGACCCGATTCTTCGCCGTTCGATACTGGCTATACATGTTCACCGGATTCTTCGCCCCCGTCGGTATTGCCGGTGCGTTATTTCCTCGATTTCCTTTCATTCGCAATTGGGGATCTATGTTATAGAGAGAAGATAGCTAACACACTTGATATAGTCTGGCAAACCAAGAAGCCCAAGGCTTAAACATCGGGTGTTTCATGGGCGGTGATACGATTATGACAGAAAAGTCTCTATAGAATTACCTCGGCTGAAGAGGGACGGCAAAGGAGCACGATGCAAATTGTACATATAACTGGCAATAAACATTGAGGCCATCGCTACAACACGATTCCATTTGTCTCCATTCATCAGGAATATTACAGCGTGACATTGACCTGGTCTCATAATATACCAAGTTGTATATGCCATTAATGGCGTCCAAAGATATCGAATATCGCTTAAAGATCAGGTTCATATATCCAAAAGATTCCCATGAAACTTTTGGGGGATGTATTGTTTAAACAATCGCAGTATTTTGTGTAATGCTTCACTGACAGGCATCGCAAACACGCGAAGAGCAGCCACACGGAAATTTTGTTCAAATAGCGTAAATGTATATGCATCCAAGTCTATATGTGTGCCATGCCAATATGTACAAGATGCTTGGTATCAATCATTCGCTGCCGCCAGCTTTGGTCATTACGTAGTTTACAAAAATCCCTTTTTCCTTTTTCCATATCATTCCTGCATAGGTCCTGACTATACATAGAAGCCTCGTTGCTTCATGAGTTTACGAAGAAACTCCATCATAAATTGTGAGTTCGCCGCGTCCAGGTCCCATCTACTTCTCAGATTCTCATATATGTCTAGGATCTCGTCCCTAGTGGCAGATCTAGAAAAGGCTCTTAATATAGCCATTGCCACCCACGTGCTGATATATAGCCCGTCAGACTGAGCATCCAGGGCGTCTAAGAAGGCGCCCCATACATTGATTAGCCTCTGTGTTGACCAATCCGATCCGGGGCCCCCGTGCTTGCCGAAAGCTTTAAAAAGGGCAAGAAATATTGCACCATGAAGTGGGAGATTGAAGGATTTCATTTCATCGAGTAATTGCGCCACTGTAGAGAGATCACCTAGTTTTGGCCCAAAATGGTTGACCAAGAGACGGTATGTTTGAAGATTCGGGGAGGTGACTGCGGCCTGCTGGAAATTCGGCTGCATCTCAGGGTGTCTCTTTGCAATTTTAGCGAACATCATCAGCACTTTAGTGATATTCTTTTGCATAGTGTAGTCGATATTTGGCGGTATACGGTTGATCGTCTTAGCCGAGCTCTTCATCTTATCATAGACTCTCATTGCGGAATCCTCTTCTCCGGATGCGAGAAATCCAGATATGACACAGTTGAGCACAGTTGAGTCGATTACTTCGCCTGACTCCACCATCTCCTTATAAGCAGCTCTCACTCCACCACTATCTTGCTTCAAACCAAAGTAGTGTATCAGACTAACGTGGTGATACCGATTGAATTGATAACCACGGCTTATCATTTCCTGGTAGACCATCTCGGCGAGGTGTAATTTGCCTGCCTTCGATGCAACATCGAAAAGAATATTGAATGTCACGTCGGAAGCTCTAACACCGGAGACACGTTCCATCTCCCGCCAAAGATGAAGCGCAGACTCGACTTCCACGTCCGTTGACCTTCCAACATATCGACTAGCAAAGGACATAGCGGTGTTCCATTCAAACGTAGTCAGGGGGAAGCCACTATTCCTTACGTCTGTCACCACCGAAAAATAGCGCAACATAGACTTGTAATCTTTTCGCTCAGTCCTACTAAGGACTGCGAATAATTGGTGCCTCAATTGTGACGTGATATGGGATGCACGGGGTTCTGGAAGTGATTGGAATAGATCATATATCGCATCCAAGTCCGCTCTACCAGGACGCCTGAGTTTAAGGAGTACTGCTTTTTGTAACTTCCGAACAATCTCGTCTATTTCGGGGTCTGTAGTATGCCTAGAATCAACGGACTGGAGGTTGACATCTTCTCTCCTATTTGATACTGAAAGACGGGGGCCATCTGCAGGGGCATATCTCCGTAGATATGGATCTCTTAAGAATTCAAGGTGGTCTTCTACAGACGTATCTTCATATTGGCCAACAATGTCGAGAAGTTCTTGTTTTGGTCTGATCCCACCTGCCACCTCTGCAACTGCATGGTTCCATCTGCGGCTATATGAGAAAAAACCTTGGTTGGAATGTGTAGAACTAAGCAGCCGGGAACCCGAAGTCGCTACGGTCGAGATGACACGCCTCGAAAAGATAACAGCGGAAAATCCGTTACGCTTCCGCCTATTTGGGGCCGCACCTTTGCGGCCTGTGACAGCGAGAACACCGCTGCAAATAGGATTCCTATACTCATCGCGAGTCGTGCTACATATCGAGGGCGACGAGGGCTTCGAGGTCACGGCCGGCGGGGGTCGGCAAGAGAGTATCGCGCCACAAATGGACCCATCAATTCGAGTAAAGATTCTCATGGGCTGTCCCGCATGGTGGTCCGATCATTACAGCCTCTATATGTTGGTTGAAGGCATGAAAATGACGGAGGGGGTGGGTATTTCGAAACCGAGCGATTCGAACTTTTCCTTGTGACGATATAAACGAAATTGATTTATTGCGGCAGTAAAAAAAAAGCAATTGATAAGGTGCTACGGGGGGTTCCACTTAACTCCGACAGAATAGGATACCCATCCTACCCTTTATCTAAGTACTTTTAAGTATTTTAGTGAGATTATCACGCAATTAGCGCCTAATCTAAGCCAGCAGTACTAAATGTTAAGCTCAAGTACTTCACGGCTAGTACTGCAAAGCTGTTGATAACGGATAATTGATTGTTCCAATCTTTTCTAGCTCCACCATTCACCCTTCTAGCGGCGCCACCTTTAAACATTTATTTCCTTACGGATTCAATTCGAGACCCGCGAGACAACGACGACATAGCGCCAATTGCTTAAGCTCTGCACTCCTTTACGCAGATAAAGTCGGCCAGCCCCGAAGGCCGCATTACTGCACCATGGGCGGTCAAAGACAGATTCTACCCAGTCGGATATTTCAGACGGCAACGACGTTATTGAACCACCGAATTGTCCCCTACGCAAAAGTCCAAATACCGATATGGTATAAAGTCGTCGAATCGATACCCCCTTCCGAAATCCTCACTAGACCTTTCCCTCCTCAGCACAAGAAGCAAAATCCGAAGGCGCGGAGACCAAGCAGATTATTCCAACCACAACAATTAGTATACGAAGAAGATGAATTACGGGCAACATTCTACAAAGACCACCCTTGGGAATTGGCAAGACCTAGGATGATACTCGAGGTGGATGGAAGAGATGCGCTCAGATATGATTGGTCTAAGGGATTGAGACAACCCGGCATGCCTCTGTGTGGTGAATCGTAAGCGTTCCCGGAACTGAGTGAGTGAGGCTAGGCTATGAAATGAATTGACCATTTCTTTAGTGTCGTCCAACGCCAATTATGGATGATGTATAACGTCCCAGGCATAACAAAAGACCAAGCATACGATATAGTACGGCGAGAATTTTACGCGATGCGACAAGAGGAAGAAGTCGAGTTAAGGATAGCTAAAGAAGAGGCTCAGATGGTAGGAGCCTACTTCGGCAAGACCTTCTCGCAAGTCGGTACACAGCTTGAGGACGAACAGTACGAGAAATGGAAGAGATGGGCAGGCAAGCAAATCGAATTGGTCCGAGCAGAGCAGGACTCGGCATATACTAGCTTCGGAAACGAAACCGAAGCCGAAGCTGACAGCGTCGATTTGGACCAAGCTACCGAAGCAGTGGAAGAGAGCGTGCCTATACGGAGATAGGTCCAATAATAAATCCCATAAACTCGATGTAGAATAACTGTACAAATCCCGCAAACAAATTACTAAAATCCTCCTCGGCGCTTTCATTAACTTTCTCAGTCAATGAGTAAATGGGGTATAACGATATGATCCTGCGCTTAATGTCCATAAAATGGTCCAAATTCCCTCAACTTAACAATGGGTATCTTTTCAAAACACAATCACTCCTCTAACTTAACACCACCCAGCTGCTCTATTCGATGTAGGTAGGTTTGTCGCTATGGTTGTGTTAGAAGAAACTAAATGCACAGCGCATCACTTTTGAACTCACAATAGCTTTCAGTTTCTCTTTGTCCTTCTCGTTGGAAGCTCTAGTGACGAGCTGTGATAGAAGAACACAAGCTTCTTCATAGTATTTTCGAGCGAAGGCATGAGATTGGGTATTATCGAGTTGAACAGCTGTGTTAGCCTTTGCCAAAGCCGTGGCCATCATTGCCTTTGAGGAAGGCATCTTGGCCGAAGAATCGTTTGCGTTCAAAATGAGAAATGATAAAATTGTTGACAATGGTAGAATATGAAGGATATAAGATGAAACTCCATTGGGCATTGGTGACACAAGATGAGTTGAGGAGATGGGATGATCTGATAACCAGGAGGGGCACAGGGCACAGGGGGTACCGGGGTTCAAGGGTTCAGGGGGTGCGGGTACCCGCATATTCGCTTAAGTGGTTACCGGACTCAGATGTCAGTGGATGTCGCGCATTTACACGGCACAGCCCGTATGGTACGTACTTCTTACCCTATACTGTAAGTGGGACAAGCTTCATGATACCGTCAAACACAGCCCGTATGACATGCTCAATTTCAACTTATAATTGAAACTACTTAATTTCTCAAATAATTCAAAGCGAATTATAACCTCTATATTTGCAATCAAGTTTCATATCGGGAAGTATTTTCGTCTTATAATCAAATTGAGATATCCCAATCTAAAACAATGGCTGGTGACCCCAACAAGAGGTCATACCTCTCACTAATACAAACATTCGACAAGTAAGCATCTTCATACTATAGATATACAATATCTAATAATTTTCAAGTTTCCCATATGACATTGTACCCTCAGAGGAATATTACCTCTTATATCTACCCAATGACAAGCAACCACATGGATATCTACTTCCCGAGACAGTCGAGAAGATGCCCTGGACTTCGGACTTTCTAATTGACCACACAAGCCACAAGAGAAGCGTCAACGTCATAAACTCCTCGGACGGCAAAGACACAGCCAATGCCATCAATGTGGCGTTCGCCAAGCTGATCAATATATGCATCGAGAGAGACATCTTCCACATCATAGCCGGGGTGCACAGCGAGCCTTTCTCCATCGTTAGTGCACAGTATCCCGTGCATATGGAGCGGTTCGCTTCTGCGCTTTTCGGTATTACTAGTCGGGGCTCGTACATAACGGCGTACACTAAGGCGGCCGATGGTACACTGAAATTATGGATTGGTAGGAGAGCAGCGCATCTGTACACAAGCCCCGGCATGCTCGATGGAACGGTGGCGGGCGGGATAAAAGCGGGCTCTACACCCCTCGATACCGCCATCCACGAAGCCGACGAAGAGGCTTCGCTGCCGGAAGCACTGGTGCGCAAGCATATACGGCCCGTCGGAGTGCTCACGTATATCAGTGTTACAGGCCCGGAGTTCCCAGGCGAGAAGGGTTTAGTTATTCCGGATGTGATATATGTCCATGACTTAGAGCTTCCCAGTGACGTTATCCCGAAGCCAAATGACGATGAGGTGGAGACTTTCTACAGTATGACGGTTGAGGAGGTGCAGAAGGCGTTGTTGAATGGAGAGTTTAAACCGGATACGGCGGCGGTGTTGATTGACTTTTTTATTCGGCATGGGGTTATAAATCCGGAGAATGAGAGGGATTATGTGGAGATTAATATGCGGTTGCATCGTCGATTGCCGTTTAGAACGCCTTAGAATTACGAGGATGGGGGTTGAAGAACAGTGTTGAAAAAATAGAGCGGCTTTACGGATGACGAAAAGATATGCAGTTGTCTAGACATATTAGACACGGAGACTAGAGAGGGATATGCTTGCTGAAATTATTAGAAGCTCTGTTAAGATTATTGGCGGCCCGTCCCAACATTAAGAATTCAAGCCAAAAGTGTGGCAGAGTCACCTACGATCCAACCGTAGAACTTACAGAGACAAAAACAATCTACGGCGCACATTTGACTACGATGCATCAGAGCCTGAAGTATCACGAGATAGAAGACAGAGAAGTGTTAATAAAATCATTCGTGATTCATATGGGACATTATCATGATCATTCGTAGCCTGCTCCGAAACTCCTGGGCTGAAATGAAGCCATGCCTGGCATGCCTGGGTCAACAGACCGTCCCCTCTATCGTGCAAGTCATTTCCTCTGTGATTACAAATAAGTATGTTATAAAAAACTCAGTCGATAAACCTGGGTAGGTATCCGAATTACTTGTCATGCCAGATTTTGTCGAAAGAGTCCATTGAAAGGAAACAGAATTTTTCTCTCGTTCTTCACCAGGTTCCCTTAAACGTCATCTTTCTGCCGATGTCGAAGTCTGATTTTGGCGACGGAATAGAAAAGTATGGGCGATTCCTTGACTGCGGGCCGTTTCGTACACCTTCATAAACCTCAACTTGACCTATGTAATAATAGCCGTTAGTGATATTGAAGACATATTTTGGGGGGGATAAACCAGTCACTTACCTCGGTCCGCTACAAAGGGACTCTCGGCTGAGTAGGCATGGCAACCATATTGCCGGTGTAGTCACTTCCGAAGGTACGATCGATGCTAGGATGCTGAACGATAAATACGTCGGCTAGGCTGAAGCGTTGAATAATCATACCGCTGTAGCTCAAGTTTCTAATTCGAGCCCAAGTCTCAACGTAAATCGTTCGCATATGATCAAGAGGAATACGCCCGAACGCTTTCAAGACGTGAACGGCCAGAAGAAACATTACACCAGAGCCAGGGCCATCAGTAACGACTACACCGGGGAATTTGAATGCTGCAGTCGGTCGTTGCTCGGGTCCTTTAATCAGCATCTTCAAAACGTCAAAAATGCAAAGGAGACAGGTGAAGGGAGTCGTGAGCCAGCTCTGATGGACGCTGCGAGCTCGGCGGAACAACTGGACGTCGAAAGTACCAGGGTCAATTCCACGAGCCTCGCAATAATTGTGCAACGCGCGCTCAAAGCCTATAACCTTGTCGAAGCTCATCGCATCGTCTGTTGCAATAGCCCATCGGCGATGATCTTTCGAACTTCCAGGAGAAATGCTTCGCTTGATCATTCGGATCAGCTCACCAGTGTGACCACCAGATCCGCAGACAAGAAGGGCATATTTTGCCGAATTGGGGTCCTCAGGGCGAGGCTCACGGGCTTGACGTTTGGAAATGATGCGCTTGTGATTGAACTATTAAAGCGTTAGCATGCTGTATAATTATAGAATTGGAGAGATGATGCTTACCCAGACAACGATGATGATAACGAAGAGGAAAGTGGAGATGAACCAGAAGAGAGCACCGATAACGGGGAGGGCCCAGGAGAGGACCGCCCATAAGGCGATGCCGATGCCGAGGAGAAGTTGACCCATACCATAGTAAGCGAGCACGAAGAATTGTTGGATGACGGAACAGAGATCAGCGAAGGGGTCGCCGATCTGCTGGCCCATCATGCGATCGCGTGAAGTGTCCATTTCGTCGATACACTTCTGATGTTTTCGAAGAGCTGCTTTAATTGAGTAGGTGGTGATGTTATTGGTATCTTTAGTGGAATTGATTATGGGTGAAGGCGAGTCAAGATCCTTCGCATCAACTGTGGGAGAAGGTGGTTCTTCTACTGTTGACGTATGTTGGTGGGATCCTGGATGAGGTGGGTTACCAGTGCCAGCTGGGGGATGAATTTTTTTATCAAGAGGAGAAGAATTTATTAAATCAACATTGTGGCTATCCTGTGTGTGGTTGGGTTTTTGCCCCGTAGAGTTAAGTTGCGGCTGCGCGGCCATGTTGCGGCTGGTATGTCTGCGGCTGGTATGAGGTAGCCGGCGATGAGTTGTTGGTGATATATTCAGCGGTAGCTTTGATAAGTACCCTTAACAAGCCCCAGTGCTCGTGGCTCTGGTTTCAATCCGTTTGATACAAGAATCCCAGCTGTGTCCAAGGAAACGCTCTTGGGTACTCGGCGACAACACAGTAAACGTATGATTCACACCAATATCAAACCAGTGAAGGGAAGAGAGGTGCCCCTTAGTCTTGAGGGGTTCAGCAACGCTCCCAACGACCCTAGCCAAATTCATTCATAGATACCAATTCAGCAAAGGGCGAGCGTCAACCTTGCTTATACTAACATAATACGTTAGCTTATCCTCTAGAATCTATACTCATACACTTTTTTTTCCATTCTAGCCTCTCTTTGACTGTAGCATATAGGTAACAACTTCTTATATCGAGCCATAGCCGCCAGGCCCGAGCCCTGACCTCCACACAGTAGAGGATCCTCATTGCTTAAGGATAGCTCATTATGATAGCTTCACTTCCTTAGTATATAGACATAGACTCAGACATAGAATTTCGCATCCCGTTCCACAGAAGAAACGCGGCCAGCTCTAGTGTTCAAGCATGTATATACTAATATTCCGCACCGTGAACGGGCTTGTGTACGGAAGTGTAGACCGTTATAAGAGCGGAAACGTCGTTATTATCGGTGACTAGTCCGGCGGCGCACGTGGCAGCACCGCGGACCTCGGCCCGGCGTAAGGCATAGCGTTTCCGGGATTGTTCAACGAGTGACTTCCATTCCATGCCTCTCTAAGTCACAAGAATTTCGAAGAAACGTTTGACTGACCTTAATTTTCTTTGCGAGATGATTCCACAAGCCACGCCGCATGGATAATTCTTTGCAGGATAAATAGCAGGACCTAAACGTTCGCCGCGCGAGTTTACTTTGTTCAGACGTTTGTGTTTTTGATGAAGTTTAAGAGATGAAATGTATGTGAATGGATTGAATTGATTCTGATCCGTACCAGTTCCTTACATTAGCGCTATATGTGGATCACCACAGGGGTTACGGTGTTCTCTAGGGGCTATTTTGATAGGCGCTAACGTCATTAGCGCCGTTTTCTAGGACCATTCCGTCACTGTGAGTTCCGGATTTGTTACTGTGGTTATCCGCGCTATCAATATTTATGGGGCGCCATGATAACACTTTTTTATCGCGTCAGTGCCTTGGGTTTAAACGCGGTTGAGCAGTTCTAACGTTTTAACGTTCTGATTTATGCAGGATTCAGCCCAAACTTGCCCACCACAATTTTTTAAGTCGAAGCATACCTAAGCTTTCTGACTCAGAATTGCGATTCTTTACTATAAATCTGTCCAATTTTATTTCATTCCTGATCCGGATCTTCTTCGATTGCGTGTTCAACCTCTTCAATCATGGCGACCTTACGGTCGAGGAAGTATCTAAGTTGCTTCTACTGCGGAAAACGATCCAAGTTGCGATTTGAAGGCCAGAAATCATTCGACTGTACCAACTGCGATGCAACTAATTGGTTGGATGAAGTGAGTATACTTGCATAGCTCTATTCTCATGCAAAACTAACTGGATTGTAGCATGGAGATATTACCGATCCTCCCTCGACGACGTCATCCGTTGAGCGCACTCAAATCCAATTCGCTATTCCTCGAGCGGCGGTCCGTTCCCCAACACGATCGATGTCACCGGACGGAGTGGGTTCCGAAGAATCCGTTTTCTGCGATGCATGTTTAAGAAACCAACACATGCTCACGAGTTCCCTTGCACAATTTGAATGGCCCGAAGATCAGAGCGGCCCCGAGTATTTGGCCCGAGAAAAGAAGTATTGGGCGCTCCGAAAGGATCTCGAAAAGCGATACCCTCAAATGTGCGCGGAATGCGAGCCCAAGGTGGAAAAGAAGCTGCATGAGGCTAGCTACACAGCACAAACAGACCATCTACGCCGGATGATGGACCGCACACGATCACAGCGAAAAGATGTGAAGAAACGAGACATTCTCGATATCTTTGACTATGCGGGAAAGTGGAGTTGGTATCTTGGTTTTATTCTTCAGATCGCATGGCACGTTGCTGTGATCTGGCCCGTTTTCGCGCAACAGTATACCCTTGGTGGAACGGACTCTTGGATAGCTACGGCTCTGAAAAACGTACAACAAATTGGCGATATTTGGTTGCCTCCAGCAGACCGACTCATGAAGTGGGCAATTAATTCAGGGTTGTGTTCGCTGCCATGGAATCCACGCTTCAAGCAAACCATTCGAGGTTTTACGGCGCATTATCTCGGGTTCAAGCAATGGTACACATACCAACTACTCATACTATTGGTACGGTACGTTGGTCTCTCGATGGCGCAGTATAGCTCTCAGAAGGGACTGTATGTGTCAGCACAATTGGGGGCACAGATTGCCATAGTGATCATAACGGCCTACGTAAGTACGACCAAAGTTTCCAAACTGAGTAGAACTGATACAAATCATAGATATATCACGCGTCGGGAAAATCTATTCGTACGGATACGTCGCCTCTTTTTCGACGTCCAGAGATGAAACGTTCGCCGAAACCTACGACAAGATCAAGGTCGCCGAACGATCAAAATGATCTTGGAAGCATTCTAGATGAGATTTCCCGGGGCTCAAACACCTCCCACCCGGCTATCGAGGATAGTGAGCTTTTTAGTGGAAGCAGCGGACTACATGAAAATCAGCTTACCGAATCTCGTCTCGGGTCTCTGCGTTTGTCCGAGCCTGCGGAGCCCGCTGTGGTCGAAAAGCCGGCACCTCGGATCGTCCACTATGAGTCCGAAATGGACTGGACGCCGTCTGCTTCACAGCATCGAGCATTTAGCTCATATAATCCATATAGGGTCAAAAACACCAACCCTCGTTTCAGCGACGCCCCCCTGGAACCGAAACCTGGTCCAATCTGGTATAAAGTTCCTCCAGCACCCACTAATCCAGCGCAAAGACTACGCAATCCTCCTATGCGTCCAATTATTAGGGAGAGTCCGAAGGAGAAGAAAGAGAACTTTTTTCAAAGCTCTACTAGAGGACCTCTTGACATAGGATCGTCAACACAAGGAAAAGGTCTATCGGATGTTAACTTTGCCGAACCGAAGTTCTTCGCACCAGAAGATAAAAACGATCCGAGGGATAACCTCTCGCGTATGTTCGCGAACTCCTTCAGCATCAGTCCTAGTCCGGACGAGGATGCATTCCGGGGTTCAAGACGTACAGTCACCAATTCTATCTTCAAAACTAGCCAGGGCACGGCGGGCAAGCAGAAATATCGCACTCCACGCCTTGCAGAGTTGTTCGTGCTTGCTGGTGCGCTTTACGCATGGATCTCGGCTCTAGGTACAAGTGATCAATACGGCCCGAGCCTTGCCCTCGCTTCGGTCATAGCATGTTTAATCGTTTCGATACGACTTGCTGCAGATCTACAATATGAGGTTCAGATGAGAGAAGGGAAGCAGCCATCGATTTTTACGCCGTCATTGGCGAATTTGGGATTTGCGCAAGTGATATCTTCTCTCGTTCTTGCATGGAACATATGGTCGTATAACGGGACGGATATCCCGTGCCATACATACGGCAGCGTCCACTTCGCGACTGTGATTATTCATCACATGTGGCACACATTTGTATAAAAGGCGGTGGCAAGATTTGGGTACCATTGGCTACATCGAGTCAAGGATTCGTATAGCGTGGCTTGTTAGATCGGCGCTGGTTAATGCACTCACGGCTCGGAGTTGTTGAAGGAAAGCATATTGTATATAGAAACAAGGATGGAACGGGTAGCATATTTGCACGGTGCATGGCTATGGAGTTTTTCGGGTTCCGCGGAACAGCGTAGCATATAAAAGGCAGTTTGAATTCTAATGAAGATACCCGAGAATCACTACCTGATTGGGAAGAAGACCGTAGTACAGCAGCGGGAGGGGCGATATTCCGAGCAGATACCCCCAGATAACCCGTTGGTTACTAGGAGTTACTTAGACATACAGTTGTGTCTTGTGAAAACAGGTACCTACCTACAGTAGGTAGGTATTTACCTATAAATGTAAACAACGTTTGGTTTAAATTAGATGACATATGATTTAATAGATTGATTAGATCAATGCGAGTTAAGGTTGCGGATCCCACGGAGCCGGTAAGCAGGGTATCATACGATAAGAATAACTGATAACGCCACTGTCACGCTGCTAACAATTTGATCGCGCCTGTGGAAGGTAAGGCTCATTTCCCAGCATTACCTAGAGCTAAAAAAACGATTGGACCCCTTAAAAACTCGAACGTCTCTAGCGCATTATTAAACCTACGGGTCCCTTGTGAATTTGAATTTGTTCAACTCCTTTTCTATTCGACGGATCTCGATTCTCTTTCTTGTTCCTCTCTCTTTTTACGAGTCTATCCCCCCGAATCAATTACGAGTTTCAAGTCGTCCACTCCTCCGCTCCTTTATACCTGTCGCTCCCTAATTCGACTTGTAAACTTCGTGTAACGATGCCCGGGCGAACTTTGCCGACCCTCACACAAGCTGAGGTCGAGTCACACAACTCGAAGAAGTCTTGCTATGTCACCATCGGCGCCAATGTTTACGACGTGACTGATTTCGTCGAATCTCACCCCGGTGGCCCCGACCTAGTCCTCGATTATGCCGGAAAAGACATCACCGCTATTTTGAAAGATGAAGATTCCCATACACACTCCGAGTCTGCCTATGAAATCCTAGAAGAGTCGCACGTTGCATTCTTAGTAACAGAGAAGCTCGCGCCCAATGGAGAGGTTCAGAAGAAGATCGCAGATTCCCAGATCAACGACGAGGTCACCCCGTTAGTCCATCCCCGAACCGGTATGTCCTGCGAGGAGGACTTAAGCAAGGAAACGGACTACAGCACCGATTACAAGCAACACAAGTTCCTTGACTTGAACAAACCTCTCTTGATGCAAGTATGGAATGGTGGCTTTAGCAAGAAGTTCTATTTGGACCAGGTCCATCGGCCGCGACACTACAAGGGAGGTGCTTCTGCACCGCTATTTGGAAATTTCCTCGAGCCGCTCAGTTTGACCCCTTGGTGGCTTGTCCCTCTGATCTGGTTGCCAGCTATTGGCTACGGCACCTTTATAGCCTCTCAGGGTTTCGAGACTACCCCGGCATTGGTTGCTAGCTGGGTGTTCGGCTTATTCTTATGGACTCTGATAGAGTATATCATGCACCGATGTCTTTTCCATCTTGATGAGTATGCTAGCCTTGTTGTGTACCTTGAATATCACCATATACTAATATAATTTCTAGCTACCTACCGGATAACAGAGTCGGAATCACACTGCACTTCCTGCTCCACGGTGTTCACCATTATTTGCCCATGGACAAATACCGCCTAGTGATGCCTCCCGCCCTCTTTGTGGTACTTGCCACTCCCTTCTGGAAGTTGGCGCATTCGCTATTCTTCTGGGACTGGTACCTAGCCACCGCTATCTTCTGTGGTGGCATTTTCGGATATGTTTGCTACGATTTGACACACTACTTCCTTCACCACCAGAATCTCCCTCTCTGGTATAAGGGGCTCAAGAAGTACCACCTCGCCCATCACTTCCTGGACTACGAACTAGGTTTCGGTGTAACTAGCCGTTTCTGGGATCAGGTATTCGGTACGGAGCTACTGACCGTTGTCAAGTCTAACTAGGCTGTTGCCACGGCTTCAATGATGCGGGGGTTCATTCAACCTACCTAGGTACATATATCGATACGTGTTGAATGGACATAATGCTAAATGGGCCGGGGACTAGGGTTCTAGGAGTAGGGTCGGTAGATACGGCGTTCGGTACGATGATAGGATAGGGGATTGTCAAAATACTCAGCTTAGTCCGTGTTATATTTCTACTTAATAATTAATTCTATACCTGTATACTTCATAGGTATTATTTCACGACGAAATTGTTGTTCCCTTCCTTATCTGATTCACAGTGCAATTTCATAAGTGATAACTCGGCGGTACGGTGCCATTCAGGGGGTACTTTTACATGAAGAAAACAACAGTACATACGTAACAGTGCATTAAATTCATTAAAATCGACGCACATGCCAACAAACTTCAGACCATTTTTGAGTTTGATATCTGATGGCGGAAGGAGACACCAACATCAGACGGTCCCTTGTAAGCAAACTCCGCCTGCCACGCTTATTTTACCGAGGTGGAGCCGGACAAGCATTTTCTGCAGGCATCTTTTTCCTGCCATCTTTCAATTCCTAACTTTGACATCGACCTCGTCACTTATTCAGCCGCACCATCAGGTTGTAAGTAAAAGTAAATTGATTATCTACTGACTCTCCCCCCTTCATTTAAGTTTGTTTCATCGACCAAAAAAAAAAAAAAAAACACATTTAATTGAAGTCGGCCGTAACATACAAAGATATCGCACCCCGACGGTCTCTAACCTTGCTCTTCTCCATCAGAGCAACATGGCTACTCTCGATGTCGAGGCTTTGCTTGATGCTACTGCCAGCAGTAAGAATGACACAAAAGAAACTCGACCTAAAGATACAGATGATCGCGTGAAATCTGAACGAAGCGACCGTAAAGAACGCGACCGTAGTCCCGGCCGAAGACGCGATCGTAGCGCAGACCGTGGACGACGCGACCGTGGCGACGATAGAGAACCTACTCCGCGAAGTGACGCGGGTAGCCACAAGAGTAGGCGCAGAAGCCGGAGCCGTGATGATGATCGTCGACACTCACGACGTCACAGAGGAGGCGATGGGGATTATTACCGCAGTGGCGGCCGCGGTCGAGACCGCTCTCGCTCACGATCTCCCCGCCGACACTACCGTCCTAGAGATGATCACCGCGACCGCGAGCGTGATCGCGATGATCGCAGCTACTATCGAAACAGGGATGAAGAGAGACACCGTGGAGGACGTACCCCAAAGCGTGATGCTACACCCCAGCTGACCGAGGACGAGCGAGATCGACGTACCGTATTCGTTCAGCAACTAGCTGCTCGTCTTCGCACCAAAGAATTAAAGGAATTTTTCGAGAAAGTTGGCCCTGTCACCGAGGCCCAAATTGTGAAGGACCGTATTAGTGGGAGATCTAAAGGGTAAGCATCAATCCAAATGTCGAGTGTTCTTATTACTAATCAACATACAGTGTCGGTTACGTTGAATTCAAGAACGAAGAATCCGTCACAGCTGCTCTTCAACTTACAGGACAAAAACTATTAGGTATCCCAGTCATCGTACAGCTTACCGAAGCTGAAAAGAACCGTCAAGTACGCAGCACCGAAAATTCTGGCACTCACGCCAATTCGATTCCCTTCCACCGTTTGTATGTAGGAAACATACACTTCAGCATCACCGAGCAAGATTTACAAAATGTTTTTGAGCCGTTCGGCGAGCTTGAGTTTGTCCAGCTTCAGAAAGACGATACCGGCCGCAGTCGCGGTTATGGGTTTGTACAGTACGTTGTTACGAACGTCCATTCCTACTATGAAGTCTGCTAACATACAATCAATAGGTTCCGTGAAGCTGACCAGGCGCGTGAAGCACTCGAAAAGATGAACGGATTCGATCTAGCTGGTAGACCGATCCGAGTCGGTCTTGGTAATGATAAGTTCACCCCTGAGTCAACTGCCAATATCCTACAGAGGTTCCAAGGTCAAAACCAACCATATCAGGGTTCCGCATTCTCCGGTGCCGGTGGCCGCGGTCCCCAGGCCTCCGGATTCGACCGTGCAGGAGGCCGTGACAACGACAAGGCGACTGGTGCTAGCGCTCTAGATGACACTGATGTTGCTGGTGTGAATTTTAACAACTATAGTCGCGACGCATTGATGAGAAAACTTGCTCGAACCGATGAGGCTTCTAATGGAAGTCCCAATGAGAGACAGATTCTTAAACCGAAAACAGAAACCAAACCCCTGCCTGTTAATGTCAACATGGCTAGCCGTTGTGTCGTCCTGCACAACATGTTTGACCCGACTGAGTTAGTTGTTCCCTCCCCATAATTGTTTTGTTTATGATACTAACCCTTTCTCAATTATAGGGAAGAAGGTGAAAGCTGGATTAAGGAATTGGAGGATGACGTTCGACAGGAAGCCGAAGAGAAATACGGACATGTTGTTCACATTTCTCTCGACCCAAACTCCCAAGGAGATATATACCTCAAGTTCGACAAGGTTCAAGGAGGCGAGAATGCTATTAAGGGCTTAAATGGCCGCTATTTTGGTGGTCGGATGATCAGCGCTGCGCCTGTTGTGGATGCCGTCTACAGCAGTTTGTTCTCTCGTACCAAGGCTATTTGAGATGCTAATCGTTGGCCCGGCCTCTCCCGTTCTAGGAACTTGCGATGTAAGTTTTCATTATCATGAAATCCAAAGAGGATCCATGCTAACTGCTAATCAAGTCTCATCACTACTACCCACCCTGCTTTTAAATAAGGACACCACACCGAACTCACACTTCATCGCCTTCGCCTATCCGTTTGGTAAACGACATTCCCAGCGGCATGTTCATCGAGATCATATACCGCTTTTCCACTCATGCCATGAACATGGATTTTTTCACGCTGATTTTACAATAGCATATCAAATTCGGAGGAGCATGCATCCTCGGTGGTCGGCATCGATATGCTGATATATGTACCAAGCCGAACTTCGTTCCCGATCATTACCGTCGAATCGGAGAACGTTCGCTGGCCTCCTGGCTAGGACAGAGCTAGGTAATTAGACATTGATAGTACTGAAGCATCTGATTTAGACATAATAGATACCGTGCCGTTTCGATGTTTTTTTGGTATGGCTACTCCGGAGGACGGTGCTTATCCCAACTGACTCGGCCTGTAGATTTGTGAGGCAGTTTGAGTCTACTGTTTGCATCCCAGCCCTTTAATACTGCCCCCTCCAGCTCAATTTACCTGGAAGGCATCGCGAACTAATTAATAGAGTTGCTTTATAGGAAAGGATCTGCATTCTACCAAATACCATCTTTCATACATAATTCCTTCTGAGGTAGGTCATTAGTACCATTAGTCATTGCTAGGCAAGTCATATATTTACATTTTGTACAGCCCTTGTAAACATATCATACCAACCGCTCCGTCCCGTCCATTCCGGCGTCGGTCGCAATGCGCTCGGGAGATGGAACCGAGATTTTCAGAGGCGCCACGAACCCCAACCTCCCTTACCCCAATAGTCAGGATCACACTTACTGTATTGCCCTTAGGTACCATTTCAGCTGCATCCAGGCGTCTACCCCCTCGACGACACGATAAGCCACCGTACCACGATAGTTTTCTTACCCATTAGCAGATTATTTCCCCCTTCGCAATATTCGCCGCCAGCCAAGTTGCATCCTAAGTATTCATACACATATCGGCGAACATAGGTAATACTACTCGACGATTAGTATCGTCGCAAACCGGAATGCCCAAACAACCTTTCAAAGTTTGCGCCTTATGTGTCAGCATTCAATAAGTATTGGTGGCTTCATTTTATGCATTTGATTCCATAGACAACCACCCCTTCAAATCCAGGTCTCGTTAAAGCCACAGCCATCTACAGTATAGGCCAGCTTCCGCTGTTAACTCGGTCAATTTAACGTCTACAATTCGGTTTAATAGAAGGCGTATGTCCCAATAATTGTCCAGTTGGCCACCCTCATTCAGCATCCCGCCATCATCTATTCCATCATCAGCCTCTTATTCCAGTGGAATTTACAGGCTTATTCGAATGATCAATATCAAATGCTATCATTGATGCTTATCTAGTATCGTTCGTACCTCCTTATATGTAAATAAGAAGTCACCCTCATATATCAAGTCAGTACGACTAGAACGCGTTTCGAGATGCCGTTGCCACTACATATACGCACTGGCGACTACCGAGGTACCTCTCATATCATGCATATCTTACTATTATGTACATGTAGCCATGTAATAATAATCGTTTGATCGAAGGACGATCCCTCTCAACATGGTCGTTCCCCATTTGAATAGCATCCATACATGAGTACGGAAGTTCTGCTGCACAGGCCATCCCTACCAACATATCGTAGGTGTCAGCTCATTCTTACTGTGGATTGCCTCGCTTACGCATCTACTTGTTGGTACCCCATTTCATCAATCCTCTGAACTATCTAGATCTATAGTATAATCCAGCTCGAAAGTTTTTGGTAGTATCCATGTACACTGAAGCCTAGGTTCAACCTCATAGCCGAGACCCAGTCGCGTTGTGTCTACCTACTCATCAATTTTGAGATCTCATGGCATGATGAACCAGTTCTCGCTTAAGACTCGGGTGTATTGAAACCTTTTCGTTATTTCAAGGGTTGAGAAGATAGTTTCTGTCCATGGTAGTGCAACCCAATCCCCTCACAACACTCACCGTAATTTTAACCCCAGTTACGGGGCCCCATTGGGCCAGTACAGCCTCCCTATTATAAAAGAATTGAAATGCTAAGCGAGTTAGTAGTTGTGGATATATGAGCAAGTTGACCCTCAAGTTCAGCAGGAGAGGTCAGCGAGCGCCCTAACTGAAGGCGAGAGCCGCTTGTTAGTTTATTAACTGCGCTCGCCTTTCAACCAACCAGGCTCCTACCCATTTACATTGTCAGTAGCGAGAATGATCGAGACAGTTCCGGGAAGCTCCCGCACAGTAGCTCCCGCACAGTCGCCTCGTTTTCTAGCATTGCTGCAACAGGGTTGGAAGCAATGGACGAGCTAGAAGAGGCGCCCATAGCTTCCTGTGGGTTTGTTCTCAGAATATCTTGGATGCGCAAACTAGATAAGGTATGCAATGGTGTATCCTGTCTCCTATTGAGTTTCCATATTTGCCTTAGTATCTCCAGTTCGCAGGTCAAGCCATACTTCATTCTTATTCAGAACCAACCCGAAAGAATCATTTGTTCACTGGATTGAAATATTAACCTACCAAATTCTCAAAACACTAATTGATCGCTAGCTACAGTACCTCGTATCAGCCAATAAAGCATATTAATGCTCCATGGAGCGAGTTATCCTCGTGCTTAGTTCCAGCTACCATCACGTTAGGTAGAAGACAAATCAAAGAATATAAAATACCTACCTAGGTAGGCTATGATAACTGGGTGCCGCGGTAGCATCGACAAGTCTCAAGGGACGAAACATTTCCTTACGCCGAGAATGATAAGGGGACTCTTGGGACTCGACCTTCACTAAGCTTCTCGCAGTCCACATATATTATGTCAAGGCAAATCACCCTTACGGTTTTGATAGCTACCTTGTTCTGCGAGACTTGCCCGAATGGTGTTGCTGAATGTGAATATGACTTAAAGAGAAAGACAAGTCTTTGCTGGGCAATGAACATACGGGCACCGCTATGATATTACCACCAAGGAGATTTTAAACCATGGATCTTATTTGGTTTAGGTTCCTATCTATTTTAAAGGCGCATAAGCATTGTGGCTCTTCCTCGGCTGCATAGACCCGCTTCTCACGCGGTTGTTTCCTGTCGACTGTCAGCGGCTGTTGCCAGTATCGTCATGGTAGCTGTCGCCCCAAGCACTGACTCAAATCCGGCCAATAGCTCGCATGACATTAGTACACCCACTCAGGAATATGGTCCCTAAAACGAACTGTCATCAACTATCCACTAGGTATCATTGGCATTGACCCCTCTGCGCAGTTTCCGCTCTTACGCTCAGGGCTACCAGCGGTACTTAGAGCGCATAGCTAAGAAAATTGCAGCAACTCATAGGCCAGTTCCCCTACCCTAATTCCTAAACCCTCGCCCACAATATCCTGCCTGTCCTGTGTTTATTTATTTCCCCATCCTCCATCTTTTCTCTCCCATTTCCCTTTATCTTTTCTCTCACACACACTTCCTCTCCCTACCATCCTCCACCCTTACCTTTCCATCTACACCATCCCTTCTTGAGAGCGCTTTGCTCTTATCACCATCACCAATTCAAACACATCACTTGTTTGAACGTCCAGACCTTGCAAGCTCTAGGTATGTATTATTTTCTTTAATAATAACCGCATCCACTCGTTGCCTTCATCCATGTACGCAATCCCCATCACGCCCAGCGCCAGACGCCCCACATCCATACCTTTAGCCTCTTGAACCCCCATCTATTCCATCACCATCTCCTCCATAAACCATTCCCACCCTTCGTGGTCACATCACGAACTCGCAAAATTATTATCCAGCCCGTCCGCTGGGACATCCGCAGACATTTCCTTCAGTTGCCATCATTTGGCACCGCATATTCTACCTTGCTGACTTGATCTCTCGTCTCCTACTAACCGCATCCATCCACAGCAGAAGGTGTCTTCGAAATACCGAGTTTCTCCCTTTCCTAGGCTGCCGAGCCCTTCTCTTTGAGTAAGTAATCACTCTTCTCCTGCCCCCAAGCCACACCAGTTCCCATTAGACCAGTCATATCCATGTATACCTTGCCATTCACGTTGTCCGTTCATGTGGTAGGAGATGTATGCAAAAATGAGGATGAGTCCCCCGTTTGACTGCAGCTGGCTAACGCTCGTTTTGTTCCAGGCTAAAGTTTCCTTCACGAGCTTAAAGAGGAGCCATGGAGTAAGTAAAATCCCACCCAATCCCGTTATCAGAGTGCTTTGCCCTGTTGCACCAAAGCCAATTTTTTGCATTCGTCACGTGTAAAGACTCTTGTTGTCTATTTTGAGTACTTCTCTTTCTTCAAGGACGAAGATGGAGAATCTCTTCAAATGTATTTGAAAGCTAATTTTCATTCAGAGGTGGAGCACCCCTTCGAACGCCCAACCGCGGGCCGGCAGACGCTAAAAGTCGCAATTCTGGAAGCGTTAGTTCCAGATTTATGACTCCAATCCAGCCGGACTTTAGCTGGCGCGAAAAGTTTGATTGGTAAGTGATGTATTTGCCTTGTTTTGTTGATTCAATATCCACGGATGGACGTCTGCGTCGAGGTTAATGGCAGTTTACTCCGAAAGGTCGGGTTGTCATGTGACTCGGTCCGGAAGACCGGACCCGCATTTCACCGGCAGTCTAGGATCGCCGTATCCCGAGCGGCGGAAGTCACCCTTTTCGGCAGCAGCAGAAGTGGTAGTGGCGTGCATTCCCGGTCGGTAGTCCGGCGGAAACTACGAATGGCCCCACCTGGGCGGTCAACAGAATCCATGGATTCTAGCGAATGAGAATGGGACATGCCCCATGCACCGATACTCCCCCAGATTCCACAGTAACACTGAAAAAGCAGTGCAGTCTGTCCAGCTAGAGAAAGAAGTGCCCTAGGCTCTTACTCTCTGGAAACAATAGGTGAACGGCTGCCTTAGGTGTTTGTTGTGCTATTCTCTCCCCCTTCCTTCCTTGGGCAACAACCAGGACGCGTCAACATTTTCGTTTCAACTGGATTTGTTTGCGAGTTTTCACCTCTTTAATGACCCGCTAGGCCCGTCAGTACACCATTTGAGGCAAGTGCTCGAGTAACTGCCCTATTACTCCTACTCACAACTACTTTCCAGGATAGCACGCCTCTCACAATACCTTCCCAACCCACATCCTACCTGTCTTATCCTATCTTCCTTCCTTCCTTCTCTTCTCTACGGCGACTGAATTTTTTTTCCCTCCCTTTCTATAAAAATCCGCAGCCCTCCCCAGATCATTTCTTAACTTTTCATCCTTCTTACACAACTTCTCTGAACCTGATCCTCCACTACTATCCCCCAAAGCATACCATTTCTACATCAATTCTAAAATCATCCTCTTCCATACATACTTCTCTTCGACAAAATTACGAAGTGTTCATACATATCTTATTATTCGGGAACTCGGTTTGGGCTGGGATACACGTTGGGGCCGGCCTTCTTCATTTTTCTCTCTTAATTATTATTTCATCTCCCGTCTTACCACCGCGAGACGATCGCCAAAATGACTGGATATGATTCTGACTCTTCATACGACAGGGCATCTACTGTCCGAGGTGCCCCTCTATTCCCCAAGGATGAGAGCCCTAAGGGAACGCAAGCCACCGGGGAGGACAGCCCGGTATCGATTCCCCCTCCCAGTAGTGAGGAATCTCGATTGATCAATGCGTCTAATTCCTTTGATCGACAAATTGCGCCGATGGAGAATCAACCACCCATCCCACAATCCATTGCTCCGACAACCTATCGCTATGGCGGAGGTGGTGTTGCCTTCCCAACTAATCATTCGGCTTCGAGCAGCCGCGCGGTGAGCCGATACCACCGTGACTCTTTGTCTGGACCGACCAGTGCTTTTGCTGGCTTGTCGCCTTGGCCAACTAGTGACGTCCGTCGCCTGCCCGGCGAAGATGTAAGTTTCTTATTACCCTGCATCTAGGACAACAATCTGCTTGATTTTGAAACACTAACCATAAATGATAGGAGTCGGTTTATTCGGCACGACTAATTGCTAGCCGAATCCACATGTGCACACAATTCATCAACCGCGCAGGAATTTTACCGGAATCCGCTTCTCGACACGCAGCAATGGTAGCTGAAATTGGTCAGCATATTAACTCGACCACTACTCAGCTGCGCCTCGAACGAGACGGTTTCAAGCGCGAGTGCCAAGAAAAGCGCGAGGAGCTTGAACGCGCTCTCCACGCTCAGGATGGTGCCAAGGCCGAAATTCTACAGATTCAACAAGAGCTTCGACGATCTCTTGACGTTGAGAAGACTTTACACGACGAGTTGGCTGGCACGAAGAGCCGCATTATTGGCCTCCAACGCGAAGCCGCTGAGATGGAGGATATGATGCGAAAATTCCAAAAGCACCACAAGAACATGAAAGAGGAGTGGACTTCGGCTGATGATGAGAAGGAAAAGATCATTAAGGTATGCTGCAAGCATTCGATCTCTTTAATTAGATAGCTAACATTTTTATTTTATAGGCTCTCCAGGAACAGGTCAAGAAGCAGCGAGTTCGCAACGCAGAGCTTGCTAAGAAGGCTGGCGAAGAAGAGACCGATAGCGAGAGTTCTGAGATCGACTTTGCTCAGACTGCTGCCTCCAGACCCGAAAGTGAGGCCGATGTTCTTCCTGCACACGAAAGGAAGCCTCTGGACGAGAAGACGAAGAACGACCTTCTCGAAGTTATCAACCGAACTAATCGCGCATCGATGCCTTACCAAGCCCGAGTTTCGTCGGATGATGAGGATAGCGCTATTCCGACAGTATGGAATGTTAAGCCAACCAAGTCAACCCAGCAAAAATTAGGATGGAAGTCCGAGGAGAAGGGTCCTCACGTTTCTAGTGAGGCAGGTCCATCGGCTTGGACTGCTAAGCCCACTGAGTCGCACAAATCGAAAGCTGCTGCGCAAGAAACTGGTGAAGGCTCCTCTGGTTGGATGGCTCTAACCCGACGTGGTGATCTCAAGGGCAAAGGTGTTGAGCGCCGTCCCCAATCTGCCGCGCCACCGAAGCAAGCTCTGATTCTCACAAAAGGAAAAGCACCCGGCCCATCGAAGTTTCCTCGCCACAAGGATCACTGGGAGCTTCCTGAGATTACCGTCGGTGTTGAGCATATGACTTCGCTCACCAAGGGATACATTGTCAATTGCCACTCCAAGGCATGGGAAGAGACCAATATTCCCGACCATATGCTTGAGATCCAGGAACCTTCAACCTGGAACTATCTTCTGAACCTGGTGTACGCGAACCAGATCGAGGCGAAGGGCCATATGAAGTTCCTTCTGAGCACAGTTGCTCACCGACCGTATGTGATCATGCGAATCGTCCTAGATTTTCTCTTCAAGAAAATCATTTCGCCCCAGGTTTTCCTTGGCTTCAGACCAGAAGTAGACAGTCACCTACTCGCGCTTCAGAACGAAATCCGATCGTTTAGCCAGGCACCTAAGCACAGCAAGTTCCGTGAACGCCAATCAGTTGTCAACGAACATGCTAGAATCATCACCGACATGTTCCGAAACAAGGCAAACGAAGTAGATCTACAGAAGTTCAAGAAGCACACAATTGAGCACAACGCTCAAATGCTTTCGCTACTTCTCCAGCCTCTGCGACCCAAGTCAGTTTCGGACGAGCAAGCTTTTAAGGCGGTACGTATCATGGTGGATGCGACCTAGGAGGTCAGTTCCAAGATATGGATGTCCGGTATGACACTCAACTACACATTCCCCGAAGTCGCATGCAAGTATTCGATGGCTACAATGGACGCTTTGAACGGATCATCGTTTGCGCGTAGCCCTGCAGAACTACAGTACTCTCAGACCCGAGTCAGTTTTGCGGTTAGTCCGATCCTATCGCTTCGAGACGAACGTAACGAAAACAGTCTCCTTTGCTATGGAATTAGCAAGGCCCAAGTATTGGTGATGAAGTAAGCTGCTACTTCAGTCTCGGGCCTCATGCATGTTTTCTTGGAAAGGAACATTGCTGGAGTATATTGATTAGGAGGACACATGAACATTACCTTTCCCAACCCACGCAAGCATTTCTCTCACCACATGAACATTACTGCCTTGCTTATTTGCAAGCCTACGATGAACCTTTATTACTGCCTACTACATAGCAGTTCGGACCATAGGCTTTTCTCATGTGTTGTCCTTCACTACTCCCGCTATTCCGAGGAACGAATTTACGAGTTTACGAGACTATAAGATCATGACAGGACATGATATTCAGTCTTACAGAGGCAATATATCTGACGCCTTCTTTTCATGAGACGTTGACGACCCTACGTTTACAGCTTAAAAACTGTTCACATTTGGTACGATTTCATTGCATTCCGCGGGGTTTACTATACCATACACCCGATCGCGCATATGATCTGCCATCTGCTTATCGTCGTTGATTTCATACTCGTCCTCATCTGATTATACCAAAATTACAAAACCCACAAAAACAATACGCAAAACATAAAACCCCGGCATAAAAAAAAGGCTTTCACATTCGGTTTGACCGGGCGAACCACCTCTTCTTTTCTCGCGCGCCATTGCTGACACCGACAACCATTTTCTCGGCATTGGTGAATTAGACGATATTTCAACATAACATACGATCTCAATTTTCAGAGTATCGATGTTTTGGACAATCGGGATATCATCAGCCTAGCTATCCTTGGCCTAAGTATTCTCGACTTTGCGACTCGCCCCCATCTACGACAATCTTCCACGGCAGTCTAAAGCAAAAATTTCTCCGCTTCTTGTTCATAGGCATCTTGCCATTTTTTCAGTACAACTTTTTAATTACGCTTCGGCGATAGGGTTGGCGGTGCATCGGGAGGCGCAGGAATGAGGAATGAGTAGTTGTTTTGGGAGGCGCATTTGGTACGGCTGATGGATGGACAGACGGACGGAGGAAAACGATTGATCTTTGGCCCCGATGACTTGGCAAAGACGCATTATTCTGTTCTACTCATTACATCGCATAGCTTAGGCCTAGTCCCCTTTTACTATGTTCTATGTTCTGTTATGACTATTTGGACTCGCCCCAATTTGTGAACATTGTCTTGATTGGTTCCTTGTGATTATCTTGCTTGTGCTACCTCGGAGTTAATTTTTTTTGGTTTTTGACGCTATTCGGGATGGTAAATCACGAAGTTGGTCATTTGAAACTAAGATTAGAGCCATTTGTAAAGAAGGTATTGTTAATTTCAGGCCCGAGACCCGCTACTATTTTTGCTAATTTGCTAGATGTAGTGTGACACTACTTTTCTCTAACCCCCGGATTTACTCAATCTCTGTAGGTATCGCTGACTGTGCTGACCCAAATATGAAATGAGGGGAGGAAACTAATAATACAAGTGTAGAGTATGATCTCTCCATAAAATTTCTTGATACCCATCCGCCATCCGCCAAACGCCAACGAAGCCGATGGGTATCATTGAATGGAATTCGCGACCGACCGAATCCTTAACCTTTCCGTTTCTTTTCGTTTAAATATCAAGTAAGCCGCCCCAGTCTAATGTGTATTCCCTATTCTTTTCGCGTATCCCCATCCATAAGCATAAAAAAAATCAGTTATAACGAGAGGGTCCATCAACTCTAACCAGGACCTTACGATCCAACTTTCTCTTGACAGCGCCAAGCACCACCTTCAAGATTCCATCCGCCGTGAGCGTGGGCTGATCGGCCTTCGTCGCACCATTAAACGTCGCAGTATCGACCATATCCCGTATGCCTTCTCGGTGGCACAGCTCATCGTCGAGTTCTCGAAGGGATTGCGTGGCGCCTGGGTCTCGACCGACTTGGAAGAATTGCACGCCGATTTGGTGGGGTGGGGCGCGCATCGCATCGAGTCTTCTAGCTGCCGCGGTTATGATCTCGCTGGGCTCATCCGTGGGCTGGCCGTCGGTGATTACGATGATGTTGATTGGTCGCGCGGCGTATACGTCACCACCCGACTTACGGACTACGGTTTCGTAGTGTGATAGATACGCGCGGAGGATGTGGTCTAGGCGTAATCCCGTTGGCGTAGCTAGGGACGGCCGAACAACTCGGTTAAAGAGGTTCTGGATAGTGCGTGCGTCACGCACACCGCGGTAGCCAGTGCCGACAGCGCCTCGCGAGGGGTCACCCTTGTCGTTGGTTCGGTGGTTGAGGAAGTACACATCTACACCGTCCTCATCGTGCTCAGTGCAGATAGGCAGGATAGCAGCAACAGCCGCTTGGGTCTCGCTCCACCGCTGCTCGGCTTTCATGGACAACGAGTCGTCAATCAAAAAGATGGTGTTAAACTCTTTCAGAAATGCATACTGGTCGTCCGCTACCGAGGCGTTTTTCGGGGGTACCGAGGGGGGAACGGGAGGAAGGGCTGGTTCCCGCACTAAAATGTTAGTTAGTAAGTAGTTCTGTATATGGATGAGTTAGGAAAACTTACCAGGAGCTGGCCCAGAAGCTCTGGGCGAATAGGGCGGGGGTGGGCTCTCGGGCCGTTGCGAGCGCCCGGAAAACATGCTACTGATAATCGAGGCTCGGCTGTGACGTTCGCCGCCAGTCTCGCCGTCACGGCTCCGTCCACTAAGAGTTCTGCGGAGCGAGAAGCCGGAAGGTGAACGGCTACTTCGTGTAGAGGACCCCCTTGTTTGATCCTCTGGACTTAGATGGAGTTGAGACGTCCGAGCAGATAAGTCGTTATCGAACGGATTATTCCCCATTGTATTTCTGAAACTCTGCTGTTGTTGATATCGAAGTTGATGAGTGCATTCGGTGTAGCGGCATTGACCGGTGCAACTAGGGGTTTTAAACGGTGAGAAATTTGATGAGTAGGACGAAGGCGATGATGAAAAGGATGATGCAGAAGGTGACTGCGAAGTGGCACCGAATCCTAAAGGAGTCGCGCAGGAAGGAGTGTTGAGGATATATGGCATATTTATAAACTCTGTTGATTGTTTCCCAGCTAAGATATAGTTATACTTCGACAAGCCGCATGAGTAGTCAGAAACTCTGTCGATTCGGTTAAACTGATTTGTTTGTTTCTTCGGGTGATTGCTTTGGGGCTATAGGCCTAAGACCATGTCTAACTCAAATATGGAGTAGTTGGAAGGCGTAGCAATTGAAGAATGACCGTCTTTGCTTGGTGTTGACTGGGTTTCCTTCTTTGTTATTTCGAACTAATATCCACATCCCCAAATTGACTTATCCTCCTTACATTATATATCCCCATGATGCCCGCATCATGACTGACATTGAACCGTTGTGGTAACTTCGATGTAGCCTTATACTCTGCCTTGTCTGCCTAGCCTGTGCACGAGGGCTGCTTCTCCATGCCTACCTCGTTTTTGATATAATGAGTTTCGGCGGCAACATGATAGATTCCAAAAGAACTGACACGGTAGTGTGACGAGAAACGCCGATTGCGGCTACTAGAGGCTCAGCCACCCTGTCCCATGGAACTGGTCATATCTTAGTTGTGGTGTTTTACGATTTACCAAGGCGGGTAAGAAGGCGAGGAGTGAGGCAGATTTCAGCAGCTCAGCCTTGGGGCGGAGTCACAGCAGCTTTAGGTACCTGGTTAAGGAACAAACGCCATGTGATTGGCTAAAAGGCACCCCAAGCAGTTTATTGGTGGCGGCCTGGAACATTAATTAAAATGCACAAAATATGCATGTATAACCAGACTGGGAATAATCCACCTTATGCATATGCATAAGGCTTATACCAAGGTGTACTTATGTACCTTACTGCTCCCCCTATATGGGTAGATAACTTCTATCGATCGATTGAAGATTCTATAGTCACTGTAACCATGGTTATAGCTATTTGCTATTGGCGGTGCTAGATGACAACAGATTCATAAGGCTTATAGACGTTCCGGCACTTATTTCATTTGCTAGACTCGTGATCGAGAAGTACATGGCGGAGTTTCGCGGAGTTCGGCGTATTACTTTTGTGTATAGCTTAAGTCCTCGGAGATACTAACTACTTAGGAGATAGGTAGGTAGGTAGGTAGCTAGCTGAGTGACTATCTGACCACCGAGGGATTGTTATTTGATATCTAAACAATGCTTTCACCGCTGTAATCAGAGGCACGAGCCTCGCAGAGCCTCCTCTAGATCATCAGATTGTAAGGCGCGCCTTTCCGATAGCCTACCTTTGAATCTGATAACAACCCGATCCGGACTTCCCCAAAACATCCAACCGGCAGAACTCCTGAACGCATCGATAATACATGCATGACCCCCAGCCACCCCTTTTATATCGTTCGCCGTTCACTCGGGGAACGATCTTAACCCCAAAGGGGGGCCGTAACTTCAATTGCCCTTTCCACCACAGCCTTGACTCGGTCTGCAAATGCTTTTTGGCTGCACTCTACCTCCAGATCCTCCAACCAGATCGTAGCCACCATCTTATCTACCTTGATAGCCACACCGGGGACGGGAATTCCGATTTTGTGCAATCTCTCAAGTTCGGTCTGTTGTCTCAGTTGAAGCAATCGTTCTTCTTCCTCGCCGTCGTCGGATAGCTCCATAGATGCATCCGAAGCGGCATCATCGTCGTCGTCTTCCGATTTCTTCGGCTTCTTGTCCTTAACTAGAGGCGGTAACTTCGGGGTAGCGACGGGTGACAGGGCGTCGGCACCAAACTGTGCCTCCAGGAAGAGGAAGAGGCGCTCCAATCGTTCCTGCGGGTTGAGCTTGGCGTGGGGGTTGCGAGCCGGTAGCTCATGCGAATGAGAGTGCTTGCTCGCCGATCCTATAAAGATGTGTCAGCAAGGAAAAAGCAAATAAATTTGGTTAGGCTGAAAAAAGGGTGATCTCTTACGCTTAACGGCTGCAGGACTGCTCTCGACGGATAGTAGGACAGCCATTACAGCGTCAGCAATGCCGTCGTTGAGCATATTACCCTCCCATTCTAACTCTACCTCACCGTTGCTGCGATATCTCACAGTAACACAACCCATGACCAAATATGCCGCAACAAGTTGGGCGACTTCCTCATCGACGTCAGTCATCTTGCCATCCCCATTGGTCTCATCGTTCTCCTTTCGGTTCTTGGTCTCTGGGAGCTCTTCGATACTACCGAAAGTTCCCTCTAGAGCCCATTTGATAAGGTCAATACCAGCCGCGCTTAACGTAAATCTTTGTCTGCAGGCAATCATAGAAGTAGTCAAGCCTGCATATTCTCTTAAATCTTCCGGGTCCATTAAAGACATTTTGAAGTCGTTCTGGACAATGACGCCTGCCACAAGCTCAGGAGTTTGATCGTCGGGCGAGGGTAACTGTTTCGGAGGGGGAATCGATGCTAATTTGCCGACCACCTTAGCTACTTTATCGGTTTTGAATCCTATCCGTAGTTCCTCGCAGTTTCTAGGGCTGTACACTTTAACTTTATCTTTCTCTATCTTTCCTGAATTCATCGAAAGTAGCTTTGATTTGAGCCGCATCATATTGTGCTGCTCGCCATGCACTAAGATCTATTCAAGTTAGTAAAGGAATGGCATAGGTAACAAGAGAAATAACTTACCACGACGGGAGCTGCCACTTCCTCAATGAACTCTCTATTCTCTTGCCCATCAACGTGCGCTGCAAAGGAATATTCAGCGACGCTGCACCTCCGAGGTATCATCACCTTCTCATTTTCTCCGCCCGGCGCTCTCCTTACGGCGTGGACGTTCCTCGACATGACTGCCTGGATTTGGTCGGGTTCTTGAACGATATGTTTCGCCATGGTACCCTCAACGCTGTAACCTGTAATGATAACACCATTCTTCTCGTTCGGGGCCCACCTCTCTAGCAATTCTCTGCTAACTCCATTTTGCAACATACCAGGACTCGCAAGCATAACACAACCACCGACGTCGTCGAATCTATCTAGGTTCTTCAATGACCGAATATACTTGAAATCCCATGGTCCTCCTTTACCTGCACCATCTCCCGCAGCTTCCGCTTCGGCCATTCGTTCCCGGAAGAGACGTTTGATGTTGTCGTTCATGGCTCCGACGTAAGTCTGATATACAACCATACACTTCCGCGCGAGGTTACTGGCGTAGTAAATGGGTATCTTCTGGAATTCTGTGTGCTTGTCCCAGTATTCGTCCAAAATTAGTAACAATTCCTGGGCTCGACCCAGGGCGAACACAGGCATCAAAACGCGGCCTCCTCGGTTGAGAATACCGGTAATTGACTTCATTAGAGCTTGCTCCCTCTCCAGTCTTGGCACGTGAGTTGATACTCCATACGTAGATTCCGTAATAAGAACGTCAACCTTTATACCTCTAGGCACTTCCGCTGAAACAAGATGTCTGTCTTGTTCTCGAGAATAGTCGCCCGTAAAGAATATGTTCAAACCCGCGATTTCTATCAAGAACATCGCAGCGCCTAGCACGTGGCCAGCGGGGTAAGGAGTGATACGGATAGAGGAGATAGTATGTGTTGTATGGTAGTCGATGGCCTCGATCTGAGGAAATGTGTTAAGATGGTCTTGCTCCGTGTACACAGGCTGAGACGTGGGATTCGAGGACGTATTTCCAACTCGAACGCTGTCTTGGATGAGCCATTTGTAGATAGCTTTTGTCGGATGTGTCATGAACACCCTGCCTCTGAAATTGGTCTTCGCTAGCACGTAGGGAAGAGACGCAGCGTGGTCGATGTGGAAACTTTACAATATTAGCATTTTTCTGAGATTTTATGTACATAGAATAGAAGGGCTAAGGACTAGAGGTGGTGATCTATTGGAATAGGCGTCACGACGATCAAAGGGTGCTACCGGTTGGGTAATTGAGAAATAACTTTTATTGATAGATGGGTATATAAGGACAATATTGTAGATATCCGAAATCAGGTTTGCGCAATACGATGGCAAGAATCAACGATCATGGCTTTTATATAGGACATAGGGGAATATTCCCTTCCACCCAACAGGTACGACGCCTTTGATCATCTACTGTCGCGCTATATGACAAAGTAAGGAGGAAAACTTACTGGCTGATTAGAAGGACGTCGACAGTGCTTAGATCGAAGTCATCGAAGAAAGGGAGAGCGGCAAGGCCATCGTAGGCGGGGTGCTGGCCGGCGTCGAGCTGTACATCAGATAGTTGTCAGTTTGGCCCTAGCCAGGAGGGAGAGTGTTGGAACACTGGCTTACCATAACCGTTTTCCCCTTGTATTGTATGATATGGCACGATCTACCGACCTCGTTTCCACCTCCCAAACAAAGGAACATCAGCTCGTCAGATGGGTCTACCGGCTCCTCATCGACAGTCGAAGCCATTGCGGAAGCCTTGCGCTTGGAAGCCATGGCTATTTGGAAGCGCAAGTATTGGCGCGTCGAAATTCGTAACTATTGGCAGATTATGGGACAATAGTAATGATGACTGGGAATCGATCGAGGAAGGAATGCGCTCAAACCCGTCAGCGCAATGAAGAAAGCGCTTCGGAAAGGAGTAATCGGCGAGGAAGCGCCAATTTATTCGATTAGTATGTGAATGCCTTCATATGCGACGGTAGATTGAATGGTATTAAGGTTGATTATTATGAAAGATGTAAAATAGAGAATAAAGGTTTAGAAGCTTAGAAGTTTAGAAGTGGAGGTTGTTGCCCATACAAAGTTGCGCGCTGGTAGGTGGTATGGATGTACATAACGTACCTAGGTAGGTACCTCTGTGGGTAACTGCTATGTACATGTAGGCATGCGCGACAAGCAATTTAGCGAGTAGATTAGGTAAGAGGCGGAGGTACTTAATCGATAAGAATTAATTGAGATTAGCGCGTCGTGTACCTGTGGAAAGTTTCAAATTGAGGCTGATGGATGGAACGGTTGCTAATTGATCCGGACCCTAAAACGCTTAGACCAAGTTTAAGTTAGTTTACCCTTTCCGCCCTTTCACGTCAAAGGGAGAGAAGCAAGTGGGGTCTGTGCGCCGTGCGACACGAAATCTTTCCAATGGGGCAATGGGGGAGAAGGCAGGAGCTTTTTCGTTGCTGCTGAAGTGCACTCAGAAAGGGAGATCGCCTCCTCATTCAACCTAAAAAAACATCACCTCTCAATCCTCAACCCCAACAACCAACCCGGACCGCGACACCGGATAGCCTCTCTTAATAACCGAATATCCTGTCGCATTCTCGTCGCCTTACAACCATCAATTTAATACCTACCGCGACGAAAATATAGCGCGCCATCGGATGGGTTTAGACTAGCTACGTGACAGGCTCTATGCCTGCGCTTCGTTTTTCGCAACTCAAGCACCTCCCACGTCCACCACTCCTCGTAAGGAACCATCTGCGCATTCGCCTATAGGAAACTAGTAGTACCTACCGTCGTTCATCATGTCGCACCAACCCGCTATGCCTCCGAGGCAGTTCTCACCTCAACAACACTCTCCCAATGGTCCCTATCAACTTCCCCCAAACAAACGAGCGAAATTGTCACCCGGTCCTGTATCAAATCCAGGTTCACCATCATATTCCAATTATGCCCCTAGTCCAGGAGCTACTACGCCCATCCCTACTCCGAATCACATACCTTCACCCGTTCCCCATCCAATTAACAATCAAGTTCACCCGGGTACCTATAACACTCCGTATCAACAGACGAACGGTCGAGCCCAGTCGGTTGGAATGTCCCTCACGATGCCAACTCCCGTATCGACGACACCGATACCGTCGCCTCAGCCGCCCACACCGAACGCCTCTCATCCGTCTTACTTGAACGCCAAACTCGCACCGGTTCCTTCTCCCGCTCCGACTCCTATCGCACCCCCAGCTCAGCCGATTATCACAAACATGGGGCCGCCAGCGCTAAACCCAATGGTTTCCTTCAATGACGGGTCGAAACCAGGCTCGAAAGCTGCGGCTAAGTCGGCTGAAACCTACGATATGAATGATATGCTTTTGGGTACTGGCATCGACTTGGATGAAGAAGCAGAATACATGAACAACTTGGACAACCGCGGATACCCGAATTATCCTCCCGCTGGACGAGATTCTTTCTATGGAGCTGGTCCGGCTAATCAACCTGCTCAACATACCGACGCGCAGACTCAAGAAGAACTGGCGGTGGAGACTGCAGATCGAACATGGAACGAAGCGGCAGCACGTCTTGCACGGACTAGAAGTCAGGAGATTGGCCACTTCTTATTACAGCCCGGCACGGTACATAAACGAGTTCAGGATGTGGCTCAGAAGTTTGGTCTGGGCCTCCACTTGGACTTAAAACCTGACACAAAGACGCCTTACTCGGGCAGAATGGTGAACCCCGTCGACTTCCCCAAACCTGAAATCAAGGTCATATCCAAGCCAGGGCCGGATGGTACAATGATCCAAACTCTTGGGTCGTTCATTCCCACGGACTCTTTCTTAGTTGACCAGCTTGCGCTGCTCTCGATAAGTACGAAACAGCATTTGCGTGAACTGCTTAATGATGCCAATAAGATTGCTACTGCACGGCAGAAGACCGCACATGGAGTAGTACCTCAAGAATGGGAAGATGCGGCCGCCCCGAAGTCGACTACAGCGAATGGAGTCCAACCCGATGGCACGCGGACGGGTGCGGAGAGCGCGGTTAGCCCCCGCACAAACCCACTCAAACGTATGGAGCCTTCGATCCTAAAAATTATGTTTTCGTTTGATATAGCTAACAGGATTTTCTAGGTCCGGTGGATGAGATTAGCAATGGACTTCCGACACCAGTCTCGGATGTTTCTCCATCCAACTTCATGGTAGAAGCTCTAGCAGCATCTGGAAAGGATGCGCGAAACGCGGAGGAAGCTCGCTTGAGAAAGCGACTAAAACGGCTGGAAAAGCCTACTGACAGCAAAGAAGGTGGTGATTCATCGCGAGCTGGGTCCGTAGCCCCGGGTACGCCAGGATCAATAGCACCGGATTCAGGTGAAGTTAAACCACCTACGAAGAAAGAGTCCAAGAAGGCGGCCAAATTGGCAGAGGCGAGTAGTACCACAGTGAATCAAACACTGGGTCTTTTTGCGGGCGGCAAGAAAAAGAAATATTCGTGGATGACGGGGGGCGCCGCCAGTGGAACAAGCACACCTCGAGCCCAAGCTGGGGGCGCACCGGGCACACCAGGTGCTGCAGCTACTACTAGTAATAAGGCTTCCCGAGGCCCCCTCACTAAAGCTGGTGTTACACAGCTCGGACAATTCCGCGAGGATTCCGACAAGGGGAAGAACATCCAACTCCGTGATTGGGTGGTTGTCCTCGAGGAGCGAGGTTTCGATCAGAAGTCCTTGCAACACATTTACGAAATTCTAGACAAGTCTGCCAAGGCTACGGTAGAAAGATCGAAGTAGCAGCAGACGAGTGGCTAAGAGGACTTGATCCCGTAAGGAACGGTTGACCTGTCCTAAGCCAACTTAACCAAAATCCGACCTAAACGATGAGGCGAAATAGTCGGCAGGAGTGGAGGAGTCTACCTTTTTAAGGCTCCCTGCGTTGTATTCAGTATACATTATTATTTTTCTACGTTTTACAGCCAGGCGTTGAAATCAAGAGGGCATAGGGAGGTAACGGTTGGCTTTGCATTTTCTGGTATTATACCTCCCTACGACTTAATGTTCGTGTGGGAGGAGGAGTAGCCGAACGAGACGGAAGGAGGGAGAGTTGGACGTGGAATGAGGAAATAGGCCTCGTTTAGTGAGTTCGTCAAGAAGAAAGATGAGAAGCCCATGTGCGAGGTCGGGACCGAAGTCTTCTAGCAATTGTTTTCTGTCTGTTCATTTGCTCAGTCTCTAAGAGAGACATTTAAGAGCTATAATAGCAACAGCAGTGGCAATTAGATAAGACCAGAAGCTCGATCGCAGGTATTTCTCTACATTGAGTTTATGTAGCTACAGCTCTATGGTAGCTAGACCTCCACATGAATGGCTAGTAAAAAAGACGTGTAAGGAATCAATCAATTACACGATTGCAGTTAAGATTCTGCTTATAATAACCTATGGTGTTAATATGTATATGTGTACTTATCTGTCCATAAATTCCATAAATTCATTATCCGATGATATAGTTTCAGTTTCGGCTTCGGCTTCGGCCGCCCGCCCTCGCACAACGTCGGGTGAAAGTGGGGACGGGAGTTGTTTCTTAGAATGGGATGGTTCTTTCCTGCAACTATACTTAGACATCACGTCAAGATACATCCGTATGGTTTGATCCGCTTTATTTTCCGATCTCTCTTTCCCCTCTCGGCCCGGAGCTTGATTTTACGGTTACTTAGCATCCTAGATTGATAGATTGTCGGACTATTAATTACGTCAAGGCTCTTAATCACGCTATCCTTCTATATTATACCTACCTAGATACCTATACTAGCTTCTACAATGGCTAAAGCTGTAAGGTCGCACCACAACCCTTCTTTCACAAGTACTATGAGGGGAAAGGATTAGTTAGATAGGAATGATGTTAAGTTATATAGATGGATATGTCTCTTATGAGTTGGTCGCAAATTATACATCGCTGATTCGGTTGACCATAGGCAATAGGGCAAATTTGCTCATCGAATTCGGTAGCGCATAATCTCGAGCAATGTGTTAAGCTCGTAGGCCAAGCTGCGGCTGTAGGCGCGAAAGTACGTTAACTATAACTAGACCCTATATTATTCCTTGCTTTATGAATGAAGGTCTATTAAGTGAAGGGTGAATTGAGCAATATATATTAGTCGTCTGGATCATTCCATAGAGTCTGGGGATCATCATATCTTCATGACAGTTAGTTTCTAAATAATCACTAGTTCGTCAACTAATCAAGTATTAGGTCCTCTTCCTCCCGGAAGCATCAGACTACATCAGCACATCAACACAAGAATCCTTCTCCCTCGCCAAACCAGTCGCAACTTCACCCTTCGTAGCCGGCCTACGGTCCGCCGCAGCAAAGCATAAACTCGCCGTCCACGTCGGCATCCACGTTCCCGTTGTTGTGAAGCCGTCTACTTCTACTATTAACTCAGTCCTATCTTCCATCGCACAATCCGAGGATCCGGATACTATCGCCAGCGTGATTGACAAGAAAGGCGAAGGAGACGAGCCTAAAATCAAGCTATACAACCGCACAATCTACATCCGGCCCGACGGCGTCCTAGACGAATCCGCCTTATACAATAAACTCCACCTCTTCGACTACCCCGACGCCTCCCTCCGCGAATCCACCACAACACAAGCAGGATCCAGCTTCACACCACCAATCGACTCCCCCGTAGGTCGTTTAGGCAGTTTAATATGTTTCGACCTGCGTTTCCCCGAAGCCGCTTTACGCCTAACTACATCAAAAGTATACCCATCTCCCGCACAAATCCGTACGTATCACCAAACCCATACTCAATTCATCGACTACTAACCCTCCTCACTAGTCCTATACCCCTCAGCATTCACAATCCCAACCGGCCTCGCACACTGGGAAACCCTCCTCCGCGCCCGCGCAATCGAAACACAATCCTACGTCATCGCATCCGCACAAGTAGGACGACATAACCCGGGTCTCTCACCCCGTGTCAGTTACGGGCGAAGCATGGTAATCGATCCCTGGGGGCGAGTCTTGTTAACACTAAAAGGCGTCATCAAAGACGATAAAAAACCAAAGGGAGAGGAGTATGACGCTGAAGAGGGTGCTGTGGGAGAGTTAGGAATCGTAGATATTGACCTTGACGAATGGGAAGGCGTGAGGAAGAGGATGCCGCTGGTGCGCAGAACGTTAGTTATTTTCATTTCCTCCTGTCCGACACCTCTTGCGTTGATTGTACTGACTGCTTCTAGCGACGTATATAATGAAGTATAAAACTTCTCAATAAAAAGGCGTGAATCAAAGAACATAGCTAGGAAAACATTAGTAATACTGCTGTTAAATATTGTCAAGCCACAAGATACGTATTAAAATAGAAATAGACTTGATGGTTTTGTATTTCCGATGCAGTTCTCGTCTATGTACTGACTTAGAGAACCCATTCATCTACAAATATCAAGTCCCCCTTTTTGCATTCCATGTTGGTGTCCCTTTCTGAACTGTGGTATCTCAAGAGCCACTCGTATATCAACGCCTCTCGCATGATCCTTCCCTTCGTTTAAGCTGGTATAACCTGACCTTAAACTACCTTTTTTTTTTCTCATCTCAAAGTAAATCATGGAATCATGCTCGTGATGTGAATGCAAGAATAATACCATCCCTGGTCAACCCATCCTTACGCCGTTGCTAGAGCCTCTCAACTAAAACAACACCCATTGGGCTCTAAAGCATGGCAAAACCACGAGTATCCACCAAATTCCTCATGGTGGAAAAGAAAAATCGGGGTAATGCAATTGCCGTATTAATACACTGAAAATCAATATTGTGTGTCGGGGAGCGAGTTGGTGATGGAGTCTCGGAAAGAATATATGCCGGCTCTGCAGACCATATTATGATCTGGTGACAATGCGGATACGTCCGCTTATCTACCCAATAATGAGAATTATTGAGCTGCTGCCTGGCGGTATCCAGTCCCTCGTCCTCGGCCACCATATCCACGGCCCCGATTGCCACGTCCGCCTCGGCCACGGCCTCGGTAACCACCACGGTAGCCACCATCAACACTTCCTTGGCCAAACGTCTCCATATTCTTGCGCTGCTCCTCGCCGCGCCACTCACGACCACCCGGCTTCTGACCGCCGTTCTCAGCTCGGTCCTTTGCTTCACTAGAGATATTGTCAAAGAACGACCTGGTCTTGTTATAGGCCACGGGAAGTGCAGCGGTATCATCGACCTGCGCGGGCTCTGCCACAGGCTCGACCTGGGGAGAACCAGCGATGGCTTCCTTCACAAGGTCTTGCTTGTTGAACTTGGCATTTCCAGCCGCGAAATCGAAATCAGAATCGGGTACATTAACCTTCGGTTGTCCGCCGGGACGACCTCCTCGGCCACGTCCTCTACCATTGGTGCCATTTCTGGGAGCGGTCATCCTCATCTCGTTTACCTTCTTAGTAAGGTTATCCATGTTGCCAATCGGTTGGGTAGAGGCTTCGGCAACACGAGGGTTATCCTCCAATTTAGCCATCGCAGCGGCGACAGCAGCCTTAGCGGCCTGGGTAGCATCTTTGCCTAATATGCCCGACTGTCCATTTGCGTGGTCTCCCACAGGCTTGATCGAAGCAGCCGCTGCAGTAACTTGAGGGCCAGACCTAGAGATGATAGCATTCGGAATCGGGACAGCAGGGGTGACTCGGTTGCTCTTGGGGCCGGTAGGGATAGCCTTCTTGTCAGCAACGTTGTTCGCAGCTGCGTTCGCGTTCGATAGCGATTCCGCAGTAGCCTTGACTTCTGCTACAGTCGGCTTCGATTCAACCGGCGGGGTCGGTGCGGCTGCACTCGTCGGGGCAGGCTGAGGAGGTTGCTGTCCAACTGACTTAGGTTCCGTAGAAGGCAATTCTACCGGGGGATTACCAACCAGTTTTTGTTTGTCGACACCGGCACCGATGGGAGCCGGCTTACTGTCTTGCTGCGGTGTGCCTCGACTAACTTGGGGAGGTGCACCAGGAGCGCCCAGGTGTTGTCCTTGAGGACCGGGACCCGGTGGGTAACCAAAGCTGTTCCACGGACCAGGACCTCCAGGTCCACCAGCAGGAAAGCCTTGGCCAGGAGGGAACCAACCAGGAGGAGGCGGGTACGGCATCCCGTGAAAGCCTTGAGCGGGGCCAGGGCCCGGGCCGCCACGTCCCCATTGTCCGGGAGGAGGGGGGTAAAACGGGTTGGGTTGGTATGGGCTCTGGCCGTAACCTGGAGCTCCAGGACCGGGAGGGATAGCGCCCGCAAGGGGGGCAGGACGGGTGCGAGCCTAGAAAAGAACACGTGGTTAGCATCGAGGTTTACGAAATGATGATCTCGTGTTTTTCAATAAAGTTTAAGTCCATGATGGATCAGAAGGAAGGCAACGGAAATATCAACATGGTGTTGTTTTGCGCATTCAGTCGAATTTAGGTTTACATCCGAAATGTTTCGTCATATAAATTGGACGCGGTGTAATACGATAATAGAGGAATGAGCAACTTACTCCAACGATCGCAGGGTCATCGGGAACCTTGGGGGGTTGGTTCTCCTTGGGAGGGACAGGAGCTTGCTCAATTCGCAGATCCTTTACATCGCTACCCCGAAAGACGATGTACTCGTAGACCTGATCAGAAGGTGCTATCTCCTCATCAGGATTACCCTTTCGTCCTTCGGTGCCGAAGGATCTAACATTCTCTAGGGAGACGGTCGACTCTTCCGAATTGATCTCGTGCAATACTCCAGAGTATCTATCAATGTTAGATCAGGAATTCGCCGTAGATATTAGTATTCGAGGAGATAATCGTACCGAATATCGCTCTTGGAGATGAGGGATATGCGAGAGCTATGATTGACGTGTTAGTAATTGAATCGCCGACAAGCTGAGCTGGAGAGGAGTTGACGACAGTGAAGTACGTACCCTAGAAATTCAGACATGATGTCGGAAGATTCGCGCGATACGCGCAAGAGAAAAGAGTGAGTACAATAGAGGTAGTAAATAAAGGAGAAAGAAGTACTATTTTTTTTGGAGGTTGTAAATTGAGAAGAGGAGTAAATTGTTGTTGGTTTAGAGAATGTAGGTTTTTGAGGGTTTGGGAAGTGAAAGTGGGAAAAGAAAAGAGAGGCTGAATTTCCGATGTGAAAGTAGAAAGCTAAAAAATTCGACGAACTGGCAGCAGGTCAGCACCAGCCCCGGACCCACAACGTACCAAGATAACGTATTTTACAGTTTACTAGGTAGTGTGCTAATTTCCACTGTGGTAGAGTGCTAAGCCACAGTCACACCCGCCAATTCTAGGCGCCCAGCGTACCTAGGCAGTAGACTTGGATCGCCTGAAAGTTTGTACCTAAGTTTTCTAGAGCTCTTTCCTACTGTACCTAGGTAGGTACAATATGTATGTGAGTCAGGTGTGAAAAGAAAGAAGGAAGTCACGATCCGGAATGTTAATTACGCAGACACATGGATTTATAGTTTTCTGGCTCCATCCAAACTACCAGACTACGTACCTAGGTAGGTACCTAACAAATTAGGCGACGAATGTGTTTGCGCAAGTTGTGGGGTATAACACCTACCAACTACACGTTATCGCTACTAATATATATATGACCGTGTCACCTCATGAGTCGCTCATATTAGAACCTAAGGGCTTCCAAATAATCATAGAAATATGTTATAGATATTGGACCATCATTTTTCGCGAATAGATCGGCTTACGATATTCACGCATTGGCCTATATATTAATTAGTTAATTAGGTAGACATGTCAGATATATCTGATCCTGAACTACTTGTGGTATCATCGTCTTGCTCATCGGAATCTCCATCCTCAGCTTGACCCTCTTCCTCCTCACTTGAATATTCGACAAGGCCGCCAGTTTGTCGTTTTTTCGACTTCTTAGGTCTTTCCTCTATGGTGTAACCGTCGGGGACTTCCGTGGAACCAGCTGGCAATACGCAAATAGTCGGAAATTCAACTATATCAAGGCCAGGTAAGATAGTAGCCAGGCTGTCTGTTGGCTGCAGGGGCACGAGTTTCTGCAATTCTCGCGAGGGTGTTCGCGGTTTTAGGAAGAAGAATCGGTATTTATCCTTTGCACCCTCGGCTGCGTGCGAACGTGCGATCGTACTGTTCCATGCTGCCGTATCCGGGTCCTGCATTACGTATTCCACGCCATTCCAAGCTGTTATGGTCATGTCTTGACCGCCTCCAGAAATCTTTCTCCTTCCTTCCAGGGACTTTTGTTTCTTCTCCTGTGCGCGTTCTTGGTCGCTCAGCTGTCTTTGACGGTAAAATTCTTCGCTCTCCGCAAAACCAACGCACAAAGGCACTTCATCCAATATTTTATGCAGGATTCTTAAGGGATTCGGTGTGCTGGCTTGTTCGGATGTGACAGATTTCCACACAAGCCATTCGATTTGCCAATTCATGGTCCTCGTGCGTTTATTCCAGCTCGTCTTATTTTCTTTCGACCTAGTCATACCGTAGGGGAGAGATGAGACATTGACTCCTAGCTGGCGCATTCGTTGTATTGAGTTTCGATCCCATTTTCGCGAGTTTTCCTCGAAAGTGACTCTTCCCCTACTCCGACCCTTATGAATGCGTTGTCTCTTGTTCGGTGGTGGTCGCGGTCCGTTGTCGTCCTGCGGTAGTATCTCCTTCTCTTCCCTCAGTATCTTCTCGGTTCGCTCCACGGTCCTCTCGATCTTCGTTAGGAAATTGTAATCGTGGTCGATACCAGCATCCGTCTTTAGTTTCTCTCGTGGTATGTAGACAGTCGGATCGCGCTCTCCATTACAGGATGACCATTTTTTGTGTTTCGTTACACATATTAGGGAACATGTCCGTGTTCCGCATCGGGGGCATTTGTATTTGGGGGCTTGGATATGGCAGATGGTACAAAGTGACGTTAATAACGGATCAGCCATGATAACATGACGCGAATAGTTCCGAAAGCTCAATTTGTGATTTATACGAACTGCAGTGTTTTGCGAATGGAATTTGAGACCCTTGAAAAATTTGACGGAGGTAAATAGGTGGAAGAGATTAATTATCGAAAGTTCCAAACTTGTATTGCTTGCGAGCCTCCAAGGGCCAGTGAGCTTGAAATTCTATGTTATTATCTTATCGATATCTAGCCGATGCTGCTCAGTAGCGTCGAACCTTAGAACTGCCATGTGCGAAAAATCTCCTACTAGATCAGAGATGGAACCATATTCTAGCTTGCATGCATATTGGAACTTGTCGCAGCAAATAGAATAAATCTAATGAATCAAGGGATCCCTGCGCTTAATATATCGTATCTAGCGGGATAAAGGTACATGTACCTTTGCCTATAGTGTGATGGTCACCACCCAAGTAATAATACAGTACTCAGCATTTTACTATCGTCTTCAATATTATTACTTTCACATCAATTCTACTCAAATAATAGTGTATTCGATGGTCAAGTTATAGAAAATTCATCCTCAATTTCATATACAACCCTCTAATATTATACCTAAACTATACTGTATGCCATTCTCCTTTGTATACAGTTTATACACTGTGTCGCGTGTACATAAATTCCATATTCTTTAGGTTTCTCTCTTAGGCAATCGAGTTTCTAAGTCAGCGTTATAAGTCAATACCTATTCACCCTTTTACTTCCTTAGATCCATATCGATATCTTGCTTACAACTTCCATGCAAAACTCATAATAACTATTCATGGCTCTACAATGACGGATACAGAAATGAAAATCGATCCTCAAAGAGCTGCCGCTTTAGTATCGCAGATTAAAAGCGTACGCGAGCGCATCACCGCTGTCGCTAGTGGTCGAGATGTAAGCCACCTCTTTCACCGGTTTACCCGCCAACGAATCATTCATCCATGGTGACATATTATGAAATGCCGCCTAATCCCATTTGAACGCAACTATGAATTTGGCTTGATTAATAACTTGTTCACTTTAGGTACGCCTAGTCGCTGTCTCGAAGCTGAAGCCGGCCAATGACATACTGGCATTGATGCAGCAGACCTCGCCGCCCCAACTGCACTTTGGCGAGAATTATGCCCAGGAATTAATCCAAAAGGCTGAAATATTACCACGGAGTGTAAAATGGCATTTCATCGGTGGCCTGCAGTCTGGTAAGGCACCTTTTCTAGTTTCACAAGGGCAGAAGATAGCCAACCCCCACTCATATGCCTACACTGGAGATATACCACCAAACTCCCAGCCCACCAAGCTAACACAATTCCAGGGCACTGCAAGAACCTAGCCAAAGTCCCCAACCTTTGGTGTGTCTCGAGCGTAGACACCGAGAAGAAAGTCCAACTCCTCGATAAATACCGAGGCGAATTCATATCCTCCTTCTCATCTTCATCCCCCTCTGAACCCACCCCCGAGAAACTCAACATTCACATCCAAGTCAATACGTCCGGCGAATCCTCCAAGTCCGGCTGCGAACCAGGCGCCGCCACCGTAGCTCTATGTCGCGCCGTGCTCACGGCGCCTAACTTACATCTCTTGGGTCTAATGACTATCGGTGCGATTGCGCGAAGCGTGGCTACGACGCCGGAGAATGAGAATGAGGATTTCTTGTGTTTACGGGAACAGCGGGATCTCATAGTCAAGGAGTTGGGGTCGGAATTTGGCAAGGATGGAAAGTTAGAGTTGGAGCTTAGCATGGGTATGAGTGAGGATTTCGAGGGCGCTATTGTTGCAGGTAGTGGTGAGGTGAGAGTGGGAAGTACAATTTTCGGACAGAGGCCGTTGAAGAGTGAGGCGAAAATTAGGGAGTAACTTAGTCTAGTAGCATGAGGTAGATCAAAAAGCATTGCGAAGCATTCAAGTAAACAATACGTCAAACTCAATAACGTGGCACCATCCGCCACGGACTGTAGTTAATGCTCATAATACTCTATCCTGCGTGCAGTATACTCATAAAATCTCATCCCAACCGCCCACCCTCCTAAATGCCCAAAGGTCCAAACATAGTTGGATATCTCCGCTATGCCGTAAACTTATATGGTATACAAATCACTCCCTCCCGCCATCACAAGATCCTCTCCATAAGGAAACGAAGAAATTCACAAAGAAAATTATTCCTGCGCAACGACAGGAACAACCACATTCTTCCACAACTCTCTTTTCTTCCCATCCCCACTCCCCGTCCACTCCTTCTCAACCTGCGCATACTCATCCCACCATAATTTATGCGTAGATTCAATCGTATCATTCGCATCATACGCGCGGCTCTTCCATGGCTTATTCAAGATATAATGCAAAATCCTCACATCGCTATCTTTCCAAAGTCCAGAATGGCAATCGCGCATCGGTTTCAGCGCATTGTAGTAGTACGGAATGGGCTTCCATTTTCCGCGGTACACGATGGCGAGAAGGTCCTGGTCGAAGAAGATCATGTTCGGCACGTCGGGGTGCGTGTTCATGGCATGAATCAGATCATCGTACTGTTGTTTTGACGGCTCTAGGATTACTGTGCCACTGTTGAGTAGATGGTGGTTGTTAGGACTCTGAGGTGTGATAGCGGCTGGTTGCCCTGTCTCCTGGTTGGCGGCTGTGAAGGCGCAGTTTGCGGGAACCCAGTCTTTGCTGTAATGAGGCAACTTGCGCGGGTTGCATGTGCAGGCGTGCGTGCTTGCGATCCAGCCGTCGGGAATCTCGACGTCCATCATATCGTCGATGTTTTTCAAGATGATCTGGTCGCTGTCAAGGAGGACCACGCGCTACAATATTCCAAGCTCATATTAACGCCCATTCTATGAATTCAATAGGGGAGACGAAAGGGGTGAATAATAAAAATATGAGAAATAGTCCTATATCGTAGGTAACGTGACCTAAGCGCATATGATGATTACATACCTTATATTGCGTGAAAGACCAAGGAGCTAGCTTCTCCCAAGTACCCTTATTAATCTTGCCATCACGAGGTGCAGGCTCGATCTTATCGACGACAATCGTGGGAATGCCGGCAGCAGCAAAGGCTTCCATGTATTCGGTATCGTCCTCAACGGCGCGTGTGACCATGACCACAAGCCGGTACTTGCTCCGATGGCGGCGTAAGGAGTGATGAAGAACTAACAGACCACCGAAATAGCCGCGGTTTGTCAATAGTGTAGTCCAGATCTTAGTCGGGTCGTACCACCCGTCTTCTCCGGCATCACCATTCTTGACGCCGTTCTTTACTCCGTTGCTCGCCATCTTATCTATTGTTCAATTTCCCTTTCGTTTCTGTTATAGTAATTCAGAGAAAATATGAGGATATATAGAGCGAGGGAATATCGAAGAGGGGGAACGCGTGTACAAAGAGGAGATAGAGGAGAAGAGTAAAAATAAAAAAGCATGTACTTGTACTACGACTATATCATATCTCACCGAGTACATATACGTAGTTTGTCTTACCGTATATATACACCGATTCGGAACAGCAAATCGCGTTCGCGCAAAGTCATAGCCTGCATATATATATGTAGGTATCTATCTATCTTACCTCCATGGGATTAGTAGATTGCGGGAGAAGAGGATTAATAATATAAAAAAAAGGGGACCTTTAAGTTGGATCGGGTTCTTCATCTATCACATCATTATTGTACCTTATATAACTTAGCCGGGTACTCAATTCATAGATTAGGGCGGGAAGAAGTAAGAAAAGGTACGCCATGGAAAGTTAGAATATACTTAGATTGAGTATGATAAGAACTAAGAGTAAAGCTAAACTTAAAAGAAATAGATAGATCGGCTTCGACCCTTACCTTAGTCTCTGACGCCATCGAAAGGATAATACCTATACGCCGTACCTAGGTAGCGGGCGTGCAGGCGTGGTGGGAAATTGCCCCGCCATTGGTTCCCGGGATAAAATCGAGGGAAGAAAAGTACATATTTCGGAGCTCCGAAGCAAGCCGAGCCGAGGCTTTTTTTCCCTCGTCTTCTTTCCTTTTGAAAAAGTTTCAATTTCTTCCAGTTTAAAAAGGCAAGTCTAAGAAATCAACATAAAGTAATTTGAAAAAAAAAACCGAAGCGACATTTGAAATTGGGTTTTCATTCATAAGGTAACATTAAATACGACTCAAGTGAGTCTCTCTTTTGTGTACTGTTGGCCGTTAGCCTATGTAGCCTACGACAAAGTGCACAAATGCCAGCATGACGGCGCGTCGTCTACGCCTATTGATTGAATTCGCCAGGAAAGTTATATTGCCTATGTAATCATAGGCCTTCCTTCGATATCAGAGTGTTAAACCCCGTTTTAAGTATATCCATCACCACGCTTTCCACCTTATCTTCGGCAAACGTCTCGGCCAGGCTCGTTAAATCCGGCTTCTCCTCATCTCGTCCTGCGGCAGCCCATATTTCGTCCAACATCTTGCGTAGTACAGGGTTCCGACACCGAGGATCTTGCGCCGCAATAGCTAAATTTTCCGTGATGAGTGATATACGGCAGAGGTCGAGTTTGGTATCTAAGGCCGTGCCCCTACGATGATTTGCTATCATGGTACTATAAACGCCGCGGTAGGACGCAAGGCACTCCGGCGAATCTTCCCAAACCCCTTCCGGTTCCACTCCATCTTCCACAGATTCAACATATCCATACATAGCTGGGTCCCAGTCGCGTGTAAGCCATCCGGGATATCACTCATTGCCTAGAGTGCAAGGCAGGGCGGCGATACCATCCCAGTCTATAATTCCTCGGAGCTCCCCATCTTCGGATACGATAAAATTCTGTATGTCGAAATCCGGGTGGGCCAAAACGAAAGGATCCATTCCACTGGGCTCGGGGATCCAGCGAATCAGTTGGCGCAGGAGCATCTCAATGCCCTTGGGAATGGGGTCCTGTTCCGGATGCTTGTCGAGCATGAAAGTGCAATATGCCTTAGGGTCGCTGGATGTCGGGAATTCAGTATATATGGGGTCATCGCTCGGATCTTGATGGATAAACCATCTATCTAGCATAGCCTGCTGGTCGACTTGTCGCATCGGCCCGACTCCTGACAAGTTCCCATCACTCCCAAAGAGAGGGCAGCCACCGCTTTGGAATGAAAACTTGTCCAGCTGCGCCATGGCCGAAGCGATACCTTGGAGGGCGCGGTTTCGGCGTGCGTGTGTGGTATCAGGATTCACACCATTGAGGCGATGTCCAAACCAGACGTTATATAAAGGGATTCCGGATATAAAAGACATAACGATATACGGACATCGGAGAGTATTCTCCGTAGTGGACGAGAAATCTAAGACATCAGGCAGAGGAATGGTGGTGTCTCGTTTCAGGAGGCGCATCGTCTTTGCCTCGGAGGCTAGGGATGATGCAGACAATTCATCCCAATTGCTTGCCGTGCCATTGATAGGTATCTTTACCAGCCAGCGAAGGTCATCATCGAATATCAGCGGGAAGAGCACATGGTAGGAGCCATATATAGGCTTGCCAACAGAGGGCGTCGTTTTTGTAGCCTGCAATTTCTGTTCCCGTAATATGGTGCTGCCAATAATAGGCAGCTGTTCCATGTCAACTGTCGATAGGATTGCTGAAAATAATTCCGCATTTTCATCATCCCCGTTGGAATCTGGCGAGGGCGAACGCTGTTGCGCCATTTCGTGTAAAGGGGGATAGCAATAAATTGAAGGGGAGTAGAGTTAGGGAAAAAGTTACGGGAAGAAATCCTGATGAGTACCTGCGTATGCACGAAATCGAACAAGGCAATCAGATTATGCGCTGACTAAATTGTGTAGGCGCCTAAGAGTGGCCCCAACGTTTGTATTACATTAATTCTCAAACGCGCTTATCCGGATTCTAAGGCTAGGTCAACTTCTTCCACATGTTATAACATCACTTCTCGTACGAGGCTCTCAAGCAATCTTATGTATGTTGGAGCCGTTCTGGCAAACCGATTGAAAATTCACATCCAATCGCTCGTCACAATCACTCCAAAATCCACGCATGCGGTCAATATAGAAGGCCAACCGGCGCTGATCCCGGTCGACATCCCCTCAACCTAGTATTTACATATGGCTATTGGCGGAATTAGCACTGGGCTCTACTGGTCTATACTACTCAGTTTGGATATAAAATACCCGTTCTCACACGCATCAGGAGCTCGTTTTCTTGAGGTTTGTACGCAAGACTGAAAACAGAAGAATCAAACGCTATATATCATGTATATACCTTGAAGTCTATATCATCTCTTGTCCTAAACCACCCCAACGCAAAACCATCGTCATTATGGGTCACCATTGGTAACCTTGCCAACCCCAATACGATTAAAATGCGTGCTAATTCTATAACAGTCCTACTTGCAAAAAAGCCTGCTCTACCCGATGCGTGAGGTAAGGCCATGTACTTCGATGCTCTACACATAACGAGTATTATATGCCGGGTGGACAATGTGCTTCTTGCCACGAAGCCGAAGTCCGCGCGGCTAGTAATAAGAAGTAGGGGAGGATAGTAAGGAGAAGAGGCACGTTAGCCGGACTAGCGTCTATCTTGGGTTACGCTGGTGGGATTATGTTGTTATAAGTGCCTTTGGTGGCAGTTGGGCCTGTCTTGAACGGTGGTGTTACACGGCGTACATGTACTTTAGGGTTTATACTTACGAGCTGATTGGATATCGTCGACGGGACCATCTAACACTTCCTTATACATTCATCAACTGCTCTATATACATCATTTGCCCTTCGACTATACGTCTTAAGTACGCATCATGCCATTAATAAATCTACTTTCCTGTAATTACAGAGTTATTGCCATGTCTACTGCACGTGTCTATTCCATAGCTGTATTAGTTGCAAAGGACGTAAAATCACATAATGGAGACGAGCTAGGGTCAATAAAGCGAAGGGACGTACAGTATGATGCAAACGAATAATATAAAAGAAACTTGGGAGAACAAAGTTCTCGCATAGGGAGTAGGACGTTGGACAGTGACTTGCCGGGAAGAGAGCAGGTGTGTATGGAAAGCTAGCGCTTCATACGACAGGATACAAGGCCCTCCTTAGGGATGCTAGGGCTGCCACTGTGATGACTGTCCCCTCAGAATAGCGTCAGTCTATGTGCCGATCGTATGGCGTATACTGTGGGATACTGTGTTACTAAGACACCTCTACATAGTTTTATTTAGACAGTAAAAGTCCGTACTATCAGCACGGTCGGCACTTGGACTGACGCTCTTCTGTCCCCTCTACCCATTCTGCCAAAGCCGATAGCTCCTGGCGCTTAAGCAGATAAAAGCATAAACAAAAGCAAGCAGAAGTAAGGAGACACAGGTCCCGTGAACAGGGGCAAACAGCCATACATACAGTTACTAATAACGAGCTTATGAACAGAAGGCTAGGCTAAGGTGATATGATAAGATGGGGGGCGGAAAAAAGCATAATAGGGAATGCTAATAGGTAATTGGTTCATCAGGCCTCACGCACCTACGCGTAATGATCCGCATTGGAGTACGTTCAGGTGGAAAGGCGGCAACTTGCCTTGCTTTATGAGCCAATCACTTCTCACAACAATATCATATGATGCAGTGGCGTATATAGAAACTCCGTGCTCCGCGGGTGATTCTCATTGTTGATCTCGGACTATTCAGCCAGCCTTCATTTAACTGTACACTGCAAAACTCCTACTTCTGCGAAAAGCGGGCACCCACCGATCACTCGTCTTATGAACACCCGCATCAAGCAACACATTCAAGAACCCCTTCACGCTCCCTACTTAGGTTGCGTTAGAATTATTCTCCATCCCCTTCTTCTTCTCCCCTCCCAAGACCTCCATAACCTTCTTGATACCCTTCTCCTGCTCTACTAGCAGACAGCCGCGGTTAGTGCCTAGCATATACTGCTGAATGCGCAAGAGACCAATCGCCTCATTGACTCGGCGAAGCAGATCCTTATACGTAGCCTCGCAGTCGCACATGCCAGAAGTAACACAACTATACTTGCTGAACTGGGAAGTCGTTAAGATCTGGATCGGAGGCGGTTCGGGATCCTCGGGGTACAGTGTTACGTTATCCAGGAAATCGAATACCAAGTCCATAACGGCATCCCATACGTATACGAGCATCTTGCGGATAACGGTGAACGGGTTCGTCGAGCCAAAGTCCACCCCGGCTGAAGATGCTTTGGCGGAAGGTACTGCTGTGCCGAGAGGAGAACATAAGGTCCAGATGTTCGGACGGCTAGCGACGGGGCAGTACAAAAGACTGGTGGAAGCCGGGACTGTAGTAGTACTCGTGGATGTAATCGTGACTATGCTCGAAGGAATATGCATAGTTCCAGACTCATCGATGGTACTGATAAATGATTCTGACGATGTAGAATCTATAGAAGATGTAGGAGGCACCGTAGTCGTAGGGTCTGTATAGACAGTTGTAGATACGGTTATGGGCTCGGTTTCAACCACAGTAGTAGGCTGGGCCGTAGGAACGGTCGAGGTAGGACTCGAGCTCACGCTCGAATCGGATTGAAGAATAGGCACAACTGTAGTGATCACGAGCGTAGTAACATAATCTTTGGCCAGGGGTGTCTCCAAACCATTTCCATCACCACGGTGCATGAGCTCATTCGAGCCGAGGTAAGATGGCATGGCCGTTGCTAAGGAATTTGTTAGCATAGGGGGCTTACTCATTCACATTTATATCCATATAAATCGTAAGGGCAATACTTACTCTTCACAGTAGTAACTGTAGCAGATTCCAGAGTAGTAATAAGCGATTGTGAGTCGCTGCTAGTGATATGAAAAGCACTAGCTTCCAGGTTAGGTTGTGCGGGCTGTCGTGTTGCAGACACGGTTGAAGTGGTTGACAATGACTGGTGACGAATGGTTTCAATCGCGAGGCCATACCATCCAGCTTCGAAAAAGGATTAAGTATTAGCCCAGCCCTTCAATTATTAACTATAGTGAATTAGATTCCAACTTACCAGCAACAGCACCAGTGGCGATAAAGATGATCGCTAGGAAGAAGAGCCAAGCGTGGGGGAACATAATGGGCGAGGTTCTCTGCTTGACTGCTGTAGACTAGTTAGCATCATATAAATGAATTATACTTATCTCTTTGCTCTGATACCAATCCATGGTGGAGAAATAGGGTAAATGGGCGCAAGGAAGAGAGGAAATTAAAACATACCACCCCAACGATCTCTCATTCTCTCAACCTTCGCAGACATCTTGCTGCTGGCAGGGGAGCACTCAAAACCGAAACCATTGTGTGCGCCTCCCATCTCGTTATCACGGTTGAAACTCATCCTCGAGGTCATTCCCGTAGGCGGCGGAGTCAATGGTGGTCCTCTAAGCGTGTGCTGGAGTCGTAGTAGGACCTGGCGTCCGGGAGCCGCGGTGTCGAGCGAGTGTGGGAAAAGAAGTGTTTGAGGCAGATCGCGTTCCTAATCTTGAATTCCTCGTGGGTATGTCTTCGAATTCGCCTTTGCCTTGCCTAGTAGCTGTGGTGAAGATTGGCGAGAGGTGGAGTTCGAATTGGTGTTAGAAGCGAGATTACGCATCGATACTATTTAACAATTTCGAAAATAGAGCGTAGAATGGATTAAAACAACAAATTTTTGTAAATAGGCAGGGAAAGGCAATATTCTAGATATGCCTTACTGCCTTGCTATGTAATATGAAGGGGGTCCCACAAAGTGTAGAAGTTCGTGGGTGGGAGTAGGTTCTGGAGTCAGACTTCTCGAGTTTGGTGAATAAGAAGTAGGAAACATAGGATTAAAACAAACAGTGGAATCAGATAAATAAATAACACGGGTAAAAGGGATCCGCAAAACAGTCTTTTAGGTGCATCGTGAAGTTGCCGTTGCGGAAACCATCGTCTCGGCAGTAGGTGTGACGGGGGTTGTGGTTGTCGGGAGCGTCAACGACGAGTAGGAAGCTCAACCTCAATTTCTATGCATTATATGCTACATACGTAAGAGATAGGCAGGGAAGCGGCATATCTGCATGCGTATGGTTCTTTCTTTACTACCGTGATCGACTCTGACTTGGATATCACGATGCACAAAGATTATAGATACTTGTAGCTACCCCTAAAAGTTGTGAAAAGCTTCACAAGCGAATATGTATGTAGCTAAGTAGGTGCTTCGTACAAAGGCCATCCATCATCGTAATACCCAGACGATATCTTCAAATAGGGGTAATCGTTTACTTCTAATAACACAAGACGTCTTGTTTGACACGTGTTAGATCACATGCTACCTACGTGAACTCCTTTTTCGCTCTGGCTGGAAATGCATAAATACCGCAAGACTGCTTAACTTGATCTCCTCAAATCCTTATCTCTTTCTGAGCTTATTTCCTAAGTATTACCCCTTCCATTTCTTCTCTTTCCTCTGCTAGCCGGTATCTTACTGAACCATTATATTACCGAAGGTATCTGATATCTCCTGACGCGATGGCCCCTCGCGCACTTCTGGCGCTGTTGAGGCCCCCTGTGATATCCTCTCCTCCATAAGCTTCAGTAGAACAGGAGGCACACTTTCATCAGTAGCACGGACTGTAAGCCGGACCATCTATCATATTATTAGCTTAATCATTTCAGCAAAATAAGTTTCAAATTCAACTTACCTGTGAAGCATAGTTTGGCTCCAGTCGCATTAGACAGCCAAACTTGCCTCCTTCAGAGGTGTGAAGCACACTGGCCCCAACGAAATTTTTGTTATTCGGATCAACATTGTTGAGTACCCCCCAACGGAATCCTTGAATAGTCTTGCGAATGAAGCCCTCAGTAATCTCTCGCGATCCGGACTTACCAGCAGCGAGACCAATGATTTGCTGAGCCTCACGTGGCGCGCCACCAATCTGCTTCCATCTCTTGAAGAAGTCATCCGCCAGAAGGTCCGCAGGATCCATGAATTTGTGAGCCGTAAGTGGGAGCATCAAAGTGAGAGCTTGTAAGGCGCCCGCTAGATAGCTTATCCTAATAGTGGGACTCTTAGTAAACACCTTCTTCGCCTCAAACATGATGATCAGTCGTGACTGTCCACCTTGTGTGATGGAACTTTCAGGCAAGGACTTGACATCCCATGTCAGATTGGGCTTCTCGCTCTCATCCAAATCAAGCGTGGTGGTAAAAGAGCTCACGGTAGCAGGAGTCTTGTTTGTGAAGTATAGAATGAGGCATGCCATCTGACCTCGGTATTCGGAGCGAACTCCCACTTGAAGCTGTCCATCTTCAAAAAGTACGCCATCAGCTTTGAGTAGCAATTTGTTGTACCCAGATTCCCAACCAGGAGATAGATGCGCAGCACTGGCCAGGTTTGGTGCCTTGAGTAGCTTCTCGGGAACTGGTCCCACGTTCATATCGAGACCGGCGAGGTCAGCGTGGCCATTAGCACCGTTGACTGCACCATTTGTCACCCCATTACCATTGACAGGACCATTAGAGCTAAAGGTTCTTTTGAGACCTGGGTTCTTGGCCATGCTCAACTCCGTGGCATCATTGTTCGCATCCTTGCCGCCGACCACCCAAGTCCGCTTATCACTAGTACCAGCGTGCTTTTGGTGAAGTCTCGACAGGAGGGCAGATTGTCGCTCAGGGAATGGCGGCATCTCATCACAAACTGTCCGAAGTAAATCATCTGTTGGAAGAGTTGCGAGCGTCAAGTATTCGCAGGCTCGTTGCTGCAATTCCGGATCTAATGTGTGGCTATATATCTCGAAAACTTGAATGAGATGTGGCTTGATCTCCGGAAATAAGTTGACGAATTTGATGAAGGAGGAAAGGATCATAGCGCGAGTGCTAGATGAACAAGCAGGCAGCTTCTTGGATAATGCCAAGAACTGCTCAACAGGACTGCAAGCCTTATCTTCGGCAATCAAGTGACCGAACTCTCCAAGAATGTATGCACCAATCTTCACTAACGTTTCGTGGCAATGATCTTGCTTGACGTGCTGCAAGGTATTGTGAGCTGCATACACCTGCAGTTCTTCATTATTTGTCACGATCTGGATGACTCGTTGCCAGACCTCATCACTAAGATGGTCTCCCGCAACAGCTACCAGACGAAGCGAAACGTTGATATACCATTGAATGTCGGTTGCATACTTCTCCGTTAAAATGGCGATTTTCAAGGCCATTTCCTCTCGTATCGCAAAATCGGCATTTTGCAAATAATGCAAAAGCTCCGAAACTATCGGCGCAGAATTGGTCGAATCACACATACTATATAGCAAATCGAGACCTTTTCTGCGAACGCTGATGTCGCGATCTTTGAGAGAGCCTAGAATTACGTCTTGATGCTGCTTGATAGGATCGAGGTTTTCGGCTCGGGCCGCGAGATGTGTCATAGCTTCCAGACCTAGGTATCGAACATTCGTCTCTCTAGACGTTATGAAGCGGCCCAAACGGGTAGATATCTGTTTCATCAATGCATGCTCGGTATCTAGATGAATGATGAGGTTGATAGCTTCGAACAAAACGGCGTTTTGAGCATTATTCTGCTGCACGTTTTTGTTCGTCTCCATCGCTAGGTTTAGTATCTTTTGTAGAGATTCCCGAATCATTTCGCGAACATGACTATCCTCTATTCACAGTATTAGTATCCACTTTTATACACTGTTTTTCGCGATAGAAGCTCATACCTGAAGGTGGGAAATACTGAAGCAAGCGTAGTAACTTAACCTGTATCCAAGGACACGGGACCTTGTAGTACAGGTAATCAGCAGTATAATCGCCATCAATTAGTATTCGTTTTAGCCGCGACGCAGCTTTGACGTAGGCACCCTTGTACTGATCCAGGTTATCCTGCGCAACGGTCATAACAAGCGAGGTAACTGAGAGAGCCACTCCTAAATCGGCATCGTCCATGAGAGATATTATCCGTTCCGCCCATTGTGGCTGGATTATATCTGGGTGTTTTCGGTATAGACGGAGAAGGGTGAGGGCTGCCTTCTTTTTCACGAATGCTTTCGAAGTTCTGCGCCCGTTGTTAGTCACTGTGTAGGATCATCGGAGACGGTGTACGAAACATACGGCGAGATTAAAAGCCTGTGGACTTCGCTACTTAACGCCTCTCCCATTTCCCGGCTTCCTATGTTCGCTATTGCGTGTAAGGCTAGACAGTTGAAGAGCTCGTTATGATCGAGAAGGTCCTTTCGTATACTGTTGACAACCAAGTGCAATAACTCGTGCTTCTCATGCAAGAACAGCGTCATAGCCAGGTATCCAATTTGCTTCTCGGAATACTTATTGGCTGAAATAAGGTTGACAGCTTCGAGATGACCGAAATCGACATTCCAACCTAATATGTATATGTACAACAACTAGACCAAATGTCAGAATCGCCCGGGCTTCGAATAGGGGTTTCGCAGATTCCTCATACCTTGCAAACATATTTCTTCTTATGATATCCGCTCAGGTTACCATCTATATTCTGTTAGTCTACGAGTTCGACGTCGACATTCCGAGATCGCGCAAAGTCGGTGATCGTTTTCGATGGAATTATAGCATACCCTTGAACTTTTGCCTGTGATGTAGGAATTGCACATTAGCATCGTGATCTTCAATGGCAACTAGAGAAACTCGTTTCCTACTAACCGAATATTTGCGAGCTCCTTATTGATCCTTTTCTCTTCCAAATCCCTGGCCCGCGCATTTCTAAGGTCGGCGATGAATTGTACGAGACCACGCATGTTCGAATTATTGCTACTCGAGCGGCCGAGGAAGCCAGCCGCCGCGGAGGAAGCCATGGTGTATGATCGGTCGCAACGACGGTCCCCCTATTCTTACACCAACACCGGTTATTCCCGTCGCATCCGCTAATACGAACGACGACGACACGTAAAGAGACTATTAATGTATTATATAGGACGACGATGTCGAGTTCAAGTATTTAGACCCAATTTCGAGAGGAAGCACGCTCGAAAATGCGGCTCTCATGATAAACCAGGTCAACCCTTGAACATGTTTCGTTCGAACGTGACCAGCGGATATAAGGGGGGAAAACGAGAAACGGGGACGGGAACAAGCGACGCGAGAAAACGCCAGAGCTTAGTTGGAGAGATCGAGTCGGGTTTGCTAGGCGATTGATTAATAGTACAAGACGAAATTATCTTGTCGAGGTCGAGAATATCGCAACTCGGTGACACGGCATTGGTGGTATTGTAGTGTCAGGGACACATATGGGACAAATGGGAACAAAATGTTGCAAATGAAATGAATTTGGCAGCCAAAACCAAAAAAAAAAAGCCCTTGTAGTCTTTAAACCCCGAGCGGCGAAAGAGGAGCACCTAGGCGCACCTGCACCACGGCACCACACCTTCTATTAGTCCGTGCTATTCTACTGCTATTAGTCTGTTACCGCTTCCCCAATGTGGTACGACGCTGTACTACCGCTGTGGGGCACATGATTTACGCCTCGACTCTGCAGTCAGTACCTGCCTCTATTGGAACATTGAAATTAATAATGTGGCTTGATTTTAAGATATCGATGAACAGTTTCTTATCTTATCTATTTTATCGATAATAGCTACATACATGCAGTCCCCCCGTTTTACGTCACAGCCAATCCGATGATTCCATATTCAAAGCTCCTCTTCAGCTGATGAAGATACTGTAGTATATAAACCACTATCCAATTGGTGATATACTAGGATGAATTGCATTCTTCAAAGCTCTACACGACTACTACCGCGGGTTTCAAGGGTAGCAGCAACACCAAAAGCGAGAAAAGGCACGATACCCCGACGATCCTACGCTTTCCAAGCCGCCGCGCCACCTATTCATCAAGTCTTCAACCGTCGTACAAAATGGCTGCAGAAGGAGCGCGCAGCCGCCGATATCGAGAACAGTCGCATCGCCGACTATCTGAAAGATGAAGTGGCAATGCGACTCTGCGATAGGTTATTAGTATGACGTTCCTTCTCCTCTTACTCTATAGTTAATACCACAATAAAGTGAAACCTGCATACTTACAAACCCAGGACATCAAAAGAACCTACCCCGAAGTCCTCGACCTAGGCGCAAACTCATGCAACATAGCCCGCGCCTTAGCCCGCGAATCCCCCGACGAAACCAACCCGTCCGCACCCCCTCTCGCCACGAAAATCGGACACCTCCTTGCCGTCGACTCATCCTCCACTCTCTTACACCGAGACGCCTCACTCCCCTTCAACTCGCAAATCAACATGACCCGAAAAGTGCTCCCAGACGAAGAAACCCTCCCCTTCTCCGCGAATACCTTCGATCTAGTACTTAGCTCGCTGAGCCTACATTGGATCAACGACCTCCCGGGCCTCTTGGCCCAGATCAATAATATACTAAAGCCAGACTGCGCATTCATGGGCGCTATGTTTGGTGGGGATACGCTCTTCGAGCTACGCACGTCGCTGCAGTTGGCGGAGCAAGAGCGACGAGGTGGTATCTCGCCCCACGTCTCTCCTTTAGCCGATGTGCGTGACGTCGGGGGCTTGATGCAACGCGCTGGGTTTAAAATGCTGACCGTAGATGTTGATGATATCGTCGTTGATTACCCAGATACCTTCGCGCTAATGCAGGATATCCAGTCCATGGGTGAAAGCAATGCTGTCCTGGGCCGTGAGATGGGAGCCATTCAACGAGACGTGTTGCTAGCTAACGATGCTATATATCGAGAACTTCATGGTAGTGAGGATGGGACTATACCAGCAACTTTCCGAATGATATATATGATTGGGTGGAAAGAGTCAAAAGACCAACCTCAACCATTACCCCGAGGCAGTGGTGAGATTAATCTGAAGGATGTACTCGAAAGAAAATAATAAAAAGCCTCTGAATTCTGACATTACCAACGTTTCAATTACTTCCTACATACTAGCCACCGTTATTAAACATTAAGGTCTATAGCACATCTTATGTCCCCTTCAGCCATAGTGCCACCTCTCTTTGCTATTCAGTACACCACATCACCTCCTGAACTTAAAACCCCCACACGCAGATTCATAGGACATCCACAAGGACAACAGTTAAGACAGGTATGCCCTCAGATGGTCTAGACCCGCATTCCCGCATTCTTCCACCCAGATGCCACACTCCATAGCGTTTAAATGGCTCAACAGCTCACCGAACGTAGAAAATAAATCTCCACAGAACGGGTGCGGGCATTTGAAACGCATCAGCCGATGGTCAGGGCTATCATGGTGAGCTGCGAGGGCGGCGAGAGCTTCCCTCTCCGCGAAACTTAAACTATAACCCGACCAATCATGGGACCCCTTAGGAGTCTCAACACTAGCTTCCTTGGCTGTAGCTTTCGTGATAGAATCAGTGGTGAAGGATCTGCTGCCATCTTCGCGGCTTAGAACATCGTAAAAGCCCGTCCAGCAATCTCCTTCCTCGCAATGAGCAACTAGAGCTAATTTTGAAGAGAAGCTCTCCTGACAAGCGATACACGTCTTCCCGATGCCAATTGGGCTGGGCTGATATGACTATTAGCTGACATCCTCAAACATAAGATCATAGCCCAAAGAACATGTTATTAACATACCTCTTCTGTTCGAGTGTCCTCGCATGTTACCTCATTAATCTCCTTAACCTCCTTGAGGTGATAATCACTGATATGAGCCTCGAAACCTAGCTTTTCTCCGAACTCAATATGACACAAATCGCAACAAGGGTGCTGGTCGTGGTCATGGTTCACCACATCTTCAAGATCTGCGGACTCGAAATCGCATTTTAGACAGCGGTGCTTATGGTTACTGCTTTGAGCCATATGTTCCTCGAAAGCGTCAAGGGACTCGTAACATCGGTTGCATCTTTCGCAGTAGTGGTGTAAAGTAGATACATGCTCATTTAGTTCCATCGGGGAGGAGAACACCTTATCACAAATACCGCAGTAATCGTGTTTTGCTCGTCGATGAAGTGTCAAAATGTCGGCATCCACAAAGTCCTTTTCACATTCAATACAATATTGGTGGATTGGGCCTAGCCGTTTGTGGTTCTCCAATTCGTCAAGAGTATCGAAAGATTGATTGCACATCTTGCAGTGGTTGTGCTGTTTCTGCAAATGCAGGCTCAGGAAATCCTCGTCTTCAAAGTCTTTATCGCAAGTCTCGCAGTAGTTGTGGGCTGGGCTCAAGCGTTTGTGGGCAACGAGAGCTGCTTTCTGAGGGAAGATCTCACGGCATTGATGGCAGTATGAATGTGTACCGGGGTTCGATGTGGTATGCAGGACATACTCTTGCTCAGTTCGAAAAGGAGTGAAACACTTTCCACAATAGTAATGAGGTTCTATTACCCAGCGTGTGAAGTGGTTATGCAGCTCCTTTTTGCTAAACATGTGTAATTTGCAGACGAGACAGTAAAAATGTGCGGGGGAGTCGAAGTAATGATTTTCCAAGCTCGTATTGTCTTCGAAGTCTAAGAAGCATTTGGAACAATAAAAATGTTGGACTCCGAGCGCCCAGGTTTTGAGTAGGCGGTAGTGCCTCACCAACTCGTCGGGAGACGGGAAATCTTTGGAACACTTAATACAGTAGTAGTGGACTTCACTGGTCGTGATGTGATCTCTGTGTTCCTGAAGAGTGATGAAGCCAATGTCGCATTTTGTGCAGAGAAAATGGTTGGCTTTGCAATGGTTCTGCAATTCTGTTTGCGATGAGAAATCAACACCACACACGTTACACTAGAAGTGCAGGGTGCTCTTTCCTCTATGGGCGTTCAACTCGTCCCTAGACGGAAATGTCTGCTTACACTTTTGACAGTGGAGATGTGCGTATTGGAGGTGCTCATTAAGCTGATCCGGCTGGAAGACCTTGCCACAACCTTGGAATGGACATTTCCCATGTTCCCTCATATGAAGGTCGCATGCTGTTCTGTCGGCGCCGAAATCCATTTCGCAGGTAAAGCAGATATTATGATACCTCGGGTTTTTCAAGTGGCTCGCCAAGCCCTTCTCGTCAGGGCACCAAACTTGACAGACATTGCAGAACTGATGATCTTCAATGTGGGCATAGTTTGACTCCCAATGTTGTTGGAGTGCATTCCAATCTACGAAATTCCTAGCGCAGGTCTTGCACCAGCACCACGTGCTCGTCATGATTGGGGGCAATACGGCGAGGACAAAATATGCCCGAGGTGATTCGATTGTGATATGGTGATTTGCAACAAAAGGTATTAGGATAGAGGCTCCGCGAGCTTCAAACTGAAGATTGACAATGGCGTACAACTTGAAGAAAAGGAAATTGGTAGGTGGAATTTTCGTGATAATAGGAGTTGAAAATTTGGGAGAGAGAATGATGAGCGAAGTAATCGAGATTGAAAAGGAGTTGTTGAAACATGAAAGTCGAGGGAGGATGAATTGATTGGAAGCGGGTTCTTTCCAGACAGACAACAAAGTTTCTTCCCAGTCTGTAAATCTTCAAAACCTTAGTTGTATCAAGAATCCAAGGCAGGTGCGTTAAACACCAACGCTATGTAATATGTATGCGTAGAAACCCAGGTAGGCGCACCTTCCACAGAATAAAATGGCAATATGTGGATGTCTAATACCTTCTATGTACACAACGTAAATAAAATAGGAGGGAGAAAGGGAAGGACGCGCCTTTACGCGTAGCGCACCTAAATAGAATCCACGCTCAATGACATAGCAGCAAGCAACAAGCACGCAAGAACCGGAAATGCAGAGCAAACTCGTGATCCCATTTCTAATAGTAATCCTGGCTTTAAACCTTACGCCAGTCCGTCATGCATCGTTCTATGCTGCCTAGTCCTGCAACATCGACGACCTTCTCATGCCAGCTCAATAACACACTCATAGCTGCACCTGTGTTTTCATTCACGGTAACATTTCTCGACCCGATCTGGCTAAATCCTGTAGCCTGCGGAGTTAAGTTCCGCGTGGGTGTCTTGTGTCCTTCCTTCGATGATCCTCCTGACATGCCTTTATATCTATATTATGTTAGATTTTTCACGATGACCTCAATTTAAAGGGGGAAAGGGGTAAGCATACAGATACTTTGTCAACACATCTAGCAGTTCACTCCCGCCTTCCGAGCCGTAGATTCGCTGCAACATCGGTGTCATCTCGCTCGCCTTAATCGATTGCAAGACCTCAACTACGGTCTGCAGGTGTGCATCCTGTGTTACCACCGCATCATCAGTACCGGTACTATTCTATTCTAAACACAGCCCCCCGGATCTAAGCCCCATACAATAATGCCTAGTCCGAGGCTACAGACGTACCTTGGCCGAGTCACTCCCGTTGTACACCGGGCTTTCGAGGCAGCCCCTTAAAGCGCCTTCGGAGTCACCGCCTCGCAGTAGCTGCCGTATCTGTGCGTTCAGCTGCCTAACTTCAGCCTCGCCGACCTCGGGTAACGGGGGGTGGAGGGTCGAAGTATCGAAGTTCTGTGAGGAGTCTGGATCTAGGGCGTCGATATTGATGGTTCGCCAGGCATCGCTTAGCGAGGCTTGGGAGTGTTGCTGGATAATAGACATGTTTTTTTTGTTTGCTGGTTAAATCGCTCGCTCGCGTGGTCTTCGTTCGTACACCTGCAACGAGACAGACTAGACTGCCCAACCGGTCGATGTACCTAAAGGGGGAAGAAATTGGCTGTCGTTGTTCCCCTTCTTGATTGATGCCTGAATCAAGTTAATTTTGCCGCCTTTGCCTAGCCGTTATCCTCTGATTCCTGCGGCTACGTGTACATGTGACCGTCTCCAAGTTTTGGTTTTGTGTGTGTGGGATGAGGCTCTTCTGGAGTTATCCGGGTAGGTGGGCAGGTTTGAGCCTGAGAAGGTTGACGGGTGGTGGAGGAAATACAGTGGATGGCGGATGGATGGTGGATGGATGGTGGGGGAGACATTGACGTTGCTTCCCGCTGCTGGATAGCTGCAGCTTAGGTGGGGCTTACGAGGCTGCAAAGTGTGGCTTAGAACCAAAGGACAGCGGGAAATACCCCAAATACGTTTAAAGTTGTAATGGATTGTATCCCTATTGTTCTAGGTACAACAGCGCATTACTTACCAGAAGTGTAGGAAGTCGTGGCCTCCATCACACCCGTACAAAATTTAGGGTGGCTTAGCTGTACCTACACCCGTCGACCCGCGCCCGTCTACAACCATTTCCACCATTTCCTCTTTGTGCGTCACTGCCACTACAATACACCCAATACATCTAAATATTACTTACATACGCATACATACACATGCAGACGTTTAGAATGGTCAGAGAACGAGCCAAATCGAATATGAGGCTACCAATTGAAAGGAACTATTATACGTCCGCCCCCTTCGAAGATAAAATTATCTCATGAGTAAACGGATCACCTGGACGAACCCGAAGGCCAATCTGCTGAAAGAGAAATCTCATCACCATTTCGGCGCCTATGTTGCACGACCGAGGGGCTTAGAAGCGCCGGCACAATCGATGAATTGTACTGTGACAAAGAGCCTAACTTGATGCCTATGAGTCCGATTGGATTGACTCGAATGGAATTATCGTCGTTGTCGCAAGCCTGGCCGATGAGGTCATTGTGCCTTCAGTCGCACGCACGCGCCTAATTTTACTCACGGCCCCCAATAGTTTGGGTCGCTTGTCTTCGTGCAGAACGGCAGATAACATACGATGATAGGTCTTCAGAATTGAGCATGTGGTTTCGTACCAATGAAGCCGAATTTAGGGAGGCCTACTCGGTTACGACGGGGTTCCTGGTATCCAGTACCTTTGGCGAGCATATCTTCGTCCAAGTTCATTCAACAATAACCGTTTCAGGCAGCTAATCCCTGATACGGTGTCACTGAAGGGAGAAGGTAGCAGAGCACCTTTTTAGCGACTCGAACCATTTACCACTCACCGACACGGTGAACAACTAACACTGATACGAGTAACGTGCCCTTGAGAGCATGCAGGTTAAGTTTAATCCATGTTGAATTAAATAATCTATATGCAGATTTAATTATTTCGAGGTGCATTCGTCCTACCGTCCTCGTGAACTACACGTGTGTAAATACGGCACAGAACCAAGTTTTAGGGCATTATTTCACTGCTGAGTGGCACGGACGACCCTAAACCACCCACAAAGGTCACCAAATAAACATCGCTACAGGTAGTAGAAAAATTGTGGTTGGCTGGGTAATCGAACTGTTATAGCATCGCATGCATAATTCAGTGTATGCTCGAACCTCTAACACTAGGGGACAGAAATAGCACCGAATTAGCAACCAGCATAATTTTTTTCTTATTTGATGGGGTTTAGCATGACTTCCTGTTGACCCCCTTTCATACCATTCATACAAGGTTGATGAGTCATGACTCCCTCGGGTAATAATTAATATTATTATAATATTATGAGGTTGGCAGAGCAATATTAGCCCTGTAGCGTTCCCAACCTTCAGGGGGAGTACTGACCCAATCGAGAGGTTCTATCTGGGTTATGTATGAGGATCCGCTGGTAAGGATCGAGAACGCCGCATAGCTTTCGAATCATACCAATCGATGCTATCAGCCTTATGTTTGTTGTCGCATAGGTTCGTCGGAAATGCAAAAATGCTTGATCATAGCTCAACCGGGACCATTCTCCCAACATCCGGTAAGTTATCACTTTTTATTAACCAGCTTTGATGTTATGATCCTGCACTTGAGAAAAAGAAAAAACAAGTATGGTTAAGGGTTTGAAGGCGATCCTGGAGAAATTCGCCTATCCCTTCATTCCACTTCGTTTAACTCTTCCTATGTACCTACCATAGCCCAAGCCCTACAAAAATTTTTATAGGTCACTGACCGCCCGTCGGTCGGTTCGTCAATTCTCACCATGATTCCGGCGTAGGCTTTACCGAAACCAACAGTACTCAGAGTCGGGACGAATTTTCCAGAGATTTTGTCAAAGCTCAGGATACCTAGACAAGAGAAAAATTTTTTTCCCTTCCCTCGTAATTTGGCGAGCACGTCAATCCAGGGCGAGTTGCATGGCTAACCCGTCGTGGCGGGAAGCTTCCCCGGTGCTATGAGGCTTCATCGAGTAATTCGATACAGGGGCTCCTATCTGATCCTTGCCTGAATCGACCATGACAGGTTCCCCAATCCCGACGATACACTAGAGATTGGAACTGCCGAGAAGAATACAACTACATTTCGTATGTATTTCTCTTTATGACGCGTTGTCTTCGCAAGCCGTACGTAGATCGCGGCAGGTAAAGATTTTCGCATCATCCGAATTTGACTATTACGAGGTTTAATAAATCGTCGGATATCTACCCAGGTATCTTTGTTAAGTAACTAGCACTTGAAGGATTGCGGTGAAGTACACCGATCCTAGATGAGGTATTGACCAGTCAGCCAGTACGATCCGGCACAAATGGTTGGGGAAAAGTTTTGAAATGGGTTCCGGCGTTACTAGAAATGATCCAGTGGGTCTTACCAGAGTACTGTCATGCACCCGTGGGTCTCGAAACCAGACATGGTTGGCATGATGCTATTTCGGATGTGTGCCGTCTCGTAGTGAGCTCCACTTTACCTACCTCATTTAGGGCATAGCAGGGTCCATGGCGCTGGGTAGGAGGCAAGATCATCAAGCATTTGCCTAGTATAGTACCTAATCAACCTCGAAGCTTTGGTAGTCCCCAACTTCACATCCAGAGGTTCTGGTACGATACCCTTGGTATTGTCAAGTTCTGTTAAGGGTTCAATGTAGGACTGAACCATCAGGATGGATCCGAGCCGCAGGAGTCGAGAACGGATTGCCTTATCGAGTCGATGATCCAGTCTATTGGTATATCAAATTCCCAACATCCAGAGCACCGGGGATGACGTACCTTGCAGGAAAAATCTGGATACCTACGTTTATCTTGTACAGTAGCTACACTCAGGCCGAATAGCAATGTACCGCACTTGGAAGTATACCGTAAAAAGCAGAATTCGATGTACTATGCCGGATATACTTCCGTGATTAACCTCCGAGAACAGTTCGAGCTTCTATGGAAAACTTCTATGCTATGTGGACCTCGGGACGTACCTTTAGCTTCCTTAGTCTTGACATGGCTGCGAAGAAGGGTCTAACCAGGGTTTAATCAAGGAGTATTTGTGCTGTCTCACACGGCGGACGACTCTAGAGTCGGCCGAGAGACCTCAGAGTACTGTGTATTTGAATAGGTAGTTACTTTTGAATAGGTGGCAGGGTCAGCTTAGATGATAGATCAAGCTAGACCTGCTGTAGTATGTATGTGCAACTCGGTGGAGCTTAGGAAGCCGTCCCGTCAGCTTGGAAACAACATAAGAATCTGACAATACCTTAGATACACTGTTAGGGGACACCGCGTTGCCGGGTATGATAAAATTTGCGTACCATGGTGAACATGGGTCTCGCAGATACCGAAGAGTTAAGGGGTTTGGATTTGGGTTTTGAATTCGGTGATGAGGCGGTCCAAGGGATCCCCAGCCGGGAGAAAGGCAGTCGAATTTGTGCCACCAGGGGTGTTTTTCATAGTTGATATCTATTATATGATTTTTGATAACAGACAACGGCGTCACGTCAATAAGTCGTGGTACGAACCGATATATTGATTCCTTCTTTTTCAGTGTGCGAGTTTCTTGAGTACTATTGGCTGGGATAGTAGAGATTATCTCACCAACGAAATATATGATAATAGATGCTTTATCCTCATTGAGTAATCGGTTAGGGAGTCACATGATGATGAAACACTGCGCCTTGTGCTGATTGCCTACGACACTGAGCATGCGAGCTGTGAATCGTTGCAGAAACCAACCAATGCAAGATGTGTATCTTGACCTTGGCGGTTGGTTGGTTGCCAAGATAATGAGAAGAAACTTCTTTCGCCATTCCCTCGGTATTCAAGGATGATTAAGGCGGTATTTTCAAAAGGGGGTCCCGATGTAACCACAAATTGTGAGAGTATTGTCCATGAGCGTGCGATGTACACACGACTTGCAGTGTAGTGGGTAAGCCAGAGGATTCGCGCCACGATGACACCCAGATTTTGTTTTATATCGGTTGGAACAAACTTCAACACTCTTCTGGTTAGTTACGGCTATTCATACTGTAGGTGATCATAATGCCGTGTTATATGTTACCAAGGCTAGGAAAACATATGTACAATGACGGGACGATGATAATGGGGTCATTCTACTTACCAGGGCCAAAATCAGGATGAATTTGGTTTGGGAATCTTACCTACCTGGGTAGTAAAAATACATGGGTACGAGAGGTAATTAAGCGGGAGTGCTGTGGTCGGGTTGGTCGAGGTAGTTAATGCAGGAACAGCATTAATGAGTGGAGAGCCACATGGCTGTCTCTCATGTATTCTCCAGCGGGTAAAGTAGCTGTCAAAAAGTTGTATCGGGTACATCCACTTCCTTACTGGTATCCATGCTCTAAACAAGACCCCTGAAAATGGATGGCATTATGTCGGTCTTCCTAATTAAGAAAGGAGTACCGGTGTCTACCTAGGTAGCTCTGATGTATCCTACGTAGTATCTGAGTACCTAATCTAAGCTGGGAACACCTACCTACTTAGGTACATGCGTATGTTACAGGGAGAGATTGATTCGGTTAAGCTGAAGTCATCGCGTGCGAGCCTCTT